AATACGCCGCCTGGACGACGGTTCCATTGCTCTATCCCAGGAGCGCTACATCATGGACGTGCTGGCCCGTTTCCACTTCGACACCACGACACGCGGCACTACGGTGCCGATGACGCCCGGCCTCTCGCTCACGGCAATTCCGGGTCAGGGAACGGAGCGCATTCGTTCGTGGTACCTACAGGCCATCGGCTCCCTCCTCTACATCTCCCTTGGCACTCGACCCGACATTGCCTTCGCCGTCTCGTACCTGTCCCGGTTCGCCAACAACCCCGGCCGCCGCCATTGGATTGCCGTCAAACACGTCCTTCGCTACCTTCGCGCCACGTACCGCGATGAGCTTCTCTATGCCCGCGGCCCAGCAAAAGTCACGGGTGTGGTTGGTTATTCTGATGCGAACTGGGGCGCCTGCGTCGACACATCCATTTCAACGATGGGCTACGTATTTTACTTGGCAGGCGCCGCTGTCTCTTGGTCGTCGAAGCGTCAGACTCGGGTAGCGGATTCCACCACTGATGCCGAGTACCTGGCCTTGTCGCACGCGGGTAAGGAAGCGATCTACCTTAACCAACTCCTCTCCGAGCTCCACGTTTGCCCAATCGCTGCAGCTCACATCTTCACCGACAACGAGGCCGCGGCCGCCGTCGCTCACGACCCCGTTCGCACCTCCGGCACCCGGCACATTCGCCTCCGCGAGCATTTTGTCCGTGACATGGTCAATCGAGGTGATATCTCTCTCTCACACGTTGGCACAGCAGACATGGTTGCGGACGTATTCACCAAAGCGCTAGGCCCCAAGATTTTTGGTACACATTGCTATGCTCTAGGCCTCCGGACGCGACATCCACGGCTCAAGTCTACCTCGCGTTCGCGTGGGGGGGGGTGTGAGGAATCCACTCTCCGCTCGGCTCAGGACTTAGGCGCGCGGAGCGAACCGGGCGCGGACTTAGGCGCGCGGAGTGAGCCGGGCGCCCCGGCCCAGGACCTAGGCGCGCGAAGCGAGCCTGGGACTTAGGCGCGCGGAGCGAGCCTGGGCCATTGGCTCAGCCCCAGGCTCGCTGGCTGTGGACTTGGGGTGCGCGGGTCTCTTATTGTTAGCTTCCTATTCATCACTCTTGGCTATAACTACATCGCTGACGTAGTAGAGTTGATCGAATAGGTATGTTGAAATGCATTCATCACTCTTGGCTATAACTACATCGCTGACGTAGTAGAGTTGATCGAATAGAGGTAGAGAAGTTTGTCTGCAATGCTTGCCTCAGCGCAAAGGGCCATCGTCTTCCCTTTCCCGATTCGGATTCGCACTCCTCAGAGAGACTCGGCCTTGTACACAGCGATGTGCTTTCCTTCCCCGAGCGGTCCTTGACTGGCAAACGTTACCTGGTCACATTCCTTGACGATTACTCGCGCAAACTCTGGGCCTACGCAATCGGACACAAAAGCGAAGTCTTCGGCATATTCAAAACTTGGCTAGCCGAGGTTGAACTCGAGACGGGTGCGACGCTGAAGGTCCTCCGAACCGACAACGGTGGCGAATACTGTTCGAGAGCGTTCACAGAGTTCTGCAAGACACGAGGCACCCGTCGACAATACTCTATCCCACGCACGCCTCAACAGAACGGTCGTGCAGAGCGGGTCAATCGTTCCATTGTCGAAGGCGTCCTTGCCCTCCTTGTCGACGCCCACCTACCCAAGACATTCTGGGAGGAGGCTGCAGCTTATTTCGTTTACTGCAAGAACCTGTGTCAACACGCGGCCCTGGACAAGGCAACACCAAACTCCGTCTGGCAGGGTGACCACACCACTGCCTCGGCGCTTCACCCGTTCGGCTGTACAGCTTGGCTTACGGTCGCGCCCGAACTTCGCTCCAAACTCGACCCGAAGGCGGTTCGCGTTTTTTTCACCGGCTACGACCTGGCTTCAAAAGCCTTTCGCTTCTACGACACTACAACACAGAAGATTATACTTGGCAGAAATGCCACGTTCCTCGACACTGAATTCCCCGGATTACATGGCGACCCCACTGAGCAAGACGGCGACACGCACTTCGCCAGCGCTCCCACCACCGAATCTCAAACCGTTGTCAAGACATGGACCCCACTAGTAAGGTCGGCGCACATGGACGTCTCATCCCCCCTTGATGATTCTGCCATGAGCGCCGTTGACGTGGCCCCAGGGTACACTGGCGGAACCTTACTTAACTTCACAGATGCCGAATCGTCCTCGTCACCGTCGCCTGCGTCGCCCTCATCACCGTCGTCTGCGCCATCGCCTGCACTTTCACCATCGTCGGCTGCGTCATCGTCACCCTCGGCCTTACCGACCGACTCTGAAGACTCCGCCGATCCCCTCGACCTCCTCGGCTCACAGCCCCAGGTTCGCCTCGATCTACAGGACGTGCACCACCCAGACTTCAGCACGTACCGCGAGCCCGCATCGGCTGAGGAGTCGCCCGACGAACTCGACCTCATTGGGCGCCACTCTCGCGACGAATCTCCGGACGAAATCGATTTCCTCACCCGACACCACCGCGCCTTCATCGCCATCGACGACGACACCTCTGACACAGAGGCAATTCAGCCAGTCAAGTCCATCACGAGCGACCCACAGACCTGGCGCGAGGCGATGTCTAGCGACAAGCGTGAAGTATGGGCCAAAGCCGCCACCGACGAGTTCACCTCCATGCGCGACGACTTCAAGGTCTTCACCATCGAGGACCGAGCCACGGTGCCCGCGGGTGCGACTATCGTTGTTGAACTTTGCTCCATCTCACTTCTAGGACAATATGCGCTCACTGAAGTAGAGGTGCCTCGCCTTTTGGTGCAGTGGTATATTGTTCCTTCATAGGTTATGAGCCCAGAGCAACCAGCAGGTCATGAGTTCAATCCCCCCTGGGGTCAGGCAATTTTGCGCGCATACACTCAGCGTCCCGGCCCCCGCACTTGCCCAGCGGCGTGCCAAGCACCCTGGCGCATCGACAGTGCTCACAGTGCCCAAGCTGCACTTGCCCAAGCGACCTGATCAACATGCCCAGTTGCCTCACAGCCGCACCCACTGCCACAAGCTCTTCAGCTTCGCGCACAGGGGGGTGTTGAACTTTGCTCCATCTCACTTCTAGGACAATATGCGCTCACTGAAGTAGAGGTGCCTCGCCTTTTGGTGCAGTGGTATATTGTTCCTTCATAATCGTTACATCCAAGTTCGTCTGGAAAACGAAACGGAACGCACTCGGCGAAGTCACTGGACACAAGGCAAGGCTGGTCGCGCAAGGCAATCGGCAACGCGACGGCATCGACTTCAACGAAACGTTCGCACCGGTCGCACGCTTCTCCTCGATACGCTCACTCCTCGCGCTGGCGGCCGCCAACGGCTTGCACGTGCACCAGGCGGACATCGACAAAGCATATCTGCATGGCGACCTTGACCACGACATCTGGATGACGGCACCGCGCGGCTTCGACCTTCCCAGCGACAAGGTGCTTCGCCTGCGACGCTCCATCTACGGGCTCAAACAGGCTGGCCGAATCTGGAATCGACACATCGACGCTTCGCTTCGGGCCCTCGGTTACACGGCGACGGGCACCGACCACTGCGTATACTCTTGGCTCGATGATCGTCAATGTCCACACTACATCGCACTGTACGTCGACGACCTCCTGATGATCAGCCCGGAACTGGCCGAAATCGAACGTGTCATCTCAGGCCTGGACCAACGCTACGGAGTCAAGCGCCTCGGCCCGGCCGAGTATATCCTCGGCATCCAGATCAGGCGGTTCGACGACGGCTCTATCGCCCTATCCCAGGAACGGTACATCATGGACGTGCTCGCTCGGTTCCACTTCGACACCACGACTCGCGGCACTACAGTTCCGATGACTCCCGGCCTTTCGCTCACTGCTATCCCGGGTCAAGGCACCAAACGGATCAGGTCATGGTATCTGCAGGCTATCGGCTCGCTCCTCTACATTTCGCTCGGTACCCGCCCTGACATCGCCTTCGCCGTGTCCTACCTGGCCCGCTTCGCCAACAACCCCGGTCGTCGTCATTGGATTGCGGTCAAGCACATCCTACGCTATCTCCGGGCCACGTATCGCAACGAACTCGTGTATGCTCGCGGCCAGGCTCGCATCACGGGTGTGGTAGGCTACTCCGACGCGAACTGGGGGGCCTGCATCGACACATCGGTGTCCACCATGGGCTACGTCTTCTACATCGCTGGCTCGGCCGTGTCCTGGTCGTCCAAACGCCAGTCTCGAGTTGCCGATTCGACCACCGACGCTGAATACCTCGCCCTCTCGCATGCTGGCAAGGAAGGGATTTACCTCAGTCAGCTGCTCGAAGAGCTCCATGTACAACCTGTTGCACCGGCTCACATCTTTACTGACAACGAAGCCGCTGCTGCAGTTGCTCACGATCCTGTCCGCGTCTCTGGCACTCGGCACATACGCTTGCGTGAGCACTTCGTTCGGGACATGGTGAATCGGGGCGACATCTCTCTCTCGCATGTGGGTACCAGCGACATGGTGGCCGACATCTTCACCAAGGCTCTCGGCCCAAAGGTCTTCTCAACGCACTGCTACGCCCTCGGCCTTCGCACTCGACACCCGCGGCTTGGGTCTGCCTCGCATTCGCGTGGGGGGGGGTGTGAAGAGTCCACTCTCAGCTCGACAGGGGCGCCTCGGTCGTTGCGCGCACTTGCTAGCCCGCCCCCGGCGGTGGGGACTTAGACGCGCGCGACTGCCTCAGCGCGCCAGCGCCGGCGGATTCATGCGCGCGCCCGCTAGCCCGCCCCCTTGCGGTGGGGACTTAGGCGCGCCGGCGATTTCACCCGCGGCTGACTTAGGGATGTACATTGTCACGCGCCTGGGACTATCCCAGCGTGGCCCCCCCCCTTTCTGTTTCTTAGCTTCCTTCTCATCACTTCTGTTCGACTCTCAACCTCTCCTGACAGTAGTGGTGAACGTCTCATAGGTACGCTGAAATAGATCACTTCTGTTCGACTCTCAACCTCTCCTGACAGTAGTGGTGAACGTCTCATAGATGTCGGCCACCATGTTGCTGGTTCCCACATGCGAGAGTGAGATATCGCCCCGATTCACCATGTCCCGAACAAAGTGCTCGCGCAAGCGTATGTGTCGAGTGCCGGAGACGCGGACAGGGTCGTGGGCAACTGCGGCAGCGGCTTCATTGTCAGTAAAAATGTGAGCCGGTGCAACAGGTTGGACATGGAGCTCCTCGAGCAGCTGACTGAGGTAGATCCCTTCCTTGCCAGCATGCGAGAGGGCGAGGTATTCAGCGTCGGTGGTAGAATCGGCAACTCGAGATTGACGCTTGGACGACCAAGACACGGCGGATCCGGCAATGTAGAAGACGTAGCCCATAGTGGACACCGACGTATCGACGCAGGCCCCCCAGTTCGCGTCGGAGTAGCCAACCACGCCCGTGATGCGTGTCTCGCCGCAAGCATAAACCAGTTCGTCGCGATATGTGGCCCGGAGATAGCGGAGGATGTGCTTGACCGCGATCCAGTGACGACGTCCAGGGTTGTTGGCGAAGCGGGCCAGGTAGGACACGGCGAAGGCGATGTCGGGGCGGGTGCCGAGCGAAATGTAGAGGAGCGAGCCGATAGCCTGCAGATACCATGACCTGATCCGTTCGGTGCCTTGACCCGGGATGGCGGTGAGCGAAAGGCCGGGGGTCATCGGGACTGTAGTGCCGCGAGTCGTGGTGTCGAAGTGGAACCGAGCAAGCACGTCCATGATGTACCGTTCCTGGGACAGGGCAATAGAACCGTCTTCGAGTCGCCTGATCTGGATGCCGAGGATGTACTCTGCCGGGCCGAGGCGCTTGACGCCGTAGCGTTGTTCGAGGCCCGAGATGACACGTTCAATTTCGGCCAAGTCGGGGCTGATCATCAGGAGTGTGAGGAATCCACTCTCCGCTCGGCTCAGGACTTAGGCGCGCGGAGCGAACCGGGCGCGGACTTAGGCGCGCGGAGTGAGCCGGGCGCCCCGGCCCAGGACTTAGGCGCGCGAAGCGAGCCTGGGACTTAGGCGCGCGGAGCGAGCCTGGGCCATTGGCTCAGCCCCAGGCTCGCTGGCTGTGGACTTGGGGTGCGCGGGTCTCTTATTGTTAGCTTCCTATTCATCACTCTTGGCTATAACTACATCGCTGACGTAGTAGAGTTGATCGAATAGGTATGTTGAAATGCATTCATCACTCTTGGCTATAACTACATCGCTGACGTAGTAGAGTTGATCGAATAAGGAGGTCGTCGACGTACAGCGCGATGTAGTGTGGGCGTCGCCGATCGTCGATCCGAGAGTACACGCAGTGGTCGGTGCCCGTCGCCGTATAGCCGAGATCTCGAAGCGATGCGTCGATGTGTCGATTCCAGATTCGGCCAGCCTGTTTGAGTCCGTAGATGGAGCGTCGCAGACGAAGCACCTTGTCGGTGGGAAGGTCGAAGCCGCGCGGTGTCGTCATCCAGATGTCATGGTCAAGGTCGCCATGCAGATAGGCTTTGTCGATGTCCGCCTGGTGCACGTGCAAGCCGTTGGCGGCCGCCAGCGCGAGGAGTGAGCGTATCGAGGAGAAGCGTGCGACTGGTGCGAAGGTTTCGTTGAAGTCGATGCCGTCGCGTTGCCGATTTCCCTGCGCCACGAGCCGTGCCTTGTGGCCGGTGACTTCGCCGAGTGCATTCCGTTTCGTTTTCCAGACGAACTTGGATGTGACGATGGTCGCACCCGCTGGTACCGTGGATCGTGTGAAGAGTCCACTCTCAGCTCGACAGGGGCGCCTCGGTCGTTGCGCGCACTTGCTAGCCCGCCCCCGGCGGTGGGGACTTAGACGCGCGCGACTGCCTCAGCGCGCCAGCGCCGGCGGATTCATGCGCGCGCCCGCTAGCCCGCCCCCTTGCGGTGGGGACTTAGGCGCGCCGGCGATTTCACCCGCGGCTGACTTAGGGATGTACATTGTCACGCGCCTGGGACTATCCTGTTGAACTTCGCTCCATCTCACTTCTAGGACAATATGCGCTCACTGAAGTAGAGGTGCCTCGCCTTTTGGTGCAGTGGTATATTGTTCCTTCATAGGTTATGAGCCCAGAGCAACCAGCAGGTCATGAGTTCAATCCCCCCTGGGGTCAGGCAATTTTGCGCGCATACACTCAGCGTCCCGGCCCCCGCACTTGCCCAGCAGCGTGCCAAGCACCCTGGCGCATCGACAGTGCTCACAGTGCCCAAGCTGCACTTGCCCAAGCGACCTGATCAACATGCCCAGTTGCCTCACAGCCGCACCCACTGCCACAAGCTCTTCAGCTTCGCGCACAGGGGGGTGTTGAACTTCGCTCCATCTCACTTCTAGGACAATATGCGCTCACTGAAGTAGAGGTGCCTCGCCTTTTGGTGCAGTGGTATATTGTTCCTTCATATATCCCAGCGTGGCCCCCCCCTTTCTGTTTCTTAGCTTCCTTCTCATCACTTCTGTTCGACTCTCAACCTCTCCTGACAGTAGTGGTGAACGTCTCATAGGTTATAAGCCCACGAGCCACCAGCTGGCATGACCACGACACCACCCCTCGCGACGGGTGCCAACCCTCCGATTCCCGCCGAACAGCTCGCCGCACTTACATCGCTGCTGTCGGGTCTCACCGCTGCCGCTTCCGGCACTGCCACACCCGCCACGACGTCCGGCACCACTCGCACTGCCTTTCCAAAGCACGCACGCTTGGATGGTGCGAAGACCTTCGCGAACTGGACACGCCAACTTCGCCTGTGCCTAGCGGACGACATCCGCTCGTACGTCCTCGACGGTATCGCACCCGACGACTGGACACCTTCGCAACGCTCCGCTCGCGACGCCGTCGCTCGTGAGGTCCTTGCGAATTCGATTGACTCGGCCGAAGTCTCGGCAGTCCTCGACAAAATCCCTACCGCCGACCTGACAGCGCCGACAATCTACTCGACGCTGAAATCGCGGTACGCCCCTGACGACGCCACCCGCACGCTCGAGCTCTTCTCACGACTCTGGGGTTTCCGTCCCATGCCCGGCACGGTTGCCGAATTCGACGGGTGGATCATGGACTTCAAAGCCGTTGCGCAAGAGATCATCGACACAAAGACAACTATCAATGATGTTCTCGCCACACTCCTCCTTGCAATCGCCCACCCGTCCCTCGAGAGCTTCAAGGCGTCGTTCACCGATGAACAGCGCACGCAACGAACTCTCCCCGACATTGATTCGCTTGCCGACCGTATGCGAGTCCAACTTCGGTCAACGAACATCCCCAGCACTCAATCGGCCCTTCTTGCCTCGTCGTCGTCACGTTCTACTCGTCTCAAGTGTCTCGCCTGTCGCAGCCCTTCGCACCGAGTCGCGGAGTGCCCTACGAGGGCGCAACACCCGCCGCCAGGACCCTGTCGCTCCTGCAAGAAGAAGGATCACTGGTCTCTCGACTGCAAGAAGGCGCTCGAGGACGGCAAAAAGCCCGACACCGCTGACTCGACCGTCGACTCGCAACACCATGTCGGATGTCTCGCCACCGGTCTTCTCGCTCGTCGTCGCCAGCTTCGCAACCACTCTTTTGTCGTCGACTCGGGCGCCACTTCGCACATGGTCTCGGACAAGTCGCTGTTCACGACCTATCGCCATATCGCTCCTACGAAGATTGGTGGTATTGCAGGGGGCATCAACGCCATCGGAACGGGAAACATCGCCTTCATTGCCGCCTCGGGTCATCCGATCACGCTTACCGGCGTGCTGCACACTCCGGGCCTGTTTGTCAATCTTCTCTCGGTCTCTCGACTTTGCGACACCGACGATGTCCGTGTCGCCTTCACAAAACACGGCATCCACATTGACAAGGACGGCAACGACATCGCTGAAGGCGCACGACTCGACGAAGGGCTCTACTTGCTGGACGCTGATCATTCCAAATGTCAGCACCTTGCTCTCCTTTCTCGCTCACAGTCGTCCGTGCCCCTGCTGACTCTCCATCGCTGCCTCGGCCATCTCGCACCGTCCTCCATACAGAAGATGGTTGCCGCTGGTTTGCTGGAGGGTCTCAGGGCCGGATATAGTGACGAAGAGGTAGAGAAGTTTGTCTGCAATGCTTGCCTCAGCGCAAAGGGCCATCGTCTTCCCTTTCCCGATTCGGATTCGCACTCCTCAGAGAGACTCGGCCTTGTACACAGCGATGTGCTTTCCTTCCCCGAGCGGTCCTTGACTGGCAAACGTTACCTGGTCACATTCCTTGACGATTACTCGCGCAAACTCTGGGCCTACGCAATCGGACACAAAAGCGAAGTCTTCGGCATATTCAAAACTTGGCTAGCCGAGGTTGAACTCGAGACGGGTGCGACGCTGAAGGTCCTCCGAACCGACAACGGTGGCGAATACTGTTCGAGAGCGTTCACAGAGTTCTGCAAGACACGAGGCACCCGTCGACAATACTCTATCCCACGCACGCCTCAACAGAACGGTCGTGCAGAGCGGGTCAATCGTTCCATTGTCGAAGGCGTCCTTGCCCTCCTTGTCGACGCCCACCTACCCAAGACATTCTGGGAGGAGGCTGCAGCTTATTTCGTTTACTGCAAGAACCTGTGTCAACACGCGGCCCTGGACAAGGCAACACCAAACTCCGTCTGGCAGGGTGACCACACCACTGCCTCGGCGCTTCACCCGTTCGGCTGTACAGCTTGGCTTACGGTCGCGCCCGAACTTCGCTCCAAACTCGACCCGAAGGCGGTTCGCGTTTTTTTCACCGGCTACGACCTGGCTTCAAAAGTGTGAGGAATCCACTCTCCGCTCGGCTCAGGACTTAGGCGCGCGGAGCGAACCGGGCGCGGACTTAGGCGCGCGGAGTGAGCCGGTCGCCCCGGCCCAGGACTTAGGCGCGCGAAGCGAGCCTGGGACTTAGGCGCGCGGAGCGAGCCTGGGCCATTGGCTCAGCCCCAGGCTCGCTGGCTGTGGACTTGGGGCGCGCGGGTCTCTTATTGTTAGCTTCCTATTCATCACTCTTGGCTATAACTACATCGCTGACGTAGTAGAGTTGATCGAATAGGTATGTTGAAATGCATTTATCACTCTTGGCTATAACTACATCGCTGACGTAGTAGAGTTGATCGAATAGGTTATAAGCCCACGAGCTACCAGCCCCGCCGCTTGAGGCTTTTTCGCTCGAGCCCAGCCACTCGAGCCGCACACGTCCATCGCACCATCACATCATGGACAGCTCTCCCGCCTCGCCTTTGGCCCCCAGGGATCCCAGCTCCCCTGAATCTTCGATCGGCGAACAAATCGCCACTCTACAGGCCCAGCTTGCCGCTCTGCAGGCCTCGCAACCCGCCGCCGCCGCAGCCGCCGCACCCCCGGCCGTCACCGTCGTGCCGGGGAACGCCGCCACCGCATCCAAGGTCGTGTTTCCCAAGCACGCTCGTCTGGACGGCCCCAAGTCGTTCACCAACTGGTTGCGTCAACTCCGTCTTGCACTCCCGAACCAGGTTCGTGGTTACGTTCTCGACGGTGTCGTTCCCCCGACCTGGACCGCCGACCAGCTTGCCGCACGTGACGACGCCGCCCGGGAAATCATCGTTGGCTCTATCGACTCCGCCGACGTATCGGCCACCCTCGACGCCATCCCCAGCGACGACCTGTCGGCACCGCGCATCTTTGCCGCTCTCAAGGCTCGTTTTGCACCGGACGACGCTACACGCACTCTCGAGTTGTTCGCTCGCCTTTGGGACTTCAGGAAGATGCCTGCCTCCGTCGAGGCCTACGACACTTGGCTACGCGAGTACATGTCGATTGCTCAGGAAATACGCGACGCCAAAACATCGCTCAACGACGTGCTCGCCACCCACGTGCTCGCCATGGTCCCGTCTTGCCTCGACAGCTTCCGACTCACGTTCACGGACGAGCAGCGAAACCGACGCGACCTTCCCGAACTCACGACGCTTACGGACCGCATTCGCATCCAGCTTCGTTCGGCAGGACTCTCGACCTCGCATTCGGCCATGCTTGCCACCAGCTCCCCCTGCCCCGCCTGCCGCGCTCCCGGTCACCGCCTGCGCGACTGCACTTCACGTGCGAAGCACCCGCCCACCGGCCCCTGCCGCCGATGCCACAAGAAAGGTCACTGGGCACTCGACTGCAAGAACCGGGGTGAACAGGCACGTAGCAGCGACGACACCCAGGACGACACGTCTTCCTCCGCGGCCTCGCAACCGAACGTCGGCTATTTCGCCTCCTGCCTCTTCGCTCGTCGCCAACTCCCAACTGACGCCTTTGTAGTCGATTCGGGTGCCACGACACACATGGTCGCCGACCGATCTCTATTCACGACTTATCGTCAGACGGCACACACCAAGATCGGCGGCATCGCGGGCGGCATCACGGCTATCGGCATGGGGGACGTGGCATTCGTCGCCAAGACTGGACACCCGATCACGCTCCGTGGTGTTCTTCACACGCCTGGCCTACACGTCAACCTCCTCTCTGTCTCTCGCCTCTGCGACACCGACCGCGTTCGTCTCGCCTTCACCAGCGACGGCATCGACATCGCCAAGGACGGCCGGGCCATTGCTCACGGTACCAGGGTCAACGACGGTCTTTACCTTTTGGACGCGGATCACACCAAGTGTCAGCATCTTGCCTTCCTCTCACGCTCTGAGTCTCCCGTGCCCCTGCTTACCCTACACCGCTGCCTCGGCCATCTTGCCCCATCCTCTATACAGAAGATGATTGCTGCAGGTTTGCTGGACGGGTTTGGGGCCGGGTACAGTGACAAAGACGTAGAGGAGTTTGTTTGCAATGCTTGCCTTGGTTCCAAAGGTCACCGCCTTCCCTTTCCCGACTCTGAGTCGCATTCCGCCGAGAGACTTGGCCTCGTGCACAGCGACGTCCTGTCGTTCCCCACTCCGTCCTTGACCGGGAAGCGCTACCTTGTCACGTTTCTAGACGACCACTCTCGCAAACTCTGGGCATATGCGATCGATCACAAAAGCGATGTTTTCCCGACCTTCCAGACTTGGCTCGCCGAAGTGGAGTTAGAGACGAACGCGCGGTTGAGGATCCTTCGAACCGACAATGGCGGGGAGTACCGATCAAACGCATTCACGGAGTTCTGCAAATCCAAGGGCATTCGTCGTCAATACTCTATCCCTTACACGCCTCAACAAAACGGTCGCGCCGAACGTGTCAACCTCTCCATCGTCGAGGGCGTCCTCGCTCTCCTTGCGGACGCCCGTCTGCCGGCCACCTTTTGGGATGAAGCGGCTGCGTATTTCGTTTATTGCAAAAACAGGTGCTCACACTCAGCTTTGGCCAAACAGACTCCAGAATCCGTTTGGAACGGCCAACGCACCACCGCCACCGCCCTCCACCCGTTCGGCTGCACAGCCTGGCTCACGGTCGCCCCGGACCTTCGCAGCAAGCTCGACCCCAAGGCCGCGCGCGTGATCTTCACAGGTTACGACCTCGCCTCCAAAGCTTTCCGTTTCTTTGACCATTCCATCAACAAGATTGTACTTGGTCGCAATGCCACCTTCCTCGACGACGACTTCCCCGGCCTGCCAGTCACCACGCCCGTCGATGCAGACGACACCGACCGTCAGTTCGTCGTTCCCGCCGACACGCCCGCCCCTGCCGTCAAGACGAGGACCCCACTAGTAAGGTCGGCGCACATGGACGTCTCATCCTCCCTTGATGATTCTGCCATGAGCGCCGTTGACGTGGCCCCAGGGTACACTGGCGGAACCTTACTTAATTCCACAGATACCGAATCGTCCTCGTCACCGTCTCCTGAGCCGTCCTCGTCACCGTCGCCCACAAACCCTTTGTCACCGTCGCCTGCGCTGTCACCGTCGTTGGCAGCGTCATCGTCACCCTCGGTCTCACCGACCGACTCTGACTACTCCGCCGACCCTCTGGACCTCATCGGCTCACAGACCCCGACTCGCCTTGGCCCACCGGACGTGCACCGCCCAGACTTCAGCACGTACCGTGAGCCCGCATCGGCTGAGGAGTCGCCCGACGAACTCGACATCATTGGGCGTCACTCGCGCGATGAATCGCCGGATGAAATCGATTTCCTCACCCAACACCACCGCGCCTTCATCGCCACAGACGACGACGACCCCACCCTCGACGCCATCGAGCCCGTCAAATCGATCACTAGCGACCCCCAGACCTGGCGCGAAGCAATGTCCAGCGACGAGCACAACATCTGGGCTGAGGCCGCCGCCGCCGAGTTCACCGCCATGCGCGACGACTTCAAGGTGTTCACCATCGAGCCTCGCTCATCTGTACCGCCGGGCGCCACCATCGTCACCTCCAAATTCGTCTGGAAGACCAAGCGCAACGCAAGCGGTGAAGTCACGGGGCGGAAGGCACGTCTTGTAGCGCAGGGTAACCGACAGCGCGACGGCATCGACTTCTCAGAAACCTTCGCACCCGTCGCCCGTTTCTCCTCCATTCGCTGCCTCCTGGCTCTTGCCGCTGCCAATGGCTACCACGTTCATCAGGCCGACATCGACAAGGCTTACCTCCACGGCGAGCTCGATCATGATATCTGGATGACGACACCACGCGGTTTCGACTTCCCGAGCGATAAGGTTCTCCGGCTGCGACGCTCAATCTACGGTCTCAAGCAGGCCGGTCGCATCTGGAATCGTCACATTGACACATCACTCAGGAATCTGGGGTACAAGGCAACAGGCACTGATCACTGCATTTACTCTCGCATTGACGATCAGCAGCGGCCTCACTATATCGCCTTGTATGTCGACGACCTCCTCATTGTCAGTCCAGCCCTCGACGAGATCGAACGTGTCATCTCCGGCCTTGAACAGCGGTACGGCGTCAAACGACTCGGCCCCGCGGAGTACATCCTCGGAATCCAAATACGCCGCCTGGACGACGGTTCCATTGCTCTATCCCAGGAGCGCTACATCATGGACGTGCTGGCCCGTTTCCACTTCGACACCACGACACGCGGCACTACGGTGCCGATGACGCCCGGCCTCTCGCTCACGGCAATTCCGGGTCAGGGAACGGAGCGCATTCGTTCGTGGTACCTACAGGCCATCGGCTCCCTCCTCTACATCTCCCTTGGCACTCGACCCGACATTGCCTTCGCCGTCTCGTACCTGTCCCGGTTCGCCAACAACCCCGGCCGCCGCCATTGGATTGCCGTCAAACACGTCCTTCGCTACCTTCGCGCCACGTACCGCGATGAGCTTCTCTATGCCCGCGGCCCAGCAAAAGTCACGGGTGTGGTTGGTTATTCTGATGCGAACTGGGGCGCCTGCGTCGACACATCCATTTCAACGATGGGCTACGTATTTTACTTGGCAGGCGCCGCTGTCTCTTGGTCGTCGAAGCGTCAGACTCGGGTAGCGGATTCCACCACTGATGCCGAGTACCTGGCCTTGTCGCACGCGGGTAAGGAAGCGATCTACCTTAACCAACTCCTCTCCGAGCTCCACGTTTGCCCAATCGCTGCAGCTCACATCTTCACCGACAACGAGGCCGCGGCCGCCGTCGCTCACGACCCCGTTCGCACCTCCGGCACCCGGCACATTCGCCTCCGCGAGCATTTTGTCCGTGACATGGTCAATCGAGGTGATATCTCTCTCTCACACGTTGGCACAGCAGACATGGTTGCGGACGTATTCACCAAAGCGCTAGGCCCCAAGATTTTTGGTACACATTGCTATGCTCTAGGCCTCCGGACGCGACATCCACGGCTCAAGTCTACCTCGCGTTCGCGTGGGGGGGGGTGTGAGGAATCCACTCTCCGCTCGGCTCAGGACTTAGGCGCGCGGAGCGAACCGGGCGCGGACTTAGGCGCGCGGAGTGAGCCGGGCGCCCCGGCCCAGGACTTAGGCGCGCGAAGCGAGCCTGGGACTTAGGCGCGCGGAGCGAGCCTGGGCCATTGGCTCAGCCCCAGGCTCGCTGGCTGTGGACTTGGGGCGCGCGGGTCTCTTATTGTTAGCTTCCTATTCATCACTCTTGGCTATAACTACATCGCTGACGTAGTAGAGTATTCGATCAACTCTACTACGTCAGCGATGTAGTTATAGCCAAGAGTGATCAATGCATTTCAACATACCTATTCGATCAACTCTACTACGTCAGCGATGTAGTTATAGCCAAGAGTGATGAATAGGAAGCTAACAATAAGAGACCCGCGCGCCCCAAGTCCACAGCCAGCGAGCCTGGGGCTGAGCCAATGGCCCAGGCTCGCTCCGCGCGCCTAAGTCCCAGGCTCGCTTCGCGCGCCTAAGTCCTGGGCCGGGGCGCCCGGCTCACTCCGCGCGCCTAAGTCCGCGCCCGGTTCGCTCCGCGCGCCTAAGTCCTGAGCCGAGCGGAGAGTGGATTCCTCACAGTAGAGTTGATCGAATAGGTATGTTGAAATGCATTCATCACTCTTGGCTATAACTACATCGCTGACGTAGTAGAGTTGATCGAATATGAGAGGTATCCGAGCAGGTCGCAACGCGGTCTTGGGCAGCAACGCTTTCGCCTTGAGCAACTGACCCACGCGCGACCACACGTGCTCGTGCTGTAGGGCGGGTTCCTTAGAGTGCTGCCAGAACCCGCGTCGATGACCAACCAGAGCCCATCCCTTCCCTTCGTCCCTCCAGTACAGGTCCGCGATCTGCGCAAACTTCGCCACCGCGTCCGCATCGTCATATGCGTGCTGGGCACCTTCAGCATAGAGTGAAGGGAGGCGAGGCGGAAGCGAGAGCAATTCGGGAAGCGTAAGGAGTTCGGACTTGATGGTTGGAACTGTGACCCTGGCCGCTGCAACGACTGCCCCCCAGCGTGTCGAGTCGCGATACAGCTTCTCGACCCGAGCCGTGCTGCTGAAGAACCTCCACGGACTGAAATCGCGGGTCGCAGCGACGAGGCACCTCCAGCTCTCGCGAGCTAGGGGCGCCCAGATCGCCTCGTCCGAGCCCGCCACAGCATCCCAAAATCGAAGCGCCACCGAATGAACGATGTCGCCAATCGAAATCAAACCCAAGCCACCGTCCTCCCGAGCCTGGAACACGAAATCGCGAGCGACGGTATTTCGCCCTGCTCCTCCCCAGACAAAGTCCGTAAGTGCCGTCTCCGCCGCCTTAATGAACCATTGAGGCGGTATGTCGAAGGACAGCACGTGGAGGACCGTCGAGATGATGTGAGCGTTGGCATAGAAAACCTTCCCACTCGGCGAAAGTGTCCGGTCTCGAGCGGCGCGGGCCTTGGCCTTGATCCTGTCAAGAACATGGGTCCAAAACAGTTTCGAGTCACCGTGGCGAAAGAAGGCATAGCCGCACCACTTGAAGCTCTCCCCCTCCTGCACCGTTGGCAGCGCCTGCGCAGTCTCGTCCCGAAGCCAGTTTGGTCCGAGTGGTAGCACCAGCGTCTTGTCCGTGTTGGTCTTCCCGTTGGTAGCCTCGTACCACGTCTGCGACAGCGTTTGCAGCTTCGACAATGCCGCCGGTGACTCCACCACCACCACAGCATCGTCGGCAAACGCCAGATGCGTAAGCTGCGCACGCGGCCCCCCTGGCCACACCTTCTGCAGGTCGAGCGCGATCCCGCGCCGAACGAGGGCGTCGAGGAAGGGCTGGAATGTGATGTTCCAAACCGGGCACGAGAGGGGATCCCCCTGACCGAGACCACACAGCAACCGCACCAAGTCCGTGGGGAACCCATTGACAAGGTAGCGCACCCCCAGAGTCTCGGGATCGTAGAGAGCGCGCAGCAGCGAGATGAAACGCTCACCGAACCCAAAGGCCTCAAAGACCTCGAAGATCCAGGCGTGATCGACCTGATCGTACGCGCTCTGCTGATCCAAAGACAAGAGGGCGCCCTCGGGGAAAACATCAGTGCCTAGCGACTTGAGTTTTTCGAGAAGGAGAGTGAGATGACTTCCCGCGTCCGCTGAACGTCTTGATGGCATGAAACCGTGTTGCGCCGGCGGTAAAAGCTCGCCGAGCACCCCATTGAGTCGCGCCACCAAGACCTTGCTGAGGACCTTGTAGGTCGTCTCGCGCAATGTGATCGGTCGGTATGCCCCCAGTGATTTCAGATTGGCCCCCGGTTTATTCTTGGGCAAGAGCCGCACCAGCCCCTCTGCCAAGGACGCCGTCATTTTGCCGCCCTCCCAAATCGAGTTGAACAAGTCCAACAGCTTGGGAGCAAAGTAGGTTGGCAGCGCCTTGAAGAGCTCGTACGGAATGCCCGAGGGCCCCGGTGATCGCCCCGAATCCGTCTTCTTCAACGCCGCTTCAACCTCGAGGAGGGTGAAGGGCTCGTCAAGCGCCACTCTCGCTTGACGAGGCAGCCGACGACCGAACGTAGGGTCCGAGCGGTCGTCATCGTAGCATTTCGCTGCGCGAATAGGGTCGAGCAGGGACCGGCGTGCGTTCGTCGGGTCGCCACGAGCTGGGTCCGGCGTGAAGAGCGACTGCGCGTGCCGTGAAGCAATACCCAGCGCCTCCTGCATGTCAACGGTCTCGGTGCCATCCACATCCTCCAGCGAGACGATGCTCGTCTGGCGACTCCGGCGGTTGAGGCGCGTGCGAATGCTTGCCGATTGACCTTCCCTCGAGTCGACTGACGGCACATGCGCACGAATGCGCAGCCACTGAGCCTCCTTTACCGCCAACTGGTCCAACCGCGACTTGGCAAGAGCATACGCATCGCGCTCGGCCTCATTCATGTGCTCACCGCGTGCCTCCAAAGCCTCCATGACGGATTGGCTCTCGGCCCGCAGTCGGCGCATGTCGGCACGAGTCGAGCGGTATCGTGCATGGCCAGCGACTGCAACCGCCCGCAGAGCGGCGTCATAGACGTCGCCGAGCGGAGCGGTCCCCTCGAGCCTTCGATAGACCTCGTCGACGACCCCGGGAATCGATGCGACAAAGTCTTGATCGTCAAAGACCATTGGGTTGAGCCTCGAAATGAAATCGCTCGTGGAGGGAAGAGAAAGGGGGGGTTCGGCATCAGCGTTCGATGTAGGCAAAGCAAAAGTCGCAACTACAGGTCTGTGGTCCGAACAGGGCGCATCGAAGAGCGTAGAAGCGCTCAACAACCGGTTCGCCCAACTGCATTGGACAAGAATATAGTCGATCCGCGACCACGAGCAAATCTTTCGCTCTTCCCCTCTACCACGGTAGTGAGGACGAGTGAATGCAGGGGTGCAAGAATGGACATGTCGGACCGTGTCGAGTGCCTTGAACGCGATCTTTGACAGCAAGGTCTGCCAGTGCGATACAGGAGTCCAAGCGCGATCGGTGATGGACACTCGGTCGACCGATACATCCGGACAATCGTTGAGATCGCCGGCCAAGATCCGAAGAGTCTTGGGTCTCGGGGCGTTGAAGTGCAGAAGCCCGAAAAAGTCGCGACGATCGTCCTCCTGCACCGGCGCGTACATGTTGATGATCTCGACATCGAGCTCCTCAAGACGAAACACCGAGCGCAGAATCCGACCGTCGAAACGAGGAGCTCCTGCAAAGACGACCGGGGTAGAGGAAAGGAGATGGCCCGCCAAAGGTGAGCCATCGGGTATGAGGGTAAGGACATGAGGAGTGAAACGAATACAAGCCCCCGGCCAAGCACTCTCGAAGCCTTCGCGCGACGCGTTGTAGCTGAGGTGGTGCTCTTGCAGGAGGATGGCCGCAGGGGCCGGCCGAAGGGTTTTGAGATAACGGATGATTTTGACTTGGTTGACTGCGTTCTTCATCGATCGGACGTTGAACGTCAACACGGTGAGTGACTCAATCATGATTAAATCAGTTCAGCGCCGCCCCCCTCGAATTCGGTCACCTCGGACCTGTGACCCCCTGAACTGTTGCCCCCTGAGCCATCACCCCCTGATGCACCGAGGATCATGGCGGATCCCGCCCGGGTGACACGTCGGTTGCCGGGTGCCGAGCTCGAACGAAGGCGTCGAGGACTCGTCGAGGCTATCGAGGTTGTCGAGGTTGCCGATGATCCCGACGTGCCACCGGACAAAGGTGAAGGAGAGGTCGGGGTCGAAACGGGCGCCGCCGTCGTCGTCTGCGTCTCCTTTGTTGAGCCCAGGGTCGCACGCGTCGACGTCTCTTCCCCAGTGTCGCCGCCCTCCGGTTCGGTCGAAACGACCGACTCGTCGTCGCCGTCGTTCGCGTCGTCCTTGTTGGCGGTTACTGCACCTGCGGGGTTAGCACGAGGTCCCAGCTGGATCATGTTCGCGCCAGAGACACGAGAGTTCAATGCGGCAGGCCCACCGTGCTTCCCATTCTTTCCAGCAACTCGGAAGCCGGTGGTCGAAGTCGAAGTCGAGGTCGAGGCCCCCGGAACAGGGGCGGCGGTGGCCGGAGTCGAAACCGGCTTCCTGCAAGCGCCCCACTGGTGTCCGGCGCGATCGCACACCGCGCAGTAGTGCGTCTCGAATTCGTGTCGCAAGCCGTACTTGGCGCCCAGGATCTCGATCTCTTGTGGCAAAGCGGCGTTGAGCGCGGCCTTCTGCGTCTCGATGGAGCCTTGGAAAAGATCAGCATGTAAGCGAAGGTACGCGCAGTGGAACCCGTCTTCGGTCATGGCCATCGGATCGCCATTCGGATCGACCGCGAGGCCCCGCTGTAATTGCATCAGGGTATAACCTTGCGTGCGACCTGCGCGGCCGAACGAAAGGGTGATAGCATCATCGAGAGATTTTCGGAGCACGGAAGCGGGGATCGCGCTGGAGGAGGAGGGCAAGGTGAATCGCACCTGCACGACGTGGTTAAGGGGAGAGGCGCTGGGGAGCTCGGTAACCATCTCCTTGCCGTGGTAGGGGAATGGGCCCGCTGAAGCGGCTTCAAGACAAGCTTGCTCGGATTCGAATACAAGCTCGTACATGTGACGAGCGATCGGGAACCTCTTCGTGGCTTTCGTCACAATCGGGTTCAGCTTCACGCATTTCGAGAAAAGCTTCTCGACCTCGGGGTCAAGCACGACGCCCTCGGGCCGCGCGAACATGAACGGCGTCTCGGCCAATCCAAAGTGCTTGCGCAGCGCGGTCTGTACAGGGCCTCTGGGTGATCCAGGACCATCCATAATGACTCGAATCACATTGGAGGCCGGGGCTGCGTCGTTTCGCACCGCTCTTTGGGCGGCTCGTGCGAGCGCTGGCGCCTGCGAAGGCGGGGTCGAGGCGTCGTGCATCAGGACCATCAGTCGGCGGGTCGACTTGCTGGAGGGAACAATCCCGAGCACTTGGAAGGTCTTCTTCATCAGCTTCTCATGGTCCAACCGGACCTGAGTTGCCTCGGGCGACCAAGCTGGAGGATTCGCGGTTCCTCCAGTGACCGCTTCACGCGTTTGCGTGTTGAGTGATGAATCACTCGCGCCATTACCACCCAATAGGTCCTCGGGCGGGGGCGCATCGGCGCCGGGCGGATCCGGCATCGCGTGTTTGTGTTGACCTGTAAAGCTTAACGGGCTTGGAGGTCAACTACTCACTCTACACCACAGAAACTCACTTGTGTGTGTGTGTGTGTGTGTGTGTGTGTATGTGTGTGTGTGTGGTAGAAATGCCAAAGTCTCTTTCGAAAAGTATATATAAAGCAAGTGCTCTCAAATCGTCTCATAGTTCTCAGTAGTATAGAGGTAGAATCCACGCCTGTCACGCGTGTGGCCCGGGTTCGATTCCCGGCTGGGAAGTTTTTTTTTTTGTCAAATTTCGGTTCATCCCAGCACTTGCCGGACCCTGACCGAAGCTGTAATGTAATGTAATGTTCCTACTTCCGATCTGAAATCATAAGCTCTGTGGCAACTATTGTATTTTTTGGTCATTTTAGCCGGGCTTGATTCGGCAGAAACCTGAAAGGCACGAGATCGCTCTCGAGCCTCACTGATTCTGAATCCAAACAGAAAGGATCAAATGGTGTAATTCACAGGCGAAGAAAGACTACTAAAAGGACTAAGGTCAAGAGGCGCCTGTGGCGCCGCGCGCAAGTAAAGCTTAGGCCGCTGAGGTTGGCTTGAGTTGTCGTGAGGCGTAAGCGGAGCGGCGCCTTACCAAACCCTTTGGCACTATGGCCCAATCCCAAAGTTTGGCAGTGTAAGGCCCAGTCATGGGGCCTTGCAAGTAAAGGATACAAGTATGTATTCCAAAGAATAAACCAATCAGAAGGGAAGAGAGGGTCTACTTCCGGACAAGGCTTAAGGCCAGATGCGCGTCAGGCCTTGATTCTGTCAGGAGCGGTTCCAAGCTTTACCACTAGCCTACGCTGACCTCAAAAAGGTACAATATCCACTCTGAAAGGAGTGGACAGCTTGGTACTATGTATGGCCAACCCCCAGTGAAGCGAGCTAGGAATTGCAGGATTACTGATTCATGACAGGCCTTGAGTAACTACGGAATATTACAGGCAGGGTGCATAGCAACCCCCCGCCCCCCCCCTGAAATGGGATGATCCCGGGATCGGGCCCCCGATTTGAAATTGGTGCAGCGATTTGGGACGAAATTGGCGCAGCGATATGAAATTGAGATCTGTGCGCTGATTTGAAATACATTTCAAATCCTTGCGGGCTTGATCCCAAATGTGTTTCAAATCCTTTTGGGACCAAACCATGCCCAACGGTCAATAGGGGCATAGAACTCGTGTGAGAGGGCCGATTGCGCAAGGCCCCATGCGGTGGTGCATCGCACCATCAGGCCTGCAATCTGCTCTTTGAAAGGCACGAGATCGCTCTCGAGCCTCACTGATTCCGAGTCCAAACTGAAAGGATCAAATGGTGTAATTCGCAGGCGAAGAAAGACTACTAAAAGGACTAAGGTCAAGAGACGCGGCGGCGCCGCGCGCGAGGGCAAGCGTGAGGCCGGTTGGCTCGAGGTCGTCGAGGCGTAAGCGGAGCGGCGCCTTACAGTTGCGCAGGTGTACCAAGCACCAAGAGCGCTCGCTGCCAACGAGCCTTTTCAAAATGAAATGGACTCGAATAGGATCTCATCTTTGTCTGTTCATTTGTCATTTGATGGATTGAATAATCTACATCTACATGAAAAAAATGCTTGACAAAATAAGTTTCTCAGCTGTGCGCTACAAATACCTAGACATCTCTGGAAAAGTCGGAGGAAATGCAGTTAAGCACACTGGCTATGCCAGTAGTGTAGGAATCATTGACCCTGAATCAGAATCAATCATGCCCACCAAATCCCCCTTGGGTGATTTACAGAGACACAAGTCAAGCCTTGGATTCCTGAATTGACGCCCGGAGCTCTTTGAGTGCCATTTCGGTGATTGGTTCCAAAGAATCTGACAAAAATTGGTGGTGGCGAACCCTGTGAATCTATCGATCGACTAGGAAAAGAAGATATTTCTCGGCGAGAGAGCTTCCAGATTGAAAGGAAGAAGAGAAGACGTAGCTCGACAAGTCGGCGTTCCGAGCGAGAGACAATCGCAAATGTAAGGGGATGCCTTACAGGAACAGCCCCATAAGTCGCCTCTGAGTAGCTAGAACTATCAAGTTCTGGTTACGTCTTGCTTTTTGCCTAGCGGTCAAGAACGATTATGCACATCAGAGGCGCCACCGACCTTACAGCAAATGCAGACACTAACGCGCTCCAAACGCAAACAGCGAAATTGTTACCCGCGCCGCGCAGCTGGGCCAGCTATATGTGCCCTGCGCCTCCAGCCTCCCGCTACCCTGGTCTGCGCTTCAAAGTTCGACCGAAGGAAGGAAAATGTCCAAAAATGAGGTGAGCCTCGACCCATTTTGAGCCAAAAATGTCCAAATTTGCGGGCTGCCTAGCCGAATTTCCGGTCCCCAGACTGTGCAAATTTGCGGGCCGCCTCTGGCTGGGCTTTCGGGGGTCCTGCGCCTCTCTCCCTCTTCTCTATCGTTTCATCCTGTTTCATCTCATCATTCAGACTGCTGAGATTCGCTAGAGAACATGTCGTTCGGCTACGCTCGCGCCCTCGCGCTGCATCCGCTCCGCCTCACAACTTCTTGGCCCGGGAGTTCATTGCGACACCAACCTACCTCGCAACCTCTCCGAAATGATCCGGCTCGTGCCGTCACACGAATCCCCAGCGACCTCCGGTCCCAACTTAACACGGATCACCTTGCGGATCACCTTGCACGAGTGTATGAACCCAAATTGAACCGGACCAACTATGCGACAACATTTTCGGTACCAAGCTACGGGCAGGCCGTTTTGGCGAAACAGAGCATAGCTTCTTTGCTGTACCACGTGTTGTGTGCTTTCACCTCTGGAAATCGTCTGTTCAAATCTCCGCTATTTGAATTTCCTCCTTCGTGAAATCAATGGGTTGCCGCTTGTAAAGTCTAATCTTCGGAGTTTGAAAGTTTGAAATGCTCGTTCGGTCATTTCAGGTCTTTGAGTGAGGCTACAGACATGCGCAAGTTGCTTTTACAAGCTAAAAGGTGGATGTAAACAATAAGAGACATTCAAACAATGCTCGGAGAGCAAGCTCTGTGATATACATGCTGGAAGAGAGGCTCAGGGGGCACTTGAAAAGCGGGCAAGCCTTTCCAGCAAAGACACCATTTGCGCAGGACTGTGGGATCATTATGTCAAATCAAGACTAATCAGCTTGTTGTATATCCTGAACAGCATCAGGCCGCATAAGCATACCTTTCCAATACAGCATTTGCCATTGTCATGCGAGCTCCTTGACTTTCCTTTGCCTCAATCGCGATCATAAACATCGAAGCAGGGTCAAGGCGGCTGGTGCGCGGTTCCAGAAGCTCCCCATCACTAGACCGTGCTTGATCTCCCAAGGAAGGGAAGAGCAGAAGCGACTCGGGGGCTGGGATGAGCGGAGGGCCGCTTGAAGGGGTTGAGGTGCTGAAGATCCGAGCCATGGAGTGGAACTGATTTGCGGAAGAGTCACAAATCAGTCCCACCAGCAAAATAGAAGAGAGGCCGGACTGGTCCCACTCACCATGTCTTCATCGGTCTTGTCATCTCCGGCGCACATGCAGAACTCGGTGTCGGCATACTGGTATAGGAGGCGCTGGACGATCTCTCCTTTGTTTGTGTGCGCCGGTCGAACTTCCACATTCTTCTTGCCCTGTAGTTTGATGGTGCCGGGCTTTCAGAGAGCTGCCAAGACCAGTATTTGAAGTATGTGAAATGCACTCACCACAAGCACATCAATAGGCAAACTCTCTTGCATGCTCTCAAGCATTGCCTGACATTCCTTGGCTGAAGACATGCCAGTACAGCAGCAACATGAGTCAGTAATGATTTGTATCCGTCGAATGAAGATAGGAACGTACCTTGGAAGAGCCCAAACACCGGATCAGCATTGCGGTAGTGAAATGTTACACTGCTTGCCTTCTTCTCCACAAACGAGCCTTGTGTGCGAGCCTCATAATCTGTAAAAATAAAAATAAAAACTACACATGAGAAGACTGAGATACGAACCCCACCAGGAGAGTGCTGACACCACTAACATCGGAAGATTCGCAGTACGTCCCGCTTCCAGTCCATGTCCAGATGCTCGGTCAAACTCGTCCACTTCTTCGCTCCTGGTGCTCGGAAGAAGCAACCGTGCTCCGCCGACATGCCCAGATTCTGGATGTGGCCTAGATGCTGCTCGAGAAAGTCGCCGTCACGACCTGAAATAATGAAGACGACGTTGTCCGGATCGGCGGTAAGGATCGGCAGCGACTTAAGCAAGCTTTGAGAGGGGACCGCGTCGGACGGATTCTTGACGATGGGCGTAAGGGTCCCATCTGCAAGCGTATAAGAGCGCTACGATCAATCTCAAAGGCCCAGGGGCGAACCCACACGCACTACAGCAGCACTACACTTACCATAGTCAAAGAGCAGAAGACGCTTCTTCGCACTTTGGAACCGCAAGACGAGGTGATCGACGTCCAGCGGAGGTGTATTCTGCGAAGCCTGTTCTCCTTGCAATGACTCGAGCAGCTTCAGGATATTTGTGTGGGCCCAGACCGCGGCTGTTTGACTCGATACGGTCGCATGCAGGGCCGCATGGCGCAGCTTCTTTTCGGCGGTCGACATCGTGAGGCAAGACTCGATCGCATGCGCGACACCCTACGACGGAAGGGGAAAGATGAGTCTTCTAAAAACGCACCATATGGCCGCAAGTGGATCCCGGAACTCACGCCAAGGTCCCATGGGTTCACTTTGATCGCTTTGTTGAGTTGCGATGACACCCCCGTGAACTCGGAGACGATTAATTGTCCTTTGGCCTCGGCTTGACATAGAATGTACTCCATGCTCGTGGTGTTCATGCCGTCTCGAATCGACGTGACCAGGGCAACGTCGGCCACGGTGAGAAGTGCAAAGTACTCCTGCACACATGGGAGAGAGTCGATCAATCAGTGACCGCGGCGAGCCAGATGAGCCCACCGCCATGCCTCGTGACTGTCTTGACTCACATCTCGCTCGATGGTCTGGTGGTAATGATGCACGGGCTGGAATTCGAGCGACCCATGAGCACCATTGATTTGATCGACAAGCTCGGATACTTTCGTTGCAAGCGAAGGAGAGTCGCCGGGGCTGGGCGACGTCACTTGTATGAGCACAACCTTGTGCGCCCATTCCGGGTAAGTTTGAAGGAAGCGCTCGAAAGCTCGCAGCTGTGGCGACCGTCGACCCGGAAGTCAGAATCTTCGTTAAACACGCTTGCTGATTCCATGGGCTGACATACTTTTGGCAGAACACCCTTGGTGGGGTCAAGCTTGTCGCGGCCGACGATAATCTTCTTCCCGGCGTAAATTCGACGTAGCACCTCGGCTTTTGGCGCGACGCCGGGTGCATGTCTGCCGGATGATACAGCCAAAGAGTTAACATCGCAATCAGTCGCTTGGCAAGAGCTCTCGACGACGCAACAAGGTCCGTACCGGTCAATTTCAACGTTCTCGACATCGATGCCGATCGGGCAATGCGCTATTCGCGTGATGCTGCCCTTTGCATCGACCCCACCGGATCCGGCCTCATAGCCCATGACGCGCACGCACGACGAAAGGAAGTGGCGAGCATAAGAGTGGGTCTGGAAGCAGATGAGGTTGCAGCCGAGCATTCCGTCGAGAAGTGATTCGCGGCCTGGTGCGAGCGAGTATCACGAAGCGACATGTCAGTGCACAATCTCATTGGTAGGACCACGATCCAGAACATCGATGCGCAACGCACGAGGAAGGTTCCGAAAGTATTCCGAAGAAGGAAATGGGCAATGCAGGAAAAGGGAAATATAAGGCGACGCGTTGGGCAGCAACTCGCGAAGCATTTGCGGGACGAGCAACAGGTGGTAGTCATGCACCCAGATCTACGGCGCAAACTAAGTCAGTTCGGAAAGGTCTCGGCGGCGACAACGGATGAACGAGGCGCGGGTCAACTCACCAAGTCCCCAGGCACATACGTCTCGGCGACTTTGCGAGCGTAGACGAGATTTGTTTCGTAATAGCTCTGCCACGCCGCATCCTCAGTCTTCTTGTCGAGCGTATCAGGCAGGGCGAGGTAGTGAAAGATTGGCCACAATTCGGTCTTGCAGTAGCCTTCGTAAAAGTCTGAACTCGTGTGCGAACGAGCCACTCAGAGTGGGTCAGTCGCTTCGATATTCTCAACGCGTCCAACACACGAAAGGAGGATCACGCACCAGAGTGGACTTTGTCATCGAGCCAAACGGGCACGCATCCGATTGCGGCGTTCGACGTGCCACCTATATTGCGCAGACCACGCTCGAGGTCCTTCTTTTCCGTCTCACCGAGCTCAGCCTGCCTCAGAGCCTCCCCGTCGGCTTTGATCAAGTCATCGGGTCGACCAACAACAACAAGAGGCCCATCGGTCAGGCTTTTAAGCCCCGAGTTGAGTGCAGCGTGGCCGCGACGAGGATGTAAGACCCAACGGTGCCTCTGCTGCTGCGGCTCAAGGATGTCCAGGGCGGCTGCGTGTAGAGAATCGGGAGATGGCGCGCGCGACGGAGGGCAAGGCGGGTGGAAAGATGGACGCAGTGACTTGGCGGGCTCGGGGAAGTTGCTCGGCGGTGTCTTGTGGCGTGCAGTAGGTGGCGAGTGAAGAGCGCGAGTGCGAAGCAAAGGATCGCCCGAGCGCATTTCGAGAGGCGTCTGAGCGCCCGAGGCGAGCAGGGGTTCGTCCTTGTCGTCGGCAATGATGTGTGCGTCGAATGAGGTCGAATGGGACTTGGTGGGGTGGAGCGTGCAAACGTCTAGGCAAAGCCGGGGATGCGAACATGGCAAACAAGGGGCACTACGTTAAGCCATCGCTTTCAGACCTACACAGTCCAACGAGTGAGCGGCAACGAGGCACTCACAGGGCAACGAGTGAACCACAACGCTGTGAACGCCAGTGTGCAGCAGCAGGTCAAGCGTCAGCAAACAAGTCGTACTAGCGCCGAGCACTACTGGACAGTTTATAAGTCATCAATTCCAGCTAGCCCTTTTCAAAGACAGAATCCAACAAACGCAGAGCCAACTAGCTCCTACCGACTTCGACTCCTCTCTGATCGTGCCTCGGCCGTAGCGCGATGGACGCCGGAGAGAGGAGGAGAGAGGCGGAGTGAAGCCGACAGCGCGAAGAGACGAGCTGGGCTGGCAGTGTTGGGTCAGCGAGCAAGGTTGCCCTCGTAGCCATGGCTCAGACACACGCGACGCGGCCAGGGCATAGAGGACAACCAGGTGACTGAAGCTTACATAGTACGACCACTGACAGGCCTCCCACGATGTCCGAGCTCCTCCTGCCACGTCTTAATGCTGTGCCGCAGCTCCTCGCGAGTCAGGGCGGGCTCGAGATTCTCCGGCTCCCATTCATCCTCGTTCTCGGGCAAATCGTGCAGGGTCACGGGCGTGGGCCGGCTCGATTTGACTGATGCATGCAAACCTGAGGCAGCAGGAGGCCTTGAGCTCGCTCGAGGACGCGATGCATCGAGGCGTGTTGGCACTGCGAGGCGATAGGGAACATCGATTGATGAGCGACGATTGAGGTGCACGCTGCGGTCGACGACCGCCTCGTCGGAGCGGCTTCGCACAAGGAATGCAGGCCCAGCGCAACGGGCGTTTAGGCTGGTGACAAAGGAGCGAGTAGCACTTACTACCGAGGCTTCTTTGGTCGAGCAGAGACGAGCTTGTAGTTGCTCTGTCGGCGGAGATTGACGAGAAAAGAGTGAGGTGGTTGAGCCAGGAATGAGTTGTGGGGTTAGGGAGCCAGAAGACCGATTGACGCGTTCTAGAGTCGATAAGTTTCACTCGGTTGCGTCGGGTTGCGTCACCCGGCGTCACCGCGCGCACGGAGGCGAGCGCGCGAGCGAGCCGGTGCGGGGCGGCATGGGCCCGAGAGAGCAGCGGGATGGAGCGCAGCGCGCAGCGGCTTTTAAGGAACAGTACGAGGGCTCGGGGGCAAGCCTGAGATGTTTATTTGATGGTGCAATCTTGTAAGTAGATGTAGACGTATATATGTAGCTAGACAAGGTGAGAGTCATTTGGTTAGGAGGCGACACAATTACTATTACTACCTCTATATATATAAAAAGGTGAGTTCAGGAATGTACTTAAAATCACTGTTTTTAACTAGGTGGCGGCCCAGAGGGCCGCGTGTGGTGGATGTACCAGCATACTGTTGTGTCTGCCGCACCTGCCTGTGGTGTCATGTTCCGATCAGAAGTCATGTACAAGCTCTGTGGCACCTTTTGTATTTTCCGCGCCAGTCGAACGAAGCTACAGCGTTCCCAGTATTTTCCTTCCCTTTTTCGTTGACGTAAAACAGTGAGGACACTTATGTTATATTTAATGGACGGCAAGAGCGTGGCTTTGTATGACAATGCTTCTACAGCAGAGCTCCGCCTGACGGGCGGGGCGAGGGCTGGCGTCTGTCACGTGATGCGGCGCGCCAGCGGTGTCAGTGTCAATCCGGCAGCCGACCAGCGGCATTAGGTGCTGAACAACAAATCACACCCCGTGAACAAACCCGCGCCACTCCCTCTAACCTTTTCTTTTTCTCTCCCACTCTCATCGAATTTTGTGACACTCATTCAAGGAGAAACCCTCGCCACTATGTCCCGGTCCTAAGGTCGCCAAGGAGGGCCATCGCAACCTCGCCAAGTCTTGGCCGCGATGAGTGAAAAATAGTTTCTCTGCTGTCTTTCGTCATTATACCGTTCAATTCTCCTGCTATTTGGAATCATATTCCCGTTAATTTAACGGGATCCCACTGGTATTCAAAAAATCAGAGCTACGTTACACTAAAAGTACAGGGTAAGATGCTGAACAACAGTGCTGGAGGTAGAAGGTGAAAGAAGAAGAAAAAGTAGTGCCGTCCGTCTATGGGGCTTTGGCAAGTCTACAACGCCTTGTCCCGCTTGTAGACGATCCGTCGATGATTCAGCCGCATAAAGTTCCGCTTCATTGCTGAGACCCAGGTGCGGATGTAGGTCCTGACAGTAAATGACCAAAAAGGAAAGACAGAGCCAAGGCGGCCAGCCTCAGCCGAGTTTCGCCGCAAGGAGCTCCGAGTGAACGAGTGACTTCGAGCGGGACTCACCATGAGAACAGAATCACCGTCGCAGCCGACACTGGTACAGCGATGATCCAGAAGCTGCCGACGCGACCGATTTAGCGGTCGGGTGATATCACAAGCCTCGACTGCGGCCACTTACTAGCTGACATCACCGTCGAGGACATGGGGAAATCGTTCGAACTGTTTGTGAGCACGAGCTTCCGGGGTCAGACATCGTAAAGCACGCACTGCGCCGCGCAACGTAAACCTAGGACTTGCGTTCATCCCGAAGTAGCCCGACAGGAACGTCAGAGGGAGGAAGCAACTTGACAAGACGCTCAGTGCCTGCATGTAACTGTTGGTCTGCTGAGCGCTCATATTACTGGGGATGCGCCGGGTTCAGAAGCAGCATACCGTCAAAAGACGAGTGTGAGTCATTACCGACAGCATGCCGAATAGTACCAACGAGTCCAAGTCGACTCGACTCACAAGGCGTAAGAGATCAGATTCTCGCTCATGTTCGAAAAGAGCTCGAAATCGCCGAGAACGCTCTCGATGTGATCCAGGACATCGCCGAGGTACAATCGTGCTTGATGCGTGACCCAGCCTCTGCGATTCGTGGCATTCACCGGGTCGGTCGAATTGTGGTGCAAGGTTGCAGCGTATTTGGCCTCGTCTTGCGTGCGTAAAGAGGAGATGAGAAGCTGAAGTGGTGAGAAGGTCGATTTGAGGAGCAAGAGCTGCAAATGGATCAGGCAAAGAAGTATCTTGTGTCAGAACGTGAAAAAGCGAGCCAGCCCCGTAAGTCTCATCCTGATTCCGGTCTGTGAGCTGATTCTTACCTGTGAGCTAAGTATGTGCAACCTTCTGACATCGTCATCGTCCGCATGGGCCAGCACAGTGGCTTCGATACGTGTCAGGCGGTCCCGGAACTCGTCGACAATAACGAGAGCATCGTCAACGACAACATCTATCAAGGCCTGCAACACCATAGAGGGCTGTTCCGAGTCCCGAATTAGGTCATCCTGCGACGCCATGCGATCGAACACTGAGGATACTTGGGGATGAAAGCCCGGGTCCTGACTGAAAGAGATCACCGTCGAGTCGAGCAGGAAGACGCTCAGCTGCTCGACGCTGATTCGAACTTTGGCCTCCTTGGTCAGCTCGGCGACGGTCCATCGAGCTGCGCGACGCTCATTTTGCTTCAGTCGGTTCGATTGACTGTGGGCCCTGGGCGACTCGAAAAAGGGATCGGCCTCGGCCGAGTTCGTGTACACGAGCTGAAGACAGCGGATATAATTAGTTCAGCTTGGATCTTCCGCTCGGTAGTAAGCCCAGTATACTCCTACCTCATGGCCGTTCTTTGGCCCCACAGGCGAGCAGGATTCCAGACGCTCAAACGCCTCATGGAGCGCTAAAACATATGCGGCGTGGCTTAAAAAGGCATGCTCCTCTATATAGGCTTGTCGAGTGTCATCGAAATTGTGGTCGGGCGACCCAATGATATTTTCCTCGTCGAGATGGGACCGGCGCGCGTCCCGGATAGGACAAGGTGCTGCGGACGGGTCGAAAGGAGCGTCGACGTTTCCGTCCACCTCCTCCAACTCGTTCACGAAATTCTGCATCAGCAGAGAGACGAAGAGGTGCTGACGGAAGTAATCGGCTTTGCTCCCTAGGCTTGTCCTCGTGGCCGAGGTGCCGTGATGATGAATCTGCGAGAGCCGTGCGGGATGTGAGCTTTCGTTGGGTGATGCATCGGCAACGTTCGGGACGAACTCGCCATGTCTTCGAGCGAAAGTCGATGCAAGTCGAACTTGAGGGCTAGAGGTTTGATCACATCCCAGCTCAGCCCATTGACATGAATGTATCGGAGCTTGGATTTGACGGGTCGCGGCTCTTCAAGGAAGGCGCCCAGCGTTGAGTTGTCAAAGACTCGAAATTGTACAAACTGGTCGATCAAACAGCAACGTTGTGGAAGAGACGTACAAGGTTCAGATCGGTTCGCTTTCCCCGAATTTAGCATCAAGGATTACTCACGTCTTTGGCGCAATCAACCACCTGGACCACGCACGGCGCTTGCAATTTGGGCAGGTCCATCCGACGCGCATCAATCCCTGGTGGGCGAGTTTGACATCGTCCCGACTTTTGGGCGAGCTTCTTGGCAGCAGCGTGGTAACTCGCGCCTGACCACAAACGCAAGGGGCTGGTCAATTCAGTTAAGGCGTTGCGCGAACACGAGTGGGCCGAGCGAGTCTGGCGACAGATTCAGCAACTCACGGTGATGGGGAAATGACTCTCTGAGGGGGGACAGGCTCGTCGAGTCCGATGAGCGGGGATCCAAGGACATGGTTGCCCCTGTCGACTGTTCCAGCTCGCTGGTGTAGCCGGTGAGCGAGTCTTGGACCTGGGCCTGAGCCTGACGTTGAGCGAGTTGGTCGTCGAAGCTGTCGGCACGGCGTTGATGCGGCAACAGCTGTCCGAGCTGGTGACGGCGCCCTCCGCTGCCGATGGCATGTACGCCATGGTGAAGCGACAGGATCTGCGGAGGGGTCATCGACCCAAGCAACGATGGTCTAATCGACTTGGGCTCGAAAAGAGGGGAAGAGCGAAGCAGGGCAGCGGCGACGTTCAAGCATCTCAAATGTCGAACTCGCGCAGACACTGCGCAGACTCTCGCGCGTGCGACGCTTGGACCCCTTCTCAACAGTGGTCGGACCGTGTCCTACCGTGTCCTACCGTGTCTGGGCAGGTGCTTGGCAAAGCTCGGGATGCGCGGTTGCGACCGGGCCCACGCGCCGTCTTAATCCGCCCTCACGTGATCTCGCCATGGCCGACTCTGCCGTTCCGGTTATCTCGGCCGGCGCACCCACAACACCGTCAACATCGCCATCAGGAACAAAAGACTCGAGCAGGGTCCTCAGCACAGCCTCCAGTGCGCTCATAGCCGGTGGACTAGCCGGCACAGCGGTCGACACGCTCTTTTTCCCGATCGACACGCTCAAAACCCGCGCCCAGTCGCAACAGGGGTTCTTCGCTTCCGGAGGTTTTACGGGCGTATACCGTGGGCTCAGCAGTGCAGTGATAGGCAGTGCTCCGGGTGGTGGGCTCTTCCATACGGCTCGTCTCGGCCTCTATGAAACCTGGCGGCTGACTACGACCTATCTCTGCTTGCCTCGTCGTCTCAACCCACATGTTGGCCTGCATCTGCAACGCATTGAATACTTTCGAGCACAGCCTCGGCGTTTTTCACGACGTATGAAACGCTCAAGACCCGGCTGCCGGCGTGGATTCCTCAACTCGGGAACGATAAATATGCACCAGCGTTGCACATGCTCTCGGCGAGCGGAGGCGAGGTTGTCAGTTCCCCCTCCACTGTATCCTTCTCGCGCCAGCGTTCGCCATCTCACCACCCAGAAGCATGGGTTTCTACGGCAGCAACGATAGCTTGCTGCCCCTGCCGCGACCGAAACGTCGCGACACGGATGCGCAGCCTGATGCCACGCAGCTGGCACCACCTTGCTCATCTTCGAGTTCCCCCCTTTCCCGTCTGCAGGCGGCGTGTATGATCCGAGTACCAACCGAAGTTGTGAAGCAACGATCCCAGACTTCCACCCTGCCGACCTCGGGCTGGCCAATAGCTCGATCAATTTGGACTACATCAGGTCTGAGCGGATTTTACAGAGGATTTGGATCGACCGTCGCCAGAGAGGTTCGTCATCCCTCCTTCTAAGGCTCGCAGACGGTGAAGGCGAGCTTTCTAACTGTGCTGGTACTTTACCTTCCATGCAGATTCCGTTCACGTGCCTTCAGTTCCCAATGTACGAGCGTATGAAACTTGTCTTGGCCCGCCGGAGAACCGCCTCGGGCAAAGCCTCGGACCTGCCATCGATCGAAGCTGCAGCGTGCGGGAGTGTTGCTGGCGGTATCTCGGCAGCTCTGACCACGCCCTTGGATGTATGCAAGACGAGGATTATGCTGAGCGGTCGCTCAGCGTTCACTTTGGTAAGCTCGCTTGCACGATGACCGATGTCGATCCATGTGCTGGCGCGACTCAACACTCGACTTCATCGGACGCTTCACGCGACGGTGCACCTGCAGGATACAGCCACGGTCCGGCAATACCCCTCTTCAATGCTGAAGACCTTCGGTATCATATGGAGAGAAGAAGGTGTCAGGGTGCTGTTCTCAGGCCTTGCCCCTCGAGTGGCTTGGATCTCAATGGGCGGGGCCGTCTTCTTGGGGACGTTCGAAGCGGTCAAGAAGGCGATCGATGGGACAATACCGAGCACCGTGTCGCCTCAAGACTGCAATGCACAACTCTGAAATGATCAGGATATAGAAGTATTTGCCCCGACTTTGGCCGTGGCGATGCGCGTAGCCTTCTTCATCGTGACCACACTTGCTTTGAATGCTCCGCTGTTCGGCGCCTCAAATATTCACAGAAAATAATTGTCTACCATTGCAATCGTTGAAGGCACGCCGTAGACCCTGTACCTAACCCTTCTCCTGTCCTCTAATGTCCGGTCTCGTCGAGTTTCCATAGACCGAGCTGTCCTTTTAAGCCTTGAGAGCGGTTTGCAGGGCCTCGTAAACCTCGACCTCGACTTGAGCCTCGGCCTTCTCAGCCGCATCACCCGAACCGGAAGCGACACGTTGAGCCTCGGAAAGAGCCAATCGGATGGCCTGTGGGGACGGAGATCAGCATACTAGAGATGATCCAAGTGAGGCACTTGGAGCGGCAACGTCGGTGATCCGGGGACTGACCTCGGGCGAGAAGGCGTCCAAAGGATCTGTGACAAGAACGAGACGAAACGGATGCATGTTGGCCATGAGTGACTGCGCTCTTCCGTACTAGAAAAGATGCATATTTTCCATCCATGCTCGCCCGCACGCTGAGACTTACAAGCCTCGACGGCATTGACGGTGAGCAAGTTGTTGGGGTGGACGTTGGCAAACCCTCCGGAGACTGGACAAGTTGATCCGACGAATTTACGATTGAGGCGGTCGCACAAGGAAGTAGATGGGGGGAAGGACAGCAATCAGTAATGCAGAGCTTGCTGAGATTGGGGCGAGCGATGCAGCCAGAATGGTTTCTCCAATTGATGCCGACACGCCTGGTCCTTCGTTTCGCTGCGGGATGGATGTCACTCACCGAACCACTTCTTGGTCTCGTTGGAAGAGCCCTCGATGACTTCCAGGACGCCTAGAGCGAGAGCTTCGATGATGGGCACGTGGTTGGCGAGACTGATGGTCCGCGCGAGTGCGGGTAAGCGTGCGTGGTCAGTGATGGGGTCTGGGCAAGCGCGGAACACCCAGCGGCTACTTGACATCGGTCGAGATGCGATCGTGGATCGTAGTGCATGTAGTCGATGAGCATGCTCGGGGCCTTTTGGGAAATGGCCCGCCCGACTCGAGGATGCGGTCACCGTGGCCTGGGCCTGCGACGAGCGACGATCGCCCGGCGCTGACCCAATCGGCCAAGAGCCACACCTGGCCCATTCACTTACATGCCCATATCACCGCTGACGGCCGAAAGGTTGACCTGTGATACGGATCGAAGTGCACAAACTCGATGCAGGTCAGCAACCGAGCCAAACGGGAGGATGATGGTCGCAAACTCAGGCTCCATCGCCCGGTTCGACTTGTGTTCGAGCGAACGAACCTGAACGACATCCTGGCTGTTGTAGATGGTCTATGAGGCACATCACGGGATCGGTCGAGTAAGCTGGACCGCACAAGACGAAGTGAGCGGTGCTTGAACGGACCTCGTGAGGGAGCACGAGCGAAAGACGGAGCTTCTCGGACGCGGCTTCGGCGTACCCACGCGCAAGGCGGGGTGCGACAAACAATGACCTTCGAGCGACGGCGAACATGGTGGACTGAGCTTGTGGGAGTGTGGTGGGACGGACGCAAGCGGGGTGAGAGGCGGGCGCGGTGTGGTTACAAGACGAGGTGAGGTCGAGCCAGTGGTCGAGCCTGGCAGTAGCCTGGCCGAGCGAAATCGCGCAGGTCGCCTCGGGTGACGGGTCGCTCGAATTGGGCGGAGCGGCGTGGGAGGGCCTTGGGCACCGCAGCCAGCTGGCAGGGCACAGCCGTGGGCACCGGCAGCCGGCAGTGAACTGTTGTGGATGGCCTGGCCGGCTGGAATGGCACGCCTTCTGCGCCGGCCATATTTAACTAGACTAGTTCGATTTCTAATCGACAATTGAAAGGGGCGCCTCTCCGATCGCTCGATTACAATAGATCAAGAGATTGCGATCTATTACGATCCACCTCTTGCGCAGCTCGGTGCCCCTCCACCTCCTCGACTTGTGGGCATCCCATCCACTCCCCACTTGCCACACCCTGCCCCTATCGACCGACAAAGCCGCGCTCACACCCCCGCCTTGATAGCATCGGCTCGCTCGCTTTTCGGTCGTGTGCAGTCAGTGTGTGTGGAGCTGGTCAGCCAGGAGCTCCGGCACGTCGATCCGGGCGTCGATTTGAACCATGTCGAATCGACAAGTGGTACGATCATGTTCAGCCTTGGCCCGGTGAACACAGATCTCACCCGTTTCGTACCCTCCACTGAAACATGCGCTACACCTACCTTTGTCTCAGGCGGCCGTCTACCGATCCATCATCGATGATGTCGTCGAGAAAGCGACGGTCGACTTCGACGAAGCCGGCGTGCAGATCGAGGTGCTGCACGAGCTGCAGCGCAGTTGGGAGGCCAAGGTTGCTTCGTCGAGGGTAGCCGACTTTACCCAGGACTCGAGGATGGCTGCGATCGCACAAGCGTTCCCCATGTTGCCGAGCGAGTCCTCAACGCGCGCGGCGGAGCCTCCGTCGGCGTCAGCTCCGGGCCCCGTGGTTTCGACATCGGCTGCAGCCGCTGCGGGGGTCAAGGGAGAGGAGGACAGCGACGAAAAGGAAGAGGATCGCTCAACAGCGGTAGCGGGTAATGGCACTTGTTCGCCCGCGGTGACGCCAGCAAAACCGAAACCCGACGCCGACGACGATGCGATCAACTCGGACCTTGATGACTCGGACGAGGACGGCGACGACGATGATGACGGCGCCGGCGCCGGGCAAGAGGGTGATCTTGTCATTGCGCTGTATGAAAAGGTTCGATATCGACGCTCCCCTGTTGTGCTGTGCCGGACTGTGCTGTACTGTGCTTGGAGCTGCGGGTTTGGGTTGACGAGCAAATCATGCCTCGGCCATATCACCAGGTGCAACGGGTCAAGAACAAGTGGAAGGTCACGCTCAAAGACGGCCTGGTCTCGGTCAACGGCAAGGACTACCTTTTTGCCAAATGCAACGGGTAAGTTCACCAGGGCGCCGTACGGTTCATTCGTTTCGATACACTGTGTTGACACCGATGTGCTGCTACCTCGCACCTTGCACACCTCCCGTGATCCTATCCGACTCTGGGGCGCCGATAAAATTTAGCGAGTTCGAATTCTGAGTTGCAACGAGAAAAGGTGGAGGAGTTGCCCTCTTCGATCGGCTGAAAGCAGAAGTATTGTAATATCAGTGTCGGTTCTGAGTTCCCGCCAGCCCTCGAAAACCTTTGGTCAGAATACTTTCGATCGATGATGGTTGCGTAAAGCACGCGACAAAGGTCGAAGGGAAGTCCGAAGGAAGCCGACGCGCGACGACGGACTTGCAACGACAAGCTCGCTCTGCCTCTTGCTCCTTGCACCATATCTGCATTCGTAACCCCCATCGCACAACAACCCTGCGCCTGTCTCGTAGCGACGCTCGGGCTCTTTAAGACTCTCACCAAGCGCTTCCGACCTCGGCCGTGGCTGCTCGAGTCATGTCCGGCGTGGGGTCGAGCATGGGGCGTACATCCCGGTCCAGCTCACCGTCCTCACCATCGGCGGCCAGCGCAAATGCACCTCTAGTAATCAGAGGCGCAGCCGCACTCAAGTCATCCATGTCTTCCTCGGCATCATCGGTCCCGATATCTGCTGTGCCGGCCACAAATGAGACCTTGACCACCGGGTCGGCGCCCACCAAACAGGATGGGGCTGGTCGCAAGGCGGCTATAGCTCCGTGAGTTCGGCTTAGCTGCATGAACCAAACGATCGAGACTGATCAAAGTTGCTCGGATGCAACACATGCGCCGCCACTATGTACTTGGTATCGTTCAGTATACGGCTTGTCGGCGGCGTCAAGCCACGGTCGGGAATTCAATTCACATTCAGAGGGCAGAAGGACCTGGCCGCGGCCAAAGCATCGGCCTACGGAACGCGCAACACTTCTACAATAACCACAATGGCTGACAAGCCAGCGCATCAAGCAGGCATCATCGGGCCATCCACGCGTGAGTGCTTTGGCTCTCGCGGGCAGCTGCGACTGATTGATGCTTACGCGGGACGGGCGAACTGATCCATTCACATCTGACCTCGTGCCGTTCGCAGCCTCACCTCCCCCCAAAGCTGGAAAAGTGCCGTTCGCTAGTAGCACTTCCCCTCGCAAGAAGATGGCCAACTCGCCTGGGAAAGCAACGGCGGCACTTCGGGACCCTCTAATCGACCCGGAAGATGCTAAGGCTCGTCAGCAGTTATACGAGGAATCGGTCGGCGGCGGTCAGTCTTGTTCGCTGAATCAGCCGGAGAAAGGGGATGCACACACGCCTGCTTTCACAAGTACTATTATGGCGTCCAGAGAAGCCGGCCGTCCCCGTGGCTTTCGGCATATCAGCGGGGAACGTCCGATGACACCAGAACCTTTCGACGACAGTGGGCGAGAGGAGGGCGAATTGGATGACGATCCGGACCCACGGCGTTCGCGGTCCCCTCGAGTGACCGTGCCCCCGAGTCGACACAGCGAAGAATCTCTATCGGTCAATAGCTCAAGTTGGGGGTCACGAATCAATCGCGGAGCGAAGGAAGAAAATTATAGACACGCGAAAGATGATCGCAAGCGCTCCGACACTCGGCTTCCGACCCACGATGCTGCCACCGGGCGAGGCGAAGCAGCACCCCGCCACCCACAAAAGGATTCTTCGCGTCGCCGTTCACACGGTGAAATATATCCCCAATATCATGAACCCTCGGAAGGGGGCGATGGTTGGTCCAGGCCTTCGAGATCACCGCGAGTTCGAGATGGGGATCGGCGCCGCTCCCGAAGTCGGGATGATGATCGACGCAAGCGCCCTAGAGATGATGATAGAGGTGAGCATGCTCCAAGTAGCAAACGAATGAGCAATGTGGAGTGGCGGACACCTGGGCATATGGTCGGTAGGGATGGGGCTTGTGGTCGTCGAGACGATCGAGACGACCACTTTCGATCGAAGTCCAGACGGCAACCGTCTCGATCACCCAGGTCGCCTTCGCGATCCCGGTCCCGATCACCTCAGCCGCGCATATCCTTGGCTCGCAACACGGCTTTGGGCCCAAGCCATTCCACCAACAATGTTCATCCGCAACAGTTTGCTGCCACTCAAGTCCGCCGGCCACACTCGCCGATCGGCCGTGCGCAAAGCCGTTTCTCAGATTTGCCTGCCCCTACAAAAGGTCGCTACAATGAGACGTTCTCGCTGCTTGCGGTTGAGCGACAAGCGGACGAAAGCGGTGCTTTTTCCGGAGTCGTAGCCAGTCCCATATCTCGACCGCGGCCAGGATCGCCGCTTCGACCCAGTGATCTTAATTCGCCGGGACTTGAGACAGGTAGCGAACAAGCAGCGCCGCGCATCACCAAGAACGAGTCTACTCCGGCCTCCACCTCTCCTCCACCTTTAGATCCTTCATCGTCAACTGATCACTTTGAGGCCGACAGGGAACCTGTACTGCGGGGCGGCCGACGAACTCATGTACGTGACACCGAGCTTTGGGTTCGAGATGAGACTCGTGTTGGTCTCAACGGCGGCGAGGCCCACGACGAGGATGCACAAGACGCTGGTATCGAGCTGGTCGGGTCGTCGTCCATCGATGCATATCGTCTTCAGCGCAAGCTAGGTGAGGGAACCTTTGGTGTCGTATCGTTGGGAACACGGGGTAAAAGCGACATTTCAGATGGGGAACAACGTCGCGAAGAGGTATTGGTAGCGCGCGGTCTCAAAGTGCGACACGGTGATTGCGTCGCTTTGAAGAAGATCATACTCCACAACGAAAGCGATGGGGTGAGTTCAGCTAGAAGTATTTATTACCACGCGGGGCTGGGCTGACCTCTCACTGAGTCGAGGATGCAGATGCCCATTACGTCGCTGCGCGAGATCCGCATTTTGAAGGCACTGAACCATTCGGCGGTGGTTCCAGTCGTTGATATGGCGTACGAGAATGGCAAGTCCAACAGTGTGGTCGATTTGGACATCGTGAGGGTATAGCTGATATTTTGTGCTGGTGTCTGCTCCAATAGGCGATCCAGCGCACTACAAGCTCGGATCGACATGTATGGTGTTCCCTTACATGGATCATGATCTTGCCGGTCTCCTCGAGAACCCTAAAGTCAAGCTCGAAGTGTGGCACATCAAGCAGTATGCAAAGCAGTTGCTTGAGGGGACAGATTACCTCCATGAAGTATGCCCTTTCGCCCCTCATCTTCCGCTTCTTGCGTTCTGCTGATTGCCACCTCCTCGACGTGGCGCCTTTCAGAATGGCCTTCTCCATCGCGACATGAAGGCGGCGAACCTCCTCATCAGCAACAAAGGCGATCTCATGATTGCAGACTTCGGCCTTGCTCGAAGCCTTCGAAAGGAAGCAAACACGAAAGGCTACACGAATTGTGTGGTGACAAGATGGTATCGGCCTCCGGAATTGCTCTTGGGCCAGACGCAGTACCACACGGCCGTTGACATGTGGGGAGTGGGGTGAGCACAGCCTCTGACTCTTGCTTTTGGTGGTTGGTGGCAAACGATTCGACTTCTCACTGTGATTTTAATGATGTAGATGCGTATTGGCGGAGATGTTTCACAAGCGGCCCATCTTTCCAGGTGACTCGGACACGAATCAAATCGTCCTCATTGCAAAGTGCGTGCTTGTGCGCCTGTACTCAAGCATCTGACTCTGGGCGCTGACAGCAGTTTCGGGTGCTTAATGGCGTGGCTTGGAAGGTGGTGCGGCGCTCCTAGTGAACGGAGCATGCCCGGGTTCAACGAACTGCCCGGGTGCGAAGGAGTCAAAGATTTTTCGGGTCCGCCCAATAATGACGAAATTCGGAATCGAGCAATCAAGTGAGTAAGCCGCAGTCCTTTCTTTCGTCCGAAGTCATCTGACGGCAGGGTAGCATTTCCTCTGATAAACTAGATGGGAAGCGGGCGAGACATTTGGCGACCTTCTCGCACACATACTCGTGCTCGACCCCGATCGGCGCCTGACAGCCCGCCAGGCGCTCGATCACGATTGGTTCTGGACGGAGCCCTACCCCGCTGAACGTTGGGCGATACCACAATGGGAATCCTCTCACGAGATGGACAAGCGACAACGAGACGAGCAGCAGCAACAACAGCAAAAGCAAGATAGACGACATCGAGCTCCAGGACCAGTGCTGGCGCCGCGACAGAACGGGGGGCCCGTTCAAACTGGTAGCGCGCATGGGGCGCAGACGCTTTGGCCCAACCCGCCCCAGCCACCTATCCGACAGCACCAACCGATGCAAGCCGCCCCGTACTACGACGCTTACCCTTCGGGAGGGCCCAGCTGGATCCAATCGGCGCACTCCAATCAGCAGCGTTCGAACGGAAGTGCGCCTGCCCCTGCGACTAAGACTAGAATGAGCATGGCCGACATGATGAAGCGATGAGCGCGCTCTTTTAGGTTGCTCTGTCTATAGGGTCAACCGCATCGAATATACGGACATTGTACTGAGATGATGCGCGGGTACACATCGGCAATGCACAGCAGTGAGCTGAGACCACCACAGCAACGGTGTAGATTACAGTAAAGCAAACAAAAGCATGGCAGCCCCTTTGGGTGTTCATTGCTGGAGCCCAACACTTTGTCCATAGGATGGTGGTAAGCCCTGATCAGCGGGGGCATCTCGGGCAGCGTCAGTCAGCATGGCGTCTGCTGCGCTCTGGCCACCCCAAAGAGCCCCAACAGGAGAGCTCTGTGTCAAAATCACAGCTGACGGTGGGTGCTGCATCTCGATTGAGTTTCGCTCCGATGGAATTCGAGACTCTGATCGAGCGCGAGGAAGGATCGAAGCCGTTGAAACGATGGAGATCGGAACGGCGACATCGCACTCGTTTCCCGGCGTGGACTGAACGTGCACCACAACGAGATATTGAATGACGAGATTGACGGTTCTGAACGACGATGCCACGCCTCGCGTCAGGTCAATCTCGCCCTTGAAACGCTTGCTCCACACAGCCGCTTGCGAGTCTGGACCATCATCGTCCGTTTCATCTCGCCGAACCGGTGTCCCTTCGCTGGGCCCGTCTTCTTCGATTTGCGAATGTCCGACGCTCGTGTCGTGCAGGTTCGTCAGGCCTTGCGCTCCGACGTAAGCCCGCTGTACCAGGTGGACCGTAACAGCCGTAAGGGGGAAGCGTGTTGTGGCGTTGGGATCCGAGCTCTTGATCATGACTGCGAAGGGCAGCACAGAAAGACGGGCAAACTTGGAAGGCGATGGAACGAGCAAGACAACCTCGAACCATGACCGTGTCGTCGTATGGAACATTCCACTGCGGATATCGCGACGAGCTTTCTTCCCCGTCCAGCCGGTCGGATCCACGGCCGGGCCGGGGGTACGCAGTCCTTGCGACAACGCTGCCGTCCGAGCGGCAGACATCTCGGGCTCGTTGTGGCATGGGACAAAGACGATTGGAACGATAAGACGGTCGTTCGGGGTGAGGAGACCCTTTCTAGATGCAGTGACCTTGACATAGTACCGGCACGCCGCCCACTCGGCACCTTTACCCCATGCTCGAGGATCGTCCGAGTCGGTACTCAGCACAAAGCTAGGAGGGGTCGGCCGAAGTGTTCGAAGCTGCACGAGTGCGCGCAATTAGTGGATTTCCTCCACTTTGCATGTCAAGAAGGCGGAATCTAGTCTCACAGTGGTTGCAAGAGCTTTGGGGGAGCCTGAACACTTTGCCGGGATCTTGAGCTCAAACTCAAACTCGAACGATCCTTGAAGCTTTGATGGATCGTTCGACTGATTGTTGGACAGGAGCTGTGAGCTAGAGTAGAGCTCAACGCCGTCCTCCCAAATCGTCACTTCGTCCGTGACTGGGTGTCGTCCTGATCCATGAACTTTGAGGACGAGCGATCGCACGATGCCCTTGACGCGAACCCGCACTTGTGAGATCGCTTCGGGATTGGGAAGTTGAAGCTGCCGAAGACATCAATATGGTTATCGTCAGGGTTGGGACGATTGGGCCGAGATTTGTGATATGCTACATTCGAGATCGCACGCACAACAAGCTTCCCCTGTAGCTTTACCGTTTCTCCCGGCCGAGACTGCATCAAGATGATATGGTTCTCTCCGGGAGCTCTCAGCTCGAGCTTCAATTTCTTGCTGCGCGAAGTGACGACGTGTTGGCGCGGAGGAGGAGGGTGCACTAGACCCAGATGAGGCGCTCTTCTGGTGTAAGAAGGGAGTGCGTTGCCATCTTCTACACTATCAGCACCATTGTCGTCGTTCTCTTCGTGATTCTCCGCGCCCTCGACACCCATGTTATCGTTCCATTGAGACGAGCGGCCCCCGTTCGAGCCCGTGAGCGACGAGCTCCATTCATCGGGGGGTAGTTCGTAGACGTCGTGCGAAGTGGACGCGAAAGGGCTGGACGAGGCTGTGGCTCGGAGTTGACCAAATCGTGTTCCTGATACATCCGAATTCGAAGATCGAAGTTGGGAAAGATGCTCGGACGTCGGCGAGGCGGGACCTGCCGAGCTCGAGGCTTGAGATGGGGGCAGATCGAGCGCGTTGGACAATGCACTAGACAGTCTGCGAGGCATAAAGGATGCCGCAGACGAGAGTGAGCGACGTTGGCGATTCGACGAGGTGGTGCTGCTGGTGGTGGTAGTGCTTCTGTTGGACACGGACGCGAGAGCGGTCGAGAATTCTTGTCTCAGACTGTTCAAGGCCTGGTCGAGCGTCTGCGAGAGCGGCCATGTTCGTACGCCGCGAGTAGGATGGGGTCGAGTATGTGTTGCTGGTCAGTATCGAGTGAATCGGGCCCATTGACGGCCATGGGTAACGCGTGACATACCTCCACAACCTCATCACGTCTGGCAATCGAGAATAAGGGTGCTGAGAATCAGCAACAGCCAACAGCCAGATGTGGGGTCGCTCCGGCGCAGGCATGCCCGTAGCCCTTCGTGTGCTCTCGAGTCGTTCGACGCAGGTCCGCGATTGGGCCGGACGGGTCGACCGATGCATGCCATGCTCCGCGAAGAGATTCCATGTGCCTGAGTGGATGTGAATCGTTACCAAGCCTCACCTGCTCATGTCGGCGTTGACGTGCGATTGCTCGTGTGTGCGTCGCGAGCCTCGATCTGCTCTCCGAGCCGAGGCTGAAGTACCTGAGCGAGTTGAATGAGGTCAAGCGAAGAGCGACGACTCGAGGAGACTGCGAGGAGCTGGCCGGTGGGGATTGGAGGGGACCGGTGGCGACTGGTGGGCAAGGGTGGGGCAACCCGGTGGGACGGGTGTTTGATGAAACTAAAGCGCATGAGGTCCTTTGAGGTCTCATGGGCAGGCTGTCATTGCATCGCTAGGGAATAAAAGCATAGCGGGACCGCGACGAGGTTTTGAAACTCTGGCTCAAGAGTGTTACATCAACAACGAAGCTATGAGTGCAAAATCACACCTCTTTGCAAAGCGTAGACCTTTGACCAAATAACAGGGGCCCGGTGCCGGCGTAAGCGTTACGCCCCAGTCTGGCAGTTCCAGGACTCGCCGAGTCAGTATGTCAGTCCTTCGTCGGAGTCGCGCGCCAGATAGTACCACTGTCCACACTGATGTTCCTTTTTGGCGATGCCACCAGATAACCAGTCGTGCGTGTTTTTCTGTGTCTATCGGCTAATCTCACGACGATCCACAGAGCTGCTACGCGCCTATGTCACCCCAATACTACATTGCATCACTTGCACCTCGTACTACTAGTAGTACCTCGAGGGCCGAGGCCAAGGCTCAAGGGTGTGAGAAGTATGGAGGACTGGATCCCGACTCAAGGGGTTGAGTACGAGCGCAAGATCGAGGATGGAAGATGGATGAAGAAGGAAGAGAGACGAGTGCCCGCGAGGCGCGCGACTTCAACCCAAGCCAACGTGTCAACCGAGTCTCGATCAGGCGCTGGGATCCGGCGTAGAGGGTAATAGGCTAAAGAAGGAGTGCAAAGTAGGAGTGGAATAGTGGCATGAGAAGTAAATAGAATTAGAAGAGAATCAGTATGATTGGGTTCTGACAAAGGGCGGCCTCAAGCTCCGGCGTCGCAGTGAATTTACTTCATGTATGGTACATCAATAATGATAATGAGGGTCCGATTTATAGCGAGTGTATTTTATTAGCCTGGGTTTTAGACTTATTCAAAGTCAAAGCCATTGGATCTATGCAGCCCTCGCTTCCGCCGATGGCCACCGGGCCTTAGCGCGCCCGCCGCCCCGCTCTCAGCCTCTCGCGAATTGACCAAGTTGAGACCGTCGCCAATTCTGCAGGCTTGGGCCACGGCAATATTTTTTGACCAAACCTTCAGCTATAGAGAGATTCAGGGAGCTTTAGAGCATAGCACGCGTAGCAGTTGGCCTGAGTACTATAATTGACCATGGCCGGCGCGCGTACTAGTAGCACGTCGCGCATCTGAGCTGGCTGCTGTGGCAATCTGGGGGATGCGAGGACAGGCGAGGACTGGCGAGGACTCGCGCGAGGAGAGGCCAACCCCCCCACTCATCCGTATCACCCTCTTTCCCACCCACCCCGCTCGCTTACCCCCCCCCCGGTCTCCATTTCCGCAAGTCGTACAAGATGAGCGGTTTTCGGTTCCTCAACTTGGTCAGACCCTTCCTGCCGATCTTGCCCGAAGTGACGGCTCCGGATCGCAAGGTGAGTCTCTGCCCTCGAGCGCCCCGCTGGGCCACCCCATGCCGTGCTGCAGCCTCGACCGTTCGCTGACGTACGACTACTCCGCCATGCGTTGCGACTCGACAGATCCCATTCAACACCAAGGTACATCCCAGAGAGAGAGATGAAGCTGATCGGTATGCCGTGTTGCGCCGACCCTATACGACCGAGAACTGACCTCGACCGGACGCTCCCGTGCCCACACCCCAGGTTGGATGGACCGCCGTCACGCTCCTCATCTTCTTGGTCTGCTCCCAAATCCCTCTCTATGGTATCGTCTCGTCCGACTCGTCGGGTAAGTTACACGCGCCAGCTCTCTGCAGTGTCTGCTGCTCGGCCGTTTCGCGTGACGAGACGCCGCTACGAACGGCCGACGTGGCATCATCGACTCCCGGTGCCGCCGAACCTCCGCCGTGCCTTCCCGGCGCCAGTTTAACTAACGTTTTCGTGTTCGACTCGCGCCTTCTCATAGATCCTCTCTACTGGATGCGTGTTATCCTCGCCTCCAATAGGGGTACCTTGATGGAGTTGGGCATCACGCCCATCATCACCTCGGGCATGATCATCCAGCTGCTCCAGGGAGCCGGCTTCATCGAAGTCGACTTCACCCTCAAAGAAGATCGGGCATTGTTTGCAGGTGCCCAGAAACGTAAGTTTGCTCAACCATGCTCATCACACACTTGGGGCTCTCACGGGCGGCCTTCACGTGCTCGGGTCCTCGACTAACCACCCAGATCTTGCCCTTTCCCTGAACAGTGCTGGCGCTGTTAATCTCGTTCGGCACTTCGACCGTCTACGTCTTGACCGGATTATATGGCCAGCCTTCGGACCTCGGTGCCGGTGTTTGCCTGCTCCTCGTCGTCCAACTCATTGTCGCCGCGCTCATCGTGATTCTCCTCGACGAGCTGCTACAAAAGGGCTACGGTCTTGGCTCCGGCATCAATCTCTTCATCGCCACCAACATTTGCGAGTCGATTGTCTGGAAGGCCTTCTCGCCCACGACTGTCAACACCGGTCGCGGCCCCGAATTCGAAGGGGCCCTGATCGCCTTGTTCCACCTTCTCTTCACATGGAACGACAAGTCGCGAGCGCTCAAGGAGGCATTCTACCGTGAACGCCTGCCCAACGTTATGAACCTCATTGCCACCGTCGGCGTCTTTGCTCTTGTTATCTGGCTTCAAGGATTCCGGATCGAGATTCCTGTCAAGAGCAACCGCTTTAGGGGACAGCGCGGCACGTACCCCGTGAAGTTGTTCTACACCAGGTGAGTTTCTCTCCGACTCTGATACCAAGTCAGCCGCATGAGTACCATTGACATTCACTCCACTTCCCAGCAACATGCCTATCATGCTTGAAAGCGCTTTAACGTCCAACGTCTTTATCGTTTCGCAAATGCTATTCAACCGATTTCCCGAAAACTTGGCTGTCCGACTTCTCGGCGTTTGGGAGGTAGGTTGTCGTCGCCGCGATGTTCATTTTTGTTCTCGAGCACTTTGGGCCGCAGATCGTTGACCCATCTTCAATATTCTCTTACTAGCCGATGGAAGATTCCGCGCAGTTGATGGCCAAGTGAGTTCGGCGCGCTGTCGCCAGCGCTTGTCGGAATTTACGACTGAACACGAACCCACTCTTTTGACTCGTCAGGTCCGGTCTCGCTTACTACATGTCGCCCCCTCACACGCTCAAGGAAGTCGTCACGGATCCGATCCACACCTCGCTTTACATCATTTTCATGCTCACGGCATGTGCGATCTTCTCCAAGACCTGGATCGAGATCTCTGGCTCCGGCCCTCGCGACGTCGCGAAGCAACTCAAGGATCAGCAGATGGTCATCGCCGGCCATCGTGAAGCGTCCATGTACAAGGAGCTCAAGCGTGTCATCCCCACCGCCGCCATCTTTGGCGGTGCCGTCATCGGACTCCTATCCGTCGGCACGGATCTGGTCGGAGCTTTGGGAAGTGGTACAGGTATTCTCTTGGCGACGACCATCATTTACTCTTACTTCGAGTTGATGATGAAGGAGTCGGGTGGACCGGAGATGCAAGCCATGGTGAGTCGCCCAAAGGACGGCTATGGTCCCCGACTGATCGGAATCGTGGCGGCCGATGCTGATAAGAGTACTACGCTGCAAACCGTTCTTCACAGGCCGAATTGATGGGCTGATCGATGCTCGCCAACAAATTCCGGCTTGAGCAATGGACGCATCGAGAGATCCGGCTATGAGCGATGGATGCACCGAGAGAGGTCCTCTGTTCCCCGGTGGAAGGCTCCGAATATAATAAGGTCGATGAAGGACAGAGAAAATGATGACAGAAGCATGTGCGGATGCGGCTAGCCTTCGTCCTCATGCAATGAACTCGAACAATAACAAAGAGACGCCGGCTTTGCGTAGTGAGCTGATCTGGAGTGAAGCGAGGCCTGGTCCTAGAATGAAGCGACTCCCACTGCCATCGACTTGTCAAAGCAACACACAGGAAGAGCGAATTAAATTTCGAGAGAGTCAACTATCGTAAAGTCTGTAAATCTGCAAAATGCTGGGGTTTTCTACTTTTTTGTGACGAACTTCGATATAGTAGGAAGGGGTAAAAACAAGCTTGCGAAGCGACGAAGGACAATCTCGCTGGGAGCAAAGGTGGGAAAAGAGGGCTGAGGCACTAAGCGGCCTCACTCGGACTCGAGCGAGCTTTTGAACGCTTCCTCCCGCGACCTGCTCGGTATGGACGTGACTTGCGGTGCTTTTCGGTCGAGGTGCGGGTGGGATCTGGTGCAAGATCACTGGCTTGCAAACCTGGGCCGTTCCCAAGGTTGGCGTTAGCGCCGGCGTTAATCGTACCATCAGTCCCGAGATGCGTTGAGCTTAGCATCGAATCGTCCAGCTCGGGGCGAGTTGATCCTGGCACAATGGAAGGGACACGTAATTTGTTCCCCTATGTCAAATAATTCGAATCAAAATCAGTTTTTTGTCCATTCCTTGCTTCTCTGGCTTTGCAGTCTTGAACTCGACTCTCACCCTTGCGATTGAATGAGAGCGGGGTCCACCGATTTGGGGTATCGCCGGTGCGGCCGAATTTCGTCGTTCAGGGAGTGCTGCGGAGCGCATACTTGCGACTTGGAGGGGTACGGACGGTCGACGAGACATGATCAATTCTTTCTTGGTGTCTAGTTCCGGGATGCGAATGCTGTCGGTAGGAAGACGATATCCAGTGGTGCCGTAGAACTCGGATTCGGCGCTTCCGCGTCGGTACTCGGCGGCGGCGGCCACAGGTCGCGAATGAGCGTAAGGCGACAGTGTATCATGAGGACTGAAGTCGTGGCTCGATGTATGAGGATTGCTAGAGTGGATAGCCGCGTCGCACGTTGAGTACCCACAATGACAGCACCTCGGATCTCGTTCAGGCGGAGGATCCGAGACGTAGGAGGCGGCAATGATTGCTGGGTCTTGGAACAATCGCAAGTGAAACGTGTCCGCTGGGCCTCGTGGCGGAAGTGTCACCACACCACCCTGAGAGCTGAAGTAGATCGAGTTGAAATGAGGAGTCGTCGAAGAAGGAGGGGCCAGATGAGGTGGAAGATGCGCTGTCGGGCTCGGAACGCCATGCGGTGCTTGGTTCGACGACCAGGACATGCCGCTCGGGATCGAGTTGATGGTGGCCCAAGGTGCCCCTACAGATTGGTAGCCAAGCTGTTGCAGGTAGAAACGAGGGTACATAATTCCCATGCTTTCGTATGGGCTGGCATATAGATCTGGAAGCGCCGGCTCCCCATCGAGTCGCTGACGGGTTTCTTGACGTTGTGCGCCGTAGACATCGTCAAGAGTGGATTCCGTTCGGTAAACATCTCGACGAGGCTCGACTGGAGGATAGTTCGGAGTAGATGACGCCAAGTACTCCGTTTTTCTGGGTTCGATGATTGCCTCGAGTCGGTCCAGCGCGCTGCTGCCGCTCCTCATATCTCCTGGAGTACGCCATAGCTCATATTCGGTGGAGTCTCGCTTCAGCGCTGGCCCTGGGCTGATACCGACGGAGCTACTCGGGGCGCCTTCTGTCCCATCTTTCTCGTAGTGCTGTGAGACAATTTTGGATACGTGCGGTAGCTCGCTTTGGCCGCTTGGCTGAGTGTAGCCCAAGCCAACCTCAGCTGGCGCAGAGACCACGCGCGAGCCAACTCTAGAGTGCGCAGAGTGGGACCCTTGCAAGTAGCGCGCGTTTCCAGGAAGTGGTACAGGGGCGTGACGACCGGCGTTGAGGTTTTGGAACGCACTGCGACGGCTCGCACTGGTGTCTTGATCGAATGCGAACTGCGGTGTGCACGGCGTATGTCATGTGTCAGTGATATGTCGGCCATATCAATCATTAGCTGCGTACCCACCGTCCAAGGATCCTCTTCCTTGTCCATGGAAAACAAGTATGCATCAATGCCTCTGCGATGGATACGGTGTAGAATTACTTTGTGTGAGCAAGGTTTCACGTGGCGTCCGAGACCCTCAGTGAATACGAGCTCACGAGGGACAACGAGCATAAGGAAGCGACAGGGGGCCGTGCAGTGAGGGGATTGTCGAGAAGCCTCGCTGCGCCAGTCCATAGCGCGCAGCCTTGGTCAAATCACCGAATTCGTTCTTGCCCTTCTCAATGATGAGCTCGATGCTAGCGTTGGTGGTCGGGTCATCACGAGTCACACGTGAGTCTCGCGGCGTCGAGGGTTCAAACATGGATGCCTGAGGGTCGAGCGTCGCTCCCGCCACGGCCTCGCTGATGCGGTCATCCGGAATGGCTTCGAGAGTGGGTAAAATACTCGGCCTCCTATGACCAAGTGAAACGCCATCGTGGGAGGCACGGCGCGAAGCTGCTGCAGCTAAGCCCTTGGCAGACTGTAATTCAGCTTCGCTCGGTGCCGCGACTGAGGTAGCTCCGACGAGTCGCATGTCGGCCACCGAAGATGCGCGAGGTCTTTGCTCCAGTTTCGAAGGTGGAGAGTTCTTGGAATGTACGTCCGACGCTTTCGTCGAGGTCGGAGAGACTCGCTCGGCATTAGCGTCGGCGCTGCTTTCATAGCTGGTGGAGCCCCTCAAGAACCAACGAGGGGTTTCGGAATCTAAGATGACTTCGAACGAAGTATCACACGAAGATATACCTTGGCTCGGTGGGTTAGGGTGACGAACACTGTCCATACTCGAATCGCCGGACCAATCTTCGAGGTTGAGGCGAGGTCTGTGGCCACGTTGCGAAAAAGGGGACGATGGCGGCGATGACCTGCTCGAGTGCTCGAAAGAAGGTTCACTGTGACTGAAAGACTGTTCAGGGCTGGGATGGACCATGATCGATGCAGAGGGGGAAGACGGTGAGGGTGGCGGCGACTCCATGGCGGTCTGAAAACGTGGGGGTTGACCCCATCGACGCTCGGGATGTGCGAACCCGTCAACTCGACTCCGCCTGTCATCGCGACGGCGAGCAGCAGGCGTAGCGCAACGGGTTCGAGTGAAGAGAAGGGGATGGTAAGCCTTACATACTCTGATGTATATTTCTGGCTGTGAAATTCGGCGCCAGCCCTTAACAGAAGGCTCACCTATCGACGAAATAGCGCAACCTCGTGCAGGGCCCCCGGGTCGTTGATGTCGAAGCCTCGAAGCCGTTGGTCGCCAACTTTTGCAAGTCGCGACGCGTCACACGATCTCGGGTGTCTTCACTGGATCAGGTGGCGTCACTAGAACTGACGTTTCAGCGAGCTTCGAGATAATGGATGGGCGAAAAGAGAAAAAGTGCGATGGGGGACGCGATGAGAGGAGCGCGGGGACTCGGAGGTGAAGCTTGAAGGTCGAAGTGAGCTGCGAGGTCACCGCGGCGATCGATCGAGGTGCGCCTCGGAGTGCTCCCTCGGACTTTTCGAACAGGAGCATCGAGGCCCGTGCACCCCACTTGGGCCGCGCGATTTGTCTCAACATGGTACCAAGGCTGCAATGCCAGTCTATGGCATTGTTAAGCAACATTATACAAGCGGCAACAAAAGCTTACATAAAGAACAAGCTAGATTTCAGGCAGACCACGGACGATCCACGCCATTATTTGCATTCGCTCACGACAACATTTCAACGAGGCGTTGGCATTGACTTCCCCACCAACAGAGACGATGGTCCGTTTCTCGTTCCGACCCCAATTTCGAGTTCTGCGTAGCGAGAGGTCGTTGTCGAAGGATTGGCGCTTGCCGTTGGTGTGCTATCTCGCGCTCTGTGAACCAGCTACCGTGAAGGCCGTATGGCACTTAGGAGTGTTGAAATCCCCCGCAAATTGTCAGCAATGTGTCCGACTTTGTACTCGACATCGAGACTGCTTACTCACCTCTTTGTGGCAGCTGCACTTTGGCTATGACATCAAGCATCGTGTACGCGTCAATGATCCACAACTCGGATTTGGCATGTGCCATCGGTTCGCCCGTGAGTGGATCGAGCTGAGATTCGTCAAAGACGTAGAAGAGCAAAAACCCATCGTCTTCGCCGCGAGGCGAAGCCCGCGAGACGAAAGAGCTCTCTTGCGCAAAGTGACCCGGTGGCATCGCAAACACCTTAATGTGGGAAGAGACGCCGCGTCTTTGATCCTCGAGGATCTGAGTCATCGTGCGCTCGTCAACCGCTTGTTCGTCGTGCAACCTTCGGTCGGTACCTTCGGAAACGAGAGCCTGGACGTCCATCTTGACGATGCAGTCGATTTTTGCTGCACCTCCCAGGGCAGCACTGAACGAACCCAACCGCATTGAACACCCGTACACGTAGCGCGAAGAGCTCATGGAATGCTCGAGAGGCACCGTGGCAAACTCGAATGGCAAGACCGACAACGCAAAGGCGTGCGACGGCGTAAGGTCTTGAGGCGAGACCACATCTGAGAGCGCGAACGAGTAATAGTACAACCGACATGTCTCCTCCATACCCGGCTGAAGTTGTGATGACGGAGTCGGAATGTTGCCTGCAGCATATACAAGTCGCGACGAGTTGAGGCGACAGCAGACGAGATTCAGCGACTCCTGCCGAGTCACCGGATCGACCTGGTTGTAGGCGAAGGCGGTGTGGAAGATGATACAGCTCGGTGCCGAGTACCACCGAACATTTTCTGGGCTGTGACGCGGGAGCACTCCAAACCGTGCAGGAATAGTCGGCGAATATGCAACGATCGGCACGCCGCGGAGCAGGTTCAACGGATCCAGCGACAGGGGGATGTCAAGCAGAATCGTGTGGGTATGAGACGCCGCACAGTCATGCATCATCCGAGGCCCAGCTGAAAGAGTCGTGAAGAAGTAAATATCCGCATTAGAAGGTACTTCCTGATATTTGATGGCCCTTCTCCCAACGTACAAATCGGAACAGGAGCGCCCAGTATCCGCGGGGTTCGGGCTTTACCGTTCTGGGTTGACGGGATGACCGAGTAAGACAGGTAAGGCGGCAGCATGGTCGAGTGGAACAGGATCAGCTCGCCGGTAACGGGATCACGTTTGGGCTATATGGTGGCATTGCACGGTGATCGAGTCAGTTCGACTAGATGAATTTGGTCGAAAAGCTGAGACTCACATGCGCGGTCGTCCATTCCTTCATCCACCCGAGAGCGCCATGCTTCTCTCTCATCCCGATTTCGCCATCGTCGCCGTCGAGGTCCCACCATCCAACTGTTTCCAGCGCTGGGAGACGAACCCAGGCCAGAGGACCGCTCTCACACCCAGCCAGAGCACGGCCGTCGTGGTAGAGTATGGACGTATTTGCGACCGACACGTGGCTGATGGCCTGGGCAGAGGCCGCCGCAAATGAAAGTGCGGCCAAGATCACCGCACGTGATACGGATGCAATCACTGCAGGTAGTTGCCTCAAGGGGCCCAAGAGTGTCGTGATTGAAGGAAGGATTGGTGTCGTCGCATCGGCAGGTGTTGCGAGTAGAACGTCGGTGAGTACGTAGCGATTGACGAACTCGGGCGCAGCGACGGCCGAACCACTGGGGTCGTTCGCAGCGTCGACCGCCGGGCGCCGCGGGAAGTACACGCCTTGCAGCATCCCATCGCCGTCGAACTGAACATTCATCCGCCAACATGCATAGTTTAAAGGTCAGCCTTCGTCCTCTGTGATCAATTGCCACCACCGCAAAACTCATGACCGACCCAGTGGTAGGCTCGCTCGAAGTCCTCGGTCTTGACGCTCGACCCGCTGGCGATAGATGGGTTACTGCCATTTCTAATGTACATCCTGTATTTGCAGCGATCCACAGAGTCTTGCAATTCACATCAGCACAAATGACCCCTCGTCATATCGGGTCAGCGGCGACGTACCCTCCAGCGAGCTCATCGGGGATGTGTCCTTGCCATTCGCATGTCGTCAGGCCTCGCTCGCAGTGCATCGGGCGGTAGTTGCCCGAAGCGTAGGGGTGCTTCGCCATGTCGCTCAGGCGCACACGAGCTGCGCTATCGACGGGATACCTACAAGAAGAGTCCCCTGAAGTTTCCCGAGCCACAATGAAGCGAAACGAGGCAGGATGCACCGAAGGTTTAGGCACGGGAGCGGTCTCGGTCGATTGTGAAACGAGGGCTGGGGGCGGGCGATAATTCTCCCCGAGGCGAAAGCGCGGCGCTAAGAATAGCGGGAGCAGTGGCGGACGTCAATGACCAACCTCGATCTTATGTGACCGAGGTTGTGCGTCTGCTTCGGAAGAAGTAGCCTCCTACAGAGCAGATGCAACTAGACCACACATCGATGCTTTTACGCGCCAGCCGCGGCGACGACGTCATCGAGGTCGTCGTCTGCACGTGATCAAGTCGTCACCGAGATTGCGCTTCGAGCTCGGAGTCGCGCGGAGGCCGAGATCGAGATCTGGGGGGCGGATCGAGCGGATCGAGCCGAGATTTTTCCGAAAGCATGGCCGGCAACTTGCCCGGCCTGGTACCTACGAACGAGAGAACCTCGTATATCAGCAGTGTTCCAGCTGAGTACGTACGTAGCAAAACAAGATGCTGGAAGAGCACCTCCCAGTGGAATGATATGTACCCGGCCTACTTGGAGGAGGTATACCACTTGCGTTCGCAACCTGCTGAATTCCCTCCTCTTATCGACTCTTTTATTAGGCACAACGACTCGGCTGTCCCGGGCATACCAACCGAGGTGGTGCCCCGCGCGCGCTGAGGGTTTCGAATTGCTCCCCGTAGTACGAAGGCCTCCGCGAGTCGCAGCTTGTAGAGTCTCGCATAGTTCGAATGGGCGCAGACTATGCTAAAGTGTCAGTCATTCAAGGCCCTGTGCATTAGCTGTTCGTGGGTACTGACTCGGGCGAAGCTCCTCGCCGAACGAACATAGTCATCTGTGGTGGACGATTCCGCCGGCGCTGCTGCTCTGGAGGGGTCTTCGGCGTTTACGGACGAGACGTGAGGTGAACAAGACGACTGCGTTGATTCTTGTGAGAGAATCACTGTGGGCTTCATTCTCATGCAGGAGGTGGAGCTGACTCTTGTCGTCGAGTCGAGCAGATTGCCATAACTGTAAGAGGTGCTCGACCGACTCGCTGAACGCGTGAGGCCTGGCTGTTTCGAAATGCCCACAAGCAAGTTCTCACCTATGCAGGCGACCATACCTTGGGATTCGTATCTCATCCGTAACGGGGTGAGCGTATCCATCTCCCGTGGATGGCATCCATCCCCTGTAGATACTCGGCTATGAAGGAGTCGCACTGAGACGGCTTCGGTTTTGAATCCACAGATCTGGTCGTACCCGCCCTCGTCATGCCTTGGACCCACCCTCGCGTCCATACCGATCGAGGAGGTTTTCTTCTTCTTCATTCAAACCTACATCACTTCTTGCATCTACGCTTTGTGCTCTAAACCCGTTCTACACGTTCTCCTCCTGCCGAGATCCACCAAGGCCGCCGATCGGGTTACCCGAATCGCATCAATCGGAATGATGGCCTTTCTTGGGGTGACGGCCGTCGCTGTCGATCAACTCCGTCGGGGAGGGGAGTGGACCTATATGGCCCTCATCGTGGCATGGGTGTCCCCCTTCCTCGCATTGTTATGGTGCGCGCATGGCTACCACATTCTGATTGAACTGGGAGGGGTAACAAGTCTGCTCACCTTTTTTTTGGCCTTTTTCGCATGTGTAGGGGCGTCGCATCTTCCCACATCATCGCTCTTCCGCTCTACGCTACCTTGATACCAATTTTTCTCCCGACGGTCTATCTGTGGGTCTGCGATGCCCTCGCTCTCCAGAGAGGGACATGGGTAATTGAGCGTGGAACAAAGCTCGGCGTCGCCGTCTATGGCCTGGAGATTGAGTGAGTTGCACATGACAAACGCGCATAGCTTTCTTATAATGCTGACCGCGTGAACTTTCCGAACTACACAGGGAAGCCGTCTTCTTCTTGCTCACCAACGTCATGGTCGTTTTTGGGCTCGCAGCTTGGTGAGCCACAGCCGACCTCAGCCGATCGAGAGTTAGTTCCAAAGCTGACGATGGGGGGACGTTCGAAGTGATCATTGCCTCGCCATCTATGACGCGCCTTCAAATCAGGAATTTGAGAGGACATGGAAGCAACGACCTATACTTGGATTGATGCGAACAGTGGTGACACGTCCCCAAGGCCTGCCTCACGATCGGCTCGCCGACCTCAGTGCTGCGGTGGGTTTACTTCATGAGAAATCAAAGAGCTTTTACACTGCGAACTTTGTGTTCGAAGGACGACTTCAACTCAATCTACTGTCACTGTAAGTATTTGCTTCACGATATCGTCAGTGCGGTCCCGGGCTCGCCTGATTTGGTGTGATTGACACTTGTAGATACGCGTGGTGTCGCGTTGCCGATGATCTTGTGGACGACGCTAGCTCCAACGAGGTTGCAACGAGAAACATCTCCTTGATCTCGGCCTACCTCGATACCAAGTACCCAAGCTCTACATCCCAAAGCCACGTCGATAGTGGCAGCTTTATTGATTTGTCATCGGAAAGGCCAGAAGCGAAAAATCTGTGTGGAATACTGGATCCAGCGCAACGGGCGACGTTCAGACTGCTGCTCGATCTCCCTATCACTCGAGGCCCCCTCAACGAGCTTCTTCACGGATTCAAAACCGATTCTACATTTTCAAGAGACAACTCCGCGCCACTAATTGCGGATGAAGACGCTCTACTTCGATACGCTTCCGACGTCGCCTCCTCGGTCGCCGACTTGTGCATGCAACTCGTTTGGGACGAATTTGGTCAATCGGGCACGAGCAGCGACCGGCAGCGCATACTGGTTGCCGCCCGAAAAATGGGCCAAGCTCTACAGCTCGTCAACATTGCCCGAGATGTTCCTGCAGATGCCAAGATCGGTCGGGTGTACCTGCCTCGACTGCCACTCGCCTCTCTCGAGCGCAAAGGTGGCATGGAGGATGCAACCGACGCACGTCTGCGTTTACTCGCACTTGGCAAGGACATGGCCGAAGAAACCCGCGAGACGATTGACTTGATTCCATTCGAGGCCAGGGGCGGGATCCGAGCGGCATGTGCCGTCTACATGCGCATTGGTCAAGCCGTAGAGGAGTCATTGAGAAGAGGCGACGTGCACGGTCGAGCAAGAGTCTCGGTATACGACCGTGTCAACACCGCTTGGAAATCTTTGAATGCTTGGAATTGAGGGTGCGTCACTAGTCACATTTGCAACTGCGATAAAGCGATTGAATGTGAGAAGAATAGAGAGAATCGGTTTCAGAAGACGGGTGAGCGCAGAACATCCGTAACCCTTGCGAGACTCTTCATCTCGCCGTGCCAGCCTGAAGAAGCGAAGACATCAACTCGGCGAACCCGCCCCGGAGCCCGGTAACGCATTCCTTGGCATTCAGACAAAGAAATTTGAAGAAGATATAATCTATTGGGGAACCGAACATCGGCGTTAGATAAAAATCGATAATGCTGGGGCTACTACGTGAGCGACGGACCGCCAGAGGCTGAAACGCGGCAGGCCGACCCAATTCTCCTTACCCCTATTCGTCGGGGTTCCACTCCGCGGCTGCTCAGAACTTGTGACGGACAATTTGACACACGAAGTCAGGATTACCTCAGCGAGTTCGGTCAAGATGTGACTAGCCAGATCCTCGGGTGATCCATTGGTTCTTGTTGCTACGGCAATTGGTCGCCATGTAGATGTGACGTCAATTTTTATGCGTTGGCCGGCCGCACGCAGCCGCAGGGGCGGCCTTTCGTCACTGGGTTGAAACTCGCTGAGCGCGCGCGTGCTGGTACCCTGGTGCGGCGAGCGCCCCTCGACGATCGGAACGATCCGATCTGGTCGACGCAGCTTCGAGAGTTTCAAGGTCGACGCTAGCCGTGCACTCAGCCTGCTCTCTGTACAATCTGGAGATCGAGACTGGACTATAAGTGCGTGCTAAATTTAGCACTTCTTATCCGTCACCGGATTTGTCAACGGTAACGGTTGCCCGAGGCGTGCGCTTCGGCCTCGCGAGAAAATTCAGCCCTCGATCACGACGTCATCTCCGTCCCGAGCCGAGCTTGTCACCGAAGCTTTGCCCTCATCTCCCCGATCAGCGGAGATCGGCGGGCTCCTCCATTGGTCTTCATCAAGCTCTCCTTGCTCTTACCTTCCCCCCTCTTTCCCCAAGCAAGTGTTGAAGCCATTCGATCCTCAGCACCTTTCAAGCCCCACAGCAAGTCACTCGGCACCTTCGCCTTGGAAGCCCTCAAATTACCTTAGTCAAGATGGGAAACAATGCTCTTGCCCTCAACCCTTTGACCAGCAACATCGATATCACGACCCATGGTCAGTAGCTTTCTTCGGACTCCGAAGCAAGAGGTTGCTGTTGAGACAGTCGCTAGCAGTCACAGCGTTCGGGACAGTAGTAGCTCACAAAAACCCTGGATGCTCCCTCAGCGTCGGACTTCCTTTGGGCCATCTTCTCCATCATGGCCGCGAGTGGTATTGGACTCTTGGCCCTTGGTTCCACGCGTCCCCTCGGTCAACGCGCCTTCCACCACTTGGGTAAGTTGGGCGTGCGGTTCAAGTCAAGCTCGACAGTAGTCCAGTCCGGTGTTTTCCGTCGCTCGGTCAGGAGCGACTCTGAACTGACGCGCTGCGGGTCATCATCCGCTCCATCTCACAGCTGCCGCGATCTGCTTCACGGCATCGATCGCCTACTTCTGCATGGCATCTGACCTCGGATCGACCCCCATTGCCGTCGGGTTCATCCGAAGCGGGTCGCTTGGAGCCAATTGGGTCGCCGTCGGCGTCGATCGCCCCACTCGCTCGATTTGGTACGCTCGCTACATCGACTGGGTTATTACCACTCCCCTCCTTCTCCTCGAGCTCCTCCTCGCCACCGGTCTTCCCCTCACGGAAATATTCACCACCATATTCTTGGACGAGGTCATGATCGTCACCGGTCTCCTCGGCGCTTTGGTGTCAAGCAAATACAAGTGGGGTCTTTTCGTAAGTTACGGGCTGGGGGGCTGAGCATAAGCTTAGTAAATACTGGCGAGTGAATACTGGCGCATACTAAGCGGCTTTATCCCACTCCTTGCCCTCTCATCATGCTTTACGAACAAATAGACTGTGAGTTGTTCTGAGGAACTGGTCTGAGAGTCTCTTGGGACGATCGCGGCGCTGATTAAAACTCCGTGTCTCTCGTGAATGGCACAGTTCGGGTGCGTCGCTGAGCTCTACATCTGGTGGATGCTTTTGCTCCCCGCTCGCAAGTCGGCCAACAACCTTGGCGGTAGCTTCCCCAAAATGTGAGCTTCACTGTGCCTCCCGCTTGCTTTGGCCGCTTTCTCTCAAGGTCTGACCTGTGGCGCTTTGTCTTCCGTAGGTACGCAACGTCCGCTTCGATTTTGTCCGCACTCTGGCTTTTGTACCCCGTTGCATGGGGTCTTGCCGATGGTGGCAACGTCATCACCCCTACTTCGGAGATGGTCTTCTACGGCGTCCTCGATGTGTTGGCCAAGGTGAGTTTGCGCCACCAGTAGTGGACCAATGACAAAGCGTCACAGCCGCTGAAACGCTCTTCCCTCACACCGCCACAGCCCGGATTTTGCTTCTACCACTGCATCGCCATGTCCAAATGCGACTACAACCGTCTTGGCTTCGTCTCTGGCAAATGTGAGTTGAGCTCGGATCACCGCGAGCCAAGTCCTGCCCCTAAACGACATATTTCTCCTGCAACTTAGACTCGCAAGCTGCGACCGCCGAGGAGCGACACTACAACACGCAGCACTTGAACCACGACGAGCACGCCAACGAGCCTCGCAACTCCACCGCTACCCGAGTCGAGTCGTCCCCGAACGCCGCCGCCCACCCTGGGTTCAAGCCCACCCAGGCCGCCGTTTAAAGTCGTTGTCTTCCAACACCCTTGTCTCTCTGACGTGTGATCATCTCCTGGACCATAATTAGTCTTGATTATTTGCACATAGCCTAAAACCTAGTATTTGCCTAATATCTGCAACTATGATACATATACGAGTATCAATCATGCTGCGCAATTCTCCGCGGCCACTGCAGCTGCTCCGATCGCGACTCGCCTTGGTGAACGGGACCTTAGCGGCGACGCTCGGCACGATCGGAAGCGACTCGCCGAGACGAGCTCGGTGTTGATGCATTGATGTTGGTCAGCGATCGAGCGCGCTGCGATGCAGCTTTCCCACTCGGATCCTCAGGCTCGGCCTCTATCTTTCTGTCGTCTACTGCCCAAAGGCTCCCCACCCACCGAGCGATTTAACGATCCACGATGGATGCCGCAGCAGAGAGTTCCGCACGCCAACGGACGGCCCTCGTGATCGGCGCCGGCGTCGGAGGTGTGGCGACCGCAGCTCGTCTTGCTTCGGCTGGCTACGCTGTGACCTGCCTCGAGCAGAACTCGTTCACGGGGGGACGATGCTCGCTCATGTACACCGACGATGGTCATCGGTTCGACCAGGGCCCATCATTGTTGCTGCTCCCCAAGATGTTTGAGGAGACGTTCTTCGACCTCGGCACGACGATGGAGCGAGAAGGGATCGAGCTCGTCAAGTGCAACCCCAACTACAAGGTCCACTTTGGCGACGGCGAGAGCTTCACGCTCAGCTCCGACTTGGTGCAGATGAAGACAGAGATCGAACGATTCGAAGGTGAAACGGGGTTCCAAGGGTGAGTATCTATCTGCCGAGCTGGATATGACGTTCAAGCATCGCCCCGTGAGCTTGCTCCCATCCGTGCGGAGACGGCCTCGCGCGAGATGCTCGTGAAAGATACCACGCGTAAAGTGAAATTACTCGGCTGACTACAATGGTATTACTTTCCGTGGAGATCACAGGTTTCTCCAATTCATGTTAGAGGGCCACCGACACTACGAACTGTCGGTTGAGCACGTACTGCATAAAGTGGGTGCTGCGACAGCATCCACTTTCGATCGTCGGATCCCCCCCACATGGGTGGGCCGCTCAGCTCCAGTTGCCGATGCTGAGATCTCGTGCCCGTACGATCCGTGCAGAACTTCACGTCACTCTTCTCGATGCTGCGTCCTTCGTTCCTCAAGAATCTTCTCATTCTCCATCCCTTCGAGTCGATAGTGAGTTGTTGAACAAAGGATTGATGTGACGATGCGGTCACCGTGAGTGGTGCTGACCATGCTGGGCAACAACTGCACGGGGCTCCTCGTCTAGTACTCCAGAGCTTCCCGCTACTTCAAGACGGATCGCCTGCGACGTGTATTCACGTTCGCCTCCATGTACATGGTGAGTCGTTCGCGTGGTTCTAAGAATGCAAACTCTGGCACCAAGCTGAAGCCCTTTTATGATGGCTTGACCAGGGCATGTCACCTTACGATTCGCTCGGCACGTACTCGCTGTTACAATACACGGAGATGACGGAGGGCATTTGGTATCCGATGGGAGGCTTCCACAAAGTGATCGAAGCAGTCCAAACGATTGCTGAGCGGAAAGGTGCAGTTTTCCGGTTGTCGACTCGCGTCTCTAGAGTGTTGCTCGATCCGCACAATGCCAAAAAGGCAACCGGGGTCGTGCTGGAGTCCGGCGAGGAGCTCAAGGCGGACGTGGTCGTCATCAACTCCGATCTCATCTGGGCGCTCAATAACCTCTTTGAGCCAACCTCGTACGCCAAACGACTGGCTAAAAAGCCAGTGAGCTGCTCATCTATCTCATTCTACTGGTCGATGGACCGAAAGGTACCGGAGCTGGGCAGTCACAACATCTTCCTCGCCGACGAATACAAGGAGTCTTTTGATTCCATCTTCCGCGACCACCGAATCCCTCGTGACCCTTCTTTCTACGTCAACGTCCCGAGTCGAAGCGATCCCTCTGCTGCACCTTCGGACCGCGACTCGGTCATCATTCTCGTCCCGGTCGGCCACATCAGCGACTCCTTGCCTGCTGCTGCGGACTGGGACAAGATCGTCGAGTCGGCGCGCACTTTGATCATTTCCACGATTGCCAAACGCATCAGCGTCCCCGATTTTGGTTCCTACATCAAGTCAGAGATCGTCAACACCCCCGTCACGTGGCGCGACAAATTCAATCTGCACCGCGGCTCGATTCTCGGTCTGTCGCACAGCTTCTTCAACGTACTTTGCTTCCGTCCTGCGACGCGCCATCCCTCTGTCGACCGAGCATACTTTGTCGGAGCCTCGGCGCATCCAGGCACGGGTGTTCCGATCTGCTTGGCTGGTGCAAGGATCACGACCGAGCAGATCCTCAAAGACGACCGTGTTGAGGTGCCCTGGAGCAAACAGCCGTCCGCGATCGCGCAACCGGCATGGGCGAAGCATGGGGTCGTCAAAACCTTAGACAAGCGCAGCCGAGTCAACATCGAGAACCTGTTGTACTGGTTCGTCGGTATCTCGATGATTATAATTGCTCAGTTGATATGGATTTCGTCGACGCCGAGCCTGAGAGCGATCGCATAGTCGACTTCTCGATTAGGAGATCACATCCCAGGCCCCAACCCTCCTTTTTCGGTCCGTATTATTAGAAGCATACAGACCTTTGTACACGTCATTCGAGGAAGACCGTGGGTTCTTATTATTGAGCCAGAATACATTTAACATTATCATATGCCAGGATGCAGGCGTGAATAGAGTACAAGTGATAACGACGATGCGGAAGAAGAGAAATGAATGCGAAGAGAACGATCGTCCAAACGGAGAGTGAACAGCAGGCGATAAAACGGCACGAGTGAAAATGTCAGGTCCAGAACCCTTTGCTTTTCCCTTTCTGAGTGCAAGAGTACCAATGCGTTTCTGGAAAGAATCGATTGAAAACGAGGGTATCAGCCAGAACGTTCTCCCGACACCGCATGAAAGCCATAGCGTAAAAGACGGACCGAATGTGTCGGCACTGATCGGGGAGCAAACCAAGTCGTCGTCAGTCGGAAGCTCGCGTTCCTTCGTTCTGGGAGGACCGCCAACTCACGGATTGCAAGAGCATCGATCGCGCTCCGCCGGATCGGCAGGGCAATGTTGGAAGGGCTCGTGACGATACTACGCAGCGAATGACTTTTTAGGAACCAGAAACCGCTAACAGATTCCGATCTCCGTCTTGCACTCACGCCGATATCTTTGAACCAGTGCACTTCGGTTTGATTCAGGAACAGCGCCGCGGCGATCGAATGCACAGGTGCGTCGCCCCATCTGTGCGCGCAAGATGATCGATTAGGTGAGATCCCACCAACAAACTGAATCCAGGCAACACTCACCGCTCGTAAAAGAACCCTCCAGAGCGATCCAGATGATCGAAGTAGGCTCGATAGGCCTCGCCTCGGAAGAAGTTCAGGTCGCCAATTTCTAGGATCGATGTCAAAGGGAAAGGGGTCAGTCTCGTCTCGCCCGGAACTGTGGGCTGGCACGAAGTGAAAACGGACCGAAGTTGGACTGTATAAGGGCACAAAGGGGTCTTAAGTGTCATTATTATCGTGTACAATTGTCTCGCACGGACACAGCGTACCCAGAAATGACACAGGTTGTACGTCTTGCCCAAATCGTCGGAGATCCAGTCGATGAGGTTGTTCGGGGCGATCAGGTGTTGGTTCTTGTGGATGAAGTCTATGTTTGCCCATACACCATCCATAGGAAGATTCAGCTAGCCCCAAGCTTTTGCAATGAACAGGATAGCGGTTCACCTTGAGTCTCTGACCAAAGCGAAGGTATTGTCTCCGCATACTCGTAGATGGAGATCGCCCACCCGTACTTCTTGCCGCTGTCGCGCATGAAGACGAACGGATCGTACGCCAAATCGCAGCTGCGGAAGTGATACGTATCCCAAGCGTCAGACACATGTCCAAGGCGCGATTTCCGTGATCCGATTTGAAGACTTGACTGACAAGAACTTGACGCCCGGCTCGATCCTCCAATAATAATCGTACTGGTCCAACAGGGGGTGCCGCCAGAAGAACCCACTTTGATACCTGCGACAGGACAATGACCGGGAGGTGAGGACGAGACAATTGGCGGGCAGTAAAGTGAAAAGATGGCTTACCTGCACATCCGTCGATACGATTGACTGCCACCGTAGAGGATCTTCTTCTCAACCATCGCCTGACGCGCCTTGGCCGCTTTCGTCTGATCAATCCAACTCGGCTCATTCGCCCACTGATCGCTCGGAACCTGACCATAGCTACATGTCCCACTTGCGAGGAGCGAGGTAAATTTCTTGAATTCGTCTGTGAAGGGCTCATTGTTGAGGAACACGTAGGGATAGTGGAAGTTTTTGTTGAACCGATCTGCTCGAAAGGAAAGTGATGGTCGACTGTCAGCAAATCTAGTGCTAGGAACGAAGGATGGCTTCATTGCTCTCAAAAAGGAAAGAGCGTCGAACACACCTTCAGTCTGTCGGATGCTGCCTACAATCTTCCATAGATCCGAGTTGCGAGCGAGGATAACGAACGCCGCGCGAGCTTTGTTGGTCGCATTGATCGCATTGGGATCGGGGTCAAGCGGCTCAAACGGCGCGAGTCCGGTACCGCCGACACTTGTCAAGTCATCTAGATTTGTTGTCGAAGAGTCATGCCATGATGAAGGGGAGCCATCTGATCCTAGACCACTTTTGAATGCGATGGCTTCGAGGGAGGCGCTGGCGGCGTAGCTCGGGGACATGAACAGTGCGAGCCAGTGCAATCCGACCAGTGCGAGCAAGCCCACGAGGAGGTATCGGACGATGGGTATTCGTAAAGCTCTCGGAAGGTGGGATGAGAATGAAGATGATGTTGCGCCTCCATATTCGAGTCCTCGTTCGGAACTCGCGACTACGTAGAGGAACCTCATTGTCAGCTTGGGCAACAGCTCGGCGTGTGCGACGGCCGCCAACCAGCATGACTTACGACGTTGATAGTCGAACGCATCCAGTGGCGAACTGAAACGTCCTGGCGGGTACGCCATTGACTATGAACCGGGCTATCCTCTGATCTCCTGGACGATCCGGTGCTCGACTCGCAGCACCCCGGGCCGGCGCCGTCCCCGCTGCGGACTCCGAAGTGAGCTCGGTCCGGAAGGAGAGAGTGCGCTGAGCTTGTTCGACGGAGCTCTCCTACGCCTCTAGGGACTAGAATTCAATCGATCGAGACGATGAATGGGTTGCCAGGCGCAGCAGTAGACGGACACAAGCCAAACCTCGAACGCGCTCGTCTCTGGGAGGACAGAAGCCCCGAGGGGACGCGAGGTCTCGCGAGGTAGATGTTACGAAATGACAGTGTATTCAGGCAAGGCACCGAAGCTTTTTGATGGCCCGCAAGGTCTCTCAACAGTTGCGAATGATCTCAAAAAAAAACAAGAGAGGAAGAAATTATGAAGAACCAATAAACATCTACGAGCGATATCCAAGAATCTCTCTCATCTTGGTCTGCACCATCGCTATCATTGCTTTGATCCTCACAATGCCGTCCGGACTCTGGGGAAAGTCAGGCAGTCTGAGTGTGAGCATGTTGACCAATCGGCATTCCCGCGGACTGAGCTTGTGCAGAGCTTCCAGAAGATATCGGCGTCGTGGACTACGATCAAGCACGCTGCCCCACAGATCCAGGCGTGCATTGAACAGCTGCTTCCAGCCCGGTAGCGCGCTGGTCGACGCTAGATAGAGCGGCTTCCATGCTTCCCAACTTCGCGGGCTCAAGAACTCGGCAAATGAGCCCACGACTTGCACGAACCAGTAGACCGCGGACTCGAGGTCGTCCTGAAGACTGCGATACGCCAGAGTCTTTTCTCGACCCACGAGGAGCCAGAGGAGCACGTCCGAAGGTGCCGTGTCGAGGGTGACTCTGACGGACCCCCAATCCTCGGCAACGTTGCGAACCCGTACACCCGGCGGCGCAACGATGCCCGAGTCCCAGTCGCAAGGTGTCCTTGGTGGTGGAGGATGTTGCCGAGCGACAAGTCGCGATGATGGATACCGAGATCGTAGAGAACTGGCAGCAACGTAAAGAGCCGGTCCAAGACATCGAAGGCGTCGCTCAGCGGGTGGCGACAATGTCGGTGTCCGTGGACCCGGGTAGGTAGAGGAGTGGGGTTGCGCAGAATGAGGAGGTCCAGCTTGCGTCGTCGCACTCGCTGATAAGCATCTTGCCCGTCTCGAAGCACTGGCAAGTCTTTGTCCTGTATTTGCGAGTAATGGAGGCCAAACGACTTCCACTTTTCGAGGAGAGCGATGTGGTTGAAGATCAGTGACGCCTCTTCCTGCGACGCGATGGATGCGCAACGCTCCTCAATCTTTTGCAGCACGTTCGCCTCGTGACCAACATAGTTGAGCGTATTGTATTGAATCTTGAGCACAAAGGACGGTGTGGAGTGTGACGGCGAAGATGCCGAGCCCGCCGGCGCGATCAAGCTTGGTCGGGTCAGCTGCAAAACGACCGTGCTGCGGCTGAAGATGGATCCGCCGTCCGTGAGTGTGGGGTGGACGAGCTCGATGGCTTCCTCGTCGATGAAGTCGACGGTGCGGCCAACGAGAGGAGCTCCCTCTTCAAGCTCAGGCGGACGAAGGCAAGAAGCCAAAGATGACGCTGGGACGATGCCGATTTGGGAATGGCATGCGTAGCGGAAGAGCGGGTTGAACCCTGCCGAGTAGACATCCAGGCCAAACAGAATGAAAAGGACGACCCCCGACTCGCCAAAGCGCTCACCCCAGCAATCCGCGATGGTCGCGATCCGACACGCCTCATGGTCGAGCACGACAAGGTAAACCTTGGTATCGGTGATGGCCAGGCCCGGCGCATACATGCGGGTTGGTTGACTGAGTGCATGCTGCGCCAAGTCGAGAACGAGCTCGACGAGGGGAGACGAGACGCACGCGGTTCGCTTGGTATGGGCCCCCTACGGAGGCACGCCGAAACGATTTGGGACAAGCATACCACGTGCGGTAGGCCCTTTCTTCTTCGCGGCCATCTGCTCACAGCACGTCAGGAAATGGTGAGGTTGAGAACGTTTGAAATCCTTGTGGCGTGCACCTCCTTGAGTCAATCGAGGGTGTTCTTGCGCTCGTGCGCTCGTGCAATCGTCAAACTCTTCTGCTGTCCGCCATCGGAACTCGCCTAGTAGTTCGAAAACCGGACAGCGGTGGCAGCAATCAGTATCTTCGTGAGCCACGCATAATCCGGATAGCCCTGGTTGGAGGATGCTTACATATTTTGCAAGTGGCCACACCCAATCTGCCTTCGTTTGGCTCGCGGGTCGTTGGCAGTCGCGTTTGAATTCGTCTGAATTCGTCCCTCAACCTGCTCAGGACTCGCTTGAGGCGCTTCTGAACTTCTTGCACGCGTGCCTTGAACCGTGCTTGCTCCATCCGACTGACCGAATACACCAAACCGGGGGTATCGCACACAACGACGCGTGAAACGATCTTCTCTTCGATGAAGCATTGGTCGTCTTCGCAGTCCAGCGCAGGCGAAATGAGAGCTTCGATCACACTTTCGCGCGCCGGATTGCTCGCGGTCGCAGGCATCATCTGCGGGTGATTGAAATGGTCACGCTCGTCACGATGATGGTGGGAGGAGTGGGCGCCGCTTGCGGTCGTCGGACAGCGCGCCATGCTCGGCGACGACGGTGAGCGTGGGACATCGTCGTCGGCCTGAGCCTTGCCGCGATCTTGGCGCACGTTCGACTGCGATGGTGAGTGCGACGACGAACGCGACGACGACGAACAGAAGGACCCGGATGATAGCGAAAGTGCTGCTGGCGAGCGCGGGGACGATGACGATCGAGGCGAATGCGAGGGTGCGGGCGACGGCGGGACCCATAACGGTGGCGACTGTTGCAGGTAGAAGACGACTGAGAGGCTTTGGTCAGCGCGTGAGCAACACCAGACCGATTGAGACTCTATTTCCACTTGCATCTGGCTGTATAGGGGGCTCGTGATCGAATGCGCTGCGTGGAGCCTCAACGCTTGTTGGCCAACACGCTTGGATTGGGCGCTTGCCCAATGGAGGATTGGGGCGATGGCGATCAGTATCACCTTGCTTCGTTGACATGGTCAGTTCGAGCGCGCTGCAGCGATGCAGCGATGCAGCGATGCGGCGAGTTAGTGAGGAAGCGATGAAGCGATGAGCAAGTTCGCGTCAGTTACTCGTGTTGCAATTGGGTGTCAAGTTAGTGGAACAGAAACCGGGGCAGGAAGGGGGAGATCTCGCGAGGCAGCAATATTTAAGCAGTTGTTGAGCTATGTTGAGAGGAAACTAGGGCTCGAAGACGGTGTGCGCCCACCTCCCTGCGTGATTCAAGATTCAACGATGGGAGAGATAGATACAGATATGAGTGCTACACTATTGGCCTAGCCAGTGTGCTTGAAATGCATCTCCTCCGATTTTTCCAGTGTTTTTTTTTTAAAAAAAAAGGCATTTGGCTCGATTCTGATTAGCCGACGAGAAGGGCGGGTGGCGGGTGGCGGGTGCGGGTATTAGCGCTCCAAGCTCCCGAGTCCGCTCTTGGTCAGCTCAGGTCAGCCAAGCGCAGCGACTGTCTGCGACTGTTGGCGTTGCCCGTTTCGCCGAGACTGCCCGGCGAGTGCGACGACTCTCGCCCTCTCTCCCCCATCAGTGCATCAGCCCCCATCGCGCTCGCCCACACACGTCGCCCACTTCACTTGATCGCATCCTCTACCAACAATGAACACACTCAGAACAAGCCTGGCTCGGTCACTGAATAGGTCGTACCCTGCCTCCCCCCTGGCGCCGTCGTCGATCTGCATCGTCTCGAGTTCGAACGCGCTGTTCAGCTTGTCCTGCTCGTCGCCGTGGCACACGCCAAGTCGACCCACTTCTCCCACCCGATCGGCCACAGGAACGACCTCATTGCGCTGGATCCGATCTGCCTCGTCCGCGTCGAGTGTGGCCTCGAGCCTGAGTGGGACCGCAGCCGTGCCGGGTGCGCCTCCGATCGTAGTGGCGCCGACCGCGGCATCGACCGCCGACAAGACCCAGCCTACGACCAAGCGGCGCGCCGTTCCCAAGGCACGAAAGGCTGCTATCACCCTGGTGCGGTCCCCCAAGCTGCTTTCGATTCGTCTAGTAGTCTAGTATCCCTCCGCTCACTGACCCCGGGTTGCACCCCACCATCGCCGATCTGACCCGATTCGTTCCCCCGTCCTCGCTTCCCCCACAAGCAGACCCCCGCAGCCGTCACCCGAATCCGGTCCCTCCTCTCTTCTCCAACACCCACACTCATCCGCATCGGCGTGCGCAACAAGGGCTGCGCGGGCATGTCCTACCACCTCGAATACGTCGACGAACCCGCGCGGTTCGACGAAGTGGTCGAACAGGATGGCGTCAAGGTCGTCGTCGATTCGAGGGCGTTGTTCAGTGTGATTGGGAGTGAGATGGATTGGCAAGAGGATGCATTGCAGGCCAAGTTTGTCTTCAAGAGTACGTTGTGGTCGCACACGCGGGGGGTGGAGTGCAATGGGGAGCCGGGGGGGTGGGGGATGCTTCCCCCTTGCAGCCCAGACTCGTTGATGTTTACTCGCACTGACGCTTGATATGGTCTGTCGTCCTTCAATAGACCCCAATATCAAAGACGCTTGCGGCTGCGGAGAGTGAGTGGTCGGGTTCTGCCATTCCGTCTCGAACCCGACGCGCGAATAGCTGACCTGCTCATCTCACCTCGTCCTCACAGGTCCTTCATCGTATAGAGCAACACTCAGCAACCCCCTTGTGCATCCTCATGCTCTAACAATATCACACCTCTCTACGCTTACCTTGCTCTCGCGATGGATACGCATTTGATCCTGTCTCGAGGTCGGAAACTCGCTTCGGTTTTTCGAAGTCTGCCTCACCCCCCTGTCCCCTCGCACACCAAAGACAACAAAGCTCCTTCATATTCCAAAGTCTCCTTCTACTACCAATCACCAACTCATCAAGCCCCTCAAATTCGCCAGTACCGTATCCGGGTCACTATGGATCATCTCGCACAACTCCATCTGACGACCCAAACTCAACGCTTCGAATTCGGCCAAGAGTTCGCCGTCGAGTATACCTTTGGCCATGGCACGCGAGACGGAATCGTTCTTTACGATCCTGTTTGGATAGCAGGTCGCAGTGAAATGGAAGGGAGTGAGTAGAGAGTTCTCGTCTTGGAAAGTCAAATCGAGGTGCACATACCTGAATCCCCTCGGGTTCAACCCTCCAAAGTGCAACACACTCTTCATCATAATCATCTGCAAACTCTGCAACCTTTTGAACACGATATCCCTCACCGGAACCAACGTCATCAAGGAACCGTCGTTCGTCCCGTAGAGAATCCCGTTTTGTTTGAGGTCTTCGGTTGGGGAAGAGCGACGAGCGAATAAGATGGTTGCTTGGGCTTCGGAGGAGGTGGCATATTCGGTACGGCAGAGGAGGCGTTGGCCTGCGTAGGAGGAGATGTCTGATGAATAGTAATAACGAGGTTAGGAGGATGCTTATAAGTAAGCAAGCAAGCAGAGAAAGCACTCACTGAGAGGATCGTATTCAAACATCCTCAACACGCCGTCCAAATCACCCACGACGAGAGCGACCTTGCCATCATTGACCAAGAAGTTGGAGTTCGACACGCTGACAGGTCGATAGTCCCTACCCAAGAGAACCAACTTGTAAGGATCCTCCTGAAACGCGACCAAAGTAACGGATTGCAAAGCGTCCCCAATAAGGAGAAAGTTCTTCGTCGCCGTCAAGGAAGTGACGTGGACGCCAACATCGAAGAACCCAACGGCGATAAAGACCTCATCTTGTTCCAGTGCGCGAGCGTAGAGCTTCTGCCCCATCGACATGATGAGGTGGCCGTTGATGTCGCAGATGTTGCCGACGACGGACTTGGTGTCTTCGTTCAGGAGTCGCTTGAGCTTGTGCGCGACGTAGGGCCGTTCGGGTGAGGGCACGATCGGGACCACTTCAAAGAGGTAAATCTGCAATATCGTAAGGGCGGGCATAGTCAGTAATGCGGGCCGAACCTGTCGCGGTCACTTGTCCCATCGAACTCACCCCTCCCCTCGCCGCAAGATCCTCGGCACGGAATACCGTCGTTCCCACCGCAATAAAGTCCTTCCGCCCCGTAGCCGTACTCTTGCTCGAGAGAGTGACGGTCTTTAGCGTCGATACGAATTCGTTGGGTCGGAACTCGAACCCGTCGATCGCCTTCCATGTGCCGGGCATGATCAGTTCCAATGTCGAGCGGAAGTTGTGCGCGTCCGTGATCTCGGGATCTGCCATTGAAAGAAGGCTCAGCCTTCCGCTCAGACGATCTTCAGAACACGCGTGCACTCACTCTCGTTGACGTAAACGGGCTTGCCTTCGTCGTCAAAGTTCATAAAGACGGTATCGTACAACGCTCCGGCGACGTAGAGACCCGAGTCGAGATCAAAGGTGACCGCAGCGTAGCGTCGATCTTTAGGCACTCGTTGATACGGCATCTCACGGTCGAAACAAACGTCGTACGGCAGGGATGCAGCGTAAAGGCTCTGTGATTGTGAATATGTCGGGTAAGCCATGGCATGTCTGAGATCTGGCCATACTTGCTAGGGCACTCACATCTTTGGACTGTACCAGATACCCGTCACCATTGGCCGACGGGGAGAAACCATACAAGTTTTTCTCGCTACTCTCAACGTATCGCACCGGCCCATGATCACTCGCAATGAACCAGAACGGGTCATCACCCGTTACGAACCACCCGGAGAATCCATCGATGTTGATGAAAGGAATGAACTCGCGTCTCGGAGAGGGTAGAGGCTCTTCTTCATCGAGGCCTCGTTTCGCTTTCCTTCGGACGGGGAGAGGGAGCCGTTTGGTCAACATCTTGACGAAGCGGACTCCGAGTGAAGCAGTCCGATCGGGTCGGGATGATTCGCCTGCGGTGATTGAAGGCATCGCTTCGTACACAGCCATCGCACCGTTTTTGAGCAAGACCACGAGATGAGCGCGCAGGCGACTTTGACCGACGTAGCCACACAGCACTCGATCGATCTGGATATCATCCTCGTCAATGTTTTCGGGCACCGGTTCACCCTGCCCGTCCTGAATCACGTCGGGGAACAAGGCGATCGCCGTCGCGGAGAACACGACCTGAAGGTTGGGCAGCAGCACGATCTGCAGGTCTCCATGCTCATCCACAAGAGGCATCCACTGCCATGCCGGGTGTTGACCGTGCGTTGCCAGCGCCCCATTCTGCACTGTCGGCTCAATCACGAGCGAGAGGTTGCCCTTCGTTTCGGAAGCAAGCGTTCGCCGGGGCGCGGTCGTGTAAAGATCGTCCTCGTCCTCGGCGGTGTCAGGCGCTGCAATCGCGCCGTTCTTCTTCCCCTGTGGCACAGACCGAACGAGGGGCACCGCTCGGGTCGAGTCCGAAAACAAAGTGACGGCCAGGGCCGAGCTGGTGTAGCTCAACACGGCATCGAACACGGCAACGTCGCCGCTGGTGATGTCGTAGACGAAGACCTCAACCTTATCTGACGGTCCGAAGACGGCCACGAGCGACTGCGACATGATGGCCCGCGAGGCGAGTGAGACCCTGGTGAAGACACGTGAGTGTCGTACAGATAGATCGGCATCGAGTACATGCAGTTCCGCAGGGGTGATGCGGATGATTGACGTCCCGTCGGGTGAGGCGAAAGCGGCAATGGTCGGTCCCGAAAGCTCTGTTGGCTCAGTCTCGGTGGTCGCGAGCGCGGTGAATCGAGTGGTCGAAGCATCAGAAGAAATCAGTATCGGAGAGTGTTGCCCTTTCAAATTCAGCGCCCAGACGCCGTTCGTAGCGATCGTCGAGCTGTCGAGTCTCCGTCGTTTCCGAGGCGCGATGGTGCGATGGAACACCGTAAGCCCGGACGTCGGTCCCTGACCCGTACTAGCGACGAGGTCGACGGGTGAGTCGTCCCCTACGAGTCCAACCGCAAGGCTTCGTATGCTTCCGTAGTGTTCGAGCACATCGCAGGGTGTGAGCAGCAACGAGCGACCACCAGCGAGTACTCGTGCCGGAGCTGCAGCGATGGTCGTCGGGGGGGCCTTTGTGGCATCGCTTGCACCGTAAATATCTATGATAATAGACAATGAGGTCAGCATGTGCGGTCAGCTTCCCGTTCTAAAATTGAAGGGGGATCTCACCGTCCAAGTCGTCAAAATCCATCTCGGTAGGTCGAGACGAAGCAAGCTCGGAGCTGGTCCCATTCGTAGCTCCCACTTGCCAGCTCAGCAAACTCGACTCCCCGGCATGCGATCCCACAAACACATATCCCATCTCGCCAAAGCGACCTTTGCTCCCTCGGATCCGTTCGACGCAGCTCGCCGGCACGCCTCGACCGACCTGCTTGAGGTTCATCGAAGAGATCGAGCGACCCGAGGTGACGAGACTGAGCTCGAACACACTGCCGGACTTGGCAAAGACAATCGCTTTGCTGTTGGAGACGAAGACGATGCGGGCGCCTTCGAGCTCGTCGCGCGTCGTCGCCTCACCCGGCTTGATCGAGGACGAAGCGGCGGGCCAGTCTTTGACGAACCATCCGTTTGCGGCGACGCCTACTAGCTTGCCTCCTTGTTCGAGATGGATGACACCATTCGCAGTGAGAATGAGTGCGCCCCCGAGATCGGGTGGGCAGGGATGAATGGAGAGGCAGGTGTGAGGGAGAGGTGGGGAGGTTGCGATGACGACGGCGGTCGTGTCCGAGTCGGTCCCCTTCGAGGTCCCCGTCGCGAGCGTCACGAGTGAGACGAGGCAGTTGTTGCTGACATTCTCGAGGCGTCCAGCCCAGGTCTGTTCCGGTGCGTACAGGATCGCCAGGGTCGGTTCGTTGAAGCCGGGGAGGAAGGCGATGTCGATGACGTTACGAATCGGGGGTGTACCTCCGACGAGAGCGATCGAGTTGGACAGCGTCGAAGATCGAGCCGGTCCACTGATGCTGGTCGTCGCGGTCAGGGAAGCCAGAGGGAGGAGATGTGACGGGGCGTATGGAATACTGTGGCCGATGAGGATCACCACTCGTGTTAGCTTTGAGTTCGGAGTGAGAAAGACCAGACTAACGAAGCAATGCCCTGGGGTCCCCATGCTTCGGCATCCACTCCAAGACTGTCGAGATCAATCTCCTCTTGGAAGAAGGGTAGAATTGCCAGTGTTCCATCGCCTCCCGTGTTGGAAGGCAGCAGCAGCACCGACAGTCGCGAAGCTGGATCGGTCGCAGCCAGCGTCGATCCTTCGGCCTGTCGAGCAACCCCAACATGACACGGAGCAGCGTTAGCCGAGGTGTTCCAAGGTAATCAGCGCTGCATGCATGGCCGGGTGCACTGACCACCTGGGGTAGCTTCTCGAACGTGTGCAATGAGACGGGGAGCAGATCATGGGCGGATGCGGTCCACTCCAGGAGCGAGAGCTGAAGGGCAGGGCAGGCAAAGCGAGCGCGTGAGAACGACAGCAGTTCGTACGCCGATACGATAACATGGATGGTGCACCACTCACTTTGGCGTCTTTGAAGGAGACCAGTACGCGATCTGCGCCATCGGTCTTGGAGGCGAGTGTCCGGATGCGCGCGAGCGAGGTCACCGTGCCGTGCAGTCGTCTCGTCACGAGGTGGTGCAGCCGAGCCGTGGGGGCCTAACAACACGGATGTAAGGGATCAGTCATGCCTGGCAAGGACGAGCTCAAGCACCGGCCCGGCAGTGATGCTCCGACCTGAAGCTGGGGGGCTGAAAACTCACCTCGTGCGACGATACCGAAACGGGCTCATATTCCCTCACTTCAAACACCTGCAGCACGTGGTTGCGCGCCGTCACGAGATGACTGACGACCGTCCCATCATCCGAGGTCGAGGCCGTGTCCTGCGCCGCCGTCAGTCGTACACTCAGCGCATGCGACACACCCGTCGGCGGCAGCTGCACTCGATGGTACGCATTCATCGCCGGCCTTCCCTTCCTCGTGTGGGGGTTTCGGTGCGGAGCGAGCGAGAGCCGGCCCAGCGCGCCTGTCAATGAGGGCAGTCGCCGCCGGTCCCGCACGACTGCGAGTCAGAGTCAACTTGAAGAAACATCTGGATACAGGATGTAAGCACAGCTTGTTCTTCTGCCTCGTCGAGCAACGAGCAAGACGAGCTCGCCTGATTGCTTCAATCTCTTTCTCGCGGGTGGAGCAATAGAGCTCTTAATCAAAGTCCAGGCCGAGCAGAACTTGAGCTTCAGAGGAAAATGTGTTCGAGCGGCGTTACACGAGGTCTATACGCCAAGCCCCCGAGCTAGGCTACAGATGGGTGAGGGACGGAACAAATAATTATACATGTATACAGTCAAGTCTTTCGACCCAAACCAGGCTTGCGTCATGGAGCAACCATTGGGAACTGAAGAAACTGCTGGAGCTGAGACGTCTATGATGAGGAACGAAAGGACAGTGTCTGCCGAGGACGAAATAGAGTCGCCCAGAGAGGGCCATCACGAAGAGCGGGCCGTCCATCGTTGACAGGCTAGATATGTGACCCGAGGAGACGTGTGGGTGTGATATGATGCGGTAAGAAGAAGAAAGTGCCGATCGTCTGAAGTGACAACTTAGCGTCAAAAACTGTTCAAGCCTTGACGCAAGTCTTTTGCCTGCGCTTGTTGGTGCCCGCCTTGAACCCACTGGGGCAATCTGTAAAAGTTTATGGAGGGAGGGAAGTGGTCAGTCCCTGATGGTGGACGTGGTCCCATAGGAGATGCAAGAGAATGACGGACCAAGGCTGCACTCGCCCGTAACGCAAGAGGCGGCGTACTTTCTGTCGTACGAGGCGCCGCACTTATTGCCTTCCTGTGTATGCCAATCACCAGTAGGTGTTTAATAAAGTTTTTTCGATGATGCTGAAAGTGTCCGTTCTAGCCGACTTACACGTCCGCAGTTGAGGGGGTCGGAGCCGAAAGCGAGGCACGCGGTCTTGTCCTTGCTGAGGGTGTAGCCGCGGGTGGTGCATTGGAGCGTGCACTTTCCGTCGGCGCAGCCGGACACACCGTTCTCGCTCTGGGCGCAAGTCTTGTTCTTGCACTTGTCGACGTTTTTGATGCAAGCCGTGGATCTATCGGTGATCTGCGAGGTGTATCCCTTCGGGCAGCTGACGGTGCACACTTGGTCACAGGTGACGGTCGCGACCTTGGGGTCGTACGAAAGCTTGCCTCGGAGCTGACGAACACAGAGGGCGTCCGCGTTGGCTTGGGCGTTAGCTGGGAGCAGTGGAGTAAGAAAAAACATATGCTAGAGTCAGCCTCTCCATGCCAAGGTTGTCCACTGTGCACGCGACAAACGCTGAGTTCACAACTCACCCTCTCGGCCAAGTCGGCAACGAATCCTCGGCTGCGATCGCTTGCTCAAGGCTTGGCTCTCAAAGTCTCGTCGAGTTAGACCAACCGCAGAGTAAGCGTCCTCAAAGTTGCGCGTAGCCAAGTCTTTGGATTCTGAGGCTCGGACGGAGCGCTTGGCTTTGCGGGCGGCGCGTGCTCGGGCGAGGGCGATTCGCGACGAAGCCTCGCGTTGGAGCGTCCTCTTGTCAAAGCCCATGGCGGCCGCGGGGGAGGCAGAGTCTTCCAAGATGGAAGGAAGAAACCGTTTAAGGTCAGTATCAGCCCGTGTATGGTAGTCTGTTCTCATGGACCTACCAGCGACGGGCGCAGCAAAGACGGGCAGCGCGATGGCGAGCACAGAAAGGATCTTCGTGGCGAGCATCTTGGACAAAGAGAACACAGGGGTCGAAGACGGGAGCGACTGGAGGCTTCACGGAAGGCGGAGGCGGGGTGACTTGTGAACGAGGATATGAGTATGAAGAAGGAGGTTGAAGAGCAAGAGAAGGCAGTGTTGAGGTCCTCATCGCACACTGTGTTCGGTAAACGACAAGAGATAGCCCAATATTTGGTTATCTCTGCCATGTCTTAATCGGGACGATCGATCCTGCGCGAACAAAAAAAAATCGCCTCCATTTCGCGTTAACAGAAGGCCAAACTACCTCGCATGCAAAGAGTGGTGGACCAGGCACAATTGCTACTTAGAACCGAAGTGGTGTTGGATCTACCGAGTGCGAAGGGCGACGCGGCGCTCAGATCAACGCGGGGGATCCGCACATCCTAACTTAATGCAGACCGTCATTAGAGGGATTCGGCCCAGCGTTTTCGGGGCCGAGGGCCGATCCTGTGCGCGCCGCTGCGTCGCTAGGTGCACTGCCCGCGCCGCCCCTAGATCCGTGCCTAATGTAGCCTGATTTGCGCATGACATGCGGATAATTCTGCATTACACATATATCATGGCTAGTGTTGTGTCGATTGGACGAAGAAGTGTCATACTGGGTCCTGCATCATGAGCGACGGCCCGGGCCGGTCCCTGCAGTGGGGTCCTCCGAGGGCTATGATACTGCAAACCTAAGTGTCTACTGCCGAACATAAAATCAGAAAATCTGTTACAGAAGCTGTAGGAGTATTCTAAATTGTAGAAGCCTAGAACATACCTGGCCGTGCAATTCGGGGTCGAAGCACAGACCTGCGCAGGCGCGACTCCCGCGCCGTTTGTAAATCGCGACGGCAGCCACAGCAATCTTCCCCGTTGAGGAAGGTGGTCCCAACCGCCTTGGCTGCCCAACTTGAAGCGACCTCGGGTCTATCCGGAATTATCAAGGGGCCGCTGGAGCCTCAGATCCCGCGCCGACACAGCAATTACCAGATTATGCAAATGGTGCCTCGCAATCTAGTGTACTACTAATGCCTTCTGAAGGGGTGCGTGGGAACCATCCCGGGGCCGTTCCGAATTCCAGGATCCCAGCTTGCTCGCGCCTTTGTCCACTGCAGCATCGTTTCTCGACTTGACCGATGTGTGCCTAGGTGCCTGGCTCTTGTACCTGGCTGTGCAAGAGGTACAAGAAGGATAGGATCGATCCATGGTTCGCTCCATGATTCTTGCTCGGCCAAGGTCGGGGCATAATGCATCGGGTCTGTGCGTATTCAGGAGCTGCAATACTTCCGAGCCCCTCCCCAGAACCTCGACTTTTCGCCGAAGGGCCTTGCCTCCTTGGGCAGACCGTGTGCACGGACAAAAAGAACTGTGCTTCGGGCCGGACAAAAGGGTATCTAGTGGCTGTTAATTATTCATTGACCCCGAAATATCTGCCTGCCGATGGACATACAGCTGTTGGGATGCCCAGCGGCGCACCCCTCATCTCAAAAGACTCGCGGTCGCAAATCTCGCGGTCGCAAATCTCGCGGTCGCAGATCTCCGACCCATTGACGTCTCGCGGGCTGTCGCAGAGCATCCTACACGGGGGGTCCCTACCAATCATTCATCTTCAGTCGATAGTGCAAGAACTCTTGATGGCAATATCATCGTCCAAGCGACGTCAAAACGTCATGTGCGAGTAGATTTAAAGCCTCTATTTCTGACCGCGCTAGGCCGGCCCTGTAAGCCCCGCGGCTTTGCGGACGGGCAGAAATAGGGGCACCCGCATGTGTGTCATCAACGGGTCCAGAAAAAAATGTCGATCGATATTCGCTGCCGCGAGCGAGTGGTGAGCCGGCGTCGGCGGATCTGGGCGTGCGGGGCACGCTGGCTCGCATTGCGCCCATTGTGGTCACCGAAATTACCCCTTTCAGCCATTTTGCCCGATCTAGTCGCGCTGGAGGACGTCGACCGACGTCGTCTGCGAGGCCAAGAACCGTTTCTCGGGCGGATTTTCTGGGGGTCTTAACCCCCAACATCTTCGGTCTTCAGGATGGTACCCCCATCTTCTTTCGGTTGAATCGGGCTGGTGCCGTTGCGAGAGTCGGCCCGCCAAACCCTGAGCCCGAGGTGGCCGGCTTCTGGCTGAGGCAGGCGTTGCTAGGGCTCGGGCCTCGATATTTACCTGCCGAACCACGCAGGATGAAGAGGTCTACTGCAGCAAGCGTTCTTGGGTCCAGCAGTTGATGAATTTTCCATGTATAAACAATGATGGTGTCGAGCCCCCAGCTGGTTTTGGCTTCGACGGCCACACTTGGCGAGTCCTGCATCAGCAAAATGGGCATAACAAGACGTCCTTAAGCCCCGGCTTAAGCGCCTTTAAGCGGTGCGCGCCGAGTGCCCATTTTGCTGATGTGGACCCACAGGCGCAAGCGCGATATTACAAGCTGCAAAGCTTCAAAGGAGTTCTTGCAGCGTCCTTGGCCCCGATTCGGAAGGGTCTTGCGCATGCTGGCGAGGAAAGGGGCAATGCAGACGGAGGGAGCCGAGCCGAAAAGCGGCCGGCTGTCAAAGCGGACGCGACGTTAGTACCGGGTCGTCGGAGCGATCTATCGTATTTCTGGCTGTTGGAGAGCGATTTTTGGGCATTTGCACGACATTGAATTTTTCATGTTTTCGGAACTCTTCCAATGTACGACCGAAAATACGTACAAATCGACCCCTCAGACACCTCATCCCGATGTACAAATCGGCCAAAAATCGCCGTTTTTCGAGACGCACATTGGGCTGAGCTTTCCCCCCTTTCCCGGGTCCTCCTAGCTCAAGCTCAGACCGACGCTACCAGTCGCCTCTCTCCCTCCCACCACCTCGTCGTTCGCACACCACCTCACCGTTCTGCCAGCCCAACTACACTCGGGTGAGTACCCTCATGTTTATCTCTGGGTCCCTGCTGCCGTCGATCATGGCAGTACCGCTTGCTCTCGAGCCCCGATCATACGTGGCGGCCAACCTGCTTGTTCGACGGCGCTCCTAAGGCAGGATTTCCGGCCCACAGTCACAGCAAGGCTGGCGCCCACAGTGATGTCCCGACTCGGAGCACAGCGCTGAGGATCGCCTTCGTCCATCTCCAGTAGCGCAAAGATCGCCGGCATGTTGTTTCGAAGTTCTTCGATCGCTTTGACGAACGTATCGCTCAACTTTTCGACTTTCTTGATGGCTCGGAAGCGCCCGAGGACAACGCCAAGTTCTTGTCCCTCCCAAAATTTGCGTGAGAGGCATTCTTTGTACGTATCGAACGCTTTATTGAACGCGACGGACGGCAGACCGCCGGGGATGTAATCTCCACCCGCGAGGATCCCGGCGATGATGAGTTCTTCGCCGTCCCATCCGAGCACCATGGTATCAATGAGGCAGAGCAACGAGCATTGTGGCCGCGCCGAGGCCCGTCGAGGAGCTATCCTGAGCTTGTTGGCCGGGTTTTGGGTCGAGTCAGGAATCGACATGTCGACGAGGATGCGACGATGGCAGAACTCGGGCGGAAGGTTCAAAATCCAGTCGGAATCCCTCGAGTAGATAAGGGTCGACCAAGGATCGAGGGGCACGTGTAACAGGAACCCTTGACGACAGACGAGAAACGCCAGGGTGTCCGCCTCGGACTTTGCCATGACAAACGTTACGAGAGGCGTCAACGAGCAGAAAATAATGCCATCGGCTTTCTCTAGATCCCATCGAGGATCTGTTCAAGAGCGTGCCGTCTGAGCAGCGCAAAGGTGCGCTCGAACATCTGACCTCTCTGGTGGCAAATTCATCGCTCGTGTGACAATCACTGATGATCTACAATCCGTTGCTCAACGTGCAGCACTCCTCGTTGACGTGTCGACGACTGAGCGCGGTATCTGGACCACCACTCGGGGCAACAAAGGCACCGTCGAGCACGGACGCGCTTTCGTCAAGAGGGTTGCCGCGAAGTACCATCGACACGCTCAAGCGCACGGCGGCAACACCCATGTGTTTGCCATTGTCGACAACGAGCTTTGGCGACCAGAGCTCAAGCGGCAAACGGTCAAGAGGCGCAAGGAGAAGGCGGGCGACAGTGGCATGAACGTCCGCGTTCGACTCGATTCCTTCACCACCGAGCCGACGTTCATCTCGACGGCGTCGCTCAAGATCCAGTGTGACACCTTCCCTGCTCCTACCTCGTCACCCGTGGATCTAGAGAAAGCCGATGGCATTATTTTCTGGTCGTCCCTGCAGAAGAAGCCTGGACCCGAGCCGACCCGAGCCGCCGCGCCCCCGGTCGAGCCGACTCACACCGCCACGAGCACGCAAGCCAAGCCTGCCCAAGCCAAGAAATCGTCGACGTCAAAGCGCACACTAGCGGGTAAGGAGTACTCCGGGCCGATTCGTCGTTGCGACTTTCCCAAGAGTTTGCGCGAGCAGCTCCCTCCCTCGCCAGATGGCAAGAGGAAGCACAGGTCCGCCCAATTCTTCTCCGACCTGATGCGCGTCCAAGTCGTCATCCGGTCCATCGAGGCGAAGGTGTATCAGCCTTGCGTCCGAAATTATGTCACCCTCTTCACCGACAATGATTGGAAGATCATTGCCGCCTCCAAGTTGAGATCGAATTGAGGAAGAGGGTCACGGGCGTCTTTGCGGGGTTGCACCTCGATCCGGATTACAGCACCAAGGCCAAGCATAAAGACCAAGGCTCATTCACGATAAACACACCCATCGACCCCGTGAACATCTCGCCCGACACCCATCGAGCTTATGCTGCGGGGTACACGAAGGCCGCCAACCCTCAATGCGGCCCTCGTTTCGCTGGGGTGAGTCTTGGGCACTGTTACCGTGCCGCCTTGAATGCGGCTTTGATATGATCCGAGGCCAGAGGGTTTGACTAAGCCAGTCTCCACCGTTTAATCTGCGTTTCATTCCAGGCCACGGGGGCGTTGATGACCGCAGTGGACGAGACTCGAGCGGCGGGCCTGACTCTTGGTGCGCACCCTCAATTCGGGGCGCACTACGTGGACGTGGTCAACTTGATCGTTCGCGCTATCCTCGGCTGGAAGGAGAAACTCCCCTACGTCCTCGTCGAATTCGGCAAACACCTGCTCAAACCCCTCTTGAAGGAGCAAGGACTCCTTTCGGGATTTCACTCGGACGACGTGCTCTTGACAGAGAAAGGGCAGCAGGTCCTCCTCGATATCGTGGTCTCGGCACTTCGCGACACGCCTCATCCCGTCGCCGAGCACCAAGCAGACTTCCAGAAGACCCTCGAGCGAGTCGACGCGCTCATCGGCGAAAACCCTGACGGCCCCCACGCAGCCTTTCGAACGGTCTTTGTCAAGCAGGTCTATACAGGCTGCGGGTCCGAGACATGTATATCCCATGGGCGCTGCCCACGGGGCAACAGGGGACGTTGCGGGGTCTCGTAGGAGTCAAGTTGACGGACTTTCTGCCAAGCACAAGACTCGCGGCGGCGGCGGGAGCGGCGAAGATGACGATGAGGACGATGAGGACGACGACGAGGACGAAGAAGAAGAAGAAGAGGGCAATTCAGAGGAAGGAGGAGGGTCCAGGGTCCAGTTCCCAGCGGCTGCCCTGCTTCCCCTCATGCACCACCTGCTTATCAGGAGCGGCCATACGAACGGCATCGTCCCCGTGAGTTCTGCTAGCCCCTATTCGCGCTCAAGGCCGTGCATCTTGCTTACCCTGTTTGTTCCCCACGCAACATTCATACTCGCTCAGACACTCGATTCCAACTTTATCCAGCGTACCCCTGGATACCTCGCCACGATCCTCTCAAACCCAGTTCGCCTCGTGAGAGACCAAGCCAAATGGCTGTGCAGCATCGTGCCGGCTCTTGTCATTGACCGTGGCGCACCCGAAGACCGATTCCGCTCGCTACGTCAAGATCGTACGACTTCTCCTCGGCGCTACGGGGGACAAGATCTTCGACTTTGATCAAGCCGATCTTAGGGTGAAGCAAGAATGGAGCGACGATGCCCTGGAGAGTGTCCGTGCGATTCGAGAGAATTGCTTCGGCTCCCACGTCGCCAAGTTGGAGCATGGCCCGGATGCGTCTTTCTTCAGGGTAGACGACTTCAGGGCTTTCGGGCATCGTCTGGCTGATGTCTTATTCAAAGTCGAGAGCATCCTCCCCTTCCACGAGATCCCGGCGGGCTCGTGGCAGACGGATGGCGTGCACGTGCATCTAGACGTCATGGATATCAGGAGAGTGGCTGAAAACAGTCGAGCGGCGGGACCTTCTAATAGCGGCGCGTCGAACTCGATCCGGGATAGCCTCATTCGAGCCATGAGGAAGGCCAAGCAGTGGCATCGAATAGGGAAGCCTCCGACCACGCAGGGTGGACTTTATCGATCCGCACAAACGCCGTGCCAGCACTACGTCGACGGTGTCAAGGAGACGTTTTTGCTTTCCTGTGTCGAGGGTTCGAACAAGTCGCGTGTAGAGGGGAAACCCCGCGACCGCATGGACGCTCTCGAGGACAAGCTCAGGGAGGAGGCAACCCAAGCTCGAAAAAATGCCGATGACGCAGTTCAAGTGAAATTCGTCCCTTGGAGGGAGCTGCAAGACGTCCGAATCGTCAATGGGGACATTCACGTACCCACACTCCGCCACGACGGCGCATTGCGCGAGCTGCTCGAGACGCTGCAGAGCTTCAGCAACAAGAAGTTTCACACCAACGTGAGTGATCTTATATGCCTTGCCTCGGGCTTCAGACGATTCCAAGTCCGAGACGTCTTGGCGGTCGTTACTCGTTTACTCGGCCTACTTGAAGTCGTCGATCGAGAGTTGGTACTGATCGCGGTGCCCCACTACCTGCGCTACACAGCACAGCTTCAAGAGGGACGATCTCATCACCGAGTTCAACAAGCGCGAGAACTTCTGGCACGACATGAATCACGCTCTGAGCCAGTGCATCCCTCTCGATCCTCAGTAAGTCACGCTTTCCTCGCGGTGTCTATCCGACAACCAGCCCAAGGAGCCTGCTAACATTCAGCAACACGACATCCCTTGATTTTTCTCACTTAGAACAACGTCTGTGTCATCGTCGTCATTGTCATCGTCGTCGTTGTTGGATATCAAGTCATGGGTTGGCAGGTCGCTGGGGATGGAAGGATAAGGACGGCACAACAGCTTAGAGAGCGGATGGTGGGATGCAACACTCCCACGGCTTGGGTTTGAATAGTTTGAATAGTTTTGTTTGGTCGAGGTAGATTACATCGCACACACCAGTGCGGGTGGCATTCAAGAAGCTTCCCCGGGCTGCACATTCCGTGCGCCGTCGGATGTTGCAATCTATGAGCTAGTAACATCGTGCCACTGCAAAATCTTCTTCAGCTCGCACCGACGCGTCGGGACAGGTCAGACGAGAACGGGGATGATGGAGAGGAAGTTTAAAGTTTAAAGCCATAAATTCCAGCTAGTCTTATTCTAAGACAGAATCTAACAAACGCTAGATCCGCTGGACCACCATAACATGTGACATATATCAGTGGGGATGGGTGGGGATTCGCAGTTTTTGCCCCTTTCTTTCACTTGCACGTTCGAGCCGCTTTGTACAGCGGCGCCGTCGGATGTTGCAATCTGTGGTTATCATCATTTGGGTAATAGAACACTGCAGAGGCTTATATTCACCGTACTGGGACGCGGAACCGCATCGCGCGGAGTCTGATTCGCGCCAGCCCCGACTCTTACTCGGCCACGGCTCTCAGGATCTCACGCGTCACATGCCGTTCGAGCTCTCCAGCACGCCATGAAGGTGGCCGACAACCGGTTCGATGGTGACCACCGAGGCCATCGAAATCCGCAAGACCCGCTTTCCGCGCTCGAGTCGGAGCCGGGCCCTGCCAGTGGTGCGACCCTTGCCGTGGACGTGGACGCGTCAATCGTTTCAAGTCGCGTCGGAGATGGCCGGCCTTCGCAAGAGACGGAGAGCCACCGATCGGCGGCCACGACATCCGACGACACGCTACTACGCGCATTCGGACCTCGCCACTCCATCAGTGCTGAGCCAATACGTGGATCTGACCAGGAGGGTGCTTCGGACAGGTCGAGCAATGCACACGGCTATGCGGCTCCGAGTGCGATCGCGGCCCTGCCGACGTTGGGCTCGACCCACTCGCGAGCCAGCTCAGTCACCGACTTGCACGAATCTCAAGATGCGGACCATGGCATGATGTACATCAGAACGCAGTCCATCAGCCCGCTGTCCCATGCGACGCGGAATGGCTCCATTTCCTCCCCAGCCTCGAATTCTCGGAGATCGCTCTCTCCGGAAGACAGCATCAGTGACGCATTCTACGTCAGCTCCAGCCACCGCTCCTCGACATCTTCCAAGCCTAGCATGTTGGCGACATCCACATCGGAGCGCAAGTTTGTTCCCACCCTGATGCCGACATCCGAGTCTCCGACGCCAAAATCGATCTCCAGTTCCGCGTCTTTGTTGGCACCAACGAGCTCACCCATATTTGCGCTGCCTCGTACTCCAGACGTGGCCGCCTTCTTCACTGCTTTCACACCGACCATCAATGGAAGGCGCTTCTCAACGACGGCGTTGGTCGATCCCGAGCTACTGTTGCAACCGATGAAGGCCAGCGCACTGTTCGTTGCTCAACTCGACCCGGCCATCATCACTTTCTTCCTCACGTCGATCACCTTCACCATCTCGCGCAAGCTCTTGCTGAGACAGCCAGAAGGCATATTCCCCTTCCCCTTCATACTTCTGGGTACGCAAGCCGGGTTTGCCACCTTTGCGACCCACATCGCTCGGCGGACCGGCACCTTTCGAGCCACTCGGTTGACGCACAAGCGCGAGACGACGTTGCGTTTTCTAGCTTTGCTCTTCTCAGTCGAGGAGTTGACTTCGACGCTGAGTCTACGCTCAGTAACAGTTCCGGTGAGTCAATGCTCGGGAAGCTCGGGAAGGACGTCTTGCAGTCGCAGGACTCGGGCACTGACTTGGGTACGGCGCGCCACCGCTCCGTGCAGTTTCATCTGTCGGTTCGAGCTTTGTCACCAATCCTTACTCTCGCACTCTCGGTCGTCTTCTTCAAAGAGCGAACCTCGATGCGAACGACCTCGACATTCCTCCTCGTCATTCTGGGAGTCGTTCTGACCTCGCTGAACCTCGATATTCATTCGTTTGGCTCGTTCCTCGTTTTCGCCTCGGCGATCTTGCTCTCCATCAAGTCGCTGATTACGACTCACCTCTTGACGGAGCGATGGGGCCTCGGCACTTTGGACCTCGTATCACGCATAGCTCCTCTTTCCATCGTCCATTATGCCATCTTTGCGATCCTTGGAGGCGAGCTTGGATCCTTCCTCGACTTTCTCGTGGGCCCGGAGTTGACCCAGGGGCACCTCCTGGCGATCGTCTCCGCGGGTTTGCTGTCCGCGGGCAGCATATTCGCCACTCTCAAGGCGGAGGAGCGAGTGCAAGCACCTGCTCCTGCTATCTCTGGTGCGTGGTTTCTATTCAGACTGCGTGCGATGCTTGTTCACCATGTTCGGGGTTGTGGCGCTGACCTCTCGTGCTCTGAACATTGGTTGGGCAACATCATTTATTTTTTGCCACAGCCCATGCCTCTCAAGCGTTCACGATCGTCGTATCGGTCATCGTCTTTGCGCTTCCTCTCTCGATCATCAACTTTCTCGGAGTTGCTCTCACACTTACGGGTGGAGTGCTGTACGCCTGGTACGATGCACTGGACCATCCTCCCCTACCGTTCCCCATGAGAGGCAAAAGTTTGCCGAGCACGATGCCGCCACCGAGCGGTCGTGGCTTGAGGCTATGATACAACAGCAGACCACTCTCAATTCAGTAGCGCCAATCATAGTATTTTTCTTGCGTTTTTTTCTTCTTGTTGTTGTTGTTTGTGATACGAGTAGTACCCCATCGCAGTTGAGACAGTGTACATTTTTTGGTCTTCTCTACCGGGCTCGCTTCTTTTATTCGGCGGCCAACCTGTTGTATTCTTGCAAGCTGGCTCCCATATCGGCTCTATGCATCGCGGTGAACCCTATAACGTTGCATCTTAAAGCTATGGAATGTGTTTCAGACATCTAAGAAAGACTAAGAAGTGCTGGCCAAGCCGTACGATGCAGCGGACAGCCGGCCAGTGGCGAGAGAAGAACCAGAGAGCTCGCACGCCGAAGCCTGTAGCTCGCGGCCCAGCCTCGTCAACGGGCGCTTGGAACGGCGATAAAATGGTTCGACTTGGTCAGGCTGGGGTCGAGACGAGCATAGATCCTTCTAGGTCGAGGTTCTGCACTGCTTTGCAACGTTTCAAGGGTCAGGGGAAGCTAGAGAGCAACTGTTTCCTCGGTGCACCTTCTCGACTAGAGCCTGGCGAAGGCTCCCGATCACGCCGAAGTGAACGAGTGATCGCGTGGTTTTCATTTAGACAAGGTTAGCGGACGGGATGACGGCGGAGGCCGACCGCTGCGCGCAGCGGACGCTCGCGCGGGCGCCACGGCCCACCGGCGGTTCGCGAAGTGCGATCGGAGGCGCCGTCTCCAGTGTCCACCGCCAAATTGAAAGCTGAACAAGCCAAGGAAGTGATCTACCTCGGCGTCCCAAGGCAGAAAGGCCGTGCCCAGGTACCGTGCCGCGAAGAGCTTCCGGCTTCCGTTCGCAGCCGCCCAGCAGGGGACACCACTGTGGCCGCACACTCCCCTCTTCCTTCATGATGAGCCACTTGCTTACGCCTTGGCCTGGAGCAGGAATACGTTCGAGCTGCCAGTGGCGTCACAAACAATCACTACTCGAAAAATTCGAGTATCGGGCCGACTGATTAGTACTAGTCTTTCGCACAAAATCGCAGTCGCGATTCGCGAAGACGGCTCGGGTGGGACGCCGCGCCGCGGACTTGCCGTCAGCCCAGGTCCCCACGCGCCGTTCAGTTCGTTGATGCGGCGCCGGGCGACGAAGGGCGCCCCACGTCATCATTCGCCAACTCCAGGGCGTTCTTCTTGCTTCTTCTGAGACCGTCGCATCATGTTCTGTGAATAGGTGGGCCGACCAGCAGTTCTGGGCCCCGGGATACCACTTCTACTCCTCGAGACACCTGGGTATATATTTCACTTTCCCGTGACTACACGAGTGCACTACGGGGCATCAGCATCGCAGACAGCGTGCAGTTTCGAGTGCACGATTGAACAAGGTCGATTCTCAGGTCCCTCGAGATTCGACACGTGGACGGTGCCACTATCGCCGAGCATTCTCGGAAATGCCGACAGGAGCCGACCTCCACAGGTTTGACCTACCCTCGTCAATGCAGATTAGAAAAGAGAGTTTACACTGCGAAGCGACAAAACTCGGGGTTGACAACTTGTCGCGCGTGGCCTGCAATGCGAGTCGACGTTCTCGAGCTCGACTCGGCGATTGCAGCCCGGCCGGGACGCAAGAGTCGCCAGTGGGGCCGGGGCTGTCGACGAAACACAAACAGGCACACCGCTCGTGATTTGACTGGTAAAAGTGTGAAGTGGTCTTGTGTCACGCTTTTAGCCCATATGGGGGAGCTGAATGTTCCCGTGCAGTCTCGCTTACACAACAGACAGGAGTCGCACTGGGCCTGAAGCGCCTTCGTCCCTGGTCCGAAGTCGCAATCTCGGCAGGGGACTTGTCAAGTCCTCCCTCAGTGTCCAAGAACATATTGATAGGTACCGAGCTTGCAGTACTTACCTTAACGTAATTTGAGCCGCGTACAGCTAGGTGCTCGGAGTCGTCAAGTAGCTTTGGATAATTCAAGCGTAGTTTGTGATCTCACGAAGAGGGAACGCAACAAAGCTAGAGAGGTTTCACCAACTGGACGTGACTAGACCTTCGCAACAACGATTATTATCTACAGAGCAGTGGTGTCAACAGTGGGGGTATACGGGGTGGCGATCAAGACAACATCAACTAAGACCACCTCACAGAGCAAAAAGAAAGGAGCACAAGGCGGCTTTTAGCTAGCCAGTGAGAAAGGTGCCGCCTCGCCGGACATCAGATATCAGCGAGTAGTGTCGACGGCGAGCTGAGCACGAAAAGATGACACAAGATGGGGCAGTGAGGGAAAAATGAGGGAAGACGAAGGGGTTCTTGGTTTGTGAAAGCATTCCAATTAGCCACGAACGCAAGTCGACTGCTTGCGCTTGTTCATGCCGGCCTTGAAACCACTGGGGCAGTCTGCGGAGGGACGGGGCCGCAATGGGGGATAGGGGTCGGTCAACGGAGCGTGATGCCGAAGCCAAGAACTGCAAGCAGCGCAGTGAGTACTTACCCAACGAGCACTCGCCATTTTCGCAGGTGGCAGCGAAACGTCCATCGTAAGATGCCTTGCATTTGTTGCCCTCCTGCATCGTGAGCGCGTTGCACAGTGATTGTTTATCCGCGAAGCACAGATGGTCAGAACAGGCGCGGAACCAGAGCAAAAGGGGAAGCGCAGGAGCGCAACAACACGTGACTCACAGCACTGCAGTTGTTGGCGTCCGAACCTAAAGCGATGCAAGCCGTGCCGGCCTTGCTGAGGCTATAGCCGCGAGTCGTGCATTCGAGAGAACACTTGCCATCGTTGCACGAACTGACGCCGTTGCTGTCCTGGGCGCACGTCTTGTTCCTGCACTTGTCGACATTCTTGATGCAAGCAGTCGCCCTGTCCGATCGCTGAGCGGTGTATCCGTCGTTGCAGGTGACTTCACACACTTGGTTGCACTTGACGTTCGCCGTCTTGGGGTCATAGTCGAGCTTGTTCCTCAGCTGGCGAGCGCAGAGTGTCGGCTTTGGCTTGGGCGTCGCCTGCAACGATGGAAGGTGGGCACGGTGGGCGTGGAGACCAGAAAAATAAGTATAACTTTCTTCCATGCGTCATTCTCCGCTATGCGCATGAGCGAACAACATATCCTCAACTCACTTTCTCGGCCCAGTCGGCAACGAATCCTTGGTTGCAAGCGCTTGCTCAAGACCGAATGATCGGCAAAGTCCCTTCGGGTTAGCCCAATGGCGGCGTAGGCACCATCAAAGGCACGCTTGGCTAGATCGGAGGCGGTCGCTGTGGATCGTTTCGCAGCGCGCGCTCGGGCGAGGGCGAGGTGGGCGGAGGCGTCGCGCTGCAAGCTGCGTTGGTCAAGGCCTGTGGAGGCTGTCTCTGATACAGCATGGGCCGCAGCACACGTCAGGGACAATTGTGATATAGACCGTAATAAGGCGATGGAAGAAAATTACTAACCCGAGAGCGCGAGCGCGGGCATAGACACAGCGAGCATGGCGAGGAGTTGAGCGGCGAGCATGATGATGGACTTGAAAGGAGTGACAAGGGGTCGGGAAAACGAAGCAAAGATGAAGTGATGAAGGGAAAGAGAAGAGACGTTGCAGAAAACGGGTTGGCGAAATGAAAGTTTTGTTGTTATTTGAGCAACAAGCAAAGATCGTCGACGAACAATCGTCCAAGCCCGATGGGGTTCCAGGCTGGGTACCACGCCCTTCCATAAATTGCTGGCACCCACGCCCCTTTCGCTTCGCGCGTGCGAGTTGACCGTCGATCTTGCGCAGGGAGCGCGCGTCTCAGGTCCCAGTCTCATTCAGTTAGGGATCCACGTACCTTGCCATTCGACGTTTGCTCTGTGAATATCGCACGAAGTGATCATAAACGTGGGCGACTTTGATGCAAGAACGTCAAAACACTGCTTGAGCAATAATGAGTAGTAGGTATGCCTCTCACGCCGCGAGAAGGAAAAAGCTGCCCCGCCGGGCCAATGCTCATTGCAGATTTCAGGCCCCGGCGGGACGGCCTTCGAATTAAGGCTGGGTAACAGCCATGGTACAGTCAAGGGCATCGAGATTGCGGGCCTCCAAAACATTCGAGAACTCCTCTTTGCCGACGACGCTTGCTGCGCACTCCACAACCTCTCGGACCTCGACCACCTCAATCGGGCGATCGAGCTTTACGAACGGGCAAGTGCCAGCAAGCTCAGCAACGCCAAATCTTTTCTCTACCCCCTTGGAGCTTATCGGGATCGGCCGATCGCCCCAGATCTCGGGACCTGGCGTCTCAGCGATTCGCAGTTTCGCTACCTTGGTATTCAGGTCGGGGTGGAGATCGCCGAGGATGCGGGCTGGGAAGATGTCAAGGCCTCGACCATCGCTCGGATACGCTCAATTCCGATGTACGATCTCCCATATGCAGCCAAGTGTTCGATCATCAACATCTACTGCTACACAAAGATCCTGTACTACAGCCGATTCCTCCCCGCCCCCAAGAGCGTTGTCAAGGAGATCGAGGATGCGGCCATGCTCGCCATTCACGGTCGAGCGTCGGATGGTACTCAGCGACGTCCGAAGGTCTCCCGGTCGCGCCTCTGCACCCCTCTCGATCACGGCGGCTTCGGCTTGATTGATCTGCCTCGGCGTCTAGCGATCGATCACGCGAAGTGGGTCTTCCAGCTCCGGGCCCCGGACGGCTGCTTCACACGCCACCTCTTCGACATCCGCATTCGCCTCCAGGCACCGAACGAACCAACCCCTTTCACCTTGTCCAGACCGGCCCCCAACCAGCATCGTCGCCCTTGGATCTGGATCTGGTGGGCATACTTTTGCCATCCTCCCCCGAAGTGGGACCATGCGGTGAGAAAGACGAGAAAACTACTTCCTGCACGTTGGGTCCGATACTTCGAAGCCTGGGCGTCGGTGACCACGCTCAATCCCCCGAAACTCTCCAAGAGCCAGAACCTCGAGCAATGGGCGACGCACGTACTCTACTTCCCAGCGGGCCACGGAATACAACTCTCGGTAAACCCGACGCTTTTTCGAGGGCCCGATGGCGAGGTGATGACCCCGTCTTCGTTTGTGAACGCGTCCAAACGCCACCAAGCCTTCATTTTCCCTCCTATCTTCCCCAAGGGACACCAGAAGGTATTCGATCTGCCTGAGCAACGTTGGAACGCTTGGTGGAAGGCTTTGCGCAAGGTTCGCCGGGTTCACTCGGACGCAGAGGATACCGGCCACCTTCTCTCCCTGGGGTCCCTCCATCCGGGCAGCCAAGTCGCCTCCCCAAGTCGCCTCCCCAACCAGCCCTCACCCCAACAATCGATCGGCCTCCTGTGTGATGTGCCTCTCGGAAGCACCCGAGTGCCTGGCCCACCTCGCGGTCGGCTGCCCATTTGCCCGGCGTCTCTGGTCTGCTCTGTCCCCGACCCCCCACCCAGTCTTTGTGGACTTTGTATGTCCGGTCGTGTCTCGCTCGGAACGTCGCCTTGACGAACTACGAATCCTCTTCTTTCACTCGATCTGGAAGCTCTGTCGCCGTCGCCGATTCTCGTCGGATCTTTTGGAACCGATCACCGAAACGGACTTCGAGGGGCTTCGAGCCTCTATTCAGGAGTCCAAGGGTCGCCTAGTGTCTCTGTAAGCCACCAAAGGGGGTTTTAGTGGGTATGGTTGATCCTGGTTCAGGGTCAATGAGTCCTACACTACTGGCTTCTGCCAGTGTGCGTAACAGCATTCCCTCCGACTTTTCCGAAGATTTCTAGGTATTATTATAATTATGCTGTTAATGAAGTCTATCAAATAAATAAAAAAGAGGTCAAAGCTTTTCCGATTAATGGAAACGACCCAGGTTCGACTCCTGGTCCAGCCGTTCTTCTTCTTTTGTTGATCATTTTCGGGATCATTGTTGATTCCAACACATTGCCCTGCGCAGGTTTTGTACCGCATATGACGAGTCGGTAAATATTCCGAAGCCTTTCGCCCCATAGTACTCGATCGAGATCAAGCTGCCAATCGCAGAACATCTCTGACGAGGTCTGTAGTTTCAGGAACTGAGGCCGAGGCACGAAGTGCGTAAGTACGAGAGCCGATGAAGATAGTAAAGATAGTTGCAGAAAGAAGATAAGCGCTAAGGGAGCGCGCGCGAGGCAGGCTCGAGACGCGCGGGGCGACTAATATCAACAACTAGTAACTAATCATAATCGGGAATACCAGTGGGATGAAACAGCAATATATTGACACCCCCCCGTGCTGTCATACCACTGCACCTCGCAAACCCAAATTCTCCCGATGGAAGATGAACGGCTTGGGACCCAAGGCTTTGGTGAAAATATCGGCAATCATGTCGCCGGTGGCGATGTAGCGGACCTCGATCTCCTTCTCAGCTACCCTCTCGCGGACGTAATGTTCCGAGATGCGAACATGACGAGACCCCTGATGGTTGGTCGGGTGCTGCGCAAGAGCCAGCGAACCTTGGTTGTCCCCGTAGAGTACGACTGGACCGGAGACCGGAGCGCCAAGTTCAGCCAGGAGTTCGCTCAGGTGGATGGCATCACCGCTTGTGTACGAAAGAGAGAGGTACTCTGCGTCGGTAGTGGACTTGGCCACCCTGTGTTCGCGTTTGGAGCACCAAGCAATAGCGGCTCCGGACAAGATGAACACGTAGCCCATGGTCGATCGTGAGGTCGTTAGACAGGCTCCCCAGTTCGCATCCGAGTAGCCATGGAGTGGTTGGCTGGTCTTGCGATAGGTGAGGCCCAAGTCCAGCGTGCCTTTGATGTAACGGAGGAACTGCTTGATGGCTGTCCAATGCTCCGGGCCAGGCTGCTGGGAGAAGCGAGCGAGGTAGCTGACCACGAAGGCGAGGTCCGGACGAGTTCCAACTGCGGCGTACATCAACGAACCGATGGCCTGCAAGTAGCGCGTACGATCCTGAGGAGTGGCCGCCAAGTCCTCGAAGTCAAGGACGACACCTGGCTGCATTGGAATACTTGCCGGCTTGGCATCGGTGAATTGGAACCTGGCAAGGATGTCCCGAAGGTAGCGCTCTTGTGAGAGCGTGATAGAGCCGTCTTGTCCACGTTTGACTTGGATGCCTAGAATATATTCGGCAGGTCCGAGACGTTTGATGCCGTATGCGAGTTCCAGCGCGTCCAGCACCCGCTCGATTTCGGCGGTAGAGGGACCAACCAAAAGCAAGTCGTCGACGTACAAGGCAATATAGTGTGAGTGCCCGTCGTGTTCGCGGCGGTAGATACAGATGTCAGACCTGGTGGGGACGTATCCGAGGGACCGCAGAGTCGAGTCGATCTCAGCGTTCCAGATGGTGCCGGCCTGGCGAAGGCCGTAGATGGATTTGGACAGCTTGAGGATCTTGCCTGGCAGGTTTATGCCCTGAGGGACGCGCATGTAGAGAGGCTTGTCAAGTTTGCCGTGTAAATACGCCTTGTTGACGTCGGCCTGATGGACGTGATAGCCGTTGGCCGCGGCGAGTGCGATGAGGGCTCGAATGGACGTGAATTTGACGACAGGGGCGTAGGTCTTCTCGAAGTCAAGGCCAGGGCGTTGGGCACATCCGTGAGCAACAAGTCGGGCCTTGTGATCGGTGATGTCGCCATGCTGGTTGCGTTTAGTCCGGAACACCCAGCCCGACCGCAGGAGGATCTCACCCGCTGGGAGCTCACAGGATTCGACGATTTGAAAGACCTCGTAATCGTTCAGAAGCGAATCGAATTCATCCTGTGCCGGAGCGCCCCAAACATCCTCTTGTCCCGATCGGATGACGTCGCCCCAATTTGCCGGATCGCGAACAACCGACAAGTCATGATCTGCGAAGCCGGCCTTGGTGGATGCGAAGGCAAGGAGCAGGCTCTTGAAAGAGGCGGTGGGTCCGTCGGTGCCGTCGACTGGCTGTTCCCGCGTGATCATGGTGGGAACGGGTTGGCGGCGAGTCCGGGGGCCATCAATGATGTTTCGAGCGTCGACTTCACCGTACTTCCCTGGATCGGGACCAACCTTGGCGACGTCGCCGTACTCCCAACTCGGCTTGACTTTGGCGAGTGGAGCTGGATCCGGAGGTGGTTGCGGCAGGTTCACGGCTGACTCCGTCGTTGCGCTCGTGGTCGATGAGGCGTCGTCGTTGTCGGCCGAGCTGGTCGATGCGGGCGACGCGGGTGCCTCGACAGGTGTTGGGGCCGGTGGCCGTGGGGGAGGCTCGACAGGTGTTGGAGCTTCGACGGGTGGGGGCTGGGGGGCGTAACCCGGGATGGACGGCTGCGTCACTCGGGTGGGCGCGATAGCGAAGGGGAACTCGGTTTCTACGAACGTCACATTGCGGCCCAGACTCACACGCATGGAGGAAGGATCGAGAAGACGGTAGGCTTTCGCGTGTCGATCGTACCCGACGAAGACCAGAGGAATCCCTTTTGGGTCGAGCTTGTCCCGTCGGTGAGCCGGCACGGTGGTCCAAGCGCGACAACCGAATGCCCGAAGACCCCCTACGCTTGGTGTGTGGCCCGACCAACGACTGTTCGGGATGGCTCCACCAAGGGCCGCGTGAGGCGAGAGGTTCTTGGCGTGAATGTAACACATGGCAGCCTCGTCCCAGCACGATCGTGGGAGTCCCGAGTGAGACAGTAGAGCCAGGGTGCCCTCGACGATCGACCGGTTGGCTCGCTCAGCCCGACCGTTTTGCTCGGGTGTGTACGGTATGGTCAATTCGCGATGAATTCCGCGGGCCACGCAATAGCCGTTGAAAGCGGTAGAGACATACTCGCCCCCGTTGTCCGAACGAAGTGTTTTGACCCTGCGACCCGTGGCGTTTTCGATCTCCAGAAGCCAATCCTTGAATGTCTGAAGGACCTCGCTCTTGTGCCCGATGGGGTAAACCCAAGTCTTCCTCGAGAAGTCGTCGATGAACGTGACGAGGTATCGCTTATGGCCTAAGGATTCCTCGGGGAAAGATAAGACGTCCGAGTGCACCAATGCGAGTGGTTCCGCGGCATGCGACGACGAAGAGGGGAAAGGCAAACGATGCGCTTTGGAGGCAAGGCACGCGTTGCAGGTGAAGCCATCACACTCGAAGTCACTATAGGGCCAATCTAAACCCTCCACCTGGCCAGAGGCCGCCAGTTTTTTAAGTGTCTGGACAGAGGCGTGGCCGTAGCGCCGGTGAAGGGTAAGTAAAGGTAGCCTATTGGACTTGGTGGCAACGAGGGTGTGTCGCGCATCTTTGCTGGCAGCTTGGACCGAAGCGTTGAGTTTGTAAACGCAGGACGCGATGGCTGATGCTGTGGCGATGCACCCTTGCGGCGTGCGGAGCTCGACTTGTCCGTGTTCGAAGGTGATGCGAACGCCTTTGCGGTCGAAGGCCCGGACTGAGATGAGGTTGGCAGGGCTCTCGGGGGCGTAGATCACGTCGTTGAGGGTGAACCTGGTACCATTATCGGAGACGAGCTTGACCGAGCCGATTCCCGAGGCCTTCACCGTTCCCCCTAGACCTTGCAGGACTTGCGGGGTAGGCGAAAGGGGGCCGTCAAAGAAGGACGCATCGTTGACGACGTGGCACGCCGACGCCGAGTCTAGTAGAAGGATTTCCGCCGGTGGCCCGATGTTGACAAACGTAGCAGAAGAAACGACGGACAGGTGTTGATCCTTGGATGCTGCCTCGGTGGCCACGAACGTGGACGCAGGCGATGATGAGCCTTGGAGTTCCTTCATGGCGTTCTTGAGCTCGAGGTACTTGGCTCGCTTGCGCGATTCCGGACACTTGTCGAGCCAGTGTTTGCCTTGACCACAAGCTGGGCAGTTGCTCGGGGCAGGACCAGAACGATCCCATTTTCCCTTCTTGCCTGGTGCAGAGCGTTTGGTCGGTACGACCGCCTTCGCAACGGGGACCGTCGCTCGATTCGTCCGAGCGTTGAATCCAGCCCAAGAGGGCGGGCATGGCGGCATCGTGGGGACCCAGTCAACGTAATTGTCCTCCGTAAGTTTCGAGTCGTCGGGGAAGACCGGAGGGTTGGCTGGGGGTAGGCGCTGACGCATGGAGAATGCGTCGTCGTCCCGTGCGGGGCGCTGGTTCCTGATCAGCTCGTCGAATTGCTCTTTAGTGAGCGTGACGGAGGTAGTGGAGGCGACGTCGTTGGTATGGTACGACGTTGATGACGGTGGTGGAGGCGTTGATGCCATGTCACCGTGGACGTCGAGGTCGCCCGCCGCTGATAGGCTAGGTGGGCGCATAACCTTTCAGGAACTGAGGCCGAGGCACGAAGTGCGTAAGTACGAGAGCCGATGAAGATAGTAAAGATAGTTGCAGAAGGAAGATAAGCGCTAAGGGAGCGCGCGCGAGGCAGGCTCGAGACGCGCGGGGCGACTAATATCAACAACTAGTAACTAATCATAATCGGGAATACCAGTGGGATGAAACAGCAATATATTGACATGTAGAGCCGATTCTTTTGAGCATGTAAAGAGGAAGCCTTGATGGGATTGCCGTAATTCCAGTCGTCAATTCTCGCTTGGTCGCTGCCGCAGCCGGGGGCACATTTTGGCGAGGATTTCTTATTACGGTCCGGGTCGATCCTTCAATGACATCAGAGTTTGAACAGGTTTGAACCTTCGGAGCGCTGCACGACAAGTGCTGCGGATGTTGCCCGTACCGTCTTTCCCGATACCCAAGACTTTGGTCCCAAAAATGTCGGGGTCTAGCAATCTGCCTCTGAAGATACGGTAGATTGGACTCTATGTACTAGGTGGGTACTGGTACGTGGCACTCTTAAGTCTTCCGATGAGGGCAGAAAGGGGATGCTCAATCCCGACGCGCTAGTAGAGCCCTGTAGAGCCGAGCCAGTCCACTTTCGCCGTGATCGGGCCAGTCTAAACCCATAGGATATCACTACTCGGATGTGCCGGGTCCCGGCGCACAACACGCCCATTCACCTGTACATTCCAACAACCGAGCGCGTTCCACCAAAAATCAAGGATTGCTTTATCGGCTTCGTCACCGGCTACCGGTTTGCTGAGACTTTGTTGTGGTGGCGACTCAACCAAACTCAGCGCAGCTGAGCGAGGAGGTCTGAGGAGGTCCACGGCGGGCCCAGGCACGTGGAGTTCTTCAGAGTTCTTCCGGAGTGGGATTAGTCGCTCTTCGACCTCGCTGTCGAGCTCCGAGGCGGTTTGCGCGAGAGCCTTCTCGACCTGCAGGTCTCCCATCGGACATCATCTCGCCGACATCTGTGAGTGGCCATCCTCCCGATCACAACTGACGTGCATGCAGCGAGGGTACTGATGCTGCTTGAGTGTTGGACCAAACATCCAGCCGTCTCGTGACTCCACACGTGATACCAGCCCTGATCCACGACGTCAGCATGCTCGTGCGCTACTCCTTCGTTGCCCTGGCCGCGCTCATTGGCGTAGCATCTGCTCTCGACACGAAGGGTGCGTGATTTCACTCTACGCTTGCCACCCACCTCGAACTGGTTCTAGGCAGGCTGGTGGCGCCTCGGCGGGCACGATCCTCCGCGTAGCAGGATCGGTCTCCGCTTTGCCCCCGGCAACACGCCGCGTCTCCGCTAAATATCGTACAGTAACCGCTCTATACACAAGCTGAGACACGTTCCGGCCGCGTTCTCATATTAGAGCAAGCTTTACTCGAAGTACGGGCCAACAGAAGAGCGGCCAAGACGACTTCGTCCCAGAAGGTTTGTTGCCCTTTTCGATCGAGCGAAGCTAACTTGTAGTCGGAACCCTTCGGCGTACGACAGCCTCGGTGATTCGCCCCGGCGCGCTCACCAACGCTGACTTTGCCCCATCACCATTCCTTCGTTCGGTACCAACCAGGGCCTTGGATACAACACTGCGTCCTTGTTGAGCCAGTTCGAACGCCGTAAATCCCTCGCATGGGCCTACAATTGGGCCAACTCGGTCAACAACGGCAATCAGCCAGCTCTTTCCCCTGAAGTCGATTTCGTCCCGATGCTCTGGGGAAGTGATGCAACTGGGTGGTCTGCGGCTGCAAAAAAGAGAATCGCACAAGGTGGGAAATACCTGCTAGGGTGAGTCTCTTCTTATGTGCACTTCGTGCGTTTCATGTGGTCGAGCCCAGAGCTCACTGGCGCGCCTTTTCGTCTATACCAGCTTCAACGAACCCGACCTACCATCGCAGTCCAACATCACGCCTGCAAGAGCAGCTCAGCTGTGGAAGCAGAACATGGAACCCTTCGTCGGCAAAGCACGACTCGTGTCTCCGGCCGTTACAAACGGCGCTTTCACATCCGACGGCGCTCCTATGGGCGTCAACTGGATGGCCGATTTCCTAGACAACTGCACCCGGTGCCATATCGACGCTATTGCTTTGCATTGGTATGATGCAGCATGGGTCAGTATATAGATCGTCCATTCGCTTCCTCCGGCTCTGCGGTCGAGTCTTTTTTTTGTTTTGCTGATCGCATGACTTGTGCTGCACGCCCGCTCCAGAACACCGGGTACTTTTTTAACTATCTCACCGACGCGCACAAGAAATTCAACAAGCCCATCTGGCTCACCGAGGTGAGGATACGGCATACTCCATGTTCTGGTCCGTGTGGGATACTGATTCATCCCGATCTGTCGCGAAAAAGTTTGCTGGCTCGGGAACGACGGCGGAGCAGCAAGCGTTCCTCAAGAAAGTAATCCCCTGGCTCGAAAAGACGCCTTGGATCCAGCGCTATGCAGGATTCGTAAGTCCGGGACCCGCATCTGAAGCATGGAGATATGGGGCGTGTCTGACTAACAGCACTGTCCGTTCCTGCCCTTCGGCGGCCCCACGTCGCTCTCCGATCCGACTTTCTTGCTGCTTCAAACTCACAGGGCGCCTTTGCGGGCCAGTACGTCAACGCGAATGGTGGCCTGACCGCTATTGGAGATACGTATATGCGAACGGTTTGATGGCTAGCGTGATGTGTATATTCGATCTTTGCTGTAATTGCACCGAATTCCATGCTACTTTGACTCGTTTCAGCGTTGGCCCCCATTCATAATTCACGCCAGAGCGCAACACAATTCCGAAAATGCCATAGTACGCCATCACCGACCCGCGGGCTGAGCTGACGTGATCCGGTTATGAGCCGGCGTTCCCTTCTTGCTCTCTGCGCCCCACATTCTAAAGATTCCAATTCGCACGCTACCATGTCGCTCCCCTTCAACGCCCCCAAAGCGCAGTCAGGCAAGATCATCCTCGTCGTAAGTCTGGGCTGAGACTGCTGTACCCTCATGTGCTGGCGCTGCATTGTCTCGGGCCGAACACGTGGGTCTGGCCTGCGAACTGGCGATTGTGGTGGGGCACATGCGGCCGGGGCGCGATTTCGAAACACCGAAACGAGACATCGATCAATGGCCTGACCCCTAATGAAGCGACCACTAATAACAACCCATCTGACTGGATTGCTCAGGCCAATGTCCTCGCCAAGGGTGAGTCGAGACGTGTACTGCGAGAGCTCGTCGTCAGCCAGGCGAGGTCGCTGATCGCCGTGCACTCATCGATGCATCCTCCTTCAAGACGGCAGGGGGGATGAGGTCCAAGCGGCTTTGGTCAAGGTGCGAGCAGCGGCCGAAGCGAGTGCCGAGAAGGACACCCATACCTACAGGACCACCAGGTCCGAGGAGGACCCCCGTACGTTGGTGGAACGGTCTCTTCCGGACAATCGGTCGGGCTCGCCTGGGAGCTGAGCTGACTTTTCGGCCTTCCGATGTTTCAATGCGCACTAGACAAGTTCCTCGTCTTTGAGGAGTACACTTTGCCCAATGGTATCGTCGACCATGGTGAGCGCTCGGTTGAGAGAACTCCTAAATGTCCCATTGCACGATCACTGACGTCGGCCCATTCATCGGCGAAAACTTGATTGACGGGTGCAGTGGCCGGCGATACTTTCCAAGCGCTCGCAGCGGCTGGAATCATCGCCGATCTTGACATCAAGTACTTCTACGAGTTCAAGTAAAGTCGTATCTGAGACTCGCAGATTTTCCAACACTTTTCTGGCTCGAGGGTATGATCTCTTCGGATTTGCGGCGAAGACCGATTTCCGGACAAGGCGAGATGAAACATGAAATAAAACACAAATCAACAGACAAGAAGATACATGTGTATGCGACCATGCCCCTTACGAATCAGCGAAGAGCTCAGACGGGTTGAAGATCATGTCGAAACAAGCGACGAGACAGGAAAAGGCGGCAGATTCACCACGACGACTGTGCATTGTTGTTCCATGGTAGATAGGTCTGGCTAGCACGAAGTGTTACTGGCTCAGGTTATTCGCATGGCACGTCGTCGCATTGAGTGGACCGAGAGCTGAAGCTATGGACTTTGGAGCTCGCTCGGTGCAGTGCCCACTACTAAGCGCGACGACCCACCGGGACCTTCCTTCGGTCTCCGAGTCAACCCCTGACACTGCTCTCTGGAATGATACATGATGTGATAGGTACGGTCCGAGCTTGTCGGACTTCGTTGAGGTCGATGAGAGTGACCGCCCGTTGCCCAGTGGCTAGGCGAGGGGAAGGGTTCTGCATCGTCCCCTCGCAAAATTAGTAATCCCTGAAGCTCTGAAAGAGCTGAAGGTTTCGTTTCGAAAATTGGGCGGTTCCAGCCCAGAATTGGTGCAAATCTCAAAGTGTCTCAGAATTCGGCCCCTGAGTCCTCAGGCACAGCTTCCCCGCACTTTATGAAAACGCGCGCGGCGTTGTTCGGCCTAGCTCAGGGATCAGGACTCAGGAGACAGGGACCACGGAGTCACGGACCCGGCGGCGGGGTCGCTCTTGGTCCTTGACTCCTTGGACCTCGTCATAAAGCATAGGGGGGCGAGGGGGGGCCGGTTGCCATAACGGGGCGGGAGGGCAAGAACTAAGAATAGCACAGGTTTCACGCCCTTCGAGCCACGTCGCTTTCGAAGCTTCGCCTTGTCATTCGTCACTCGCACACTCTACACTTGTGGGCTTGTCAGACTCTGCAATCTTCTTGTCATCTTAGGAGCGCGGACCTAGTAGCCAGACCTACAGCATCCGGACCTGACACTGGCCAGACCTACCACCCGGATTTAGCCTGTCTTGATCCAGATCCCCGAACTCGAGTCAAATTCTGCTGCTGATTGTGCCCAGTTGCACGCTTCTCGAGCCAACATGTCTACTTTGTCGCACCTTGTTCACCTTCAAACATTTGAAGCGCCTTCTCAGCTGAATACACTTGATGAGTTTGATGAGATCAGGTTAACGACACAAGTTGGCCCTCGAGCTCGAGAGCAGCCAGTCGTACTACACAGTTACTATGGTCCAAAGGATGGTTCAGGGTCGACTCTGCGAGCATCTTTGGCTGTCCTCAAAACCTCGGTGTCTCTTCATCTCTTTCTCCCTACTTGTCACCACGCCACCTTCATCTACCTCTTCCGCGACAAGCAATGACTCCGACCCCCTCTCTGACCGACCGACTGCCAACATCATACGACGCTCTAGATTACGAGCGAGCTTCCCTCACCCACGAAGACGTTCAGAACATTGTCGAGGTCTACAACGCCTCCCTGACGACCTTAGCCAACATCGTCGATCATCGCTCGGTTGCCGATTTCGTTCGTGTACAGAAACCGGGGAACTACGGCGAAGTCGCACTGGCTACGGCGGCCGGTGAAGTCGCCAACATATGGCTTGTAGGCCGAATCCGAACCATTGATCCTGCAGGGGGAATCGTGCCAAAGAAGTAAGCGAAGCCACGTGTTACTGGAGATCTACGCTAGCGCTAACCAAGATGCCGCAAACTTCTATACATGCCCCTGAACAGCCCAGCAATGGCGCCTTGAGCGAGATTGCGTCAGGCCTGAAGATCTCGACCGGGAGATTCGACTGGAGCTGTTCGAGTCCGACTCGGAGGTCGTAAAGTTTCGAAACTGGCTCCAAGGAGGGGTGTCTCAAGCCCTTCATCAGCACTGGAAACTTCCCAAGAATCTTCAAGGTGAGCCGCTTGCTGAACTTAGGCGGTGTTAGGCGTGCGAGCAGGGTGCTGATTCTGCTGCTGCTTCCCACCGGCTACTTTAGAACTTGCGGAATTGGCATCGCCATTTGGGCACAACTCAAATAGTGCATACATTCACCACCGTGCGGTGACCACAAAAGAGTGAGTGCGCGTTTTCCTCACCTACTAAGTTCCCGCAGAAGGGGCCAAACTGACACTGGGGTTTCACAATGGCATCCTCTGCAGCTGCTGGAATCACGTCTTTGGCCGCGACATCCCGTTCCCTGCCAGCATCAAGGCCTCTATCCCTCCTTGGCTGGGGACGGATAGTGAGGATCCGGCAAGGGAAAGGGAATATTTACAATTTTGGAAGGAGCTGTTGCAGCTCCGCTTTCAAGGAAAACCGACGGAGCTGGCCGCGCCGACGCCCTTCCCGGTTTCCTTCGCAGACGACCCGAATCGACAAAAATACGCACACACAATTCTGCAAGCAGAGGATGTGTGGGGGATTATGTGCAACGTACAGATCCATGTGTACGAGGACAAGAGAAAAGAGCAATGGATTGGACGCTATCAATTGACCCCGATGGCAGCCCGTATCCATGGTCGACTTGCCAGTGCACCTCAGCCTGCTGCCAGCGGATCGGTGAGTGCAGCGGTGGGCCCCCATCAGCATGGTATCTTACTCTTGAACCACGTGTTTTTTTTGGAAAAATAAATAAATTACTGAGACCTCCTCGGCACCACGATACCAGGGCACGCCTCAAAATTCATCGGCCATTCAGTCGCCTGTGAAGAGGTCTGCGTACGAGGCCGAGTTCGAATTGGACTTTGCTGACCTAACTAATAAGGGTAAGTGGAGACACCGATGCGCCTAGCACTAGGTCATAAGTCAACCTGACATGACCTTTCTTCACCCCCGGCGGCGCCTCCCCCTTTTGCAGCCAAAAAGATCAAGTCGGACAGCGACAATAGCAGCGCCGACTCGGACGAAGACGAAATCGGCCTCGCGGGCTTCGGACACTTGGGCGCCTGACCAATCTACTCGCTTTCTAGTACATAGCTCATTTTTACCAACTGGTATAGAATTGAGATGAATGCCCTTTCGATGTTAAACTCGACCGCGCCGCGCTTGAGAGGTTCAGGGACTCGTCGCCGCCCCGCGGCGCGTCAATACAAGCCCTAAATAGTCCGAGAGAGTCCGTGCGAGTCATCCGCGGCAGGCCGGCAGGACGGCAGGCGCTTGGAGCGCTTAGCAGCAACCCGGCCGTCGTCACACGCGGTCCGCATCGGATCAGTAGCTTTCTCTCCCTCCGTCCACGCTGTCCACTTTGTTCTACTGTTCTACTCGAACTCCCATTCCTTTTTTCACCATCTCTCACTACTCTGAGGATGAAGATCCCGTTCATTTCCCGCCGTCGGAAGGATTCGGAGCTCGAGACGACCAACACTCTCACCGGCCGACCGCCCTTCTTGCTCGGCTTGCGATCGGTGAGGACACTCCCAGCCGGCTGCAACGCTGTCGCAAAGACGCCAGACTCGTCTGACCGACTCCGTGAACCTCTATTGCTCCCCACAGTCAACACCGTATATCGCACTGACAGTCGGCGTCGGCGTGCTCGTTGATCTGAGTGGCTACGGTCTCGTCGTCCCCGTCGTCAGTCTCCGAGGCTGGCTTTGACGCGAGCTCGGCTGCGGACCTGCGGTGGCTCGATCGCAAGCCTTACGATTCGATCCCATCCTACCATGTCCACCACAGGTACCATTCAGGCTGGAAGCGCTAGGGTATGACAATGTCGGATCCAAGACGGGGTGGCTCGTCGCGGCCTACGCTGCAGGTCTGATCGTCTCGTCTCCGCCGATCGCTTACGGTCAGTCTCTTCTTGAGCACTGCCCCGGGCGCCTTTGCAAATTCTGCCAAAAACGGTCAATGGGATCATCACACGCAGTGAATGTTTTGTAACACGTGGTTGACCCTCCCTTTTTTCACTAATTCCTCCTTTGCGTTGCATCGACTCCTCAACCCAACAGTCGGCGGCCGGTTCAAGGACAAGCGTACACCGCTCCTGATAGCTCTCGGATTCATGGCAGCTGCCGTTGTGCTATTCATGGAAACATCCTCGTACTCTGCCATGCTCGTCAGTCGTGTGTTACAGTAAGTCGTCTTTGATTCGGCGTTCGCTTAGCTTGCCCGAGAACAAAGTACTGACGAGAAGCGGAACGTCACACCGAGCACAGGGGTATCTCCGGAACAGGGATTTGGACGTTGGGCCTGGCGCTTGTAACCGACTCCGTACCAGAAGCCAGAGTGGGCATCATTATGGGATATGTCATGGTCGGGTTCACAGTCGGTCAGCTCATCGGACCCCCCGTCGGTGGTGTGCTTTACGAACGGATGGGCTACCGGGCACCATTCGTCTTCGCCCTGTGTCTGAGTACGTCGAGTTGCGCTATGTTGTCGTCATCGGCTTCTTTCGACGATCCACCTCTTTGTATGAAAACTAACATGGTTTTACTGTGCACACTCCGTAGTCTTTGTTGATTTCGTCCTTCGATTGTTCGTCATCGAGAAGCGAACGGCGCTGAAATGGATCCGAGCCGGCAGGATAGACCTACCCAACTTTGAGGCTCCTGGCTACACCAACCCCAATGAGAAGACGACCGAGGAAGCGAAGGCAGACGGACAGATCTTGCCTGGTCAGGAGGTGAGGCCCGTCATCGCTGATGGTTCTCGGCCGGCGTCAATTGATTCGGCTGGGGGTGTGGAGAAGGGACAAGCAGAGGAGTCGGAGCGGAAACCAGCTACGGAACTCGGCCCTTGGGCGGCGTTGAAGATCATGACGACATCGATGAGGCCAGTCACGCTATTTGCTTTGACACTGTTGAACGGTATCACCCTTGGTGGTCTGCTGGGTCAGTTCAAACGCTTTCTATGTTTGCCGCTGCTCGTCTCCTGACGGTTTCTCGTACTGACCTGTCTCGATCATCCGAATCCAGACACGGGAATGACTCTCCATCTCAACGACATTTACGGCCTCGACTCTCTTGGCGCAGGACTGGTCTTTATCGGCCTAATCGTCCCCAGCTTCGTCGCTTCGCCGTTCGCGGGGTGGGCCAGTGATCGCTACGGCGCCAAGGGCATTGCGACGATCGGCATGCTGCTCACGTTCCCGGGTTACCTGCTCCTCATAATCAACGGTCCCCTTCCCCTCACCGTCTTCTTCCTCGTCATCCTCGGCTTTGCCTTGTCCTTTTTCCTTACCCCCGTAACGCAAGATCTTTCAGTCGTGGTGCAGAACACCCCCGGACTTGTGAGTGTTACTGTCGTGGATCGTCGATGCAGCCGTCAGCCTGTTTCTGATTTCATGTGTCTGTTGCACCCTTCAAGCCTTCTACGTACGCCTACGGCGCTTTCAACATGATGTACTCGATCGGCTCGTTCATTGGTGAGTCTTCCGCGATCTCGCCTACGTTTTGGGGGGCCACTTCTGCACCGAACTTAGCCGAATCCTCTCATTGTGAATCTCCTGCAGGCCCCATCATCACGGGTCAGATCATCGAAGGGCTTGGTATCCGCAAGGGATGGATCGTTACGGCCATCATCTGCGCCGTCCTATCGGCGGTGCTTACACCCTTCACCGTGATCTACGTTGGCGGGATGTGCACGTGGTTCGATCGGTTCAAGAAGTCGTCCACGCAGCAGACTTCGGCGGCGAGTGACGCCACTACCGTACAGGTCTAGGTCAGTTTCCTTTCCCCTCCTTGTATCCGTGGAGATGGTTTGTGGTCAGACCACCGAACGTGTGATCGCATTTTTACTCGACAATTCGAAAACCTTAGTTTGGAGTAAAGACGCAGAAGTTCATGTAGATTTCCTTCCTTTAGATCATCATAGATGCAGTCATGCAAGATTCTGAGTTTTATGTGTACAAACCAAATCTTTCGTCACCATTGCGCTGATCGCGGTTGAGATGGCCCTCGTCTCCATTCAGAATTCAGGGGGCTCGGTGGTGTCTCAGTACTATATCACCCTCGACACGGGCGAGTCCGGACTTGAAAGTCTCCGATTATTCTCGTCGTGAAAAGGGCTGACTCGACGCTGATTGAAGGAAGTAGCACAATGACTATCACTATTCAGGCTGCAGCAGAACCAAAACTCTCTTTCCATGTACCACTCCGTGTACGAGGGCATGATGATCCGCAACTAGAGCTGGCTTGGCGCGGAGGCGCGCGCGCGCGCGTGGCACCGGAAGAACTGCCGTCGAATTGATCCAGGTTCATCCGCAAGTTCGTTCTCCGCATGGCTTGGCCAACGGAAGCGCCGGCCCGCTATGGTCCCTGAATAAGGGCTTTAGTCAGACCGAGTAAATACCCATGTCAGCCAGACTCGCAGTCTCCGTGGGGCAGTGGGGCACCCACATCGATGAAATCGCTGGCAAGGACTCGCTCCACGTGCACACGGTTTTCCGCCGCTCAACGTTGGCTCGCTCTCGCTTCCGGAAAAAATCTTCCTTTTCAAGCCTTAGTATGTGTTAAGGACTACTAAAAGGGGTGGACTCGCACTCTCTTTCAGTGCGAAAGATGTGGGAGGAGAGGCAGAAAACTTGTGGCGGTGAACTGGAGATCTTCCCCAAGCCCCAGATTTTGCCCCGCCACCTGGCACCGGTTGATCTTCCCAGTCTGGCGCTTGAACAGGGCGTCGATGTTTCGCACCCTTGCGCGGGGGCGGTCCCTCTCGGCCGGGCTGCCCGCGATACATATTACGCCTCTCACCGCAACCGCAACCGTTGCGGCGATCGTCGCTCTGCTCTGGCCCATCGTCACCCGCACGTCGCCCCTTTTCAAGTTTTCACTCGCCTCGTTCCGCTGCAATCATGTCGCACGTTCAAAAGTGGTGGAAAGAAGGTGTTGTGTACCAGGTCAGTGCCTCAACCCCACAATGCTGCACTTGCTGCCCTCTTTGGTCTCTCGCCCCCGCTGCCGCCTTGACCCCGCCCCCACTCGACCTCAGGTCGGTCGTCGACACGTCTGGCGCGCGACACAAGGCGAGACGAGCTGCCGATGGCACGACATCAGAAGCACAGTCAATGGCTCTGAAGCTACTTTGCTGCTCGTGTGATTGAAGATACAAGTCGAGCGGGATCCCAGCACTGCCGCATGCACCTCGGACTAACTCGACGATGAGACCTCCGCGGCGTGGCCCCCCGCGCAGATTTACCCGCGATCGTTCGCGTCAGCTCGCGGTCAAGCCTCGGGCGACATCAAGGGCATCATCACAAAGTTGGACTACCTCAAGGGACTCGGCGTCGACATCATCTGGGTCTCGCCCTTTTACAAGTCGTACGTTGCGTTGTCTGGCTATGCACGCTGGTCTGCGACGTGTCGTCGTGGAGGCGGAGATGGGGAGGATGACCACCCATGTTCGCACCCACCCGTCGTCAGCTCCACACGCCACTTTCTTTAGCCGAGGCTATGTCCATAACCGCTCTACTCCTCCGGGAATGAATAGCTGAACGTGATCCCACGCCGACTCTCGAAACAGACCTCAACACGACAATGGTTACGATATTCAGGTCAGTAGCACCCTTGCTCTCCCCTGTCCCGCTCGGTCAATCTGCTAATATGCACCGTTTGGCTTCACTTTTTCATCATCACCTGGAATTAGGACTACCAAGACATCCATGAACCTTATGGCAAGGTCTCTGACATTGAGGATCTCATCGCGGGCTGCCACAAGCGAGGCATGAAGGTGTGAGTGAAGATCACCCCCTATATCATCGACCAAGTCTCCATTACTCCCTGTGTCTTGCTCTTTCGCTCACACCCAATCCCTCTCGCACGACGATATATGCGCAGGCTTTTTGATCTGGTCATCAATCACACCTCCCATCTGCACGAGTGGTTCCAAGAATCTCGGTCGAGCAAGGACAACCCTAAGCGCGACTGGTACATCTGGCGCCCGGCCAAGTACGATGCCGATGGTGTTCGCCACCCGCCTTGCAACTGGAGGGGATGCTTTGGTGGATCGGTGTGGGAGTGGGACGAAAAGACCGAGGAGGTCAGTCTGCCACCTGCCACCTGCCAACGTGGGGTCCGCTGGTTCGGAGTAGCGGCCGAGCAAAAAACCGTGTCTTTTTTCGAGATCTTCGAGGCTCACTCTCCGAGGTGTTCCCGTCTTACAGTATTACCTCCACTACTTCGTTCCCGAGCAACCCGACGTCAATTGGGAGAACCCGACTCTACGAAAGGCGCTGTATGAGAACGCGATCAAGTTCTGGCTCGACAGGGGCTGCGATGGGTTCCGAATCGACACCGCCAACATGGTGAGTCTGACCCTGCAGGCTATGCGTTGCCCCAGAGATGCCAAGAGCTGCTTCAGATCGCATGAATCCTGACTCGTTGGTTCTCACAGTACTCCAAATTCATCGAGTTCCCCGATGCGCCGGTCGTGGACCCCACTACTCCGTGGCAACCTGCTCCCCATTACTTCTCCAACGGACCCCGGCTGCACGAGTTCCTCAAGGAGATGTACGAAGAGACGTTCTCTAAATATGAGTGAGTGCCCACCGTGACGGTGCGTTATCACTTTGGATCTGGTGCATCTGAGCTGATTTCACTCGTTCTCTTTTGTCAGCTGCACCTCGATTGGAGAGCTGCCCAGCACCCCTTTGATCCCCGACATCCTGAAGTTTGTCGCCGCCGATGCCAAAGAGTTCAACATGGTCATCCAATTTGATCTCGCCGATCTCGACCACGGCAAAGGTCGCTTTAACCTCATGTACCACGACTGGCCCTTGACCAAATTCAAGGAGATCACCGCCAACTACCAGCAGTTGACCGATGCGAAGTACGATGCGTGGGCCGTGACCTACCTCGAGAACCACGATCAAGCGCGCAGTATCCCCCGCTACGCTTCGGATGCACCTGAACACCGCGAGAACTCCGCCAAGTTGCTTGCGACGTTCCTGCTCACCGTCTCGGGCACGCCCATTATCTACCAAGGAGGTTAGTAGTCCCATACGAGGCATCCTCAAGCGATCGGCTCGTTGTGCTGACAACTGTGACTTCATTTCCGTCCCTACAGAGGAAATCGGCATGATCAATTGCCCCAAGTCGTGGGACATCGACGCCGATTACAAGGACATCGGTACGATCAACCAGTGGACCGAGATGAAGCAAGCCGCGGAGGAGAGCAAGGACTCCAAGCTGGTCGAGGAAGGCAAGCGCTCGATCCAGCTCACGAGCCGAGACCACGCCCGCACGCCGATGCACTGGAACGCGGAGAAGCAGGCCGGTTTTACGACTGCCGACGAGACTTGGATGCGTGTGATGGACTCGTACAAAGAGATCAACGTCGCGGCGCAAGAGGGCGTCGCGACCTCGCCGCTCGAGTACTACCGCAAGCTGATTGCGTACCGCAAGCAGCACAAGGACCTGTTCGTGTACGGCCACTTTGAGTTACTCGATAAGGCCAACGAAAAGACGATCCTCTACACCAAGCGCTCCGCTAATGGCCAGGTCGCGTTCGTCGCGCTCAACTTTACCGCTGAGGAGCAGTCGTTCGAGTTGCCGTCCGATGTCAAGGGCGAATTTGAGCTCGTCGAATCGCTCAAGTTCGGTACTGGCAAGCGTGGTTTCCTTGGGGCTTACGAGGCGCAGATCTACGTTACCAAGTGAAAATACCCTCGAAATCGGATCAATGGCTCAGCCTAAGCAAGTAAGAAGCTCCCCCGTCGCGATGTGTATTTTTGTCTCATTGGATCCGGAATGAACCAGCAATCTCCGTCTTCAAATCTTGCCCTCGTCGTGCATTTTCCGCTTCCTAGAATTCCAAGCGCTTGATTATACCTTTGCAAGCCACTCCTTTGTGGAAATGCATACCAGTTCTTTTCAAAAGTCCGTGCAGCCAACCACCGACCGTGGTCCTCGGCCACCCGATCGCCAGGTTGTGGAGGAAGAAAATGCGGATTTCAACATGTAGACATGTAGAAGTCTCTGCGCCAAATTAGGCAATTTCATGTCTCAGATCAAATTGATCTGTTCTGATCAGATCAATCAAGGCGTTGTCAGAAAAATTCTGATCAGATCTGATCTGGCGGTTTTAATGTTTTAATCCATATATTCCAGCTAGTCTTGTTTAAAGACAGAATCTAACAAATTGCTAGATCCGCTGGACCACCAGATTCATGTCACGTAGGCCGTCACCTTGCTGTCACCAGGACCGATGCCCCCCATTCCAGGGCTTACATCAGTCTTTCCCTCGTCCAGCTCAGCGCCCGCCCTCAAAGGCAGGTGGGGAATGCCGCCACCACCGCCTCTGTCACTAATGCGAATTCCTTTGCTCCGTGTTCCTTTGCAGTGCCCACCACTTCCTCATTCTCGCCGCCCATAACCGTCCGGCTCCCTTTATAAGCTCGTGATGCCATGTCCGATCCAGCCGCGTCCGAGATCGCTCATCGAGGGCCCAGTAGATGTCAGGTTTTGGGATCATCGGCATCGCATACCACCATAGATGTCCCGTTACTAGCCCTGCAGCGAAATTGGAAAGCTCGTATACTTGTGCTCCCGTCCATTCGTGGTGTCTCATCTCCAGTTCCCTACGCGTCATCTGAAACAAGTCCTGTCCAATTCTTTCCCGCAGTCCACGACCTGCCTCGCACTCCCTGAAAACATGTTTCTCTGTCTCCTCTGCCAATCCACAAATAGTACACAAAGACGACGTACCGAATCGTTCTGAGCATCGCGAGGCGGTGGGAAGGATGTGTGCCCGCAGCTGGAGTTGTGTTTGCGCTGCGTACGTCGAAATTGCGCGAAGGTAAGGATACCGTCCTGCGGAATGAGCGACTTGGAGTAGCAATTGAACGTCGTTACCGATCTTCTGGGGCAGCGATTTGATTTGCCATGCTTCTTGTAGGTCGTAGATTTTCTTGATCACATCACCCTCTATCCAAGCAGTTTGCTCGCCAAGGGATGCCTGGATTGTCCATTGTGGGAGTGCAAAGTCCGGGAAAAGCACGAAGAAGTCAGGTTGAGTGTGTGCCGATTTCGCCGCCTCATCTGCTCGAGTGTTTGCACGCGATGCTTCGTCTCCGCCACCCGTATGGGCTTTAACGTGCCGTATTTGTATCGAATCACTCGTTCTCAGCAGGTGTTCGAGCCAAGTGTAGTGTGCAAATGCGGCCCTCGGTTTCTTTGGTGCAACTTGATCTTTCTTCAGATTCTCAGCGAATTTGACGGAGGTAAGGTGATCTGCGACAACCTGAATTGCTGACCCAAAATGTGAGGTCTCTAAGTGTGAGGTCAGTGCCGCTATGATCAGGGCTGTCACCTCTGCCTGCATGATAGTCGCGCCCGCCGGTAGTGCCGCACGAGCCGCCGAGTATGGCCCTACAACCGCTGCCGCCGCAGATGTGAGTCCTGTGGGTAACACGATGAGTGAGCCATCCGTAGCCCAAATATTCTGGTCTTGTTGGCCTCGAAAATTTATCAGGGAAAGGAGTGTGATTTTGATCTGCTGCTCGGCGTCGTTTTGTCGCTGTGCTCGCGTCTTCAACAACCTAACCGGCCCGTCCGCCAGTAAAGTTTCATCAAAGCGATTAGACCATTGTCGCACCAATCTCATGTTCGGGTGCAGCCATCCAGCAAAGAGGTCGGGTCTATCGCGCTGTGGGCCTCTCCGTAGCACTTGGAGGTCCGTCAGGCCTGCTGGAAGCGCCGCCATGGCTTTTTGTAGTTGCGGTTCGTTTCGTTTGGCCCCTCCGCTTTGGAGGTATGCATGTTCCACACTAATACCTGAGTCGGTGCGATTTGACTGGTCGGTTTCGAGTACTCGGAGGTTCCCGCAGTGTTGTAGCGCACCTAGTGCCGTATTCCAGATCTGAGGAACCATCTGCTGCGAGTGCTTGAAAGACAGGGGCTTAGGGTTCAGGAGCGGCGATATACAGCCATGGTGTTGGCATTGTAGGTCGGCCAGCGTTATTCTTGCCATCTGTGCGAAAGCTGGAATATGATGGTTCAGGTCTCGTAGTAGTCCATCGACTGCCATAGCCCCGTTCAGTCGCCACAGACTAGTAAGCTCGAATCCAAATTTAGCGACGGGGAGGGTGACCAACTTAGCGCTCGGTGTGAAAACCCATCCATAGTACTCTTTGATCCGCATTGCTATAAGCTGGTCTAGCTTAAGGGCATCGTCCAGTCGGATAGGACATAAAGCCAGTCGTGGCCTCAGCCTGCTAATTAGTTGTTGTTCGATGAATCGTCGTAATGCCGAGAGCGGGAGTCGCCTCGTTGGCGTGCTCGGGAACCCGATCGATCGCACAATACTTTCCAGCTGAGTGTATTGTCGGTCCGGCGCAGCGAACGGTGTTTTGAGAAAAACGTGTGCTGGGTCGACAGTGACCTGTCGTCTCCCATGAGGAGTGGCAACCTGGACTGTCCCTGGTGTATCAGACTGGTTGCCGAGGCCCATTATGATGGCTCGAGTCTTTGTACCCCAGTCGGTTTGGGCTCCGTAGGCTTCCTGGAAATGCTCCATGTAGAGAGTCATCGCTGCCAGCGTCCTTTCACTCTTGGCCAGTAGTATGGTGTCGTCCATCGCAGATACCTGAGTAATCTTGAGGGTCAGTTCATCCGCTTGTGTATGGTTGTTTGAGCGTGCCCTGTTCTGTGTTGTGATGAGTAGTGGGTCCTCGAACGCTTGTTCGTCCAGCCAGTAAGAGCCCATAGCCATGGCCAAGGAGAAACGAAGAGGATTCGGGGGATCCCCTTGTTTCATCTGCCCGTCCACTTCGAAAGGTTCCGCGAGGCCGTACGGTGTCTTGACGATAAAAGCGCCGTGTGCCAATCGGGCTCGGTCAAAAGCTTCTGCGTTTGGGCCAAAGCCGAAAAAATGGTAGGCGTCATACCCAGCTTCTGGTCTGAGCAGGTCGAAGCCCTTCTTTTGGTCTCGTACTAGCCCGTAGATCGGAGTTTTGGCCCGGAACGCCCAGGCTTCTAGGTTCGCTAGGAAACTTGTGAGGTCGCGCTGTTGTACACCGCTCTGGACGGCCACCTGTGTTTCTGAAATCATGTGGTGTTTCATTGCGTAAGCTTGCGCCTGACGTGTAAACCATCCAGCCGCTGTGACCGCCAAGAAATTGCCAAAACAGACCGCTCGGTAATTACTCAGTTGGGAAGACAGTCCGCGATTTTTGAACATCGGAAGCAGATAGTGGTCGCGCAGCTTGTCGAAGTAGTTGTGCACCAGTACATAGTTCAGGAGTGCCAGAACAACAGACATCGCTTGGTCTCCAAGTATCGTTACTGTCCATTTCTCCCATCGGTCCGGACCGGGGGATGGTTCCCTATTGCCTTTGCCGAGGAGCGCCCGGAGCAACGTAAAAGATCGGATCTAAACCCTTGAATTGAGTCCCCTGAGTGCCTGACTCGGCGCCAGGCAACGCCAAGACCAGTGACGACTTAGTAAGCGGCTTGAATCTCGCTACTTGTAGTTCAAACAAGTCGAAACGATCTCCAAAATATGACAGTCTCTTCCCGGTTCAGACAAACCGGAACTTGAAAGATTGACAGTTACAGCCTCGGTACCGAGTTTGAATCCGGTGAAATGTGACGCGCGCCCGCCACTGACCGCGACCTCACCAGCGAGAGCTTTCGTAGAGAGCCCTTGTGGAGCCCTCACTGAGCCCTTTACAGCCTGGCTCAACCAGCAGCGCTCACGTGCTCACCTGTCAAGACCTGTCTCACCTCGTCCTAAGTCTGTCAAGCCGACTAATCGTAGTAGCCCCTGTCCTCTTTCGCCCCACACACACCTTCTCCGCCGTCTCACCTCGATCAAAGACGAGTGCAGACACCATCTCAATAAGGAGGTGATCCGATCGTCGTGCGCTTCCTCCGATGAGGAGTCATGCGTGAGTGACTCCCATTCTAGTCACTCGCTGACCGCCGCCCGTTCGATCGGTCGGACCACGTGCTGATCTGATCCCCGGTCTGCTCTCACTCTGAACAGCTCGACTCAGCCTCAGCTGCCCTCACCCTTCACCTCCAGCACCGGAATGAGTTCCACAGGTGCTACCTCGTCACCCGTGCATGCCGATACGGTCCGAGGCGGGAGCTACATCGCCGAGCTGGCCTCGTTCGTGCGACGTCACGAGTCCAAGCTCGCCGACTTTGGAAGACGACCGACCCCATCCAGCTCTTCCCTCCCTTCGTGGTCCTCCATCCTCTCCCTCGGAATCATCGCCTCGCCCGATGCGTCCTCCCCCGTACCCAGCCACCAGCGTAAAGCGCCCCTCGTGCTCGAGTTCGATCCGCACCACCTCTACTTCCTCCTGCTCAAATTCGACGAGCTCGGCATCGCCAATCTCGGTGACCTCGATGTGCGGATACAGGGTGGTGTTCATCGGCCCATGATGATCGACTATGGGCTGTCCGGCGTACCAGAGGAGGAAGCATCGGGGTGGTTGGCAGGCGCGTTCGGAGGTGGGGGGTCCGCATCGACGACCAGGAAGAAGGATTCGGACACGGCCTCGTTCCGTTCGGGCATCTCGTCCTTTTCGATCGGTTCAGGCTGGTGGGGATCGACCAAGGCGCCTGTTGATGAATCTGTCGACGTCAAGTACCTCTACGCAAGCTGCACCAAACTGCCCGCGCTCAAGCTCTCGCCCTTCATCACTCGCTCCCGGTCATCATCACCCAAAGCCGCGGGACCGTTACCAGGTCACCACGCCTCCCCACTACTCTCCAAAGCCGTTCAGGACTTTCAAGATTGCCCTCCAGATCAGACAACTGTGCCTCTGTACGCGTTCAAGAACCTCCAAAGCCTCATCTTGGAAGATCTCGATCCGAGGGGGTTCTTGGGTTGGGACGTAATGAGCGCGCAGTTGAGGAGCCTACAGATTCATCGTAGCGGGATCGAGGATATTGGGGAGTTGATTTGCGATGTCGTTGTCGAGGATGTTGAGAGGCGGAGGAAAGGGGCCGGTCAAGTGGGGCAAGAACGGTTAAAGCGGCAGAAGGGCCCACTGTCGGCCGAGATCGCTGTCGAGGGAGACGAGGAACCAGAGCACCCGGCCCATGACACATCCTTCGGCCGTACAGACGATGGCGTACCGCCATCCCCTTCCACTGCTTCATATCCGATACCGCCTCGATACGCATGGTCGCAGCTGCGCCACCTCTCGCTCTCGCACAACTCTCTTACCTTCGTCCCCACACCGCCCTTGCACCACCTCGCCTCTTCTCTGACCTCCCTCGATCTCTCCTCGAACCTCCTCATCTCAGTCCCAACGGGTCTTTCAGCGCTCCACTCTCTCAGATCGCTCAACCTCTCTGACAACATGATCGATTCGCTCGTCGGGATTTCCAAAATCCTCGGAGCAGTCCAAGTCCTCAACCTCTCGCACAACCGTCTCTCGAACCTGGCCGGTTTGGATCGGCTCCTCGCTCTCGAGCGTATCGACGTCCGCTCGAATCGATTACAAGAAGCGTTGGAGATCAGTCGATTACAAGAATTGCCTCTTCTGAGGGAGGTTTGGGTCCAAGGTAACCCTTTCACACGGAGTGTTCATGAAGGAGGAGAAGAAGGATGGAAGAACAAGTGTCTGGCCTATTTCGAAGGAGGCCAAGTCACCTTTGACGACTTTTCCTCTTCGCGGGGCCAGAATGGGTCCAAGTCGGATTCGAGGGGATCGTCGACGTTGAGGCGGACCGCGAGTGCTGCTGCGGGGTTGGGGATGGCGGATCGGGCCAGGACGGAGGAAGCGAGGACGGCGGGGGAGGCCAAGATCGTCAGTCGGAGGGTGGTGACGACACCTCATCCACAGGGCAAACATCATCGGATGGCTTTGTCACCTCCTCCTTCACCTTTACCCAACGCGTCGATGGGGGTTACTTCGACCTCGACAATGGAAAGTTCGACTTCGCCCACATCATCACCTTCGTTAGGGCCGACCAAAGTCGTCAAGTCGTCCCAACCCGCACCGACATCGACCGGTTCTGCACATCGCAAACCGCGACGCATCGTCAACCTCGATGGACCCTCCCCTCAGCCCGGTGGTGATTCCTCAGGCATGAGCGACGTAGACCACCACCACCAGTCTCCGAAGCCGAATCCAGGCAGCCGAACAGTAAAATCCCTTTCCTCCGCGACCGGTTCCTCCCTGACATCCCCATCCAAGCCCTCAGCCCGGCGACAACGACTCTCCGCCTCGACTTTCGAGCCCCCCATATCACACCTCTCCACCTCCCCTCCGAACAGGGATCATTCCCCTTCCCGCGGAGGCGACCTCAAGTCTGCCTCTTCAGGTTCGGGATCAGGTACTGAGAATAGCGGAGAGGCTTTTCGGAAGAAGATTGAGCAGTTGAGGAATGAGGTTGGAGAGAGTTGGTTGAGTGTGTTGGGCGAACGACAGGAGAGGGAGGCGAGGCAAGCTGCGAGGGCTGAGGGGAGTGCGAATGCGAATGCGAATGCGAGTGCGAGTGCGAGTGGTGGGGAGGCAAACAAGGTCGTTGAACGACCACCTGTCGAGGATGCGCAGGTGGAGTCTTCTTCTCCGGTGACGACGAAGGAGGATGAACCTGTAGCTGAAGAAGCAGTCACCACAGCAACGATGACCAAGGTCGTCAAAGCCCATAATGACGGCGATCCGACATCGACGGCTAAGAAGGGGAAGAAGAAGAAAAAGAGCGGCAAGAAGAAGTGATTCTGTCGCCCAGTCGGTGAAGAATCCTTTGTTTGTATCACTTTGTACTACATAGACAGCAATCGAATCACTCAGTGGCAGGCGCCTGATGGTATGCTTAGAAACGTCGAACGATAGAGTCCCAAGAGTCAACATAACTTCTTTAATTACACGGCCCTCCAAGTGGGCACAGATATTACGAGCGTGGAGGATTCTCCAAAAGGACGCACGACATGGGTATAGAGAAGAATTTGAGAGGGGCAAGAAGACGACATGAGGGGGTGGCGAGGAACACGCTAGTACAGAAAAAGAAAGGAAAGGGAAAGACAAGCCTGGGGAAATATAAAGCTTAAAGAGTATTAGTGACAACAGCGGGGGAAGAAGAAGAAGGTGATGGTGGTGAATTCATGATCGTAGGGGGAAGGGAATGCATGATCGCAGCGTAGCGACTGAGCGCGAGCATGATGCTTCTCGGATCGGTCTTAATTGCTGAGCCGAGGGCGGCGAGGATCTCGGTGAAGGGACCGAGTTGGTGGAGGACGAGCGTCGAGAGGACATTCTCAATACGCATGAGGTAGCCCTCGAGCAAGGCCGCGAGTTCTTCGTCGGCGGCATCGGGTCGGATCGGGTACGCGAGCGAGGCCGGGAAAATTGGGGCCTGTCGGTTCGCCACAGCCAGTTCGGTCGGGTGATCGCCTTGACCGTCTTTTCGCTTTGGGTGAACCAAAGCCGCGGCCACTGCTTCGAGACGATGCGTAACTCGGCCGAAGCCCTTGACGACGGACACATCGAGGACCTGGGATGAAGGATCGAACACCTCGGTCTGTTGCTGTTCGTCCTTGTCGCCCGAGAGCTTGATGCGTTCCTTGAGTGCTTTAGGCCAGATGAGGGACACCAGCTCGGGAGCTTCGAGACCCTTGAGACGACGTTCACCCAGCTCCGAGATACCGAAGCCGAGACGACGCAGGGCGAGGATGTCTTGCTTCTCGTTGGGGTCAATCCACTCCTCTTCGTCGGGCGACGAGCCAGAATCGCTGTCGAGTGAAGACGGCTCTGGTTTCATCTCCATGACAACATCCTAGTGGCCAAAGAGTGGAGAAGATGATTCAGTATACTTCCAGGCAAAGACAGAGACAGCGACGAATCCTAACTGACCTGAATAATATCAATGACATCCTGACTGGCCGAGATCTGACCGCCCTCTGCGATCGAGGCGATACGCGCAGCGCGGTTGACGACCGGACCAAAGTAGTCCATTCGACGGGTAATGGGATCTGCTTCGCACACGGGTTGACCCCAGTGAATACCCATGCGCACCGACAGACCACGGTAGATCGTCTCGCCCTTGGAGTCGGTGATTTCCTTGCCCTCCTCCGAGTCAAGGATCTCTTGGGGCCAATCCTCGCGCAGGAGCTCGAGTTGGACGGTCAAGCAAAACAAGAGGGCTCCCGTCACGGTCGGGAACGAGATCATGAAGGCGTCACCTTCAGTCTTGACCTCGTAGCCACCGATGGCACGAAGTTGACGACGGAAGAGCTGGTTGTGCATGCGAATGGCGGTCTGCATGCCCGGGTTCGATTCCCACAATGCGGTCGAGTTGCGGATATCCGTAAAGACCAAGGCCACCATTCCTACGGGCGGGGCCACCTCTCGATCGAGCAGGTTGAGATAGCGCTCGCCGGCGGCTTCTTCCTGCTTACCGCGACGTAACGCTTGTCCCGTTCGATGAGCACCATAGAAGCCCTCGTCGTCGTTGGCCATGGCGACACCTCGCTGCACGCCCCGGTAGTTCTTCTTGGTCTTGCTGAAAAGGTCGCCGACGGCCAGAACCATGACCATGATGTTGTTCGACGAACCGTACGAGATGGCTAGATCACGCAACTTGGCCGCGGCAGCCATGGGGTCGGCTCGCTCCGTGCGGGCAACGTCGACGGCCATCTGGTACGACATGTGCTCCCACAACCCTCGATTGGCAATGATGATGAACTCGTCCGTGTCGGCCAGCTCGAACTCTTCAATGTTGGGCGAGGCGTTAATCGCGGGGAAGACGTTGTAAAACCCGAACGAACGCGAGATGTCGACTTCGTCATTGACGTAACCACGATGCGAAATCCATCCTTCGGCCGTGCGGATGCGCGCAACCTCGGCCGGTTCGAAGGGCTCGTGTCGCTTCGAGATGAACCTCGACGTTCCACCGCGACCGGCGATGACGGCGAGCGCGTTACCCGCATTGGCGACGTACACTCGCTTGCGGCGGATGTAGACGATGATACCTGCCGCTCCCGTCCGAGCCGAGGCCTGCGACCGATCGGTCAAGCTGATCTCCGAGTCCTTGCGCCGTGTCTCAAGCGTCGGAAGGAGCATGTTGCCGTAGTCGCGGTTGATACCGAGGAAGGCGCGTCGTAAGGCATCGCTCGTGACCTCACCGCTCTTGAGCCTCGACAGCTCGAGCGTAAAGATCGCCGTGAAGTAATCCTGCAGATACTTGACGAGCTTCGCACCCGTGTTCTGGCCCTTGTTGACCGCGTCAAAGAGACCAAAGATGGCTTCGTCGTCCTTGGACCGGAAGCGTGGGATGACGATGTCGACCAAGGTCAACGTCTCGAGGCGCTGGCCCAAAGTGTCGGCTATGCCATAGCCCATGTCATTGATCTCGGACAGGGACGTGCGCACGCGTCGATCCTCACTCTCGTCCGGTACCGAAGGAATCATGAGCGTGACGTCCATCAGACCCAGGATGTGCAGCTTGGTCAGAGCCGAAAAGTCGGCGAGATTGCGTCGCTTGGCGTTGCGGGGGACACTCGGATCGTCATTCTGATGCCCAGGTTTGATCTCGAGTCGTTTGTTGCCCGACAGGTTGAGGAAGCGCAGTTCCAAATTCCAGTTCCTGTGCAAAGGGATGAGAGGAATCAGCTTCTCGGCACTGTGGAACACACCAATCGAATACGCACCAGTTCCAATCATAGGGCCAATTGACGACGTTGTACTTGAGTGCATTGTTCCCGACATCGAGCGCAAACAGCTTTTTGATCTTGCCCAGTTCGGCAGGAAGCGTTTGGAGCTACACCCCACACGCAAGCGCACCAAGGCGTCGAGCCATCAGCTTCACGCAAAAACACTACTCAACCCGAGACCGACTAACCTTGTTTCCATTGAGATACAGCAACTTGAGGTTGTGCAATCGCTCCAGGTCGTCGGGAGGCAGACTCGTCATCTTGTTCCCCGAGAGGTAAAGCTCTTCCAGCTGCTGCAACTTGAACAACGACGACGGTGGGATCTCGAGAATATCGTTGTGGCTAACGTTGAGGACCCTCAATTCGGTCATGAGCGAGATGGGGGCAAAGACGTCGTCGCCCAAGGTATTATCACCCAGATAGAGCTTTTGCAGGCTCAGTGCCAAAGGCGAAGCGATTCGGCCAGAGGAGGTTGAAGGTGCCTTCGAGACCGTTGATCCTTTGCGAGCCTCCAACTCCTCCAGCCCACCTTCGGACGTCAACATCGCTTGAGTCGCCGTCGCAACTGACAGCGGTGGATCCGGGAAGTCGTGCATCAGGTTCGAGCTCGCGTTTAACGACGTCAACTGCCCACACATCCATATGCTCGACGGCAGCGTTTGCAAGTTGTTGCCGGAGACTTGGAGCGTCTGCAGCCTCTGTAACCGCCCAAGGTTATCGGGCAAGAGACCCAAAATGTTGTTCTTGATCGAGAGATGAACGAGGTTCGACAGGCCGCCAATCCCGTCGGGCAAGACGCGCAATTGATTGCTATCAAAGATGAGCGTTTCGACCGAGCCGAGATGGTCGAACATGTCCGTTGCAAGCGTCGACAATTTCGCGAACGACAAATTCAGCGAGGTCAGCGACCGACCCGTACCCGCAAGACCGAACCGAGTAAGCGAGTTGTTCGAAGCCGAGAGGATGCGCATCTGTGACCATGTCGCGTCCAACGCCGAAGCCTGATTGTGCTCGCATCGCAAGACCTCGAGCTGTGCCACACTCGCAATCGGGGACAAGTCGGCGATGAAGTTGCGGCGACAGTCGAGCTCCTTGAGATGGACCAGGTTCGTCAACGTCGTCGGCAAGGGATTGATCGTGTTGGCGAGCAGGACGAGCCGTTCGAGGTTCTTCAGTTGCCCAATCTCGGGAGGCACAGCGGAGACGGTGTTAAATGAGATATCGAGTTCAACGAGCGACGAGATCTCGGTCACGACCGCGGGAATCGAGTCAAAGCGGTTGTTGCTCAGGTTGAGGTACTTGAGCTGCGTGAAGCGTGCAAAGTAATCCGGCAGCGTCCACAGGCGATTGTTGTGGCATTTAAGCGACATCAACTCCCCTACTTCTTCCAAAGCGATATGTTCGAGATCGACGATATGGTTGTTCGAAATGTCGAGTCGTGTCAAGCTGTAGCACTCCTTGACCGCCTGCGGGATCCTCTTGATGCCCATGTGGGACAGCACCAGTTCGCGCAAAGACGTACACAGCTGCACGAAATCCGTCGGCAGATCGAACGGTCGGTTCTTGGACAGATTCAGACTGACGATCTCGTGCGCGTGTCGGTACAGGTAAATCGGGATCGTCTCGACCGGCCGCCCGGAGAGATCGACGAACTCGAGATTCGTCTCGTTCACGTCCTCCTCCCCCGCCGCGATCGACGGATGCGCAGGTTTGTAGATGAACTTGCACAGATACGCGTTGTCCTCTCGGCCGAGCTCTTCGAGCTTGTCCAATTCGGTGTACCCGGCTTGTTCGAACCGCCGCTTCTGCAGCAGCATCGGCTTCTCGTTCGCGCCGACGCGTCGTTCGTAGCCCTTTTCCCGCAGGTACAGAGCATACGCCGTCTTGGCATGACTGATTTGAAAACGTCGAGCCAACGTAGCCGTCAATTCACCTGCAGTGACGGTCAAGGGGACCGGCAGAGTCGAGAAGGTCGAGTTTTCGCGCGTGATCCGCATCATGAACTGCATAGGAAGGTCGAAAACGTCAGCACACGATGTCCGGATACTCCGCATCACCACAGAACTTACGCTCTTTGACGCTGCCATCCTACCCCCCATCCCATCCGAGGTTCCCGGTCTCCCACCTCTCGTAACCGGTCTCCCTCCCGCAGTTGGCGGCCTTAAACCCCCACTCTCGTCGTACCCAAACACTTTTGCCGGTTTCGATTCAGGCGACATCGCCGAATCACTCTCTATCTCCTCGATTCGGTTATCCTCATCATCATCCTCGTCTTCCTCGTCCGAGGAAGTGTCATCATGGTCCATCCCTCCCATCTCGGCTTTGACAGCCCAAGAATCAGGCGCGGTCCATGCCCCCGGTCCAGTCTGTGCAGTACTCGTCGTGTTCGATGTCGTCGGTGTAGGTGTCGAGGCCAATGCCCCAGGCGCGAAAGGATCGTTGGTCTGACCGACCGCAATGGAAGGTCTCCGACCAGAGCCGACGCTCCTCGGGCCCCCATTCGAGCCGACGTCGCCGTTCCCTCCCGTGTGTGTCCTGGTACTGAGTCCCGAAGACGATCGAACGAAACTGGGCCGTGACAACATCGCCCGAGCAGCTGTGACGGGTAACGAGAGGTTGTTGGGCGGCACCTCGCTCATCGGACTGACGGTACCACTCGGCTGCGACGCGCCATTGCTCCAGAACGACGCCGGCCCACTCGCGCCCGAAAGACTCCCGTTCGTTCGAAACCCACTCATACCAGCGTTCACACCCAGCGATGAGAGGTTCAGCGTCTCTGGTCCGCTGCCGCCCGAGAGGCCCAGCCCTCGCTCGTTCGACATGCGCCGCATCAGCAGTGGCATCCCAGCCGATGGCCTCCGCCCTTGATTCATCGTCGGGCTCGCCGCTGCCGCCCCCATCCCGGCGTCAAAGCTCGAGGCAAGTGATGGGGACCGATGCAGCGGCGTCGGCGAAGAAATGGCGCTCGGATTGACGATGCCGTCAAGATTGTTGAGATCGGTGTCGAGCGAGATGGATGGATCGGCGGAAAAGACCGAGGCCTGACGACCGACACTGGTCGTTGTACCTGGCCGAGGTGGCGAATTGCCTCGCCTCCCATTCCGGTTGCGGGTGATTTGCCGTTTAGACGAATCGGGGGTGCCAAGGTTGCCGTATGCCGCGGTGCGGCTCAGAGTGTCCATCGCGTCGCCACGAGCCTGGAGCTTGGGTGGCAAAGCGACGTTATCGAACGAGGCTGCTTCTGGAGGCATTGTCATCGATTCTGTTTCCCCCGTGAACTGGCTGCGGCTGACTTTGCGCTTGAGGAAGCCGCCAAACAAGCCCTTCTTCTTCTCCTTGCTGGCGCTGCCCATGTCAAATTTGCGAGGCGTCGATGAGGAGCCTACCGAGTCGGTACGGGAGAGTCCAGGGTTTTGGTTGACCCGTAGCGACTGTGAGGACATGGCATAAGATTTGCTCTGATCGAGATGGCGTACAACGCATCATCCGTCAGCACCCACTCCGGCAAGGTGTAGCACAACCACAACAAACAACAAGGAACTCACCTCATTCCGCGATGACGTGCCTTCAGCGCGTGGACTACTCGGGAACTTGTTATCGCTGCCCTGCGACGACGAAGCGGCGAGTTTGGCGCCCCACCCGTTCCAGGTGTCGGAGAGCATGTCGGAGCCTGGGCCCATCGGGGTCGCGTACGAGCTGCTGGCCGCCGAGGCTGGTGTGTGCAGCTTGGGGAGACCGTCGTTGGGTGCGGCGAGGTACGACGAGTTGGGTTGAGCCGTGTTGATCGTTCGGAGTGGTGGTAGACTCCTCCCGGTAGTCGGCGCGGCTGGGGAGTGCGACCGCGAGTTGAAGACGGACGGCCCCGCGTCGATCCCGACGCCGAGCATCTTGGCTTGCTTGGACGAGCGTGGTACGACCGAGTCGTCCATGTCGAACGTCGAAGCCGAGGTCGGCATCGTAGGCACAGGAGCGAGTCACGTCGCAGCGGCAGAACGAGCAGCAGCAGCAGCAGTGGGCGAGCAAGTGTTGAGGACGGGAAAGGTTGAACGAGGGCCGGATGCCGTATACGTGTTCGGCGCTGGGCGACCAAGTCAAGCCGTTCGTTCTACCGCCGTCGTTCGGGTACAGCGAGCGGCCAAAGGTAGACTAGCTGTTGAAGAGGTGTGATCGGAGGTATGACTGGTCGTGGCAAAGGTTGGCGTGCGCTGCGAGCGTCACGGCGCGGTCGAGAGGGGGTGGTTGTGGTTCGTCGCGAGGTGGCTCGCCACAATGATCAATCAGAGCCACTCGCGCCAAAGGGAGCTCGACTCGAGGGTGTGCGATGGTACAATCGCAACGATTGCGGTGACTGAGTTAGGGTGACAGGGTATACAGTGATGCTGTCAGCCTTTAGAATGATGTAGACGATGTTCGATCTATGCTCGAGTCACGCCCCAGCGGCGGGAGCAGCGGGTCGGCAGCACATACACCACAAAGCGAGGCGGGTCAACGGCGGACAGTCGCTGTACGCACCCCGAGCGACACCGCGCATCGAGGCAGCCGCTCATGAATCTTGGACTCTTGGACTAGGAACGACCAACTCACCTGCTGTGTGCTGGAACACAAGTAACACACCAAAGGCAGGTCGCGGGGCGCTGAGCTCTGAGCTCGGTGAGCTGGAGAGCGCGCACAAGTGTCAACTTCGATCACTGAGCGCGCCTCTCGGCCAGTCCACTCAGCCTGTGTCCACTCCTCCCACCCCGTCAGACCCGACACGGAGACACGGAGAAAGCAGTCGGCGCAGCAGTGGCAATCGAAAGGCCGGACCAACGGAAAAACTGCTGTCCTTTGGTGATGCAGGCTTGCCCGCGGTGAGGGGTCAAAAATAATAGGTAGAATGTGGGGCCGAGGTGTATCGATGCGAAAAGGTCGAAAAGGTTGAGAAGGAATGAGCCTGAACTTGGGTGCGAATTAGCTCGAACGAGTCACAAGCCACCAAAACAATCTACCGCGGCCGACCGCGGCGACACACGCGGCGCACGGGTGAGCACGGAGTAAAGCGCGCTCAAATTAGGTTCTATCTTTTCCCTTCTCGGGAGTTCACACCATAGTATCAGTGACGTAAATTTCGGAAAAGTCTTAGTCCTCCGCCGCCGCGCAATGGTGCGTTTGAAACGGACCGCGCGCGATCTCCGACCCGGCCGATCGATTCTACAAGCTCCACCTTTCATCTTGACCCGGCTCACGGCGCTGGGGCTTGACCGGAGGAGCTTCACATCGCCCTTCGAAGCTCGAGCTGTGCGCGCAGTGGGGCCCTTCGTTCAGGGCCATTTGAGCTGCCGGACACACGATGACGCTCACTCCAGCTCAGATGAACAAATTGTCCTACATCTGCAAGTCCATCCTCCCTGTATGCGAACCGTAATCCCCACCATTCGACCTTCACGGACTGGCGCAGACCCGCATCTGGCGTGCGAACTCGGGCTGGCTGTGAGAACACCTCCATCGCCGATCCACGCCGCCCGCGCAATGCCACGAGATGTCTCGGTGTACGCTCGCCACTAACGATCCCTTGTGAAAAACCACAGTGACCACATCCGAGTATGACCGCCTCCTCAAGACCTTAGGATCGCGCGTTCCGCTTCCTCGACGACCATCCGCCGACGAGGCGCACGTGAACAGGTTCATCTCGAATGAAGAGTCAGTCCGAACTCTCCTGACAGGGCCGTCTTTGTAAATCACGTGCTTTAACCAATTCCTCCACGTGTCAACGTCGGGTCAAAAAAATATCAGTCAACCTGAACCCGTTGTATCCCGTCACGCGATTCGACTGCTGGCGCTCGTCTTTACCTTTGGCGTCGTTTACGAAAACCTGCTTCTCGGCCTGCTAAGGCGCCAAAAGTACGATCATCGGAATGGCTTGGCAGGAGACTGCTCTCTGCGCTGATGTTCTCGGGCCTTCCTTATCGCGAAAACAGACTCTCATCGATCCTGCGTTCCTTGCGCCTGTCGTCGTCCTTGCGTCTCGCTTCTTTTGTTGCCGGGTTTTCCGCTTGCTACCGCCTCGTCCTGTCTCGTCTTCGGTCAACTCTGCCCGACTATGCCTCCGACAGCAAGACCGACAGAAGCAGGCAACAGCTCAGCTCACTCAAGCGAATCAAAAACAAGCTGCTGCTTTCCGACGGTCTTCCACCCTTCTTGGCCGCCTTGATCGCCAGCCCCATCATGCTCCTTGAGCCCCGAGGCCAAAGAAGAGTTGTCAGTCGCTCGGAACTTTTTCTGCTGAGGAGGTGGCTGACGAGTTGAAGTCATCTTTACAGACCATCTCTGTCTATTCTCTCACTCGGGCTCTGCATGGCATGATCGTGGGAGCCGGTAATAGGAGGTGGTTGCCCCAAGCCATGATCGAAGGAAGATGGTGGTGGGGAGGTCACATCGTCTTTGCGTAAGCGCCCAACTGCAGCTCACTTTTTCCATTACCCATAGCATATCATTGATCACCAGCGATGCCCTAATGACCTCAACAGTCTTGCAAATGGTCTCCTGCTCCACTCCTTCGTCTACAACCCTTCGACTTTCCCCGCCGCCTACTCCAGCTTTATTCTCCGCTTCTCTTCGGCCTACCTCCCCGCCCGTCCTGCCCAACTGCCCGCATCGGCACCCTGGCCGACACCCCGAGATATCATCGCAGCGATAGCCGAATCCTCGCGTCTTCGATGGCCCGCATTCGTCTCCCCTCTGATCCACCCCAGCGCCCCACGTTCTTTCGATAATCCCATCTTGAACAAGATCACGCCGATTTTGGATCGTACCCATCCCGGCCACTCGAGATTGGTCTGCGCCTTCCTCCACCCCGATCAAACGGAATGCCAATCCGTCACTACGAACTTTGTAACACGAGAAGCCCTCTCGGCATCAAAACTCTTCGGAGCACTCTCCCTCCTCGGTCTCCTCATCAGATGGAAGAAATCCCTTCGCACACCAGACGAATCTATTTATCGTGCTCTCCTCTCCACAACAACCTCTTCCCTCTTCCTCTCCCTATCCCTGGGCACTTCCTGGTCCATGGTCTGCGCTCTACAGCACTACCTCCCCAACTCGTTCCTCAAGACCAAACGATTCTTCGTCCAAGGTTTCTTGGCCGCACTATGGGTTGGCTTGGTCGGCGGACGACGAGCGATGGATCTAGGGTTGTATGCATCGAGGACGGCGATTCAGTGCGTTTGGGATACGGCCGTGGCGAAGAAGCAGATCAGGTCGATCGCGTGAGTCGAGCGATCATCTCTTTGTGTCCTTGAGATGAAGTCAGAGACTGACTTTGAACGAAACCCCTCTGCTCACCAAGTCACGGAGATGTCCTCGTCTTTGCCCTCTCCATGTCTACACTGATGACACTACATGATGTAAGTCTTCTCTCCACGCTTTCCTTACGCGTTCCACCCTCACTAAACCCTTCCCCTCTGCGTAGGCCTACCCGGCATGCATCAACTCCGCCTTCGTTCGAGGCGCCCTAGAGCGTATCGGAGGCCCTTCCCATGCCGAAGAGAAAGCTCGACAACAACTCTTGGAAGAGAAAAAGCGAAGAGGGTCGACGAATACGTATGTGCCGAACACGAGTGGATGAGCCTGAACATGGGGACAGGGCTTTTTTGCGCAGCAATAATCATGGTCTCGCTGTACTCGCTGTGATTCCTTCTTCTCGAGTACCTCTGACCTGAAACGAACTGATACATGCTTTCGAATTGCGAGAGACCATGCATTCTTTTTCAAGCAAAAAAATCCCTTTGGCAAGGTCAGCAGAGAGAAAAGGCTGCTTCGCCAGACTGAAAGCGAGGAAGAGAAGCAAAGTGCTGGCGAGGGCGAAAGGAATCCAGATTTTTTTGACTGTGGGCTGTTTGGGGCTCTGGTCACACACAAAACCAAAGCTGCTTCTGATGGCTAGAGGAAGCGGGGGAAAGTATATCACGAGGCTTAAGATGAAAAAGGGTTTGGGTACGGGATGAGGACGTGCGGTGAAGCAGACGAGTAGGAGTTCGGTTGAGCATCATCTCCAAGAAGCCGAAGGTTGTGTGCCATGTACTGGAGCTGAAGCGGGTCCGGTTCGAGGTGCGCCATCGGCAGAGATCGAGCCTGCGAAGGTATCTGCCGGTGTGGAGGGAGAGATGATGTCAATTGATATTCTGTCACTGTTGAGAATTCATAGAAGCGATCCACTCACAAGCCAGAGCAAAGTCATCATGGGTCAGGTCAACTCGAGGGCTTGCGTTGGGTGCGGAATCACTTTGGCTTGTGGGCGGGCGGTTGTTTACGTTCGACGAAGAACCATTCTCGCTCATGATCGACGAACGAAGAACGCCACCTTCATCACCCAACATTGACGTCGGAGGGTGCAGCATCCCAAACAGCGCATCCACCGTCTGTTGTTCACCTGATCCGATCGGACGATGCCGATGATCCTGATCCCGATTCGTCGCTTCGCCCTGTGGGCTCGTCGAAGCCATATTGGGGGTCGCAATGCCCTTTCCCTCCCTTCCATCGAACCCTCCACCCATCCTCGAGTGTAACCTCGCCAGAATGCCCATTTCATTCTCCGAACACAGCGTCAACAAGACCTGCGATCCACTCGGACGAATCTGAGGATCTACACCTTCCCCGGAAGCGCCGATTGCGTGCCGTTCGAGAAGCTTGACAATCCCGCGCACGCCCAACCAGAATCGAGACTGTCTCGCCAACGCCGCAGACGCAAGATGGTAATTCTTCGACGCTTCGATCGCGAGAATGTCGCTTCCTGCCGCCGATGCAGAGCCCGGTCCGTTCGCTTCGGTGTTGCCCTCGATCTGGGCCTGAGCATGCGAGTTCAAAGGCGGCGCCGACAATACATCACGCCCCGTACGCAGTCGATACTCCTGCGCCCACGCCAGCGCAGCAACGAAGAGCGGCTGATGAACAAAAGGACATGATGCGATTCTCGAAGCATCGATCGTCTCGGACACCGCAAGGACCTCTCGGATTGAATCGCACGCCGACGAGACAATCGATTGGCGCAAGCGGTCTGTGAGAGCAGGCTTTGCGGCGTTGAGCTTGGGGTGCAGCACCGGCGTCCGGTAGAGAATGATCATGACGGCATGGTACCAGAGGTGCAAATGGAGGTACACCGGGACCGTGCCACGCGCGATTTGACGCCGAAAGCTGCAGGGTGGGGGCGAGATATCAAACACGGATCTGTCATCCGAAGACGGTCATTCACAGAACACTCACTTGGAAGTCGACCACCCAAGATCTCGGGGGAGATTGTGATACAGCGTACGGATCTCGTGCTCGAGTGCGTAGAGGTCTTCGGCCCCACGCTCGGTGCCGGAGCCCGCCAGACGATGCGAGGACTCGGCCGAGATGGGCTCGCGGTCATCGTCGGCCGATGCACTGTCGTCCATCGGAGAGCCCCAAGTCGTTGAAGTAACGTTCACGATATCCGCCAGCTGGCCGACCAATCTTTGCAGTGCGACGTAGTGTGGGAAAGGGGAAGGTAAGAGACTGTGCAAATTTGGAACCGCTACATCTTGGGCAACGACTTGAATGTCCTCGTCCGTTGGAGCGGGGAGCTGCATCAAAAGACGAGAAAGGACTCAATTAGCCCGGAACAAAATCCACCTCAAGGGGTAAGTACCCGATATGAACTTACAAATGACTCGTGTTCCTTCGCCATCGAAGCTCGGCCAGTACCGATCGAGAGCATACGGTCCATCGTCACGCAGCTCCACCACAGCAGCGAGTCCTGCGCACGCTTCCTCCGATCACTCGTCGGTCTCTGGATGTTCAAGTGCAGTCCGATGTCCTGCGCCATCCTGACCGCCATCCCCGTGTACATCCAAAGTGCACCTTCGGAATTGAGCCCAAACTCGTGGTGCGCGAGAAGCAGCAAGGACGCGACCGTGCCCGACGATGGCAAGCCGAGTAGAGGCGTCAGGAGCTGCTTGGCCTTGTTCGCGAATGCGATGCCCCATGTTGCGGGCTCTTGTTCGAGTTGTACGATCGACGACGCTTCAGAAAACCGAGCTGCGGCAGCACAAATCGTGTTGACCAAAAGGGGACCGTCGAGCTGAGTCGATAACAACGAGCCACTTTTCCGTCCCGGGGGATGAGAGATGCCGAACGGTTCCTGCCCGCACGCCTCTTGCACGTGCCGCACGTTCAGAAAGGGGAACTCGGATCCCATGCGGAGGAAAAAGAGGGGCACAAGGTCGTCGAGCACGTCCTGTCGGGGGATATCGGAACCAGGTGCGTAGAGGTGGTCGGGTGGACTAGGGTCCCGAAAAAGATGGCTCCCATGCCGCGCGAGTGAGTAGGATGTCCTCCGATGAGGATCGCGCGGACTGGGCGTCCCCATCATGGGTTGGTGAGCCTCGATCGACGAGAGCGAGAGACTGACTTGCTGAAGTCCGGGTTGAATAGCCGTCGGTCCAAAGGGTCTCAAGTAGTTGAACTCGATTGGACGGCCCATGGGCCGATAGTCCTCCATTCCGTGCCGTTCGGCGGCGAGCGCGCTAAGCTGATCCAGCGAACCTCCTGAAGCCCCTGGGTCGACGCCCGCGTGGTGTGGGTCGGCGTCGACGGATGAAGGAGGGTCTTGCGAGGGGTGGGCCACAAAATCGTGTCGTATCAAATGGTGTAGCTGATGATGACCATGATGTGGCGGTGGTGAGGGTGAAGGTGACAGGGCACTGGCTTGACCTCCTGCCACGGGAGGGACCGAGCCGAGGATAGGAGGGCCTGTGTGCGAGTGGTTCGGCCCCATCATACCGATGTAACTCGGGAGCACGGGAGGGTTGTGGTGAAAATCGTACCCAGATCGTTGATGCTTCTGATTCTCGTGATCGTGCTGCTGTTGCTGCTCGGAATGCTGTTGCTGCTGCTGATGCTGATTCTGATCGTGATGCGGCGGGTAGGGGTGGTGCGGCTGCGAATGCGAATGCGGATGTGAAAGTGAATGCGGATGCGAATGCGGATGCGAATGCGAATGCGACAGCGGGGGATGCAAGGGCTGTTGCTGGTGATGGAACGGCGACTCTTGCTCGTGATACTGCCCGTGGTCGATCGAAGGCGAGATCTGATGGGGCGACACCATGGGCCACCCGGGACCGGTCGGCGGGGGAAGAATCGGGTTCGAGAGGTTCAGCAACGACATGTGCGGTAATGGCTGGTGAGGTGAATGGTGAAAGTGTTCGGGTGGTAGACTGAGACGTTCCACCGACGAGTTGCCCCCAGCACTACTCGCATGGTGGTGCGAAGGCGTCCACCTCGAATCGACGAGATTGCCGGGGAGGTCGGGAGGGCCATCGGGCTCAAAGTGGTGGTGGTGAGGATGGGGCGGTGGCAGCTGATGCGGGTGGTGGTGACTTGGCGCGGCAGAGTGAGGATGATGATGGGAGAGGCCGTGGTGATGCTGAGGCGGGGACGGGACCGTGTTCTCGGCGTCGTCGGCGCTTGTCGCAGCGAATGCGCCGGTAGGGTCGGACGTTGGGGGGCGATCGTGCCTGGGATGTGGTCCATGAACGACGTGGGCATGGCTCGCGGCGGTGCTCGTTGATCTGGGGCGCGACCGACCCGGTTCCGATGCGCCTGAGCCGCTGCCCTGGTGATAACCCAACGAGTCTTCACGAGAAGCCTCCAGGATTCGATGCGACGTAGACGACGACGACGAGCCCGAACGTGCAGGTAGGCTCGTGCGGGTCAATTTTTTTCGCTTTCGGCCGTCGAGCTCGGGTTGATATACGCATTCGGCCTTTGATTTGCTGCAGTTGGCGCACACGGGTTGGTCGCCCTGTAAGAGGGGGCAGCCAATAAATAAAAATCAAAAGGGAGGGGGAGGGGAGTGATGATGATGGAAGGGTCGATCGTGTTCGTGTAGTCGAGGCCGAAGATATGCGAGAGGGGGCCGGTTGATCGAGCGCGAATTAGAGGTCGCACAGAGAGTCCAGCGCGAACCACAGGAGGGCGATCCGTCGAGGCGCGTGCGAAAGGCGACCCGAAAGCCAACAGAGAGAAGCGAATGCGGAGTGTCAGTCACGGTGTCGGACTCAGATGCGACGGACTCGCCCGCCCTGGCGATTCGAACACACAACGAAGGGTTGGTGGCAGATTCTCTGGACATGAGCTTACATTGCAACGCGCCTTCTTGTACTTGCATCGCTCGCAAGCGTGTGTGATTCGTAGCCGCTCCTTGACTTTGCGAGCGCGTTTGGTGGTCGAGGTCGAGCTGCGCTGCGGCGCCCCAGCGCCGATCCCGACCCCGCCGGCGTCACCGTCGTCGACGTCGGGTCGACGCGCACCGGCAGGCACGGACGTCGAGTAGGTGGGTGCAGAGGGGGACATGTCTGACGTCGAGTCCGAGTCGTCGAAACTCTTCGACATCTCTAGGCCCTCAGATCAAGTGCAGAGGAGGGGAGGCAAAAAGCGTCCACGTCGTACTTGCTAGTATGCCGAACTCGGAAAAGATGAGACAATTGCGGCTGTGAGGTCGATAGCGGAGCTGCAGGTCTTCAGGGGCCGGGCGACGGTGTGTGCCTCCGAGACTGGGTGCTCCGCACCAACAGCAGCGTCACGCTGACGCACCTCACTCAACGGACACGTTTGGACCGTTTTATGTCCAGTGTTTCCAAAGAAAAGAGGGACAAGCGATGCAAAGGGGGAGAAAAAAGGGCCGACCCACCGCCCAGATTTAATAAAGTGACGGAGCGATCGCTGCCGTACACCCCGATCACTGATCAACAAGAACGGTTTCAGCCGAGTAGATCTGCCTGACCCCACAAGACCACAGCTGCCATGTGCGCGAACGCGATGAGCTTCGCCGATCGCGCGCTTCCGGGCCGCCTTCCGCTGCTCGCACTTCTACGTGTACGAGGTCCGGCGGGCGGTGCCAGGCATCTCGATTGTTTCGGCCCTTTTCGGGAGGCACATCGTCTGCCCACTTTTGCCCCGACTGAAGTCTCACTGCTCCGAGTCGTCCGTCAAGTCTCAAAGTCACGTGATAGTAGTCCTGGCTGAGTCAAAACTACGGGCATCGGCCCGACGCGGCTTTCGTGGATTTCTTAGTGGAAATCGGAGTCGACCAGCGCTCAGATGGAATGTGTCAGGAGCTACTCAGGACGAGCACAGCTTTCGGAAACTGGGCAGCCTGGTGAGTCCACTATGTACATAGCTCGCAGAGGAACGGAAGCCATCGGAGCTCATCTCCGAGCGTGGTCCCAACTTCTTAATTAAGGTCTTGAAACAAGAGGAAGTCACGCTTAGACAACATGTTCGACCAGCAACACCCACTGGGACGAACTTGGTCACCAGTCCAGTAGTGAGTTGCCAGGCTGATGCCGAAATTTGCACCCGGCTCGTATAGCTTTGCCTTCAGCAGGTGTCCAACAACAACCTTACGACCCCAGCCCCTTCCCCAACCGGGGGTATACCTCGTTCCGTCTCGGAATTATGCGGCTCACCGAGAGTGTCATCAGACCTCTATTTCGAATTACAGGCCCCGCCGCTCTGCGTGTCGGCGCCGGCGGCGCTAGATCGCTTTCGCGGTGAGACAACCTCGGGAAGTGATTTGCCGTGCAGTCATGAGCTTACCTGCGCTCCCCGATGCCCATGCATCAATTTTGCTTGCCTGAAGACATGTACTCCTTTCTTCGGAGGGCGTATTTCCTTTTTCTTCGTGGAGGATAAAACTCCCATGAGAGCGATAATTGCTTCCACCACGAGCAGAGCCAATGGGATCGGGTTCCCCTTCGGCATGATCACGGCCGTTCTTCCCCCTTTGCTTGCACACAGATGGAACAGTCCTAAACCCGATGGAAGCCGACGCGTCTCACTGGCAAAATTGGCCAGACATCCGCGTCGGGTCTCGGATCCCTTCTCGGTTCAGCGGCCGTTCCGCGTGCTCAAGTTTCGCGCCTACGATAGGAGGCCTGTGTCAGCTCGCGGGTTTCTCCGGGCTCGGGCTTTTCAGCATAGAACTCGGCTCCGCTTGTCTAATCGCCCGGAAGCTTATGGACGCTATCGACCAGGAAAGTCTTCGTCATTACGCTGAGGTGGGATTCCTAGCACAGTCGGTCACATAATCCCAGCGGCCCATTCGATCACGCATCCGCTGGCGCGCGATTTCCGACGTGACGGGACCTCTGGCCGCATGCCCTTTTAAGAATATGCAGGGCCAGAGGCGGTTGTTCAACATATACGCCAAATATTATAATCGAGGTGGAACATTGAATGACCAAGAGTAAAACCCAGCTCTGAGCTGAGTGAGATGCTGGAGGGTTGGCGAAGCCATTTCACAGTACCGAGCACCCGTCGGAACGGCTAGTGCGTTTGGCGGGCCTGAGTCTCAATATGCTAAACACACCTCTGTAACCACCCATATCGATTCACTACCCACCTGTTTCGAACAAAATTGAAACCTGGACTGTCAAAGTCTAACCTTTCAGCCAAAGACACATTTGGTGGTACGTGCAGGCGCATGCTTGCGGAGTCGGAGCTTTCGTCGAACCTCCTGACTTTTTGGCGTCACATCGCGGTCGACTCCTTCACCTCCTCGCCCGCGCCTCTCACCAAATCGCCGCCGAAATGGAAAAACACCAGCGTAATTTTTACTTGGGTGGACGAGCTTTGTGCGTCCCAGGACTTGTTTCGGTTCGCCTTCGGGTGCTCAAACACCGACGCCGCATTTCCGCCCCTCACCGGTTCGGCGACCAGCCAAGTCCACCGACATGAGACCGATATCGTCCACCAGCTCACTGGTACTCGTTTTGTCGTACACGTGGTTACCAACATCAGTGAATCTTGTTTCATCGTCAGATGATTCCTGGCATCTCTGTCCCTCTTGGATTCAAGCTTTCTGTCTTAAAGTGCAACTCGGCAGACGAATATCCGGGCTTTCGTGACTCCTCTACTTCGGGGTGTTAACGCTCCTCGCCCCACGACTGACGCCTTTCACTCTCTTCCCAGACATGGGAACGGTTCATCAATCGATGCCTTCAACCAATCAGGCACATCTCAATGAACTCGCAATCTTCAATGACACGCCAGCTCCGGTGCGAGAAGACGTGAACCGTATTCGCTGAATCGATACGGTCTTTCAAATCAGCTCCCACAACCACCGACGCACTCTGCTCAGCGGATTCCGACGAGAAAGGTCGTGTTGTAGTGCTCCTTCTTAAACTGATGTGGATATGGGAACTTAAAAAAGAGGAATCGGTTGGCTATATTTGGTGCTGCAAGCGTATGCGACGTCGATTTCCCGCTCGCGATGGTTGAGCCTCAGGAGGTGTGTTGTACCTCTCCTAAATGATCCCGGTGTGGTCACCGCGGGCTACCCACTCTCCACAGCACCGCAACCGCTATTATGTTGACCCAGATATGAACGGATCGACCAAGACTTCCCATCTCTTATGTTAGGCGCTCACATGGCAGCCGTTCGAGCCGGGTGTTCCTGAAAGTCTTAACTCACTCGGTAGCTCACGCGCAAGTTGGGCTCGAACTTTGCAGCTCGTCTGGACATTTCGTGGCTATACGAGAACACCCGGCGGGTTACTTATGATGAACTGGACCCATTCCCGATAGACTCAAGATCCTTTACTTTCAAAATGATATTACAGGTCACTTCCAATACTCCCGTATACTCACCGTACCTACCATTGACATGCATGGTACTATTTAGCCGCCCACTCCACTGGAGATGAAGCGAACCGCTCGTCGATGACGTTGTGACGAAGCTGAGGCGCATCCAAACTCCAAAGCCCGACGGGTCAGTAATTTGAAGCGAATCTAATTACCTCGATCTCCACCCTGATCTTGAGAGGCAAATGGGACTCTCTTCAAGAGCAGCCCGACACCTCTGTCAACGAGTCAGTTCGCACCGATGCCAGAATAGATTTGCAGCGACGGACGATGGATTCCCGATCGACGACGTTACGTTTCGGACACTTCAACTTCAAGTTTATGATCCGGCAGAGGCGATTGTTGGGATGAACATCACTCTTGTTAGATGTAGAGTAGTTTTGTATTGCACTGAGAGGCTCAGATAAAAATCAACAATGCCAGGATGTACAGGTCGCAAATCCCAACCTCAGACAGCAGCCTAGTGGTCGCTCCTTGGCCTGAGTACTCAGGGCGCGATCGGCCGTCTTTTCTTCTTCGCCGATCTGAACTGATCGAGATTAATTTGAGCAGGGTTCGGTCGACATCGCGCGCAAGAGACCCAGGTGAAACGTGTCTTAGGCGAGGCTCAAGCTGGCTGAGCAATTCGGCGAGGAGACAAGCGGCCCAGTTTGAAGCGCGCCGTGGCTCGACGCAGCCCCTCTCTCGACCGACCTCAACACACCGACGACAGGCTGACCATGCGTACATGACACCGGATGTCTTCACGCTTCCGCCATCCGCTTCCTGCGCGGCCTGCGTCGCCCACAAGCTCGGCACCTCCCCCCACGACGCTCGCCGCTTCGCACGCCCAAGCCAAAGGGCCCGAGCCGAACCGACCCCCACATCGTCTGCTCGACGTCTTCTATCGCACGCACGAGGCGCTTGCAAGCCTGCTTCCGCTTGAACTCATCTTCAGAGCAGAGGACACGTCGAGCTACATCACCTTTGTCAAGCAGACCATTGTCGCGACGTGCACGGTCGATGAACGCGACGACCAGGGATGGCGAGCGCTGCAGCAGCTTCAGCATGAAGCAGGAGACGTCGTCACTGTGGGGATGCAGGAGGTAAGTTATCAGATTTGATGCGCTTGTTCAACTTCTAGATCCAGCTTCGTCAATGTGGCGCTGACGGCTTCGAGCTGTCTGGCCGCTATGTCATCAGGTGCTTGCACAAGTGCACACCCGAATCTTTGCCCAGCATGCCAAGAAGTTGGCCAAAACCCGTCAAGCACCTGGTACTTGGATGTCGAGTACACCCAAGAACGTGCTATGTCTGGGCCATCGACCGGTATGTCAATCGGAATGGCGATCAGCCTCGCGAGCGTATGCGCGCTCCAAATTAACATCACGACCTCACGACCTCACGACCTCACGCTCCACCTGTGCCACCTATGCCATCCTGTGGGACGGAACCGCCTCGATTCGCTTGGTGCAGGTCAACGTCTACCGATTGGATTCGGTCGGGACGGGAGACACAACCAAAGTAGTTAATGACCACGTCAACACCACCCTTGGATCTATCAGCATCAGCAAGAACTGGCTCACACTTCTGCGCAGGTGAGGGCAGGTTTTTTGACTTGACGACCCGGTCGTACAGACGCGGGCCAAATCGAGTCGGTAAGCTAATACATGTTGATGTTCTTCGCTCTAGAATTGGTATCAACGCTATGATACACCTCCTCTCGTCGCCTGACCTTGCGGTGTTCTCGCTATTACCGAATGGATGCCTTCTGCAATGCTCCGGTACGCCTCTGGCCGAACTCACCACGCTCGCTTCTCGAGCCGCCAAGAGCGATGTCGCCAAGCCGTCACGAAAGCGCAAGCGATCCAGAGCCAAGAGCAAGTCTCAAAGCGACGCGATTGACATAGATGGTCCGGTGCCGATGGACGTGGATGAGGTCAAGGCGTCTGGATTTGTCACCGGACCTTTGCCGGCGGCGCCAGACTTTGTCGAACCTAACAGACCATCGGCCGCTCCCATGAGTAGGACCGCATCGAGCATGGACGTCGACGATAACAACTTCGACTCAAACTTGGCAACGTCAAAGCGAAAGCAGAATGAGGGATCGGCTCGGCCAGCAAAGCGGAAGAAGTTAGCGACCTTGTACGTACGCACCTGCGCTGGCAAACGCCCAAACCACTCTTCTGATGCACACAGCTCTGCAGGAATTCTCCAAGCGAGATAGTGATTCCACGGATGCGTTTGTATCATGCTCGGCCTAACAAAGGCCCCAAAGCCCGCCTCGTCTATGGTCTATCCAACAAGCGTAAGAGAGGACTTCCTATCAAGGTCGCTTGTCGTCGCGTCGGGAAGCTGAGCCCTTTCTACCTCTAGATATCCTCACACGATTGCCAGCCATGTTCCCTCCGGCGGCCCAACAAACCAAAGCCGATGCAGGGCAGCTACTAGGCGGTGCTCGACACCTCGCAAAGTACATCTTTCCTCGCCAGTTTGGCCTGCACAACGTCTTCACCTATCCCAAGCCGAGGCTCAACGTGGAGGTCGTCTCTGATCACCACGATCGAGAAATCGAGATCAAGGTCGGCATAGAACGAGCAGAGGAACGTTTGTCGGGGTTGCTTGGGAAACTAATTTCTTGCAGGCTTGTCGACAGAAACTCGGAACGGTCAAAACTCCCGAGAGGGTCAAGCCAACGCTACCGATGCTTCAAAGGATGATGCTCCTGCATTCGAGATGTAACTATCGCAAGATGCTCGATCGATATTGCCCCAAGAAGGTGAGCCAGTATGAACTCGGTACAGCTCCTCCTCAAGGGAATATTGACCATGTTCAGACCTTTATACTCAGGTCACCAAGGAAGCCAATCTCAGTCAGGCGGAACGAGCGGTATTGCTGGTTAGGGCCTCCCAGCTTTGGTGCTACGCGTGCAGATCGAGGATTCTGATTGGTTATGTTACTTTCTTTGCCACGACAGAAACTTATGTCGCAACCGGAGACTCAATCCCCCCATGTCGAGCCTTCTGCCAAAGACCACGAGGAAGATGAGGAGGATGAGACCCCTATGGCCCACGGCGCATCTCAAGCGAGAGCCCGGGTCAAGGCAAAACCTCGCTTCACTGAATACATGTGCTCCACGTATGAGGTACGCGTCCGTAATTTACACACATTCACTTCTCCTATCCGCTGATACAGGCGTGTGCAGGTAATCTGCTATGTCACCGCCGTCGTGCGCGATACGATTCCTCGAGATTTCTGGGGATCCAAGTCCAACGAAAACCTCGTTTTGAAGCGTCAGTTGCTGTGTCTTAACCTCGAGAATGTCGCCCAAACCGCCTAACCCGAGCCGTCTTGAAATTTGACAGATGCGGGCGAATTCTTACGCCTGCGCCGCTTCGAGACCATGTCGCTGCACACTTTATTGCAAGGGCTTTGTGTCGCGGATTGTGATTGGTTGCTCCCTCTGAGTGCGACCCGCCCGAGGAATCGGTTTCAACGGGCCCCTTCGGTGGAGATGGCGAAGCGCCGGGAAGTTTTAATGGAGTTCCTGTACTGGTTCTTTGACGGGTTCATTGTGGACCTCGTACGGGTAAGTCCGCAAAGCGGCCTCACGCGGCGATTGCTGAGGCTTATGCAGGGTGATGACCGCGCTCCCTAAAAGACCGCGTTTTGCGTCACGGACTCGGCGACACACGACAAGAAGGCCATCTACTTTCGTCATGATGATTGGTCCTCGATCTGCGGTCCGAGTCTCGGCTCTATTCGGCAGACGATGTTCGACTCGATACCTGACGTGAGTTTGACCTATTCTTGTCATACACGGTTGGGGATGTCGTTTTACCGCTTTTGACTTGTTTTCATCGACAGGAGAAAGCACATGTCCTTCTTGCCGATCGACAGTTGGGCTTTTCGTTCTTGCGACTCTTGCCCAAAGCGACGGGCTTTAGACCGATCGTCAATCTGGCGAGGAAGCCTCTTATCACTGGTGTAAGCATCTCGCGAGACCCTTCCTAGAGCCGACGTGAATGGCTGAGCTTTGCCCCCGTCTTGGCCATTGCAGCCATTTGGTCGCAAGGAGCTCGGCAAGACGATCAACAAGGTGCTGCAGGCCAGCTTCGATGTTTTGACTTTCGAAAAGGTTGGTTGAATACTTAGCCGTTGTTGCTCATAGTTCGAAAAGTTGATTGAAGCTTTTGATGCGATGAGGGCAGAATCGCAAGCCGCAGCTTGTCGGATCACTAGTCGGCAGTCCGATGGACATCCTCGAGCGACTCAAGGCGTACAAGATCAAGATGTCCAAGAACGGGACTCAGCCCCTGTGAGTCAGACATCGATCCCGGATTTTTGGTACATACGCTAACTCGATGAAAGGAGTACGGTAGGCCGACCCTGTACTTCGTCAAAGTCGATGTCCAAGGGGCTTACGATTCAATCAAGCAAGAGAAGCTCTTGTCGATTGTCGACAAAGTGCTCACCGAGGTGAGTACACAACGCAACGCACCCTCTCTGACGAACCTTGCGGTGCCTAATGAGTGTTCCCCTGACAACACAGAGCGACTATGCAGTGCAAAAATACGCTCAAGTCATCTTGCAATCGCGCAAGCCTTTCCGAAGTTGGCGCCGCCTCGCCTGTCCCGAAGACGATCAAGACCAGTTCGAGCACCTCGCGAAGAAGATCGCTGCGCGCACTCATGAAGGCGTTTTGTCCGATCAGGTACGAAGCGGATTCGCCTTGGCGGATGGTTGGCGAGATCGTGCTGATTCTCGGGTGATTCGTGTGTACTAGGTCGTCTATCAAAGCATCACCCGACCCGAAGTGATGAAACTGCTACGCGAACATATCACCGCCAACCTCGTCAAGGTTGGTGAAGAAGAATCGGGCACCGCAGAGGCCCTCCCAACTAATCCTCTCCTCTGTGCGACAATCACATCTTTGACAGTTCGGTACCCATTTCTACAAACAAAAGGACGGGATACCGCAAGGCTCGGTCTTGTCAAGTCTGCTCTGTAGTTTGTTCTATGGGGACATGGAGCAGAAAGTGCTCAAATTCACGGACGATCCAGACTCGGTGGGTTCTGATTCCGAGAATTCGGCGGGGTTCAATCAATTGAGCTTCGGCCAGTATCCCATCGTACAGCTTCTGCTCCGCTACGTCGATGATTTTCTCTTCATCACGACACAGAAACCGCTCGCTGCTCGATTCTTGCGCGTTATGGATCGGGGTATGCTCCAATCCCTGTTTGGCTGGATCGCACAGCACACAGCTAAACAGGCTGGTAGCGTACAGGTATCCCTGAGTATGGCTGCAAGATCTCACCGGAGAAACGACTGACCAACTTCGACATCGCTTTACGCCCGGAAGAGGTCGTACCGCCTTGGAGGGATCCAGGTGAGTGGACTCCACGTGCCGGTTCTCGATCAACGACAAGGAAGAAACACTGATCATGTCTCCATTGTGGCGATCGACTAGCCTTCCCTTGGTGCGGTCATACGATTAACACAGGGAACTTGGACGTTCGAGCCGACACGACCCGGTCGTCGGAATCGGGTCAGTTTGTGCTTTCGTATTTGGCGCGTATAACTCGTGACGAATCCCAATGAGCTCTCACTTTCCAGATATCACCAACAAGCTCACTGTACAACGCCATAGCAAACCCGGAGAATCGTTCCTCCATTCAATGATGGTGTACGTCCCCCCAAATGAACCCCCATCGCTTCCTCGCATTGAACCGTTCCCCTCTCCAAACCAGCCAAGTCAAAGTGCGTTCCTACCTGCTCTACCTCGACACTTCGCACAACACGCTCTACACTGTTCTGCTCAACATCTACCAATCCATGGCCATTGTCGCGATCAAATTCGAGGCCTACGTGCGGGAATGGAAGCAAGCTCGCACGAGGACGAGGAAGGATTTCTTCTTGGGTGCCGTGAGGGGTACGGTGGGGTATGGGTGGAGTTTGATTCGGTTCAGATGTGGTGGGAAGAAGGCGAAGAAAGTTGGGGCCGAGTTTGGGGTGGGTAAGAATGTGGTGCTTTGGTGAGTTGGCGATCAAGTTCTGGTTGCTCGCCGAGCCCAACCCGTTTCGAGCACAGGACTGATGTTGGGCTTGGATAGGTTATCGACCCGAGCCTTCATCCACGTCCTCTCCTACCGGCTCAACGTCTGGTCCTGGGTCGTGAATGAACTCGAAGCGGATCTGATCCTCCTCCCCCTAACGCACGAAGAACGTTCTCTCGTCCGTTCCGTCGCAAGGGACGATGGGAACGTGTTCATCGAAAAGACGTTGCAGAGGACGCGGAGGGCGTACTTGAGATGATGGGCCTAGGACAGGGGGGTTTCAAGTGTTGTGGTTTGTATGTCGTGGTGGTGGTTTCAAGAGTGGAGTAGATAACAGGTCGAACGAGTGGCGAGGAGGTTATCGATAGTTCGGCCTCTCAAGGGGGGTGAAACGACTTTTTCGAAATGGCCCTTGGTGTCTTTGGAGCCGAAACATGGTGCTTTGCCTGCCACACGCACACCGAAGCCAAGGGAGTGATCGATCAGTAAGCAAATGATAGATCGCAGCGCATGCGCATGAAAAAGGACGTACCGTCTGTACAAACCCACAGGTTGCCTTTCTGATCACTCGCCACGGCCCACCCACTCCCCGCCGCGAGACAGTTTATCCTAGGCCCCTCGACCTGACCGTCTCCCTCTTTGCCAAAGAACTCGACCATGTCCCCCGTCGCGACGTTGTAAAGGACCCCATCCTGGGTGGTCGCGTAACCACCTTCCAAACGGGTGATATAAAGACCATCCAGACTCTCCACATGGGTCCAAGCGAACTCGTTCAGAGATGAAGAAGGAGGGATGCCGAGCTGACCGAATCGATTATCCCTCGAGGGAGAGAAGGTGAGGACCGTTTGGGACGGTGATAAGAGAAGTGTGAAGTGGTCTATTGTAGGGGAGGAGATGAGGGTGGGTGTTTGGGTGAGGAAGGAGGGGGAGGGGAGGGAGAGGAGGTGGTAGCCCGGCGAGTTGGGGGAGGGTGACGTGGGGTTGGGGTGGAGCAGGGAAGGGAGGGAAGGGTAGAACCGGTATTCGTAGTGGTCGGAGTCTGAGGAAAGGGGAAGCATGGGTTAGAATCAAGTCGTTGGATGGGACGTCAAGGTCTCCGGGATAGGATGTGCATTGGTGCCTACCTTGCTCCTGGCAAACGGCGACCAAGCCGCCATGAATATTCATCTCGACGCTCTCGAACGATTGCTCCGTAACGCATCTGTCGACGCCATCCGCCCGTCTCGGCCCGACCAAGCATCCGATCGAACAGACTTTCCCGGTGCTTGGATCGTGGAAAGCGAGGAAGGAATCGTGGCCTAGGAAATGGGTTCTTTCCAGATCGACGTTGGTTTCCAGGCGCGAGGGGTCACTTGTCCTGTGCCAACCCCACTTGTTCCTGTCAAGGTCGTCGTCGGCTCGGACGAGGGGTGTACCCTGTGAATAAGCGCCTCGAGAACGGTACGGTCGATCATCGGAGATATCTACGCAACTCGCCACCCCAAATCAGCATCATTAGCAGCATCCCAGCCCATCCCCCACCCCCCGCCGCCCGCCGACCCACACACACCGTGTAGTAAGGACTGACGACGAAAGATGACTTGGGCCCAGTTCGCGGCCAAGAGTTGGTCACATTCGCGCCAACGGGTTGGGGAACACACGTACGCCGCTTCGTGTTGCACTTGGTCAAAGAGATTCTCGCCCCATATCGAATAGGTCATGGGAACGCGGGGGACGGGATGAAGGCGCTGGATCGGGTAAAGGCAAGCGATTATTAGCGATTAGAAAGCGGGAAAGCGGGTTTCTTGAGAACGGATTAGCACGCCAATGAGAGCGGTTCGACCGAGTCTTTTAGCGATGGTCGCGCTCAAAACAGCACTAGCACAAGAATCTGAACTCCAGCTTCAGTCTACAAAAAGAGGCAACCTTTACCAGGCGCGCTGGACCACATTACAAATTCGGGGCAGTCGCTCTGCGGACTTGCACTTGACACCAGTTGACACCAGTCTGTGGCTAGTAGCTGTTTAAAGTTTAAAGCCATAAATTCCAGCTAGGCTGTGGCTGCCGACAGTTTCGGACGTCGCTCTCCTCTTGCTCTCCCCACACCGATTCGTCACCGCGTTCGCCCACTCGGCGACACCACTCAGCGTCGAGCTCACCCCCATCAGAAGGGTCTCTGCACACGCAGCATGAGTCACCAATACGCGCACAAGCGACCGAACGTCTTTGGCGACGACGACGATCCGAACGCGGCCAGTCCAAAGAGGATCAAGCAGGCGTCAGTGCAGCAGGTAGCAAGCAGGTGTCCCACTAAGAAGAATGCCAACTGACTTGTTCTGATGTGTACTGTCTCTGCTCTGGATGCGAATGTGACTTGATGGGTGCGAACGATGTGGTTGGGAATCTTGCAGCGGCGCAGTCAGTCCTACAGCCTACACCGAGCAGAGACGAACCAAAGCTGACTCACACGTACTGCATCTCCCCACAGAGAGGAACACCTTCGTACCTCCCTCCATCAGAGGGTGCAGCAGCCGCCACGCCAGCCGCTCCCCCGGCGCAGGCTCCTCCCTCGAATGGCCACCGCACCACCACCAGCAGCAGCAGCGGTAGTAGTAGCGCCTACACCGCACCCATCGCCAGTCCACGCACCACCTCCACCGCCCCGCCCGTCGCCTTGGACCTGATCGCCGCCAAGCAGGCCGAGATTCGAGCCAAACTCGCCGCAATGCGAGCCGGTCAACCGCTCAGCTCTTCCGCTGCCATCCCCGGTCGTCCGAATGCGCCTCCCCCTACTTCAGCTGCCGTGCCTCCCAAACCCCCCATCGCGATCCCGCTGGGTGCTCAACCCAACCTCGATCCTGATTTGGCGAAAAAGATCGCGGATGCCAAGAAACTGGTCGAGGCGATGGCCGCTAAAAAGAGGGCGGCCCAGGCCCCCGTGGTGAACCCTTACCTGGTCGGTGCCACTCCACTTTGCACGATTGTAGAACTCTAGCTGACCCTTGGGTCTTTTCAGTCGGGTGGCACCATCACCCAGTTACCGAGGACACTGGCGGCAGCGAACGACGTCGACGCGAGCTCGGGCGGACGTGGTGGGCTGGCCGTCGCGGCTCATCCTCTCCTGATGGACCTCGGCAAAGCATCGACGACGACCGAGACGAACAGAAAGGACCGCTACAAGCCCATGGCACCCAAGTTCTCCAGTGTCAAGGTGAGTTTTGGCGACCCAGTGGAGATCTGAATGGCGTGCTGACCTCTCTTCGTGTCCTCTCTCTCGTATAGGCGAACGCCTCCCTCCCCAGCTCGTCCTCCTCCTCTCGATCCTCCAACACGGGTCCTCTAGCCTCGACCTCCTCCACTCCGATCCCGGACTCGATCGTCGACACGCCCTTCTTCGACCCGTCCCTTGCCCACCGATCCGCCGGCACGTCGGGTCGATCCCACATGGGTCGGGGGCACGTGCGCGAAACGCTCAAGTTCAACCAAAAAGGCAAATACATCAAGATGGGGGAAGCGCAGAGGGCCGAAGCGAGGATGGAGGACTTGAAGAGGAGGATCTTGGAGAGTGCTAAAGCGGCGGGTATTGAAGGGGAGATGGAGGACAAGGCCAAGTTGGTCAAGGTGAGCTTTCTTCAAACGATCAGGTGTTGGTTTGGATGCCTTACGGGGTGGCTGATTCTTTGAGCTCTCCTCACAGCGCCCTCCTCCACCCGATATCGAATGGTGGGACGCCCCCTTCCTCCCCTCCAAAACCTACGACTCCTTCTCCCCGCAGTTCCTCTCCGACGCTTCCAACTCCCCCTCTTCAACCCTCGTCACGCATTACGTCCACCACCCGATCCAAATCCCCGCCCCTCAGGACAAGATCAAAGTCGAAGCCAAGCCGTTGTTTTTGACGAAGAAAGAGATGAAGAAGATGAGGAAACAGAGGAGGATGGCCGAGCTCAAGGATCGTCAGGATCGGATCAAGATGGGGTTGTTGCCGCCTGATCCACCCAAGGGTCAGTTCCATCATCGTTGGAAGATGCGAAGATTTCCAGGGGGTGTTTTCTTCTGAGACTGATCAAAGAGTATCTTTGTTTTCCGCGTCTTCCCCGCAGTCAAACTCTCCAACATGATGCGCGTCCTAACGCAAGAAGCCGTCCTGGACCCGACCAAAATCGAGAACAAAGTCCGACGCGAAATGGTCGCGCGCGAACGCACCCACCTCAAAGCCAACGCCGAACGTAAACTCAGTCCCGAAGAACGTCGAGCCAAGATCGAAGCGCAGGCTCTAGCGGATGAACAAAAAGGGATCGGAGCGATGTGTTTCAAGATTCGTTACCTGACCAACCCTTCGCATCGGTTCAAGGTCAAGAAGAATGCGGTCGACGATCATTTGACTGGGGTGGTGGTGCATAACCCTAAATTCTGTTTGGTCGTGGTCGAAGGGGGACATAAGGGGTTGAAGCATTATAAACAACTCATGTTGAATCGCATCGATTGGACGGAGGATGCACGACCTCGCGAACTACCCGAGGGGATCGACGATCCGAAAGACTTCAACTCCTCTGGACTACCTAAAGCAGGCACCACGACCTTCGCGCCCGAAGATGCGCCGACGAGTCTAGCGGACAACTATTGTACCCTCATATGGGAAGGTCAACATCGGGAGAGGTTGTTCAGGGATATGAGGCATGCGAATTGCCCCGCGGAGAACAACGTCAAGGACGTGTTGGGCAAGAAGTTGGAAGGCTTATGGGATGTGGCCAAGATTGAGGTCAAGGAGGAGGAGTAGGACCATAGTGCTGTTGACGAGCTTGGTAATATCGAGATTGAGTTCTCAAAGAACAAGGTACAATGTACGACAAGCAGGCAGTCTCGACTGTAGGGGCACCGAAGGCCCAGCCCTGATCGGCTTGGAGATGGCCCCAATCGAGATGCTACTGATGTTGCATGCCCAGTTAGGTCGGGCACGAAGCGAACGCATTGCAGAGTATTGGAGAACATGTCGCATCCGCTGCATCACCGGTAGTGTTCGTGAGTCACATCTTCGTCGTGAACAGGTCATTATCGTTCGACCTTCATGGCTCCCAGCTGGAAGATAGGGATTTGCCGACAGCGTCAGAGGGTGAAGATTCCGCCTCCAACTGTACAGGTGGGACGCCGTAAGCGTGACCTCTTCACCCTTCCCGACGCCGAACTCCTCTACCTACTCGGCTTACCGGAGTCTCGGGATGTCTCCACCGCTTGGGAGACGTTACCCTGTTTTCGATCAGCTTCCGATGCCACTCTCTATTGCTTACTCGCTTGGGGCGAAATTGGACCGTAGCATATCACAATTGAGGAGAGAATATCCTCTTCGATGAAAGATCGATCGGCATCACAGTCCAGTACCACACGCGCGCTCTCCCAGTGGGTGCTTCTGATCGATGAGAGCAAAGCCGGTGACGATGAAGAGTATGATCGAAGTGAAGGTGAGGGTGTCATGTTTTCGGCGCCAGTGGATGCGGATTAGGTGTGAAAGACGTGATCAAGTTCAAATCGTGACCGACTCGAATGGTGGGGGGGAAGTCAAAGAGTGAAGGCTCAATTACTTAAGAGTGATCAAGTCATACCAGAATAGACACGGTGCTGCTTTAAAAATTGAAAGCTAGACGTCACATAGTGCTTTCAGTCCGGATCGCTGCCTAAAATGAATCTCTGCGAGATGAGCCGTTCGCCCTTGCAAGTGAGGCCAGCCCACCCGCCCGTGCGGGGAGCAGTGGACGTCCTGGACTCCTGCGAGCATCCCGGAGGATATGCGGTATGCATTCTTCGCGTCGACCTTTTCGCTGGGAAATGATGTTCAAAACGTCATCCAAAGTAACTAAAAATAGGTAGATACCTCTAGCCTTGCATTAGCCTTGCATTATACCTGGAGCTTACGACGCGCGAGGGTAGGATTCCCTAGAGGCTAGCGGCATTTACGCAGAACAGGGGTAATGGGTTTCAGGAACTGAGGCCGAGGCACGAAGTGCGTAAGTACGAGAGCCGATGAAGATAGTAAAGATAGTTGGAGAAGGAAGATAAGCGCTAAGGGAGCGCGCGCGAGGCAGGCTCGAGACGCGCGGGGCGACTAATATCAACAACTAGTAACTAATCATAATCGGGAATACCAGTGGGATGAAACAGCAATATATTGACAACCCCCCCGTGCTGTCATACCACTGCACCTCGCAAACCCAAATTCTCCCGATGGAAGATGAACGGCTTGGGACCCAAGGCTTTGGTGAAAATATCGGCAAACATGTCGCCGGTGGCGATGTAGCGGACCTCGATCTCCTTCTCAGCTACCCTCTCGCGGACGCAATGTTCCGAGATGCGAACATGACGAGACCCCTGATGGTTGGTCGGGTGCTGCGCAAGAGCCAGCGAACCTTGGTTGTCCCCGTAGAGTACGACTGGACCGGAGACCGGAGCGCCAAGTTCAGCCAGGAGTTCGCTCAGGTGGATGGCATCACCGCTTGTGTACGAAAGAGAGAGGTACTCTGCGTCGGTAGTGGACTTGGCCACCCTGTGTTCGCGTTTGGAGCACCAAGCAATAGCGGCTCCGGACAAGATGAACACGTAGCCCATGGTCGATCGTGAGGTCGTTAGACAGGCTCCCCAGTTCGCATCCGAGTAGCCATGGAGTGGTTGGCTGGTCTTGCGATAGGTGAGGCCCAAGTCCAGCGTGCCTTTGATGTAACGGAGGAACTGCTTGATGGCTGTCCAATGCTCCGGGCCAGGCTGCTGGGAGAAGCGAGCGAGGTAGCTGACCACGAAGGCGAGGTCCGGACGAGTTCCAACTGCGGCGTACATCAACGAACCGATGGCCTGCAAGTAGCGCGTACGATCCTGAGGAGTGGCCGCCAAGTCCTCGAAGTCAAGGACGACACCTGGCTGCATTGGAATACTTGCCGGCTTGGCATCGGTGAATTGGAACCTGGCAAGGATGTCCCGAAGGTAGCGCTCTTGTGAGAGCGTGATAGAGCCGTCTTGTCCACGTTTGACTTGGATGCCTAGAATATATTCGGCAGGTCCGAGACGTTTGATGCCGTATGCGAGTTCCAGCGCGTCCAGCACCCGCTCGATTTCGGCGGTAGAGGGATCAACCAAAAGCAAGTCGTCGACGTACAAGGCAATATAGTGTGAGTGCCCGTCGTGTTCGCGGCGGTAGATACAGATGTCAGACCTGGTGGGAACGTATCCGAGGGACCGCAGAGTCGAGTCGATCTCAGCGTTCCAGATGGTGCCGGCCTGGCGAAGGCCGTAGATGGATTTGGACAGTGTAAGGCGCCGCTCCGCTTACGCCTCACGACGACCTTGAGCCAACCTCTGCGGCCTCACGCTTGCCCTCGCGCGCGGCGCCGCCGCGTCTCTTGGCCTTAGTCCTTTTAGTAGTCTTTCTTCGCCTGCGAATTACACCGTTTGATCCTTTCTGTTTGGACTCGGAATCAGTGAGGCTCGAGAGCGATCTCGTGCTTTTCAGACAGGTTGAGGATCTTGCCTGGCAGGTTTATGCCCTGAGGGACGCGCATGTAGAGAGGCTTGTCAAGTTTGCCGTGTAAATACGCCTTGTTGACGTCGGCCTGATGGACGTGATAGCCGTTGGCCGCGGCGAGTGCGATGAGGGCTCGAATGGACGTGAATTTGACGACAGGGGCGTAGGTCTTCTCGAAGTCAAGGCCAGGGCGTTGGGCACATCCGTGAGCGACAAGTCGGGCCTTGTGATCGGTGATGTCGCCATGCTGGTTGCGTTTAGTCCGGAACACCCAGCCCGACCGCAGGAGGATCTCACCCGCTGGGAGCTCACAGGATTCGACGATTTGGAAGACCTCGTAATCGTTCAGAAGCGAATCGAATTCATCCTGTGCCGGAGCGCCCCAAACGTCCTCTTGTCCCGATCGGATGACGTCGCCCCAATTTGCCGGATCGCGAACAACCGACAAGTCATGATCTGCGAAGCCGGCCTTGGTGGATACGAAGGCAATGAGCAGGCTCTTGAAAGAGGCGGTGGGTCCGTCGGGGCCGTCGACTAGCTGTTCCCGCGTGATCATGGTGGGAACGGGTTGGCGGCGAGTCCGGGGGCCATCAATGATGTTTCGAGCGTCGACTTCACCGTACTTCCCTGGATCGGGACCAACCTTGACGACGTCGCCGTACTCCCAAGTCGGCTTGACTTTGGCGAGTGGAGCTGGATCCGGAGGTGGTTGCGGCAGGTTCACGGCTGACTCCGTCGTTGCGCTCGTGGTCGATGAGGCGTCGTCGTTGTCGGCCGAGCTGGTCGATGCGGGCGACGCGGGTGCCTCGACAGGTGTTGGGGCCGGTGGCCGTGGGGGAGGCTCGACAGGTGTTGGAGCTTCGACGGGTGGGGGCTGGGGGGCGTAACCCGGGATGGACGGCTGCGTCACTCGGGTGGGCGCGATGGCGAAGGGGAACTCGGTTTCTACGAACGTCACATTGCGGCCCAGACTCACACGCATGGAGGAAGGATCAAGAAGGCGGTAGGCTTTCGCGTGTCGATCGTACCCGACGAAGACCAGAGGAATCCCTTTCGGGTCGAGCTTGTCCCGTCGGTGAGCCGGCACGGTGGTCCAAGCGCGACAACCGAATGCCCGAAGACCCCCTACGCCTGGTGTGTGGCCCGACCAACGACTGTTTGGGATGGCTCCACCAAGGGCCGCGTGAGGCGAGAGGTTCTTGGCGTGAATGTAACACATGGCAGCCTCGTCCCAGCACGATCGTGGGAGTCCCGAGTGAGACAGTAGAGCCAGGGTGCCCTCGACGATTGACCGGTTGGCTCGCTCAGCCCGACCGTTTTGCTCGGGTGTGTACGGTATGGTCAATTCGCGATGAATTCCGCGGGCCACGCAATAGCCGTTGAAAGCGGTAGAGACATACTCGCCCCCGTTGTCCGAGCGAAGTGTTTTGACCCTGCGACCCGTGGCGTTTTCGATCTCCAGAAGCCAATCCTTGAATGTCTGAAGGACCTCGCTCTTGTGCCCGATAGGGTAAACCCAAGTCTTCCTCGAGAAGTCGTCGATGAACGTGACGAGGTATCGCTTATGGCCTAAGGATTCCTCGGGGAAAGATAAGACGTCCGAGTGCACCAATGCGAGTGGTTCCGCGGCATGCGACGACGAAGAGGGGAAAGGCAAACGATGCGCTTTGGAGGCAAGGCACGCGTTGCAGGTGAAGCCATCACACTCGAAGTCACTATAGGGCCAATCTAAACCCTCCACCTGGCCAGAGGCCGCCAGTTTTTTAAGTGTCTGGACAGAGGCGTGGCCGTAGCGCCGGTGAAGGGTAAGTAAAGGTAGCCTATTGGACTTGGTGGCAATGAGGGTGTGTCGCGCATCTTTGCTGGCAGCTTGGACCGAAGCGTTGAGTTTGTAAACGCAGGACGCGATGGCTGATGCTGTGGCGATGCACCCTTGCGGCGTGCGGAGCTCGACTTGTCCGTGTTCGAAGGTGATGCGAACGCCTTTGCGGTCGAAGGCCCGGACTGAGATGAGGTTGGCAGGGCTCTCGGGGGCGTAGATCACGTCGTTGAGGGTGAACCTGGTACCATTATCGGAGACGAGCTTGACCGAGCCGATTCCCGAGGCCTTCACCGTTCCCCCTAGACCTTGCAGGACTTGCGGGGTAGGCGAAAGGGGGCCGTCAAAGAAGGACGCATCGTTGACGACGTGGCACGCCGACGCCGAGTCTAGTAGAAGGATTTCCGCCGGTGGCCCGATGTTGACAAACGTAGCAGAAGAAACGACGGACAGGTGTTGATCCTTGGATGCTGCCTCGGTGGCCACGAACGTGGACGCAGGCGATGATGAGCCTTGGAGTTCCTTCATGGCGTTCTTGAGCTCGAGGTACTTGGCTCGCTTGCGCGATTCCGGACACTTGTCGAGCCAGTGTTTGCCTTGACCACAAGCTGGGCAGTTGCTCGGGGCAGGACCAGAACGATCCCATTTTCCCTTCTTGCCTGGTGCAGAGCGTTTGGTCGGTACGACCGCCTTCGCAACGGGGACCGTCGCTCGATTCGTCCGAGCGTTGAATCCAGCCCAAGAGGGCGGGCATGGCGGCATCGTGGGGACCCAGTCAACGTAATTGTCCTCCGTAAGTTTCGAGTCGTCGGGGAAGACCGGAGGGTTGGCTGGGGGTAGGCGCTGACGCATGGAGAATGCGTCGTCGTCCCGTGCGGGGCGCTGGTTCCTGATCAGCTCGTCGAATTGCTCTTTAGTGAGCGTGACGGAGGTAGTGGAGGCGACGTCGTTGGTATGGTACGACGTTGATGACGGTGGTGGAGGCGTTGATGCCATGTCACCGTGGACGTCGAGGTCGCCCGCCGCTGATAGGCTAGGTGGGCGCATAACCTTTCAGGAACTGAGGCCGAGGCACGAAGTGCGTAAGTACGAGAGCCGATGAAGATAGTAAAGATAGTTGGAGAAGGAAGATAAGCGCTAAGGGAGCGCGCGCGAGGCAGGCTCGAGACGCGCGGGGCGACTAATATCAACAACTAGTAACTAATCATAATCGGGAATACCAGTGGGATGAAACAGCAATATATTGACAATGGGATCTTCCTTAAACCTCGGCCTATCGCCGGACCCTTGTCGTCCGAGAGCGCGCACGCGCCGGTCTTTATGATGAAATTGGGAAGCAAAGGAGGAGCTCGAGACCGGGCGGGCGATTCGAATCCTCTGCAACTTCGATCGTGAAAAGTCATAATCATAGCATATTATTTCCATGATCGTGGGAGGTCCCAGCTTTCGGGGAGTGGGTCCTCAGACTCGGTTTCCCACAGCTACCCGATCCGGGAGAGCTTGCTTCCGTTGGATCGTGCGGACAGGAGGTCCGTCCTGAATGGACTCGGGGATAGGATAATGGACATCAGCCGAGGACAAGCGGACGTCTTCACGTCTTCTTATCACTGATGATGCGAATGATGTCACGCGCCTGCCGTGCATCGAGCAAAAAATCGCCGCTATCAATAGAAGTTCTCCATCGCGGACATGGGTGGTGGGCCCCGCGATCGTCTGTCCAGGACCGACATTTGCTCCATTCGCAGAGCCAGTGTTCCGACACGAGTAGTCACGACCCCCAGAGAGAATGTAGGTCGACTTTCGATTCGTCACGGCAGCCCGCACGCCTCGATGCACATTCCGAGTGGAGTGCCAAGCGATTTGAATGTTCTTGAGCTGGGCAGCCCCTGAATTATTACCTGGCCCGGTGCTAAGGTCCAGCCCTATTCAGCTTGGAAGACCAAAAGGACGGGCTGGAGAGGCCTTCAGCACCACAATGAATGAAGTTCAGGATGTTCTTTTAGTTTCAACTTTTTAAGGTAGAAGTAGATTGAGAAACGACTACAGCAGCATTACCATGATTATAGGTATGAGGGATCTAGGTAGGTAGACACGAGCACTGTAAATTGAGGTGGAATCTTCGGATCGAGCCGATGTCCCTCGAGTGCCCTCCGACTGAACTTCGCTCGCGACGTTGGCGCCGAGAAGCAAGGAGGAACAGTAGTCAGTAGGTAGGTACATTTAGCATGGAGGCAAGATTGGGTGCCCCGTGTTCCTAGATCGTGACTTACAAAAGCGCATCGTCTTTCATGGGTAGAGCTCTGTCGAGATTGCAAGGTTGCAAGATTGCAACCACGAGATGTCCGACCAAGTCCGATTGTCCCTCGTCGGCGGCGGACTTCCCAAACTTGGAAGGTCTCTGGGCCCCGGGCCATCCTGATTGTCTTCTGCCCGAGCAGCAGATGATCCGCAGGCCCGAGCTTTAAATGCTTTGTTCCGTCGCCCCACCTTTTTGGGTGCACACCTCTCGCGTGGGACAGAAGCACCTTCTACGTTGAGTACTTTTGAGCCGACCTCGTACCCATCGGCTTGACTTGGAGGCTCGTTTACCTCCCGCTTCGAGCAACCACCCGCTTGGTCGACCAAAACAAGCCATACCCAAATCAGCACTCTCATCGTGAGTTGTACGTCCTTCATCAACGATTAAAGCCGACTAATAAGGTATCCACTTGCTTGGTCAGCCCTTCAGGCCTGCGGAATCATTCGACTGTCGTCATTATCGCCGAGGAGCTTCCATCCCTCCACCCCCACCCCACCCCACCCCCCCCCCCCCCACCGCCGGGCCGATGTGCGACTCTGCTACCGACGGGACTCGCACCTGGATCACTCAAACCCCTCCCGCCGACGACGCGACCTTCCTTGCAAACCTCGATGCGTACCTTCTGCCCATGTCGGGTGACGAAATCGATTTGAACTTGAACTCTAACGCCGTCACGGCGGCAGAGCAGATTTCGGTTCTCGAGATGGCCCCGGCGGCAGTGCTCGGTCCCACCCCAAAGGCTGGCCCAGCGCCGGCCTCGACTGCTCCGGCGCGGGGGTCGACTCGATTCGGGCGCGATCCACCGTTCGCCAACGGGGTCGACGTCGACACGGAGTCCGATATGCTCGACTGGCATCCCTCCTATGTAACAGCAAGCACCAACGATCTCTCGATATTATCTGCTACCGAGTCAGAGCCACTCTTAACACATCCTCGTCCCGACGAGCTGTGGGAGACGACGCCCAGATCTGTGAGTTTCGCAAGCTCGACTTCAGGTTCGGCGATGGAACGTGCGGCGCCGGCCGACTGGCAAGACTTGATCGAGCCTGCGATGCGCCGCGGCGGCGAGGACGAGGGCGTGTTCTTTTGCTCTAGCGCGACAACAGGCTTTACGGTTGCTCGACGCGCGGCTCCTCGCGACGCGGCACAGGAGGGTCAGACTCTGCAGCCTGCGCATGGTGCGGGCGGGCTCGATCTGGACCGCCTAAATTGCGAGTGCAATATCGCCCCGGGGCCCTGGCCATCATCGTCGTTATCGTCGACGGCGGCATTTCCTTCGGCATCTCTGCCTCGCTCTGCCTCTTTTCGCGTTTCCGAACGTTCATTGCATCCGCAGTCCCATCTTCGTCGATCTTCATACATTGAACCGGGACAATACCTCCAGCAACAAAGAAAGCAGCAGCACTGGTCGTCGCCGTCGTTCTTTGATCTGGGCGCCGCTTCCTCGACGGAAGGAACCCCGGAGCTCTCGCCTGCCGCTTCGATCGCTTCGTCGGCCTCGACCGGGACCCCGACCGCGGCTTCGGCGACGCTATACGACTATTCGCCCCCACCTTCGCCGACTGCGATCAACAGGAGACGCATTTCGCTCCCCGGTGGTACTTTGACGCCGAACAGGAACTACAGCAGCGCCAGCAGCGTTGGACCGCTCGGCTCTCCGCTCACAGGGAGGTCACGTTGTGCCCCTCTGCCTCCTCCGCGCTCCTCGACCCGGACCTCAGTTCATGTCAGCAGTGCGTTCGCGGAGATGCAAGACGTTTACCCGCAACAGCAGTCACCACCATCGCTACCCCAGCAGCAGTATCAGCACCACTCTCGGAACCACGACATGCTCGCTTCAAGTGTAACATTCACTCCGTCGACGCCTCCAAGGCCGTCGTCGTTCGTTGCGCCTTCCCAAATGGGTAAGTCACGCGGCCTTTATTTCGCGCGCTCGTGGGGATCCTTTGGTGCCGCCAGACATTCTCGCGGAGGGGCTCCCCCGAGGACACCCCACCGCCATTCGAACTCTTGACGAGTAGTGTTTTCAAGTTTCCATGTTCGATGCATCGAAAGGTTGAAGAGGGCTTGAGAATTACCCACGTCTCGGTCGCCGGTCACCAACGCTGCGCGCGCGCCAGGTCGATTCGAACTCAGGACCTCTACTTTGAGAGCCGAGCTAATCTCCCTCCTTGTCCCTTCCTTTTGTCCCGGACTCCACTTCCTCACCTGCGCTCGTCCCTAACCCACCTCGCGACTTTTAGACGCACTGTATAGATCTGCCTCGCATGATTCGAATGCCTCGTCGGCCAGTCTCAATTCGACTACGTCATACGCCTCGGCACCCCCACTGCTTTCGCAGACCCATGCCGACCTGATGATGGTGGAGTCGCCGCCCTTGTTGCGCACTTCGTCGTCAAATGGTGAAGCTCAATCTAATAACAACTCGCCGCTCGGAAGACGCTCTTCGCGTCGTCCAGCACCTATCAAGATCGAGGCGAGCTCCAAGGGGAGGCGCCAGGCTTCGCGCCTGACCATCGAAGTCCCGCCCAAATACCTGCAGCAGCAACCCAACCGAGCACACCCGCTTCCCGGGGGACTGGCGTCGCCGATCAGCCCATACCCCTCATGTATCGAAGCCGGTTCTACTCGACCGATGACTCCGACCCAACAAGCGGCCTCGCAGCGCGAGATGGAACAATTGCTCGGGCAGCTCGACAACTTTCTCGGGCCCGAAGGAGGCGGCGCTTCCCAGTCGATGCAGCAGACGATGTCGTCCTCCCCGGGTCGACCCATCGTTCCCCTTCGCTCACCTCGAGGTGCACCACACCTTTCGATCCCGTCGAGGATGCAGAATAGCTTGTCACCTCCAGCGAGTTTCGGCATCGCGAGCTTCGAGATCTCGGGCGTGACTTTGAACGAAGAGGATCTCGCTTTGCTCGATGACGCCGAGTTCCACAATCAGGTCAACGATAATTCTAAAGCTTACCCTGCTTCGGCACCGGCGTGGCAGACCACCTTCAAACTCGGTCCTCAGCCGGGGCAGTATGGCGCGCCTCATCCGTCGCAACAGGTGTCGTATACGTCTCCGCCTGCGCAGTACACCGCGCCGATGGGCTCGCACCAGATGGGCTGGTCCCATGGCGCGGCATACCAGTACGACAACGCGACCAACACCACCGGCGGGCCACCTACACCGACGACACCTCGTAACCAAGTGCCGGCAATGCCAACGTACCAACGACGCGAGGCCGTCGAGCCGGATAGCTTGTCGTCTCCTGTTCGACGCCGTCGGTCCAGCGATGGTCTTTCTGCGCATCCGACATATTACACCGCGGCTCAGCACCCGAATCGGATGTCGTACCCATATTTCGAACAACAGAAGCAACATCAGGCACCGGACTATCAGACCCAAAGAGCGCCTTACACGACGCAGGAGCAGTACAGCTATGGCTACGCAGCTACCTCTCCTTCTTCAGTCGCGGGATCGTCGTCGTCTTCGTCCTACCCGACCCACCACCACCCTTCTTCCATGCCCCGGTCCATGGTGGCATTGAGCGATGCATTCGTTCAACCCGCTTCCCCCGTCTCTCCACCCAAATCACCGACCAAGAGAGCGCGCACCTCCCCACCCAAGTCCACCGTTCCCTTACCCCCACCATCCCCCGTTCGACCGCCTTTGTCAAGCTCAATCTCCTCCCCAGCAGTGCCTACGGTGCCAACCAAGAAGTCGGGCGGCCTGCCCCCGATGTTTATCAATTATTCAGCAAATGACAAAAAGAAGTTGTTGGGGGGTGTGGCGCCGAGTGGGTCGAGTAAGAAGAAGAGGGAGGAGGCCGAAGCCGCGGCGAGAGCGGCGGCTGCTACGGCTGCAGCGGCTGGGCAGAGATAGGCAGTGCAGGTGATTGGTTGTGTTGTTACCTTTCCTTTCATCTTCTCTCGGATTATGCACGTATTATAACATATCATAGACAGCTTGCAGAATTGTAGATTCTTCAATATACCCCACACTCGCACTGTTGTAACAAATTGTTATTCACCAAATTCTGCTGTTGGTGTTATGGTATGCATAAATGGAGCCAAACGTCTGAATTATGTCACTTGTCAGTGAGAGAGCTGTCATTTGGGGGCAAACGAGAATACTTGACGCAGAAACAGACAGACTCGAGCTCGCGCTGTCGCGTTGTCTCGCTCAGCACGCCGGTTGGTCGTCTCCTGTCGCCTCTAGCAACCGGCCATGCGAACTCAACCGGCGACCTGGGCTATTGAAGTGGCTCCTCTTAGCTCCACATATATCACTCGATCATCTCAGGGACCATTCCGTCACATCCCAGCGCATCCACTGTCATACTGGTGCAGTGTGGGTGCAGTGGGAGCAGCGTAGTGCTGACCCGGAGTTCGGACGTCGTTCGGTCTTTTTGCTCTTGACTTGTCTTCTGATATCTCATTCTCTCAATCTATCGTAGGCTGGAGCGAAAGAGAGTTTTCTGGTAGTCGACCTCAAGCTGGCCGTCTCTCGACTGCCGCAATCCTCCGACTGGACAGAACTGATTCGTGCGTTGACGTACCTGTACAGTGCCAAGCTCTTCATGAAATGACGATGAAAGGATTCCTGGGTCTCGAAATGCTCTACATCATTTCAGAGGTCAGTTCTCTCGACTCCTTTCCCTATCTCTCTCCCTCCCTCAGGCTGACTCGAGTCTGGCCCCTGATGATGCCCGCGCCGATGACCGGATGACCCGATGGCGACGGCAGATTACCTCGCTCGTCAATGTCGTCATCGAATCCTCCTGCCTCGACAACGACCTCAGCATACTCCCTTGACACGGGTAGTGGCTTAAAGTCCGGATTGTTTCACCATCTGCAGCCTAGCTGAGGATTGTTGGGGGAAGAGAGCTCAACGCGGTATCCCGCCGGGACAGTGACGTGCGCGTCGCGTCGCGTCCCCTCTCAGACTCTCTGAGCTTCTCAGACCGGCCCATAGACGCGAGGCTCTGCGAGGGGAAGCGTAGTCGCGCCTTTGCTTTTGCTTGCTGTTCCACCCACCACCCACCACCCACCACTCAGCACACGCGACCCTGCTTATCGCTTCATCCTTTCATCTTTTCATCACTCTATCGCTTGATCGCTCGTGAGACTATGTCAGGGAAACACACTCGTCGCCCTCGCCACGGTCCTCCGTTCAACGTCTGCCTTCCCAACAAGAGCCCGACACGAGCTGCTTGCGCACCATTGGAGTCGGAGCAGGGCGTGGAATCACGGTCCTCAACTTCTTGGCATGCAATCAATGTCGACCCTTCAGCTACTGCGTTCGAAGAGAAGGGCTGCGAGCTACCGAAGGCAAGTGAAATTACCTACCCTCTAGACCGGAAACGAGTTGTCCAACCGCTGATCAACGCTCCGCGCCGGCTCTCACCTGCAATAGGCTCCGCCTCCCGTGTCGCCGACATCATGGGCCCCGCCGTCGCCCGTGCTATCGCCTGTAAAGCCATCGTCGCCGGCCTCACGCACGCCCTCGCGCACGCCCTCGCTGCGTTCGCCTGTACAAGCAGAGACGCCAACAGAAGCGCGCCACACTTCGGCACACGATAGTGTGATCGAGGCTCTAACGTCGCATCCGCTGGACCGTGATGCCGACCGATACTTCCTCGAAGACGAGATCATGCCACGTATCGTGATGTGCGAGACCTCTGCTTTGATGAACTCGGTCGCTGGTATCGAGCGAGACCGGTTCATCGAACGCGCCCAAGATGTCCAGAATCGTCCCGGTCGAGCATCGCTTCGGCATGACTTCATACGCGATTGCGGACAATCTGCATCGGAGGCAGACTGGGTATGGTCGCTTGCCAATTTTGTGAGTATCATCCGGTGAACTTCGCCTGAGTTGAGAAAGTAGAAGTCAATGTGGCCGTGCACCAGTCCGCCCGCCGCGGCTTTTTTTTTTGTTGTAGAAAACGTTCATCATATTGCCCCCAATTCCTGTTCCCCCTGTTTCGGCCTACGGAAAAACTAGATGGAAGACTACGATGATAACACAAACCGCCCGCAAAAGTGCGAGAAACGAGCCAAGTCCACCAATCCGAGATTCGGATTCAAATGCCCTAGCCAAGCGGTTGCTCCCCCCCAGGAGACGAATGAGAGAGAGAAAGAGAGATGAAGAGAAAGAGAAAGAGAAAGAGAAAGAAAATAAATGTACTAACGACAGAAGGCCCACCCCACAGCCACTTCCCACTCGGTCGAGACGAAGACAAGAGCACGACTGCGCAACCACCACGACCCTCGACGCTCCAAGTCTCTGCTCAGTCACAACAAGACGCGGTGAAGGTCCCTCAAAACCTCCCCCTCGGCAGTCCCTGGCCCCTCAAAGCCGACTTTCTGCCTGTGTCCGCTGATCCCTCCCTTGACTCAGAACCCCGAAGCCGAAGAGCGCGAGCCACACCGAGTCGACGCCAAATCGCGAGATGGTCCATGATCCGCAACGGTGAACCTGTAACAAAAGAAAGAGGAAAGCGAGCTATTTAGTGTACAGTAGGAGAAAATGATGTCACGAGAATTTGGTGTGTGTGTGTGGTGGTGGGGGGAAAGTCGAACCCAGCCTCTACTGCCTTCTCCTCCCCCAAGCTCCTCCCGCCCTCAGCTTCAACCTCTCCTCCAAGATTATCCTCCTCCTCCCAACACCCTCCATCCTCGTCCCCCACTTCTGCATCCCCCACCTCCCGCTGCTGATCATCTCCAAGACCAGCCCGGTGAATGTTTCGATCGTCCTCCCCGCTCCTTCTTGATCGCGCAGACTGGCCTTGAGCTTCGGAAGTCCGAACATGCGTTGAACGGCCGTGTAATGCGTGTTGTCGATCGTGTCGAGCCCCAGTGCGTCGCAGAGCACGCCCCTTGCCGCGATCCAAACGTTCCTAGAGTCAACGCAGTCGAAGAAGTAGTGCTCCCGATCGTCCTTGGGCGCTCCACAGACGAGGCACGCGGGCGAGTCGTCGTGCTTTTGATGAAACTGCAGACTCCGAGTCGGGGTGAAGTTCCTGACGAGCTTGAACCACACCTCACGTTCCCTCGCCGTCAATGCCTTCGAGTTGACCCCCTTCCAGAATCCCTTGAGATCGTCGGGCTGCAGCGAGTCCCTGAAACCGATCGTGTCGGTGAAGGCCTTTGCATTCAAGACTCGGCGGACGCGACGGATGGTGTATGGCCGATCCATGCTGAGCAAGTTGTATTGTGTTGATTGGTCTGGGAGAGCCGGTCTCGGAAGGCGCTGCGGCGGGTCGATCGGATGGGGCAGGATCGACTCGAGCGGCGTGGTGGGGCGGACTCGGGGAGGCCCGTTGATTCGTACTGCCGCCACCGGTTGAGCTATTGGTGTGAACCTCAATCGATTGATCGCATGTCGGTACCATGCCACGATGTGCTCTCGTTGTGGGCGGCCCCGTTGATCGTATTCGCTGTTGCTGACGACCACATCCGTCGGCGGCGTCCAGAGATGAAAGCCCCCGCCCGGGTACAGCTCGCGTCGAAACAGGTCCGCTACCTTGGCGTAAATGGCAAACGCAGCATAGTCGGCGTCGTAGGGTGGTCGCGACACAGCTGGTGCTCCCGGTAGGTAGTGAAGGGTGTGCAACTTGATCGGAAGAGCGAGAAGGTTCGCGAGCGTCAACGTCCTCGGCTTGACTTGCGCATTGTGCGTCGATGGTACCTTCAGCACGGCCTGCCATCTTGGGTGTAGATCGGTTCGGATCGGAGTGTAGTCGCAAGGCCACGCATCGGTTGCCAAGTCAAAGTCGGGGGCGGGATGGGCTCGTACAATCGCCGCGCGCGCAAGTCCCTGCCAGATCGCATCCGAACCGCCAAGAAGCACGTCCCAGACGCGTGCCGCAACCGAGTCGACGACGTCCTGCATCCGCATGACCCCAAGACCCCCCTTGAACCTCGGTGTGAAGACGACGTCCTTGCCATAGCACGACCTCCTCTTGCCGCCGCGGACAAAGTCGGCGAGAATGCGATCAAGCTCCTTGACGACCTCGAGCGGTGGGATGTCGGCGGAGAGGATGTGCAGAATCTTGGGAATGGCGTATCGGTTGACGTAGAACGCTCGGGTGTGGTGTGTGAGCCCTCGGTCCCGTGCCGAATCGAGCACCGCTTCGAGCCGTGCGACGAGATTCACGTTGGCGAGTTCGGTGTTGCCGGTGGGGTCGAAAGATAGGCCGATCCACTCGAGCGACTCGCCCTCGGCCTTGACGACGAGCGGACGATCGCCAGCCTCCCAGCGACACCCGATGGGTAGTACGACGGTCTTGTCGGTGTTGAGCCGGCCATTGGTTGCGAGCCTCCAGTCGAGCGCCAGGTCGTCGAGCAAGTTGAGTGACTCCGAGCCCGCGACGGCGACGACGACGTCATCGGCAAACGCAAGGGATGTAATGGCGCGGCTCTGTGGGTAGGGGTGAATGGTAGGAAGCGAGAGGTTCAGCGCGATGCCTCGACGGTGCAGAGCATCCAGGAACGGCTGGAACACGACATCCCAGACCGACGACGACGCCGGGTCCCCTTGGCCGAGCCCACACGTCAGCCGCACCGGCGGAGTCAAGAAGCCGTTGATGATATATCGCGCCGTGGTTGAGTCACCCGAGTAGAGCATCCTCAGAACGCGTTGGAAGGCGGCAGGAGCGCCGAGAGCGTCGAAGATGGCGAAGATCCATTCGTGCTCGACGAGGTCGTAAGCCGACGATTGGTCAAGAGACAAGAGCGCCGCGTCAGGGAACTCGGTGCCGCGCGCGCCCAGCTCCTCGATCAAGAGTCGCAGGTGGAATGACGCGTCCGCCGATCGGCGGCCCTTGACGAAGCCGTGCTGTTGCGGTGGGAGCAGGTCCGGCAGCACGTGGTTGAGTCGCGCAACGTAGACCTTGGTGAAGAGCTTGTAGTCGCACTCGCGCAAGGTGATGGGCCGGTACGACGAGAGCTCGGCGCGATCGGCCCCGATCTTGTGGTGCTTGAAGAGCAGGCGAGCGAGTCCTTGCCCCTGCTTCGGTGAAAGCGAGCCGCGCTCGGTCATCGCGTTGAAGGCCCTGCTCAGCGCCTTGGCCCACGCCCGCGGCGCTGTGTGATAGAGCTCGTAGGGCACGCCAGATGGACCCGGCGATCGACCGGGGTGTGTTGTTGCGATTGCGGCTACGACCTCGTCCTCGGTGATGGGTTGCTGCAGCAGCTCGATGTGCGCTTCCGAGAGTCGTCGCAGAAAGAGCGGGTCCGAGCTCGGGTCGTCGCAAGTGCGCGCCGACCTGATCGGCGCCAAGAAATCGTCCCTAAGTCGCTCGACGTGGTCCCGATCGCGCGGCTCGAGATCGTAGAGGCGCTGAAAGAGAGTCCACCGGGTCGGCTCGTCCCTATACATTTCCGCGCCGGTGCGGCCGTGGGGGAGCTTGCGGATGACATCGATGGCATCCCGTCTCCCCTAGTCGATACCGTTCTCGACGCGGCGCAATGCGCTCTCAGGCAACCCACTCGCATATTTGCGCCGGGACTTGCGGTCACGGATACAACAGCTTATCTCGTCGTCGTCGATCATGAGGCCTGCCGAATCGCTACCATTTCCGACTGCTGGGACGAGGGTTTTGGCGAGCTTGGGGTCGTTGTTTCGATTCTATTGGAACTCGATATCTACTCCGCGGGACTGAGCCCTCTCTTTCGCTACGAGTGCCACGCCAGTACTGGTTTCACACCCATATCATTCATCACACAGTACCTTCGAGAAGGCGGGGACGATGCTCGCCTCATCGGCCGCACCGTTGAATTCATCGACGAGGAACCCGTCGAGCTCATCGACTCCGCAGTTGCAAGCGGCGGTCCATCTTTAGCCGCAGCACCGCTGTGTTCCAGCTGACTCGACCAAGCCTCATGGTGCCATTGTCCGCTTCAGCTCCGGCACCGTCTTTCGTGCTCAAGATCCAATACAATACGCCCAACCGCATTGAGTCCGAAGCGAGGGTTTTGCGAATGATTGAGCAGCGTTGTGCGTCCGCTCCTCCCGAACTGTCAGCGCTGATCCTCAGCCACACCGCTCGTCTAGAGAAGGCCAAGTCGTTCGGCCTTCATTGCTCGCAAATGAGGGATATGAGCCTGCCGATACCGGTTGATCAAGAAGAAGAATCTCAACAGCGGGTTCAGCGACGGAAGCTTGACCTGCTCATTCTGCGCAATCCTAGTCCACTTCCCACCCGAGTTGACCGCGCTGCGAGTCGACGCCACCCGCTCAAGGATGCGTACCATGTTTTCGACCAGCTACTCACGCTTCTGCCGGTTCTCTATGATCTCGGCATTCACCATCGCGACCTGTCGCTCGGCAACATTCTCCACTATCGAGGGCATCTTGTTCTGGTCGATTGGGACACGGCCATTGTTGCACCCTCGGATGAGCCCGTCCCGATATGTGCTGCAGATGACCGCAGTGAAGAATCCGTCAGGGTGACGCTCACCACGACCCCCTTCAGCGTTCTTCTCTGGATTCTCAAGGAAGGTTGGATGGATTTCCCATCTCACATTCTGGCGAACGATCTAGAGTCGGCGACGTATTGGTTCATGCTCGTCTTGGGTTCCTTCCGGGAGGAATCGACGGGCACCGGGGTCTGGAGGGCGCTGTACCTGGCGCCGATGCGCGCGCAACCGTCCTTGGGCCTTCTCGCCTCTGGCCGTCTGAACCTTTGGAGCAATTCCGTCAAGGACCAACGCAAGCGCAATGAGTTGCTCGAAGCTGTTCGCGAGCTCGATCCGGCAGAAGGAAAGGTGGTCGACATGTTCACACGTTTCTTTCCCGCCTGGGGTCTCCTTCCAGACCATCTAGAACGAACGAAAGCTTTGATGGAGGACATGCAGGTCAAGATGAGAGAGTACCTTGGATTGCAACCTCACTCCGAGTAGACTTTTCGTTCCTGATGATATCCTAGTGGTCTTTCTCTCTCTCTCTCTCTCTTCGTAAATTACTTTGCAACGAAAATAAAATAAAATGTTGGGAGTGGTTAATGAATCCCTAAAACTCTCAGCACCTCTCATCGGGGCCCTCCGAGCGTGCCTCAGCGTTTGACTTGGACGCTCAAAAAGTCGCAGGAGTGATCCCTCGGCGAACGACTGAGTCAGTGCACTAATCGAGACGAGCTGGAGATCATCGGAGACGTGAAATGGTGTGTGCGTCATAGGGAGCTGAATGTTGTCCGTCTTGCATTTGCTGAGAGACCAAGTGGGGGATTCACACTTTACTCACGAAGCAAATTCACCGACGACGTTGACTCGGAGGCGATCGAAGTCATTTATCGAGGTCTGTCAAGGTGCTCAGTCACGCGGACGATTGGTCATGGTAATACGAACGGTTCAAAGACAGTCGCCTTACCGAGAGTATGCTGCAATACCCATCGTTCGTCGCCGAGGGCCGCGCGAGGTGTCATTGCGAATGTGGGGGTGAACACCCGGCGCCGAGAGGCGGCTTGCCACGGTCGCATGGTAAAGTCGCGATGAGTGCACAACCACCCACCAGGTATTGGAGGTCAAATCATGCTTCATTAAATCGTCGGTCTGGAATGGTACAAAGGTGGTTCGAGTGGGGTGTGGCGCAGGGTGGCTCGTGGTGATGGGCTGCCAGCCGGCGTGTGGGGGTGGAGGAGCGAGTGTCACGTGATAAGGGTGCGGTCGGCGTGACGTAAGACGACACAGCACTCACCAAGACACTCCTGCAACCTGAACTATAGAACATTTTGATTAATAAGCGGATTGTTTTGAATAATATATCGTTTTGGTGTGAGGGTGGGATGGGATGAGGGGCAGTCGTCAGTAAAACTTCGCGCCGTCGGACTCGGAGTCACTCGGGTCCGAGTCGACACTGGCGGTCGAGGGCGCGTATGAGCAAGTGAGAGCGTTGCTGGACTTGGCAAGGGATACAAAAGGGGAAACATGAGCCCAATGAAGATTATCGAGGAGCAAATGTTCCAACCAATTGAGCGGCGGCGACTGCGACTCGTCCGAGTCCGTGCCACTGCAATGGGCTCTTGCGCAAACCCGGCGCGCTTTCGAACGAGCCGCGCGCGTGTCGAGTGCGTGGCGGGTCGTCGTCGTTCCCGTCGCTCCACCGTCGAACGCACCCGCTCGACGATGCTGATCCGACTCGTCGCAGCACTAGCTGCTTCAGTTCCGCTGCTCGTCTTCGCCCAAAAGTCCGAGAACTATGACGCGGCCAAGTTCCGCAGCTTGCAACGCAATGGGCTCATCAAGCTCGACACGGCACTGTACGACCACATCACCCAGTCGCCTCGCGATTACAGTGTCAGCATCTTGTTGACCGCCATGGGCAAGCAGTTCAATTGTCAACCCTGCCAGTGAGTGGTGCTGTACCTGCTGAGCGCTGGAGGGAATTCGGGCTGATCCGACGACGACGACGACGTGGCGACGTGGCGCTCCCGATCTGCGCTTGCTCGTCTCCGCTTTCCTGCCCACAGCCAAGTCCAGCCCGAGTACGACCTCTTGGCCAAGCAATGGCAGAGTCAGCAAAAGAAGGTCGACGAGAACCACTTTTTCGCCGTGCTTGATTTCGCCGATGGTCAGCAGATCTACCAGAGGGTGCGTTGGCGAGCTCTCGAGCGTGCAGGGAGCGCGTGGGGCCGAGCGTTGTACTGCAGCTGCTCTGTGCTAGGGTTTCTCAGCTGACACACAATTCTCAATCCATTGATCAGCTTGGACTGCAAACTGCTCCGACGTTCCAAACGTTCCTGCCGACCGAAGGACCGAGAAGTGAAGGCGCTCGCTCCTCTCCCATCACCACCGACCTGAGTCGATTGTGAGCCTTCCCTACTTGACATGGAAGTTCAATGCTCAGTCCCACTCATTCCCCTTAACCACACTACCCGGAAACAGAGGCTACAATGCCGAAGGGATCTCGGCGTGGCTCAAGGCGAACGCGCAGGTGCCCATCTCCTTCTCGCGTCCCATCGACCGCACCAAGGCATTCGGCACCGTCTTCATCTTCGTCTCGCTCGGATTGACGATCTGGAAGGCTTCGTCGGTGTTGTACCTCATCGCGTCGCAGACTTATATCTGGGCCGCTGGTGTTCTGGTAAGCACTCGCTTGCCTGCTTGCCCAAATCGAAACTGACCTTGCCCCCGCATCCCGAATACAAATCACAGTCCATCATCTTGTTGATGAACGGTGGCTACATGTGGAACCAGATTCGTCATCCGCCTTACTCGCAAATGACTCGCGAAGGTACGACGATGTACATCCAACCCGGATACTCGAACCAGTTTGGTGCCGAAACGCACATCATCGCCGCTTGCTGTGAGTCCAGTCGACTCTAGCAATCGAACCCGGCTCGACGCTGATGCTTGTACTCGTTTGGCCCCACCTAGATGGTCTGTTGGGGTTCTCGGCCTACACGTTGGCGTACATCTTGCCGACGGTCAGAGACCCGGTCAAGCAACGCGTCGGGGTGTACATCTGGACCGCGATCGTCGTCATCATGGCCGGGGTCGTGATGAGCATCTTCAAGGTCAAGCAGGGGGGATGTAAGTTTGATGAAAGACTCGGGACTTGTTTGAATCGATCAGTGCTGATTCTCCGGGGTGCTGGGTGGGGGACAGATCCGTTCAAGATTTTCTGATTTGAGGGATGATGAATAATACCACTGCTCCTCGCACGAAAATTATCGTAGATTTTGATCGAAAGTATCTTCTTTTCTTCTTTGTTGAAAAACAAGGTATCTCGCGAAGGATCAATTTGGTTGTTTATGTCTTTTGAGAGAGCACCACCGAGGCGCATGGTCTTGTAAGTGGGGTAGCCCCGGATATCGGATCGCCCAAGATCGCTGGCGGCGATGGGGTCGGGTCGCGGTCGCGCGGACGTCTCGGCCTTCTTCGCCGTGGCTCGTCATCGTCATCGGCTCTTCAACCGTGCTCAACGCGGCCTCGACGGTCGCAAGCGGGCTCGAGTGTATTTCCTATCTTTCATCAAGACTGTAGAAACTTTCGGATCGTATCGACTCGCCGACCAGCGCTGGCGAACGGAGACACACAACCTCGCGGACACGCCCACTCGATCATCAAAGAGGTCGACACATGGCGACGAACCAACGTCTCGCACCCCTACCCCCTGCTGGAGCGACCACTGCTGGAGCACCTCGACCTACTGGACCAGGTGCAGCACCCGTTCCTCAAGCTGTTGCTGTTGCTCCCAATGGAGGAGGCGTGCACCAACCTCGCCGGGGCTTCTTGCGAAGGAACTTGATGATGGGCAGTCATCGCTCACACGTGATCGCCAAAGTGCTCGACGTGACGACGCATCATTGGGAGATCAAAGCCGCGGAGAGGTTGGATCCGGAGAGGCACAGCACGTTCGAGCAGCAGGCCGAGAGCGTTAATGCTCAACAAGCGCTGAGGAGAGGTAGGTTGTGCTCCCTTTGGCGAGAGTCGGTCGCAAGAGCTAATTGATGCCCTCGGTGGGACTTGACGTAGCGTGGCAGAAATGGCCTGCGCATCCTATACTCGCCGCTGGGACGCCGGCCAAGACAGCTACAGGCACTTTCTCAACAATAGACACAACAAGGATCGACCAAGACTCTTCCATGTCCGCACCCGCCGGTCCCGCCTCCCTCCCGATCGAACTGATCCCGCTGATCCTCGAATCGCTCTACGACTTTCCCGAAACGTTCGACCCAGCCCCTTTCGTCGACCTCGCTCGAATATGTCTCGTCTCGAAGGCTTTTCTCCGTTTTGGCGTCGAGTTGCTCTATCGCGATATTCGACTCGAAATTGTCGAAGAATGGGATCCCCAACCCTTGACTGAACAGGAAGTTTTTGAGTTCGGGGCTACTATTCGAGGCGAACGCGAATTGAGAAGGACGGTCTGTCGACTCAAGAACCTGGGCCTGCACGAGGCGCTGTATCAGAATGAAGCGTTGAGGAGACATGTGAGGACTTTGGTGTTGGATGCAAGCTTTGAGGGGGATCGAGAGGTGTATGACGAGTTGGAGGGTATGACGATGATGAGTTTTACGATTGACAAGATCGCGCCCTTGTTTGAGATGGTAGGTTTCAAGGGTGTGGGTGCGGACGCGAATTTTTGCGTAGACAGAACTGATCAAAGCTCGGGTCTTCTATATTACAGTGTCAAGCTCTTCACGAGGTGACGCTCAAAGGTTTCCTCGGTCTCGATATGCTCTACATCATTTCAGAGGTCAGCTCTCGACTCCTTTCCCATCTCTCTCCCTCCCTGACTCCGGCCCTTGATACCCGCACAGATCACCCAATGGCGACGGCAAATCACCTCACTCGTCATCGAATCCTCTTACCTCGACTGCGACCTCAGTTTACTGTCCATGGTCCTCGACCGCTTCGTCGCCCTCAAAGACCTCGTCGTCTACGGCCATTTCGAACACATCTCCAACCTACTCCGAACCCTCGACGTCGATAGCTTCCATCTCGAAGCCTTGGCGATCGGCTCATTTGCTCAATCGCTGTTACCGATGATCGCCAAAGGATCGAGAACCAGTCTCAAGAGTCTGAATATCGAGATGGACGCGACGGGGTGGACTTTGGGTGATTTCTCCTTGAGGGAATTCGTCAATTTACAGATGATCACCATCGTTGCCTTTGAACCGGAGGATGTGGATGCTCGAGTCGATGATTTGAAGTACTTCAAGACTTTGAAGGATGTGGTCGTGGTGATTAGGCCCAGACCCGAGTCGAGGGAAGAAGCGGAGAAGTATGGCGGGATCGATTTGTGAGTTCTGGTATCGTAGGTTGAGGGTCGAATGTCACCCTCTGGGGAAGAAGCTGATCTGAATTCTGGACTTTCATTCTTCCGAACAGGACCAAGTTTCCGAGACAGATGCGATTCCTCGATTTATGGGAAGCCCCCTTTCCAGCCGCGACCATCATGGCGTGTAAGCATTTCCATTTCGGGGGTGATGCCATCTAGGCGGAGGAGACTCCCGTGCGAAATTTACTCACTACCCTCCTGTTTGTCATACGAACCAGACGGAAGAGGAACACGACGAGGTACCGGTTCTATGATTTGGAACGACGAGTTGTGGACCGAGGAGGAACGTGCGCAGGTCGATGCGATTTGGAAAGCGAGGGAAGGGTGAAAATTGGGGAAGGGCGATGGAAAGAAGTTGGATCGAGGGGTTGGGACTTGGGTCGGATGGAAGGGAATGGTTCGCAGTAAATGGAAGCGTGCTTAGGCTTGTAATTATCATTGGTATGGTGACATGGAGGGCATCGATGAGAGAGAGAACTAGATACATCAGCAAGAACAGGATACCACATGGACCATCTGGCTGCGACTGCACTCGAACCCCGAGCTTGCTAGTAAAGGACATCCACATCGTCTCAATTGACAGTGCCCGCTTCGAGATTTGACTTTAAATGTTGTAGTTGCATCCATCATGCTCAACGCCTAAAGACCGATACTCGCTTCACGAGTCCGTGCGCAGCAGATTCGATCGATTCACCTTATATCCGGGACAACTTGAATTTTGTTCAGGGGGCACGCATTTAGCTGACCTAGATTGTTATCAAATATCTTTCCTCGCGTGGACTCTTACAATGTACCATGCGAAAGGTATTGAAGGTGTTAGTAGACCTTGCACTGATATCAGGGGCCGGATAGCTTAGAGGTCAAAGCTTTTCCGATTAATGGAAACGACCCAGGTTCGACTCCTGGTCCAGCCGTTCTTCTTCTTTTGTTGATCATTTTCGGAATCATCGTTGATTCCAACAAAAGGTGCGTTCCGCGAGAACGCCAATACCGTAGCGCTCAAAGTCGTAGACGAGAAGCGTCGTGTCGCACAAACACCGTCGGTGCTCTCGGAGGGCAATCAAGGTATAATAAGATGAAACCCAGCAATGTCCGATTTAAAAGAGGCCCAAGCGAGTGTACGACATAATGATCATGAATAGTCATAGCCCGAAGAAAACGACTGTTAAACAAACACAGCATTCAAAGAGGGGACCCCGTAGAAAAGAAGGAAAGAGAAACCCGGCAAGGGCGTGTATATTAACATCTAATGGAGAGACAGGACGAGAAGCGGCGGTGGAGGGTGTTCAAACAATAATAATGCTGCGAGCCGGACATCTGTGAGAAAGAGTCGACGGCGAGCTGAAGATGAAGACACGAATGAAAGGCCGCAGCAATATGGGCGTTGAAAATCGGAAAGGGGCGTCCAACGAGCGTCGAAAGCGGTTTAAGCCTTGACGCAAGTCTTTTGCCTGCGGCGGTTGGTGCCGGCCTTGAAACCACTGGGGCAATCTGTACGGAGGCGGGAGAAAGAGGCGGCAGTGATTAGAAAAATGGTCGCATGAGGGAGGAGTGAAACCACTGACCAAGGCTGCACTCGCCGACGACGCAAGTGGCGGCGTGCTTCTGGTCGTACGAGGCGGCGCACTTGTTGCCCTCCTATAGAAGCAGAACCAACAGCAAAGATTCAGGAAGAAGAGCGATGAGTATCCCGAATCGCGATGAAGAGGACTTACACGGCCGCAGTTGTTGGGGTCGGAGCCGAGAGCGATGCAGGCGTTTTGGGCTTTGTTGATGGTGTAGCCGCGGGTGGTGCATTGGAGCGTGCACTTTCCGTTAGCACAGCCGCTCACACCGTTGGGGCTCTGGGGGCAAGTCTTGCCCTTGCACTTGTCGACGTTCTTGACGCAGACGGTGGCCTTGTCGCTCGTCTGGGTCGTGTAACCGGAGGGGCAGGTGATGGTGCAAACTTGGTTGCACTTGACAACGGCGACCTTGGGGTCGTACGTGACCTTGTTGCGGTAGTTGCGAACGCACAGGGCGTCAGCGTTGGCTTGAGCGTTGCCTGTGATCACGGAAGAGGAAGTAAGTCGAGCAGCAGAGGTCAGTAGGCGAGCCGGGGCGGGGCGCGTCGGCATAGGGGGGGTGGAGTCTCGACCATGGAGGGAAACTCACGCTCTCGGCCGACGGTGCAGCGGAACCTAGGCTGCGAACGCTTGCTCAGGACAGAGCTCTCCATGTGGTCGTCGAAGTCGCGACGGGTGAGGCCGACAGCGGCGTAGGCCTCCTCGAAGTTGCGGGTTGCCAAGTTGTCCGAGTCGGTCTCGATTGAGCGCTTGGCCTTGCGGGCGGCGCGGGCGCGGGCGAGGGCGATGCGGGCGGACGCCTCGCGTTGCATGCTTCGCTTGTCGAGGCCGAACGAGGTATCGTCTGGAGAGGCGAAGAGGTAGCGAAAGCGCGGTCAGTCGTTGCACGCGATAACAAGGTCTGATCCTGTTCGCTAAGTTGCAGGATACCACTTACCGTGGGAGGCCAAGGCGGGGAGGGCGACAGCCAACAAGGAAAGGATTTGGACGGCAAGCATGTTGAATTAAACGAGTGTGGGTGGGTCGGTAAAGAGTGACAAGGGTCGGAGACTGGAGATGGGACTGGAAGCTGAAGTGATGGGGAGGAAGGAGAGGAAGATGAGTCCGAAAAAGATGTGGTCGTGTTGTGCGATCGACGTATTTTTCCGGCCTGGTTCCGATCGACCGGCGGCTCCAGGTACAGCAAAAGCGAGTTTGCGCGCGCGCGATCGACACACACGCGTTGCCTCGCGCTTGCGCCCTGGCAATTTGCGAGGCCCCATTCACGTCGGCCCCGAAACCAGTCCCGATACAAAGCACCCGTAAATGGGACACTGCCATTTTTTCTCTCTCTAAACTCGGACAATCTATCTTCGACGAAGGGTGACAACGCTTGTCTTCAATTGTCAATTGAGCTCGCATTCAAAGTGCCGAATCCCTCGTTGACGGGTTCCGGGCCCTTCACCGTGAGGCCGTGAGGCTTGAGCCCGTCCGTGGCCAGTGGCGTCGGTGCGCAGATCTAGAGCCCACGCACCGGCCTCTTTGCAGTCACAAAACCTTGCCCCTTGCATCGGCTACACGCTCATTCATCTTATCGTATCTTAACCTCGCCTAAGATCTCCGCTGAACGGAGAAATATCTAGCTCCTGGGGTTTTCTCGTGGACTGAACGAAATAATAAAGCAATATGACCAAAATCATTCGGCATGCTTCGCACGTGCATGAGCTTGTCACGCGCGCGACGCGCGCTCGCGGCGCTGGCCGAGCGCGGGTGTCGCAGAAAACAACTTGGGTCGTCCGACTCGTGGACTAAAATACATAGTAAAAATCTCAACGCTTGGGCCTGACGATCCGATTCGTGAATGGAACAAGGTTCTTCTGGCCCTGTGATCTGGGCAGTGGGCTAGCAGCGGGCGTGGGTCGATGTTCGAATCGATCATCTTCCTTTTGATCCGCTTGTTCGAGCCGCGATTCAATAATTAATTGCACCGCCGCTCACTTTATGCACATTTCAAATTCACATCAAAGTTTCTGAGCGTCTTCCTAGCCCACTCTGTTTTCCTTCCATAATTGAGTTCATCGTTCCAGATGTCGAGAAGATTGCAGAGTCAGAGTTCGGGGCTGAACGCCACAGCGAGGGATCTGAGAGAAAGTCCAGGTCGAGCGTCGAACGGTCAGGGGGAGAGGGGAGAGGGGAGCGATGGTGCTTTCCAAAAGTGGACAGCCCAGAGTAGTGGAGCCCATCGCAGGCTGGGAATTCCATCCACTGGCGCTGCAGCCCCAAGTTGGGTAGCGTCCGAAGTTCGAAGCGGTGGGTTCTTTTGGCAGGGCGAGATCATTCAACATCGCCAGGACCCCTCTGTGCGCGGCGCGCGCGCGTGCTGGACACGTCGACATCATCGACAAATGTCAACTCACAAGCCATTTTTACCGCGGCTGGACCCGCCGATCCGATCAGTCGCCACCAGGACCATTTAAGTTGGAAACACGCCAGCCCGAATTCCCTTCATCGTGCGAGGCCCGAATTTCATAATCTTCATCCCGCGGTTGCCATCCACGCGGCGAGAACCTGCTAGACGGCCGATAACTTAAACCTCCGATGCTCGGGTGGATCTACGGCCTTCCTGGGGAGTCTCCTTCCTATCGAGCTGGATAGGGCGACGACCACAGATGAGTCCCAGAAAAGTCGTTTTGAACTCCTGAAAAAGGCTTTGGTTCATCGACGCCTGAAAGGAGTCTCGAGCCTCGACGCGAGATTGCTCGCAGAGGCGCTTCGACGCGCCCACTGCCGCGTAGAGGGATAAATCACGTGATATGTCTTGTTTGAGTTAATTCCGAGATCGCGGCCGGCGGCTGCGCATCGTTACCACCTTCAAGGTACGGGTCAAGGTGATGTTACAGGCTTACAGCGGCAATTATGTGTAGTTGAAAATTACAAATAAATCTCGTTCAAGATACGGAGCCTGGTGCTGGGCTATTGAAGCGAGGTCCTCTATCATGAATCTGCCAAGCAACCCGCTGATGACACACCGACATTCGGAACGCTGGACTCCGACACCTTCGACGCAGAGTCGAAACGCCAGGTCGGCGCCCGAATCGTCTGTTGCATTTGATGCTGCCACAGTCCAGACTCAGAGCCGCCTCACAAATTCACGGAAGTGTATGAAGCGTAACCGGAATTCCCGTATGTAGTGGCAAGCCAGTGCAAGCACAAAAGGCATAAAAGGACGGCCCTCGGGCGCTCGGGCCCCCGGGTTTGCTTCTGGGATCCCACAGCAGCCCACAGCCAGTTCCACGGCCCACGCGAGGCGCGGCCGCCGGGCGGGGAAAGGCATTTAATTAACCCACACATTCTTTGCGTTAAACGGGCTTGAAGCTCCTGAAGCGAAACGACTGCGCGGCGACTCGAGCGTTACATATTTGCAATTAAGAAATGCGCGTTGCAGCTTTGTGGGCGGTCTTCATGTTTCCTTGAAGCGGTGCAACAAAAATTGGGGTTAGCCCACCTATTTTTTGAGAAGAAGGAGCAGCATTAGAAGGTTTCCAACCCCCAAAGGGAGGGGGGAAAGCAAAGAGCGCTCGCCGCGACGACTTCGGGTCCGATGGAGTCTGGTTGGGCCGGAGCTGTTTGAGGCGCCTTCCTGCAAGGTCTGTTCCGAAAAGGAGTGGGATCGGGGAGAGGTGCAATAATGACTGAAGTGTTAGACACGCGCCCCGATTTTGTTGGGGGTTCATTCACTTCATTCCGAAATTTCGTGGTGATCCAGGTCTTCAGCTGAGCATATTTTGGGGTCGCACTCGCGTTGCCTCCGCCCAAAATGTCGGGCCGAATTCTCGGTGATGCGACCGGCTGTCGCCGCTTAGGGGCTCCGTGATTCGGCACAGCAGATGCTAATGCGGCATCAACAGGTAAGGACAATTATCGGAAGCCGCGGAGCGCTTCGATCGCCGAACGAACCCTCCGGGAAAAGAACTTGAGAACACATGGGGATTGGATTGCAGCAGATTCAGGGGGCCTAACAAACTCTACAGTCTAGTTTCAGAAGGTGCAGTAGAGGCCAGGGAAATATCACCGTCGCTTCTTCAAGTATGCCGCCGCCTCGACGAAGATCATGACGCTCCGCCCGCCGAACTGACTTGGACTTGGCTTCGGGTAGTTGTGATGCCCGAGATCGCGGCTCGTTCGGCCGTCACTCGATCGCCTCCGTCCGTCGACGTCGCACCGAGCTCCCACAGGATGCAAGAGCCAGTCCGACTGTCCTACACGTCAGTACCGAGCTATTTGATTGCCGTTATTGACTCTGGACTGACCTTGCTGTTGTTATGCCTGCTGCTGTTGCTGCTATGCCGCTACCGTCGCCCGTTCGCGCACAGGATCCACTCGTGCTCGGGCTACACCTCGACGTTCCAGCCTCACCACATCCTGACAGACAACCCATCCGATCAGTCCTCACGCTGGACTGCACTCAACACCAAGCAGCCGACTGCAGCCTCGGCCGCCGCGTCGTCCCCGGCGTCGTCATCATCGGCGTCGAACAACTCGTTGAGCGCCACAAACCCCCACGCGGACGACCGGACCAACACGAATGGAGGCGCAGCAGCAGCGGGGGCGCGACCATCCACATCAGGATTGAAAAGATCCCGGGATATTCAATACATTACGTTGGAGCTCGAACAACCAGCGATCGTCACCGCGATCGGCTTTGGCAAGTACCACAAGTACGAACGACCTCTGAGCTCGAATTTCTCCTTCAGCAAGCAACGTTGACATCTTCTCTCCTTTCAATCTGGCTCGCAGGGTTCATCCGTGCAACTTGCACGAGTTCAGTGTCTACGGTGGCATGTCGCCTGACCTGTCGTGCATGGAACCGCTGCTCCACGCCGGGCTCAAGAACGACTTTCAGCCTGAGCAGTTCAAGCTGCCGACCGATGCCGCTGCACCTCCTGGCAAACCATCAGCAGTGAGTCTACTCATGATTCCATTGTGAACTCTTGCTGAAGGGATATGCTGGCGAATTCTTCACTCGCCGTCACTCGCCGTCACCCGCCCTCGGCAGGTTCTTCCTTCCAAATTCATTCGAATTGATGCGCTCACGCCCCACACGCAAAATTACAACGGTCAGTCTTGGAGGACTGGAGCAGACTCGAACGATTCTCCACTGACATAGTGTAATGTCCCCTTCACCAGTCTCAATCTGGCATGTCTGGTTGATGGGTCTCACGAACGACATCGACGCGGCACTCGTGGCTTACGACACCGTAAGAATCTTCCCTCGGTCGTGCGTCGCCCAAAAGCCCGGATCTGACCGTATCGCCCCCTGCCCACAGTATCGATCAGCTACGACGACCCACCTCGTCCTCTCACACCTTCGAAGATCCGCACTCCTCCCGACATTCCAATCGCTGCTCGACTCGATCCCTCCGTCCGTGGCCTCATCGTTCGAACACCCACTTCTCTCGCAGTTGCACGACACCATCGTCGTACGAGGCGACTTTGTCGGAGCGGAGCGATTGCTCGAAGAAGCGAAAACACAGAACCTGTTCCGAGAATGGACGCCGGGTGGTGGCAAAGGGGTCAGTGTCGTCCGGTGGGACAGACTGAACGACGTCCAGTACTCGAACCTACCCCCTCAACCGAGAGCTCGAGCGGGTCATCAGATGGTCAGAATCGGAAGAAAGTTGTTGCTGTTTGGTGGTTTCGATGGGAAAGAAGATCTCGCAGATCTATGGACGGCGGACTTACCTTCACCAGGGGAGGACATGCCGATACTCTCATGGAGGTTGATCGATCCGGGGAAAGAGGAAGAGAAGCCGGATGGGGGTTCGTCTACTGATCGACGACTATGGCCACGCAAGAGGAGTTGTCATCAGATGGCAGTTGACGAACGAGAGGGATGGGTTTACATGCTCGGATCACGCGTGACGAGGGAAGATGAAGAAGCGTTCGCGGAGAGAAAGGCACAACAGGCGGGTGGGAACGGCGAGAACGGTGATGCGATGGAGGTCGAACATCATGGAGAGGGAAATGGTTTTAGCTCATGGGATGGGAAGAGCGTTTACGCGAGTGATTTCTGGAGGTACAAGTTCGTTGGGACGGATAAGGGCAAGTGGGAGTTGATCAGTGAGGATACTGCGACGCAAGGGGGACCCAAGCTTCTGTGGGTGGACTCCGGTTGTAGGTCGAAAAAATTCCGAACCAAGACTGATGGTTACCGGGCCTTCGCTCCCACAGCTTCGACCACCAGATGTTCCTCCACTCGGACTCGCAGAGACTTTTCGTGTTTGGTGGAAGAATCCAACCTCCTGACGACGAGGATGCGCTCGAGGATCGCTACAGCGGATTGTACTGCTTCGATATCGTGGAAAACAAGTGGTCACATCTTTTGTAAGCTCAAACAACATCCGTCGCCTCCGACTGGGAAGTACACTGACGACCGATCGTTTCCGCAGTGGCGATCCGACATCGAACGACACTTTCCGTGCCGAGCGTCTACTGGGCCGGATCGGGCATTCCATGTTCTTTGATGCGCACTCGCACACCCTCTACATCCTCGGTGGTCAACGAGGCGACGCCTACCTCGCCGACTTATGGGCAATCAAGTTCGTGGCCCCCAATGCGGCCGACCTCGACCTTGACGAACCGGCCAGTGGTGCGAGTGATGATTCCTCCTTCTGGCGAGCCGGAGCCGTCATCGCAGGCGTCTCGACCGCAACACCCGTCACGACGATCGGCAACCCCACACTCTCTACTCGATCACCTACGATCCTCCAAGTCATGCAAAAGAACGACGACGTTTCCCTCCCTTCACCTCTTGACGGTTCCGTCGGTCCTTCACCTTCCTTCACGCACCGCACAACGATCGACCCTAGCACTCGAGAATGGACGACGATGACAGGTCTCGTCAAGCATCATCACGCCAGGAAAGAAGCACCTTCGAATGAGGTGTGGACCTATTCGACGACGAATGGTCCATCTAAGTGGGATAAACTTGAGCAGAGGGGGGAAACGCCACCACCGAGGTTCGCGGCTAGTGTTGTTTACGACCCGTTGAGGAAGGAGCATTATTTGTTTGGTGGGAATCCTTTCAAGGGAACCGAAGAGAGGTTGGGCGATTTGTGGAGAGGAAGGGTCTTTCAGTGAGTACTTTCTTCAGAGGTCCATTGACTCTCCGATGGTGAAGCTAATGCGCCGCTTGACTTATCAGTCCCTGTCCGGACGAAGCGCTCCGCATGGCTCGCTTCCTCGTCCGCAAACAACGGTCAGTCACCCTGCCACTGATTTCGCACGAACCAGTGCTGACGAAAACGCTCTCTTCGCTTCCCCAGTTTCACCGAGATGTGTCAAACCCGCCCCACGCTCATCGCCCTACAATATCTGCAAGACTCGATCTGCCAAGTCGTCGACCACACCGACGAAGACGAAGCTTCCGCCTTCCGTGCCTGCATGATCGCCGTCCTTTCCGCGCCTCCTCGCAACAACTGCGAAGTCGATATGAACGTCGAGAACGACCCAAGCGCTGCTTCTCCAACGACGTCGACGACGAATTCGGTCGATGAGAATCATGCCGTGCTTGGGGGGGAGTTGTATACGAAGAGGCATGAGTTGTTTGAGAAGTTGTTGGGCTTCGTGCCGGCGAGTGAGGCGCAACCCAAGGAGGACTTGAAGGATGTGGCGACGCAGATGAAGAGGGACAGAATGTGATGGCACGAAGCTTCGTATTGGAGAATTGTAAGGTACACATGAATATAATTTGCTCGTACAGAGTCTGGGAACAACCGTTGTCTTTATTTTGCGGTAACGAAAGAGGCGGAGAATGCGGAACAATTACGTACTACACAGCCCTGGGCGCGACTTCGTATCACCGGAGAGTTAAGATGTCACATTAGAACAAAAAGTGCGGGCACCGGATGTCGCCTTTACTCCCCCGGGGCCCTCTCGACGATCGCACCCTTCTCCAACGCCAGGGCCTGCCCACAAGCCGACATGAACGGATCATCCTTCCGGAGACCGTCGTCCGTGCCCACGAAATCCTCGGGCAACAACGTCGGTTCCTTCCTAACTCCACGTTCAATCTGATCGACCGCCCGGATCAAATCATAGTTGATCTCCTGGCTGATTACCGAATCATGCTGGTACTTGGGATGCTTCTGCACAAACTCCCTCATCCACGTCGCCGTCGTGACCAAAGTACCATCCGCGCGTCGTTTGATCAATTCTAGGGATTGGTCCAATTTCGCCCGCGTGGAAGGATGAACGTCCGTCAATCCATCGAGGTAACGTCTCACGACGCCGAGTAAACCAGGAAAGTTCTTCGACGGGGAACCATTGATGATTTCGTTGATGGTGAATTCGTCGTATTCGTCTTCGACGGGACCGAAGGAGGGGGTCTCGCCTCCTACGGGCGAATGGGAGCGAGGTGTGGTCGTGTGCGAGCTGCACGTTTGTTCGACGATATCGGTGGGAACACCATTGGGAGTGACGCGGGAAGACGACGTTGAATTCGAGGAGGACGTCGAGGACGATGACATCTCTTTGAGGTGCTTGTTGAGCCCGTTGATGTGAGAAGGGTTCGAAGGCGGTACCGGAGAGCATCCATGACCGGGGGCGGGGGAGAAGAGGTTTTTTCGGAAGTAAAACTTTTGCGAGTGCACGGCATCGCGTCGGTGCGCGCGGTGCATGTTCTCATCAACCTGTGGAAGCCCTCGGCCGCTCTCAGCTCAGGTCCCGAATGCAGCTCGCTGATAGACCATCGCGGGACCCACCTTTGAGATCGGGATGTAAAAGTTCAGTCCTAGCTGCATGATCGCCCTAGTCAAGAGCACGATGAACACGGCATGCGCAGCGTTTTCATAGTCCGTCAACTGGACCTCCATGGACCTGAACTCGACCCTCCACCCGATCGGCGATCCAGGTGGGGGCGGCTTGAACCGCACGGTCTGCCAGTTCGTCGATTGAATGTTCTCGAAATGGTCCGACGATCTTTCGTCATCCTGGTTCATCGTTTCCTCAAAGATGACGATCGGGTCTCGGATGAAGAGGTGGGCGAAATGGGTCGAGAGTAGGGGATCGACACCGTCGGCCATCAGGCGTTCTTTGATCGCTTCGTCGTACGGCATGTCGTTGTCATTGTATTCGGGTCGGTTCGAGTCGCAGTCGTAGATGTAGCAATCGACGCTATCGTAGCGCGATTTAGGAATCACGAATCGGTCGTCTCGCAGAGGCTGCAGAAAGGCGGAGGGAGATCAATATGCAGTGATCGTGGGCGGTCCACCACCTGCTCTCACGGGGACTGACCTTGAGCCCTCTCTCTTCCTCTGTCCGGTCATCGACACTTCCCGCAATCACGTCCCACCGGCAATCGACGTCCGCGAGCAGCCCCCGGAAGATTGGCGAAGAGGCGGTGAGGGCCAGCTGTGCGGGCCGTTTCATCATCAGCAATCAATTTCAGAAACCCCCGATCTTGGCAGAACGGACCATTATAGGTCCCACAGGTACGAAAGCGTCGTACATCCTCCTCGCCTCGCTGACGCTGCACGCCTGGAACGTGATCTGCAAGCAGCAGCACCCCATCCCGAACCCCATCGCGTCCATGTAGATGTGATCGGGCAAGGCCGCCCCATCCCTGGCGTTTCTGTCCTCGGGCCAGATATCCCGATCGAAAGGGATGTTGGGATCGATGAAGGGCTTTGGTGTGTTGGTATCGTGGTATATGGGCATGTTGATGGCGACTTTGGCGCCTCGTCGTCTCCGGATGTTGGCCGTGAGGGTGGGGAATCGGACGTGCGGGTTGGTGATTTCGTCAGGCAAGAACAAGGATCGTGAGACGCCGCCTCCGGGCGGGTAGTAGGGGTCGGTGAAGACGCCGGGGGCCCCGAGTCGAGGGAAACTGGTCAGGGTCATGGGAACCTCGTTGGCCTTCATTCGAGATTTAGCCAGCACTCGTCTGCGTTTTGACGTTTGAGAGATTAGGCGATGACATGAAGACGAGTCTTGCGTACGATTCTCTTACCTGAACCGCATGTTGCCCTCGACCGAGAGCAGATCTTCGAGCGTAGCCCCGTACGGTGCGCCCGGTGTCGACTCGAGCATGTATCGGCCATATTCGGGGTGGAAGACGGGAATGCAAGCTCTGCGGTAGATATATTAGCCCATCAACACCTCGATACGATCGTCACTCGCAGGGCATGATCGTAGACCCACTCTGTTCCGGGCATTCGGGCCTGTCGCTCGGTCGCATCGGCTTGAAGATCTTCAAGAATCTCGGTCTGCCTCAGGGACAGCCTCGCGTTCTTGTGCTCGTCGTCGTACGAGACGACCATGTATTCGATCTGGGAGCGATCCGCATGACCATTCGGATGCGTGTCAGTTGCGTACTCTACTCGCCAGCTGACCGCGATCGCTCCGCTTTTCCTCGGCCCGATCGGAGCCCCAGCGAGAGCGAGGCCAGCACGGGCGGCAGAAGTCAAGCGCCGGCCGACGGAGCTCGCCCACGCCAACATAGGCCAACGTCGACAGTCAAGCACGGCGCAAGATAGCCGCCCACAGCAGCACGAGCAAAGAACGGACCTCATCACCCCAGAGCAGACTGTCGCCCGTACGATCCTTGAGTCGGTGCCATATCTTGAGGAACTGTTCTATGCCGTGGGAGCGCACGTGATCGGCGTGCTGCTTGGCATCTTTCCACTCGAGCGGAGTGCCCAATGCCAGCAGGCCCATCGTCGCCGGAAAGTGCTGCCAAGGGGCGCTTCTCGGCTTGATTCGAGGCAGAAACGCGGTCGCCGATCGATCCTCTGCTGCTCTTGAGCTCCAAGAGGGGATAGGGTGTAGAGTCTAGGCTGAACGAGCAGAGCGGAAGCGAAAGAATTCGAGAGCGGCGTCGATTCGATTCGATTGGGTTCTCTCGGTCTAAGCCAGTCTAAGCGGGCTTGCTGACTGAGCCTGCCAGGGCAGGGTAAAGATCGCTGCGAGGCTCTGCGCCGGCGCGCGGCTGGAACTCGACCGGTGTCGATGGCGTGCGAGCCCTTCAGCCGAGAACGGGGTGGGGCACAAGACTGCAGTGCTTAAATCCGGGTCTGCTGCTTTCAGATCACCGAATTTGAGTGCGGATATCTCACCCCAATATAGGAGTGGTGGGGTGCACCACAACGTGATGAAGCGACTCTAGATCGATTGCTCATAGTATGACGCCCCACATGGCACCGAGCGAGCTGGGAAGCGAATGAGCCGAGCGGTCGAAGCCGTCTGACAAAGCACTCCGTCCGAGTAATTCCGAGCGAAATCAGCATCGATCGCTCGAGTCGCCCCAGCCGTCATCACTGGGAACAGGCATCTCCTTCCAAAAAGGCTCGACGAAACGAAGGATTTGCTCGTTAAAAGATAAAAGACATACAAACGCGAAATCGAACAGATAATAACGAATGAAAAGCTGAACTCCCCTGCCCCAAGCACCACGCCAAAAGCCCCACCCTAAAAGATATCATTCGCCAACGGACAATCCTCCAGCGCATGCCCATACTCTTCACAATCGTCGCAATAAGCTTCCGTAGAGGTCTTGACCCCCTCTGAAGAAATTGACGCCAAAGACGCCGACTTGGCATGCCTCTGCCCGCCCGAGACCGAAGCACGGGGTCGACCGACTTTGCTCGGTGAGGAAGACCCTGCAAAGATGGGACATGACTCGAGGTCGTGCATGTCGCCGCACAGTTCGCATTCGCCATTATCTTCATCATCGTCTTCTTCCTTGCTGGACCGTGTCAATCCGTTCCCCTTGGTCGTGGCAGTCAAGGATAAGGCACCGCCGGATGTCGAGGAAGAGCTGGGCACTTTTGCAGCAAGCGCCTTGTACTTCTCCAATTCGGTCTCGAGCTCATCTTCGCGGTAGATTTTGGACTCGACGAGCGACTCGAGCTCATTGACCTACGAACAAAAACAACTTCAGTCACCTTCTTCCCTTCCGAAGCCCCGTAGCACGAATACTGACCTCTTGGTGCAAGACCTTGATCTCCCTCTCTGCCTTCTTCTCCACCTCTCGCAACTTGAGCTTGAGCTCCTCGACCTCCCTGACCGCCCTCGTCCCCTTGGCATCCATCGTAGGACTCGAAATGACCTTGACTGCGACCGATGACGAGTCGGCATTCGTCATCTGCCCCATCAGGTTCTCGACCGTCGTCTCGAGCGCCTGTTGAGCATCCTTGAGGTCCTGCACTTCATTCCCTAGAGCGATGTTGCGTTCGCTCAGGACCGAGTTGTCGTCTTCGAGCGACTTGATAATGATCTTGAGGCCGACGATTTGCTCTTGAGCGTCTGCAATCTCGTCGTCTCTACTTCCGACCGAGCGTCGACCACCACTCGAGGCGAGACTGGACTCCCGGCGGTTCATCGACACCGATGTCGGTGACAGTTGCGACGAGGCCGAGCCAGTATCCTGCGTCGGCGCTTGGGTCGGGCTCGAGGATCGTTGACTGATCGACAAAAGGGCCACGTCCAGTTGCGCCTGAAGTTCAGAAACGCGCTCGACCTGCTGCGCTTTGCTCTGCTTGACCTCGTCGAGTTCTTCCTGCAACTTCCCGACGAGCTTGTTGGCCCTCTTGAGTTCATCCGCAATACCCGCACTCGCTCCACCCACGACGTCGCTCCTCAGACCCTCCAACTCAGACCTTTCATCCTCCAACGTCGCCTGACTCTCTTGCAACGCAACCTCAAGTTCGGCGATCCGACTCGTCAACCTCGTCTCGTGCTTGGCCGAGCGATCCAACGCGTCGCGCAACCCCTTCAGATCCTTCTTCAAGACCGCCTCGGCCTCTTGATGCTTCGTCCGTCGCTTACGGCTGTCGTTAACTTCGGCCTCGAGGTGCATGCGCGCTTCTTCCAACTGCTCCTCCAGCGAACCGACCTTGATGCGCAAGTGGTCGAGATCGGCCTGCGCAGATTCGGCATTGATGATGTCCGCCACGGAAGCATTCGTTGAAGCGCCCAAGCGCCGTGTCGGAGAATCCGGGGATCCCGAGCGATGCACCTCCTCGCCGTCGTCGTTTGTCGTCGTCCCCTTCTCGATGACCCCGCCCCGTCCACCCAACTGTAACGCCTCCAACTGCGCCGCCAACGTCTCGGCCAAGTCGACGCTTTCCAGCCGCGCAATCTCAATCTCGGCGATGCGTTCCTCGTACGTCAAACAAAGCGACTGCCCCGCGCTCCTCAACTGCTCCAACTGGCGCTGCAGCTCGGACTTCTCCTCGTCCACGCCCTGCGTCGCGATGTCCAACCTTTCCCTGAGCGAAGCGATCTCGCCCTCTTTCGCCGCGGACTTGGTCGCCCACTCGCGCTGCAACTTGTCCCATCGTTCCTGCTTGCCCTTGCCCTCCTCTCTCATCTCCTCCATTTCCTTCAAGAGCCTCTGCAACTCCTTCTTGCTCCCCGCATCGTCATCCTCGACCTCGGCCATCCGACTGATCTCCCTCTCCTTGGCTTTCCGTTCCATCTCATCGACCTGCGCATCCCTCTCCTTCAACCGGTCCCTCAACTCTCCCACAAGCGCCTCCATGTCCCTCCCCACCTTCTCAGACCCTTCCAGCAACTCCCTCACGCTCGCCTCCCTCTCCCGTGCTTCCACGACCTGCTGCTTGTAATCGGCAATATCATCCTCCTCCCTTGTCGTCGACCGCAAACTATTCCTCGAGACCGAAGAACTCGCGAACGATTGCCTCGAGAACGACCTCACCGAAGGCGTCGTAGGCCTCGAAGTCGAATGCCCCAAGCCCAACCCACCTCCCAATCCAGTCGACGCAGAGGTCGTCGAGATCTCAGATTGCCGTCGTTGCATCCTCGAAGAAACGAGCGAAGGCGTCGAAGGCGTCGCTCGACCGTCCCTCGATGACGAAGGGGTGATCGATCGATTCAGGGCATACGAATGCGGTAGAGCAGGAACATCAGGGATCGAATTCGACCGTAGTGCAGAGGGAGGTCTCTTCATCCCCGATGCCGAACTTGACATATTCGCTCGGGGCGTCGAAGAAGCCAAGACTCCCCCGATCGATTTCCTTGGTGTCGCGCCAAAAGCTCCACCGCCGTACGAAGGGCGACCACTTCGGATCGCTCTTGGCGTCGAAGAGGCCGAAGCAGACGAAGACGAAATCGAACCGACTTTGATCGGACTGGGCGGGGCCAAGGATCTTCGCGGTTGGCCCTTGGTAGGTGATGCAGGTGGTCCCATCGATGTTCGATTCTGCTCCATCTGTCGCTTGTTCGACGCCAGTTCAGAAGCTTTGAGACCGACGTATTTGGACGCTCGAGAGCCGGCGGTGATGGCCGGCGGCGCGGGCGGCTTCTTGGTGATTTTTTGCAGCGGGAGGAAGAGGCCGCACAGCGGGTTGCAGGCAAAGTATTGAACACTGTGAGATCACCTCAATGCGATAAGGCGCGCTGTTCCTCCACGGGACCATCTGGAATGCCAGAAATGACTCACCCTTTGACGCTCCCGTCATTCTTGCCCAGTCCGCTCCATTCGGCATCCAATTCGACTCCACCCCACTGCCCCTCTTTACCATCGACGGCGCCCAAGAACCGAATAACACCTTCCATCGCGTTCCCCGCTACTTCAAATTTGACCTGATCGCCTACCTGCAACCCTTTGAAGCCCGCGATCGAACTGCCAAGCGAGTTGTGCATCGTCGATCGAGAGAGGGGTCGAGTCGCAAGCGAAGTCGGGGTCTTTGAGCGCGTCATCGATCCACCCATCGCATGATGTCGAGGCGTGGATACACCCATGCCTGATGTCCGCCCCGAGGGTGTAGTCGGTCTCGAAGCGCCACTGCCCCCAGCCGAGACAGCCAAATTCGACTTGAGGTTGACGATGGAAGGTCTCCTCAGCGCTCTTCGTTGGGTGACCGTATGACTCGATTTGTTCGGTGTCGGACTATCTGTCGAATCATAACTGTTCCCCAGGAGGTGAGGGGAATCGTATTGGCTCGGATCGTGGGATCGAAGGGCCTGTTGCAAGCTGTCGAGTTCGTCGGCGGCTCCTCCGAGATTCGAGCGTGACGACGAGGCGACGTTCGACGAAACTCGACGCCGGGATGGGGTAGGGAGGGAAGAAGGAGTTGAGCCGGCCGCAGCAATCGAGTTGTGAGAAAGCAGTGTTGAGGCCCTCGGCGTGGTCGGTGGTCGCAGGGCCATCAGAGTCGATGGATCGAGAGCGGGGCTTCAGCTTCCACACTCCCAGGCTTTTTGAGAGAAAGGGGGTCGATGAATGCCTGGCTTGATGTGGTACGTCTGCGGAAAGGTACACGCCATGAGGTCAGTCATAGATTCACGCAAAAGTGGGGGTTTACTGCTGGAGAGCTCGTGACACGCGTGCCGTCATCGTCGTCGTCGAGCAGCTCAGCTGACTCGCGTGTCGTGCTTCCAGGCAGCGGTTGCTCCCGGCCGTCCTGTGCCTCTATTGTCCGTCATGCGAGCACTTGGGAGCACGATCCGTCATGCTCGAACCTTGTGCAGCCCCGCCATTCCTCCGCGATGCGGTCATACGAGCGCGTGTTGAGCGATAGGTGTCGCGTCCCAGCCACCCACGTCGCCGGTCACCCGCGTGTATGCATCCCCTGCGAACGACCACGTCTCATGTTGATCGACGGGAAAGACCTACCTTTCGAAGAAACGATGGCGCGTTCCGTCCCAAGCCTGCGATCGAGGGCCGAAAGTAGCTGTCGCCGCGTTGGATGTAGAATGATCTGAATGGGGTTTGAGCGCGCGAAGCAACTGAGGTCAGCAAGCTTGGCTTGGGCGTCGGCGATTTCACACGACACGCGCGCGCGCTGCTCAATTTTAGACCCCAACATAGTTTTAAGAGTATCTAGTTTCAAGTTTCTTTGTTAGCCTTCCTTTTTGACTTGCAAAGCCAGCAATCAATACGCAAAGCAGTTCCGTTTTTTCCTTGTTCGAATTACATTCCCATTCGACTCTGTTGTTTTCGTGTATATCCTCTTCCTGCATCTGTCAAGCAACATCAAGGTCCTCGCCGTTTCGATCTCGAAAACCGAGCAGAGGGACAGCTGGACAGGGGGCATTTCTCTCAACGAAAACCACTTCCGTATCTGGTCCCAACACCGATAGCAAGGCTTATCCACGCTATCAGTTCATATGTCTACAACTACAACCCGAGGAAACTCCAGCCACTCTTCAACCCCACGCTCCCGGCATGGAAATCCGACCTCGATCAAAGTTTTCCAAACTTGGCCGGCTTCTTGGTCGCAAATGCCGCGAAGGCGTCCGGCAGGTCTTGGGTTTGCAACATAGACTATGAGAGGGAATCAAAATAAAAGTTGTGAAAGGGAAGCAAAACATCAGTTGGGATGGTTACATTAGAACGATAGGTCGCACCTTGCGCGGGAAAGAGACCAGACTGACCATATTCCAGATCCTCGTGTACTCCAGACCTGTTCCGGCCATTCAAATCAGCAAGATCAGCCATTCAAGATCCACGGCCTTTGATCCCTCGACCGAGTGTCCGCGCTCACCTTCCTGCGTCGTATGGTCCCTCGAGTAAGTCAACAGATGCTTCGTGCCCAACGTCGCAATAGGGCTCTTGCTCGCAATCACTTTCGCCGTATCCAACGCAGCCTTCAGCACCCCTTCCTTGCCCCCCGGAACAACTTTGCTAACGAGCCCGAGCTGATAGGCTTCTTGGGGACCAAAGTTGCGGGCTGTGAGGGCTAGTTCGTTCAGGAGGGAAGCGGAGGCGGTTGTCTTGGGGAGGCGTTGTAAGGATCCGACGTCCGCGGCGAGCCCAACGTCCACTTCCTATTGGGGTACATTTGGGAGATAGTTTGGATCAGAATCATCGCACATGATATGAGAGATTGTCCTCGTTACGGTCGTACCTTGATGGAGAACGTCGACCCTTCAGCGGCATATCGAATATCGGCCGAGACGATGATGTCGATTCCCCCGCCGAGGCAGACGCCATGCACGGCGGCGATGACGGGTTTGTCACATCGTTCGATCGCAGAGACAGCATCCTGGAGGAGTTTGATGTACTGTGGCGGGATAGAAAATGGGTTTTGGTTAGATAGAGGAAATTCGCGACCACCGACCGGAGATGCCGAGATGGGAGCACGGGCGTGGGCTTACGCTTCGGTGTTGAAGCGCCAAGCGACCTGCATCCGTTCCATCGTGGTCCAAGCCACTCTCACTGTAGGAAAATTTGACCCACAAATCAGCATTCGTGCCTTTCAAGATCGCCTTGAACCCAGCAGCCGAATTCGGGCTTTGCGGCGACTGACGTGAGGTCCAATCCTGCCGTATAGATCTTGTCCAATCCACTGGCCAGAACGACGCAGCGTACGTCCGAGTCGGCGGAAGCGACATCCATGTGTTTACCAATTTCGACCCAGAGCGCTGGTGAGGAAAGTCACGACTGGTGTCAGTGCGCCGAGGAAGAAATGGGAACACGCCGAGGTCGATCCGGGGACGCAAAACTGACCCGTGTTCAAGGCGTTGATTTTGGCGCGTTGCATTGTTAGCAGCAACACGTTCTCCGAGGGGAATGACGCGACGACATGCTCGGTAGGGTAGACGGCCGGCATAGTGGCGGGTTCTTTGAGGGTGTGGGTGCCGTGTTGGAGGTGTAGTTGGGCAGAGGGAGAGCTCACTGTCTGAAGCTAAGACTCGCAGACTCTCCGTCCGGTAACGAACGAAAGCCGGAGTGCGCGTGCCAAGCGAGGCCAAGCGCGGCTCGGGCTGAGATTGCAGATCACGTGACCATATGCTCGCGTCCGGCTGGCATCTTGCTTCGTGCGCACGGACCGCGAACTGCGCCGAGGCGGCGCACATCCAGTCACCGCGGGATACTCTTCACCTTGGATCCGGATTCGAAACGGACTACAGTGAATCACTACTGCTCTACACGCTACCTATCCCGATCGTGGGGTTGATGCAGCGCGTGTCGCTCCGACTCGTCCACATCCTCACTCGAGCGACTTCCTCGTCGTTCATCCACGCAGCGACACCCCCGACGAGTCTAGCACCTTTGCATCGCCATTTCGCTTCATCCCAGCATTTGTACTCACAGCCCAGCTCCCAATCCATCCCCACACTCCCACCTCACCCCCTCTCGCGAGCTGCGATGCCGGACTCGATCAGCGTCACCTTCCTCGGCACCGCAGCGGGCAAGCCCTCTCCAACCCGTAACGTCTCATCCTTGGCTATCAAAGTTGACAAAGCCATGTGGGTGCCCAGGAAAGCAGTTTTGGGCTGCGAGAACCTGTGGCTCATAGAGTTAGCTCCCCCCTCGCAGATGGGTCGTCGACGCAGGCGAAGCGACCCAACACCAGTTCCAGAAATCTAAACTCAAAATGAGTCAAATCACGCATATCTTCATCACCCACATGCACGGTACGCAGCACCTCCTACACCTGACCTTCCCTCCGATCCTCTAACGCTGACTCCTGCTCCGGAGGACAATTCCTCAGGTGATCACGTGAATGGACTACCGGGCTTGCTGTGCACGGCCAGTGAAGGGCATGCACAACTTGATCAAACATTGACGGGTTCAGGCGCATCGGCATTGACTTCATCCGACGAGGTGAGCACTTTCACCCAAGCTCAGGGACGCGCCCGGATGAAAAACTCTGCTCCTGTTTTCCCCCAAAGGTACTCACCCATCCCCTCTTTCTCTTCGTGCCCAGCCCGCCACCATCATCTATGGCCCCTCAGGTCTTCGACAATTCCTCCGCACGACCCTTTCGCTTACTTATTCCTACCTCGCCCGACCTTACGTAGTCCACGAGCTGCTCTTCCCCGGAGATCCGATCTGTCCTCCACCGCCATCAGCTTCGACTTCGAATTCTCCTTCTACCGAGGATGAAGGAGCTCCTCATCGAGGTGTGTTGATGAATGAACGACCTGGCTTGGATCTTTGGATTAATGAGGCCAGTCAAGGATGGGAGGATTTCGTCGCTCTGGCCGACGGAGCGGTCAAAGTCAGTGCGGGGCCGATAAAACACACGGGTACGCTTGTCTTCCTCCCTGCCCCCAATTGTCCTAAAACGACCCAAGACGATAATCCACCCCCACCCCCTCCCCGTTTCTCCGCCAGTCCCCTGCCTAGGTTACATATTCCACGAATCGCCTCGACCCCTACCCCTTGACCCCAAACTCTACATACCCCACTTGAAGCGTAACGCGCCCGCGCTCTTGGCCACCCAAGGCATTCGTAACCCTCTCTCCCTTCTATCGGTCCTCACCTCCCAACGAAAATCCCTCACCTTACCAGATGGGACGCTTCTCCACCCCCCTGCTTTAGGGCCCAAAGGGAGGAAGTTAGTCGTCTTGGGGGACACTTACGATGCGCTCGGAGGTTCGATCGAACGTTGGTCCCAGGACGCCGATTTGGTGATCCACGAAGCGACGAACGCTTTCCTTCCCCAAAGCGATGAATCCCAACGAAATAAACCCGATATCACCCTCGAGAGCGTTCGACGTAAAGCGAAGGAACATGGGCATTCGACACCGGAGGGAGCAGGGGAATTCGCGAGGAGGGTAGGCGCGAAGGCTTTGGTGATGAATCATTTGTCGGGGAGGTATACGGATTATGGGCTCAAGGAGGAGGATGGGGAGGCGATGGAGGAGACGGAGGGGGTTAGGGCTGGGAGGGGTATGTTGAGGGAGATGGAGGACTTGGCTACTAGAGCCTGGTTGGGAGATGCGCAGGAAGGGGAGGGGGAGGGACGGCCGAGGGCTAGGACGGCGAGGGATTTGATGGAGGTTGTGGTCAAGAGGAGAGACAAGATGTAGTTACACTAGTCCGAAGTGCTTGGTATTAACATGCCCGATGGAATTACAACAAGGCATAAAGACAAAGAAAAGAAGATAGATGCTAACGATGAAATGAAGAAGACAAACGAAGCTGATCAGGATTGAGCGGCAGGGAGCACAGTTGATCGAGGAGCGAGGCTATCAAGCTGGGGTTGGTTCTGTGATATATACGACAGGATGGGCACTGGAGAAGACGTGATGGGCTGCGTAGACTTGAGTTGAGGCGATGTCATGGGAACGTCGCCGGAGTCAGGGCGTTGCAAGGAGGGGCTCGTGGCGGCTGGTCCCGTCTCGAGGACAGGGGCTTGCGAAGTCGAGCCTGACGCTGACGTTGATGCTGACGTTGATGCTGACGTTGAGGCTGACGTTGAGGCTGCCGTCGAGGCTGACGTCAACGATGACGTGGGCACTGAGGTGGGACCCTGGGGTTGAGTAGCGTTTTTGAACGCCACTCCCATCTTACCGGACGATGTCCTGGGTTTGGACTGCGAGCCATGCGCCTTCCTCCGCGTGCCCGAATCCCCCTCCGTCCCCCTCCCCTCCTTCAGCACAGGTCGCATACTCCAAACCAGGTCGAAGAACTTCTCGTCCGTCCAATCATCCGCATCGGAGGTCCCATCACTTCCCATAAAAGCCGAGTTCAACCCCGTGGCCTTGATCAGGTGCGGGTCATTGTACGTGTTGATGATGCGACTCATTTGTTCGAGGCGCACGTAGGGGTCCGTGGAGAGTTTGTACGCAGTGGGGTGGTAGGGGTCCCAAGGTGGGAAGGGATGGGCTGGGGCTTCGGCGAGGACGATGGGTGGCCTTGTTGGAGCAGGCGCGGGAGCAGGCGCGGGAGTGGGAACAGGCGCGGAAACGAGAGCGGAGGTAGACGTAGAGGCGACGGGAACGGTGGGCATCGGGGCTTGATCAACCTCCATGGGCAAATCCTGCACAGTCGTCTGTCGAATATCCTGCCGCCCCGCCGTCGACGAACCCGCCGTTCCATCGACCTGTATCTCTTGCTCCCCCTGCACCCCATCAGCCCCTTCGGCCCCACGCTGACCCAGAGTCTGCTGGGCCGCGACAATCTCCTCCTCAGGTACTCCAAACTCAACCCTCTCAATGGTCGTAATCATCTTCCTGACATCAATAAACACCCTCCCGCCTTCTTCCCACCTCTTGACGATCGTCTTGGTATTCGACGACTCGTTCACCATGGCCAATTGGAGCCCCACTTCGGCCCTCTTGGGATCCATCATCTGTTGCGTCCTCATCGGTCTGCGTTCGTACAGCGTCGTGTTCTCCAAGATTGTCGGGGCATCGTTGGGGACGGCGGTCATCCCGCTCGGGGTGATGCGAGGTTTCTTCGATCGTGTCCCGGAGGCGTGGGGGTCCATCATGGCGGCTGTCTCTGGAAGGGAAACGGCGTCGCTGGCTTTGCGCTTGACCCCCGCGTCGCCATGGCCATTCATCATCGACGTCAATCCCTCCGCCGCCCCACGCCCGTTTACTGCCTTGCCCTTGGGTGTCGACACCGTATCCCTAGCCATCGCCTCGGCCCTCACCTCTTCCGGCGAGACCCAGGTCAACGACATTGCATCATTCGACAACTCGCACAAACGGTCCATCGGCTCCCCCAGAGCACGCAAAACGACCTGCCTAAACTCCCTCGACAGTTCGTTCGCATTCTTGATGTACGTATTGGGGACGTTGTGAATCGCGACGCGACGACGTTCTCGACTGAGTTCGTTTGTCCCCTTGGCCCAACGCGTCGTTTGTTCGATCAAGAACTCTGACGCCTGTTTCAACCCCAGCAACACCCGACGACTTCGCAACTCGGCAGGCCACGTCCGCATCGAAGCTGACGAAGCGAGGACCTTGTTCAAGCGAGCGGTGTAATGGTTCGCGACGTGCCAAAGCAAGGTGACGAAATGCGGGAACCGGAACTTCTTCGGCACCTTGGTCGCCAATTCGATGCGATAGACCTCGAGCTGGGTCTCGATGTTGAGCGAGTGAACAAAGTTGCCACCGATGACGAGCGAGTCGGAAGGGGTCTCAACGGCATGAATCCATCCCGAGGGGATGAACATGGTGTTACCAGGGACGAGTTCGACGCGGTAGACGGCATCGACGTGGTCGCCGAGCCAGTTCGCTTCTTGTCGGTCGGTGTTGCCGCTCCACGTCTCGTAAGCTTTGAGATTCTCCTTGGTCGGTCGAATAAAGTAAAAGACTTTGCCGCCGCGCAGGATATGGTAGAAGACCGACGAGCCGGCGAAATCAATGTGCCAATCCTGGTGAATCGGGATCTCAACTTATCAGCCCGTGACCAATAGTGCCAGTGCAGATAGAAAAGACCATCATTAACTCACTGTCCAAGACTCGGCAACCGACATCAAGCAATACTTTTGCACCTGCGGGTACTGCCCCTCGTCCCTACAATCCTTTGGCCAGATATTGTCGACCCAGTCTAGCCTTCTCACCATCTCTGGCGCCACGATCTTTTCTCCGAACGGGGTTGAGCCAACTTCGAGCGAGATGACGTTGCGCACCTTGTCCCTCCTCGGATTCTCGAAATAGTCGGCCCACTGCCTCAGCGTTTTGATCGTGCGATCCCTGTCTTGAGCTGCGACGTCGAGAGCTTCGATGGGATGGTCCCCACCAATCTCATCCGCGATGGCCGAGATGGAAGTTGAGCGATCGGGCATCTGCATCCCCAGCCCTCTCGGCGATTCGACGATGATGGGTTCGCTCCACGTTCCCTCCTTGAACAGCCACTCCTCGGTCAAGCGTTCAGGTCTGAGCTTGGGGAAGTTGGCGGGAAGGATCTTGCGCGTCGCGATGACTCTTTGCCATCGAAGGTGATCGGCCGGCAAGTGAGCATCGAGATTGGCATAGTCGATCTTGGGCGCGGCTCGGTTCGTTCGGCGAGGTACGGGTCGACGAGTGCACGCGAGGGGGTGCCGGGTCGCCAGTGTGATCTTGATGCACGTCGGACAGTACCACTTGTCGAAGTCTTCTGGGGCTGTACGCGTCAGGCGATAAAGAGACGAGTGTAAGTCCGACAGACGAAGATTCGTCGATCGCCGAGCATAGCGACCGGGTGAGCTTACAATCGCCCGCGTTGAGATTGATGCAGTGCCAGTGGCTGTTCGGAGGAATGCGTGTGGATATGATCAGTTTGTGGTTCGTTCGCTGGACGAGATGAGCTGTAGTCACTCACTACCAAGCGTTGCAGCTGAAAAGGTGCCGAGAACGAGCGTACGAGTCCAAAGGAACACCGCCATAGAATGTCAGCCTACCATCGATCTTTACCGTACTCTCTTGCAGCTCCGAGTGCAGTCATAGCAGTGCCCCACATCCGCCAGCCCAGCTCACATAGCTCGTTCGTGCGTGTGGGGCCACTCGCTCGTCCTCGACCGCCACTGGGAACTCACTGTTCGCACTGAATCCAGACCTTGTCCTGATTCGCCTTCTCCTGCTCGGCGGTCAAGACCGTTCCAGGTGGTGTACAGACCAGACAGACATCCTCGCCTCTCTGCTTGTCCCTCCTCTCGCGCTCGGAGCGACGAATCGAAGCGGTGCCTTGTCGACTGGGCACTTTGGGCAGTCGAGGCAGTCGAGGCAGTCGAGGCACGGCAGTCGCGGGTTGGGATGTCGCAGGTGTGGGTGCGGGTATGGGTGTGCAGGTGGAACTGCGGAGACTGGAGCGTCGACAGGGTTCGTTCGTCGCGGCTGCCGCTGATGGGGGTGGTGTGCGAGACGGTTGCGACGGCGAATGGCTGTGGCTCCGAGTCAGGCGAGTGGTGCTGCTGCTGCTACTGCTGCTGCTGCTCGTCGTGGCGCTCGTCTTGGCGCTCGTCGTGGCGCTCGTTCCGGTCGCGCTCGGCCCAACCGCGCTCGTCGTCGCGGGGGAGCTGGGCGCGGGAACGGGAACGGGCGGCGATGCAGCATCCAGCTCACTCAGTGTCGACAATGGTGAAGAATCTCGCTCATCCATCGTGGCTGCGGCTGCGGCTGCGGCTGCGGCTGCTACTGGCGGTGGCGTGGGCGACATCGAGACACCCGCGGCACACGATCAGCCAAAGTGAGACGGACCGAGACACGCCAAATTTACTGGCGGAAGCAGCGCGTGGGCTATCACCGCTTCGGAAGCGGCAATTCACATTCTAAGGCGGCCATTCCTGCGGTTACTAACCGAGCCTTCCCATGCGGTATGCACGCTCTTGCAGAGTCCACGGGTGTTCGCTCCACTACATTTATAATATTTCTCAAGATTACTAGCAGCAAATAGAGGTAATATTAACTACTACTGCCCGCTACACTGCCATGTCCACTCGTCGGATTCGCCACCCGCACTGCTGCAGTGCCCTCACTGCGACGCGACCCCGAGTATCCTAACCTCATGCCCTTCCGTCGAGCTCGGCTGTACGATTCTACAGCTGACTCTATGTTCACCGAAAACCAGCGCATCCCCCTTGCCCACAACCGACGTCCAAGCAAATTTAGACCCCTGCCTCTCCTGACCAAACGCCTCGATCTGCACACTCTTCCCCGCTACTTCAGCAAGAGCTTCATCGTCGACCCAACATCTTGCTCGGCCGGGTTGTTGCAGCGCAATTCTGACGCCATGGTGAATCCCATCCGTTTGCCAGTAGAACAAACCGACTTGGGATCCCGTAAAGGAGAACGAGATGAGGGAATCGACGGTCGAAGAGACGTAGCCGGCTTGGTCGTCCCACACGTCGGCTTGCCATGCTTCGCGTGTGGTCAAAGAAGGGTCGGGAAGGTGCACCAAGGGGGCGTACAAGGAATTTCCGAACATGCAGTGAGGGGAAAACGGGGTCGGTTCGTAGGAAGGGTCGTCAAGGCTCGAGTGCGAGTCCCAGACTATGGTGGGAATAAAAGCAAGAAGCATTAGATCCTTCTGAACGCCAAGATCGAATGACCGGACCTAGCTCCAACTCACTCTTGGCCCTCGGTACGATCCCAACCACACCTTGGGTTGGCCACTTATCCTCATTGACCTCCAACACCTCCTTGGGCATCCCCTGTCTCCTCTTCGTCTCGCACGCCATCTCCCTCGCATACAACGTCACCACATCCCCCAGCACCTGATGCGCTTTAGGATTCATCACCCCCCAATCCGTCGAAACGCCATCACTCGCCTTGACGAACCATTGACTTGCGCTCGAGGTCCACGAAAAGATCCTCAACTGGAGTATCTCGCGTACCGTGATAAGGGGAACGTCGAAATGCCGCGAGGTCAAGAACGCCGAAGCGAGACTCGTCGTCGTATCTCTGTCCGAGAGGTCGAAAGTCGAGACTCGGATCATCGCGGGAGCTTGCGGTAAGAGCAACAGACTCCGATAGAGCGTGTCCTCTTCTTCGAGTGTGCGACCCAAGGATCCATTATCAATGTCCAGTTCGACAAAGTAGAGATCCAGATCCCGAGGCAGCGAAGCCGAATGACAGTACGAGTGGAACGCCGTTGGGACCGAAGACCCTTTGGACCCGTCGATGAACTGCGAGCGAGGAAACGTCTTTTGGAACTCGCGGGAAAAGATTTCAAACCAGCTTGACTTGTCGCCCAACCCTTGACCTGCCGAGATCTTGCCCCCGATCAGACCCTGAAAGCGTCAGGAGGAAATGTCGGCGCCAGGTTCCCTCGTATCGCTGGCCTCAACCCCTACACGCAAGGACTCACGATCCGCACGACTTCCCCTTTCAAAGCCTTGCTCAACATCTTGCGTATCCGCACTCCCGAACCCTCGTACCCCCTTGACAGCCGAATATTATCAACCCCGTAAACACAGAGCGGATCCCTCGGGTCGACCAAACACGTTTGACATGTATCCGTCGACCATTCCTGCAACGACAAGCGCTTTGGTGCCGAAGAAGCTCTCCGTCCCGAAGGGGGTCCATCTTTGGTCGTTCCGACTCTTTTCTTCGTCGCTCGTTCCCGTTCCTGTGAGTTTCTTCGATTTGGTCGACCGGATGTTTGAGGTGGTGCATCCTGCCCTTCTTCGACAGGCTTGTCATCGTCGTCGGATCCTTCTTCATCCTCCTCTTGCTGAGCGCGAGGGACTTGACCCGCAACTTTGCCTCCTCGACTCCCCTTGGTGAACGCCTTCCTCTTGATCTGTTTCTTCAACCCTCTCCCCCCACCTTCATTCCTCAACATCTCTGAAACATCATTCAACTTCCCCCTCAGCCCACCACTCGACTCGAACGAATCGCCTTCGTCGGACGAGTCACGGCCTATGCCGTCCAACCCCGACCCTCCGTTCCCCCACTTCCACCAACCGACCAAAACGACGAGCCCCACTACGATCGTCCAGAATCTGATCTTCACCCTCCTCCGTATCAAAGGGATCGTATAAAACCCTCTTGATCCCGTGACCTTCCCCGGCCGACCCGTCGTCGAATTTCTCGTTCTCGATGGGGACATGGCCGCTTTCCTCGGAGACGGCAGCGACGTGATCTTCGTCGGCGTCGAAGGCGTCGTCCTAGTCGGCTCACCACCACCACTGCTACCTTTGCTCATGTTGAAGCCCTGCTCTGAACTCCTCGTTGGACTCTCACTCGGTGCCCTGGGGTACACCCTAGGACTATAAGCCGAAGGTGACCCGGAGGACTCTAACCCATTCGCTGCATTAATCCCGGGACTCCCAACAAGCGGTGAAGCACTCGAATGATGATGAATGCGGTGGTGCTGGGCAGCCTGAGTCGCGCCCGAAGCTGAGGCCGAAGCGGGGCGCCAGGAAGCGGTCGAGGCAGTTGGGGAGGCCTCGACGCCCGAGGCGCTACTTGCTCCGCGAGGCGTTTTGAGAAGGGTCGTCGAAGAGACGTTCGCTCCTCTTCGGGGAGGGGAGAAGTAGGACGGATCAGACATGCCCTGCGCGTCGTCGTCGTGGTAGAAGCATCCGGAGGGAAGGGGAGGGGGACGACAAAGCCAACAATGGTAACGGCGGACGACTCGTCGGCGTTGGGCGAGCGAGCGAGCGAGTCAGACTCGTGCATGTGCCAGGGCCGATCGTGATTTCGGTTGCCAGAGGGTTTGTCTCAGCTTGTCCTAATTAAAAAGGAGGGATCGACGCAGCGAATCCGGCGCGCGCGCGTGGCTGCCGGAACGTTTCATCGCTCATCATGATGGGGCAACTCAAGGAGAATCACGGGAATCAATCAATAAATAAATAAGCATTACGAAACCCGAGGCTTGACTGTTGAGAGTCATTACGTTCGTGAAAATTCCCTAGACAGTGAAGAGTAAGCTTCTCCCCCCTTCCTACTCGGCCTTGTCCGAGCTGCAGACCGACGAGTCCTCGAGCACACGGGAGTGGCCGGCCGCCTGAATGAACTCCTTGCTGAGCCAGCGTTCCTCGGGTACGATCCACCAACTAACGATGCCGCAAATGGTCTGCGGTAAATCATTGAAGATGGTGTCAGTAGATCTGCTCATTAGTATACAGCCAGGAACAAAAAGCCAACTCACGATGCCGACAAAGACGGGTGCGGCGAAGTTGAACGTCTGCGCCGTGACGGGGAACGTGTAGGGCGAGAACATGATGGAGCAAATGAAGAGGTTCCAGATCGCAGCGATGATGCATAATGGCGTCGATAAGCGACCGTTGGACCATCGAGCATGTTTGAACTGGTCGCGAGTGAAGAGCAAGCGCAAGACGGGGATTGCAGCGTACAGGGCGATCGTCGGCACACCCGAGATGCTGACGAGCGACGTGAAGGCGACCGTCGAAGGCAGAATCGTACACAGTAGGACGGCACCGACGCCGCCAACAAAGTAGACCGCGTTTGTAGGGTTGCCGTTCTTGTCGACGCGGCCGATCCAAGCCGAGCCGGGGAGGATGCCGTCGCGGGCAATGGCCGATATGAGACGCGAGGCAGCGACGAGGCAGACCGTGACGTTGACCATGAGACCGATGATGGAGATGATGCTCAGCACGAGCTGGCCACCCGTGCCGAGAATGTCCTGGAAGAGCACGACGAGGGGTTGGGGCGCAGCGGCTTCGAACAAGACATCCAAGGGCGGCGAGCACACGAGCAAGAGCATCAAGAGCGGCGCACCAAAGATGGCCGAGACCAAGCACGAGTAAAACACCCCGCGGGCCGCGGCCAGACTAGGGTTTTTTACCTCTTCCCCGATGTGCGCCGCCGCGTCAAAACCTGTGAGCACGTAGCTCGTCGACAAAAAGGACAAGGTCCAATTCCAGCCCGAGGAGGCGCCGGTCCCGTTGTAGCTCGTCGTCAGGAACTCGCGGCCGCGGAAGCCGTACGTCTTGGCGGCACCCATGGGGAGGGCGATGAAGAGCGCAAGGAAATCAATGACCATGACGAGTAACGAGGCACGGAAGATCCATTTGAAGCGCTTCGGCGGCATCGTATTGCTCAAAACGCAGACAAAGAGCACGAACTCAGCGACGGCCCACTGAACAGCGCGGAACTTGATGTTGCTGTTGTCGAGCCCGCCGGGGAAGGCACGGTTGAAGACGACGAGCTCGGACATGATAAAGTTGGCCACGGCCTGTGACGTGCTCGCGCAGAAGCTGATCCACGCCGACGAGGTCCACCATGCGCCGATGAAACCAAAGAGACGAGCACGGCTCGGCGAAGTGGGGCCCGACACGGCGGCGGCCCAGAGGTAGATACTACCACTGAGCGGGATTGACGAGCAAATCTCGGCGAGGCAAGCTGCAGTAGCGCACGCCCCGAACATTGTCACGATCCAGGACGACCACAGTGCGGCTGGTCGTTCCATGTGGACGAGTCAGTGCCCTTGTCGTCATGAGCACAGGGAAGGGCCAAGCTCACGAGGTCCACCGGAGTAGATGCCGGTGCTGTACAGGATCTTCATTCCGCCGACAAAGTACATGCTGAGGAAGTATGGATAGGCTCCAGTCAGTCGCAGGATGCGAGGGAACTCCATAGAACGTGTATCACCCTCACCCTCCAAAGGCGGCCATGAAGGATTCGAATGCGCCCCACGTCCGGTGCAACGTCTGGTCGAGGGAGAGGACAGGTATGAGCCTCGTTCGCGCTGTCCTAGGACTGCTCGAAACTACACTCACCAATCTGTACCCGGAGCGAGTCTTTTTACGCCTCCGGGGGGAGAGGTGGGCCAATGCATTGGGTACCCAGGTCAGCCATCCGCCCCGCTCTTGCCTCCAGGAGCCCGAGTCAGTTCGACAAGTTTTCCTGGACTCGGGGGGGTCCACTGAGAGGAACTTGAAACATGAGGGGGGAGGTGTGACGAATGATCAAGAGGAAGGGAAGGGGGCAGGGAGGAATATGATGCAACTATTCCTACGCGCTCATTACAGCGTTCAGGTTCCAGTACGGTATAATCTCAGCACCTCGATTTTTCATCCGCATAACTGCTTCTCTGGATCCTGCTGCCTGCTGCCCGCGTCTCTTTCCTCTCCATCCGCGTAGGACGCAAGAGAGCGGAAAGGAGAAACGAAGCAACTGGCAACTGGCATCACAGGAAGAGATAGTACGAGAAGAAAAGGGAAGAGGGCACCCGTTGTTGCAACAAAAAGATTCGAGGGATCTTCGTCTTCAGCGCATCGCCCGCCGTCCACCATCTGTCCCCGCTTAACTCCGACTGCAGAACGGCAGGGAGCGGCAGCGGTGGAAGAGGGGAGGTGGGAGACGGCGTGGAATTTGAACAGGTCGAATGACTCTTTTACTGCTTCTGGGACAGACCTATGATGGCACCTGAACGCCGTGTACAAGCTTTCGACGCGCGCAGGACGATTCGTTGACATAATGCTTCTCCGTCTTCGCCTTCTGATTCGATCGTCGATGATTGGTTGGGAGGCACCGTACAAGCAAGATTGCCTCGTCCTTGCCGCTCTTGGGCAGTTGCGAAGCGTTGCCAGGACTGGTACCAGGGCCGTGGTCGTCACTTGAGGTCGACATGTTCGTCGAACGGTCGTTGCTGTAGTCGTGAAGAGAGGGACTCGAGAGTGGTGGGGAGAAGGCCAAGAGGAAGCGCGCGTCGACCACACACACGCACAATGCCACACCGAGGCAAGGCAGTGGCAAGGCAGGGCAAGGCACTGGCAAGGCGAGCCAAGCTCTGCCAAGCTTTTGTATGCTTTTGCGAGGCGTTGCGCGGGGTTCAGTTCTCTACGTGAGTCAATGCAGTCGACTCGATAGAGTGTCGGGCAGGGACATACCGCCGTCGTTCCACCATTACAATTAATTTGCTCTGTCCTAGAAACAAAGTCAGCATGAATGGGATCCTTTTCGATTCTCATGCGAAAATAAATTCGGCTAGCGTGCGGTATGCAATGCAAGCCAAAAAAAAAAGCTCAAGCTGAGAGAAGGCGGAAAAGGAACGAGGCAATGCCTGATGAGACAACAGAAGCACAAACAATTTCGATGGTATACAGTGGGGCAAGATAGCTTCCAACTACAAGATAAGCGCTAAAAGTATCGGGGAATGGATTCCGGGAAGAATTTTGCTCGATGCGACGATCATCGACAAGGCTGACCATAGTACTAGAGAGGAGGCACGGGGGTGCTTCCAAAGAGAGCTGCAACGAAGGATTATGAAAAACGAGGAAAAACGATAACAGGTGAAGCGAAAGGAGGGGAATAAGTGTGTACATAAGTCAAGCCAAGCATTTTGAAGTAGAAGAAGAACAATATTCGCCGAGATATAAAACACGTGCATTGATGGGTGGTCGTGAAGTGCGTGATATATTTTCACACCCTCTCAAAAAACTTGCTCTGCTGGGTAGTAGTGTCAGTCACCGTGGGTGACGATGGCTCTCCGTCGGTCGATAGCCATTCGAGGCGCAGGTCGTTGCCGTCCTCGTGGCAACGAATCTTGGGTAGGTCATGGACCGAGACGTTGCGAAAATCAAGCGAAGGGTGGATCTATGGAGCGACATGTCAGTATCGAATTTAGTGAGTGGGTCTTAGACCAATGACTCACAATCATGTGTCGTTTTAGATTGCTGAACACGCTGCGGGACAAAAGTCGATATTCAGGCTTTGATCGCATCAGGGTCTGCGTTCCGACTGATCAACGTACCTGAACGAACGAGCGCAGCTTGCGACTGGGCAGACGTAGGCTGAGATGACGCGAGACCCAGCGTTAGTCTCTTCACCTTGAAGGTAATGGCTAAAAATCTGCTCACGCTTGGCTCCGGTATGAGTTCGAACGTGGGTATCTCGAGCCGAGGGACGCCCGACTGCAGATGTCAAAGGGCCAACCAAAAGGGTCAGCAAAGAGGGTCGCCCTCGTCTCCTCCGGAACCCAATACTCACATCGCCTACTACATCCCGTGATGGTACAAACATAGACTCGCTTCTCCGCATCCTTGGGTGGGAACGACCTCTTTCTCAACAACCTCACCGGCTTGCCCGTCACAGGCGAGATGCGCTCGCCACGTTCGTTGTGCTTGGGACTTCGTTTGCTCGACCTCGGACGGCGACTGCCTCCCGTCCCAACGCCTCCCTTCCTCGCAGAGTGATGGTACGAATCGGGCGAGGAAGGCGAGTGCGACTCGTGCCCGGCAAAGGGAGAAGGAGGGGACTCGGGATGCATCTCGTTCGAGATCAACGTCTCCGTCCCATCGGGTTGCTGGGGGTGGAAATGGCCGCCGCCGCCGAAGTGTGCCGAGTTGCTGCCGCCTTCAAAGGAGTCAAAGGCGCGATTCGATGGGAGGTAAGGGATGGGCAGAGAGTAATTGGGACCGTTCCTGATCGACATGCTGCGGTTCAACAAGTCGCGTCGAACGTCGTGGTTGATCGTGGGGAGCGAGGCACGACGGTTCTCGCCCGGATTGGTCATCGCAGGTAACGCCGGGAGAGCGAGAGGGAACGAAGGCGGTGCGCTGTTGCTCGAGAACGAGCGGGTCGCCGTCATCGTAGGTCCGGCCGAATGATGTTGGAAATGGTGGTCCTCGAACCGCTTAATCATCGTTGGCGTCGCAGCCGTGTTAGAGCACAGAGTACTCGTACCCGCTGGCGCAGGAGAGGATGTGACGATCAGGCCGAGGACGTTGTTTCGGCCCATCTCCTGAGGAGCGAACAAACTCGCGACCTCGTGCGAATGCGAGAATGAGCGAGGGCGAACGCCGCTGGAAGCAGCGTGCTCAAAGTGCATCCAGCTCGAGGCCGAGGGAGCCGAGAAGGGGCCGAACGACGAGATGTAATGTTCCAGCGGGTCGAAGACGGGTGCGCTTGTTCCATCACCGCCACCGCCGCCGAAGATCGAAGAGGGATTGCCTGCAGCGGGGGCCGCGGCCTCACCCCCGAGTCCAGGAGACGACGTCGACGAGGAGCCGGGCGTTCCTGGGGCTGGTACCGGACCCGCCGCCCCCGACACCGACACCGACGCTGACGAGGCCGCTGCGCCACCACCACCATCACCACCACCGCTGCTACCGCCTTGGGCAAAGAGAGAGTGGTCGAAGGGTGTGAGCACGTGGTCAAGGTATCCTCCTCGATTCGGTGAACCTTGACTCGTCGACGCGGGTGACCACGGCGCGTTGGGAGAAGCGACGCTGCTGGAACCTTGAGGCGACGCCGGATCGCGCTAGCGAGCAAAAGCGCGAGAGAGGGAGCGAAAAAGAGTGCGCGCAAAACGAAAGGAGGTCGTTTTCAAGGGCACGTGCGCGGGGGTCGCCGGAGGGGAGGCCGAACCGAACGGCAGAAACAAAAAGTCCGGATGGTGGAGCGGTCAGAACTAGTGTGAGACCATCGTAACGTGTGGTTCGCACGGCCGGGATCTTGACTTACAAAGGTATCATAGCTCATTAAGGCGTCGCTGGACACTGGCGCACCCGGGGCCTGAAGCTGTCGTGCATCGCCGCAATGTCCTTGGTGTTGGGCCCGAGGATCGGTCAATCGGCTCGAGTTAGCCGTGGTAGCTGTACCGAGCGTTGGGGATCCTTGATCAGATGCGAATTGTTCGCTTGCTGCATGATAGCGATTGCGCGAGGACGGTCCCGAGGCGCCGGCGCCGAGGTAGTTGATGGGAGGGAACCAGCGTTGCTGGGCCAATAACGAGGGATCTTGGTGGTGGAGTTGTTCGCTCGCGCTCTCTTGGTGGCCTACGATCCCTGAAGACGAGACCTCTTGGTGTACCGACGAAGTCACGCCGGTTGAGGCTAGCGTCGGACCCGAGGGGTCACCACCACGGGGTAGAGCACGGAATCGTGACGCCGAAGTGTCGTTTGCAGATATCGTCGGTACCGCCAACGATGTCAAAGTAGTACCCTCTCCACCGCTGACCCATCTTTGGGGCTCCTCCATCGGACTATTGTTGTTGCCAGTTATATTGCTGTTGATTGCGGGCGTGTTGGAGTTCGGGTGTGGCAAAGCTGGCGCCCATGGCATTGCGAATCAGCGCAGCAAAGAAGAGTCGACAAGACTTTCGATGACGAGCAGCGAGCAGCGAGCAGCGAGGGAAGGTAGGCAAATCCAAGCTTAGATCAGGATCGACCGGAAAAAGGGATAAAATGAAGAAGACGGTAGAGAAGCAAAATAAGAAGACGAGGGTGGTGCAAACGACGCGGAGGGTGGATGAAAACCCGTGAAATTGGGGTCGAGGCGTCAACGACGACAGCGCACGAACTGTCCGCTCTCGGCACGGTGATTCCAACGAAAAATCAACGACCCAAAGTGAACAGTGCTGAAGAACGCGAGAAGCAGAAGGGAGAAATCCAAGAGGGAAGCCAGAAATCTGGAATTGGGAGGAGGAGGAAAGTCTCGCCGGGCAAACCCCGCGCACAAGGTCGGCCGCGCGCTCGCCCGTCGTGACGGCATAGTTGAAGTGTCAAGTCCGCACCGACCCAGAATAACCAGGGAGAACCAGCTAAACCGAGTCTCCTCTTCGGGACACACAAGGCCATGCCCAGGCGCGACCCTCATGCCAGAAATCGAGAAAACGGCGCTAGCGGCTTACACAGTCCTGCGTCACACACGGCGTCGATCGCGCCCCTCATCTGCACGTCGTGGAGTTTCTTGAGAGTGCGATATTCAGAGCGCTCGGGACCCGATGCAGAGGGAGCGATTGACAGCCTCGAGGTTCCGGAAACGACAAAGGGGGAAGGGGGTGGGGAGACGGAGATCTTTGTCACCCCTGAATCCCACATTGTTCAAAAACAGGGTGTGGCCCGCGCTTGGGGCCGATGGGGGGGATTTAAGCGCTTCGATCGCTGAAGGACCCACGTCACGGATTTCCCGCAGCAGTTGGAGGGTTGTCCTCGGGCGACGTGCTTTTTTTCGTCCCGGATGAATTGCTTGGCAAGAAGCCATGATGGTGTCTAACGTAGCCGCTGACCACGTGACCTGCTTATGATGCTACATCGCTTGGGAAGCGGTCCGGTCGCCTCTCGGCCGCGGAAGTGAGCCCGTGTCGAGACAGGAGGCACTGCCACTTCCCCGCGGCCGAAGGCGCGGCATCGATGTCACCTGCTCTGGCCCGAATTGAAGCGAGGTGTCGTGGAAGCGCACCGGCTATACAGGAGATATATCCGTTTAAGCTGCAAAGAAGCCCAAGCAACAGTACAAAACTACGACATGCAGCCTGTCGCGACCCGATCGCACGTCCTCGCATCAAGCCCTGGGGGTCGCGAAGCCTATCCGCGCTTGCGCGACGTCGAAAATAGTGTACCAATTCTGCACGAGGCGGGGAGGCGGAGGACAAGGCCGAAAGGCTCGTCAGCGCCAAAGAGTCTCCCTGATAATCCATCGACAATCCTCCATCACCATCGACGGTTTGTTCTTCATTTTCAAACTCACTTTGAGAAAGGTCGAACCGAGGACCCATGAAGTTCCCAGACCCAGATCCTGACCGATGACGGCACCGACGCAGCGCGAAGAAGCGTCCGGCAGGTAGCCCAGGTTGAAGTCGTCGGCTTTGATGAGGAACGGCTGGCTTCGCCTAAAAGAGAAGCCAACGGTCGGCGGACTCGCACAGGGGTAAGTCCAGTGCGAGTCGTCGAGCTTCTGTGAACCGTTGATCTTGGAGTAAAACTCCGTCGCTGCGCTCAAAGGTGCGATAATAAAGGTCGTCCCCGAATCGATGATGAGGTTCACGCGCTTGGCGACCGCGTTCTTGCCGGCGACCGTCGGCGCCGATTCACCGATTTGCCAGTACGTCTTGGAGCTCTGGCCGGGACTGTTGACGGCGGAAAAGTAGGTGACCGGGCCGCCGAACTGCGCTGGGTTCATGCCGCCAAAGCTGATCTCGGACTTGGCCTCCGAGTCTGAGAGCCGGATCGCAAAGACCCCGGAGCGTCCCTTCCCGTTGAGCGTGAAAGGGAACGAAGGCGTCCCCGTCGAACTGAGGGCTGGGAAGGCGAGGCCCATGATCCCGTCCGACTGGAGCCCCTTGATTGTCGAGCTCAGCTGCGTCGCGCCGATAATGCTTTGATTCGTGGTCATACCGCCCGCGGTCACAATGTCTTTGAACCAGGCCCCCTTTGAGAAGGATCCGTCCGCAAAGCGAGACTGGAGCGTCTTGTTCTGATTCACCGCCGTCGCGCTCGCCGAGGGGTCGTACAATTTCTTCGACCCACATTCACTCTCGGCACACCCGACCATCGGCAACGTGAGATCGGTCGAACCCGAGTCAAAGTACATTGAGAACGATTGATTGGCGACGATGATCTGTCCGCTCCACACTATGGGGCCCGCCAATTCCAGGTTAACCCGAGCTCATTTGTCGCTTCGAGACGACTCACCACAATAGGATTCGATTTCGAGTGCCACGAGTCCTCGTTTTTTGCTCCTCTGAGGGTGTGACACCTTTTGCCACCGTTTGTTGACGATGCTGCCGTTCTTGAAGCCGCATCGGAGAACCACTCGCGCGTCAGCGAGCCTTTTCTCCCGAGATACAAACGGCGGTCGATCGGCGGGCGTGACAGTGCCCCAGTACCACGAGGTGCACCAGCGTACTCACTCACCTTGCTGTACTTGAGTGCGGTTTTCGCAGCTTCTTGAGCCAGAGCGGGAATAAACACAGCACCATTCCTTCGTTTCCAGTGTCTCGACTCGTCAAAGTTACGTTTCGTTAGCGGGATGGTCACGTGGGCCGGCGCCTCGGCGTTCGGAGCTCACTCGGCCAAGTCCGACGTGCCGCTAGCGCCGGCAGTGCCAAGTTGACGGTGAGCCAGTACACCCGGTGCAACGAGGAGCGTCAGAAGGGTCAAGATGGAGAGGGTGGGCATCGTCGAGAGGCCGATGTAGGGATATTGGCGGTAGGGGTATGGAAGGTACACTGTGGCGCGAATTTGATGTGAGACACTTTGAAATTGCGCGCCCGTGGGCTCGAACTTCGAGTCGACTCGCCGAGGTGGGCTGGTTGGAGGCAGCTGAGGAGGATCTGCGAGTGAGAGTCCGAGGTGTCGAACGAACGGTGGGGAGCCGGAGAGAGCGGACGGATACAACGAGTGTGGAGGGGTACAAGGCGACGACAAAGATACAAGACGAGTAGCAAGAGACAGAGGTACGACGAGGGTCACTGCTGTGGCAGCGTCACTGTGGATAACGCAGCACTGGCGGCCTGAGCCAATTCGTGGGGGTACGGGGTCTGTTAACTGTTGGCACGTCAGATTGCCTGCCGCTTCCGGAAGTCCTGACTCCTGAACACAACAAGACTTGGCGCTCGCGCTCCAACTTTTTGGGTTGTTGTTGTGAACCCAGTCTGATTAGCCCAGGCCCAGCCTGCTATTTTCACACCATTTTTGTACTAGATCATGGGCCCACTGGTGTAAAAAATTGAGAAATGCCTGACTATAGTGCCTGACTACAAGCGTGCCCGGCCCCGACGCCTGCACCGCAGCCGTTTTCGCAGCCGGCGCAGTCCGCGCGAAGGCGTGCCGGCACAACTTTGGCTGGCGATCTCATGAAGTCTCAACAGCGCGACTTCTCGCACGGTCCCCCCCTGTAAGGGGATGCCTTACAGAACAGCCCCATAAGTAGCCTCTGAGTAGCTAGAACTGTCGAGTTCTAGTTACGACTTGCTTTTAGCCTAGCGGTCAAGGCGACAGATTGTAGGTTATGCACATCAGAGGCGCATACCTTACACCCCACCCTTCCACTTCTGCTTGTCTGGTCGAAACTCGGAACGGCGCCTTGACGAAGGGAGACATAGGAAAGGCTCGCTCTGGACCTTGGTGGTACGCTCGTATCTCAGGATCTCAGGCCTCTCAGGCCCTGCCCAGTTCGCGAAAAACCGCCCCAACAAATACGGCCGCTGAGCGCTGAGCGCTGAGTCGCTGACTCGCGCAGCCCGTCGACAGGGATCGCGTTCGTCTTGGACACGATTGTCCTGAGCGTCGTTTCGCTCGTGCTGCCGCGACTTCTGCACAGGTCGGCCTCCCACCGCTTCTTCAACTCTGAGAACGGGCAAAAAGTACAATGGCAGCTCGATCAGCGGGTGACGACACCAGAGGAGCGGTTGCAGGACTCAACACGGAATATGCTCCTGGTCGCTTCGATGGGTTTGGGGTCGACCGATATGGCTCGGTACCGACACGGACCGGTCGACTTTGTCCGCGCCATCAACCTCGCCTCGAATGGGAGTGCGACCTTGCCTTTCATCGACATGTCATCCCTGCTCCGTTGACTCGAATACCACCTCGACCTGGGGTGTCGGGCAAGCTCCGCCACCACTACCGCGGTCCGGAGAGGCCACTTTACGACCGCTATAAAGACCTCTCTCCGTCTTTTCGACTCCCAACATGCTCGAATGGCAGCGCCTCAACCCGGACTGCGCGATAAAGCTCTACACCGACGAGCAGGTCTTTTGCCTTTGTTCACGACCGTTTCCCGACCGAGACCTTCCCCCAGTCTAAAGTCTTTGACACCTTGCTGCTCGAGATCATCAAGTACGATTGGTTCCGCTACCTCGCCGCCAGACTGTATAGTCTTTTCTACGCAGATGTCCACACCTTACCTTGAGAGTCGTTGAACTGAACTGCTCTCGGCCCCACCGTTTCGGAAAGTGATCGATCGATCTGACCGACCGACTGCTCGTCCCCGATCATGGCCCGACCGCACCCCGGGCTTGGTCGTCGGCGTCGTATGGACGGGCAGACAGACAAACGTGAGGAACTTCCCCTTTGGGCGAAAGTTAGGAATCGCACAGTGGGGTTTCGGAGTGAGTCACCGAGTCACCGCCACCCCGTCTCGATCGAGCCAGCCAAGCAGGTGCTTGTCAACTCGATTCGAGCGTCGAAGCATGAATGGGACGTTTGAGAGGGCAGAAGACTCGAAGATCTCTTGCCGTTCAACGTCGCAGGAGAAGACAAAGGAGTTAGTGTTGGAGTGGTCAGGGCCGTTCAAGGACTGCATCGCAAGGTCAGTGAGGGTTCTCTTCCCGTGCTGATCGCCTGGGTCAGCTGCGTGCCTTATTAATCCATGCCTTCGCGTCACCGCAGGTATTTTCAAACATACTACGGCACTTCTTTGAGCTCTCGGGCGTACACAACCGACGCTATTCGGATAGGAGATGTGTTGCTCTTGGCCCAACTGGTTCCTAGGTTCACCCGTGGTCCGGGCAATAGCATGTGAGTACCATCTTTGTGGAGCTTTGTTTTTCTGCGTGCACATCCTGACTTTCGGGGTTCATAGATCGCACGTGTGTTGGAGCGCTACCCCAAGACTCCCGGGTGACCACATCTTGACAACAGTTCTGGGTCTCAAGCTAGAACAGCTATTTGTGGAGGATGACAAGCGACCGAGAACTTTTCCTCTTTCTGGTTCCCATGACAGTGGCTGTTTTGTGTCCCAAAATGTTTTTGTCTCTCCGCCCTCTGTACTACTTGGAGTTTTCAGCCCGTGTATGCTTCCTCCCCACAGAGTCTGCGTTCGGATTCCGTGACGCACTAGGTTCGGGCGCAGTATGACATGTCGCGAATGAAATGAACTGAATTACTGGGCTTGACCCACTCCGGTAGACCCGCGGAGGTAGTAGGCCCAGCTTTGTGCACCGCGTGCTGAGCACAAGGTGTGTGCACGGACTGCGATCGTGGCCCACAGGTGAGACATTTCGTTTGCTTTGAATGCGCTCATTTGAAGCGCGAAGTACGACGGGGTGATTGCGGAGTCCGAATATTAAAGGACAGAAGAGGGTCGCAGATTTCCGGTGTTAGAGCCCGGATGGTCCTCCTGTCGTTCTGGAACTCGAGCACGGGACTTTGTACTGCGCACGAGTCGGCACCCACTGGCATGGAGTGGGCCAATTTGGAAGTGGCGACGATAGTGGGTGTGTGCTTGTTTCCTGATCGGAGACAGATCCGATAGGATTCGAGACCGAGCCAAGCAACGGCTAGTGACCCTCCTTCGGCAATTGACAATTCTTCTCCGGAGGCCCGGGGCGTAACTTGAAGGCGACGCCCAAGGTCGGAAAGCCGGCCGCGACGAAGACATGGTCCGTGCGCGATGCGCGCTGACGGCCTTCGCAGCCATCATTCGAGCCGCCGCAGCGCTCGAGCGGACCGACGAGCTCGTGACTTGTCGACGGTTACGCTTGGCCTACCGACAACACTCCTCGATCCGTCGTACCCGTCTCGGTAAGTAAAGCAATGTTATATCACCAATCCTGCGTTGCCGCTAGCTAATCTGACCTTATGTAACTCCCTCACCCTCTCTCCCTCGTTCAGATCCGCTCGCACCCCGTGTCGACACGATGAACTCGGATTCGGATTCGGATGCTGGCATCGACATCACCTCGTCCCTGCTAGGGCCGATCAAGCCAAAGAAGAAGCAGCAATCAGATTTGGGCAAAATATCCGGGACCTTGTCCAAGCCTTCGACGTCCAAGGGAGCGAAAGCGAGCGGTGCGAAGGACACGAGCGACGTCTTTGGCGCCCCTATCGACCTGTCCGATGCCGAAGAGGATGCTCTCTTCGCCTCGCTGGCGTCCTTGAACCGATCTCGCAACCTGTCCGAAGGTCAGGCCGTTGTCAACTCGCGCAAAGACCTCAAATCGACCAAAGGTGTCAGCGGAGGAGGATCATTCCAGGCGCTCGGACTGCCGCCGCTGCTCCTCAAGGCGCTCCTGCAGCGTGGTTTCACTACACCGACCCCGATCCAACGCCTCGCTCTCCCCAGCATCCTTGGTTCGGCGGAAACGATCGTCGCGGGCAAGAAGATGTTTGTCGCGCGGGACCATCTGTGTATGGCCCGGACCGGTTCGGGCAAAACGCTGTGCTATCTCTTGCCACTCTTGGCGCAACTGATGACGCATTCGACCTCTTACGGTGCACGAGGGCTCGTCCTGGTCCCGACACGCGAGTTGGCGTTACAGGTACTCAAGGTCGGCAAGGATTTGGCGAGGTCGCTCAAGGGCGACGGCGAGGCTCTGAGGTGGGCGATGGTCGTCGGTGGTGAAGGGATGGAAGAGCAGTTCAACACGATGGCCGGCAACCCTGATGTGTGAGTGATAGCGATTGACACTGGCTGGCTCGTGACCTACTAAAAATCCGATCTCCCTTGCTCGGCTCAGTGTCATCGCCACGCCCGGTCGTTTGCTGCATTTGATCGTCGAAATGTCACTCGACCTCCGCGCCGTGCAGTACTGCGTCTTTGACGAGGCCGATCGTCTCTTTGAGCTCGGGTTTTCCGAGCAACTCCACGAGATTCTGCACCGCATGCCACCAACGCGACAGACGTTGCTCTTCTCCGCGACCTTGCCTTCGACGCTCGTCGGGTTCGCCAAGGCCGGTTTGCAGAACCCCAAACTCATTCGTCTTGACGTCGACAGCAAGATTTCCAAGGATTTGCAGATGGCGTACCTCAGCGTCAAGGGCTCGGAAAAGGAGGCCGTGCTGCTCGGGGTGCTGCGCGAGGTCATTGCCGTGCCGCTCATGACGGACGCGCAACGCGCGGTCAAGGACGACTACATCGAGGATGAGGACGACGACGCCGAGCGCGGTCGCCCGGCGTGGAAGGGCAAGGGGAAAGGGGGCACCCACGCACACGACCGAGGCAAGAAGCGCAAGCGTGGCGATGATGCCGAGATCCCCAACACCGACGGCACAGCCGTCATCGATCCCGCGGCGCGCCAGACCCTCGTCTTTGTCGCGACCAAGCACCACGTCGAGTACATCACCCTCCTCCTGACCGAGGCCGGCTACTCCGTTTCGCCAATCTACGGCTCGATGGACCAGACGGCGCGTCGACTTTCGCTGGCGCGTTTCCGAGCGGGCCGCACTTCGATCCTCGTCGTCACCGATCTCGCGGCGCGTGGTATCGACGTCCCCGGCGTTGAGAACGTCATCAACTACGACTTCCCCAACGGGACGAGGGCGTTTGTCCACCGCGTCGGTCGTACGGCTCGTGCGGGTCGTAAAGGGTGGGCCTTCACGTTCGTCACTACCGCCGAACTGCCTCGGTTGCTCGACCTCGAGCTCTTCCTCTCGCGACCCGTCCGGACGTGTCCTCTAACCCTGGCCGAAGGGGAGGACGTCGACTTTTCGAACCAGATCGTCCTTGGCACGACGCCACGGGCCCTACTCGACCTCGACCTCGAAGCCTTGCGCTCGATGTCGGCTCACAACGGTCAGCTCGAAGTGCTCGGCAACGTCGCTCGCCGTGGCCAGAAAATGTACGAACGCGGACTGTCCAAAGCCTCGGCCGAGTCGTACCGCCGCGCCAAGGATCTGGAACGCAAAGGCTACGGTCTGGCGACAACCTCGGGTGAACAGGCCTCGGTGCACCCCATCTTTGGGGACTACCTCACCCTCTCCGGGACGAACGTTAAGGACGAGCAGAGTCGCGCCGATCTCTTGGCCAAGGTCAACCTGTTCCGACCAAATGAGACGGTCTTTGAGGTCGGCACGAGAGGCAAGACGGTCGCTTCGCAACTGATGAAAGATCGTCGGAAGGCGATGCTCAAATCTGAGCGAGCGCGGGCCTTGCCCGAGGAAGACGGGGAAGAGCGGGAAGAAGAGGATCGAGTCGAGATGCCCGCGGAGGAGGAGGAGGAGGGTGGAGCACCCCCTGCGAAACGGGCCGCGGTCGAGATGGACGATGCCGACGAGGAAGAGTTGGCGCAAGTCTTTGGTGCACCGCGGAAGCGCAAGCCTCAGAGAGGGGCGGGTGCAACCTACCGCGACCCCAATTTCTACCTCGGGTACGAGCAAGAAGGGGCCGACACCGAGCGGGGCTACTCATTGACGAACGGCGAGTCGTTCGTTGCCCAGGCTGCGCAGTCGCAGTACGACGTGTCGGGACGCGGCGATACCGAAGGGACCCCCGCCGACGCGACGTTACAACGCGCCTCGGCCCTCCGCTGGGATCGACGGACCAAGAAATTTGTTCGCGGCGACGGCGTCGGTGCGGACAACAAGAAGCTCGTGCGCTCCGAATCGGGCCAAAAGTTGCCGGCGTCGTTCAAGTCCGGCGTCTTTGACGAATGGAAGCGCAAGCAGCGGATTTCGGTCCCCAAGGTCGGGGAGGCGGAACTACAGGGCAAGACGACGATCGCCCCCGGTGGCGAGAAGAAGTATCGCCACAAGGCTGGGGTACCGAAGACCGACCGCGCGACCGACAAACGCAAGGGCCGGACGGTCGGTAAACCCGGTCGCCTGGGTGGAGCGCCTGGAGGGCTGAAGACAGCGGACGAGATTCGCAAGGAACGCGTTGAGAAGGAGAAGCGGGTCCGTCGGTCGACGCAGCCCGGCAAGAAGGGACGGGGTGGAGCTTCGAGTGGGGGAGGAGGAGGAGGAGGAAGCCGCGGCGGTGGGTTCAGTGGCGGGCGGGGTGGCCGAGGTGGTGGTGGCGGTGGTGGCCGAGGAGGGAGGCGATAGGTCCTCCTTTTCTAGGTCTCCCTTTCCTCTCTGCAATTCAATATGCATTTTGTCCATTCCTCGCTTCCAAAAATGTTAGTCTTCATTGTTGATCGACCGGTTGTCACCTTTTGCAGCTACAAGGCTATGTGGACGGTCAGGGTTCTCGGACTAGTCCTGCTGCAAGCGGACTTTTAGCTGCGCAAGCGATCCCTCAAGAGTAACACTTGGTATTCACAGCGTCACGCGCCTCTGGCCGTAGACACCGAAGGAGGTAGCCACTATGTTCTCCTTTACCAGACATAAAACTGACCACGCAATCAGTCGTAATGGGATCCGTGCTGTAACCGAGAGGTCGACGCTAATCAGCAAGCTATTGTAGAAGTTATTGCTTCTGATAAAGACTCAAAATGACTCTAACAAGACAGACATGCAACTCACGGTGTAGGGCTTCTTGGTATTGCGGATGTACAGAATCAATAACTCGTGAGCACGGCTTTTCAATGGTTATTTAAATACCGACAAATCGCGATTCTCAGGTAGGAAGCGCGCGTAGAACCTCTCTAGGCTTCCGCCAGGTCACTGACCGGAGGTTCTCGGTGCGTGCCCCTTCTCTCTCATGCTGGGTGAGTCCACTGAACGAGATTTTAGACGTGCATTACCAATACTTGATGCTGCTCATCGTCTGTGGACGGCGGCTGCACGCGGTTCTTCTAGCAGACTTCGAATAAGCTCGGATTATTGAGGCAGACAGCGACCAAGAATGGAGCCCGGACAAGAATATTACCGTTCGTGTTCTGTCGGTACTTTGTGAGCGCCGGGTATCATAGCACCGCAGCGACTCGAGCCGCGGGCGAGACGCTTGACAAGGCCCCTTTCTTCTTAGCCGCCCCCTTTTTTTTTGTAGAAGCCGCCCCCCTGTAAGATTTGTACATTGAATTATATTGCTCATGCTGTACAGTTCCCCCCATCGAACGGTATCGAGCTCATAGTCCGGACTTCTTGGCCAAGCGGCACGGCGTTGGACTTCGAATCCAAAGATCGCGGGTTCGACCCCCGCAGAAGTCTTTTTGTTGACCCTTTCCGTTTAGGGCCCTTTCCAGAGGATCCGCGAAAGAGAAAAAGCGGCTTCAAGCGCATTCAGACGCGATCCGCAAGAATGCAGAAAGGCGCTGGAAGTGGGCGAGATACCATTAGTTGCCGCTGACAGCCCCTGACCAGCCTCACCTTGTGCCACGTCGCCAGCATCCTACGTTCTGCGCACTTCCCTGTGTGCCTTTGCTGATAACATGTCATCTACAACAATGACTCAGCTTGACCGACAACAGCCACACCGAGTCAAGGCAAGCAATGGCGCCAAATCGGCCAAGACTTCGTTGAAGGCAGGATTCTTGGCTGTCTGGACTACGTCACGCACAAATCTGTGATGAATTTAGCCTCAAGATCCGACGTAACGGAGAAGGACACGATGCGCTCGGATATCGTGCGTCCCAAAAGCGCCTGGCTTGTTGCATTTCGGACCCCATCACTGCACTCGAGAAACACTGCTCACCACACCGGCGTCTGTGTGGACCACAGTGCGCCATATTTACACCAAGCCGTCACCAGAAATGCCTCACTGCAGTGTTGAAAGCACCGAATCCCTCGGTCGGACTCGTCTCGAACATCGTGATTCTGGGGCTCTTATGCAAGCCAGTTTCGGAGTCTTCACCAATCGCAACAGCCGCCAAGGTCAATCGGACCTTGCAATATCCTTGGCCCCGATTCGGAAGGAAATGCGCATGTTGGCGAGGGCGAGGAGGGGGGAGAAGCAGACGGAGGGAGCCATTTTTTTGTTTTCCACGCAAAATCAACGTCTCTTGAACAGGGGGTTAGACTGGTGCAAAGTCAGGGCCACTGGATCTATGCAGCCCATACATTCACAGAACCACCAAAAGTTGACCCCAAACACCCTTCCTATTCCATAGTTTTGAAGAGTAGGCACAAGGAGAAGAGAGAGGAGAAGACAGCGAGAGAGCCGAAGCCGACGAGCGATCGGGCCGTCCGAGCGGCCGGCCGTCAAAGTCGACGCGACGATAGTACGGGGTCGTCGGAGCGATTTTTCATTTTCTGGCTGTCGGAGAGCGATTCGTGGGTAATTTCATAACCTTCTTTCTCATATTCTCCGGGCTCTTCTCAAAATAGGTACGGATTGACCCCTCAGACACCTTATCCCGATGTACAAATCGGCCTAAAATCGCTCTGAGCTTTTCCGGGACCTCCTCGTCTCGCGCGTTCCTTCTCCTGCCCAACATCATCTTCGGCCTTCACCTTCCTTCCGTTGGGTTTTCACGGTTCTTTTCTCACGAGTACCTCCCCAACCGTGGCCTAGCCGAGCAGGCCCGGAGGATCTTCGCACTCGGTCCGGATACTCACGATGTTTTCAAACTCCAAATTTCCGAAAACGTTACTGAGGTCGGTCCGCACGCGAGCCGCAACCTCGCAGTATTTGCGAGAAGTGTGTTCTCGGCCGAAGGTATCAACGTGGTTGAGGCTTGAAAACTTGTGTCCTCGACTCTCCCTTACCGACAAGTCGCCACTTCGTCAAATGCGGAACTTTTGGAAGTCGCTCGCACCCGAATCAGGAACTTCGTCAGAGAGGTCGCCGTCACCCGACTCGGACTATTTCAGAACGCTGCGACCCTCCCTTCACATATTCTGGATCACATTACTCTTCACGTTGAAAGCCGTCATTTCGATGCAAATGATCGCAGCGCCTTTCTACCCACGAACATTCCACGCACGGACATCGCTTTCGTGACCGTTCTAGTTCCGTGCACGATGGCCGTGGGTACCGCAGTCTGATCGACAAAGAGCACCCGCCGACGATACGACACCTCGTTACCGGTATCGGAGAAGGCAAATACGACTTGCGTCGACACCTCGTTACCGCTTTTAGTCGCCTGACGCAAATCGTGTTCGCTTTCTCCGATTGCATGAACGTGGTGTCGTATCGTCGGCGCATGCTCTTTACTGCGATACCGACAGCCTTTGTGGCACAGAACCAGAACGGTCACGCCGGGAAGCAACGTGCGACCTTGCGTGGAATGTTCGTGGACAGACATCATTTGCATCGAATTGTCGATTTTCAACGTACAGAGCAATGACGTTTCCTGATTACTCGGGTGGGAGCAACTCCCAAAGGGTCCACATTTGACAAAGTGGCGACGCGTCGGTAAGGGAGAGTTGAGGACACAAGCGCTCAACTTGAACGTTGATGCCTCCGGCCGAGAACACAGTCGTGGCTTGCATACGGACCGACCTCAGTAACGTTTTCGGAAATCATGGGGCTTGAAACCATCTTGACTATCCTGACCGAGGCGAAGATCCTCACGGACTGCTCGGCTAGGCCACAGTTGGGAGGTACTCGTGAGAAAAGAACCGTGAAAACCCAGCGGAGGGAAGGTGAACGGCGGGGATGATGTTGGCCAGAGATGCGAATGAGTCGGCGCGCCCGCCGGTACCCCAACAGTCTGTCAACTGAACCACGTGAACACTTTCGTGGTTCAGGATCAGGTATGCGGTCGCGTTCATGACTCCGAAGCCAAGCCGGTAGTCCGCGGTTGGGGTTTCTCCGCAAATTGAGTTGTTATTGTGCAGCAGCTGAAGTATTTTGCCATGAAAACCGGCGAGCTTGACGATGAATGGTAATGCATAGCTGTGACTCTTGTGGTATCCGTCGATTCCATGGAAAGTCCACATCGGCAAACGTTGGACGAGAGCGCAACTCAAGGGGAGCCGTCACCGCATCAAACTTTCGTTTCACCTGGTTTGTCGCCGTGGCTGTAAGAGGTTTCTCCGGAGTCAGTTCTCCCGATCCGTAGCCAAGTCGATGCCGCGCCACGCACTTTGAAGGGAGGCAGACTACACGTACCATTGCGCCTAGAGTGTGAAAACGGTGTGGACCTGAACGAGCGACTTGAGTCTTGTCCTTCTTCTTGGGCTTTCTTTTGATTTTGGCGCTCATCTTCTTCGCTTCGGGAGCATCTTGTCAACTTCGGCCTCGACCTCACCCTTGTCCACTTGCTTCGAGAGAAGCGCACCTATGACCTTGGGTGAGTGCCACTGGACCTTTTCGGGCCGCCACCCTGCTTGCGCCGAGGCGTGTTCGATTGGGCGGGTGTAGCGTTGGCCTCCGCTCAAGAAGGTCGCCGTATTCAGCGGGGCCGTGTGTGAGAGGTTCGACGCGGGGTGACAGGAGGCGCGGGAGCGAGGGACGGAATCGGAGTGATAGCTCGGCTCGATGAAGCGGATGAGATGTCTGCCGGCTACAAAACAATACATGATAGATTTTTCCTAAAGTGAAAGGTGTTTCAGTTGATGCGAGCGCTGACTGAATTCAAGCGAAGTAGATCAAGCGCGCTTCCGCCTCCGTACCGAGGGGCCCCTTGCTGCGGTGGAGCTGCGTACTCGAACGTGAGGTGGTTCGACGTGTTTCATCGCAACTGGACTCATTTTGCCTGCGACAAGGGTATACATAGTATCCATCGAAGTAGCGCATGTCAGCGAGTCTACAAGGTCTCGATTGAATTCGACGTCGCTGAGCGACTCTGCTTGCCTTGGCGGAACTTAGTCGTGGTCGATGAGGCCGATGAGGAGCCAGAGGCAACTTGGGACATCAAATTTCCACCGAGTCACGACTCCGAGTGCTCGAGGTGGAGCTCGGAGTAAAGGTCGAGGGCATAGTCGAGAACGACAAATTGGAGGATGAAGTCGACGTTGAGGAGGAATGTTGATGTCCATGCAAAGTTCGGCGTCGAGGCTGGCCCCGGTTGCGGTGGGTTGACGTTAACTTGAGTCGGGGGTGGCCCGGTGGGCCAGTCGGGGCTATCGGCAAAGGATATCCGGAAGGTCTTCATTCGGAACGTGAGATCTCAGTCACCGACGAGAAAGAGGTAGAAGTAGTGCCGTGCTCGTAGGGTTGACTAGCGAGACGAGATGGGTGGAAGCTCAAGAGGTGCGGCCGCCACGCGACGTCACGGAGATGTTCCTTTCGGCATTTGCTGCAAGGATTGGACGCGCCGACTTTTAGGTTCGCGCGCACGGGCCCTTTCTCCCTAAGCGTGCAGTGAGGCACAAGACGATGAAGCAAATCAAAGGCTGTCGACACCAGGAGGCGCCATTACATCTTGAAATCACCACTGGCACTGTATTACCGTAAGCGAAGATGTTGCAATATTATAAGGAAGAAGGGGGACGCAAAGCTAAGATGACCGACGTCACGCAGCGGTTTTTCGATCCGCCGGGCCAACGTGACTTAACTCCGTTCTGCCTTGGCTACAACACCAGGATGAGGCAAGCACGTCGGCAGGAAACGCCGTATTTATATCTTAGACCCAAGCCAACCACCTGCCTTCCGCCGGACGGAAATCTCGCACAGCTTTGACTCGACTCAGAGGAGCGCATTGCGACGGCACAGATCCGTCGGGCGCGGCAACGTTCCAAACCGAAATCAAGGACCGCACCGAGCGGGACTCGCCGCTGGAATTTGTCTTCTTTAAAAATGGTCATCAGACCTCACGCGCTCGTACTCGAGGTGGAGAAATACACTTAAAAATTACCATTACATACGCGAATTAGTAGGGTTAGCGATGCTGTATACGCTCGTTCTCCATGGTCGATCGAAAACCCCGACTTGTAGCAACGCCTTGTGCCCGATTCAGGGATGACCGGCAAGACGAGAGACAGATACTTGGTATAGTCAACAATACGTGCATAGTCGAGCTCCGACAGCTGAGAGGGTTACAGCATATCAGTCGTCGGCGCTCCATTTTGCGCGTTGCTCGCCTCTCGCTCTCTTTTCTGGAATGCAGTATGCATCCTGACCCGTCTTCGCATTCCAGGAAGATTTCTTCTTTTTACATCGAACCGACTGTCACATTTCCGCGGCTACAATAATTTATGGTGGGAGAGGTTGTTTCCGGCCGGTCCCAAGAGGACGGTTTTGCTACCGCTCAAGCGGCTGTCTTGGCCTTCTTCTCGACCTGTGCCGGGGTCATTCTCCATCTTGAGTCAGTTCAGGAAGCTAACACCAGCTGCAATACGCAACGCACCGGTGCAGATGCTCCGAATCGTTCGGCACGCTTTCTCTTTCGCTCCTCTTCTTGGGCAATCCTGAGGTCGAAAAACGGACCACGGCCAGACTCGATCAGCACGGGCTCCGTTTCTACTGGAGAAACTCAAACTCACTTGGCCGCCAGCTCGGGATCGATCTCCTTCTCCTTCTTTGCAGGGGCAGCGGCTTTTGCGGGTGCAGCTGCGGCCGAGTTGGGTGCACCAGTAGCGGGTTTCGGCGCTTTCGGTTCACGTGCCCTTTTCTCGCCGAGGGGTCGATCCAACGCAGACAGGGACTGACGTGATGGAGCAATCTCAAGTCAGCATGATGATAAGGAACACGAAAAATTCAAATCCCACCACTGACCTTGTCCAACTGGTCTTGCTTCTCCTTTTCCCCCTCCTGCGGCAGTCCGAACCTCTTCGCCCTCTCCTCCTTGGCTTTGACAACTTCATCGACCGCGGCAGCTGCCGTCGCACCGTTACCTACGACACCGAATCGAGCTGCTCGAGCGGCCCGTTTCTCCTGTTCGAGACGGAGACGTTCGGCTTTCTCTTCTGCTGTCGGTTCAGGGACCGCCGGGGTCGCAGCCGGGGCAGGAGCGGCGGGGGTGGCGGATGCGGCATCGGTTGAAGCTGCTTCAGTCGAGGTTGCTACGGGTGCAGATGCATTCTCGGTCGAAGTGGTAGCTTCCGTCGTCGTGGTTGAAGAAGCAGCGGCTTCTGGCTCGGCCGAGGCAGTCGATCCGTCCTCGACGTTGGCTTCCAACAACCTCGCGATCAACTCGTCCTTCTTGCCAACCGTCGATAACGATGCAGCCGTCAAGAGGTCCTGAACGCAAACAAAATGCGAGTCAGCCTCGTGTCGTAGAAGCAGGCGACCGCGTCGAGCAGGACCGGCGGTGGGGCCGGTGTGGGGTCAAGCCACGTGTAAGGGGACATACTGTAGACATACCTTGAGCTTGGGCACAGTCAATGCCTTCAACGAAGTCTCAGTGTGGGGAGCCATGGTCATCAGTCAGTAGGGGTGGGGTGCGAAAGTCGAACTGACACGAGACTCGGCGCCCAGGTCAAGTCGAATCGACGACGCGTGTCGAGCGAGGTCGAGCGTGTCGAACGTGTGTCGCTCGGACCTCGTCTCCCGAAAAAGCAACCATTTCGACTTGGCACAGGGCAGAGATGAAGGACCCAAATTTTCCTAATTGACATAAACAAACAAAGAAACGGGAATATGGATCCTATGCCCTAACCAACGTGAGCGTGATCTTGTCATCACCGACCTCTTGTTCCTCCTCAATGACGACCTCCCGCCCTTGGCCATACTGCGTCTCCCAAGGCCGCGGGCAACACTTCAATACCCGCTTCATCAGATCCTCGCTGCCGTGAATGATGGCCTTGAGCTCGTCGCCGACGCCCTGGGCGAACGAGTAAAATACGTCAATGTCGTCCGTCGCGACGAGTCCGGCCTTTTTCCTCAACCTCTGCACGCGATTGACGACCTCCCTCGCCAGGCCCTCTTGTTCCAACTCGGGGCGACGCGTGACGTCGAGTAGGACGACGACGTCGTTGTTGCTATCGTGGCCGTACTCCTTGTCGTTGTCCTTGGGGAGCGCTTCGACGTCGACGAAGCGTTGCGCGACGAGGTCGCCCTCGACGAGCTCGATGCCCTCGACGTCGAGCTTGCCCGTCTCGAGGTACTTTTTGATCGCCTCGGACGAGACCTTGGGCAAGCCGTTCTTGACCTTGGCCATGTCCTTCCGCAACTTCTTGCCGAGCGTCGCCCATTCGGCCGTCGCGGCGTACTTGATGCCGCAGTCCTGTTCGGAACTCGAAAACACGACGTTGCGCACGTTCAACTCTTGTTCGACGTACGGCAACAGCGACTTGACGTCGGCGAGGTACTCGGCGTCGGGGTGGAAGACGACGAGCTCGTTCAAGGGGAACTTGATGGGCACCGATTCGCGCGCGGGGATCTGCTTGCCCTTGTCCTTGCCTTCCTTGATGGTCGTGAACTGGCCGGGGAGCGAACGACCGCGTTCGCGCACCGTGCGACCGAGGTCGATGACGGCCTGCAGGCGCGAGACCTGCCGCTCGATCGTCGGGTCAAAGTACTCTTGCTTGACCTCGGGGAAGGGCAGGAAGTGCAGCGAACGAATGTCGGCGCCCAAGCCAAGTTTGGCCTGGTCCTGGGTGAAGAATTCCTTGAGACCCTGGTAGATGTTCTCGGTCAAAAAGGGCGTAAAAGCGGACAGGGTGCGCACGAGCGTGAACAGGGTCTCGAACAGGGTTTGCAGCGCGCTCTGCGTGTCCTCGAGACCGTTCTCGCCCTTGAGGCGACGTCGGTTGAAGCGAATGTACCAGTTGGTGAGGTCGTCAATCAAGCTCAGCATCTGCGCGACGACGGTGTACAACCGGTACGCCTCCATCTCGGTCTTGACAAGCTGAATCAACGACTGGCACCGCGCGAGGATCCACCGGTCCATGACATTGCTCGACTGCTTGGCGTGGGGGTCGTACTCGAAAGCGACGTCCTGCTCTTTCTTGAGCAACGCGGCCTGGCCGAGGAAGAAGCGGTACGAGTTGAGCAAGGGCAACAGGACGTGCGAGACGACGTCCTTGACGCCCTCCTCTTTGAACCGCAACGAGTCCCCTCGAACGACGGGCGAGTTGATCAAAAAGAGGCGCAGGGCGTCGGCGCCGTATGTGTCGACGATAAGGCTGGGGTCGGGGTAGTTCTTCAACGACTTGGACATCTTTTTACCGTCGGCGGCGAGGACGTGGCCGCACACGATCAAGTTCTTCCACGGGGCCGTGCCAAAGAGGTGCGTCGAGAGCACGAGCAAGGTGTAGAACCAACCGCGGGTCTGGTCCATGGCCTCGGAGATGAAATCGGCGGGGAACGAGGCCTCAAACTTTTCTTTGTTCTCGAACGGGTAGTGGACCTGCGCGTACGGCATCGATCCGGACTCGAACCAACAGTCAAAGACCTCTTCGACGCGTTTCAACATACCCTTGCCCTTTTTGGAGGGGATCTGGATGTCGTCAATCTTGTCGCGGTGCAGATCGGCGAGGATGCCGCAGCCGGACAGCTCATTCAACTCCTCGATCGAACTAACGCACACGATCTCCTCGTAGTCTTCGCTGGCCCAGAGCGGCAGCGGAGTCCCCCAGTACCGGTTGCGCGAGATGTTCCAATCGCGCGCGTTTTCGAGCCAGCTTTGGAAGCGGTTCTCGCCGACCGAGGCGGGGACCCAGCGCGTCTCTTTGTTGTTGGCGACGAGCTTGTCGGTCGAGTCCTGCACGCGCACGAACCACACGGGGATCGCGCGGTAGATCAACGGGGTGCCCGAGCGCCAGCAGAATGGATACGAGTGCTGCAGCGTCGCCGAGATGATCAACCGGCCCGTCCCTTTCAGGTACTTGATGATGTTCTTGTCGGCGTCCTTGACGTACTGGCCCTGAAAGTCGGGGACCTCGTCGGTGTAGATGCCGGCTTCGTCGATGGGGCAGGGGGGCATCTCCTCCTTGCGCACAATGCCGTCGCGTATGGCGATGCGGTGATCGTCCTCACCGAACGCGGGCGCCTGGTGGACGATACCCGTACCCGAGGTCGAGGTGACGTACGTGTCGGCGATGACCTTGAACGCTTGGTCCTTGTACTTGTCGTAAAAGTAGGTAAAGAGGGGCTCGTACTTGAGCCCGACGAGGTCGCGCCCCTTGTAGTTTTGCAGAACGGTGTACTTCTTCTCCTTCTTGGCCTTGGCCGGGTCCTTGTACAAGGTCGAGAGCAGCTCGTCGCAGAGGATGAATTTGGCGTCGCGTTCGACGTCGTGAATCTTGATGTAGGTCAAGTCGGGGTGGACGCACAGCGCCAAGTTGGTCGGCAGCGTCCACGGGGTCGTCGTCCACGCGAGCAACGAGACTGAAGGGTCCGAGAGCAAAGGGAATGAAACGGTGACTGTTGCAAAGGGGATCGAGTCAGGCCTTTTTTATGTTTCGTTAACAAAAGATCTTCAGTTCGCGCACTCACCCGCCGGATCCTGCACGTCCTTGTAGGCCAGACCGGCCTCAAAATTGGACATGGGGGTCGTGCACCCGGTCGTGTAGGGCATCACCTTCAGGCCGCGATAGACGAGATCCTTGTTCCACAGCTGGCCAAAGACCCACCACACGCTCTCCATGAAGCTCGTGTTGAGCGTCTTGTAGTCGTTGTCAAAGTCGATCCACCGGCCCAACCGCTCGACGGTGCGGCGCCATTCGGACGAATACCGCATCACGATCGAGCGGCACTCGGCGTTGTACTTGTCGATGCCCATCTTCATCACGTCGGCTTTGGAGGTGATGCCGAGCTTTTTGTCAATCTCGTGTTCGACGGGCAGGCCGTGCGTGTCCCAGCCGAACCTCCTCTCGACGTAGAACCCGTTCGAGTGGGCGTAACGCGTCACAATGTCCTGTGATCGACACGTGGCACCCCGAAGATCAGTACGCCAGTATCGTTCATGCTTTGCGCGGTGACCACACCCATCTGTTCACCTTGACTGTGCCCATGAGGATGTGGCCATGATGAGGCAATCCGGTCGCAAAGGGCGGGCCATCGTAGAACGAGTACTGCGGCTTGCCGATCGACTGCTTGACTGATTCTTGGAACGCATCAATCTCCTTCCAGAAGCTCAGGACCTGCGGGGTTTGGGCAGTGAGGCGACCGGATGAGTCATCGGGGACAGTGAGGGATCGACTTGGGTGGGAAAAGGACCGGAAGGCGACCGCTGTCCTGCCCTTTCCCTCAACTCGAGGCTCAACCTGGGGTGCAACGCACGCACCTTCTCTTCCTCTTGAGGAAAGCTAAAGTTGGACGTGAGGTTGTGGGAAGGGAAGACGGCGTCCGGGTTGGTGGCGACCATGCTGTCGGAGTGAAGGGGAGTGCTCCCGCTTTTTGACTCAGCCGAAGGGAGCCGAAGCGGAATAAGGCGAGTTCAAGGGGAGGAGTGTATCTCGTTCTCTTTGACGAGGTAGGTTCTGCAGTGTCAAACGCCGCTGGGTGTGGATGGAGGCGCCAAGTGTGGAAGCGAAAGACAAGTGCAAAGAGTCAAACTCCCAAGTCAACTTGACCTCGAGATCTCTCGCGCGAAATCAGAAATTTGAGCTTGGACCGCTTTAGCTCTCAGGCAAGGCTGCTGGCGCTCGTCGCGGAAACAGCGACAGCTTTTCCTAGCTCGTTGCGAGCATCGTGGTAGTACAAAGGAGGCAAGCCAAACAGAGCCTACAGAATAAGATCAAATAACCCCCGACGGGTCTCGTCCAAAATTACCCCCGGCCATTACGGCCTCGTTTTGAAAGCTTTCTCCAGCTCGTCCTCCGACGCGGTAAATCAGTCCGGAAATCCCTAGCTCATAGGTGACATAAAACCGGCCTCGAAATGGGCAACCGAGAAATAATAAAAATATGCCTCAATTGCAGACGATTGTGAAGTCCATCATGCACAAAAGGACCTTGAATTTGGCGCAGCGAAAAAGCGAAAAGTTGTCGACCAAGTGATGCTGCTAAACAGAAGCAGCATGCAGTCCGTATCTGAAATCTAGCTTATTCCATTTGTCATTCTTCATACAGGTAAGAGATGAAATCGTACGGTCAGAAGCCTGGGCCGATTCGACCCCGCGAAAAGCTTGGCGCTGAGCGGGATCGCGTGGCAACTTCGCGCTGGCAATCAGCCGGTCGATGAGTCTGGTCGCTCCTGGATTTTCTGCAGATAAGTGGTGCCTCCATGTATTCTCGTTCGGCGTCATGTCAAAAGTGTGAGTACTATTGCGTAGATTGTTCACGTCCTCCCCACACTGCAGTCCGCGCGGGGCACCTCCCTTTGATCGCTTCGACGCGCGCCGCCCCTCCGAGCCCCTCCGTGCCGCACAGCTGATCGGTATTCCTCGAAGACGAGGTCAGCTTCCTTTCTTCTGTTGCGCGAAGGAACACGAGCGAAGCCATTGAAATTTCCTGACCAGTTTTATCTTCGTGGTGTGAGCTGGTTCATTGGGGTTAAGTCTCACCACCGACCAGAACTTCTCGACTGATCGACTCGGACTCGGATTTCGTCTGCCACTGATCGTCCTCGAGCTCGCCGTTATTGGCCGAACTTACCGAAAGAAAGCAGCGGCAACTTGTTGAACAGCGGCAGTTGAGCCCGAGCGAGAGGCGAGGCAACTGCGAGGCAAATCAACCGACCGACCGCTTCAAGCTTGATCCCCGACTACAACACACAAAGCACCTACCACTTCGCGACACTTGCCCAGGGTGCTCACGACCATGTCGTTCGGTACGAGGTTGAAGAGTTGGTTCACCAAGGTCAGTTCAAGTGGCAGGCGTTCGATTATGCTCTCTCCGGATGTCGTGGCCATTCGTCGGAGGGGGAAGGGAGGTGGGAGGGGAAAGGCCGAGGCGAGCCTGCGATCAACCGGGGCCAGGAGGATACAACAGCGTGTGTACGCGGGAACTTGTGACTGAAATTTTTCGGATGGCCCATGTATGCTACAGTCGTCTTCTTCTGGTACTGGGTCCAACACAAGGGATGGGAATCCGCAGCTGGCGTCAGGGCCGGCCTCAGCATCCACATCAGCACCAGCAGCAACAGCTGCCGCCGGAGCCGCGACACCGGCACCGTCGTCGGGTCATCGTCGACGAGCGCACAACAACAGCCACAACCAAGGCTTCCCGCAGGACACGCCGAGGAATGTCGTATCGTCGACACCACATCGAGCAGGGAATAGATCGACGCGAACTGGCGATCACGCTACTTCCTCCGCCACGACGACCGTGAATGGGGGCTCTGCTGCTGCTGGCCAGCCGGCGCCGAGGAGGAGACGACGAAGAAGAAGACGGGCGTCCAGTCCCGTCGGACTGCCACTCTACTCGGCCTCACCAGGCGACGATGAGATGTCCTTGTTCAAAGGAGCGGATGTATCGCGCGTCGACCTCAACGACGACGGCGCCTCGGACAACGATCAGAGGGGTCTCGACACCGACGACGATTCCGAGCGAGTCGAAGACTTGGACCCGGGTGGGGCACCGCTCACCGCCGGATCGAGGTCGATGGCCTCGAGCGTCTTCACCGTCCCTTTGGTCGGCGGACGTGCTCGATCAGGTAGTGATGCACCTTCCATCACCTTGTCCTTATTCGAGCCGGGGTTCGGGTCGCCGCTCGAGTATGTTTCGCCACCGGGCTCGGCCTCGGTCTCGACGAGCGATCTGATGAGGGGGCCAGCACCGCCTCCTCTGCCCGGCGCTGTCGCCTCGACCTCGGCTCGACCGATCGTGCACCGTTCGACCCAATCGTCTCCCAGCGCCACACCCCTCCTCAACTCGCCCCACTCCCCCTTCTCGACCTCCCCCGTCTCGACGCGGGCACGTTCCTCGACGCTACGATCCCTGTTCCGGGGTCGTAACGTTAGCTCGTCGAACCTTTCCGACAGCCCTCCGGGCAACAGCTCCATTGCCGTCGGTCGGTCCCCATACGGCCAGGGACCAGGATTCTCCTCTTCTCCCCCATCTACGCGTGCCGCCTCTGGCTCAACGACCTCCATCCGCTCAACCCTTTCCATCTCGGCTCCTCTACAACACACCTTGGTTTCCTCGTCCTTCGTCTTTCCCAAATCGGGCCCAACGGCTTCCCAAATCGCCTTCATCTCAAGTCGTGAAGCTCTCGGCGCCTACGGCTACGGAAGAGGCGCCGAATCCGCTCCTTCAATTGATGATGATCCAGAAAGCATCGGAGGGGCGTTGTCCCCACCCCCACCATTCGAAGATTCACCTCCGCTCTCGGCGTCGTCGTCGTTGAGTCCGACACCCTCCCCCAACGCGATGACGATGACGACGACGATGAACAATGGATCGCTGAGTGCCCCAACTTACCCGCTGGCGGGAATGACGAGGGGGTCCAGAAGCGCTTCCGTTTCGAGTCACATGTCGTCCAGTCCTTTATCGAGGGTGCATACGCAAAGTGGGGACGAGGACGAGGAGGACGAAGATCAAGACGAGGTCGGGGACGACCGAGATGAAGGAGCGGAATTCTCAAGATCTGGAACGGGCGCTTCGACAATGACCGTTCGACCTGGACCTGGGGTCGGTGTTGCAGCGGCAGCGAGGATGAGCGATGATCCGACCCTCGTGATCCGAGGCACCGGTGCGGTCGTGCCGTACAATGATCTGGAAGAGGAAGAGGACGAGACGATCCTGCACCGGGGTGAGGCTTCTATCGCGCCATGGGATCGAACTGTATCTGAAAACACGCCCATGACGACTCCAAGGATCGCTCAACTCGAACCCGAATTCGAATTTGCCAGCGACGAAACCATCGAGACACGATCCGCCTCATTCTCAACTTCCCCACCCAACGGTCCATCCCTTCGCATCGAATGCGCTCCCACCATTCCGAAACCCTCCCCAGCGCACGGTCTAGCACCTCTCGTCTTGTTGAGTACCACCACGCCAATCAGTCCACTGTTCCCTACCACGCCAGGTGGTACGGCGGTGCTATTACCTTCTGAACCGACAACGAGTGTTTGATCGGACGAACTCTGGTAGCTACCCTCGTTTCAACTCTCTCTCTCTCTCTTGTTTAGTGTATAGTCTTTCCTTCGCTTGCATCCTCAGTGCTTTGTTTCCTTCTTTTTCTTTGGTTAGTTCTAGTAAGCAGTCCTTTCCGTAGTAATACCGTACACACACGTTACAAATCTTTCGTTTTCCCAACTGCTCCCTTCAACCTAGTCGAGAGCCACTGTCCCGAATATGTCCTTCGTGGAATCTTATCTTAACGGAGCAACATCCACTCGAACAATTGCACTACATTACTGAAATGATGGAGGAAGAACCCTGGGTCGGCCAGAGTGGTTAGACGTAACCAACGACTTGGTCCAAGATTGTGCGGATCTTGAAGGGGTCGAAAGGTGGGATCGGGGTTGATGATGAAGTTGATTTTGTGGTCGTTGTTGTTGAGGCGTCTTTGCTGGTTTGGGCGGATAAATTGAGGTATTCCTTGAAGACGTTATTGAGGTTTCTATTTGATTGAAGAGAGGAATCGATAATCAATCTGAAGGGATCGCTAGAAAACCTATGCCACACTTCCGCTTCCTGAATGCTCCTCGATGCCGCCGCGCACATCTTCCAAAGTCAATACCCCAGTTCCACACCACACCCATCAACTCACTCAGGTTCTCTAATCACCTCAACCCAATCGTACCGCTCAAACTCATCGGCCAAGTCGGACTGGTGCGAATCCATGAGGGTCGAGTTAGGGATTAGGAAGAGTTTGCGATGAACACTATCTGGGCGGGGTGTTGGTGTCGTGTTGGTATTTATCGGGACGGGTCGAATGAAGGAGAGGATTGAACCTGCGCCTGAGATTTACGGGGTAGCGAAAAAGATGAACAATGTCAGTCCTCCCGCCCGCCCTCCCCACCCCCACCGAGCCCTCCCATTTCTCCCCCACAATCTCACCAGCATGAGCGACCACCCAATCACTTGCCCCGACCTTGCTCTCCAAATCATTTGAAAACCTCAACACCTCCACTTGCAATTCCCTGCCTTGAACAACCAATCGATTAGAGCCTACGACCCAAGCTTCGTCATCAGCTGACGTGGAGCCGGGTTTGGCAGGAGTAGGTAGGTCCGAGTTGCCTATTTGAGCTACGACGGATTCGATCCCGAGGGACGAGAGGGTAGTGAGTACTGAGGTGGATAGGAGGGAGGTGACGAGGGGTGTGAAGGAGGTGGAACCGACTGTTAGGAGGAGCGTACGTGGAGGAGGTGGAGGTGGAGATCGAGGTGGGGGTGCCGTAAAAGTAGAAGGGGTGGGCATAGCAGTGCGAGAAAGAGTTGGGGGCGGAGAAGGGTGTGACAATGTTTTGGCGAGTCGGACCTATCTGATTCTGGTTACAGATGATCAGATGATGGAGGGAGACAGTTACCAAACGGAGAATGAGCTCGAGCGCGGAGCTGGGTTCGACACTCGATCAGACTCGATCACAAAGCCGCCCGGCCAAGCTCGCTGCCGTCCTCCGTCCTCCGCACTTCGCAGCTCGGACTCTGTCGCGGCTAGGCAGTGTTGGCTCTCGCCTTCGCACTTCCTTCACGGCCCCGCCAGCGTTGACCGACCAGAAAAACCCACAAATTGAGGTAGAGCTCAAACCGTGCTTGTCCCAGGATTATCTCGTACGAGCTATTCTATTGCGGCCATCCGATCGCCACCTTCCTCCCTCCATCATGGCAGGCCACAAACCTCGCGCCAAACCGACCGACGACCAGAAACCCCACCGAGGTGGAAATGGACAAGGCGGTCGAAACAAGAAAGGAGGGTTCAAGATCGGTCCCAAGTTGGGTAAAGGGGTTTATCAGGGACATGGTCAGTCGAACACAATTCAGACGGGCAACTGGAGGGTGAATGAGAAGCTGATCGACGATTTATTCCGGGGTTGGATCTTATAGCACAAAAGATCAAACAAACCTTGATCCATAAAGCCAAAATCAAGAAATCCTACGCCAAGGATCTCGCTCAAGCAGGTTATGCATCGGGGAGCAATTCGGCGAGCTTACCTCCCCCACCCCACCAAGCCACTCCCGAGGATCAGGAGGGCGTCGAGAGTTTGGCGGAGAAGGAGAGGAAGAGGAACGAGATGAGGGAGAGAATGAAGGATGATCGGGGGATTGCGGACGAGGATGGGGAGGACGAGGGAGTGAATTCGGAGGAGGAAGAGGAGGGGAGAGGCAGAGGGCGTGGCAAGGGGGTTCCTCAGGCTAGGGTTTGGGGTGCACCGATGAGTGAGGAGAGAAAGGAAGAGTTGAGAAAGGAGGAAGAGGATAGGTTAAAGGCACCGGTGGTTGAGGTTGGGCAAGGGAAGCGGTTCCAGAGGGGGAGGGAAGCTCAAGCGAAGGGAAGAGGCAGAGGAGCAGAATCTTCGGCGTCGACGTCCGCTCCTCCTACCGCACCCACACCGACGAAACCTGCACGACCACTCCCGTTCTTTGCGTTGCCGCCAAAGGAAGAGGAAAAGAAGAAGCGCCCGCGATTGAACGAAGATGAGATTCAGGCGATCAGAAAGAAGAAAGAGGAGGAGAAGAAGAAGTGGAATCAGCGGGGGAGGAATGGGCAACCCAAGTTGGGGGGCAGGGTGGAGCAGTTGCTAGCGAGGATACAGCACGGGATGCAGTAGATGGATCGCGTATATGTAGGCTAGTGTATTATCCCGTGTAATCCCGCAAGTATTAGGTCCTTCCGATCTGGTGTGTCATAGTTGAGCTCGGACCTCTTGCTGTCGATCGCCGATGCGCCGATCGGCTTCGCAGTGGTGCGCCGCTCGTCGACCTCCGCTTCTCTCTCCTTCGACTTGGACCGACTCGAAATGAGCTCCTCTTCAACTTCAAGTGGGAAGCTCCCCTTCGAGCTCGAATCCATCTTGACCTCGTCGGCGACGAATCCATCCCACGCAGTACCGTCTACACCGTCATCGAGCAATGGGACCGTCTCGACGGCATCGGGAGGAATGGACTCGATCGCTGCAAGCTCGGCAAACAAGGGTTGGATCGCGAGCATGTTGGATTCAAAGTAGGTGAATTGATCCAAGGGTGATCACGAAGTGTCCGTTCTTGGCTGATCCGTTCGTCCTGGGTCCGCCTACAGTCCCATCTTTAGCGCCGGTTTCGGATTGATGGTCAGTTCTCAAACGATGCCTCGAGCTCAAGAAAGCTTATCCCCACCTTTTCCTCCACGCTCAGGCCGTCGGTGTAGGTCTAACATTCCTCCGACGCTCCGCCGTGCAAATCGGGACCCTCGCCCAACGTCGTCTACTCGTCTCGCTCGAAATTTCCTCCAAAGACGCCTCCTACCTCTGGTTCCTTCAATGGATGTCCCAACAAGCGGCCAAACAAGCCTCCTTATCCCAGAAACCCCTCCGTCGTATAGGGTGGGATTTGGATGGTTTGGCATCGAGGTTGAAGAGCCATGAGTTGGCGGTCGAGACCAAGTATGAACAGAGGGGGGATGGCAGTTCGTCAGCGGAATTTTCGTTGGTCCCGGGTCCGGGGACACATTATTTTAGGTATCGCAAGGCGTGGTTTCAGGTGAGCGAGAGTAGGAAGTCCATGTATGTGGGCATCGTGTCCAGAACTGACTTAGAGGCCTTCCTCTAAGGTCAAACGCGAACGAGCGACCAACATGCTCGACCTCAATTCTGGCACCCCATGGGAAACCGTCACCCTCACGACCCTATCCCGAGATCGTCAGCTGTTTTCCTCCCTCCTCACCGAAGCGCGATCATTAGCTCAATCGGCACAATTGGGGAGAACGGTGATTTACACGGCTTGGGGAACGGAATGGAGACCTTTTGGAAGGCCGAGGATGAGAAGGGCGTTGGAGAGCGTGGTGTTGGATAAGGGGGTAAAGGAGAGGATTGTCGGGGATGTGGAGGCGTTCATGAAGAGGGGGAGTTGGTATTTTAAACGAGGTGAGTGTACACAAGGGCGCGGCTCGATCCGATCTCACGACCACTGACTCCCACCCCTGATCGAAGTAAAGGCATCCCCTATCGTCGAGGCTACCTCCTCCACGGCCCTCCAGGCTCTGGCAAATCTTCCTTCATCCAAGCCCTCGCCGGATCGCTCGAATACAACATCTGCGTCCTCAACCTCTCCGAGCGCGGTCTAACGGATGACAAGTTGAACCACCTCCTCGCCAACGCTCCCGAACGAAGTCTGGTCCTCTTGGAGGATATCGACGCCGCTTTTTCCTCTCCCACCGCGACGTCGATGACGGGGGAAGGGAACGCTCGTACGCGTTCCACAGAACAAGGTTTCAACGCCAACGTCACTTTTTCGGGCCTCTTGAACGCCTTGGACGGCGTAGCCAGTTCAACCAGTCAAAGGATCCTCTTCCTCACCACGAATCATATCGATCGCCTCGATCCGGCTTTGATCAGACCTGGTCGAGTCGATTTAAAGGTCTACGTCTCGGACGCGACGGGTTGGCAAGTCGGTGAGTTGTATCAAAGGTTTTATTCGAAATCTTCCGAAGATTCGGAAGGCGTGGAGGAGGGGACGTTGAGGGAATGGAAAGAGGAATTGATGAGAAAGGTCGAAAGGGATGTGGAGAACGGTACCAGGGTTTCGATGGCGGCTGTGCAGGGGCACTTTATTAGGAATGGCGCGAGGGGGGCTTTGGACGGGTGGGAAAGGTTGGTCGAGGAGGTGAAGGAGGATAAGGAAGTCAGGCTTAGGTTCGCTAGTAGTTTTTAGGGCGTTGGAAGTTCGAGGGCTGCTTTGCTCGAGAACGGGTCGGGCCAAAGGAGAGATGCGGTAACATCGAGAGAATGGCTAAAAACGATTACAATAGTCGAGAGACACACATGTAGTGGGAACTTCAAGACAGCCTCCCTCACCACCACGACACATTCCCCGCGCCCATCCTGCAAAACCAAATCACTTCCTCCCAGGCTCTTTACGCTCCCCAATCCAACCCCCATCCGCTCCAATCCACGATTTCTTTCACCTTCTACACGGTCTGCACCGACCCATACTCACTCTCGACGCCCGGTTCCATGATCGCGGCGTGGGCGAGGATCAAGACCGAACTCGAACCGACGAGCCAGAAGAACTGTAGGGACGTATATGTGAGGTCAGACTATAATTTCTTTCTTGATGATTGGGGGGTGACATGTGAATGGACTTGCTGTAGCGATCGGGGCGGCGATCCAGAGCTGTTTCGAGAAAAAGGTGGAAAAAGGACATCAGTTTCTGATCTGGAAACTGGGCAGGTACGGGGTTGGCTTCTGGGTGACGTACGATAGGAATGCCAATGATCAAAAGAGCAGCTATTGGTGATGCGGAACAAAGAAACGAGCAAGTCAGTACCGCAGCGCAACATATCGAGTGCATAGCCATGAAACTGGGCCTGCCGAAGGGGGAAGACTGACTGTAGCACGTTTTCGGGGTGATGACCGTCCCCGCGATCTCGACGGGTTCGGTAATGAATCGTGTGATGCCAATGAAGCCCTGGACAGCAGAAAAAGATTCATCAGATCTGTATCATTGGCCCCGGAGTTGATCTGGAGAAGAAAGCCTTACTCCGGCGAGGAACCCGATGGCGATCAAGAGCAACGGGTTGGTCAAGAGCGAGTAGATGGCCAACAAGAGGATCAGGACGATGTAGTTGCCCCTAGAAGTGGGAAAGTCCAGAAGTAGGTCAGCCGCCCGAAGTGAAGCTTCTCAATCTCCGAACGACGCTGTCCCCCAGTTCCCACAACGTACGAAAAGTGTTTGGTGTTGTACGAGATCCTCTGCGACGCGACGCCCATATCCGCCGGTCGATTCACTCGCGAGATGTCAAAGAACTGTGCAGGATTGAAATCAGATGACGGCCGATCAGTTTACGGCTAACGTAGAATGAGTCGATTCACTCGACGAGGCGCGTCGATCGGGCTCACCTCTTGCGGCGGACGCAGCATCGAGAGTCGTTCCTGCTACACGAGAAGCAGAGGTCCGATGGATCAGTCAACATTGCCCCTTATCATCCAGCGCGACTTTATCGACCCAGCGCCAATCCGTGTCATCCTCGCTGCTTCCTGCCCGCCAAGCCACTTTGCGCGCGACCACGTCACGTCCACGCCGGCGCCAACCTTGACTCTGGATTCACTTTGAATTGTTGGATCGCATCCGGTAATCGGTTTATGAGCGCTTGGGGTTCCATCGACGTCATCTTGCGGGTGCGTTCGTTCGTTTGAGGGCTTGGTGTGAGGGTGTGAGGGTGTGAGGGTGTGTGGTGTGGATTTGAAGGTTGTCGAGCTGAGGCTGAGCAGCGGGAACGCGACGCGCGTGCGGGAAGGAGACGAGACCAGCTGCAGGCAGACGAGGCGAGCGTGCCCGCAAGCGCTGAAAGAAAGCGTGGCGGTGTGCAAGTTCAGATGGGGTAATGACCAGTCCTAATGCGAAATGACTCGCCTGGCCGACCACCGGAGGAACCACTCGGCCGAAAGAGTTGCTCAAACAGGAACGATATGCATTACAACAGATGAGCTCTGAGCTTTTGTACCCTTCACCCTTCTTCAGCGAACACCTTATAGACAACCCAAACCCGGTCTCAAACCAGAATCGGCAAGAATGACCCGACGATCAAAAAAGGGCACGAAAAAAGATCCCTGTTCGACACAAAGTAGAATCACTTCGAGTAAGTCATTTGCCCGCGACAGATCAAATACTCCTTGACTGACCTTCGAATAGTAAAACACATCGCACAAGGCACGGGGCGACCTTTGGGCCCCAGAACAACGCACTGCATCTCGACCGACGAACTGGTCGATTCGAACGCGTGCTTGGCGAATGATTCATAGTATTCGACGACCGAGGACGGGTCCATCAACTGTGGAGAGGAGAGCAGACCCCGAAGAACGAGAGGATCAGCGAACTTGCCGAGCCCCCAGTATACACATCGATGCCCTGTCTCCACCCACCTCGAAAATGAATTTGTTCCCGACCAACTCGTTCCTCTGCCACCCCGTCAACAGTCCAAACTCGGTCCCGACCAAACAAATCTCCCCCGTCCTCCTCCAAACGACCGTCGGCGTCCCACTGAAACTGATCAATTTGTTCAATTCAACCAAAGTCCGTTGGAACGTCCTCTCGACGAACGTTTCGTCCTCTTCCGTCAGAGGCATTTGTAAGGCGATCAAGCTCGGTCGGAAGGTAGCCAAGGCGCGGACGATGCGTAGGATGTCGTTCTTCTCGAAACGGTGTTTAAGGTGCTTGACGAGGTAATGGTACGATTGAGCGTACGGATACGGTTTGGTCACGGCTCGATAGGCCTGTTCACCCGTCAACGTCATCACGCTGGGTCGAGCGGAGGGGCCACCGGCATCCGCAGGCGCAGCCGAAGTTGAGGCCGTGGGAACTCCACTTGTCGTCGCACTCGCCGCTGCCGTCGTATTCGGTTCACTGACGACCCCTTGACTGGCGAAAAGTAGATCCCCACCCCCAAACCCACCCGTATTGACATCATTCGAGCTCGACGTCCTCCTTTCGACTTCAGCCCCAACACTGGGGAATAGATCCCTCGCCGTATCTTGTAACCTTGGCGGCGACATGACATTAGGGTTCATCGTCGGTGAAGCCGAATGTTGTGGCCCATCCGTCGTATCGGTCCGATAACCACCAAAGAAGGACGTAACCGGCGTCTCCCCCCCTACGTTCGTCGACGTCGATGCTTGTCCGTTCGTCGAACCACCATGAACACCTTGATCCAAAGGCGACTGCAACAAGATGGACTGGGCACCCGACACACTTCCATCCGGTGCTCTCATACTTTGAAGCCCACCCCCACCCCCACCCCCACCAGCGCCCGCAGCCCCGGGGTTGAAGTTGCTTCCATCGATCGAGAAGCCGTTCCCGTTCAACATGGTGCTCAAGATGGCGTATTCGAGGTTCGCCGCTTCGGAGCCAAATTCGTTCGTAAACGCCGAGGTGTCGTAGAAGGGGAGAGGGTCGAAGCTTAGAGTCGGTTGGGGTGGGTCGGGTTGTGCTTGAGAAATTTCTCGCATCGGCATTTCGGGCGAGTCTGGATGGGATAAACGGGTTGAGCGATATCAGCATTTGCGATGAGTAGACCTATGGATGGAGGAACTCACCTCCTGCAATCCCGGACAATGGCGTGCCATCTTCTCCGCCCGAGAGCATGGGTTCGTGCCCCGGATGCGATTCCGAAGCCTGGAAGAACGGATTCGATTGTTTTCGTTCGAGGACTACAAAGGGGTTGGAGCAGATATCAGCCCATTGTCCGCCCAAGTGATTGCCCGAGTGTACAGGTATCGCTCACGCTCATCGGGCACCTCCTGGAGGTATTTGGCCTTTTTCCTCGTGCCGTCGTGGCATTCGCTCGCTCGATTTTTCTTGACACATCGAGCGCAAGGTCGAGCTGAACAAAAACCACCATCCAGATCAATATTGATGGATCACTGTGAGACACCTCCTGACCAAAGCTGGGACTGACCATCATCGCACGTCAAATGGGCCTTCTGACACGGCGCGCAAGCCCTTCCCGCCTTCTTCTTCTTATCATTCCCATTCTTTCTCGACGTGCCCATCTTTTTCTTTCCCATCGCATTCGTCGTCGTCACGCCTTCGGCAGCCAAAAGGAGGGACGCGGCGGCTCGGTTCGTCTCGTCGTTGTTTTGGGACGATGCCTTGCCTTTGCCTTTGGCCTTGCTGCTCAACGATCTCCCGGCTTTGGCTGCAGGCTTGGACCGGGTCTTGTGATCTGAGGTTGCCGTAGTTGAGGGCGAAATGCCTTGATGATGATAGGCTTGACCTTGAATGCCCGTTGTCGAAGTCGTCGCTACGGAAAGAGGAGAATCGACGTCGTCGTCCTCCATCTGAAACTCCTCCTCCTCCTCCTCTTCGTCCTCCTCCGCTTCTCCTTCCCCATCCTCATTGCTCGACAAGTCCATGACGGAGCCGACGTCCTCCGCAACCGATACGGTCGGGCCGGGTCGTTTCTGACCGATCATCATCAACGAAGGCGTCGTACCTCTCGAAGACGACGAACTCGGCGATGGACGAGGGAGAGAATGGGAAGGGTTGAAGAAGGTGCCCAAAGAGAGCTCGTTGCGAGCACCACCGACCGTGGTCGAGCCTCGAGAGGGGGAGGAGGAAGCGGTGAGGGTGGGGAATGCGGAAGGAAGTGGTGGGGCAGTGAAACCGGACGGGTCGTGCATCGTTCGAAGTTTTGGAGGTGGGGAAGGGGTGTGCCTCGAATTTGCCGAGTCGGTCTGCTCGTCCGTTCGGATGACCCGTACGCCGAATCCGAGTCGGGCAAGGCGATTTCCGTAGAGCCAATCCGAGCCCACGCGACTGGACGACTAGGCGGTCGGTCGGCCAGGGAAAGCCCGCAGCGGCAGCTGACAGCGGTCGAGGCGGGGGGAGGGCGACCCAGGGACTCTCACTGAGTGCGTATTGGATGAAGGAGACTCCTCTTTTCCCCGTCTGCTCCGTCACGCGCAGGGTGTGGTCTGGTGTGGTGTGAGACAAGAGTCGACGCAGGCGTCGGCGCCAGAAAGCCCCCCCGAGCCGCCGCCGCTAATTCTCGCCAATTCGTCAAACAGCGCGCACCCCTGCGTGACTCCCGCGCGTCCAGTGCGCCCGGTCGACGCTTGTGGCCGAGCGAGTGCCTGTAGAGTGGGGCTTGGGGGCCGACTTGATCTAGAACGGGGCAAGCTTTACAACATGCATGGCTTGAGAGGAAAGGATTTGCCAGTGCCAGTGCAAGAAAAGTAGAGAGGCGGAAAAACCGCTAATTTCGTTTTGTTGCTCTTCTCGAATTGCTCTGAGCGAGTTGGCGCTAGAGTTCCAATATTGAGGACAGTTATAATACAAACTCGGTTCGACTTCTACAACGAAGCTTCAGGATAATCAATCCAGAGGAACAATTTAGCACACAACGGCAAGCCCGGCTCATGGGGATACGCATTGAACGGGCAAGGTGAGGCCTCGTCGAAAAGGGGCTAATCACTGCTCGTGGCGTATGGTGAGCGGGGATCGTACCCGGCGCCCAGATTGCTCCACTTCCGCAGGATCGGTCTCATCGGCCTCTTCTCTGAAGTTATACACTTTGCACTCATACCGAATCAAGAGAGGTGATGATCCACTGCATTCTCGTCGATACCAAACTTGGTCCGGCCCCACCGCTGCCGCTACCGCACCTCGATGCCCATCTCCCTCACGACCACTTCAACGACCTTGCTTTGAAGCTCGTTCACCTCCTCGTTCGAGAGCGACCTTTGTTTTGATGAGAAATTTGGGGTCAGGATGACTCATCACTTTTTGGGCTTTCGTCTATAGCAAGTCAAGTTGAACTCCTTTCTCTCACGCGACTCACCTATCCATCGAGCGGTAATTCAACCGATAGCACACGCTCCTTCTCCCCGTCTTGGGATGCACGAACTCGTCGATCTAATAAAAGTAACATCCGATGAAATCAGTCATCAACGAAAGCAGTGCCTTTACAGAACCTGTACCAGAGTCCGCCCCTCGAGAACCTAGGAAGACTCACCAATTGTATCCCTTCGACCCAATCTCCCGCAACGTCCCTGACAATCTCACAAAAATCATTTTCATGCCAGGCCTTGACCCCATCTTCCCTCTTCCCCTCGGTCTGATGAGGAATCCAGAATGAGAAATCCTTGTAACATTCCGGATACTTGGAATAGGGTTTGAAGGTCGTGATGCGGTCGTTTTCGAATTGGGAGAGGAAGCGCTCGTCTTGCGTCCAGAAAAGACGGATGTCGGGGATTGAAAAGAGCACCATGGCGATACGTTCGAGACCGAGGCCAAACGCCCAACCGAGCTTCTCGGGCACGCCTGACCAGGGAAGGAGAGCGAGTAAAGCAATAGTGGTTAAGCGAGTGAGGACAGCGAAGCCCCTGAATGCAAATTCCGATCCTGCAACTGACCCGATCGATCCAAAGCCTGCTGTCGGACGACACCACACCCGAGAATCTCCAACCATTTACCATCGTACAGAACCTCGACCTCATAACTCGGTGCGGTCCAAGGGAACGTCGCCTCGATCCACCTCACTTGCAACGGTTCCTCCTCCCCACCCTTTCTCAGCCCGCCAAACAACGACAGGACCAACGAGTTGAGCGAATTCTTCAAGTGCTCGGACATGATGCGTGCTTCGTCGAGCGTATATTCGGCCTGTTTCGGGTTCGAGGGCGTATCCTCTTTGGTGGGATCGACGATGATGATATTGGACGAAGCGAGGTGTTGTCGCATCGCTTCATTCTCCTTCTCCAAGCGGGGCAACTCGTCCCTGGACGAAAGGATGTTGCACCCTTCGACCTGATGAAAGACGGGGTAATGCGATCGATCGATCTCGTCCCTCCTGTACACATCCGCGGTGAGCAGAAATCTCTGCAACCCTTTTCGAAAGAGTTCGACCTCGTGTGCGGAGGTGTGGGTCCGCAACATGGTGTCCTTGTTGAGGTAGTACGAGTCCGTCAGCGACCGACCGGGATGATCGAGGGGGAAACCGAGGTCGTCAAAATTTTGTCGGACCGACACGATCGGGGACAAGGTGTTGACGGGTTTGAGAGAGCTAAAGTGGGCTTCGATCTTTTGGCGTAGGATTGAGAGGGGATGGTTGGGCACGAGGTGCAGGTTGCGGTCCACTTTGGACAGTATCGTGGGTGTTACATTCGTCCAGTTGTCCGTAGGGTGATCTTTCACCGAGACGTGGACATGAGTTGGCTACGATGGAGTGACTGCAGGTCAGCGGGGATGTGGAGGTGGGGAGAATGGGTGATGGTTGCTCGCTCACGTTGTCCGTCGCGTAGGATCTGACTCGGACTGGGTGACGACATGTCCAGGACAGCGTCCGAGCCAATGGAGAGCAAGTTCCGGATCGTATCCTGACCACGAGCGTCATGGGTGCCGAATGAGGTGAAGGAGAAGGGGAGCGGATGTGGAACGGAGGTCCAGAGTGGCCCTCGTCTCCGCAAGCTCGAAACGACAAGAGGTCCGAGCTCATCGGCTGCGCAATCACGCGATTAGTCTTGAAAAAGCGCATTACGCCCGCGCACAGGCCCGATTCGCGGGGGCGCCATTGCGCGAGCGAAGGGTCACGCAACGCGCCGCTACCAGGGCGCCTGCTTCCTCTCCCTCAACTCTCATCAAGTCGAACCCCCCTAGCTTTCCAACGAAAGCTCGCCATCGTTGCTCAGCAACCACCCTCGCAAGCTACCTACGTTGCTACCTTCATCTGGTGAGCCGGAAAAGGGCCCGCCCGGCCGCCCGCTTGCTGATGGCCTGGACGGCCAAGCTGACGTCCGTGGTTGCGTCGTCTTCCTCGGCGTACAGCCACTCGCAGCCCCCCATTGCGTCCTAGCAAATGGCGAATTCCAGTAATTCAAATCAACAATCGAAGTGAGTGGCCGCATTCGAGACCGTTGGCGGGGTGTTTGTAGTGTCACACGCGACGGACGGTGTTTGCCACCCATGGCCACGGCGGCCTTGGGCCTTGGCCCAATTGGGGGGTTTCCGTGGGCTTCCCCCCAGGCAGGCCTCGATGCGTCTTCGCTGCCTGCGCTGGCGGGCAGCGCGCGCGCCCGAATTCGCCCACGTTCCACAACGCCGACCCTCCTCTCGCGCTGGGCCTGGCTGCGGGTGCGAGGCGCGTGACTCGGTCCCTGCCGGCAGCTTGACTCCCCCGAGACCGACGCCGCGTCCCATCTAGACAAGTGGTTGCTGACTTACTCAACCTACCGCGCTCACTTCTTTTTACAGTATACGCCCCAAGGTTAGCGGCCACCAGGATGGGGCAATCACCAACACTCACCTCCTCGCTACGAGCATGAAGTCGCACGACAAGCTCCACGCCGCCCACGCCACGACCGAAGCCGCTTTCGGACTGGCGGCCAAGGCCCCCTTTTACGCTACCCTGTGTGACCCGCCCCCACAGTGGCCCTGACGTCCTATATGATGAAATGCCTACCGGCTCGTCCGGAGGTGCGCAGGCGTACGTGACAGGTGAGTCAAAGACATCCATGTACAACTGCGCTTTGAGGAGGAACCGCCGCTGACGCGCTCATCTCTCGATCGCGACCTTGGCCAGGTACCCTACGCTCTACTTCTTCTGCATCCACTACTTCCGCATCTTCTATTTCGCCATCAGTCCCCATTACCGCTTTGAAGCTTTCGACCGCCCTCCTCTCCCTTGGATCCCACCAGCCTACCTCGACCCGCCCCCGTAACGATTCGTCGTCGTCGCTCGGCACGCCCTGCTCGTCGGCCAACTCGTCCCCTCCCCCCGCCTACAACTCGATCTATCCTACTTCGTCGTCGCCCCAATCCGCTCGTGCGCCTTCGATCCTCAGCACCAAGTCGACGTCGACCTTCCTGAACCCCCTCCAGGCCGCGCTCAATTCGCCTAGCAAGCCCATCAAGCCCTTGTTGAGCCCGCGTTCGTCGCACGATTCTACCGACTCTCACTCCCTCTCGGTCAACACCGCCACCCGCCCCGCCGCTCGCGTGGTCGACGTTCTGTCGCTCGTGTTCCCGACCTCGTCGCCGGCCCAAACGTTGCCGCACTCGTCGGTCGATCTTAGCGAGTTCTCTTCGGCGTGGAAAGGTGCCGTGTTGGAGAACCCCGACGCCGGCACGAGGACTTTGTACGTCGTCGGTGGCTCGTACCAGGACGTCAACATGCGCGAGAGCGTGTGCGGTGTCTTGGAGAAGGCTGAGGACGAGTTGGCGTGCACCGGCGTTGTCATGTGCCTGGAGAAGAACTCGCCCGATCTCGGCGAGCTGATTCACCAGCTTTTGTACGTTGGTGGCACGATCACCTCGGGCCCGTTCACCGCCAACCCTGCCTACATTCTCGTCGGATTGGACGTTTAAACTCCCTTCCCTCCCTACCTAAGATTCGAGTTCCTCCCCTCCCTCCTCCCTCTGCGACTCCTTCGGGACTTTGTTCGAGTGGCTCCTCCCAAACTTCCAAAGCCGGTCATGATTACTTTTGTCATTGTGTTCCTATCATCCTTTTTTCTTTCACTCATCTCGCACCGAATCAACACATTGTAGAAACTTTTTGATCCCATCCACACCTTTTTTTTTGATCGTTCCACACTTTCTTTCGTCCTCTTTCTGAATTGAACATGCTTTGCGCTTCTTTGTTGGTGTTGACGGAGAGATCGTTCGAGACAAAAGACTGCGTAGATGGTGTTGGCTGGCGTGAAGCGTGGAGAAGTGCGTGACCGAAAGGACCGATGCGAGTTCGTTAGCACAGGTCATTTGAAGCGCGATCCAGACCGGACTAATATCAATTGTGATCGTGCGCTGTCCGCTTTCGCGCCCGGCTGTGGTCTGCTGTGGTGACGTTCGCACTGACTGCTCGATCCCAGACTCATCAGCCGTGGCCCGTCCGATTCAAGTCATCAGCTCAAGTCGGAATCACACCCTCTCTCAATCCGTTCGACCAAGCTCCAGCCCTTACACCCACGACCTCCCCGCCACAGCAGCGCCCCGCCTCTTACTTTGGAACTGATCGGCTTTTGAACCATGTCTCGACAGTCAGTTCTCCCCTTTGCGCACTCGACTGGGTGCTCGGGCATCGGTGCTTGCGGAGCTGTTGGCTGATCACGTCGAGTCTTACCTTTGAACTGACAGCGACCACACGCGTGACCCCTGGTAAGCGTTCAAGGAGATGTACGAGGAGCGTGTGTATGCGATGCCGGATCATTTCGCAAGCGTCCTCCGTCGGCGTGCTGAGCAAGGCGCTGGAGAGCTGTAGAAGGCATGAACGGGGTAGATCTCGATGATTCTGGAACTGATGTTATGGGGTGTGCTTCCTTTCATGGTGCTTCTCACAGTCCTTGGGTCATCCTCAATGACTTTGGTGGTGAGTCGCGCTTGCTCATTGCTCAGAACCTCGTCTCGAACGCTCGTCAAGACCACCGCACACCACACTCGAAATCATACTCACTCTTCCACTCCGTTCCCTCCTAACAGGTGCTTTCGCAATGGGAGCCGTCGGTGGTACAGTCTGGCACGGGATAAAAGGTGCTCGCAACTCGCCCCGAGGCGATCGTCTGATCGGCTCGCTCAGCGCCATCAAAGCCCGTGCACCCGTCGTCGGCGGCAACTTTGGCGTTTGGGGTGGCTTGTTCTCGACGTTCGATTGCGCGGTCAAAGGCTATCGACAGAAGGAGGATCCGTATAATGCCATCATCTCGGGCTTCTTGACCGGTGGAACGTTGGCCGTTCGAAGTGAGTGGATCCTGGAGCTTTGGCCCGACCAAGGTACGTGGAGGATGTGGACTCATGGACGTCGTGCTTTTGATTGACTTGCAGGTGGCCCCAAGGGAATGTTGGGCGGTGCGATCGGTTGTGCGATCCTGTTGGGTGTCTTCGAAGGCGTCGGCGTCTTGGTCGGAAGGTCAGCTTTTCACCGTTCCTCAGATCCGGGATCCGGGATCCGGGAGGCTTTAGCCACGTCCAGATCGACTCCAGGAACTAACGTCTTGGCGCTTTGAATTCATCTCTACAGGTTATTCGCAGAAAACAACAAGCCCATTTCGCCGCTCTTGCCGGAGAACAACTCGCCGCCACCACCGCCACCGGCACTCGTACCCGCTTAAACCACCGGGAGTCGAAAATCACGAATCACGTACTACAGGCCATGCAACCCATCTTGCAGCAGATACAAACCACCGACGCTCTTTCGATGTCGACACCATCACCCACCCACCACCACTCAGGATCTTCCCTTCTCCATTCTTTTTTCTTTTCTTGGATGTATTCTTTCCCCTTTTCTTTTTGTCCTCGTCCCTGCAAAACATAATCGAACACGGCCAACAATAGCTTTCACCCGAGGGCGCTGTACGTCGATCGCTGGATACTTGGGACCGTTCACTGAGAGCCGAGAATGAACAAATTGAAGACGAGAGAGGAGGTGGCAATCAGGAGAGAAGCGTTCGTTCTTCAGGGGCGAGGGCCGATCAGGGAACAACGATCAGGATGTAAGATTTCATGACCATTGCGTTGTCGTACTCCCGTTGGAAACAAATAGGATGTTGTGAATTCGAAAGGACGTTTTTGGGGGTGGTATCGGGGGAGGGCTAGACTACTATAGACCGGTCGCCGGTGGGACGAGTTCGCCGACGGATGATTTTATGCCGAGACTTGCTGCGGTAGATGCAGGCGTGATGCAGGTGTTTGGAGCTGGCAACGGGTTTCATGACCGGAATAATTTCTTTATACCCATCCCAAAATACGAGAGAAGAGGTACCTACAACTGCAGCGAATCACACGTCTACAGCGGGAGCTTCGCTAGCGGCTGATCGGCAACAAGAGACTTAAAACGCTTCAGCCGACGGGCAACTCCAAAGGCCCTAGGAGATCTCCCACAGTTTCCTGACTTGCACTTAATTACCCCGGTGAGATAAGCTACGTCGTGTAGAGACGAATGACGACTCGTGCCTTTCGAGTTACGACCCTCTTATGATTATCGCCTCGTGTCGCCTCGCTCTACTTTCTAACCCACCTCTGCCCCCTCACAAACCTGCGTGCGTGCCACCGCATGTCAATGCGTCGCGCAGTTGCCGCCGTGTGTGAGGTGGGATGAGACACAATAGAAGATCGGCGATAAAGAAAGAAACGGTTCAGAAAGAAACGGTATGGGCAGTGCAACGGGTTCGTCGAGGTCATTTCTTCCCTCTCGTGGTTTGAGCATCATTTTTAGCGCGTCGAGAAGAAGTCGTTGCTTTAGCTTCGCGCCAGCGCGTTGTGCCTTATCTCGGACAACGGGCGCGCCTTCGGACATGAAGCGGGAGTGGTGGTGGGTTGGGTCCGAGCAACGGGGTACCCTCGATTTTTTCGCAGGGTGTTGCAGCGGGGGCTTTCATCTCTCGCTACACAAGCTTGGTTGAAGGGACGTCGATGCTGCATCTGGAAGGAATAATTGCTTTTCTGCCAAAGAGGAGCCAGAGGAGAGAGTCAGACCCCCGAACTCTCCTAATTTCGGAGTTTTTTCAATCGCGCGGTCGCTCGCTCAACCGACCGAGCGACGGTATTTGCGCATGCCACCTGTGCTACGGAGTCGTGGTGCTGAGTCTGAACGGTCTCGGGCTCTGTCTCGAAGAAACTTGACTCTCCTTCGGGAGCGGTGCGCTGTCCCACCTGCGCAACGACTCGCCGAGCCGCAGTCTTCCGACGCCTCATCCCTCTCGGTAATCGGGGACACAGGTCGGACTTGAGCCGTATTTTCTCACGTTTCAACTTTGGTGAGCCCGTGTACAACTATTTACCTTCGGGCGCACGATGTACTCAAAAAATGAAAGCTTCTTCCTTAATCGCTTGTCCACTCTCCATCTCATCGCCAGGCCAAAAAACGATGCGCGGCGGTTGGCAGGCGCGCTGTGACCCTGTCAGCCACGAATCGGGTACCCTTCATTTGGAACCCTCTTTGCCGAGCGAAGCGAATTGAAAAATCGAATTAACAAAGGCCTATCAAACAAGCTCGACTTCGGAGTCGTCTTCAGTTCCCCGCTTGCGGGCCTCGCAGCGTCTACACACTAGTCTTTGAATTTCGAGCCCCTTCACACAAGACCCACAAACTGATCAACAACTGAACAACTCATCGTGGCTCGGATACCCCTCCCCACCCGTCGAACACTAACACCTCGTCTCGACAGAAAATTGACGACACCCCTGTGTCAGTTTTGGATCGATCGGAGCGCAAAGACGAGATCTCAGCCCGGGCCTGCCGCCCTCTGCCGCCTCGGCGCCAGTCGGCGCCGTTCGCCAGAGGCTGGCCGCGTGTTGTCAAGCTCGTTCGAGCCTCTTGCTTCGCTGCTGTCGGCTCGCTGGCCCTAAGACGAACGTCCGGTGCAACGACTTACCCAAGTCATCCACGATTACCACTGCGTGACACCTCACCACTGCGTGACACCGTCATAGAGGAAAGGTGAGTAGATAATGTTTTGGGGTTTGCTAGCCTCTGGTGTGCTGCTGCTAACCGGTTGCTCGGCTCCCAAGGCTCAAGGAACTGGAGCCTATTCGGTCCGAGGCTCGTTGCCCCAAGAGCGTTGACTTACAAAGGACGGGGGTAACTGGCATTGCATCGACCATCGACCCACCAAGGAGGATCCATCGGATCAGATCGGCGGATCCAAGATCCATCGTCACTTAGAGACCGGGGACGGCAACGCAGTGCGATTACCCGGATGTGAGCTTCCCGAAACTCGGACGGGCCGCAAGGCTCCAGCGGGAGGGGAGGGGGGAGCTGGGGGAGGCCCTCTCCTGAGCACTCGTAGCGAGACCGTACACCCCACACCACCACGCGACCTCCGAACGCCTCGCTTCGGGTGTGGAGTATATCTCGGAAGTCGGGACGCTGAACTGTTTCCGTTCACGTTTTTCTCCTGTTGCTACAGAATCGAATCGTTGCAACACCCTTTTGCTGGGACGTGTTGAACCGGGCAATGCCATCTTCCTCCAGCCCGACGAGATCGCGACCGATCAACATGCCGAGCCCCGTTCCGTCGACTTCGGCTGTACCTTACTCGGACTCGATCACGGCTCCTATCGCCCATCTTGGCATCTGCGACGCCAACGGAAACGACGGGGAGGACGAGGAAGAGTACGATCACGATGTGCCGCTCTCCTTTGATTCGAACCAGGACACGATCGCAGCGCGAAGATCACAAGGCTCGGCGGCGAAAGCGAGTCGGCGGTCGGCCATCTCGAGACGGAGACCCAGTCGAGGGACGAGTTCCGAAACGGTCGTTGGGGATGGGGCCATGAGCCCGTCGTCGAAGAAGTCATCGCCGTCCGTCACGCCGGGGTCGAGTCCAACCAGGTATCGCAAGGCCTCGGCGACGATCCAGGCTCTCAAGATCCCCATGCTACAATCCTCTGCGACATCGCATGCTTCGGGGACCGACTCGGAACCTTGTCTCTCGGCCATGACGGCGACGAACAACACCTTTGGGCTCGTCGGGCACCGGCATGGGTCTTCGGTCACGCCGACGACGGCGACATTTCCTCGACTGGACGCCGATACACCGCATGCCTCGTCCGCAAGATCCGGTCCCGACTCTAGTCGGACACCCAAACTTAACGACGACCATAAGCTGGAGAGCGTGAGGCCTGGATTCTGTCCCATCCCGGTGGTGGAGTCGAGCAGGCGGCAGGTCGAGATGCCCGGTGCAGCCTCGTCCGGCGGCTCGGCGAACCGCAAAGACTACGTGCCGACCCTCCCGTCACCGCTGAGCAACTCGTACATTACCTCGGATGACTACTGGAGCTCTGGTGCTGGTTTTGGATTTGACTCGATCTCGCCTCGATTGCAAGGCGACTTTCCATTTCCGTCTTCGAACCCTGGGGCTGGCCCCTATCCGATCAGCATGAGCTCGGCTTCGTCGACGAACGCCATCTCGGCTCCCGCTTCCCCCTTTTCGACGACGTCGTCGCTCCACGATGGTGGGTTGTCCATGTCGCAGTCCCCGCCTATGTCGCTGCCTCGACGCTTGCAGGCTCTGCCTTCCCCACCCATCCGGCCCGATAGTGGCGGACCTCGCGCGAGGGGCCGCGGTCACGCTGTCTCCTTCTATGATCGATCATCGCCTTCGGCATCGATTCCACCGTATCAAACGTCGACTTCGTCGTCGCGCAGCACATCACTCTCACGAGCCAACGAGATGCCCCTGACCCCGCCCGAGTCGGTTTCGGAGAGCGGTCGACACTCCATCTTCAGTTCCACCGATGCCTGGCACGACGTGCTCGGGGTCGCGGCTTCGAGCATGAGCTACGCCAACATGGACTACAGCCTTCCGCAAGGTGATTCCACCGCTGCGGCCACGGAGACCTCGACCAGTTCGAAGCAAGGCGCGGCCGACGATCTCATGTCGTTGCAGGATACAACCACCGCTCCTCGACGACAGAGCATGCCACTGGGGCATCATACCCAGTCGAGGAGCGCTGGGTCTCCGGCCGACGGAGGCAAACGCGTCAACAATCACGATTTGATGGCTGGGTCGGGAGGAGGGCACTTTGGTCCGGCGACGAGGGAACTACTCGCTGCGGCGATAAGTCAGGCCATTGACCGAGTACCGCTCTCGGCAGAGGACGAGGTCGTTCACATGGTCGAGTACGGGGCGATGAACTCGCGCTCGGCTTCATTGTTCCCCGCTGTGATCTCGAATCTGGCCATTCGACACGAGTTGCTGCGCAAGGAGAAGGGACTTGACGTCGGCGGAGAAGATGACGCAGAGGCGCTCTCGTTCCAGATCACCCACGCCGATCGACTAGAAGCCGATTTTCGACCGCTCGCCAAATTGCTCGAGACGTCGTCGGACTCGTACCTCAACGCGAACTGGTTGACCGAGCATCGACCGTCGTTGGAGAACCAGGTATTCTCGTCGTTCGTTACGCGACCGTTCGGATCCAAGGTGATGCCGCGCAAGTCCGTCACCTTTGGATTCTCGGCGATGGCCTTGCATTGGCTCAGCACCGATCGCAAGTATCGTATGGCACCAGCGAGCATCGCCCATGGCGAGCTGATGGCGTTTTTGTCGGCGCGAGCGACGGAGTTCAAGACCGGTGGTTTGCTTGCCCTGGCGTACATCGCTCGATCGGAGGACAAGGCGACGAGCGGGCTCAATCGAGGCCCTTCGGCTGCGGCTCGAATCGGAGGAGGTGGTGGAGGGCTTTCACGACCGACGATTATGTCGGCCAGCTCGGATCCCGAGGGGTTCAACACGGCTCCCGTGTCTTCCTCGCCCGAGTCGTCTCGTCCCTCGTTGCGCCATCGATCAGCGACCACGCCTGTGGTCCCTACCCTACGGAAGGACATTTGGGAGATGTTCACCAGCGTCCTCAGCCTGGCGATCCAACGCCTCGTGTCGACGCAATTGCTCAAACCTGCCGTCGCTCGACAGTTGCTCGCGTTGCCAATTCATCCGCGGACGCCGAGGCAATCCAAGGCCGTGCTCAAGTCGATGCAGCATGCTTGGGACGTCGAGTCGGAAGAGGTCGTCAAGCTGTCCCATCCTGCTTGGGCCGGATTGAAACACGAGACGGTGTCCCCGGCTTCGTACGCCGATCAATCGATTCAGGTAAGAACATCAATCTCCTTTGGGGATACGCCAAAGCTTTGAGCGCTGACGATACGATGTCTTGAACAAACAGTTGCTCAAGGTGTTTTGGGAATCCGAAATCCGGTCGATCATGCGTGAGGCCCTTGGTTCCCGAGCGGCGTGCGAATTCACGCTCGACTGCCTCTGGAATGTCGTCAAAGTGCGTAGAGCTCGTTCTTCTTCAGAGATAAAGGAAGTGGAGCACTGACGAAAGGCTGTATAACCTTCGACTTGCAGGAGAAGCTTGAAGAAGAAGGCCCGCATCCTCTCGAGCTCGAGGTACAGATCATTCTTCTCAGACGCAAACCCGACGCTTGACATGCGGCATCCATAACCAAAAGATGATCCCATCTCTGTTGTTTCTCCGACTTGTGGTACCGTTCCGCCGTCATCGCCTCTTGCTGTTCAGCGCGATATCCTACCGTTGGCCACATCAGCCTCTCACCGACACCTACCCATCGGTGTCAACCAACCTCGAAGGCCATTCGCTTGCCTCGATGAATAGGATCACTTTAATCATAGCGACCACGTTATCACAAGATACATATCGCTATCCCGTACGACAATCCACACCTCTCTTGTTTCGCTCTCTCGCTTCTCGGGAGAGCCTGCCTGTCACCGGTCACCTTGCTTTTCACATCTCTCTTTCACGTTCGTTTTCGCCTAAACGTTTCAGGAAAACGATAGTGTATAACAAATGTATTGCGGTGCTGGTCATGTGTTTGTATCACCTACCTGACGAGGCCTGCTTGCCTACTATGGCGCGGAAGCATAAATCGGCTAGCCCCGGCAAGTCCTCGATTAGGTTCTCATCGGCAGCCCAGTCGAAAGCTTAATTTTGCTCTGGGCAAATCAGTTCTCGGTACATCTTGGTTGATTCACGACCTCTGTCCAAACAAGATGCATCGCCCACTGAAGTTGAAGTTGATGAGACTCTCAGGACACCTGTTTCCTGCCTGATCTTGCTGCCCCCTTCGACACTTTGTAAAGCTGCCAAATCTCGGAGAGCGAGCGAGCGTGGACTTGTGTCCCAGATTGCATTTGGCCTTACGCGGAGTGCGCTTGGGCCCTCCTATGATCAAAGCTCGAGCCGCCGCGTACCGGAGCAAGGTCCTTCATTAGTTAATCCGTGATGTCATTCGTCTTTGTGAGCTTTTGGGTCGGATGAGTTGCCCTTGACATGGCTTTTCAGGAGTTTGCGAACAACGGCGTTCCCCGAGACCACTCTTTTGATCGCACGAGGTCCAAGCGCGAGCTAGTGGTGTCGAAAACGCGAAAACGTCGCCATGACACGGGCGTCGACAAGCAAAGTCCCCAAGTTCTAGTGGCGCAGGGACAATCTGCCGGGGCGCCCCCACGCGTCGCGGATCTATGCTCCGGCTATTTGCCTGCACGGGAGGGTCCTGTGCGGCGGCGGACCGCTCGACACTGATTTGTAGAACTTCCCTTTGTCCCATGTTGCAAAAGCAAGAAACGGAACCTGCACAATGCACATTCATCAAAAATCGTCGCTGTTTGGCGGACATCCGCGATGATGGGTTGGAGTCGTTCCCGAATTACCGACTTAAGCGTCTAACCGCCGCTGAACAATACAATGGTTCAGCTTGGTTCCTAGAGTTTTGAAGCCTGTACATCTTACAGGTCGTGTATAACATACACACGTGACGACCGTTGAGATTTTGTACAAGCTTACAATTATACTGGACCGTCTGGAGCGTCCGGAGCAAGCGCTGCTCGGCGCGTTAAAAGGGGAACCCGAACGGCGAAATCTCAATTACCCCGGGTCTGTAGTTGACTGTGAGGGGCTGGCCATTTATGAGATAGACCCAAGCATGCACATGGGGACAGTACACCACCCATGGAACGACGTACGTGCGTTACCGACCAGACGGGCGGTGGTGGGCTGAGTCGATGATCAGCGTGCCTGCTTGCGCGCGCGTTTGATCGCTCATCGTACACGCGCTTGGCCCGTGTCTGCCCGTGTGGCCCGTCGCCCCACAAGACCACAGAGTCAGACGCTGAGGCTGCCCTCGCCCGTCATGAAAACCCCCGCAGACCCCCGCCAGACAACAGGGCACGCGCTGGCATGGGACTGGCATGGGTAGCAGCCGGCCGGCCGTTCCTCTGTGATCTACCCACAGGCCCCGTCATTCGCCCTCTTTGTCGCACCCATTCCGGGCCGCCCCCTTCTCTGCAACAGCCTATCGTCTTCTACCCTCTCGAACGGCAGGTCCCGACCCTTTCCCAAGCACTCGTTCTCGACCTACCGCCCTGGGAAGCGCGCGCCGACACGCGCACCGAATCGAGCGGCCTTCGACGTTGACCCCCCTCAGCGGGACGCTACTCTTGACCGCCCGGCGCCTGAGCCAGAGCCCAAGATGGGGTGCGGTGGATCGAAAGAGGACTCGTCGGCCAAGCTGCGCAACGAGGCGATCGACGCCCAGTTGAAGAAGGACAGGATGATGATGAGGTACGTCGATCTTCCTACTGCGTCGGTCAGGGGGACCAGGAACGACTTCGGTCTTTGTTCCGTGGGTTGGCCAAGTGGGTGTACGAGCTGTGGTGGTCGTGTTGCGGTCGAGGTGTTCGTGGCGTGGTCGCCCTGTCGTTCCCTCTCTCGGGCGGGGCAAGGCGCGATCAGCCTCCCTTGTCTGCGCCGGCTCGCGCTGGCCCACGCGGAGAATGTGCTCCTCCGTTATGAAGTGCTCGAAACGCACAGCAGCGCCGCCGCCTCCGCCTGGCACACATGGAAGACATCACTTGAAGACTGCGAGACTATCAGTTGACTGACCTTGCACCCACTCTGTCACCGCCCTCCAGGAATGAGATGTGAGTGTTGCCGTCCGCCGCGTGTGCTCAGGCCCCTCCCGGTCGTCGAGCCCGGCGACTGGTTCGGCCCAGCCCTCGATCTTGGCAGTCGCAAGGGGCTACTCCAGCAGCCCGAACTCGCCCGAAGGCGGCTACGGACGGGTCTTGGGACGGCCATTCCCGATTGCTCAACAAACATTGAGGCCTCTGTACTGACCTGTGAGCGAGTCTTCCGACCCACTAGCAAAATGCTGCTGCTCGGTGCAGGCGAATCGGGCAAGTCGACGATCCTCAAGCAGATGAAGCTCATTCACCAGGGAACCTACTCGGACAAGGAGCGGGAGAGTTACAAGGAGATCATTTACAGCAACACGGTTCAGTCGATGCATGTGAGTAGCACCACGATCCACGAGTACCACGCTCCACGGATTCAAGCGTCATACTCTTCCGGAACCTGCGTTGGCTCCACCAGTTGGAACCGTCGATCTCCTGAATCGATGTCTCGTTGCCAGCCCCCGAGTCCCGAGTCCAATTATTTCCATTTATAGCGCATGGTCATCTGACTCGGAACGATTTTGCTCGCGTTTCTCTGTTGCACAGGTCATCTTGGACGCGATGGCCTCGATGGGGATCCCTTTGTCATCATCCTCGAGCGCACGGTACTCGGAGGTGATCATGACGCAACCGCACCAAATCGAGGCCGACTACCTCGACACGGGAGTGACAGAGGCCATTATGGAGCTGTGGAGGGACGCGGGCGTGCAGGAATGCTTTGGGAGGAGTCGGGAGTACCAGTTGAACGATTCGGCTCAATAGTCAGTCTTCCCACACGCCCCGCGGTTTTCTCTTCGAACGCGTCTGTTCGGATACTGACTGTGATGTTTGGGTGTTCAGCTACTTTGATTCAATCGCACGAATAGGGTCGAGAAACTACATGCCTTCGGACCAAGGTAGGTTCAGGCGCAGGTGCATGCCCATCGAAAGAAGATTGGAACTGACCTTGGATGAGCGCGCTTGCTTCGATGCTGTCTCAAGATGTGCTGCGATCCCGTGTCAAGACGACAGGTATTACAGAAACAAACTTTGAGATTGGAGAGCTCAAGTACCGCATGTTCGACGTTGGAGGGCAGCGGTCCGAACGGAAAAAGTGGATCCACTGCTTCGAGAATGTCACCGCGATCGTGTTCCTCGTCGCGATTTCGGAGTACGATCAGATGCTCTATGAAGATGGTGAGTTTTAGCTGCTGTAGTTTGGCTTGTTGTTCAAGGTACTGACATCCTGTGGTTATCGCAGAATCGATCAACCGAATGCAGGAAGCGTTAGTGCTCTTTGACTCGATCTGCAACTCGCGCTGGTTCGTACGGACATCTATCATCCTCTTCTTGAACAAGGTGGGTTTTCGCTCCTCCTCACTCTCGAGCGACTCCCGAATCTCGTCAACTAACAATTCACCCGCTACAAAATAGATCGATCTATTCCGAGAGAAGCTGCCGCGATCGCCGATCGCCAACTTTTTCCCCGACTACACCGGTGGGGCCGACTTGCAAGCTGCGTGCGACTACTTTAGCAGTCGATTCGTCGGCTTGAACCAGAGCTCCGCAAAACAGATTTACGTGAGTACACTCTGTCTTGATCAGTTACCTTGGGTCGGGTGAGCTGACGAGCTTCCACCCATATTCACTCGAAACAGACACATTTCACCTGCGCGACCGACACAAACCAAATCAAGTTCGTGCTCTCGGCCGTGAACGATATCGTCATCCAAGTCAACCTCCGTGACTGTGGTCTGCTATAATGCGCTCCCTCTCAAGCAACCTTATATTCTTCCCTTGTCGTTTTTCTCTTGGGGTTGTTCTTGACACGCTCTCTCTCTGACTCTCTTGCTTCACGAAGTCTTCTTGCTCTTTTATCATAAGCTTTCCTTCCCCATCTTCACCCTGTTCTCGTCTCTCATCACACCTCGTTCATCACCCCAACCCTCACATCGCATGCAGTCGTTCGTCTTGTGTAATCGTAAAATGATATTGCCCTTTCTTTCCACCTCGTTTCAAGTACCCCGAAGCTTTCTCTCATTGGCATGCTCGCTTATATGGCTGGGTTTGTTTGGTCTTGAGACGGTTTTAGTTGTACGTAGTAGTGGGTCGACTAGTTTGTTCTTTTTCGTATTGAAACGGCACTTACTTGAAAATTGAGCACCCCCCGTCTCTGAACCTGTTGTGTCGGGCGCCGGGAGAGAGCAGAGATTGATCACTGATCGTCGAGTTCGCTAAAAGGAGTGAAGGAATGCTTCATTCATTGAGACGGGTATAAGGAAATGCATTGCACAATTCTCAGAAGCGGACAGAAGTATCTCTACTACCGCAACAATTCGAGCAATTCGTCGTGGCCCGCCATCTCGGCGAGTTGGAGCGGCGTGTTCCCGTCTTGGTCCTGAAGGGAGAAAGGTCCGATGAATCGTGCTTCGTGCTTCGTCGAAAAGTCTGGTAGGATTATTGAACTCACAGGTATATTCTTATTCGCCCCATACCGAAGCAAGATCTTGACAAGGTCCAAATGACCTGTGTACAAGTGATCTCAAGATGGTCAGGTCCCCCCCCCCCCATGCAAACCTCCGAGCAATTCTGCTAGCTTCACTCCTACCTCGATCCGTCGCAAGGTGTATCGGTGTGAAACCGTAGGAATCCAGTTCGTCGACGTTGAGGTCTTCTTTGGCTCTTTGTTGGAGATAGGCTTCTAATCTTGTGGCGTCGCCGTCGAGGGCGAGTTCGTGGAGAGGTGATTTAGGGCTGGAAAGAGGAGGAATTTTCAAATCGATGAGATCGTCGCTCGAGGCGGACTCCTTTTACCGATCAGGAAACTGACGCGTCATCATCCTCTTCATGCTCTTGATTCAACATCGTCGATACCTTGACCATCGCACTACCTGCACCCGCACCCGCACCACCCCCTTCCTTCCTCTTCCCCTTCCCCTCACCCGCGCTCACCTCCTCCTCCGGAACGTCCAAACCCTCCCTCTCCAATTCCTCGACCCCTCGTTCAGGTCGCCACCCCAACCTCATCCCTTCCTCAACATAAGCCTCGATCGCATTCGTCCGACTCTCCTCCCCACCCATCGAGAACGCAACCTCGCCTCGACCCAACTCATTCCAAGCGTCCCATTTGGCCCTCGTAGAGAAATCCCAGATTCCGGGACGGGGCGTAGAAGGGTAGGGGGAAGAAGTGGCGATTTTGTAGAGAGCGTAGAGATGGAGTTTGGTACTGTTGGATAGGGTAGGGGGTAAGGACTGGATGTAGGTCGTGCAGGAGGTGAAGGCGGACAGAGAGGAGGAAGAGGGGGAGGTGGCAGTGGTGGAGGTCGTGGAAGGGTTGGAGGTCGTGGAGGTCGTGGCTATGATGCGTTTGATGGACATTGTGTGGAGCCGGATCGGGGTCGTCGTACAGGAGGAGGGGGGTTGTGGGGGCTGTGGCTCGCTTTGAGAGCCCAAGAGTGGTGAAAAGGGAACCCGGCTCACAAGTGGGGGCCCGCTTTCACTGCGAGCGCGTGGTGACAAGCCGCGCAATCGTCTGATTACACACCCCAAAACTCAAAGAAGCTGAATCAACAACAACAAGCGACACACACACGAGATGAGAAAACACATCAGAAGAAAGAAAATCCCAACGCATGCAAACCGCTATACGCCCTTCCCCCACGTCAGGCTACCTCGCCTGGGACGGGCTCCCTTCCAACCTCATCGGGCGATCCAAGATCCACGACCCTCCTCCTCAACCTCACACCTTCCATCTCTCCACTCCCCGTTCCCATCCTCACCTGAGCGGGGTACAAATCACTCGTATCCTCCTCCTCTTCCCCCAATGGTGGCAGTCCGAACAAAGCCCCACCGTTCCGCCCACCTCCTCCTCCTGTCCTCGGAGAACCCGGTAATGAATTCGCTGGAGAGGATAAAGGCGTGGAAGAGGAGATAGGTACGTGGCAGCATGGACAGAATGTTTGGTGGTGGAACCATTGGGTCAGACAACCGGCATGGTCTGCGGCGAAAATATTTCGAGGGGTGAATTAATTCCTTCGAGCGGCATGTTCGGAGCAGCTCGTTCCCGAACTCACATTTATGCCCACATGGAAGCCTACACTTGGCTCTGACGGTCATCATAGGACCTCTCGTGACCATGTGATCGTCATTCCTTCCCCCACTTGTCGTAGACTCAGCCTTGGGATCAACGCCGTCCTCGACGGAAACCCCTTCGAAACAAATCGTGCAAACCCATTCGGAATCGTCTGGTCCTTCCAATGAGGTCTTGTTCGTGGAAGTGGGAGACGTGTCCATTTCCTCGGGAAACAATTTGAACACCGTGAAAAGACATTCGATCGTTCTCAAGAGCGTCATCCTCGCTTGAACGATAGCGTGTACCCTCCCCCTGGCCGTATGGAACAGCAGATGCGGTGGAACCGTGAGAGGGGAGATCGTGGGGAGGAGGAGCCCACACCGAAGAAGTTGGAGGAGGGTGATGAGAGATAGTGTCACATCGACGAAGAGGGAGATGAGCCATGAGCTGTCGAGTTGGAGTTGGGGCGGTAGATGCTGTGGTTTGCGCTGGGAAGAATCGGAAGAGGGGTTGATGCGGATGGGAGGGTATAGGGATGCGGGGGGTGGGAGGGTGGAGGGAAGTATCGAGGTTGGAATGAGATGTTTGAGCGGTTGTAAGAGACAGAGCATCAAGCCGCATGCCTGTAATGGTAACCAAAAATATTAGGAAAAGAGTCCACTCGATTGCAGAACTCTTGCGACTCACCTCAAGCAGTACAAGATCCCTCAAAGGCCCCTTGCTGACCCCCTCATGAACCTCAACGACGGCCGGGAGCACCCACTGCGCGAACGGTACATCATCCCAGCCTCCTCTCTTTGCATTCCTCGGACCCCACTGTCCCTCTCGAATCACTGCCGTCCCACCAACCAACAACAACCCCAACACGAGAATGGACTTCCAGAACCTGCTCCAGGTCGCTTCGAGTCTCCACCTATATCGACTCATGCGCTTGGAGAAGGAATTCGCCGCGCTGGGGAAAGGCGGTGGCATCGGATTCGCCAAGGTCGTTCGAATGATCGAATCCTCAACGATGAGCGCGACCAATTGACCGACCGACAAGGCGTGGATGATGAGCACGAAGAGTTTGAAAGGTGAGAGGGTGATGCGGAATGAAAGGAATTGCGAGAGGAGCCACAGTCCGAATTCATGGACGGCGTCGGCGAACTCGGAGGAAAGTTCGGCGGAACGGGCTGAGAAGGACGGGTGCTCGCGTTCGACGCCGGGGCACATGGCTCGACCTCGATAGTCGATGGGACATTCGGACTCGTCCATGGTCGATGCGGGTGAGGAAGAAGACGATCGGCCAGGTACGGATGTCAAGGCAGAATCTTCGGCGCGCGTCGCAGCCGGTGTGGATAAATCCGACGGTGGGGGAGAAGACAAGGATGTGCTCTCGGTCGCTTCTTGAAGCATGGAGTTCGATTCCCTGAAGTTGATGGGCAACGTGTGTCTGTCCGCTTCGTCATGAGGTAAATCGCGGATCGAGGGGGGCGAGGCCGAAGGCTCGTGGGGCGGCACGTGATCATGCCGTCGAGGCTCGAAGCGACCTGCCACGGGTGTGAGTGGGTAACGATCCACTTGAACGCTGCTCGAACTGACGATCGCTGAGGTTGCATGGTCAAGGGCATCCACAGAAGCCGAGAGGCTGGAGCCCAGCAGCTTCGTATAGGGCGCCGACTGATCTGAGCCTGGAGCGGCCGGTATGAGGAGGTAGACGAGGAGTATGAGCACGACTTTGTGTCGATACTGCACTTTCCAGGTGTCCAGTGTCTGTAGATTGATGGTCTCAAGGTCAGCTCCTATGCACTGCACCGTAACTGGCTTCCGGGTTCGACTTGGTGGAATGAGAAGTGACCTAGTCGGACAGACACCCACCAAGCCCGGTCCCGGCCGTCCGAGGGAGTCACCCGTCATCTCGAACAGCCAAGGCCGATCCCCGCAAGCATACGCTCCTGATGCCTGGAGCAGGGCTGGTATGAGGGACTAGTGGGGATTACTGTCACGACGAGATGCCGAGCTCGACAAGGACGTCTAGGCGTAATCGAGCACCCATTGTGCGGTGATTGAACACCCATCTTTGTGTTCGGGAACGCTCGGCGCTCAGTCGAGAGAGACAGCCGGCGATCGAACCAGAACGAACCAGTCCGCAGCTTCAAAGAAGAATGACTCGCCTCTGGATTGGCAAGCGAAGACCACATGGTTGTGCTTTGTGCTTATTTGCTTCTTCGACCACGAGATTCACGCACGCAGCCGAGGCTGGTGATGTGGCGACGGTGCGAGCGATGGGAACGGAGGTGGCGCACGACGACGACGGAGGCGTCAAACCTCGGACTCCCGGAGTCATCATCGAGTTAGCGCGAATCTTGGAGCCGATGAACGGAAAAGGGAGTCGCCGAGTCCCTTTTTTGTCATGTTGGACCTGGGTCCGGCCAGTTCACGCTCGGAGGTTATTCTTGCCTTTGCAGCTTCATACAGTAGGAACGGACGGACCGCCGGCTCATACACTCCTCGGTCGGACTCGGAGGAAGTGAATATTTCGAGTCCGAAAACCTTTCGCTGGCCATCCCAGCGGAGGAAGCAACACATCAGCGCTTGGGGATCCAGAGGTCATATCACTGCACCTGTCCTCGATGCAGAGGGTTGCACACATCTCGAGTCCACGCGTTGCCCAACACTGCCAGACAGTCGCTGGGAATCCTGAAGGGTCCGTGCGGGCACGTTCAAAAGGCGCAGGCTACTGGTACGCTGGTCCCTCGCCCGCTCGCCGCGTCGTTGGCCCTCTCCCCACGCACGCGTCATCGCCCCCGTCCCCACCGAGTAGACGACCCTAAACACCTCCTCCTCGATTCTGTTCCTACCTCTCCCCCCCCCCATCTCTACCCCCGAGATGCCCTCCCTCTTCCCTGCCCTTCTTCACGCGACGCATGCGCACCAACAGGCGTCGTCATCACCCCACCCTGCCGCTCCCACCCACGCCTCGACAACAGCCACAGCCGCCGCCGCCGCCGCCAAGCACCGCGGTGTGTCGTCCTACTTCATCAACAAGATCGAGACGGCCGAGTTGTTGATCAACTCGAAGACGCAGAACTTGAGGAGGCTGGAGGCGCAGAGGAACACGTTGAATGCGAGGGGTCAGTGAAGCCCGTCTGACGATCCCGAGATGGCCGGGGAGGGTGCTATACAGGCAGTGTGACCAGAAGCTAATCGGTGTGCGTTTCCTCCGCAGTTCGACTACTGAGGGAAGAGCTGCAGCTGCTGCAAGAACCGGGGTCGTACGTCGGCGAGGTCGTCAAGGTGATGGGCAAGAAGAAGGTGCTCGTCAAGGTACAGCCCGAGGGCAAATATGGTCAGTGCGCCGGACGAGGTGCATTGCATTCCATCCTCGTGTACTGAACACCTGCGTCTTTGCCCTCCATCGACCAGTGGTCGATTTTGCCCCGTCGATCCAACTGTCCCAGTTGACGCCCAACTTGCGCGTCGCGCTCAGGTCCGATTCTTGTAAGTGGACCGTACCCTTTCACCAGCTGTCAGATGTCCGTCAGCTCAATTCGTCGTATTACTCTCCGCAGACCAACTGCACACGATCTTGCCGACCAAGCAAGACCCTCTCGTCGCGCTCATGATGGTCGAAAAGGTGCCCGACTCGACCTACGAAATGGTCGGTGGTCTCGACCAGCAGATCAAGGAGATCAAAGAAGTGATCGAGCTACCCGTCAAGCACCCCGAGCTGTTCGACGCCTTGGGAATTGCCCAACCCAAAGGTGTGCTCCTGTACGGCCCTCCGGGAACAGGCAAGACCTTGCTCGCGCGTGCCGTGGCCCATCACACGGACTGCAAGTTCATTCGCGTTTCCGGATCCGAGTTGGTGCAAAAGTACATTGGTGAAGGTTCGAGGATGGTCAGGGAGTTGTTCGTGATGGCGAGGGAACATGCGCCTTCGATCATCTTTATGGATGAGATTGATTCGATCGGGTCCAGTCGTGGGGAGTCGGGGAGTGGGGGAGGCGATTCTGAAGTGCAGAGGACCATGCTGGAGTTGCTGAACCAACTGGATGGGTTCGAGGCGACCAAGAATATCAAGGCGCGTTGATGTGTGTTTGGGGAGATGAAGCAGTACGGGCAGCTGATCAAGGATGTGGTTTGAGCAGGTCATCATGGCCACGAACCGAATCGATATCCTCGACTCGGCTTTGCTGCGACCTGGTCGCATTGACAGGAAGATCGAGTTCCCGCCACCAGGGTGAGTGATCGGCTTGCTTTCCCGTTGCTTGGGCGAAGAGTCTGACTTTCGTGCTTCCATCCCTACAGCCCCGAAGCTCGCGTTTCCATTTTGAGGATCCATTCGCGGAAGGTGCGCATGCATATGCAATGCCTGTGCTGACTCACCAAGTGGGGGCTAATCATCATATCCTCTGGCTGCAGATGTCGCTGCAACGCGGGATCAACCTACGCGCATTGGCGGAAAAGATGGGCAACTGCTCCGGCGCCGAAGTGCGAGGTATCTGTACAGAAGCCGGTCAGTTCTGCTCCTTCCTTATTCCGTTCTATCCACGAATCGGTCTTCTGACCGATGTTTAATTTCGAACTGTTAGGGATGTACGCCCTGCGTGAACGTCGCCAACACGTGACGCAAGAAGATTTCGAAATGTCGATCGCCAAGGTGTTGCGCAAGGCCGGCGACGCGGCCAACACGTCATCCAACAAGCTCTTCAATTAGGCAAGGGACTTTTGTTTGTGTAATTCTGTTTGGCGAACGAACGTCGATGATCATTATGAGATTTTGAGAGTGTAAATGGGCCAGGCTGGGCTCATGGCCCGGGACCCGGGTACGACATCGGCTCCTTGCACGGCTGGCTTGTGCCGGAGGGTTCGTCTTGCAAAATCCTACTCGACGAAATGAAAACGGGAAAACGGAAGGGAGATAGAGTCTAGCCCCTCGACCTTTTCGGTGATGAGCTGCACGTGATCAAATGCTCTACTTGGGATGAGGCATGCGGTTGTCGTCCCACTCGATTTGTGCAGGAAAGACTTGCAGTGAGCCAAACTATTTTGCCGGAAAATGGGGTTCTGAAGGTTCCTCAATATGCGACGTATCGTCTTACTTAGGGGTGGCACGGTCGAAATGGATCTTGATTAAATTTGCTTTGATCAGCTTGGATCGGCGATCTGCTGTGAGCGAACGCGGGGGCTCTCTTTCCCTTCGGCCTCGTCGTTTGATCAACGCGTTGCGGGCGTCGTTCTTCCCACGATGGCACCACCACGCACTTCAAATGTTTCCCAAGACCCGCCATCAGTCCCGCCATCAGTAGATATCTCGAGCTCGTCCTCCGCGTCCAGCTCGTGCACGACCTCCCCGCTCCCGCTTCTCTTCCCGAGCACGTCCCTCGCAACGCTCTCCACACCGACCTACGACATACCCATCGCCGCCTGCGCACCCCTAGACAGCCCCATCCTCAGCACCTCATCCAACATCCACCCGCTCACTTCATCCGACACCGACGCCGTTTATTCCCCCCACGAACTCTCGCAATCGCTTCAACGAAACCCCGTCGAACACGTACGCGAGATCGCTTTGGGGCGGCTGTCCGATCAGACTTATGCGACGCTATTACCGGGTTGGAGGGATCGTTTGAGGAAGGTGTTGGTGAGCAACTTGCAGAGGGAGATGGGGACGTTGCTTTGGATACAGGTACGTACACTCGTCACCCTTGCGAGAGTTCCCTCCAAGGTGGGGAAGGAAACGGAGTTGACTGATCGATCGATCGATTACACGCTCTGATTGGTGATGCGACGACGAACAGGTGAGCTTGAGAACGCCAGCGAGGGATGCTTATTTCGTCAAGACGAGTCTGTTGGGCACCCATGCGTTCTTTATGATTTGTGTGCCGATGCCGTTCTGGTTCGGCCATGGAAGTGTGGGCAGAGGGTCAGTTCGCATGTTTCAAGGTTTTTCGGGGGGTGAAACTCACCCCAAACTGATCACTTCACCGCGTTCTTCAGGTTACTCTATGTTTTGGCCGCAGGAGGATACACCACCTCGGTATTAAAGGATCTACTCTGCGTCCCAAGACCGTATTCCCCACCACTTGTGAGGTTATCCGTCGGGACCCACGCGCTGGAATACGGGTTCCCTTCGACCCATTCGACGTGAGTCGATCGGTGTCAGGAGAACAGGCAGCCTCAGTTTTTGGAAAGAGGCTCATTTTATTTTATTTTTCCTTCGATAAATCGCAGGACGACGGTCTCGATGGCGTTGTATTTTGCGGGGTTGCTGTGGCATTCCGGGTTCGAAAATTCGTTGGTCAATTTGGTCGGTTATATCGTGCTGGCGATTATTTGCGTTAGTGTGGTGTTTGGCAGGCTTTATACGGGAATGGTGAGTGGTTTGTCCCCTGCTCTATCATCTGGCTGTTACATCGGAGCTGACCCCACCCTTCATCCCTCAGCACTCCATTACAGATGTCATCGTCGGGACCCTCATGGGCGTCCTCTGCTGGCTCTGGTACTACGTATACGAAACCTCCGTCGAGCACTTTACGCTCCGCACCGGACCCCTCGTCCCCCTCATCATGATCCCCTCGACCCTACTCCTCGTCTTCGTCCACCCCGCCCCGGCGGAAGATTGTCCCTGTTTCGAAGACGCCGTCGCGTTCGTTAGTGTTGCGGCGGGGATCGTGCTGGGGCATCATTTTCATCCGAGGGAATTGTTGGGTGAGACAGTGCGATGGGGTGTGGGGAAAGAAATGGGGGAGAGCGTTCTACAACTCGTTTGGATGGGGACGGTCGTGCTTAAATTGGTTTTGGGTCAGTTCCTCTGGGTCGGCGTTGATGTCATCGGAGGGAATGACTGCTGATCCCTATTCAATCGTGTTGTACTCAGGCATCTTGACCATCTTCACATGGCGTCTGGTCGCCAAGGAAGTGTGTCATGCGACCCTGCCCCCGTTGTTCAGGTTCTTCTCGTCGTTCTTGTTGCCTCGAAGGCATTATCACGATGCGACAGAGTGTAAGTCCTCCCATGGTGCGATTCGAAGCCTCCGCCTATCCTGACGGACTCGATATTTCGCTCTTGTCCTCAGACGACGCCTATCAGAAAACCGAAGGCCTCCATCCCGTCCCGTCCATCATCGACTTGCCCTCCCTCAACGACCTCGACCCTACCACACCTCTCACCTCATCTTACACCGCCGCCTCGTCACCCTCTTTCAAAAACCAACTCCGCAGTCGATCAGGCCATTCCTCCCCTTCGCCTTCCGTCACGGTGGACGAGACTGATCCTTGTAGGTTGTTGAGACAAAAGCAGAAGAGGGAGATTGAGGGCGAGAATGGGGACGGGGATGGGGGTGGGGATAGGTACGAGAAATTGAGTCAAAGCACGAGTAAGAAGGATGGCGATCGCGTGAGGAGGGACGCGGATGTATTGACCAAGGTGTTTGTGGTGAGTACTCTCAAAGTAATTACAGGATGGAGATCTATGTACTGATTGTGGTGGATGGTCTGACAGTATTCGGGTATCGGCTGGTTCGCGACGATTGGGATCCCGTGGGCGTTCGAGCGTGTCGGGTTGACGATTCCTCCGCCGCTTGCATAATGTTGACTCGGGGTAGGTCTGGCATCACGCCTTGGCTTTCGTTACTACTTTAGAATTGTTGTGCCATATTTTACGCTTTACGATTTCATAAGTGATCTCCGAACCGAATGTTCGATCAGCTTTTTTTGAAAACTTCTTCCGACGGGTACCGGCTAACAGGAAGAGGAACATCATTTGCCGCGAGGGTGGTCGGTCAACAGTTGAGGCTACCCTACGGAACTGACTTGGAACTTGGGGGCTTCAGTTTGCTTGGCACTGGAGTTTTTATCCGGCCCGATCTATTTGAACGATGTTGAATATTTTGGCTTTCGGTCTATGCGCACGCGCCGCCCAGTTATTAGTCTCTCCTCCGCCAGCCAAGCCAAGCGCCTAATATTTGATGAGAGCTTTTTTGCGCTAGCGCGCTTTGCTCCGATCCCCTTCGATCCCGCTCCGTCCACTCCCCACTCTGCAGATTCGAAACCATGTCCACGCCTACGCCCCCCGACTCATCTAGACCGTCTACTCGTCGTTCGAGTAGGTCTGAGGTGAGTACCGTACCCCCTGATCGAACGAAGATCAGGGCTGAGTGTGTCCACTCCCGGGAGTTTTGATCGATCTGACTCGCTCCTCCTCCCTCCGCTTGGTCGCACCCTGACCTGTTGCCCCACCCGATTCGTATCGGTGCAGATCCCCAGTGGCGCTACCTTCCGCAGGGTAAGCTCCTACCCAAATTACCCTCACCCCACACGAACCAAGAAGCACGCAATTGATAGCCCCTGCTCTGTGTGTGTGTGACAGGCGTCGACGACCGCGCGAGGTTCCATCTCCGGTACGGGACGTCGTAGCGAGCTTTTATCGCACTTCCATCGTACCCATGAGGAGAACAATCCCCCTTCGGCTTCAAAGAAGGTCAGTTGTGAATCAAAAGTCTCCCCCTACTTCGGGTGGGGGGACGCGCGGCGTGGCGGGGCTTTCGTAGAGAGCGCGGGCGGAGTAATCGCGCAGAGCGGATGTGGGGCGTCATCGTCATCGAGTCGGCGGGTGAGGGCGACCGAGGACAGGGCCGGCGAGCACGAAGCGAAGCGAAAGAGGAGATGGGGCACATCGTATACGGCACTGAATACGGGGATGCGTAAGGCTGATCAGACGGTGTACTTGTTGTGTGGATGGTAGGATATGGCCGAGTGGTTGAGCAAGCTCGAACATCAGTTCTCGGTCACGCCGCAACGCTGCCGTATGATCGTCGACGCCTTTATCGAGACTCTCGAACGCGGCTTGACCCAAACCGGCCAGGAAGTGGTGAGTCGCATTTAAACCACCGTACCGTAGTGGGGATCGCTCACGCTTTGGCAGTGACTCGGGGGACACAGCCTATGATCCCTACGTTCGTCTTTGGCTGGCCGACGGGCAAAGAGGTCGGGTCATACCTCGCCGTCGATCTGGGAGGAACCAACTTGCGCGTTTGCCACGTCGAACTTGAAGGTGATGGCAAGTTCGAGGTTACGCAGACCAAGTACCGGTTGTACGTTCGCGCCGCAGAGGAATCCCCGCCGAGCAGCAGGGTGGCTGATTTGGGTCCCTCTCTGCCTCATCAGGACCGAGGAACAGAAGCAAGGCGAGGGCCAGGATCTGATCGACTTCTGCTCAGAGTGCCTCAACAAGTTCATCCAGGATCATTACGGCGATGAGAATGGCGAGATCATCCTCGAGGAACCCTTGGCACTCGGCTTCACCTTTAGTTATCCTTGCATGTCAGTCTCGTTCGCCATGAGGAGCCGAAAACGCCTTGTTGGCCATCCTGACTGACCGACCCCGATCTCGAACAGCCAAGAGAGGATCGACCACGGTGTCTTGTTGCGCTGGACCAAAGGCTTCGGCGCTCCCAACATCGAGAACCACGACGTCGCCCAGATGTTCAAAGATTCGCTCAAAAAGTTCGACGTCCCCGTCGAGCTCGTCGCCCTCATCAACGATACGACGGGAACTTTGATCGCATCGGCTTACGTCGAGCCCAGGACGCGTGCGGGTGTCATCTTTGGAACGGGGTGCAATGCTGCGTACGTCCCGTAGAGCGAGTGAGGGCAAGGGCGGTGCACTATTGAGGGAGTGGCTATCTGACCTCGTCTTTTCACTCGGGGGAGGTATCAGGTATATGGAGAAGATCTCCGCCATCACCAAGATCAAGGACCTCGGACTTCCCTCGGACGCCGAGATGGCGATCAACTGCGAATGGGGTGCCTTTGACTCGTCGACGCACGAGAACCTCCCCCGCACCTCGTACGACATCACCATCGACGAGTCGTCCAACAAGCCGGGCGAACAAGCGTTCGAGAAGATGATTGCGGGGTTGTACTTGGGCGAGATCTTCCGTTTGGTCATGTGCGAGATGATCGATGAGGGCGTTTTGTTCCTCGGTCAAGAGACGTACAAGGTCGAGAAGCCCTATGCGTTCGATACGGCTTTCTTGTCCTTGATTGAGAGGTGCGTGGAGCGAAGCACGTCCTGATCCCGGTCGTTGGAGCTGATCAATGTCGGGTGATGCTTCTTTCGCACAGCGACCACACCGACGAGCTCTTGACGGTCACCGGCCTGTTCGCGCATTTCTACTCGCTCGACACTACGATCAAGGAACGTCAATTCTTCCGCCGTCTCGCGCAACTCATCGGAACCCGTGCCGCTCGACTTTCAGCCTGCGGTATCGCGGCCATCGTTTCGAAGCAGGGTTACCTCGACGAAGGGTGCGGCGTCGCAACGGATGGATCGCTTTACAACGTCAGTCCTAACATGCCCCAGGTGATTAGATGAGATACTTAATCTCCAGGCGTTGTTGCGATCGTGACACAGAAATACCCCAAGTTCCCTGAACGCATCTCCGAGGCCTTGCAGGACATCTTCGGCGAAAAGGGACGGTGAGTGACGATACCCTCGGGTGGCATCAGGTGGCCCGCATTGGGGAGCTGGACTGATGTGTGGAAGCGACGTGTTGCTTACAGAGGCATCAAGACCTACCACGCTGAAGATGGGTCCGGCGTCGGGGCGGCTGTTATTGCTGGTACGTCGCGATCTGCAGGTTATCTGTGCAGTGGCGTGGGCGTAGGAACTGATGAATCGGTGGTGACGTGCTTCATGCAGCCATGACCAAAGCCCGGAAAGAAGCCGGCGTCATCACACACGTCTAAATGCTCCTCGATTTCGACCCTAACTCCAACTTTTGTCAGAAATCAAAACCAGGGACGCTTCGAAGAAACCATACAGTAAGAAAGCCTTACCTTCGATATGGATAGAGAACAGTGCAGGACTTTTTTTTCTTTCTCTTTTGTGTGAATACAACATGCTCGCGAGAGGTGATCTGTGCATTCCTTGGGGGATGGATCAGGGATAAGTTGCTGTAGGGGATGGAGGTGATGATCGGAGATAATAATGAAATGATAGAAGGTCTATACGATATCTAGAGTATTTGTGATCCGGAGATGACATGATCCGATCGCCTTCTTCCCAGTCCTAGCCACCATGACTACTGAATCGAAGGTACTACGACGTCGTGAAAGGCACGAGATCGCTCTCGAGCCTCACTGATTCCGAGTCCAAACTGAAAGGATCAAACGGTGTAATTCGCAGGCGAAGAAAGACTACTTAAAAGGACTAAGGTCAAGAGACGCTGCGGCGCCGCGCGCGAGGGCAAGCGTAAGGCGCACCCCCTCGAGATCGGCCTTCGACCCCATGGCCGACGTCAAGACGGACGCCGGCGCACAGACCTCAACCTGGCTCAATTGAGAAGCCCTTCCCCATTTCTCTTTCTCTCTCTTGGTAGTTTAACTTGGAACTGAAACCCAGTAACGACGTTTAACAAGTATCCTCTACCGCGCCTCACTGTCACGACTTCGATCTACGACCGTCCTCGCGACTCTCTGTAAGGCACGACCCTTATTAAGGCCTTACACCCTCCCCTCCAAAGTCCAGCTCACTGATGCCCAAAACAACAGGAAAAGGTAGAGGACGTTTATAGTGTCGGCACATTGAGTATTATTCAGTGTATCTTGAGCGCTGACCGCTCTCTGCACCACTTCTGAGTCACGCGCCCTGAAGCATGCGTCCACGTCTTCACAAAAGAAAAATTCCGAGTCCGTTAGGCCCAAAGGGGAAGTTTCTAAAGGCTCGGCCGGCCCCGCTCTCTGGTCTCGCCGAAGCACAGGTTTTTCGGCATGGCTAGTCGGCTGTCGTGGTCCACCCGAGTTCTCCAAAGTGTTTCTTGTTGACTTGATCATAAACTTCGGTAGGAGCAGCATCGCGAGTATATTACCTGCGGGCACTAAGGCGGGATCCTAGCGTAGTGGTGGCTTTTTTGTTTCTACTGAGTCCGTATCATGCCGAGCTCCGTCCCAACTTGGTGACGCCTCAGCTTACGGTCTCCAGCGACCTTGAATCAAGTCCTCTTTGAAGTGCTATATCTATATTTGCCATTCATACTGGAAATGCTGACGAAGCACCAGGGTCCTACTATGCCGGGTTGGACACAAGGTGTGGTAACGACTTGAAACCCCGTAGCGGATCAAGCTTCCAAGATAGCCTGCTGGTATTTATCGAAAACCTCCCAGTCCATCTTAGACAGCATCCTGAGCGCTTCTTGCGTATACCTGACTCTGGCGTTCTGGCACGACATGCCCTTGACCTCGCGCCACAGCTCCCACTTCTTGCGCTTGTGGAGTTCCAGAGCCCATGGAATCGGTATATCGACATCGCCGATTTGGCCTTGTTGGAGGAGAGCATAAATCGATATGTTGTCATCGAGCATGATGATATCGTCTTTCTGCGTCTTGGCCACCATACTGAAAAAGTCTTGCGCTTTGACGAACTGGCGATAAATCCCTGCAAGGCATGGCGCAGGCGACAAGGTGGGTTTGAGCAAATAGAATAGTCGGAAGTTTCAGGTTGTGTGATTCGATCTGCCTCTCCAGAGGTTCTCGGTCTACCATTGGCTAGACGAGCAGATTGTGACTTACAGTCTCGGGAGAGATCGCTAGGAATGGAGCAAACGACGGGCCCTGCCGAGCCGGCGCAATCCGCGGTTGCGCTCACTGCCCGTCGGAAAAGTCGGTACAATATCATCAGCAAGATTTTTTGCTTCCAATGGGAGTACATCGAAGGGTAGCCACTTACTCCCTCGAGGTGATATGTCTGTTCTTCGTTCGATAGCGGCCGCAGTTGACAGATGAAGCGCCGAGGCGAACACGGAAAGCAGGAACAGGAGCTTCATTGTGCGGATGGGTGGTTGTGCCGCCGAAGATGACAGTGATGTGTAAGGTGCGCCAGGTAGGAGGAGAAGGAGAGGAAGAGCGTATACGTTGCAGTCTTGTGGACAAAGAGTCCGATCCATCCCTGCGAGCCGTCGCACCGGATCCGATGCATGACCCGTCATGCAGTGCGCAAGTGACCAAAGAAGCTGGCCGAGACCGGATCGAGCGTCTCGTTCGCGCTCGAACGGGAAGGTCTCCGACCCAGTCTTGGTGGTGCGCACGGGGCAGCCGGTAACCGGGGCGAATCCTCCAGCGGTAGCTTACATGTTTTGTACTTTAACATATACACGGTCAGAAGGCATTGCCTAGTACTTCAGCTCAGTGACGGAATAATTTAGCGTCCACCTTAGCGCTTCGATTGGCAGCGTATATATAGCTTATTTACGTCAGCCGGCGCTGGGACGGGAGTCCCATTTGACGCCCCTGTCTCTCTCTCTCGCGGTCTCCTTCCGCTTCGCGTTCCTTTGCACATTTTGCATTGCTATTTTCATCCATTTTATGCATATCGAAATTGCAGTCAATGAGCTGTTCGGACTCCAGATATGCTAGCTGTCCGGATCATGTCGAAGTGAACGATTTAAGCGTTCACGATGGGCTTCCCGTATTGCTCGATGATCTTTTGGTCCATGGAATCAACGAAGACGAGTGCTTGTTTCACATATTGCGACCGTGCTTCGTCACACGGCATTCCTTCCAGCCTGTACCAGGCATCCCACTTGCTGCGTGCGACCATTAGCATTGCCCAAGGCTGCTCTATGTTGACGTCGCCAATGCTTCCTTGTTGATACAGACCATACATCGACTCGTTGTTACCAAACTCGACTAGGTAGTCTTTCCGCCAATCTGCTACCCTATCTATGAAGATCTTTGATTGGACGAATTGACGATAGGTTTCTGCATTGCGGCGAAGGCAGAAAGGTTACGGGCAGAGTCAGCTGGTCGTCACCCAGACGGAACACTTTGCTAGGAAGGACACTGATCCAAAAAGTAAGAAAAAAAGGGGGGGCTCACTGTCTTGGGTCGGATCGCTGGGAACAGAGCAAACAACGGGTGAATCTCTTCCAGCGCAATACGCCCAAGCTCTCACTGCCAGTCAACGTCGGCAAAAGAGCCGTCAGCACGATATTGTTGAACATGTTCACCCCAGAATGCAAGAGCAAATCGAACGGTTTCTGACTCACTTCCACGTGCGAAGATCCCTGCACGTCGTTCGACGGCGACCGCGATTGACAAATGCAGCGCCGAGGCGAGAATCGAAAGCAGGAGCAGTAGCTTCATTGTGCGTTTGGTGGGTTGGCGGGTAGAGCCGATTGCGAAAAGTATTTCTTGAGGGAGAGATGGGCTGGGGGAGGTGAGTAGACGGCAAAGGTAGTGGAATAAGCGAGAGAGAGCAAGTGGCGGCTGCGGCCGTGTAGACAAGGAGCCAGAGACGTTCCTCCACGAGGGTCGCCATCTACGATGCAGTGCCGTTCTCAACCCGAAGAGATTGGCCGAAACCGGATGCGCCTCGTTCCGGCTTGATGGGGTAAGTCCGACCCGGTCTTGGCGGCTGGGGCCGCTCAATGGTAGTATTTTCCACAAGATGTTCTAATAACATACAGTATAGTATACACCACTAGTATACACCATGGTATGCACAGCTCGACGCAATGCATGCATGGCTCGATTTTTGAAAATTATTTTCCCCGACGAGGATGGCGAAAAACGATACTGGCCGAGTCCTCACCCGGGGTCGCCTGAAGAACCTAAACTTTTTCACCACCACGAGCATTCTGTGTGAGCTCAACTTTCCTACACCATGGGATCGGTATACGCCCTGGGACTTATATCACACAACAAAAGAGCGGGAGGAGCGCACCAAAATTGATCGACTTGATCTTTGCGATGGCAAGACCGGGGCCCCTGGGTAAGCAAGCGCGTCGCGCTCAGGCCCGTTGCGCGAGAAAGGAGGCGAGCCGAGCGCGGACCCGGCCGACTCAGTCAGTGCGTCCCGGCCCGGCCAACATCGGTCACGTTTGATCGTGTCGTGCCCGTTACATCCCATTTTTGTGCAGCGGGCCCGGAGTGAGCTCAGTCATCTTACTCGACCTTGCAGATCCCACCGCTACCAGGGGGATGGCTGAAGTTCGCTCATTGCACGTCGAACTGGCGGAGGAGTCGTCGCAGGCGTCGTCGTTCACGTTCAACGACCGACGCTCGCCCCGTGACGACGACGACACAGACAATGGCCACGGCCACGGCCACGACACGGACGATTCGCAGGGATCCAACGCGCCAGCCTTTGCTGCGACGACCGTGCACCAAAGTTCATCCCGCAGTCATCCGACCCATCGTTTCGCAGCATCACTCCATACACCCTTTCAAGGCTCGTCAACCGGTCTTCCCTCACCCCCAGACACGGCGCAGAGGCCCTTGTCCTCGAATGGGGTCTATCCGACCGCCGCGAGAGCAAGACCCCTTTCCAATGGTCAACTTGGAACAGCCTCGATGACACCCGTTCGACTGACACCATTACGCCGGGTCAACTTGGTCGAGTCGAGATCGTCCATCAATCGGATCGGAGCGACGAGCTCCCCCCTGTCGGCGGGTGTCCACTTCAAAAACGGTGCTTTCGGTGGCAGCCACGCCGGCACTCACCAATCTCCGTTCCCGGCGCCGACAAGCAAGAAGTGGTTGGTAATGGTCAAGGGTCCACCCATCTTGCCTCACTCACCACCACCTAATGATGTAAGCTTGCACGGACATGATTGAAGAGGATAGGGGCTCATTCGACTTTGTTTGCACAACACAGGCGAGTGGGTTCGCCAGAGCGTACGGTGCTTCGGGACGATACGATGGTGGTGTTTTGATGCCACTCCAGAACAGTGTGAGTGCGTTCCGAGTACTTTGATGTAAACGTCCTCTCACATCCTGGTCAACGTGCATAGCTCTCGGCTCAAGTCGCGTTGATCGCGCGAGAATTCTCCCTGCCCTCCATCGGCGGAGTCGCTCTCTACCTCTGTCTCAACAACTCGACCAACGTCACCCCCTCCGTTCCTATGGCTAGACGAATATCTCGGGCTACTTCTGCCTCGCTCAGCACAGCGCCGGACGATGTATCGAGTCGCCCAGCTTCAATGCTGTCGACGAACGAGTACCACGAGCCCGAGATGTTCAAGCCCAGGATATTGGAAGAGACGTGGGGGACCTTGTGGGCCGCATTCTTGGATCCGCTTGGCGTTGTCGGAGAAAGTGTGCAAGGGCCGTTTGGTCCTTCTCTCGGTGAGTTCCGCACACGGGGGAAACGTGCGAAGTTCGTCGACCACTGACTTGGTGCTCGCTTCTCAACAGCGATCGCTGGTATGCTCGAATTCGACATTGACCCTCGTCGAGCGCACTGGTTGGCAAATTGCTATTCATCGTCCGATCCGAATGAATACCATCACTCGACACCAGCTGTGCCACCTTCATCCCACATGTCGACACCCACGCTCTCGGCTCCTCAACTTCGACATGTCCCTCGCGGATCTGAGGTGGCGCACAGAGCTTTGCAAGGGAACCGAGGTGGAAGTCAAGTCGGACGCAGAGGGCGCTCAATCTCTTACGTGTGGCATCAACCTGAGGAGCAGGAACAGCGATCAAGGACCCCAGCTCGTTCAACAGATGAAGAAGTCCCGCATGAGCTAGTCCGCTCCACCCTGGGTGGGCACTTTGGTGATCGCGACGACTCAAACTTTGATCCCCGATTGGTCAAAAGTCTCGAAGGCTCGGAACGCGGTAGCTTTGGAGGTATGATGCTCCGAGACATGAACGACGTAGGGTTTGAGGATGAAGACCAAGATTCGGAAGAGCCCGACTCGGACGTACCATCTGATGTCACTTCGCACGACGATTCGCTGACGACGGATCTCGAGGTGCTTCATGACCTTCGCACCGTCGAGGTTGGAGCCGAATCGGCGGCGTTCGAGTCGTTTGATCATTTCTTGACTTCCACTCCTGGACCATCGAGTTCTGCAAATCGTCAGCTGAGTACGCAAGATCGAGATGGGACGGGGTCGCCGAGGCGTGAAACAGCCGCTGTGAGTTGCAGTCTCGAACCACTCGCCGAACGGTCGTCTCTGGACGAACACCACTCGACGGCTCTCGTGGAGTATGGACAAGCCATGACCTCGATTGAGGCAGTATCCGATCTTCATGAAGTCGCCTTGCTTGATCTATCTCAAAAAGATATCTCCCCTCGACACCAGGTCTCGATGAGCGATGGCGAGCAGGCCAGCTCTGGCAACAAGTCGATCGAAGACTTTGAGCGCGAGGACGTCAAATGCTCTGCGGAGAACGTGGAACACCAATCTTCGTCACGGGGCGAGAGTCTTGATTTGCTGCATGGCGACGCGCCCAGCGAATCCGCAGCAGTCGTCGATGATCCTAGAACGGCGGCGCACCAACCACCCCCTTCTACCGCACTGGAGCCCACCAACAAGCTTACTTCCACGGCCAAGGTCACCTACCCATACTTCCAGCTCTACCCTCCTCACCCACCGTACTTCGTATCTGCGACCAAGACCCCCTCCACCCCTAGTCCCACTGGTTCCTTTTCGAAGTTGATGTCTTCGCCGAAGCGACGAGGTGCGCCTCCTTCGCCCCTTCAAATCAAGCAGCATGGAACCGACGGTTCGGACACCAAGACAAAAGAAGTACCCGAGAAAGAAGATCAAGAGGTGCACGTGCGAAATGATCCCCAGATGGTCACCGAGGGAGGACAACCTTGGGACGAAACGACACCTCAAGACGCCATCTTCGCCGAGTACGCCCAGGCTTCGCCAAGTGGATACGACGAGTCCACCGGCTTCCCAGAGGCCCCGAACTTCCCTCAAGAAATTGATCTGGACCAGGTCGATCAAGCGAAGCTCAAAGAGGCCTCGAATGAAGAGTCGGGATTGTTGCTGAGCGCTTCACCACATTCGACGTCGTCTTCTTCGGGTTCGAGCATGTCAACGACCTTCGAGAGGGCGCTCAAGACGAGTGGGCATCGTAATGTATTGAGTTTGGGAGAAAGCGATGTGAGTCGAGACACCGTTCAAAACCTCTCTGCTACCTGTAACTGACTTGTCCACAATGCCAATCAGACCGGCTCCGACATCATGCCCCTCTCAGCCCTCTTTCGCCCCCCTCCTTCGGGTCACTTCGACTCAGCATTCGACTTCCAACCCAGTCCCATCGCTACCACCAACTCTTCAATGGAAAGCTTCACCTCTCCCAATCGTCGTCCTCCTTCCCCCACCTTGAACGCCACCGAACTCAATTCGACGTCGTCCAATATCTCCGCTTTCGTCCGAGCGATGGGCCATCCGGATGATGGAGTTCCTTTCGATTTGCCTGCTCAGGGGACGGACAATTCGTTGGAAAATCCTCTAGAGGTCGGTGATGATTCGATGGATTCCATAGGTTCTATGGGGACCGACAAACTCGCGGCGATGCAAACGAGCTTCGATCTTAACCAAGGTATCCCTGCTGAGGGTTTGTTGGTCGGGATCGGCGGGCGAGCTGATGATGATGACGATGACGAAGATGAGGATTCGGACGATGATGGGATCGAGTTGGGCGAGGATCAAAGTTGTCAGATCTTTGATCATCTCCCCTCGTCACCTTTGCCAGCAGTGCTGGAGGCGGAGATACCGAACTCGAGTCCGCAGCACTTGCCGACGGCCGCGGTAGAAGCGTAGTATAATGAATATGGCCTCTCTATATTTTTCGAACTAGCAGTATAACGCAGTGCAAACACGTTTGGTACTCGAATCTGTCTGAACGAGGACCTTGATCGTAATTCGTTAGAGATGGTTGAATGTCCATCTTTTTGAGAAGACGGAGGAATCTGGACTACAGGAGCGACAGAAAATAAGGACCATGGGAACACAGACCTCAAAAGTCGTACGATTGGGACAATCTATACCTTCCCCATTCCCACACCACCGCCACCTCCTCCGATCAGAACTCGGATCCCTCAACCCTGAATGCCTGCGCCCACTGGAAATAAGGCTGCATGACCCCCTTCAGAACCGCCTGCGGCACATTCATCGACACCAACGAATAACTGATCTTGGCCAACCCATCCCTCCTGATCAACTTGAACAACTGATGCGCCACATTCGTCGGGTAAGCGCACTCCATGTACCAACGATGTTGATACGCGCTCAAACGAATCGCCGCGTTCAGCGCACGTTGAACGTCCCCTTCGTCGGCGTACATCTCCAGCAAGCGTTGCCAAGCTTTCGCGGAGAATTTGGCGTCGAGCGCACGTTGAAATGCGTCTTTGGCTTCTTCGGGGTGGTGCAGACGCGCGGCGAGTTCACCGAGGATCTCCCATTCGGTTCCTGTTTTGCGGTACGAGAGGTGTTGCGCTTTGCAGTGTGCGACTTCGGCTCGCCAGATCGTGTACACCCGCAAATCCTGTGACGAGTCGGCAGAGTCAGCACGGGAGCCCACACTTGTGACCCTCTTCGTTCGTGCCTTAACTCACCTCGTACAAGACCATGAACAGATTATCCAACCACCTCTCACACAATCTCTTGTTACTGAACGACCCCGGTCCGCCCTTCGCCTCCTCCTCATTCGCCGCATCATCCGGTGGTGCCTGCGCCGTTCTCGGTTTCTGCACATTCCCATTCCGACCGACCGGTGGACCGCCTTGTGTGCCATCATTGACACCTCTCGTCGAAGCGTCCTCGTCCGCACCTTCTTCCCCATCCTCAACATCGTCTTCCTCCTCTTCCAAAGCCAGAGGCCCGAACCCTTCCTTGTCCTCTTCCTCAACCACCTCGACCCCCTTCGTAACCCCATTCAACCCCGTCGCGGGTGTGCCGACCGGATCCGTCGCTTTCTGCATCCTATACTCCTCCTCCATCACAAAGACCTGACTCCGACACTTGAGCAATTCGTCCCACCCGATCTGCGCGACCAACTTGGCCAACAACGCATACGCCTTGGCGAACGTGCCTCGTAGTGAAGGCGCGGGTAATCGAAGCAGAGCGACGTCGGCGTCGTTGTTGTGCGAAGCGGTGGCTTCGTCGTCGAGGATACCGGAGGCGGAGATGAATTCTTTCATCGGGAGGTGAGAGCGAGCGGGTGTGGGCATACGGTGTAGGTCGCGTTCGTTGTAGGTGAACATCGGACACGAGTTGAGCGTCAACAGGGCCTGCGGGAGGAAGTTTCAAAGTCGCTCAGCTTGACGGCCCTCGCTAATTCTAGCTAAGCTCTTGCAGCGATCACTCACATCGGTATACCTCCCCAATTCGATATTGACCTCGGTCAACTTGGCCCACGTAACGAATTCCGACGGTGCGCAATTGACCGCCTCCTTGGCCAACTTGAGCGCCCACTCGCCTTTCCCCTTGGAACGCAAAAAGTCACACTGAACATGCAGCAACGCGTACGACTGGGGTTGTTTCTCCAAAGCGGCCTGTAGAACTTTGATTGCTTTGACTTCCTCGTCTGTGATGAGGAGAAGCCAGCATGAGCGCGTCGAACGGTCACGGCGGGCTGAACTTGGGGTACCACTCACCCATCCCAATATAACTCTGCGCCAACAAACAAGCGACTTCACCCTCCTTGACGACCAGCTTTTCGAACAGGTTCACGGCCGGCCCGAATCGGAACGCGTCGCCAAAGTACTTCATCAAACCCGCGGTGAGGTGGTTCGAGACGACGGTCGCGACCTGGATTTCGGGTTCCGAACCAAGTTGCCAACCTGAGGGGGTGGTTGGATAACGTGAGTGAATGGCTCGTCATCGCTTCTGCAGGGCCCGAGACCCGAGACTGTCTGACCTTTGAAGAATGCGGCCTCTGCGGCTGCGACGAACCGTAACTCGGCCTCGATGGAGGTGATGGGGTCCATTTTCCGAAAGCCGGCCAAGCGCTGTGAGGAACGTTGTAAACCGTCAGTTGCTCCAACACCTAATGGTGAATATGATGAGACTGACATAGTTGGCATCGTCGGCATAGAGGATCGCACGCAGCAATGCCGAAAGGTAGACCTCTTGCCAAACTGCCGGGGTCGCCTCGTGCCTGTGAGGCCCAAGTCACTGGGATCAGTCGCTTACTCTGCTCATGCTCATCCCGTCGTGCGAGCCGGCCTACTTGTCGCCCCTCAAATCAATGACATAGGCCTCGACCCCACCTGGGATCTTGACCTCGACCCGGACGTCGACCCTCGAGAAGGCGTTGAAGGAACAGAACGCGCCTCCGCGGATCTTGTACGCTCCCTTGGTCGCGGTCGAGCCGAAGAACCAGGACGCGGATTCCTCGACGGTGTATTGGAGCGAGTTGAGGTAGGCCGCGAGGGAGGCGGAGGAGGATGCTGCGTGGAGGTGAGGAGGTGAGGAGGGGGAGGTCGGTCAGCTCCCGTGCTGTGGGGGATGGAGCGCTTCCTCTACGGGATGGAACTCTCACCATCTACGCCTGAGACATAGTGGTATGATCCAATCTGTCGAGCGGTGTGCGAGCAAATGTCAGCCAGGGGTCAGTCATGTTGCGGTGCGTGACGCGTGACGTAGGCGGACGGGACACGACCGTCATCAGGATCGCGCGTCGACCGCGCGCCAAACTCACATCCTTGGACCCAGCCTTGCCCGTTGTTTTGATCACATGACACAGATCGGGTGGTCCGAGCTCCCTGAACGAGGCTGCAGCGCAACCGAAACGGCCGAGTTCAGTTTCAAGTCGGGGCTGGGGACCCGTTCACGGTCGATGCAGGGAGAGCTCAGCAACCCGCGACTCGAATCGCACGCCACGTACCTAATGTTTCAGTACGCGAGATGAGCGACTCGCCGAGCTCGACCTCGTAGAATTCGGGCACGTCCTTGAGGTCCATTGCGGGCGTCGTGGGTTGTGCAGGTGCGTGCCAAGAGGTGAGAGAGAGAGAGCCACTCGACTGGAGGAAGCTCAGTGTGGTCTCGGCGCGCGGGAGCACGGCCACGGCACGGCCTGTTCAATTGCCGCTACTATTAGCCTCTATTAGCCTCTATTAGCCTCTACTAGCCTCTACTAGCCTCTACTAGCCTCTATTGGGCCATTAGTCCTTCCAACACGGCGCGCTAATCAATGCGCGTCAACGCTCAGCTGCGTCTCGGACTCTCTCCGCTCTCCTCCTCGACCACCATCACCACCACCTACACCTCCAGTATGCGTGCTTCCTCCTCCCTCCGACTGAGCCTCAACACGATCGTGCGACAACGCATGTCGGCGGACCCGTGGGCGACGCACGCGTCCGACACGAGCCCGTTCTGGAAGAAGGTGCGCGAGGCCTTGGTCGTCAACCCCGACATCTCGAGTGGGAACCCGCTGGTAAGTATTATGGCACCTAAAATGATGAGACGACGGAGCGCAAGCCTGCTGAAGCTGGTGTGGTGTGGTGTTGGGATTGCGATTGCGATTGCGCGGCGAACCTCTTTTAGGTGCGAGCGCATCGGCAGCCCGAGCCGGCTTCGAGGGAGGAAAAGTTCTCGGTCCCCGCTAGCAAGAGTTCGGATGGTAAGTCGATCATACCCTGTTGGGAGGAGGCGGAAGAAAGCGGGGCACAGGACGACGTAACCGTTCGCCGCCGGCGCTCGGACCGAGCTCCGCCACACCCGCTTCTACACCTCCCGAATGCCATGCTTGGGTGGCTCACAGCGTACCCTATCTTCCTCTCTGCAGTCGCACAAAACCCCTACTGGAAGCGAGACACCCGCCGGTGAGTTCTTTGGCGTCAGCTGCTCGCCGTCGACCCGAGCCGTGCCCGAAACTGACCCCTCCCATGTCACCTCGTGCAGCCAATACCCCATGACCGAAGTACTTCAACAATCCGAGCTCTCGGCTCTTCTCATCACCCAAGGTGGCATCAACTCGTACGTCGATCGAGTCCCATCGTCCAGCACCGATCCCCACCTCCGAGCTAACCCTACTCTACCTCTCCAGTATCCCCTCGATCGCCGCTCCCTCTTCCCCACCTTCGACCAAAGCCCTCGTCGACGGCTCTGCCAAGATTCCAAGCCTGTCGAGTCTATTCGTTTCTGCCTCGCCCGCTTCTTCGACCGAGGTGTGGAAGCCCCCCATCGCGCCTGGGTTGAAGCTCAAGTGGGCACCGTCGAAGGAGGTCGTGCCTTCGAATCCGGACGTCGAGTTCCCCATGGTCAACTACTCGAGCTACATCGCTTGATACCAGAGCGCATCATCAACTCGTGGGGTTTAGCTTGGAGTGGAGTGGTGGATGAAGTGTTCAAGTCTGGAGGGATGGGTCTATCTGGTTCGTTAGATGTGCTTCGGTCGATCCAAGTGTAGTGGTATGTCTCGTGTCTTCTTGCAACTATGCAAGAGATCAATTGCTTTAAAGGTAGTGCAGAGCAGACTGCGCGAGGTGTGTCTGAAGGAACCTTTGATCAACGGAGCTGCCAATGAGCAATTGCTTAAACATCGCGCCGGCAATCAGTGGAGCCGAAGCCCCTCAGCTGCCCACCCCTCGTTGTACAGAAACTCCGCCCTTAGCTCAACAAGAAAGATGCAGTATCCCGAGACCCCCCCCCAAGCTCCTGCTGCTTCGAATCGAATCGTCTGGTGTAGATGATCAAATTTTGACGACTTAGGCACACAAAGAGTTGACATTCAATGTTGCTGTGTTCAAGGCCTACGAACCGTGCCGCGCGTGGGCGATCCCATGCCTGGCTCCAGGTACCTGAGGCGTATGAGATCCAGAGGTGAGGTTGTCATCAGAGCTACGGCTGAGGGACACGCATGTAGAGAGGCTTGTCAAGTTTGCCGTGTAGGTACGCCTTGTTGACGTCGGCCTGATGGACGTGATAGCCGTTGGCCGCGGCAAGTGCGATGAGGGCTCGAATGGACGTGAATTTGACGACAAGGGCGTAGTTCTCCTCGAAGTCAAGGCCAGGGCGTTGGGCACATCCGTGAGCGACGAGTCGGGCCTTGTGATCGGTGATGTGGCCATGCTGGTTGCGCCATGCTGGTTGCGTTTAGTCCGGAACACCCAGCCCGACCGCAGGAAGATCTCACCCGCGGGGAGCTCACAGGATTTGACGATTTCAAAGACCTCGTAATCGTTCAGAAGCGAATCGAATTCATCCTGTGCCGGAGCGCCCCAAATGTCCTCTTGTCCCGATCGAATGACGTCGCCCCAATTTGCCGGATCGCGAACAACTGACAAGTCGTGATCTGCGAAGCCGGCCTTGGTGGATGCGAAGGCAAGGAGCAGGCTCTTGAAAGAGGCGGTGGGTCCGTCGGGGCCGTCGACTAGCTGTTCCCGCGTGATCATGGTGGGAACGAGCTGGCGGCAAGTCCGGGGGCCGTCAATGATGTTTCGAGCGTCGACTTCACCGTACTTCCCTGAATCGGGACCAACCTTGGCGACGTCGCCGTACTCCCAAGTCGGCTTGACTTTGGCGAGTGGAGCTGGATCCGGAGGTGGTTGCGGCAGGTTCACGGCTGACTCCGTCGTTGCGCTCGTGGTCGATGAGGCGTCGTCGTTGTCGGCCGAGCTGGTCGAAGCCGGCGACGCGGGTGCCTCGACAGGCGTTGGGGCCGGTGGCCGTGGGGGAGGCTCGACAGGTGTTGGAGCTTCGACGGGTGGAAGCTGGGGGCTGTAACCCGGGATGGACGGCTGCGTCACTCGGGTGGGCGCGATCGCGAAGGGGAACTCGGTTTCAACGAACGTCACATGGCGGCCCAGACTCACACGCATCGAGGAAGGGTCAAGAAGACGGTAGGCTTTCGCGTGTCGATCGTACCCGACGAAGACCAGAGGAATCCCTTTTGGGTCGAGCTTGTCCCGTCGGCGAGCCGGCACGGTGGTCCAAGCGCGACAACCGAATGCCCGAAGACCTCCTACGCCTGGTGTGTGGCCCGACCAACGACTGTTTGGGATGGCTCCACCAAGAGCCGCGTGAGGCGATAGGTTCTTGGCGTGAATGTAATACATGGCAGCCTCGTCCCAGCACGATCGTGGGAGTCCCGAGTGAGACAGGAGAGCCAGGGTGCCCTCCACGATCGACCGGTTGGCTCGCTCAGCCCGACCGTTTTGCTCAGGTGTGTACGGTATGGTCAATTCGCGATGAATTCCGCGGGCCACGCAATAGCCGTTGAAAGCGGTAGAGACATACTCGCCCCCGTTGTCCGAGCGAAGTGTTTTGACCCTGCGACCCGTGGCGTTTTCGATCTCCAGAAGCCAATCCTTGAATGTCTGAAGGACCTCGCTCTTGTGCCCGATGGGGCAGACCCAAGTCTTCCTTGAGAAGTCGTCGATGAACGTGACGAGGTATCGCTTATGGCCGAAGGATTCCTCGGCTTCAGGTTAGTTACTGTGCAATGCTTAGAACGATCTTTACCATCATCTTCGGCTCTCGTGCTTACGCATATCGTGCCTCGACTTCAGGTTCCCAAAAGGTTATGAGCCCAACGAGCTACGAGCTGTCGTGCTCAAAGTGCTCAAAGAAGCTGGTAGCTCGTTGGGCCCATAACCTTTTAGGAACCTGAAACCGAGGCACGATATGCGTAAGTACGAGAGCCGAAGATGATGGTAAAGATAGTTGGAGAAAGAAGAGAAGCGCTAAGGGAGCGCGCGAGGCGACCAATATCAACAACTAGCAACTAATCATAATCGGGAATACAAGTGGGATGAAACAGCAATATATTGACAGTTCCCCGCCACGACGTCGGTGACTCGGGCGTGCGAATCGGTCCGAGTGAGTCCGCGTCTCCTTCGGACGAAACAGATCCCGAAGATTATTACTTTAACGAAGATCGAACACTTTACGTCGCCGAAACGATGGAGGATTTTTTCGTCGAAACGTTATCAAGGGGTAGAGGATTTGCGAGGCGGGCGGCCGCGGGTTCCCCATCTTGGTGTTCAAGGTCGGGGATCGGATTGATGTCGAGCATGAGGAGGCCGATCAAGCGGAGGGTGGGTGTGGATGGGTGTTGGGAAGGAAACATGGAGACGTCGTGCTGGGATGGGTGAGGGCTGAGTTGTTTACGATGCTTGATGACGACGAGTTGTAGCCTTCGGTGACAGATTAGGGAGATTTGGGTCTTCATATACTCAGCTCCAGGAGGATTGCGCCCGACGTTTTTTTTGCGACAGTAGGTTTTTGCATATTCAATCCTATAGCTCTTCTTGTGTATGCCATATAATATGACTGTCCAGATGTCCTTCTCGGAGAGAGACTCTCGCCGTCAGGTCCGAATCTGGCACTGCACTGCCAGGACCTCGATTGAGCAGGAACGGTACCTGGGTCAGGCGTTCTCGGGGCAGCTCGTCAGCATATATCATAGCGCTGCGATTATGATTCTCCACTACTTTATCACGAGCTGACTGCTCGTCGGCACACCCTTGCTCAGCGTTTGCAAGACGACGCAATACCGCTCGGTCAACGAGATCAATTTTTCGACCTATTTCAGGAATGAAACACCGGACACTTATCAGCAAGACATCTGAGAAGGCATTTCATGCTCTTCTGCATAATGCAACTGACCTTTTCCTTCGGGGTATCTCCGCAATCGAAGTCGAATTTGACCCTGATGGCCGTGAAGCCGACGGGAGCGGTCTTGTCGACGCCGAGTGTCCCACTGGATCCAAGTTCCAGGGAGGATGGTTTTAATATGAGCATGATTCCAGCTTGAAAATCGAATCAGAAACAGACCGGAAGTCGAGATCGCCTTCGACGGCCACGGTTCCACTCTCGACGGAAATTGATAGTGCCGTCGCTACGGCTTTCAGAGTGACTGCAACGCATAGCGAAACGACAGATCAATTTATCAGCATGCATAAGTTTGAGTAGATACATACGACAGCTCCCGACTGACCTCCTGCACAAGCGGCCAAGCTTTCGAGCAACAGATCCCCACTGCACAATTGATCGCCCGTCCCGCCCGCCATAGGGGACAAGCCAGCCTCCTTCATCGCCTTGCCAACCGAAAGGGAGCATGAAACGCCGGTCCCCAAAGTTGAGGTAGATTTGAGAGTGACTTGGGCGGCGGTCGCATCGGACGAATAGGCCTGCTTGAGTGGGGCTTGGATCGCGCGCAGTTCCTCGGCTGTTGGGGCGGACATGATTGTGTTGAGCGGTGGTAGGCTTTTGAACGGGGTCTTTGCTCGGAATATTGGGTTGAGGTATGTACTATGCTTGGGTGCGCAGCTTGTGTTGCTGTCGGTGGTAGTACGGCAGTTCAGCGCGGACAACCCGCCGGGCCGAATTGGAACCCCGGCCGAGGTCCGAGCTCAAATTTGGTTACGGCGTCTCATTCTCACGGCTTGTCATGATTTCAGAACAAGACGGGGTGAGCACCCGGGAAGTAGACCACTTTTCATGAAGAGAAAATCGCATTCGAAATACGAAGCGAAGGGAATCGGCGCCGCCGCCGACGAACCCCCACATGCAGGTGGGATGACGTCGCGAAGAAGCTCCCCGCAGCTCGATGACGACCGATCGATCGCGCTGGAGCCCAGCTAGCCCAGCTATTAGTCGTCGCTAATCGTCACTGCGCGAAAGTGGACATGTCCTTGATGATGAAGGAAAAAAAGCTCTAGACTTCAATTATCCTCCCTACTTTCCGCCACGAGCTCAACTTACCCAGTCGAACCTCCTGAACATATCCACCCCCCCCCCCCCCCGAAATCCATCCACGAGCAGCATGTCCATCGCCCCCGATCACACCGACAGCAGCGTCACCGATCCTTCTTCGCTCATCTCACCATTCGTCGAGAAGGATGCGCAGGCGACGATTAGAACGGGGGTGCATGTCAGTTGGTCGGCGGCCAGTGCGGCTTGGTGAGTCACCACACTCCCCAAGATGATTCCTCCGTCTTTTCGGTAATCTGGCGCAAACTGATTAATGATCTTGCCGCTCTGCTGTGTCACTGCGCCATCGTCGTCGCTCCCTGCCAACCGATGACCCCCACATGATTTTCGGCCGCTCCTCCTCGTCCCCTCTACGGAAAATTGTCGCCGCATCAGGCTTTCGCTCCTCGGCATCCCTCTCATCTTCTTCCCTCGCATCCTCTCCATCGTATTCGCCAAAGCGCTGACGACCAACACCGTGACCGATGAAGTCGAGACCGAGGTGATCCGTCAGCTCAACCCGCTTGAACGTTCCATGGCCGGATTGGCGGGAATGACCCTCTTGGCTCTGGCTAGCTTGCTGCTCATCCAGGTGAGCGGATTCCACACTGCCCCAGTCAAGAGGACTTACCCGCTGAGTAATTCAGTAACCTCGTTCTCACTGCAGACCGGTGCGCTTCCCCTCACCTCGTCACTCTCAGCCTCGGCGAGCGTCATCGAATCCAACTCGCTCGCCCCCTTCCGTTCTCCGACCATCTTCATCGGCGTACTCTTCCTCTCCGCAATCGCGTACGAGACTTACTACGGTTTGGGAATGTACCTCGTCGCTGGACCGAGTGCCGGTTTGGGCTTGTGGGGCGTATGGGCCGTGAGTTCTCATGGCTTCACGCCCTTCAATTCAAAGATGAAAAATCTTTCATGCTGATGTATCCTTTGATTTACCGAATCTAGCTCCTCTTCGCTCACGAAGGTCGCGTGAACCGCGTCGGAGGCTCGAGCAAAGACTCGAGGAGTGATATGAAGAAGAAGATGGACTCGAAGAACCTCTGAACGAGAACCTAGAACGAATGCTAGGACGAAAAGATGAACGTTCGCGCCACGTGCTGCTTAACTCGATAGCTCGTGTGTGGACGAAGTCGCCTTTTTTTTTTTTTTTTTTTTTTTTGTGAAAGCTTCAAAAATTGTGGGCCCAGCTTGTATGCCAACTCTTTAGTTTGTATCGCGAAAGAATCGAGGTTCGAAGCGGCGCGACGACAGTTCGGTTCATGACCAAAGAACTTGTTGCAACATGTTTTGAAAGGAGTAGGAACTGCAGAGATCGTCGTTATCCGTCCAGGGGGCGATGTCGTTCGAAATGCCACGGAGTAGGTGGGCAGAAGTGGGTACTGAAGGATGAATGCGACGGACGGGGCGAAGGCTTGCGATATGTATACATAAGAGAAGGTCCAAGATCGCTGATTCAAAGGAAGTACTCGATTTGCTGTCGCGAACACGAACAATAAGAAAAATCGGATCAGAGTCCGCGCATTCAGCCCCGCTCCATCATGCATAACCGAACCACTCACATTCGGTCCCCCTATACTAGCCATGACCCCATCCCCAACCATCCCCGTCTGTTGCTGCTGCTGCATTTGCTGTTGTTGCTGTTGCCCCGGTCCATCCCTCTCATTTTCCGGCGCCGCATCAAACACATTGAAATGCTTCTCCCCCCCGGGACCGACCTCCAAAATAGAAGCCATATTCCCACATCGATAACAGTAATTAGGCGCCGACCAAACGGTTGAAAGACGATCGTCGTACAGTACTGAGAAACCTTCCATGCAGAGTTGGTGCGCTCGAAGGATGTGGTTCATCGAGTTGGTTTGCAGGAAGGATTTGACGACGGACGAACCGAAGGTGTAGCCTGCTCCTCTGTGGAGCGAGCAATTGAAAAGGGGGTGGGGTTCAGTACGGGGTTGAGTTTGAGCGAGTGCAGTATGTTGGGTGACGAACCTTGGTGAGATTGAGAATTCCTCCTTGTCTGGATCTGGATCGGACCATACCAGATCTGCCATCGGCCCTTCGTGTGGGATTTCTGTGCAAACGGTCAACTCGAAAGGGTCAATTCGATGAGCACGACAAATTTATAAGTTCGTGGACTGACCTCTAAACCGATCGATAATCTTGATTTGGTCTAGGGTGTGAACGGACGGTGAGAGACCTGGTGCGATCAAGACGAGTCAGTCATGCATCCTGTATCTCATCTCGCCGAAAGAGATTCTCACAGGAACCTACCTCCATGAACGCAAAAGATCCGATCATCGATGACGACGGAGAGTGTCAAAAAGTCAAACATGTCGGTGAAGTAGGTCCATACGGCCGGGGAGCCGTATTTCCGTACGCATTCCGAATAGAACCCGTACGTCTGTGCGCAAAGTCGGCGGAGGAATTCAGTATTCGCGTCGCCTGTAACAGCTGCACTGCAGTCGACCCAAAACTCTCTCTCACCTGTGTGACGGCCCTCGACTCGTGGTTCCCTCGAATGAGTTGGACTCGATTTGGGTACCGCAGCTTGAGGCACGTGAGCAACGAGATGGTCTCGACCGAAAAGAGGCCCCGATCGACGTAGTCGCCGAGGAAGAGGTAGTTGGTATGCGGTGAGTAGCCACCTATCCGGAAGATCTCGATCAGGTCGTAGAATTGTCTGTTGCACCACAAGCAAGAAGCGCGCAGTGGGTCAGCAACGACCGCTCAGTCGCTCTCGAGCAGCTACTTCCGCGCTTCCGCACTGACCCATGAATATCACCGACGACGGTGACGGGTGCTTGGACATGCACGACGTTGGACTCCCTCATCAAGAGCTCTTTGGTCTTTTCGCATATCTCCTTGACCAAGGATTCGGCGAGCAACCGCTTGCGCAACAGGGTCGCGATCGCGCCGTCGAGGTCTAACGGCATGTTGACGTGTTGACGTCTTGGTAGGGGCAGGGACGCTTGGGTGAGGGATCGAACGGATTTGTCCAAGTCTTGGATCGGTTACAATGGTATGGGTTATCGGTGGGGTGGTGTAGGGGTGCTCAGAGGAGCAGGCAGCGGTCGAAGAAGTGGATGACGAGTCGATCACGGCTGACGATGGAACCGGGGATGACGGCCGGATGGTGAAGCGGTACGCGCGAGCTGATGCTTCTTGTACACTTGCACTCGTCCAGTGGGTGGCAATTCGTGTATCGAAGAGAGGTGGGAAGGAGGCAGAAACTCACCTGATTGCTCGGCGTGAGTCCCGCTCCACTTGCGCTGACGTTGCCGCTCGGACCGCCTGCGCTCCTTTTCCGTTCTTTCACGCGCGATCACTCCGAGTCGGTGCCGTGCGCTCGCTCTCCCACCTCCAACCATAGCTTCAGATGCTCTGTCGCGGCGACTACCACCCTGATGACGACGCCGACCAATGTTGCGCTCTCAACCTTGATCGCTTCCCACCTCGCGTCGATTGACTCGACCCTCACCGACGACCACCTGATCGTCCTTGCCCATCTCGTGGGGTCCACCAACTTGGTCGTTGATGCGCTTCATCTCATCGACACCCAAGGCGGTACATCTGCTCATCCTCTGACTTGGCCCGGCTTCCGCAAAAGCTAACGCCCTGTTCCAACCCTTCCAGTCGCTCGACTCAATCTGCCCAACCGGCAATCGCTGTACCAAGTCTCGGGATCGACCAAGGCCTACACTGTCCACACCACTCCTTCTGCAGCCTCGATCGGTCGACTGGGCTTCTGTCCCTGTCCCGCTTTCGCTTACTCGGTCCTCAAAACGCAGCAGAACGTTCTCGCAAGTCAAGCCCCCCACATTCTGCTCGGTGTATCTTCCTTCGAGTCCTGATCCCCAACCTTCCCGACAAGAATTTACAGTGCAAGCATCTTCTCGCCGTTCTGATCTGTGAACGTCTAGATACGTTCGTCGATAAGCAAGTCGGGCTCAAGTGGCTGGCCGCGTGGAGCTCGGGGTTCCGTACACTACAACAAGCGCCGCCGACGTGAGCACGACTGGCCCGACAAGCACCGCCTTGAGAAGAGCCAGTAGCGACAATCGCCATGAACTAAAACGCAGCAACTTGGAGTTCTACAAAGTCCCCCTTTGCGCCTTCCCTCTAACATTCGCCTCACACATTTGCATTGCCCGAATTCAGCACTTATCCAGTCCGTGCGCGAGCTCGACTTCTCTACTCACCGCCAAACAGTGTGGAATCATTCTCTCACCGTCTAGGCAACCCTTTCAATCACGGGTACCCTCGTGATCGGCCACCACCGTCTCCTCAACATCGTGAATGGAACGAGCGTTACGATCGGACAGTATAAAAGCTTCTTGCAGCTTGCGCATGGAAATCGCAGTGTCAATAGGGATCTGGGAAGGAGCGCGAGACAGACCAAGAGCCCTGTCTTTCTGGTTGACGAGGAAACATCCGCCTCTCATGGAACAAAACGGTCTGGTCTCATTTGTAGACGATCTCAAGGAATATTGCCAAATCTACCTACTCGCTGAGGGCCCCCTCTACTATTCTCAGCATCCCGCGACAGCGGTTCATCATCACCATCCGAAGCGGCATAGCAGTCTATTTTGGCCTGGGTCTTGCATTGGGAGCGTCCCCACAGAGTGTTGTTGACTACGTTGTGGATGTGACTGGCGAAAAGGAATTCAACACTTCTCAGCTTCTTGCTTGAGAACGAGTAAAGGTCATAGTCTTTAATTGATTTTCACCACAAGGTGTAACGTCCGACCTTTGTGAACGCACAGATGGCCGATCCGGATCTTGATGCGGACCTTCGGACGTAGGCGTTACAAAATCGCAAGATTCATATTTTCAGGGGCCCCGGACCTGAATAGTTGTCATCGCTGAGAGCATTCGTCTCAGCTCGAACGCGAACTTTTGCGGCCCGCTGGCTGGCAACCGCGTTGACACCCCTGAGTTTAGTTGGGTGGCCCGCAAGCCTGGGATTCAGCATCAGGAGGCTCGGGGTTTCGGTTCGATGACCTCGTGATCATCACCTTCCTGATCATCACCTTCGCGCCATCACCCCGCGACGGTCAAAGCGTTCGAGAGGGTGAGCGATGTCGACAAGATGAGCGCGAGGTTGGTGAAACTTCATCGTTCGGTCAATTAAAGGGGTCGGGGGAGGAGGGAGAGAGAGAGTGCGGGACTCATAGAGCGCCTAAGAAACGAGATTAGTAGTAGAGTAGGGAGATTGAATTACCAGAGGAACGAACAACACGACGTTGGGCTCAATCCCAAATACCATATTAGGAGCAATAATCAGGCGAAGGACGGTACAACCGTATAGTCCTGACGGCAGCTGTGCACGAAGTTTCTGCCTCTTATAATTTCATTATTGGACTGCTCCTCGAAGATAACGCATTGAGGCCCGTCGACAACGCCAAGAACGAGGGTGTTCGTAACGGCGGGGACCGACCCGAAAAGCGCAACAGAGGGCCCCCGATCAAACCGCAGCCCACTACTAGTATTCCTCGCGCCTGATCCACGGACAGTCACCAGAGATTCAAGCCGACTACAACTTGATCGGAGACTGCCGCTCTCCCAGCCCCATACCAGTGGATTGGATCAGCGGCGTCCCCATTGCGGAGCTCGCAACTTCACTCGGACCTGATCACGGTGACCAAAGACTGGCATTTGGAGGTCAAGGCGAGATTGTCGACCAGTGCCTGTTCGACAATGGTTTGCCAACCCCGTCGAGTTGCTCATTCGGGGCTTTTTCACTGAATCACATCTTCCCTTGTGCAGTCTTACACCGGGACGAGGTGTGTTGATCGGGTCGAGCTTGATATTAAAATTGTCTCAATCGTCTCGAGCCCGTCGATCTCCCGTTCCCCGAGCACTTCTTCCCTTCCAGACAAGCTCATCATAGGTTCGTATGTCCGACCCGACTCTGCAGTGGCTGGCTGAGAATGCCAAAGAGAGGTCAAAGACGGTCGAATACCTCTTGGGCTTCGGGTCAAACCGAGTCGACTGCGGATCATCGTCTGGAAAAGTTGGTCGGAACCGGAAGCACTGCGGGCGGGTGGCTCGTCAAGGTGGATCGAATCAATCGTCCCCCGGTGGCCGACAAGACAATTTCAGTTGTCGATGGCCCTTTCCCAAACGCGAGCTGCTTTCCTTAAAGTTGTGTACTCCAGTTCGTCGGGTCTGCAATCCGGGAGACGCTTTTTTACCAAAAGGTGTTTGCCCACCTCTCGGACGAATCACGATCTCCGCTCCTACCTGCCTCGATACCACGGCACATATTGAGGAAGAAACGGGAACGGATTTGCGATGGTGTTTGAGACTGTTGGGACTCGTCTGACCGAACGTGCTTTCTAGCAATCGTTGGGCTAATGGTGGTAAGTCTGGCTGGGGTACGGTGGCCCCGCCTTGAGATGCTTTGTGATCGCTCAAGGGGTCGCCCTTAGAACTTGCTTGTTCGCTCACCCGGCCTTTGTTCCCATTCTTGGTTCATGTTAAGGGAGTTTGAGGCGAAGCCTGTCAAACTCTGCGTCATACATAATGACGTCAGCGCCGGCAACGTGCTGCTCCGGCCCGACGACGGCGGTTTCTGCCTCATCGACTGGGGCCGGGCCTATCTGGACCTTCGAGTTTGAAATCCAGTGAAACTTTCTTTTGTTCCCTCGTTTTTCTAGTCCTCTCTCCTCTACGCACTTGTTGCTTCGACGTCTTCTCTGTATTTTTTTTGCTGCTTCATAAAATATATGCATTGCACTTTGTTTTATTTGCGACACCTGCTGGCTGACCGGCTGAGCGCGAGCGAGCGCTTCAATTCCGTCATCGACATCGACCCAACGCCAAAACATCGATGTCTCAGCCATCGGCTCCATCACTCTCACACGAGAGCAATATGAAGAGCTGGTCAGGAACCAACGAGCACGCGAGTACGTGCGACGCGTAGTCTTGCCAGCGCGAGCGCACCGTGGGAGTCCACGTGGGGTCGATCGTCCCTCGGCGCAAGTAGCCCAAACCTCCCGAGCGACAGTAAGTGACATGGTGAGGTCCCAGTCGACATAGTTGTCCCCTTTCAGCTTGGAGTCCTCGGGGAAGGCCGCTGGTGCGTTCGGCGGAAGGAGGTGACGTGGCGTGGGGGCCTCTTCGTCGCGGGTTCGTTGGTTCCTGACCAGCTCTTCATATTGCTCTCGTGTGAGAGTGATGGAGCCGATGGCTGAGACATCGATGTTTTGGCGTTGGGTCGATGTCGATGACGGAGGGGGAGTTGGTACTCAGCGTCTGTGGTCGACTTGGCCACCCTGTGCTCGCGTTTCGAGCACCAGGCGATCGCGGCTCCGGAGTAGATGAACGCGTAGCCCATGGTTGATCTCGAGGTGGTCAGACAGTGCTCCCTGTTCCGACGAGCTCATCGAGACGGAAATCGGCAGTCGACTCGATTTGGTCGGAGAGTCCGAGGGGTACTTCATAGTCTTCAAGCTCCTCCTCAGGATCTTCCGCCAGCCACTGCAGAGTTGCGTCGGATAGAACAAGCTCTTCGACGAAGCTGTAGCTTTCATCGGCAGTCTGCAATGGGCAGGACCAAACTGGCGAAGAGAGGGCAGCGGCGACGATGTCGAACTCGATCTCAACCATATCAACTCGGCTCGTTCCCGTGTACGACGGTGAACCTTTGTCAGCATTCCGCGAAATGCAAACCATGAGGTTGATACTAACGAGTGGAGGCCCGAGGTGAGCAGCACAAAGCGTTCGAGATGAAGAAGGTCCCGAGCGAATGGCAGATGTCGCAGCGGGTCAAGGCAGAAAAGGTTGCTGGAGCGCTGGGGGCTCAGGCGCTCAGGCGCCAGCACTACTTTCCGAGCCCTGCAGTGCGTCGTACGAGCGAACCCGACGCGAGCGATGCGTTCGTGATGTTCTTCAGCAGCTTTCTGAAACCCACAACGGAGCATCTGCTGGACCATTACGACGCCCAAACGGCCATTTGAGGCCTCTCCGCAAGACCTGCAATAGTACAGGCATCAGGATGTACCTAGTCCGGAACCTCGAGGCTTTGTCTCCACATCGTGGTTCCGGTTCTCGCCTTGGTGTATCCGCACATCGTTCGTGAACATCGTCTCATCCAATGTGCTACGTACGACTGCCGCCTCCTTTTGCTCGTCTCGCTTCCGTTGTTTCAAGTGTGAATGTTCGGTAGGTCTCATCCTGCTTGTTTGACTGCCTCTGCCCTACGGATCACTTCAAAACTCACTGAAGCATATTCTCCGTGACATGCGGTGTATCCACCGACATTATTCGACCCAACATGGATGGAGTGGCGAGTTCACACAACTCGTTCTCCGCCGTCGGCCTCGACCTCGACTTCAATCTCGCCAACCACTGTTGCGCTCACTGCTTCGAATGAGTGTACCGTTCGAGCGGTCACGAGGCGTACTACTAGTCTTACCAGATTGCGCTCGAAATTTCGAGTTGGGCTGGCGGGCTGACTCACCCCTGTTAGAGTGACTCGTTCCTCCGCCAGAACGAGGGCCAAGACAGGGCGGCATGGATGGAGGCTGCACGAGTGTAGGCAGTTTGGGAACGGGACCACTTGTCGTCACCTTCATTGCCCTTGCATTCAAGCCCATCGATCCCGTCCCCAAACCAACTCCTTCCTGGGCGCCTTATCCTGCCTACTACACTCGTGCAGCCTCCGCCTATGCCGCCCTGTCTTGGCCCTCGTTCTGGCGGAGGAACGAGTCACTCTAACAGGGGTGAGTCAGCCCGCCAGCCCAACTCGAAATTTCGAGCGCAATCTGGTAAGACTAGTACGCCTCATGGCCCCTCGACGCGATTCTCGAGCGCCAGGTGCACCACGCCACAAGCCCGATCTACCCCGCGAACCCCTGACGAGCTCGCCAGTTATCTGTCGTCGGATCCGGAAACCCCGACGGATAAATACCTCGACCGTATCCTCACATCGACAGGCTCAAGTCCTACAACGCACCTGTCCTAGGCTGGAGCCTTGACTTCAAGTCGGCAGTTCAGCATCATAGCGAGCATGTCGAACAAGCACTGCATTGAGGTGCAATGGTTGATGGGCGCCGAGACGCGTGCTGAGACCGGTCTACCGATAAGATCACTTGCCGTCATCTTCATTTCCCTCGCTTTCGATCCGATCGATCCGGTTCCCAAACTGCCTACACTCGTGCAGCCTCCATCCATGCCACCCTGTCTTGGCCCTCGCTCTGGCGGAGGAACGAGTCACCCTAACAGGGGTGAGTCAGCCCGCCAGCCCAACTCGAAATTTCGAGCGCAATCTGGTAAGACTAGTACGCCTCATGGCCCCTCGGCGGAGGAATGAATCACCCTAACAGGGGTGAGGCAGCCCCCCAGCCCAACTCGAAGTCTCCTCGAAGTCTCCTCGTGATCGCTCGAACGGTACACTCATTCAAAGAAGTGAACGCAATGGTTGGCGAGATTGAGGTCGAAGCCGAGGCCGACGGCGGGGAACGAGTTGAAGTTGCCACTTCATCAATGTTGGGTCGAATAATGTCGGGGGATACACCGCATGTCACGGAGTGAGCGAACTCTTGGGAAGAGGACGGCGTCTCTTCATCTGACGAACCTGGTAGCGACGAGAAGCTTGGTCTTATCCGGTCAGCTCTCGTAGCACCACGTTGCTGAACGGCTTTTCATGGCCTGAAATGGACTCCTTTTTAGTGAAAGATACGGAGGTAGATGCAGGCGCTTTGCTTCATTGAGCAGGAAGTATCTGTTCGAAGCTCCGGGCCGAAAGGATTTGTCGACTGAGCTAATGTTGCTTCCCACACCTCACTAAAGCTCAGATATGTCCTTTCACATCCCACATCTTTGTTCATTCATCCTCCTCATCATCAACTACGACTCCCGGCCGATTCTTCCTCCCCTGCGGTTCAGGTAAATCCTCGTCGTCATCCCCATACTCTTCCTCCACTTGCTGCGGTACCCCCACTCTGCTCTTCCCGACCGGTTCCGGTAAACCCTGATCCTCCTCCTGCTCATCTTCCTCTTCAGCGTCATCCTCATCCAAAGCACGTCTCTTCTTCCTCTGTCCAACAGGGTTCGGTAAATCGTCTTCATCTTCATCCTCCTCCTCCTCTTGATCATCATCATGTGAACCACGTCGCTTCTTCCCCCTCGCGGCATTCGTCGCTTGAGTACTAGTAGGGTTAGATCGTACCACGGCGGGAGCTTGTCCACGGTGTTGAAGTCGTGCACCTTCGGGGTTGACGGCGCGGCAGGCGTCGATCCATTCGGCGTAAATGTCGATCGGTTCGGTCAGGTCTGTCGTCGAAAGAGGTGGGTTGAGATCGAGGCTTAGTCAGAATGCTTTTGATAACGAGTCTTGAGGAGTCACGTACGATTGATATCGGTCTGTTCGACGAAGTAGGAGAAAGAGATCAGTTCAGTTCTCCGCTGAGACCGTTCGAAAGAGTGTGATCATGCTTCGTCATGTAGACAGGGAGCGCACCTCAAAGTGTTGCGCACAATCTTTACAATCCAACCTGCCGACTTTGGTCTTGTTATCACTATGAAATCACAGGGGCGACAAGATCTCCTCGAGTCAGGCTTCGAGTCGAGGTTCCCACTGCAGTTCCCAGTTCGCTCGAAAGCTTGCATTTTACATGTGATGGTGCCGTTGTGTTGGCAGAACATGCATTTGAAGGTCTTGTCTGAGGAGCAGGATCATGTCCGATGAATGTGTCGGGGCAGGCGGGGGGAACGGTGGTCGTGCGTTTCGAATGCAGAGGGGGACGACATTGCGGGAGACGAGAAGTGTCAGTGCATGTGTTACCTTGGACCAACGTGATGAGCAGACCCGTCGAGGAGTCAGGACTGGTAGCGAGACTGACCTAGGGTCAACTTGACTCGGGTTTGAGGCTTTTTGGCACTGCTGCGTTTACCCATGACGACGAGGTGACAGGGTTGATGAGCTTGGGTCGGGTTGCTGAGACTTGGTAGCCCGAGTGTTTGTGGGGGCAGAGAGTGGGCAGCGGAGCATGAGCCGAGCTCGACGAATTGGGCCAACCAACTAAAGCCAACTAATGGGCTAATCGCGGCTAATGACCCATTTGCGCACTGGAGCTCCACCTCTCCGTCCGATCGCGTGTCTTCTCAGAATCATACACCCCACCCCACACGCATGCGCCTTATCACGAACCTGACCCAACACCTGTCCTTCGCTCGATCCTTGGCTACCATGGCCAACCCAGGTGCTTTCCCTACGCTCAATGGTCAAAGCAGCCGTGATCCGAATGAAGGTGCCGACAATGATTCATCGTTGGGTGCGCTCAAGGGCATGATTGCGCCGAGGGTGAATGGTCAGTACTAAGATCCGATGGGACTTAGAGTCTGTGCTGACTGGGCATATCAACTATCCAACACCCTACGGTGCCCCGCGCGATCTTTGCCTTCCCCCACTTGCGATTGCTCGATCTTCAAAACGACGTCATCATCCCACCACCTCAGTGCTCGGAACCGCTCTCCAACCGATACCCACCACGTCCCTCACGAGCTCGACCCAACCCGCAACCGGTTTCTTCCGTACCAACTACTGCGACGCCTCCCCCCTCGACCCCGGATCGCACACCATCGCCGCGTTGATCACGCCTTCCTTCCTCACCTTCTCCGCCTCCAAAGGCAACGACCTTTCCTCCTTGTTCCCTCGCACCGGTCCTTCCTCACCCTGGGAGAAAGCGAATCAAGTACGAGGCGCACCAGGGGCGTGTTATTGGTGCTTGTGTGCTTCGAGGTGGTGGGAAGCCGTGAAAGCGAGTGAGAGTCATCCGGATGGGGAGGCGATCGTGCCGAGGGTCGTGGTACAGTCTACGCATGCCAAGTGGGCTCAAGGGGTCCGCGCAGCGGATGAGGAGAAGAGAAAGATGTTGGAAAAGTATGCGATCAAGGGCTAGAGCTTTGGTGGCGAGGGGCCGCGGAAGGCAGCACTAGGGGAAGAGTTTTTCTTTGATCGAGATGATAGGGGTCCGCATGAAGCAGGGAGCTGGTAAGTGTGCTGCTTTCAATTGAGAGAAAGATTTGTTGTAACTACGCTTTCATAGTTACGAGTGTAAAATTACAAAGTATTTTTCAAGACGGTACCCCATCTTTCAACCCTCCGCCGCTCGCTGCCCGATTCGCCAGGGTTTTCCATCCATCCGTCCATCCGTCCATCCAGCCGTCCATACTTTACACTGTCACGCTCTTTACCCCTTTATCTTTATTATACAGCTAATTTCACCTGATCCAGTGGCTCGCTTGCGACCTATTTCGAGTCTACACAGGTGAGACTCGGGTGAGCAGCCTCGCTCGCGCTATCAAAGGGCTCAATCACCGTTGGAACTGACGGTAGTCAGCGCACACCTCAACATGTTCCAGTGCGTCAAATTGACGGGATTGACAGGAGGCATAGGAAGCAAATGGCTGACCCCTACCTTAACGGTGTAACGGTGTGCAGACCCATCACCATGATTGGGAACTTGTTGAGGTTGAGGTGCACGCTGACAAGTGTCAGGTCCAACGATGATTCAAGTTGGTCCTCGGTAGTTTTGGGGGTGTCGCGCTTGGTGACTTTTTCGTACTGGTGTTCCATATCTCAGCACTACCGTATCTTTATCGAGCTGACACAGAAGCTAGTTGTAATCCATATCACTTGCACCTGTCATCTTCGGTCACCAGTGAGGCTGAGTCCGCTGTCCGAGACCGTAGCGTGCCTTTCAATGAGATCCTGGTGAGAGTGCTTCTTACTAAAGGGGGACGTACTTGGTGGTCAAGTAAGAGGGCTAGTCAAGTTTCAGCGTGATACATGGCATCTACACGAGATATAGCTGATTGCCGAGCTACGCCGCGGCGTGACGGTCACGTACTACTACTAGATGCCAGCACATTGGAAACGCATCACTTTTCCGGAGCAAACGCACCAAACTTGCGCGATAAATGCACGATTTGTAAGTGAACTTTGCACAAGTTACTACCAGGGGGGCGATGCGTCAAGCTTCGGGGGCAAATGCGCGCGCGTAGTTTGTGCAATTTGTGATCGCACCATTTACTCGCGGCATTAACCCATTTTTCTTTTCTTATCCCTTTGTCGTTGAAGCTTGCAGGGAATAATAGGCGCGTGTGCAAGTTCACGTCGACCGTGCTCGACTACTCTTGCCTCTCGCTGAACTGCTCGCGTCAAAGACTTCAGGGCGCTGATCCCCGTATCGTGTCGTCAGATCATGGACCCAAATAACGACATTTTCCAGTCCCCGTACACGTTACTATATGATGGTTCAAACTCTGACTATCACCCCTGCGGCAAGGTGGACGACTTCAGCTACCGCGCGATCGGCACGCCCTTCCAAGGGGCGCCCCTTCCTCCCTCGTCACAGCTCCCAGTCTCAGCAATACTGGATACCTCACTTCAACAACGACTAGAAGGCGCGCTACTTGACTTTCTGGGCGCGCATGACTTGTTGGAACCTGTGTACAACGAGACGCGCAAGCTGCTGCTGCATGTGGGACAAACACGACTCTTCTGTACGAACTCACCCGAGTGCATCGTTAGTATGCACGACCTGCGTATCCGAATACTCGAGCCCCTTGTCACGATCGCACTGAAAAAATATCACGACAAGATCGAAGAGGACGGCAAGAAGTCGGGCGGTATTTACCTCCTCCACTATCGTCCCGAAGACCCCATTCAACCCCAACTCCCTCGCGGGATCACCTTTGCTCTGAGGCACACGATAACGGGGGTGGCGTCCAACACGACCATATCGTTTGAGGAAGACTCGAGCTTCCTGACCTTTGGATGTCAGCCGAACGGGTTTGCCCGCGAGGACGAGTGCAAGTTCTTCCTCAACGAGGGTGAGCCGATCCCGCTCGATCCGTGCGGCAGGAGCCACGGCGTGCAGGCGATGCTGAACAAGGTGAGCATCTTGCATTCACTCGTGCTTCGCTCAATGGTCACTAGATTGCTAACTGTATCTTTCTTTGGGTCTCCAGCTCGTCTGGAGGATGCAGTCTGCAATTCAGCGTGACCCAAAGACGGGTAAAGTCGAGGTACCGGTGCGCTTCGGCATCATTATGAGCACTCATTTTGCCATTCTGGCCGAGTCGGGTAAGTTGGATTGGTCATGACGAGTTGAGCTTGCCCATCCCTAAGCCACCTTCTGATCCCCTGACAGTCACCAATCCGAACAACGATCAAGAAGCTGGGCTCGTCTACACCCCCATCTTCAAAACCGGCAATGACGTTAAGGATCGGGATCGAGATGCGTTCAATTTCCGCCCAAAATCCATTCCGCTTTTGTTCCTCGCGATTATACTAGACTATCTCGTCAAGGTCCCACCTCCGCCCGACAAGATTCTCAACTTGTTGTTTGGTACGGGGAAGCATCTGGACGATTCTAGCGGAGACTCGGGTGTCGAGGGGCAGACCAAACCTGAACGCTCAGAGGAAGGTGACGGGGAACACCCAACTGGACTAGAGAACAAGCGACAGACAACAGGTCACCCAAGTGAATCAGATAATAAGGGCCTTCCGGACTCATCCGCCCATGTCGTATGACCACCATGCAGCTCGCTGTCCAAGCGAGGCTGAACACCACTCTGTGGCCGGTAAGTCGTCTCTATCACCATCGGATGAGGACGGAAGTCGTTCGGCTTCTTCCCCGACTTCCACCGCGGGTAGCTGACAAGGCTCTCTTTCCGACTTTTAGCCACGAATAGCTCTCTACAAATTTGATTGAGGGAACTGGGTGAACCGGGGCACCCGTATCGAAGCCGTCACCTTCGAGGTCGTCAGCAAGCCGGGCAAACCGTTGAAGGCTCGCGACACAACCCCAGTAATGACCTTGTCCACCTTCCCCCCGCGTTAGTGTATTATCTTTCCCGGCCCCTGGGCGAGCTGTATGAGCGAAGAGAGAGCTCCGTCGTTTTGTCCGATTTGAAAGAGGTCAAACTCAACACTCTACCGGTGTTCGCTGCAGCGCACCTCCTGGGAGAAGGCGGGTTCGGCTCTGTGACCGCTGGCAGATTAGTGGCCAGCACTGCCGCAATCAGGGACGTGGATCCCAAGGATCGCAGCTCGAAGGCTCCTGAAGTGGGAAGTTCACCTATAGAAGCTCGCAATGAGGACTCGACCGACTCAAGATCGAGCTCGATCCCGACCCTAGTTAATTACTATGGGCCAGCGCCCGATTTTTATTTTTTTATCCAATAAATTTCAATCACAGTCTAATTTTATTAAGGCCAAGAAGCCCGACAAGGGTCGTCTCTTTTTGTAGATCATAGCTGGAATTCCAATTCTCATCATCATCCAGGATTTGGCCTACGAGGCGGCGGTGGCTCGCTCACGCTGGGTTCCACCTGCCGACCGCCAACGCAACGCACCGCCCGAAGCTCACTACCCTCGCCGATCCGGTGGTTCTCGCTCGTTGTTTTCGTTCAAGCTGGCCCATCTATTGGACCCCTTGTGGTGGCGCACCCAAGCGCATCACCTCAGCTCGTCGACCGCTTCCGCTCGCTTGGACGTGCTCGACGGTCTCTCGTCGCAACTCGCCCAGTTCGATTCGCTCTTGCGTGCTTCGGATAACGTCGTCGCGAACAAGGCTGTTCAGCTGTTGGGTAGGTCTACAGGTGGTCTCTGTGGCGTGTGGGTGGGGGTGGGTGGGCGCGAAGGGCTAATGATCTCCCTGTGCTTCGTCCTCCCCACGTGCTCTCTCGCACTCCCGCCTTCTTCATCTCCTTCTCCCCTAATCAGACCATCCCACAACAACCCAAACTCTCCAACTCATCTCCACCTACTCCCCCTACTGGTTCCCCGCGTTCCTGATCTTCCTGACCTCCCTCTACTCGCGCCGTTCGTCCCGTCTCTCCGAACAAGGTCGTATCGAGCGCCACATCTCTGCCCGCCTTCAAGCGCGAGCTTACGCCATTACGGACAAGATGTTTGACCTTGGACTGGGGACACCGAGTGCTGAGGGGATGCCCAGTGGGAATGGGAGCGGTAAAGGGTGGGGAGAAGTCGAGGTGCAGTGGGGTAAGGAGAAGTAAGTCCACAGAGCTTTGGATGAGGGTATAGGGGCTTTGAATTGATAAAGTCTCTGGGCGGTTGTCGTTTACAGGATTCGAGTTCCACTCCCACCCCCTAATTCACCCCTTTCGACGCTCAAAGCAGCCCTGTACGTTTTGACGACCCTCTCGATCCCCAGCAGCACTCGACTAACCCCACCTCCTTGGACTGGCCCATAGTTTCAACATCACCGGCGTAGCCCCCGACCAACAAAAATTGATCTACTCCGGCGCGATCCTCAAAGACGACCTCGCGCCTCTCTCCTCCTTCGGCCTAATCGATAACCCTCAACCCATCTCCACCTCCTCCCACTCGACCATTCCCAGCTCTACAAGATCCTTCTGGGACACTTGGGCCCTCCTCGGTTCCTCCCAAAACGCTTCTCGACGTAAATTGAAAAAACTGATCCTTCTCGGTTCCAAAGACGTTTCGGCGCAAATCGACGAGCGTCTCATGAATCGCGCCGATTTACTCCCCACGGGGGCCGAAGAGATCGTACCTTTGAAATCGATCTTGACGGAGGAACAAGTGATCGAAAAGGTTGATCAAGTCGCGCAGAACAAGTTGAAGGATTTGCTACCGGATTTGGAAAAGGTGGAACGATGGATCGCGAGCGTAGAAGGTGGAAATGGAAACCCCCGCCCGCAGGTGGAAACGGAGACGGCAACGGCAACGGAAATGGAGATGGAGAAACCGAATCCAAGGACCTTGATCTTTCTCTCCGAAGCATTACTTCAAGCCTTGTTGAAGCTCGATTCGATCGAGGTGCAAAGTGGGTATGATCGAGCGAGGGCGGCGAGGAAACAAGGCGTTAGGGACTTGCAGGCCGCTTTGGATAGCGTCGATGCGTTGAAGCCGAGGTTCAAGAAGGCCTTGGCGAAAGAGTAGAGAGGGCAGAACGAGTGCAATGGGCTTACAAAACTCTGGTCGGTGGTGATAGATTTATGTGCGAGAATGAAATGAAGAACTTCGATTTTGACTGAAGACTATGGCTTACACGCTTAGGAAGAGAAACCGGGAAACTTGGATATCATGGAGCTAAAACATAATTGATGATAGTTTACAACACATAGACCCAGAACCCACCCACCCACTAGGCTCCTCGTCATTCACTGCAACAGGAAATTCCCCACAATAGCCGAAGGGATCGCATAACTATCCCTGCGTATCGTAAACGAGAAACAACACTGTGGGCATCTCGAAATCGAAGCATCAGCCTCTCAAGACAAGATACCTCCCATTTGATTTTTTGACGCAGTAAGGGGTGGTACTCACCGAAATCATGGCGTCCTTTCTCAACTTGGCTTTATCGACGCCGGCTTTCTTCTTCTTCCTTTTGAGAATCGATTGGTTGACCAAGACGCAACTGGTCAAGACGGCTTTTTGACCAGCGTCGAAAGCGATCTGGAGCGATCCACAAAGGAAAACGTCAGTCAAGCCCACTCCACCAAGCCTTATTTCACCACCCCTGAACGCCCAACTCACATTCCCATACTTCTCCCAATAATTCACCGCGCTCTCTTCAGCCATCAATTCATAAATCGCCAGCTTGCCCCCTTGTAGATGCTCAATCGGGACCCCGACCAAAGCTGCGAATTCCTTATTGCCTTTATAAATTTCGCCCGTTCGTCGCCAGAGACAGGAGGGGATGCCCATCGAGGAGAAGACGCGGTCGTAGTCTAGGAGAAGGCGCTCGAAGGCCTCTTCGATGAAAACGAGGTCAAGGTCCGTTAGGCCCGAGGCGATGGCCTGTGATGCAAAATGAGAAGGTCATTACTTTGAACAAGTAAAAGGGCTTCGTAGGGAGTGGATGTCTCACCCTGAACGCCGGTCGGAATTCTGAAAGGGTCTGCAACGTCCTCTGTCGCGAGCTCTGCGACATGCTGATCGAGAAAACAAAAGCGTATGAGCACGACGTAGCCCACTCTTCCTGACACATCAGATTCAGACTCACTTATCCGCCATCCACCTCATCAACCTCGTATACCCCGCAACATGGTTATAAGGTCTCAACAAGCCCGCCTCGAACTTGGCGTGTATAACTCGCGCCAACCGATCCGACCGCGAGCCGTCTTTCTGATCAGCCGCGGTAAGGAGGAAGCGTTCGGTCCTGTGCGGCATCACACCACGGAAGTGTACATGATCAGCGATCTGAAACGCTGCCTTCCTGCGCAGAAATGACCCACTTATTGATAGGACTACCGGGTACGCTCGGACCTGCACTTCGGTTATTGGATGGAGGTTCCGTTCCCGCGGCGTTCGGTTCGCCTTCCAAAGCCGTCTTGGTGTTCGTCGGAAGACCATCCAGATCGAGTTGGGGTATCGGTTGAGACATCTGTTGCGATTGTTGCTGCGCTTGCTGCTGCGCCGAGTTGGGAGTCGGGGCGAGCGGTTCGGAGAGGGCGAAGGGGGAGTCGTTGAGGGATTGCAGGAATTCACTTTGGGTTGTTAAAAGGGGTCTTGAAGGTCAGTAAACGAATATAGAGCATCTTTACTTGATTCCTCTTGCTCACCTCAGACCAAGTCCTTGGAAATCTCCGTTCTCCGCCGACATGTCGAGACCCAAGCCAGCGCCCATCCCTTCTCGATCGCTTGCCAGGTCGAGCTGAACAGACATCCAAAGTCTGGTTAGCTTCTACTACAGCTTTCGTGGACATTTCGTAACTACAACTGACCATAGCGAGGTTAAAATTGTTGTTGAGCAAGGGCGGAAAGCCCGACAGGGTCGATTGCGGACCGAAATTGACGAGCGGCGAAGTCGGCGCCATCGAACTCGTCGGATAGGGATTGGGTGGGATCACTCTTGTGAACTGCGGTGATGGACTCGGGTTGGGCAAGGAAGGCAGAGGCCCCAAGTTGGCGAGGGAGGGCGTTGGTGCCGGTGCGGGGGAACCACTCGTCGCTCGAAGGGGACTTGAATTGTCGTGGAAGCGGGGGTGGCTATGCTGCGGTAGTGGTAATGAGCTACTACCCGCTTGACTCGATTGTTGTGCTTGTGCCTGCGCCTGCGCCTGCGCCTGAGCCTGCGCCTGAGCCTGAGCCTGAGCCTGAGCCTGAGCCTGAGCCTGAGCCTGAGCCTGAGCCTGAGCCTGAGCCTGAGCCTGAGCCTGAGCCTGAGCCTGAGCCTGAGCCTGAGCTTGCAGTTGTAACCCCTCATCAATGCACAGATGAGCGATATCCCTCTTGACGCAACGCGAACAAGGCCGAGCGGCATCGCACGACATGTGCGAACGACGACAGAACTTGCATGCTTCGGCGACTTTTGATCGACGCGCTTTCTTCGCTTTGGGTTGGCCCGAGGGGGTGTTGGCCGAGCTGGAGGCGTGCAAGGGGGATCCGTCACGCGAGGTGTTGGATCCGCGTGGGTGGACGCCCATCGCGAGAGGAGAGCTCTTGGCTGGCCACGAACGAATTGATCTTGAAGAGCGTGTTTCGAGTTTGGTGTACGCCCTAGACGATCAGGTCCGGGTTGAGTTGAGGTGGGGCGCTGGGTTGCGACCAAAGTATTCGTTCGAGCGTCGAGTCCGGGGAAAGCGGTCCGAGGCGGTGGTGGTCGGCGTGGGTGGGGTGGAGCAGCAACGGAAGGCGAGTGGAGCTACAAGAGCAAAGACGTTGGATCTTGCAGGGTTCACCACGTCTTCACCAGTCCGATATCCGCTAGCCTCGTATTGCTGGCGGTCGAGGTCGCCGAGTTGTTGTTGTAGGGCAGTTCGCGACGAGGGCAAGAGCAAGCCGGGCCAGGAACCGTCGATCGTGCCCGCCTGCAGATCCTCTCTATTCCACTACTATTCAACTGCTCGGCTTCGAAACTTGGCAACCCCGCGCCAACCTCCAGGTTTTATAACCGAGCTCCTTCTCAAAATTGGTCGAGGTCACATTCACTTCTGATATTCCGGCAACTGAGATGTTCTCTTACTGCCATGACTTGTATCGTCAACTTCAAGTTGTATTCGAAACAACCGGCGAAGAGAGAATCGGACTATGTACTTGTTTCCAACCAACGAAAAAGAGTACTCATGTTAGCCGCGACGATGACGACGCCAGATACATCGTCGGGCAGATACAGTGCAAGCCTTGTTGGACACCGAAACCGTAAAGAACGAGAGCCAAGGATCCAATGCCGATGTGAGGGTAGATAGCGGGAAAACGATTTTCAGGTTCGCGGATAAGTCCGTTCGTCCTCGGGGCCATCAATAATTACGACTCAATCACCAAAGTGACCGGGGAAAAATGGAAAAAGAGTGAGAACAACAAGGAAGGTTTACCGACGAGACCTCCGATCAAGCCGCCGACAAAGCACAAGACGTTTGCAACGTAGAAAAGTTGTCAGGCGGCGAACCGAGCTGGACGGCAAAGTTGGACGTGATGCCGACGAGGAAGCCGATGGCGACGGCGAAGACGAGTATTGAGATAGCACAGCTGGGAGGAAGAAGAGACCCGAAGGACCGATGTACATCTTCACAGAGTCTCCAAGTTGGTGAAAGCGCCATTGAACGCGGCAAGTTTCTGGCTCCAAGTCTTGTGTGTCAGAACCCAATCATACTGATTCTCTTCTAATTCTATTTACTTCTCATGCCACTATTCCACTCCTACTTTGCACTCCTTCTTTAGCCTATTACCCTCTACGCCGGATCCCAGCGCCTGATCGAGACTCGGTTGACACGTTGGCTTGGGTTGAAGTCGCGCGCCTCGCGGGCACTCGTCTCTCTTCCTTCTTCATCCATCTTCCATCCTCGATCTTGCGCTCGTACTCAACCCCTTGAGTCGGGATCCAGTCCTCCATACTTCTCACATTGTGCGCCCGGGTCTCGGTCTGGTGATGCTCGGCGTTTTGCTCTCGTGGCTCATCTTCTCCGGGTCGACATGGCGCCCGTCGGGAACAAGTGGAAACGAGCGATGTTGACTCGGCTCTCTCGGGGAAGGGTGAAGATGACGAGCAATGTACCCAAGCCGCTCAGGGCCCAGCCGACCCAGCAGATGAGGCGCCATTTGCCCGTGCCGCGGGCGATCAGACAGGCGATGTTGATACCAACACTGACACCGATCGAGAGGAAGACCTGGTAGAAGCCGAGGAAGGTACCTTTGCCCGCAAATGTGTCGAGCAAGCGCGTCGGCCGCGCGGGGTGGGGGAGCGGGGAACTGGAGAAGCGCGCGAAGTCAACGTGAGAGTGCAGCTAGCGCCGGAGTGGAATCTCTCCTGATCTCTCCTCGCATTGGCTCATGCAGAGCACACACGCTCTACATACTTCCACGAGAGATGACCGCCAAGGTAGTCGTGATCACCGGATGCTCGAGAGGAGGAATCGGTGTGTTCAAGACCTTCGACGATCATTGACTCGTCGAATGAGGTGGAATGCCGTCCGCTGAGCTTACCCTTGACTCATCAGTGCCGTCCACTGACCTTACCTTTGATTCATATCACAACGATGATCACTTCCCATCACTCATTCAGGTTGGGCCCTTTGTGAGGAATGGAACAGAAGGGGCCACAGAGTTTTCGGCGCCTCGCGCTCGCTTGTCAAGATGCAGGGCCTATCGCAAGGCATCACCCCGGTCGAGCTCGACGTCAACTCCGAGGCCTCCGTCAAGGCCGGCGTCGCCGAGATCATTCGGCAAGCCGGCAAGATTGGTGAGCTAGGGGATAACTCAAGTGAAGGTCATCCCTGCTAGAACCAGAATTGACAGCCAACATCTCTTGAACTACCCACAGACGTCTGCATCAACAACGCAGGCCAAGGTTGCGTTGCCCCGTTGATCGAGGTCGATCCGGCTGAGCTCCGCAAGACGTTTGACGTCAACGTTTTCGGGCTTTTGACAATGGTTCAAGCCGTGGCGCCGCACATGGTAGAGCAAAGGTCTGGTACAAGTGAGTCAACCGAGAGTTTGAAGTGAACTAGTAGCCAGCTCTAGCGACCCCTTTTGTCTAGTTGTGAATATTGGATCAATCGTCGCATACGTGCCGACGCCGTGGGCCGGTGTCTATTGTGCGACCAAAGCCGCCGCGTACAGTCTCAGCGACACACTCAGAATGGAACTCAGGGGTATGTGCAGCGCAAATCGCTTTACAGCGCCTCTGAGAGCGTGAATGAACTGGATATTGTCACTCACCTTCAACTATCAGGATTCGGCATCAAGGTCGTCTGCGTCGCTCCGGGGGCAATCAAAAGCGCTATAGGAGCGTCGAATGACAAGCGCGCGGTCCTTTCCCCCGCATCCGTGTACAGCAACGTCGAAGCATTCGTCAGATCAAGAGGGTCCTGGTCGCAGAGTAAGCTTATCCCGAAAGTGGCTCAAGCCAAGCAATGATTGCGTGTTTATGACCTTTCCATGACTCGTGAACAGATCCCATGTCGACCACTGCCGAGGAGCTGGCGAGCTCGATCGTCGACGCTGCACTCTCCAAGAGTCCTCCGCGGTATCTTTCGTACGGGTACAGGGTGAGTGACCGCCTTCCGTTGACGATCTCCACCAAGAGTCAGAATCTTACTGCCCTTTTACCATCATACACGCGTCTCTCGCCCACTTGCAGTCCACTTCTGCGAAGCTATCGTACTACCTCCCCACTTTACTCAAGGAGTATTTCTGGGGCACTCAATTCGGGATCGATAAAGTTGGCGCTTCGCGGCACCTCTGATGCTAGGAGATCTTGTGAGATGTGTAATACATAGCGTGGGATGATTTATGTATTTGTCTCGAATATGACTGGAAAGAGTTGTGTGGCATTGATCGGTGACAGGTCTGCCGGGCATCGTGGGCAAAAAGGACATGACAGAAAGGAACAGAAGACTAGGAAGCGAAGGCGCTGCATGCCTTCGGAGATTCACATCCATGATGTTGCAGATACCCACCACCAAATGAGGGAGCACTAGACAGGCAGAAGAAAGAGTCGCTTCAAACGAAAACTGCCTAACCTGCTCTAGATGGGATAGCGAGGAGGTTGTTTGTTTGTGACCACTGGTCTGGGTACATTCCTGGATGCCGTCGATGCCGTTGAAACGGCCGTATCCGCCCAATTCCCATCCACCGGGTGGCATTTGTGCAGACTTATGGATCGTTGCTCCTTGGATGTGCTGTGGTAAAGCACTGCGAGTGACTACTGAATTTCAAGGAGGGCAAAGTCAAAGAAAGGTAACTCGAACGCTGACCATCTTGCCAGCATCGAAGCCGTTCGCCAGTCGGTAAGCTCGCTGGGTGTTCTTTGAAAAGGCGGCCGCAGCGGGACCATCTAGGTTGAGTATCGGATCTCGAAGTCAGTAAACCAAGGGATGGGGCAGATAATGCTTTATGGGTTGAGCGCGGCTCACAGTAGGGACCGTTTGCGAAGAACAACGCCTCCGTCTCTGTACCTAAGCAAGCTGAAGACGGGCGCAGACCCCTCCTTTCGGTCATTGCCTGGTTCCGAGGTGATATTAGAGACAATCAATGGGCTGCCGACTCCAAATCCCAAAAGGAAGAGTTTCTCGGAATGGTCACTCCTGCAAGAATCGATAACTGAGTAATAGTTCCCCTCGATCTTAGGCTGTCCCGCTGCGACCGTCGCTTTGAAGCGCAGCATCGATGAGCTGTTGACTCGCGTGGCGCTGAGGGTGGAGAACACACCTCGCAGCAGGGCGTCACTGGGAGCGGACAAGGTGTCTGTTTTGGCCTTGAGGAGCGACGTCAACTCGTCAAACACTGCACTGTGAGCGAATGAAGAATGGTAGAGCGGAAAAACATTAGGCTCGGGCTACCGTGGGATCATTAGGACTAAAAGACATCGGCGCAGTCAACTGATTCACTCTTCTTGAAGCTAGGCAAACTTGGCCCGAATGAAAGAACCCTCCCAAGCTTGTACGATTTTACGATTCAAGGAATGCTCGGTGAGTCAAGCTTCAATGTGCTGTACAGTTGGGCAGGACGACTCACTGTGCAAGGTCGGCTTCGGCCGTCACGCTCGCGGGCTTTCCTCCGACCCTGAACACGATGGGCTTGAGATGCTTTCCACTCAAGTACAATGGATCTTTTTCAAGTGCACCACGTCGATGACGAAGACTCCTCTGCCTACTCACTTGATCTTTTGGAATCGCCAATCGGCCATGGTGGCCTCGGCTACCCCTGGCGCATCCTTGGGGCAGACGTGCACCACTCTGAGGACTGAGGCAATATGTTAGGTTTTCTGATTCGATTATACGGCATCAAAAAGCATATATTTGCCTTACCTCCAGCGGGCTGTCCTGTATCCTGGAGTACCTCGGCAAGCATGCCAGATTGGGTTAAAGGGCTTGCTTCGGACGTTTGTGAAGACTGTAAGAAGGAAAGGAAGGCGTCAGGATAATTCTTATGTAATAACGGAGAATTAAAACTGATAAGAAACGCCTAAATAGCGGTATTGCATGCCATGATGGCTGCAGGCATTGCGATAGGATTACCGGCGCCTTCCACGGTGCCATCCCGAAGACCACGCCAAACTTGAAGGAGCAACGATTGATATTTGTGATTCATTGCATTCGTTAGATAACGGAGAAGGGTCTATCAGCTCATAATATCGATGGATCCAGAGCAATAACCGTGCAACGGATGCTTTCCTGACTTACAGACTCGCTGAGCCGAATCCGTCTGAAATGGCGCGGTCGAGCGACGGTCCCACTTGCCCGACCGTGCTGAAAGCGACTCGGGCGCGCCCGCGCATACATCCAACCCGATTCCCGAGGAGGCCGCGCCCACTTTGCAGACCGACGCTTCCTCAGCTCTCTCGCTCGTCCACCTTTCCTAATATCCTCATCATATCAATCAAGTCACCGCCAACACCATGTCATCATCTGAGCTCTCGCTTGAGTCGACCAAGCGCTTCCATCGTGTGCCCATCGGATTTGGTCCGGCCCCCACCCCGCGACAGGACCACGAGGGCAAGCGCTTCGACTGGAGCAAAGCCCAAGCGAAGACGATCGGTAAGTGATGAGTCTGAGCAATCTGGATGCTCCCGGAGTTGTGGAATCGTCCTTGTCGCTTATATTACTTCCTCGGCGGCTTTCCTGCATGGTAGACGTGACGTACACTTCGGACCACGCCGCGCTGGATGCGATTCTGCTCGATGGGTATGCGACCGACAAGTCCAAGGACGCTGTCGTCTTGTTTGAGGTCATGGAACTCCGCAACCTTCCCTGGCTCAATGGCCGAGGCTACAACACGTGGGGCGTCTATGTCGCCAATGTTGTGTGTTTGAGGTGAGCCCCATTCACATTTGTCGGCCGTTATGTAACCCTCTAAAATCTTGCCCGATCCTTGACCCTTGCAGGACCAAGAAGCCATACACCGGAAGTTACATATCTGTCTTATTCGAGACATTGTGAGTCTCTTTCAGGTGCAACAACTTTCACAACAGCTTGCTGATTAGCGTCGACCACTCGGCTACAGCACGGATCCCATCACGACCGGTCGCGAGGTCAGTTTTTTGTTGGGATCACCCCGAGTCTGAAGAGTGTTCCACCCTCGCTCATCATTCGCTGTACTGTGTCTTTGTTCAGGAGCTGGGCTTCCCCAAGCTTTGGGCTGAACTCCCGGATGGCATAATTGAAGGCTCGAACCGCACCCATATCGTTCGGAGCCGAGTTCATGCGACTCGAGCTGTCGGGCCTCGTCGACAAGCCGGTCGAGGAAGCTCCGGCGCACCACCCTCGAGCCTGGACGCACCGTGAGTCCATTTAGAACATCATCTCACGAGTTTGAAGCTTTGTCCGACCATTCACGGTATACAAACAGCGACTCAATCTGGAATTCTGCACCATCGCTACGTCCCGACCGTCGGGCAACCTGGCCAGCACGATGCGAGCTACACGACGTGGTGCCCACCTCCTCCGGGAAAGGCGCCGGTGATCGCGTATCAGACGGTTGAGAAAGCTGACCTGAACAGCATCAGACTCGAGATCTTTGAGAAGAGTTGGGAGGAGCTACCGACACTTTGGAATGTTGTCAAGGGCCTGAAGTCGCTTTCGAGAAAGGAGGTTCTCGAAGTTGCCGTGCAGACTTTCCAGGGAGCGAGCGATTTGATTACCAACCAGAAGGTAGAGTGAGTTCGCGTGAAATACTAGTAGGTGGCGTCCTTGCAATTGGGTCTCAAGTCTCGAAACTTCTCACACGTATGCTTCAGCAACACGAATCCTTCTATGCCTGCAGCAAGAGTCGGTAAGAATCGAACTAGCAAAACCGTGACTCGTCGTCGAGCGGTCTGAAAGTATTTGAAGCTGTTGTAACTTCGGGGTTGATGTACCGAATGAATGGAGCTTTCGCACGTGCTACGTGTCGTTGATAGATGACCTATTGTGAGATAGAGTATCGCCAAGGTCAATCAACTTGTAGCAGGGCGAATGGGCGAGATAGATATCGAGTGTGTGTTAAACAAGAGAGAGAGAGAATGAGACCAGAGCCTTAGACTGTATCCGCTTGCAACCTTCTTCGATCTTTTGACTTCAGACCCCCCTGAGACCGCCATACTCCTTGAGGCCCCTTAATTCTTTGACACGCGTCGAACAAGGCCTCCGATGGCACCTTTTTATTTATTTTTTATATATTTATTTACTGGGGCTCATAAATTGCAATCCTTCGGGTTGGCTGGGACCGCTACAAAAAGAGCTAAAAGAGGTTATAAAGCAACGACGGCAAGCAATTGGGTGAAAGTCAAACCCCTGCGCGCAAAGAGCGCTGCGCAGATCAAAACCCGCCGAGCACCTAACGCGGACTCCAACGGGCGGTGAGTACTGCTGCCGCTTCACGTCCCAAGAGCGGGAGCGAAGATACTCGAAAACCAGGCAAGAGCGCCTAGAGAAAGAAAAGGGGAGAATAAACAAAAAATCACGACTGGAAACACGGAGAACCAGGAATACTAAGACAGAGAGGAGGGGAGGAGGAGGGGAACACACCCGAGGGGCCAAGGGAGGGGGTCGAAGCCAGAGCTAGAGGTCCCCAGGGACTGACAGGCCGCAGCCAAGCCCCAGCTACTCGTCACCCCGACAGCGCCTGATGTCCTCCCTTGGCTGAGTCTCGAGTGCTGGCTGTTGAGCCGTCGGGGCCGAGCGAAAACGATCCAATACAACGAAACAAGCCTCGCCTTGACGCGAGGATATTGACCAAAAAAACGAGCGACCTTTCTTCCCGATCCATGCCGTAGATCTTGACCAACGCGAACGAACGATCTATTCGACGGAATCCAACACACGGCTTAGGAATAAAAGGAGAAGTGGCTGAAGCGTAGTCAACAACCGAGCAACAGGAACGAGAAGAGGAAGGGAAGGGAGAAAGGGGAAAGAGAGGGGAGAACTTCACAAAGCCTCCAACGCAACGACGATCGACCCGGCTTGCCGATCCATCCAAGAACGAAAATCGCTACTGCGCAAAGTAGAGAGAGGGAGAGGTGCGCAGCCTTCCACTGCGCAACAAGTTTCAAGACAGTCAGCTTCTGAAAGAAAAGTCGACCTCCGAAAAGGAAGGGAGGAAAGGAGGGGAGAGAGAGGAGGGGAGTTTTTTTTTTTTTTTTTAGTTTTTTTTTTGGTAGAACTTGTTCATCATATTGCCCCCAGTTCATGTTCCCCCTGATTGGCCTACGGAAAAACTAGATGGAAGTCGACGATGATAACACAAACCGCCCGCAAGACCGCCCGCAAGATGCGAGAAACGGGCCAAGTCCACCAATCCGATACTTCGGATTCAAGTGCCCCAGCCAAGCGGTTGCTCCCCCCCAGGAGACGAATGAGAGAGAGAAAGGAAAACAACTAGCGTACTAACGACAAGAGGCCCACCCTGCCGCCACTTCCCAACTCGGTCGAGACAAAGACAGGAGAGCGACTGCGCAGCTACCCTGACCCGCGAAGTCCCCAAGTCTATGCTCGGTCACAACAAGACGCGGTGGAGGCCCCTCAAAACCTCCACCTCAGCAGTCCCTGGCCCCTCAAAGCCGACTTTCTGCCTGTGTCTGCTGATCCCTCCCTTGACTCAGAACCCCGAAGCCAAAGAGCGCGAGCCACCGTCGAGTCAATCCCAAATCGCGAGCCGGTCCATGAGCAACGGAGGCAGACCTGTAATAAAAGAAAGAAAGATGAAGAAAATATATTTAGTATACAGTTTTTGTAAGAGGATGTGTGATGTGGGGTGTGTGAGTGTGGGATCGGGTGGGGGGAAATCGAACCCAGCCTCTACTGCCCTCGCCCGCCCCTTGCTCCCCCCGCCCTCAACTTCATCCTCTCCTCCAGTACCACCCTCCTCCGCTCCAGGCTTTCCATCCTCGTCCCGTGCTTCTGCATCCTCCATCTCCCACTGCTGATCATCTCCAAGACCATCCCCGTGAAGATCTCGATCGTCCTGCCTGCGCCTTCCTGTTCGCTGAGTTTGGCCTTGAGCTTGGGGAGGCCAAAGAGTCGTTGCAGTGTCGTGTACTCGGCGTCCTCGATCGTGTCGCATCCGAGCGCGTCGCAGAGCACGCCCCTCGCCGCGATCCAGACGTTCCGCGAGTCGACGCAGCCGAAGAAGTAGTGATCGGTGTCGTCCACCGGCGCTTCGCACACGAGGCACGCGGGAGAAGTGTCATGCTTTTGCTCGTGCTGGATCTTGCGCGTCGGGGTGAAGCGGAGAATCAGCTTGAACCAAACTTCCCTCTCCCTCGCTGTCAGTGCCTTCGAGTTGACCGCCTTCCAGAAGCTCCTGAGATCGTCTGGCTGCGGTGGTCCCTTGAGCCCGAGCGTGTTGGTGAAAGCCTTCGCGTTCAGGACCCGGCGGATGCGACGGATTGTGTAGGGTCAAGCCATGTTCAGCAGCGTATACTGGCTCGCCTGTTGTGGAAGCACCGGGTCCGGAAGGCGCTGCTCCATTGCGAAGCGGGCCACGGGCTTGGGGATGACCGCCTCGAGCGGTGCGCTGGTGCCGATCCGGGGAGGCACGTTGAGTCGTCCCGCCGCCACCGCCGCCGCCAAGGGTGTGTTCTTGTGTCGATCGACAGTGAACCGGTACCAGGCCGCGATTGCCAGTCGCTGCGGGAGCCCGCGTCGATCGTACTCGCTGTTGTCGCCGAGCACATCCGCCTGCGGCGTCCAGAGGTGAAACCCCCCACCCGCATACAACTCACGCCGATAGAGATCCGCCACCTTCGGGTAGCCCTGGAGACGAAGGTAGTCAGGTACATGAACCGCGTCGATGGTCTGTCTCCCTCTGATGGGGGTGTGGAGGCTGCCGAGCAGGGTGGGCAGCGCGAGCAGGTTCGCGGTGGTCAAGGCCCTCGGGTTGACCTGCGCGTCGTGAAGTTTCGGAACGCCCAGTGCGGCGTGCCATCGGGGATGAAGGTCGTTGGGGATGGGAGTGGATGGATGTGGCCAGAGATCGGTGGCCAGGTCGAGGTCGGGCTGAGCTCGCTGGAGTGCTGCGCGCGCAAGTCCTTGCCAAATCGCGCCGGAACCGCCGAGAAGAACGTCCCAGAGCCGTGCCGCAACCGCGTCCACAACGTCCCGCATCCTTATCACCCCGAGTCCCCCCTTGTTCTTGGCGGTGAACACAATGTCTCTGCCGTAGCTGGTCCTGCCCTTGCCCCCACGGACGAAATCGACGAGCATGTCATCGAGCTTCTTGACGACTTCGGGCGGCGGGATGTCGGCTGCAAGGAAATGCAGGATCTTGGGAATGGCGTACCGATTGACGTAAAAGGCACGGGTGTGGTGCGTGAGCCAGCGATGCTGAACCGCTTCCAGCGTCGCCTCGAGCCGTTCGATGAGATTCGCGTAGGCGAGTTCGGTGTCGCCGCTGGGGTCGAAGGGGAGGCCGATCCACTCGAGCGACTCGCCTGCGGCCTTGACGACGATTGGCCGTTCCCCAGGGTCCCAGCGACGTCCAATCGGTAGGACAACCGTCTTGTCCGTGTTGAGCCGGCCATTCGTTGCATGCCTCCAGTCGAGCGCCAGGTCATCGAGCAAGTTGAGTGACTCCAAGCCCGCGACGGCGACGACAACGTCATCGGCAAATGCAAGTGATGTAATGGCGCGGCTCTGTGGGTACGGATGAAGTGCAGGTATGGAGAGATTCAGCGCGATGTTTCGACGGTGTAGAGCATCCAGGAACGGCTGAAACACGATGTCCCAGACCGACGATGACGCCGGGTCCCCTTGGCCGAGCCCACACGTCAGTCGCACCGGCGCCGTCAGGAACCCATTGATGATGTAGCGCGCCGAGGTCGAGTCACCCGAGTAGAGCATCCTCAGCACGCGAAGAAAGGTGGTAGGAGCGCCCAGAGCGTCGAAGATGGCAAAGATCCAGTCATGCTCGACGAGGTCGTAGGCGGATGATTGGTCAAGAGACAAGAGCGCGGCCGCGGGGAACTCGGTCCTGCGCGCGCCAAGTTCCTCGATCAGGAGACGAAGGTGTAGTGCAGCGTCGGCCGATCGGCGGTCCTTGACGAAGCCGTGCTGCTGCGGCGGGAGGAGATCGGGCAGAATTTGGTTCAATCGGGCGACGTAGACCTTGGTAAAAATCTTGTAATCGCACTCGCGCAGGGTGATGGGGCGATACGACGAGAGTTCGGCGCGATCGACATTCTTCTTGTGGCGCTTGAAGATGAGGCGCACGAGTCCCTGGCCCTGCTTGGGAGAGAGTGAACCGCGCTCGATCATCGCGTTGTAGGCCTTGGTCAGCACCTTGGACCACGCCTCCGGTGCGGTCTGATAGAGTTCGTAAGGCACGCCCGACGGGCCCGACGATCGCCCCGGGTGCGTCGTCCCGATCGCGGCCACGACCTCGTCCTCGGTGATGGGTTGCTGGAGGAGATCAATCTGCGCTTCCGAGAGTCGGCGCAGAAAGAGCGGATCTGAGCGCGGGTCGTCGCAAGTCCGTGCCGCCCTGATCGGCACGAGGAGTTCGTCCCGAAGTCGGTCGACGCGTTCCGGATCACGAGGCTCGATGTGGTAGAGGCGCTGGAAATGCGCCTGCGTGTGGTCAAGAGCGACATCAATGTCATGCGTTAGCTCTCCGTTGCACAAGCGCAGTGCTGTGATCTTGGAGTCCGAGTTCCGCGCCGCGAGCTTGGCGTGGACCGGCCGCGACAGTCGTTCCTCGGAAGCGATCTCGGGGACGTGGGCTCGGATCCGGAGTAGGCGCGCGCGCTCCTCGACCGCCCGCTTGAGTTCCTCGGACGTCCTTGTCCATTCTGCCGTTTCCGCCTCCCCCCATACCGGTAACGCCTCCAGATCCTGCACCCTCCCCACCAAATACTCCATCCGTTCCGTCCGCTCCCGATGCAGCCTCCTCGCCATCTCCCCACCCCTGTCCCTGCACGCCTCCAGAACCTCCTCAAGCTCTCGCACCGGATCCTCCCCGCTTGCCCCTTCCAACCATCCTTCCATCATCCGCTGAAATTCCACCGTCTTGAAGGTTGTGGTATTGATTCGATGTAGTTGGTTGGATGTGGTAGGTAGGCTGAGCTGTGGGAGAGCCGCATCAAGATCGTCTGAGAGAGCCAGTACGATCAAGACCGGTCGGTGATCGGAAAGATCCTTGGGATAGTCGTAGATCGTCGAGGCCTGGTCGAGCCTTTTTTGGTGAGCTCTTTGTAGGAGAAAGTAGTCAAGCCGGGAGAAGGAGTTGGGTCGCTTGCGATTGGGATTAGGTCGAGTGAAAGATGGGGTGATGGGGTGCTTGTAGCGGATGCAGTCCGTGTAGGCCGAGTCGAGCTTGCCCATCAGAATCGGCCAGTGGTGGCCGCGCCGACTTTGGTTCCGCCGATCGACTTCTGGGCGCGGGCAGTCGTTGAGATCGCCGCCAAGGAGTCGGAGGTGGGATTTCTGTGTTTTGTGGAGGATCAGTTTGTCGAAGAATTTTGCTCGTTGTTTTGGGTCAACGGGCGCGTAGAGGTTATTGATTTCTAGAATTTTGATGTCGCCCCGCAGACGAAAGGAGGTGACGAGGAGCCGGCCGTCGAGTGCCGAGTGGGTGCGCAAGAGCTCGGCGTCGATCAGGGGCGAGTCGGCCGGGATCAGGGTCAGGCAGTGCTGGTTGATGAAGAGCTTGCCCTCGTACTCGTCCTTGATGAGCTGCCAGAATTGTGGTCTGATGAAATGCTCTTGTAAGAGAATCGCGGAAGCTTTGAATGTGGAAAGGTAGGTGTAGATATTACGTCGTTTTTCCGGGACCCCCATGCCCCTTCTTACGTTCCAGGTGATGATGGTGTGCTTGATCATTAATGGGTAGTCGAGGTCGAGGCGCTCTTGGCGGTGGTGACGTCCTCAAAGAGGGGAAGGGCGGGCAGGACATCGTCCTCGGGCTCGTGGTCGGACCATCGTTTTTCCTCAGCTACCCCTCTTCCTTTCCCTCTGTCCACCTTCGTCACCTCGACCTGCATCGCCGCTGCCGCCGACATCGACCTTGTCACCCTCCGCCCCTCTATTCCATCCTTCACCACGACGCGGCTCTTCCCTTTGATGATGACTCGCTTGGCGTGGGTCGGTTCGTCACTTGGGTCACTGAGGTCCGCCGCAGTCTGCGACCTCTTCATCACCTGCTTCTTGAACTTCGCAGCGGTCCCCCTGATGTTGATGGAGCGTATCTCACCGTCCTCGTCCCACGTGGCAAAGTTGTGACGCACCAAAGGGGTTTCAGCGTTGAGCCTCCTCTCGATGCTTTGGTCCCGCTCAAGTCGTGCCTGCTCAACCCAGTTAGCTCTGATCCTGTCCCACTCCTCCCCCTCGCGTAGCGACTTGGCGAGAGTTTCGGGTGACAGAGGTGGGGTTGGTTCATGCGGCGTCGATTCGCGGGAAGCGGTGGCGGCGGTTGCTGTGGCGTCGCTGTCGTCGTCATTGTCCAGCCTGTTTGTTTCCCCTAAGTCCGTCGCTTCCGCATTCTCCGCTTTCGTCGATCCCCTCGCTTCGTCCACATCGCCCACCTCCGTCGCCACCTCCTCTTCCTCCATCTCCGTAGCCACCTCTCCTTCCGTTTCACCTCTTTCATCCGCCATCACCTCATTCTCATCAATCACCTCTCCATCGGATCCGCTGCAGTCCTCCAAGACCGACTCGTCCTCGCTTTCAATTTTGATGACCTCCGTTTTCGCGGCCGCCTCCGATTCCATCTCCGAGTCCTCCGAGTCCTCGTCATCCGCCTTATCACCAGCGTCTTCCTCCCCCGATTCCTCCGGTCCCTGTTCGCCCTGGCCAGTTACCTCTTCCTCCTGTCCCTCCTCGACCTCGAGCCCGGCGAAGTGATTCTGTGATGCGATCCTGTTAACAACCAGCACAGGAATGGGGGCCTCGGCCTCCGCGATGTTGGTGTTGTGGGTGATGGTGTTTTTGTTGCTGTTGATGATGCCGTTGTGAGCCTCCTTCCGCTTCCTCTCCTGATCCAGTCCGCAGGTTCCCACGTGACCCACAAAGTGGCACCTACCGCAAGCCGCCTCCTTCTCATAGTCATGGCGAAGGGCGGTAACCGGGATGCCTCGAGTGGGAAGGTCGATCCTCGAAGGTAGAATCTCCTTCAAGGTCGTGTTGGGGCGTTGGAATAGGGAGTCGTCATCGAAGTGTAGGAAAGCCGAGTAGTCTCCGGCAACGTGGGCGAAGGCCGAGGCGTTGTCCACGCTGATAACGCGCAGAACCTGCACAAGTTGGCATGAATGTCCCTTGCCTGACAGGTCTTGCACAAGTGATTGGAACGATTTGATGATGGCATCCATGGAGGGCACTCCTTGAACACCGACGTTGATTCGAAGCTCGACCATGTTATGGTGGAACCTGTGAGACTTCGCGAAGCGGGCCTTCGCCGATCGCCAAGTGAGAGCGGGGGGCGTCGTGAGCGCCGCGTCACGTGCCTCGCCGGTGACGAACCCAACCGTAACGCGATGGTGAGCCGCCCCATTACGCAGGATTGATGAATGTTGTACGCCTAAGATCTGTGGTTGATAAGCCGCAAGATGGTCCGGCAGAGGAACTCCAGGCTCAAAGCAGATAGGAGAGATGGGCGATAGCAGCCTCGTGACGCAGGCCACGAGATCGATCTTGTCGGCATGAGTCGCTCGCGAGGCGCTCTGGTGAGACAGAGTCACTTCAAGGGCGTAATCGAAGATGTTCTCGACGGACCGGTTCGCGTTCAAGGCCGAAAATTTCAGCGATGTGGCGGTGGCGACGGGGTAGAGTTCGGCGAAGTAGATGACCTGGACCCAGCGATCCATACGGTTTCCGGGTACAGCACCCATGGCTTGTAGGAGGCTGCCCAGAGCCTTGGCACGCTGTTGTTGTTGTTGCTGTTGTTCAGGTGTTTGAGCCGCCATCTGACTCGCAGCGGCAGCATAGTTGGGTGCGGCAGTGGCGGGCCCCGTGACTTGCGTCTTCTTCGAGCTTATCGGGATCCGGTCGCGGGGCGGTTTGTGTTATCATCGTAGTCTTCCATCTAGTTTTTCCGTAGGCCGAAACAGGGGGAACAGGAATTGGGGGCAATATGATGAACGTTTTCTACAAAAAAAAAAAGCTCTTCAAGGCGCTGCCAACCTACTTTGCTCCCAAGCTGTTGGACTTGTTCAACTCGATTTGGGAGGGCGGCAAAATGACGGCGTCCTTGGCAGAGGGGCTGGTGCGGCTCTTGCCCAAGAATAAACCGGGGGCCAATCTGAAATCACTGGGGGCATACCGACCGATCACATTGCGCGAGACGACCTACAAGGTCCTCAGCAAGGTCTTGGTGGCGCGACTCAATGGGGTGCTCGGCGAGCTTTTGCCGCCGGCGCAACACGGTTTCATGCCATCAAGACGTTCAGCGGACGCGGGAAGTCATCTCACTCTCCTTCTCGAAAAACTCAAGTCGCTAGGCACTGATGTTTTCCCCGAGGGCGCCCTCTTGTCTTTGGATCAGCAGAGCGCGTACGATCGGGTCGATCACGCCTGGATCTTCGAGGTCTTTGAGGCCTTTGGGTTCGGTGAGCGTTTCATCTCGCTGCTGCGCGCTCTCTACGATCCCGAGACTCTGGGGGTGCGCTACCTTGTCAATGGGTTCCCCACGGACTTGGTGCGGTTGCTGTGTGGTCTCGGTCAGGGGGATCCCCTCTCGTGCCCGGTTTGGAACATCACGTACCAGCCCTTCCTCGACGCCCTCGTTCGGCGCGGGATCGCGCTCGACCTGCAGAAGGTGTGGCCAGGGGGGCCGCGTGCGCAGCTTACGCATCTGGCGTTTGCCGACGATGCTGTGGTGGTGGTGGAGTCACCGGCGGCATTGTCGAAGCTGCAAACGCTGTCGCAGACGTGGTACGAGGCTACCAACGGGAAGACCAACACGGACAAGACGCTGGTGCTACCACTCGGACCGAACTGGCTTCGGGACGAGACTGCGCAGGCGCTGCCAACGGTGCAGGAGGGGGAGAGCTTCAAGTGGTGCGGCTATGCCTTCTTTCGCCACGGTGACTCGAAACTGTTTTGGACCCATGTTCTTGACAGGATCAAGGCCAAGGCCCGCGCCGCTCGAGACCGGACACTTTCGCCGAGTGGGAAGGTTTTCTATGCCAACGCTCACATCATCTCGACGGTCCTCCACGTGCTGTCCTTCGACATACCGCCTCAATGGTTCATTAAGGCGGCGGAGACGGCACTTACGGACTTTGTCTGGGGAGGAGCAGGGCGAAATACCGTCGCTCGCGATTTCGTGTTCCAGGCTCGGGAGGACGGTGGCTTGGGTTTGATTTCGATTGGCGACATCGTTCATTCGGTGGCGCTTCGATTTTGGGATGCTGTGGCGGGCTCGGACGAGGCGATCTGGGCGCCCCTAGCTCGCGAGAGCTGGAGGTCCCTCGTCGCTGCGACCCGCGATTTCAGTCCGTGGGGGTTCTTCAGCAGCACGGCTCGGGTCGAGAAGCTGTATCGCGACTCGACGCGCTGGGGGGCAGTCGTTGCAGCGGCCAGGGTCACAGTTCCAACCATCAAGTCCGAACTCCTTACGCTTCCCGAATTGCTCTCGCTTCCGCCTCGCCTCCCTTCACTCTATGCTGAAGGTGCCCAGCACGCATATGACGATGCGGACGCGGTGGCGAAGTTTGCGCAGATCGCGGACCTGTACTGGAGGGACGAAGGGAAGGGATGGGCTCTGGTTGGTCATCGACGCGGGTTCTGGCAGCACTCTAAGGAACCCGCCCTACAGCACGAGCACGTGTGGTCGCGCGTGGGTCAGTTGCTCAAGGCGAAAGCGTTGCTGCCCGAGACCGCGTTGCGACCTGCTCGGATACCTCTCAAGGAGGCTCCCCGTCCTCGGTGCTTCAACTTCTTTGGGCTCTCCCGACCTTTTACGATTCGCAAGCTTCGTCGGCTTGTGAACAAGGTGCGGTTCCCAGGGAGGGAGGACCGTGTCAAGCGTTTCCCTGATGGGACTTCTCAGAGCGATAGGAAGCGCTTCTGGAGATGGCTTCATGACCGGTTCGCGTCTGCTGTCGAGCAGGACACCCACTGGCGGCTCATGTACGACGTGACGCCGACGCGCAAGAGGCAGCATACTCAGGGTCATGCCTCTTCGCCGACGTGTCTGTTCTGTGGCAACGATGCAGCGGTCATCGAGACGGTGTCCCACTACTTTTTCGAGTGCGCGTACTCGACCAGCTTCTGGGGTGGGGTGCTACGCATTCTGCTTGACAAGCTCGGCATCGAGGATACCGACGTCGATCCGTCGACGTTCACTCCGGAGCAGCTGACTATGGGGCTCCCCCTTTTGCGGGGTCGTGGGAGAACGACCTCGAAATGGATGTGGGTTCGGCTGGCCTGCGCGATCGGCTTCCAGCGGCTGCACTTGCTCCGCTGGCGCGTTCATCAGCGGTTCGAGCTGGACAACGTCGTGGCCCCTCCCTCGCTTCCCAGTGCGCTCAGAGCGTTCGAGCGAGATTTTCTCTCTCGAGCGGGTTTTGTGCCTGGGGTTCGAGATTGGGAGGTGTGATGACCGAGTTAAGTCCTTCCTTCCCATTTTCCTCCCCTCCTTTCCTCCCTTCCTTTTCGGTCAGAAGCTGACTGTCTTGAAACTTGTTGCGCAGTGGAAGGCTGCGCACCTCTCCCTCTCTCTACTTTGCGCAGTAGCGATTTTCGTTCTTGGATGGATCGGCAAGCCGGGTCGATCGTCGTTGCGTTGGAGGCTTTGTGAAGTTCTCCCCTCTCTTTCCCCTTTCTCCCTTCCCTTCCTCTTCTCGTTCCTGTTGCTCGGTTGTTGACTACGCTTCAGCCACTTCTCCTTTTATTCCTAAGCCGTGTGTTGGATTCCGTCGAATAGATCGTTCGTTCGCGTTGGTCAAGATCTACGGCATGGATCGGGAAGAAAGGTCGCTCGTTTTTTTGGTCAATATCCTCGCGTCAAGGCGAGGCTTGTTTCGTTGTATTGGATCGTTTTCGCTCGGCCCCGACGGCTCAACAGCCAGCACTCGAGACTCAGCCAAGGGAGGACATCAGGCGCTGTCGGGGTGACGAGTAGCTGGGGCTTGGCTGCGGCCTGTCAGTCCCTGGGGACCTCTAGCTCTGGCTTCGACCCCCTCCCTTGGCCCCTCGGGTGTGTTCCCCTCCTCCTCCCCTCCTCTCTGTCTTAGTATTCCTGGTTCTCCGTGTTTCCAGTCGTGATTTTTTGTTTATTCTCCCCTTTTCTTTCTCTAGGCGCTCTTGCCTGGTTTTCGAGTATCTTCGCTCCCGCTCTTGGGACGTGAAGCGGCAGCAGTACTCACCGCCCGTTGGAGTCCGCGTTAGGTGCTCGGCGGGTTTTGATCTGCGCAGCGCTCTTTGCGCGCAGGGGTTTGACTTTCACCCAATTGCTTGCCGTCGTTGCTTTATAACCTCTTTTAGCTCTTTTTGTAGCGGTCCCAGCCAACCCGAAGGATTGCAATTTATGAGCCCCAGTAAAAATAAAAAAAAAGGCTGTGGGGTGGGCCTTCTGTCGTTAGTACATTTCTTTTCTTTCTCTCTCTCATTCGTCTCCTGGGGGGGAGCAACCGCTTGGCTAGGGCATTTGAATCCGAATCTCGGATTGGTGGATTTGGCTCGTTTCTCGCACTTTTGCGGGCGGTTTGTGTTATCATCGTAGTCTTCCATCTAGTTTTTCCGTAGGCCGAAACAGGGGGAACAGGAATTGGGGGCAATATGATGAACGTTTTCTACAAAACAAAAAAAAGCTCTTCGGGAGGTGGGGGATGCAGAAGTGGGGGACGAGGATGGAGGGTGTTGGGAGGAGGAGGATAATCTTGGAGGAGAGGTTGAAGCTGAGGGCGGGAGGAGCTTGGGGGAGGAGAGGGCAGTAGAGGCTGGGTTCGACTTTCCCCCCACCACCACACGCACACACCAAATTCTCGTGACATCATTTTCTCCTACTGTACACTAAATAGCTCGCTTTCCTCTTTCTTTTGTTACAGGTTCACCGTTGCGGATCATGGACCATCTCGCGATTTGGCGTCGACTCGGTGTGGCTCGCGCTCTTCGGCTTCGGGGTTCTGAGTCAAGGGAGGGATCAGCGGACACAGGCAGAAAGTCGGCTTTGAGGGGCCAGGGACTGCCGAGGGGGAGGTTTTGAGGGACCTTCACCGCGTCTTGTTGTGACTGAGCAGAGACTTGGAGCGTCGAGGGTCGTGGTGGTTGCGCAGTCGTGCTCTTGTCTTCGTCTCGACCGAGTGGGAAGTGGCTGTGGGGTGGGCCTTCTATCGTTAGTACATTTCTTTTCTTTCTCTTTCTCTTCATCTCTCTTTCTCTCTCTCATTCGTCTCCTGGGGGGAGCAACCGCTTGGCTAGGGCATTTGAATCCGAATCTCGGATTGGTGGACTTGGCTCGTTTCTCGCACTTTTGCGGGGGGCTGGACGCTGGTGGCGGATACCGGTGGTGGCGGTGCCGGCAGTGGGGACCCAGGGTCTCCGGTAGACATCTTGTCGGTGTATCACTTGTTAACTCGAGTATCGAAGGCTGCAGTAGGGCGATTGTGATGTGAAGTGAAGTGAAGTGAAGTGAAGTGAAGTTTTTTTTTTTTTTTTTTGTAGAAACCGTTCATCATATTGCCCCCAATTCCTGTTCCCCTGATTGGCCTACGGAAAAACTAGATGGAAGTCGACGATGATAACACAAACCGCCCGCAAGATGCGAGAAACGGGCCAAATCCACCAATCCGAGATTCGGATTCAAATGCCCTAGCCAAGCGGTTGCTCCCCCCCAGGAGACGAATGAGAGAGAGAAGGAGAGAGAGAGAAAATGAAAAAGAACTGGCGTACTAACGACAAGAGGCCCACCCCGCACCCACTTCCCAACTCGGTCGAGACAAAGACAGGAGAGCGACTGCGCAGCTACCCTGACCCGCGAAGTCCCCAAGTCTATGCTCGGTCACAACAAGACGCGGTGGAGGCCCCTCAAAACCTCCACCTCAGCAGTCCCTGGCCCCTCAAAGCCGACTTTCTGCCTGTGTCTGCTGATCCCTCCCTTAAACTCAGAACCCCGAAGCCAAAACGCGAGCCGGTCCATGAGCAACGGAGGCAGACCTGTAATAAAAGAAAGAAAGATGAAGAAAATATATTTAGTATACAGTTTTTGTAAGAGGATGTGTGATGTGGGGTGTGTGAGTGTGGGATCGGGTGGGGGGAAATCGAACCCAGCCTCTACTGCCCTCGCCCGCCCCTTGCTCCCCCCGCCCTCAACTTCATCCTCTCCTCCAGTACCACCCTCCTCCGCTCCAGGCTTTCCATCCTCGTCCCGTGCTTCTGCATCCTCCATCTCCCACTGCTGATCATCTCCAAGACCATCCCCGTGAAGATCTCGATCGTCCTGCCTGCGCCTTCCTGTTCGCTGAGCTTGGCCTTGAGCTTGGGGAGGCCAAAGAGTCGTTGTAGTGTCGTGTACTCGGCGTCCTCGATCGTGTCGCATCCGAGCGCGTCGCAGAGCACGCCCCTTGCCGCGGTCCAGATGTTCCGCGAGTCGACGCAGCCGAAGAAGTAGTGATCGGTGTCGTCCACCGGCGCTTCGCACACGAGGCACGCGGGAGAAGTGTCGTGCTTTTGCTCGTGCTGGAGTTTGCGCGTCGGGGTGAAGCGGAGGATCAGCTTGAACCAAACTTCCCTCTCCCTCGCCGTCAGTGCCTTCGAGTTGACTGCCTTCCAGAAGCTCCTGAGGTCGTCCGGCTGCGGTGGTCCCTTGAGCCCGAGCATGTTGGTAAATGCCTTCGCGTTCAGGACCCGGCGGATGCGACGGACTGTGTAGGGGCGAGCCATGTTCAGCAGCGTATACTGGCTCGCCTGTTGTGGAAGCACCGGGTCCGGAAGGCGCTGCTCCATTGCGAAGCGGGCCACGGGCTTGGGGATGATCGCCTCGAGTGGTGCGCTGGTGCCGATCCGGGGAGGCACGTTGAGTCGTCCCGCCGCCACCGCCGCCGCCAAGGGGGTGTTCTTGTGTCGATCGACAGTGAACCGGTACCAGGCCGCGATTGCCAGTCGCTGCGGGAGCCCGCGTCGATCGTACTCGCTGTTGTCGCCGAGCACATCCGCCGGCGGCGTCCAGAGGTGAAACCCCCCACCCGCATACAACTCGCGTCGATAGAGATCCGCCACCTTCGGGTAGCCCTGGAGACGAAGGTAGTCAGGTACATGAACCGCGTCGATGGTCTGTCTCCCTCTGATGGGGGTAATCGATTTTTTTATTTTTTATTACTGGGGCTTTTTTTTTTTGTAGAAACCGTTCATCATATTGCCCCCAATTCCTGTTCCCCCTGATTGGCCTACGGAAAAACTAGATGGAAGTCGACGATGATAACACAAACCGCCCGCAAGATGCGAGAAACGGGCCAAGTCCACCAATCCGATACTCGAAATGTTGTGTGTGTCCGAAAATCATATTGCAAGCTCTAACGGCGCTCTATAATTCCACGTTCTCAGTAGTATAGAGGTAGAATCCACGCCTGTCACGCGTGTGGCCCGGGTTCGATTCCCGGCTGGGAAGTTTCTCTTTTTTGCTGTGCCGTTTAGAGTCGGTGTGTCGTATCTAATCGTCTTCCGGTACATAGTAAGCTCGACCCCCTCCCTTGGGAGGGGTTCGCGCATTATCGGCGCGTCAGGCCCGATTGCCCTCCGAATTCCCTGCCAAAAAAGGCACCTCAGGCGTACCTTCAAAGGTACACTAGACCAAAAAACTCGATCCTCAGCGAGTTTAACACTAGGAATGGTCGCCCAATACCGTGGTAGCTAGCACTCCCCATCCCGGGCGGCTATGACGGTCCTCGCGGCTGGGGAGACCTTCTAGGCGGGGCTAGACGGTGTGGACGAGGGAGGTGCGAGGGAGTCTCGAGTATGAGATCAGGTTAGGACCGTGAAGCAACGGAAGTAGGTCAAGTTGGTGGCTCTCGAGATGGATTGGGACTAGGGACTATGGGATCAAGGACGATGTGTTGTTGCTTGCAGGAAGCAGAGGAACGTCTACAAATGGGCCGCCTTTTATAGTAAAAACCCGTGGAATGTTATCGAAGGTCATGGAACTATCCTAAAAGAGTGGAGAGCGTGTGTAGAAGGAAATAGAAGCGAGTAGAATGAAATCGAGAGAATGAGCCCGAAGCTCGAGATCCGAAATGGAAGCCGATGGAATGGCCAAGGAGCGCAAGCGCGGCGATACAATCAAATCGAAGAAGAGCGTGGAAGTGGATGGAGCCGATTCGAAGCTTGAGACGGGTGGATGTGAATGGCGTTTTAGTACCCGAGTCATCGGTCATCCGCCGCGCGACCGCAACTCCGAGCAGATGAGAGCAGGAGAAGCGAGCAATACGGCCGGTCTGTGCCGGCCACGAACAGGAGGACATGAAGCCGTTCGGTCGGAAGAGAAAGAGACAGACCCGGACTGAAAGGCACAAGATCACTCTCGAGCCTCACTGGTTCCGAGTCCAAACTGAAAGGATCAAACGGTGTGATTCGCAGGCTAAGAAAGACTACTTAAAGGACTAAGGTCAAGAGGCGCTGCGGTGCCGCACGCGAGGTCAAGCTTAAGGCCGCTAAGGTTGGCTCGATGTCGTGAGGCGTCAGCGGAGCGGCGCCTTACACGGACCTTCAGTGGAGTGGACATTCACGACGCAAGCCAGGAGAGGGTCGAGGGAATCCGCTTTCGCTGTGTGTCATCGTGATGTCGCCGAAGCTCGAACCAGAGGCGACAGTGCTCGCCGGCGCAAAGAATCAGGGGGAATGGTAGTGTTACGATCACCCTCGAGCGAGGTCCCTCAACGACTCTTCTGTCGAGGACCTCATGCTTGTTCTCTTCCGGAATTTTTGCGTTGAAACCGCCCACCTGCATCTACAATCGGGGCTCGAGGGTGTTTCAGAGATTGGTAGTATGCCCAGGGAGCCTATGTGGATGTTATACCCCGCCTCCTGTCTCCAGTCGCGTGCCGTGGTTGGCGCCGGCCGCAGCGCTGCAGACCGCCGAGGCGTGTCCATTGAATTGTCACATGCTCTCGGTGACCTCCCGCGGAAATCTCTGGATCGTGTGCCTTGTGCGGAGTAGGCCGTGTTTCGCAGTTGCAGTCATTGGACATGGGTGATCTGTGGGTATTTGGTTGTGAGGGGTGGGGACGGGGCTTTGGTTACCAGAAAGGGGGATGGATCCGCGGCGTTGGCGCAGTGTATTTGGGCACAAGGGGTATGTGATTGCTGCGGTCGAAGGGGGTTATTCCCAATTTGACTACGTGACTCATTCGGATCGAGCACGGACTCGAGCCATTGGAGACCTTGTTCGGGGTAAGGCAAGGAATAAAGGGGCTTCCAGGGGTTAGGAGGCTCGGGAGGCGGATCTAAGCCGGAAGCTCGAAGAAGGTTCCAACTGTACAACATCTCGGACGCCTACCTGTACAACAAGTGTACCAAAACCAACTCCATCCTCGTCGCCGAACTGACGAGCAACATCGAGGTCGAACTGCTGGCCAGCTTCTTCCTCACTTATCGCACATTCCTTCAACCCGTTCACCTTCTTCAAGCCTTTACTACTCGTTTTGACATCTCTCACGTTTCTCCTGTGCTATCTTTCATTTTCCTTTCATCTGTTATCTGGGAGGGAGCAACCGCTGGGTGGGGGGGGGGGCTTGAACCCGGACAAGTCGGGTTGGTCTGTTCTGCTCGTTACAACGCGTCATGCGGGCAGCTGCGGTCATCATCGTGCATTCTGGGTAGTATATCCTTTAGTTTCGTGGGGTTTTCTCGTCTTTTGCAAATTAGCGATGAGTTTCATACAAAAAAAAGGGGGTAGCGACCCGAATTGGTCGCGTCGGATGGATCGGCTAGAAGCATCGCTCGCTTTGGTGAAGGTTCTCGCGTCATGGCGAGCCTCTTTCGTTTAGGTTGGACGGTTCGCTCACTCGACGGCTCAATAGCCAGCGCTCGAGACTAGATTCAACCACGGGAGGACTTCAGGCGCTGTCAGGGTGGCGGGGCCAATGTTTTACCTCCTCAACCAAGGTCATGATGACCTTTGGTATGAACATCGCGGTTCCTATCCCCCACGCGCTTGGCTCATCCTGGTCTTGTAGTCAAGGCAGAACCGGGTTACATTAACTTTGCCCGGATCCAAAACCTCTGCACGGCAGCCATCTAAGTTTGCCTCCCTCATCTACCTTGTAATATTGCAACATCTTTGCTTACGGTAACACAGTGTCAAGTCAGCTATACGATGGTGATTGCAAAGTGTCATGCCACCTCCTGGCTTTCGACAGCCTCGATTTTGTTTAATCGTCTCGTGCTGCACGGCCTCATGAATGCAGATCCGGCTCCGATCTCCCTTCGCGCGCCGACGGTTAATGTCGGCTAAATTTGGGGCTTCTCGCGCGCGGGGTCCTGATCATCTTCGTGGCTCGCGTGGCGGCCGCACCTCTTGAGCTTCCACCCATCTCGTGTCGCTATTCTACCTTCCGGGCACGCCACCACTTCTACCTCTTCCTAGTCGCTTAGATCCCACGTTCCAATCGAAGAAATTCCGGATCGGACAGATCTCTTGCCTACAGCCCCGACTGGTCCACCCCCGAAGTCAACGCTAACCCACAACTTCGTGCGCCTCGGGCCAGCCTCGACGCCAAACTTTACATCGACATCGACATCCTCCTCGACGTCGACTTCATACTCGACTACATCCTCCAACTTGTGGTCGTCGACTATGCCCTCGACCTTTACTCCGAGCTCCACGTCGAGCGAGTCGAGACTCGGTGGAAATGCTTCGGCCCAAGTTGCCTCTGGCTCCTCACCGACAACGGCTTCCGCCAAGGCAAGCAGAGTCGCTTAGCGACGTCGATATCAATCGGAACCATGTGCACTCGCTGACATACGCTTCTTAAATGGGTCCTATGTATACCCTTTTCACATGCAGAATGATTCCAGTTGCGATGAAGCACGTCGAGCCACCATACGCTCGAGAACCAGCTCCACCGCAGCAAGGCCCCTCGGCACGAAGGTGAGAAGCGCACTTGATTCACTTCGCTTTTGGATTCAGTCCGCGCTCCCGTTGGCTGAAACAGCCTTAACTTTGCTACAAATCTATTCTGTATCGTAGCAAGAAGACGTCTCATCCGCTTCATCGATCCGAGCTATCACTCCGATTCCGTGCCTTGCTCCCGCGCCTCCTGTCACCCCGCTGTCGGACCCTGAGCCCAGGCTCCCCCACACAACCCCGCTAGATCCGGCGACCTTCTTGAGCGGAGATCAACGCCGCACCCGCCCAATCGAACTCGCCTCGGCGCAAAAAGAAAAAAGACTGGTCGCCGGAAGACGTGCAGTATCACTCACCCAAGGACATGGGCGTGTTTCTTCTGAAGCGAATGGGCAAGGACGAGGTCGAGGTCGAATATAAGAAGGTGCTCGCGGAAGCAAAGAAGAGCAGTACGCCAAAGCAGATGCACAAGATTCTCGATAGGTTCAAACAGGAGGCCAATTTGAAGAAGAAGGAGACCCAGGAGGAGAAGGAACAGACGATGGCCGCCAAAATCAAGAAGAAAGCCAAGAAAGACGACAAGACTCAAGTCGCTCGTTCAGGTCCACACTGGTTCCACACTCTAGGCGCAATGGTACGTGTAGTCTGCCTCCCTCGAAGAGCGTGGCGGCGGCATCGACTTGCCTAGGATCGGGAGAACTGACCTTGCTCTCACACATCTGTATTTTGAAAGGGAGGCGTGATCCTGCATAGTATTTTCAAGGTTTTTGACGTGACTTCGGAGAAACCTCTCACACCCACGGCAACAAACCAGATGAAACGAAAGTTTGATGCGATGACGGCTCCCCTCAAGTTGCTCTCTCATCCAACATTTGCCGATGTGGGCGTTCCCAAGGAATGGACGAATACCACAAGAGTCACAACTATGCGTTACCATTCATTGTCACGCTCGCCGGTTTTTCATGACAAAATCCTTCAGCTGCTGTACAATATCAAGTCGGTTTACGGAGAAACCCCAACCGCGGACTACCGGCTTGGCTTCGGAGTCATGAACACGACGGCATACCTGATACTCGTCAACCACGAAAGTGTTCACGTCGTCCAGTTGAAAGACTGTTGGGGCAGCCGCGGGCGCGCCGAATTCGCATCTCTGGCGAATATCATCCTGAACATCATCCTCGGCCTTCAACTTCCCTCCGTTGGGTTCTCACGGTTCTTTTCTCACGAATACACCCCCAGCCGTGGCCGAGCCGAGCAGGCCGTGAGGATCTTGGCACTCGGTCCGAATACCCAAGATGTCTGCAAACTCCAACTCTCCGAAGACATCACCGAGGTCGAGATCATCCCGGCCGAGTGTTGCCCACCCATAGTGCTGGGTCCGTTCCCGAGCCGCAACCGCGCGATATTTGCGATAAGTGCGTTCTCGGCCGGAGGCATCAACGTTGTTGAGTACTTTGTGTCCTCGACTCTCTCTCACCGACGCGTCGCCACTTCGTCAAATGTGGATCCTTTGGAAGTTGCTCGCACCCGAGGAATCAGGAAACGTCCGAGAGGTCGCCGTCACCAAACGACTCCTTCAGAACGCCGCGACCCTCCCTTCGCACATTCTGGACCATATCGCTCTTCACGTTGAAAGTCGTCGATTCGTTGCAAATGATCGCGGCGCCTTTCTGCCCTCGGACAGCCCACGCGTGGACGTCGCTTTCGTGACTATTCTGGTTCCGCCGTGCCACAAAGACCGTCGGTACCGCAGTTTGATCGATAAAAAGCACCCACCAACAATACGACACCTCGTTACGGCTTTTAGTCGCCTGACGCAAGTCGTGTTCGCTTTCTCCGATTGCGGGATCAAGCTTCGAGGAATCGCCCCCAGCAACGTGCTCCACGTCGACGGTGAGGTCCTGGTGTGGGACCTCGCGAACGCGACGTTCTCTGAATACCCACGTTCGAGCGCGAGGCTTCCGACAGACCCTGAGGAGATGTGCGGCCAAGGTTTGCGCAACTCGAAGACCTTTAGGGCAAGCGTCTACACCGACCTCAAAAGTTCCATCATCACCTTCGTGGCGACAATTGCTCGAGCGTTCGAGGAATGTACCGATGAAGAGACAAGGCAAGTTTGGCGACCGTTTGGATTCGGGAAGGCGTTTGGCGAGATCGACAGCACGCCCCTCTTGGCACTTTTTCGAGACTTGCTCTTCACCATGAGCCATCACCAAGAGAAAAGTGACGTGCCAACACCCCTGGAGTACATTGAGCGACGTAGCCATCGTTCGGGGCTAAGACCTCAACAAGAAGTCGGCTTGGAAGGGCCCTCATCGCGGCTTCAGTGTCGGCGCTGGGCTCCTCGTCCAAGATAATCTCGAAGAACTTGGCAAGAGGTGCGCTACGACGCTCAATGTACTCCAGGGGTGTTGGCACGTCACTTTTCTCTTGGTGATGGCTCATGGTGAAGAGCAAGTCTCGAAAAAGTGCCAAGAGGGGCGTGCTGTCGATCTCGCCAAACGCCTTCCCGAATCCAAACGGTCGCCAAACTTGCCTTGTCTCTTCATCGGTACATTCCTCGAACGCTCGAGCAATTGTCGCCACGAAGGTGATGATGGAACTTTTGAGGTCGGTGTAGACGCTTGCCCTAAAGGTCTTCGAGTTGCGCAAACCTTGGCCGCACATCTCCTCAGGGTCTGTCGGAAGCCTCGCGCTCGAACGTGGGTATTCAGAGAACGTCGCGTTCGCGAGGTCCCACACCAGGACCTCACCGTCGACGTGGAGCACGTTGCTGGGGGCGATTCCTCGAAGCTTGATCCCGCAATCGGAGAAAGCGAACACGACTTGCGTCAGGCGACTAAAAGCCGTAACGAGGTGTCGTATTGTTGGTGGGTGCTTTTTATCGATCAAACTGCGGTACCGACGGTCTTTGTGGCACGGCGGAACCAGAATAGTCACGAAAGCGACGTCCACGCGTGGGCTGTCCGAGGGCAGAAAGGCGCCGCGATCATTTGCAACGAATCGACGACTTTCAACGTGAAGAGCGATATGGTCCAGAATGTGCGAAGGGAGGGTCGCGGCGTTCTGAAGGAGTCGTTTGGTGACGGCGACCTCTCGGACGTTTCCTGATTCCTCGGGTGCGAGCAACTTCCAAAGGATCCACATTTGACGAAGTGGCGACGCGTCGGTGAGAGAGAGTCGAGGACACAAAGTACTCAACAACGTTGATGCCTCCGGCCGAGAACGCACTTATCGCAAATATCGCGCGGTTGCGGCTCGGGAACGGACCCAGCACTATGGGTGGGCAACACTCGGCCGGGATGATCTCGACCTCGGTGATGTCTTCGGAGAGTTGGAGTTTGGCGTCGGTGTGGGAGAGTCACGGAAGGAATCGGGAAACGATGGAGGAATTGTTGGTGGTGGTACATGTGTTGGACAGGCGAATCCGATCATAGTTGTACAGTTGAACCTTCTTCGATCTTTTGACTTCAGACCCCCCTGAGATCGCCATACTCCTTGAAGCCCCTTAATTATTTGACACGCGTTGAACAAGGCCTCCGATGGCCCAAACATCCCGCTCATTCCGAATGATTCACGTGGTCCAAAGGGGGGATGTAACCCCCTGCGACCGTTTTTTTTTTTTTTTTTTTGTATGAAACTCATCGCTCATTTGCAAGACGAGAAAACCCCCTACGGAACTAAAGGAGATGCTGCCCAGTATGCACGATGATGACCACAACCGCCGCTCGATGCGTTGTAACTAGCAGAACAGACCAACCCGATACATCCGAGTTCAAGTCCCCCCCCACCCACGGTTGCTCCCTCCCAGAGACGATTTTTTTTTGGATGTAGAAACTGTTCATCATATTGCCCCCAATTCCTGTTCCTGTTCCCCCTGATTGGCCTACGGAAAAACTAGATGGAAGTCGACGATGATAACACAAACCGCCCGCAAGATGCGAGAAACGGGCCAAGTCCACCAATCCGATACTTCGGATTCAAGTACCCCAGCCAAGCGGTTGCTCCCCCCCAGGAGACGAATGAGAGAGAGAAGGAGAGAGAGAAAGAGAAAGAGAAAACAAAAAACAACTAGCGTACTAACGACAAGAGGCCCACCCTGCCGCCACTTCCCAACTCGGTCGAGACAAAGACAGGAGAGCGACTGCGCAGCTACCCTGACCCGCGAAATCCCAAGTCTATGCTCGGTCACAACAAGACGCGGTGGAGGCCCCTCAAAACCTCCACCTCAGCAGTCCCTGGCCCCTCAAAGCCGACTTTCTTAAAGTTTTATTTTATTTTACTGGGGCTCATAAATTGCAATCCTTCGGGTTGGCTGGGACCGCTAGAAAAAGAGCTAAAAGAGGTTATAAAGCAACGACGGCAAGCAATTGGGTGAAAGTCAAACCCCTGCGCGCAAAGAGCGCTGCGCAGATCAAAACTCGCCGAGCACCTAACGCGGACTCCAACGGGCGGTGAGTACTGCTGCCGCTTCACGTCCCAAGAGCGGGAGCGAAGATACTCGAAAACCAGGCAAGAGCGCCTAGAGAAAGAAAAGGGGAGAATAAACAAAAAATCACGACTGGAAACACGGAGAACCAGGAATACTAAGACAGAGAGGAGGGGAGGAGGAGGGGAACACACCCGAGGGGCCAAGGGAGGGGGTCGAAGCCAGAGCTAGAGGTCCCCAGGGACTGACAGGCCGCAGCCAAGCCCCAGCTACTCGTCACCCCGACAGCGCCTGATGTCCTCCCTTGGCTGAGTCTCGAGTGCTGGCTGTTGAGCCGTCGGGGCCGAGCGAAAACGATCCAATACAACGAAACAAGCCTCGCCTTGACGCGAGGATATTGACCAAAAAAACGAGCGACCTTTCTTCCCGATCCATGCCGTAGATCTTGACCAACGCGAACGAACGATCTATTCGACGGAATCCAACACACGGCTTAGGAATAAAAGGAGAAGTGGCTGAAGCGTAGTCAACAACCGAGCAACAGGAACGAGAAGAGGAAGGGAAGGGAGAAAGGGGAAAGAGAGGGGAGAACTTCACAAAGCCTCCAACGCAACGACGATCGACCCGGCTTGCCGATCCATCCAAGAACGAAAATCGCTACTGCGCAAAGTAGAGAGAGGGAGAGGTGCGCAGCCTTCCACTGCGCAACAAGTTTCAAGACAGTCAGCTTCTGACCGAAAAGGAAGGGAGGAAAGGAGGGGAGGAAAATGGGAAGGAAGGACTTAACTCGGTCATCACACCTCCCAATCTCGAACCCCAGGCACAAAACCCGCTCGAGAGAGAAAATCTCGCTCGAACGCTCTGAGCGCACTGGGAAGCGAGGGAGGGGCCACGACGTTGTCCAGCTCGAACCGCTGATGAACGCGCCAGCGGAGCAAGTGCAGCCGCTGGAAGCCGATCGCGCAGGCCAGCCGAACCCACATCCATTTCGAGGTCGTTCTCCCACGACCCCGCAAAAGGGGGAGCCCCATAGTCAGCTGCTCCGGAGTGAACGTCGACGGATCGACGTCGGTATCCTCGATGCCGAGCTTGTCAAGCAGAATGCGTAGCACCCCACCCCAGAAGCTGGTCGAGTACGCGCACTCGAAAAAGTAGTGGGACACCGTCTCGATGACCGCTGCATCGTTGCCACAGAACAGACACGTCGGCGAAGAGGCATGACCCTGAGTATGCTGCCTCTTGCGCGTCGGCGTCACGTCGTACATGAGCCGCCAGTGGGTGTCCTGCTCGACAGCAGACGCGAACCGGTCATGAAGCCATCTCCAGAAGCGCTTCCTATCGCTCTGAGAAGTCCCATCAGGGAAACGCTTGACACGGTCCTCCCTCCCTGGGAACCGCACCTTGTTCACAAGCCGACGAAGCTTGCGAATCGTAAAAGGTCGGGAGAGCCCAAAGAAGTTGAAGCACCGAGGACGGGGAGCCTCCTTGAGAGGTATCCGAGCAGGTCGCAACGCGGTCTTGGGCAGCAACGCTTTCGCCTTGAGCAACTGACCCACGCGCGACCACACGTGCTCGTGCTGTAGGGCGGGTTCCTTAGAGTGCTGCCAGAACCCGCGTCGATGACCAACCAGAGCCCATCCCTTCCCTTCGTCCCTCCAGTACAGGTCCGCGATCTGCGCAAACTTCGCCACCGCGTCCGCATCGTCATATGCGTGCTGGGCACCTTCAGCATAGAGTGAAGGGAGGCGAGGCGGAAGCGAGAGCAATTCGGGAAGCGTAAGGAGTTCGGACTTGATGGTTGGAACTGTGACCCTGGCCGCTGCAACGACTGCCCCCCAGCGCGTCGAGTCGCGATACAGCTTCTCGACCCGAGCCGTGCTGCTGAAGAACCCCCACGGACTGAAATCGCGGGTCGCAGCGACGAGGGACCTCCAGCTCTCGCGAGCTAGGGGCGCCCAGATCGCCTCGTCCGAGCCCGCCACAGCATCCCAAAATCGAAGCGCCACCGAATGAACGATGTCGCCAATCGAAATCAAACCCAAGCCACCGTCCTCCCGAGCCTGGAACACGAAATCGCGAGCGACGGTATTTCGCCCTGCTCCTCCCCAGACAAAGTCCGTAAGTGCCGTCTCCGCCGCCTTAATGAACCATTGAGGCGGTATGTCGAAGGACAGCACGTGGAGGACCGTCGAGATGATGTGAGCGTTGGCATAGAAAACCTTCCCACTCGGCGAAAGTGTCCGGTCTCGAGCGGCGCGGGCCTTGGCCTTGATCCTGTCAAGAACATGGGTCCAAAACAGTTTCGAGTCACCGTGGCGAAAGAAGGCATAGCCGCACCACTTGAAGCTCTCCCCCTCCTGCACCGTTGGCAGCGCCTGCGCAGTCTCGTCCCGAAGCCAGTTCGGTCCGAGTGGTAGCACCAGCGTCTTGTCCGTGTTGGTCTTCCCGTTGGTAGCCTCGTACCACGTCTGCGACAGCGTTTGCAGCTTCGACAATGCCGCCGGTGACTCCACCACCACCACAGCATCGTCGGCAAACGCCAGATGCGTAAGCTGCGCACGCGGCCCCCCTGGCCACACCTTCTGCAGGTCGAGCGCGATCCCGCGCCGAACGAGGGCGTCGAGGAAGGGCTGGTACGTGATGTTCCAAACCGGGCACGAGAGGGGATCCCCCTGACCGAGACCACACAGCAACCGCACCAAGTCCGTGGGGAACCCATTGACAAGGTAGCGCACCCCCAGAGTCTCGGGATCGTAGAGAGCGCGCAGCAGCGAGATGAAACGCTCACCGAACCCAAAGGCCTCAAAGACCTCGAAGATCCAGGCGTGATCGACCCGATCGTACGCGCTCTGCTGATCCAAAGACAAGAGGGCGCCCTCGGGGAAAACATCAGTGCCTAGCGACTTGAGTTTTTCGAGAAGGAGAGTGAGATGACTTCCCGCGTCCGCTGAACGTCTTGATGGCATGAAACCGTGTTGCGCCGGCGGTAAAAGCTCGCCGAGCACCCCATTGAGTCGCGCCACCAAGACCTTGCTGAGGACCTTGTAGGTCGTCTCGCGCAATGTGATCGGTCGGTATGCCCCCAGTGATTTCAGATTGGCCCCCGGTTTATTCTTGGGCAAGAGCCGCACCAGCCCCTCTGCCAAGGACGCCGTCATTTTGCCGCCCTCCCAAATCGAGTTGAACAAGTCCAACAGCTTGGGAGCAAAGTAGGTTGGGAGCGCCTTGAAGAGCTCGTACGGAATGCCCGAGGGCCCCGGTGATCGCCCCGAATCCGTCTTCTTCAACGCCGCTTCAACCTCGAGGAGGGTGAAGGGCTCGTCAAGCGCCACTCTCGCTTGACGAGGCAGCCGACGACCGAACGTAGGGTCCGAGCGGTCGTCATCGTAGCATTTCGCTGCGCGAATAGGGTCGAGCAGGGACCGGCGTGCGTTCGTCGGGTCGCCACGAGCTGGGTCCGGCGTGAAGAGCGACTGCGCGTGCCGTGAAGCAATACCCAGCGCCTCCTGCATGTCAACGGTCTCGGTGCCATCCACATCCTCCAGCGAGACGATGCTCGTCTGGCGACTCCGGCGGTTGAGGCGCGTGCGAATGCTTGCCGATTGACCTTCCCTCGAGTCGACTGACGGCACATGCGCACGAATGCGCAGCCACTGAGCCTCCTTTACCGCCAACTGGTCCAACCGCGACTTGGCAAGAGCATACGCATCGCGCTCGGCCTCATTCATGTGCTCACCGCGTGCCTCCAAAGCCTCCATGACGGATTGGCTCTCGGCCCGCAGTCGGCGCATGTCGGCACGAGTCGAGCGGTATCGTGCATGGCCAGCGACTGCAACCGCCCGCAGAGCGGCGTCATAGACGTCGCCGAGCGGAGCGGTCCCCTCGAGCCTTTGATAGACCTCGTCGACGCGGCTTTTTTTTTTTTTTGTAGAAACCGTTCATCATATTGCCCCCAATTCCTGTTCCCCCTGATTGGCCTACGGAAAAACTAGATGGAAGTCGACGATGATAACACAAACCGCCCGCAAGATGCGAGAAACGGGCCAAGTCCACCAATCCGATACTTCGGATTCAAGTGCCCCAGCCAAGCGGTTGCTCCCCCCAGGAGACGAATGAGAGAGAGAAGGAGAGAGAGAGAAAATGAAAAAGAACTGGCGTACTAACGACAAGAGGCCCACCCCGCACCCACTTCCCAACTCGGTCGAGACAAAGACAGGAGAGCGACTGCGCAGCTACCCTGACCCGCGAAATCCCAAGTCTATGCTCGGTCACAACAAGACGCGGTGGAGGCCCCTCAAAACCTCCACCTCAGCAGTCCCTGGCCCCTCAAAGCCGACTTTCTGCCTGTGTCTGCTGATCCCTCCCTTACACTCAGAACCCCGAAGCCAGAGAGCGCGAGCCACCGTCGAGTCAATCCCAAATCGCGAGCCGGTCCATGAGCAACGGAGGCAGACCTGTAATAAAAGAAAGAAAGATGAAGAAAATATATTTAGTATACAGTTTTTGTAAGAGGATGTGTGATGTGGGGTGTGTGAGTGTGGGATCGGGTGGGGGGAAATCGAACCCAGCCTCTACTGCCCTCTCCTCCCCCAAGCTCCTCCCGCCCTCAGCTTCAACCTCTCCTCCAAGATGATCCTCCTCCTCCCAACACCCTCCAGCCTCGTCCCCCACTTCTGCGTCCCCCACCTCCCGCTGCTGATCATCTCCAAGACCAGCCCGGTGAATATTTCGATCGTCCTCCCCGCTCCTTCCTGATCGCGCAGACTGGCCTTGAGCTTCGGAAGTCCGAACATGCGTTGAACGGCCGTGTAATGCGTGTTGTCGATCGTGTCGAGCCCCAGTGCGTCGCAGAGCACGCCCCTTGCCGCGATCCAAACGTTCCTAGAGTCAACGCAGTCGAAGAAGTAGTGCTCCCGATCGTCCTTGGGCGCTCCACAGACGAGGCACGCGGGCGAGTCGTCGTGCTTTTGATGAAACTGCAGACTCCGAGTCGGGGTGAAGTTCCTGACGAGCTTGAACCACACCTCGCGTTCCCTCGCCGTCAATGCCTTCGAGTTGACCCCCTTCCAGAATCCCTTGAGATCGTCGGGCTGCAGCGAGTCCCTGAAACCGATCGTGTCGGTGAAGGCCTTTGCATTCAAGACTCGGCGGACGCGACGGATGGTGTATGGCCGATCCATGCTGAGCAAGTTGTATTGTGTTGATTGGTCTGGGAGAGCCGGTCTCGGAAAGCGCTGCGGCGGGTCGATCGGATGGGGCAGGATCGACTCGAGCGGCGTGGTGGGGCGGACTCGGGGAGGCCCGTTGATTCGTACTGCCGCCACCGGTTGAGCTATTGGTGTGAACCTCAATCGATTGATCGCATGTCGGTACCATGCCACGATGTGCTCTCGTTGTGGGCGGCCCCGTTGATCGTATTCGCTGTTGCTGACGACCACATCCGTCGGCGGCGTCCAGAGATGAAAGCCCCCGCCCGGGTACAGCTCGCGTCGAAACAGGTCCGCTACCTTGGCGTAAATGGCAAACGCAGCATAGTCGGCGTCGTAGGGTGGTCGCGACACAGCTGGTGCTCCCGGTAGGTAGTGAAGGGTGTGCAACTTGATCGGAAGAGCGAGAAGGTTCGCGAGCGTCAACGTCCTCGGCTTGACTTGCGCATTGTGCGTCGATGGTACCTTCAGCACGGCCTGCCATCTTGGGTGTAGATCGGTTCGGATCGGAGTGTAGTCGCAAGGCCACGCATCGGTTGCCAAGTCAAAGTCGGGGGCGGGATGGGCTCGTACAATCGCCGCGCGCGCAAGTCCCTGCCAGATCGCATCCGAACCGCCAAGAAGCACGTCCCAGACGCGTGCCGCAACCGAGTCGACGACGTCCTGCATCCGCATGACCCCAAGACCCCCCTTGAACCTCGGTGTGAAGACGACGTCCTTGCCATAGCACGACCTCCTCTTGCCGCCGCGGACAAAGTCGGCGAGAATGCGATCAAGCTCCTTGACGACCTCGAGCGGTGGGATGTCGGCGGAGAGGATGTGCAGAATCTTGGGAATGGCGTATCGGTTGACGTAGAACGCTCGGGTGTGGTGTGTGAGCCCTCGGTCCCGTGCCGAATCGAGCACCGCTTCGAGCCGTGCGACGAGATTCACGTTGGCGAGTTCGGTGTTGCCGGTGGGGTCGAAAGATAGGCCGATCCACTCGAGCGACTCGCCCTCGGCCTTGACGACGAGCGGACGATCGCCAGCCTCCCAGCGACACCCGATGGGTAGTACGACGGTCTTGTCGGTGTTGAGCCGGCCATTGGTTGCGAGCCTCCAGTCGAGCGCCAGGTCGTCGAGCAAGTTGAGTGACTCCGAGCCCGCGACGGCGACGACGACGTCATCGGCAAACGCAAGGGATGTAATGGCGCGGCTCTGTGGGTAGGGGTGAATGGTAGGAAGCGAGAGGTTCAGCGCGATGCCTCGACGGTGCAGAGCATCCAGGAACGGCTGGAACACGACATCCCAGACCGACGACGACGCCGGGTCCCCTTGGCCGAGCCCACACGTCAGCCGCACCGGCGGAGTCAAGAAGCCGTTGATGATATATCGCGCCGTGGTTGAGTCACCCGAGTAGAGCATCCTCAGAACGCGTTGGAAGGCGGCAGGAGCGCCGAGAGCGTCGAAGATGGCGAAGATCCATTCGTGCTCGACGAGGTCGTAAGCCGACGATTGGTCAAGAGACAAGAGCGCCGCGTCAGGGAACTCGGTGCCGCGCGCGCCCAGCTCCTCGATCAAGAGTCGCAGGTGGAATGACGCGTCCGCCGATCGGCGGCCCTTGACGAAGCCGTGCTGTTGCGGTGGGAGCAGGTCCGGCAGCACGTGGTTGAGTCGCGCAACGTAGACCTTGGTGAAGAGCTTGTAGTCGCACTCGCGCAAGGTGATGGGCCGGTACGACGAGAGCTCGGCGCGATCGGCCCCGATCTTGTGGTGCTTGAAGAGCAGGCGAGCGAGTCCTTGCCCCTGCTTCGGTGAAAGCGAGCCGCGCTCGGTCATCGCGTTGAAGGCCCTGCTCAGCGCCTTGGCCCACGCCCGCGGCGCTGTGTGATAGAGCTCGTAGGGCACGCCAGATGGACCCGGCGATCGACCGGGGTGTGTTGTTGCGATTGCGGCTACGACCTCGTCCTCGGTGATGGGTTGCTGCAGCAGCTCGATGTGCGCTTCCGAGAGTCGTCGCAGAAAGAGCGGGTCCGAGCTCGGGTCGTCGCAAGTGCGCGCCGACCTGATCGGCGCCAAGAAATCGTCCCTAAGTCGCTCGACGTGGTCCCGATCGCGCGGCTCGAGATCGTAGAGGCGCTGAAAGTGCGCCTGTGTGTGGTCAAGCGCGACGTCAATGTCATGTGTCAGCTCTCCGTTGGGCAATCGCAGTGCTGTGATCTTGGAATCCGAACTCCGTGCCGCGAGCTTGGCGTGGACCGGCCGCGACAGTCGTTCCTCGGTAGCGATTTCGGGTACGTGGGCTCGGATCCGAAGTTGGCGCGCGCGCTCGTTGACCGCTCGCCTAAGTTCCTCCGTCGTCCGCGTCCATTCGGCCGTCTCCTCGTCCCCCATCACCGGCAACGCCTCCAGATCCTGCACCCTTCCCACCAAGACCGCCATCCGCTCCACCCGCTCCCGATGCTCCCTCCTCGCCAGCTCCCGACCCTCCTTCGCGCAGTTCCCCAGCACCACCTCGAGCTCCCCCACCGGTTCCTCCCCACTCGCTCCTTCCAACCATCCTTCCAACATCCCCTGGAACTCCGCCGTCTTGAAGGTCGCCGCGTTGATACGATGTAATTGGTTTGATGTCGTTGGTAAACTGTTGTTGGGTTGAGCCGCGTCTCCTCGCTCGTCCGAGAGAACTAGGACGATCGAGACCGGTCGGTGATCCGAAAGGTCCTTGGGGTGGTCGTAGATCGTCGAGGCTTGGACGAGTCGCTTTTGGTGGGTGCGCTGCAGAAGGAAGTAGTCAAGTCGTGAAAAGGACTTTGGTCGCTTGCGGACGATGTTGGGTCGAGTGAAAGATGGTGTGAGCGGGTGTTTGAATCGTATGCAGTCGGTGTAGGGCGAGTCGAGCTTGCCGATCAGGATCGGCCAGTGATGGCCGTGCCGACCTTGGTTCCGCCGATCGATCGCCGGCAGCGGGCAGTCGTTGAGATCGCCGCCGAGGAGTCGAAGGTGGGTGCTCTGCGTCCTGTGGAAATGTAGTTTGTCAAAGAATGTGAGTCGTTGTTTTGTATCGACTGGTGCGTAAATGTTGTTGATCTCGAGTATCCGGATGTCGCCTCGAAGTCGAAAGGAGGTGACCAGGATTCGTCCGTCGAGTGCCGAGTGGGTGCGCAAAATCTCGGCGTCGATCAGGGGCGAGTCGGCGGGGATCAGAGTCAGACAGTGTTTGCTGATGAAGACCTTGCCCTCGTACTCGTCCTTGATACATTGCCAGAGTTCCGGTTTGATGAAGTGTTCTTGTAGTAGAATGGCGGATGCTTTGAATGTTGATAAATAGGTGTAAATGTTGCGTCGCTTTTCCGGGATCCCCATGCACCTCCTCACGTTCCAGCTGGTGATGGTGTGCTTGATCATTATTGGGTAGACGATGTAGACGTGCTCTTGGCGGTAGTGTCGTCCTCAAAGAGTGGGAATTCGGGGAGAATGTCATCCTCGGGCTCGTGGTCGGACCAGCGCTTCTCCTCCTCCACCCCTTTACCCTTCTCCGCTTTCGCCTTGGCCCCCTCGACCTGCATCGCCGCCGCCGCCGACATCGACCTCGTCACCCTCTTCCCCTGACCCGCTACCTCCTTTCCTGCTCGACCTTTGACCCTGTTCAGAACGCGCTTGATATCGACCGGGTCGTCGCTCGGATCGCTGAGATCGGCCACCGTTTGCGACCTCTTCATCTTCTTGTTCGACCCGGAGCCGGTGCCACGAATGTTGATGAATCGCAGTTGTCCATCTTCCTGACCCCACTCTGCAAATTGGTGGCGAACGAGCGGTTCCTCCGCGTCGAGTTGGGCGTTGATGATCGCCTCCTTTTCTGCTTGGACACGTGCAGCAGCTTCGGCGTTAGCTCGGTCCCACTCCGCACCCTCGCGCAGCGACTTTGCCAACGTCTCAGGAGATAGTGGAGGCCACGAGGGACTCCGAGGAGTCGACTCGCGGGAAACCCTTTTTTTTTTTTTTGTAGAAAACGTTCATCATATTGCCCCCAATTCCTGTTCCCCCTGTTTCGGCCTACGGAAAAACTAGATGGAAGTCGACGATGATAACACAAACCGCCCGCAAGATGCGAGAAACGGGCCAAGTCCACCAATCCGATACTTCGGATTCAAGTGCCCCAGCCAAGCGGTTGCTCCCCCCCAGGAGACGAATGAGAGAGAGAAGGAGAGAGAGAGAAAATGAAAAAGAACTGGCGTACTAACGACAAGAGGCCCACCCCGCACCCACTTCCCAACTCGGTCGAGACAAAGACAGGAGAGCGACTGCGCAGCTACCCTGACCCGCGAAGTCCCCAAGTCTATGCTCGGTCACAACAAGACGCGGTGGAGGCCCCTCAAAACCTCCACCTCAGCAGTCCCTGGCCCCTCAAAGCCGACTTTCTGCCTGTGTCTGCTGATCCCTCCCTTGACTCAGAACCCCGAAGCCAAAGAGCGCGAGCCACCGTCGAGTCAATCCCAAATCGCGAGCCGGTCCATGAGCAACGGAGGCAGACCTGTAATAAAAGAAAGAAAGATGAAGAAAATATATTTAGTATACAGTTTTTGTAAGAGGATGTGTGATGTGGGGTGTGTGAGTGTGGGATCGGGTGGGGGGAAATCGAACCCAGCCTCTACTGCCCTCGCCCGCCCCTTGCTCCCCCCGCCCTCAACTTCATCCTCTCCTCCAGTACCACCCTCCTCCGCTCCAGGCTTTCCATCCTCGTCCCGTGCTTCTGCATCCTCCATCTCCCACTGCTGATCATCTCCAAGACCATCCCCGTGAAGATCTCGATCGTCCTGCCTGCGCCTTCCTGTTCGCTGAGCTTGGCCTTGAGCTTGGGGAGGCCAAAGAGTCGTTGTAGTGTCGTGTACTCGGCGTCCTCGATCGTGTCGCATCCGAGCGCGTCGCAGAGCACGCCCCTTGCCGCGGTCCAGATGTTCCGCGAGTCGACGCAGCCGAAGAAGTAGTGATCGGTGTCGTCCACCGGCGCTTCGCACACGAGGCACGCGGGAGAAGTGTCGTGCTTTTGCTCGTGCTGGAGTTTGCGCGTCGGGGTGAAGCGGAGGATCAGCTTGAACCAAACTTCCCTCTCCCTCGCCGTCAGTGCCTTCGAGTTGACTGCCTTCCAGAAGCTCCTGAGGTCGTCCGGCTGCGGTGGTCCCTTGAGCCCGAGCATGTTGGTAAATGCCTTCGCGTTCAGGACCCGGCGGATGCGACGGACTGTGTAGGGGCGAGCCATGTTCAGCAGCGTATACTGGCTCGCCTGTTGTGGAAGCACCGGGTCCGGAAGGCGCTGCTCCATTGCGAAGCGGGCCACGGGCTTGGGGATGATCGCCTCGAGCGGTGCGCTGGTGCCGATCCGGGGAGGCACGTTGAGTCGTCCCGCCGCCACCGCCGCCGCCAAGGGGGTGTTCTTGTGTCGATCGACAGTGAACCGGTACCAGGCCGCGATTGCCAGTCGCTGCGGGAGCCCGCGTCGATCGTATTCGCTGTTGTCGCCGAGCACATCCGCCGGCGGCGTCCAGAGGTGAAACCCCCCACCCGCATACAACTCGCGTCGATAGAGATCCGCCACCTTCGGGTAGCCCTGGAGACGAAGGTAGTCAGGTACATGAACCGCGTCGATGGTCTGTCTCCCTCTGATGGGGGTGTGGAGGCTGCCGAGCAGGGTGGGCAGCGCGAGCAAGTTCGCGGTGGTCAAGGCCCTCGGGTTGACCTGCGCGTCGTGAAGTTTCGGAACGCCCAGTGCGGCGTGCCATCGGGGATGAAGGTCGTTGGGGATGGGAGTGGATGGATGTGGCCAGAGATCGGTGGCCAGGTCGAGGTCGGGCTGAGCTCGCTGGAGTGATGCGCGCGCAAGTCCTTGCCAAATCGCGCCGGAACCGCCGAGAAGAACGTCCCAGAGCCGTGCCGCAACCGCGTCCACAACGTCCCGCATCCTTATCACCCCGAGTCCCCCCTTGTTCTTGGCGGTGAACACAATGTCTCTGCCGTAGCTGGTCCTGCCCTTGCCCCCACGGACGAAATCGACGAGCATGTCATCGAGCTTCTTGACGACTTCGGGCGGCGGGATGTCGGCTGCAAGGAAATGCAGGATCTTGGGAATGGCGTACCGATTGACGTAAAAGGCACGGGTGTGGTGCGTGAGCCAGCGATGCTGAACCGCTTCCAGCGTCGCCTCGAGCCGTTCGATGAGATTCGCGTAGGCGAGTTCGGTGTCGCCGCTGGGGTCGAAGGGGAGGCCGATCCACTCGAGCGACTCGCCTGCGGCCTTGACGACGATTGGCCGTTCCCCAGGGTCCCAGCGACGTCCAATCGGTAGGACGACCGTCTTGTCCGTGTTGAGCCGGCCATTCGTTGCATGCCTCCAGTCGAGCGCCAGGTCATCGAGCAAGTTGAGTGACTCCAAGCCCGCGACGGCGACGACAACGTCATCGGCAAATGCAAGTGATGTAATGGCGCGGCTCTGTGGGTACGGATGAAGTGCAGGTATGGAGAGATTCAGCGCGATGTTTCGACGGTGTAGAGCATCCAGGAACGGCTGAAACACGATGTCCCAGACCGACGATGACGCCGGGTCCCCTTGGCCGAGCCCACACGTCAGTCGCACCGGCGCCGTCAGGAACCCATTGATGATGTAGCGCGCCGAGGTCGAGTCACCCGAGTAGAGCATCCTCAGCACGCGAAGAAAGGTGGTAGGAGCGCCCAGAGCGTCGAAGATGGCAAAGATCCAGTCATGCTCGACGAGGTCGTAGGCGGATGATTGGTCAAGAGACAAGAGCGCGGCCGCGGGGAACTCGGTCCTGCGCGCGCCAAGTTCCTCGATCAGGAGACGAAGGTGTAGTGCAGCGTCGGCCGATCGGCGGTCCTTGACGAAGCCGTGCTGCTGCGGCGGGAGGAGATCGGGCAGAATTTGGTTCAATCGGGCGACGTAGACCTTGGTAAAAATCTTGTAATCGCACTCGCGCAGGGTGATGGGGCGATACGACGAGAGTTCGGCGCGATCGACATTCTTCTTGTGGCGCTTGAAGATGAGGCGCACGAGTCCCTGGCCCTGCTTGGGAGAGAGTGAACCGCGCTCGATCATCGCGTTGTAGGCCTTGGTCAGCACCTTGGACCACGCCTCCGGTGCGGTCTGATAGAGTTCGTAAGGCACGCCCGACGGGCCCGGCGATCGCCCCGGGTGCGTCGTCCCGATCGCGGCCACGACCTCGTCCTCGGTGATGGGTTGCTGGAGGAGATCAATCTGCGCTTCCGAGAGTCGGCGCAGAAAGAGCGGATCTGAGCGCGGGTCGTCGCAAGTCCGTGCCGCCCTGATCGGCACGAGGAGTTCGTCCCGAAGTCGGTCGACGCGTTCCGGATCACGAGGCTCGATGTGGTAGAGGCGCTGGAAATGCGCCTGCGTGTGGTCAAGAGCGACATCAATGTCATGCGTTAGCTCTCCGTTGCCCAAGCGCAGTGCTGTGATCTTGGAGTCCGAGTTCCGCGCCGCGAGCTTGGCGTGGACCGGCCGCGACAGTCGTTCCTCGGAAGCGATCTCGGGGACGTGGGCTCGGATCCGGAGTAGGCGCGCGCGCTCCTCGACCGCCCGCTTGAGTTCCTCGGACGTCCTTGTCCATTCTGCCGTTTCCGCCTCCCCCCATACCGGTAACGCCTCCAGATCCTGCACCCTCCCCACCAAATACTCCATCCGTTCCGTCCGCTCCCGATGCAGCCTCCTCGCCATCTCCCCACCCCTGTCCCTGCACGCCTCCAGAACCTCCTCAAGCTCTCGCACCGGATCCTCCCCGCTTGCCCCTTCCAACCATCCTTCCATCATCCGCTGAAATTCCACCGTCTTGAAGGTTGTGGTATTGATTCGATGTAGTTGGTTGGATGTGGTAGGTAGGCTGAGCTGTGGGAGAGCCGCATCAAGATCGTCTGAGAGAGCCAGTACGATCAAGACCGGTCGGTGATCGGAAAGATCCTTGGGATAGTCGTAGATCGTCGAGGCCTGGTCGAGCCTTTTTTGGTGAGCTCTTTGTAGGAGAAAGTAGTCAAGCCGGGAGAAGGAGTTGGGTCGCTTGCGATTGGGATTAGGTCGAGTGAAAGATGGGGTGATGGGGTGCTTGTAGCGGATGCAGTCCGTGTAGGCCGAGTCGAGCTTGCCCATCAGAATCGGCCAGTGGTGGCCGCGCCGACTTTGGTTCCGCCGATCGACTTCTGGGCGCGGGCAGTCGTTGAGATCGCCGCCAAGGAGTCGGAGGTGGGATTTCTGTGTTTTGTGGAGGATCAGTTTGTCGAAGAATTTTGCTCGTTGTTTTGGGTCAACGGGCGCGTAGAGGTTATTGATTTCTAGAATTTTGATGTCGCCCCGCAGACGAAAGGAGGTGACGAGGAGCCGGCCGTCGAGTGCCGAGTGGGTGCGCAAGAGCTCGGCGTCGATCAGGGGCGAGTCGGCCGGGATCAGGGTCAGGCAGTGCTGGTTGATGAAGAGCTTGCCCTCGTACTCGTCCTTGATGAGCTGCCAGAATTGTGGTCTGATGAAATGCTCTTGTAAGAGAATCGCGGAAGCTTTGAATGTGGAAAGGTAGGTGTAGATATTACGTCGTTTTTCCGGGACCCCCATGCCCCTTCTTCCGTTCCAGGTGATGATGGTGTGCTTGATCATTAATGGGTAGTCGAGGTCGAGGCGCTCTTGGCGGTGGTGACGTCCTCAAAGAGGGGAAGGGCGGGCAGGACATCGTCCTCGGGCTCGTGGTCGGACCATCGTTTTTCCTCAGCTACCCCTCTTCCTTTCCCTCTGTCCACCTTCGTCACCTCGACCTGCATCGCCGCTGCCGCCGACATCGACCTCGTCACCCTCCGCCCCTCTATTCCATCCTTCACCACGACGCGGCTCTTCCCTTTGATGATGACTCGCTTGGCGTCGGTCGGTTCGTCACTTGGGTCACTGAGGTCCGCCGCAGTCTGCGACCTCTTCATCACCTGCTTCTTGAACTTCGCAGCGGTCCCCCTGATGTTGATGGAGCGTATCTCACCGTCCTCGTCCCACGTGGCAAAGTTGTGACGCACCAGAGGGGTTTCAGCGTTGAGCCTCCTCTCGATGCTTTGGTCCCGCTCAAGTCGTGCCTGCTCAACCCAGTTAGCTCTGATCCTGTCCCACTCCTCCCCCTCGCGTAGCGACTTGGCGAGAGTTTCGGGTGACAGAGGTGGGGTTGGTTCATGCGGCGTCGATTCGCGGGAAGCGGTGGCGGCGGTTGCTGTGGCGTCGCTGTCGTCGTCATTGTCCAGCCTGTTCGTTTCCCCTAAGTCCGTCGCTTCCGCATTCTCCGCTTTCGTCGATCCCCTCGCTTCGTCCACATCGCCCACCTCCGTCGCCACCTCCTCTTCCTCCATCTCCGTAGCCACCTCTCCTTCCGTTTCACCTCTTTCATCCGCCATCACCTCATTCTCATCAATCACCTCTCCATCGGATCCGCTGCAGTCCTCCAAGACCGACTCGTCCTCGCTTTCAATTTTGATGACCTCCGTTTTCGCGGCCGCCTCCGATTCCATCTCCGAGTCCTCCGAGTCCTCGTCATCCGCCTTATCACCAGCGTCTTCCTCCCCCGATTCCTCCGGTCCCTGTTCGCCCTGGCCAGTTACCTCTTCCTCCTGTCCCTCCTCGACCTCGAGCCCGGCGAAGTGATTCTGTGATGCGATCCTGTTAACAACCAGCACAGGAATGGGGGCCTCGGCCTCCGCGATGTTGGTGTTGTGGGTGATGGTGTTTTTGTTGCTGTTGATGATGCCGTTGTGAGCCTCCTTCCGCTTCCTCTCCTGATCCAGTCCGCAGGTTCCCACGTGACCCACAAAGTGGCACCTACCGCAAGCCGCCTCCTTCTCATAGTCATGGCGAAGGGCGGTAACCGGGATGCCTCGAGTGGGAAGGTCGATCCTCGAAGGTAGAATCTCCTTCAAGGTCGTGTTGGGGCGTTGGAATAGGGAGTCGTCATCGAAGTGTAGGAAAGCCGAGTAGTCTCCGGCAACGTGGGCGAAGGCCGAGGCGTTGTCCACGCTGATAACGCGCAGAACCTGCACAAGTTGGCATGAATGTCCCTTGCCTGACAGGTCTTGCACAAGTGATTGGAACGATTTGATGATGGCATCCATGGAGGGCACTCCTTGAACACCGACGTTGATTCGAAGCTCGACCATGTTATGGTGGAACCTGTGAGACTTCGCGAAGCGGGCCTTCGCCGATCGCCAAGTGAGAGCGGGGGGCGTCGTGAGCGCCGCGTCACGTGCCTCGCCGGTGACGAACCCAACCGTAACGCGATGGTGAGCCGCCCCATTACGCAGGATTGATGAATGTTGTACGCCTAAGATCTGTGGTTGATAAGCCGCAAGATGGTCCGGCAGAGGAACTCCAGGCTCAAAGCAGATAGGAGAGATGGGCGATAGCAGCCTCGTGACGCAGGCCACGAGATCGATCTTGTCGGCATGAGTCGCTCGCGAGGCGCTCTGGTGAGACAGAGTCACTTCAAGGGCGTAATCGAAGATGTTCTCGACGGACCGGTTCGCGTTCAAGGCCGAAAATTTCAGCGATGTGGCGGTGGCGACGGGGTAGAGTTCGGCGAAGTAGATGGCCTGGACCCAGCGATCCATACGGTTTCCGGGTACAGCACCCATGGCTTGTAGGAGGCTGCCCAGAGCCTTGGCACGCTGTTGTTGTTGTTGCTGTTGTTCAGGTGTTTGAGCCGCCATCTGACTCGCAGCGGCAGCATAGTTGGGTGCGGCGGTGGCGGGGCCCGTGACTTGCGTCTTCTTCGAGCTTATCGGGATCCGGTCGCGGGGGGGCTGGACGCTGGTGGCGGATACCGGTGGTGGCGGTGCCGGCAGTGGGGACCCAGGGTCTCCGGTAGACATCTTGTCGGTGTATCACTTGTTAACTCGAGTATCGAAGGCTGCAGTAGGGCGATTGTGAAGTGAAGTGAGGTGGTGGGGTGAGGTGAAAAAAAAAAAAAAAAAAAGAAAAAAAAAAATTTTTTTTTTTTTTTTTGTAGAAAATTTTTTTTTTTGTAGAAACAATGGGAAAGAGAGGGGAGAAGATTATTTATAGGTCAAAGGACTTAGCGCTTCTAATAGTTCTCAGTAGTATAGAGGTAGAATCCACGCCTGTCACGCGTGTGGCCCGGGTTCGATTCCCGGCTGGGAAGATTTTTTGGGGTGACTGTTCTGCCCTACAAGACTGCTATTCTTTTTTTTTGCGTTAGCTTACCCAAAGTGCCCTGCCTTCGCCTAAAACAATATAATGATTTCGCTGGAAGCGCGCTGCAAACGCAAGAAAAAGCCTGACCAGACCGAAGGCTCTCCGAGCTGAGAAGCGAAAAGTTTTTTAGGACACCAGTGGAAACCCGTTAGATTGACAGGGAAACCGGTCGTGTAAACACGCATGAAATTTATTCCAAGTCTCGCTACATGCCATCGCTACATTTCCTCGCCACGTGTCGTCGCTACGTTTTCATCGCTACAATTCACTCAATCTGATCCTCGCTCAGCCAGTCAAGGAACTGGGGCGTAAAGTAGGTCAAGATGAGCGTACAGCCTGCGAGCGCACGAGATTCAACCAGGTCAGTCGCAAGTTCCCTACTACGGGCAAAGATTCGACTGACCAGCTCGCAAGAAGCATTCCACCGTCTCCATGGCCATGACACGAAGGTCATAGACGCCTGCGTTCGCTCCAGCGTGGATCATGGCGAATTCTCCAGAGACCTGTCCCCACCCAAGTGCTCTTCATCAGTCTCCAGTTGGGTCCGATGGGAGCACATGGCGGCGTACTGACCTGGTAGACGGCGAGAGGATGGTCAGGCGCAAGCGCCCTTGCTTCGCTGATGATGTCAAGGTAAGGCAGTCCAGGCTTGACCATGATGATGTCGGCACCTTCGTCCACGTCTCGAAGCTTAAGAGGGAAACGCGGTCAAACACGAATCGGTCTTTCGCCTATCACGCAAGATTGGCCCTTGACTTACAATCGCCCTTCGAGCCAGGCCTCGAGCATTTGGTGGGAGCTGGTAGCACTTTCGGTTCCCAAAAGCGGGTACCGAACCTGCTGCCTCTCTGCTCGAGAGCGGGGCAAGAATTTTCTCGTCGTTAGTGTCCGAGGCCACGTCGCTGATCTCGAGCACCTTACCGGAAGGGGCCATAGAGACTGCTGGCGAATTTGGCGCTGTACGACATGAGGTTGCATCGGTTGCTGTAACCGTTGTCGATCAATGCATCCTTGATCGTGCGAATTCGACCTGCCGAGGAAAACGAAAATCTTTTCCGTCAGCTTTGGTAAAATCAGAACTGGTGCTAGACCCTGTGACGGACCATCCATCATATCGCTGGGGGCGACCATGTGAGCCCCTGCTTTGGCATAGGCCAAAGCGACCTGGGCGAGTCGGGCGACGCTCTTGCCATTGTCGATGGTCCCGTCCTCACGGAGCTCGCCGCAGTGGCCGTGGCTGGTGTATTCGCACAGACAGACGTCGCACGCGATGAGGATGTGCGGATACCGCTCGCGAATGAGCTTGGTCGCGACAATGACGGGGGTACTAGGATCATCGGCGGCGGACCCTCGACCGTCCTTGGTCATGTGGAGCGGTACGCCAAAGAGGATGACGGAGCGCAAGCCCTTTTTGACGAGCGGGTCGAGCAGCTGGTTCAGCTTGTTGATACCCCAGCGCTTTTGACCGGGCAAGGCCTTGATTTCGACGACGGCTTCGGGGTCGTCGGTGATGAAGATGGGGTACATGAGCATGTCCTTGGTGAGGTGACGTTCAGCTTGGAGCGATCGGAGCAGGGGATGGAACTGGCCGCCTTGCAGCGTCGACGAGATGGGCACCCGGTGTGCGGTCGTCATGTTCGGTGGTGGAGGTGGCGGGCGAGAAGAAGCGATGAGGGGGGGATACGCAGGCTGAACACGAGAAATGACTGTCCTGGGGTGCTGGGCGGACAGGAAGCGTGGTCGAGCGGGGGCTTTGACAGAATGATCGCGAGTGTGGGGCACGACTGCGCTCGGACCGCTTCGTTATGTGCTGCGCCACCAATCAGAATCACACGCTCGAGTCAGATCGGGCAAGAAGCTCAAAGAAGCCGCGGCGGAGACAACTGCCTCGGCCACCCACCGTCTTCGCATGTCTCCTCTGTACCACCACACCCGCTTCGTCTCAATTTCCGCCGCCCTCCGAGCACGGCCACCCCACACGCTCAAACCCGACCCGCCATGTCAAAGCCCTCGTCGACCGCCACGACGCACACGCAACTGCCTCCGACGTACCAGCCGCACGCGTCATCGTCGGCCGGCTACGGCGCGACGAACGACGATCGCGACCCCTTGCTTCAGGCTGCGGCCCGTGGTGACGACGAGGATGACATTCCAGAGGACTTCAAGGTCAGTTCTGATCTGATCTTTCTGATCTTTCTAAAACTACCAAGTCACTGCGCTCGCATACTGACCGACCCTCTGGTACGATGCGGTACGACCCACCAGATCGGAGTGACCGTGTCGCAGTCTTCAAAGGATGTGCGCATGCAGTTCGTGCGCAAGGTTTACATCGTCCTCACGATGCAGTTGGTAAGCTCCAAACACATGCCACTGTGCTCAGCTCGGGACCTGCCGCGCCGAGTCTCCGATGGCTGACCTACCCCACCCCACGTGCCGGCCCCCTATCGTTGATCCGTTACTCAGCTCGCCACGTTCGGCGTCGGCATGTTGATGCGCGGCGAAGCGGCGACGCAATGGACTCGCGAACACTCGGGTCTCATGATGATCCCCATCCTGGGCTCCTGTAAGTCCAAATGCGCATGAAGGAACAGAGGAGCATCGCTGAGCCCAGGGTCCATCCATTCTCCTACGCAGTCGCGATGATGCTCGGTGCCTTCTGGAAGCGCCACTCGCACCCTCTCAACCTCGTCTTCCTCGGCGCCTTCACGCTCTGCGAAGGCGTCTCGGTCGGTGCCGTCGTCTCCTTCTACGACCAACGCATCGTCCTCCTCGCTCTCGGCATCACGCTCGGTCTCTTCGTCGGCCTCACGCTCTTCACCCTTCAAAGCAGATACGAGTTCGACTCGATGGGGCCCTACCTCTTCTCCGCCTTGCTCGTGTTTTTCATTACCAGTCTGGTTGGGATGTTCATTCCCTTCTCCAACACGATGGATCTCATCATGGCCGCGGTGGGAGTCTTGCTGTTTAGGTAAGACCTCTGCCCAACTCGGCGCTTTATCTATCAAAAATTGCTGACTCCAAAAATTGCTGACCGTGCTCTCACTCCTCCAACACAGCATGTACATCATCTACGACACCCACATGCTGATGAAGAGGCTACACGTCGACGACTGGGTTATGGCCTCGATCTCGCTCTACTTGGATTTCATCAACCTCTTCCTTCAAGTCCTTCGCCTGCTCTCCGACATCCAGGACCGCTGATTCTCCCCGTATCCACCCACTTCCCTTCGATTTCCATTGGTGCGACTCGAACTTTTTACTAGGACCATGTAATATCACTTCCATTCACCAATCAGGCTTTGTGTCTTTGGCAACATCGTGATCTACTACCGCTAAACCGCTGAAAAAAAGATATGAAAAAAAAAGGGTGGGGGAGATTATAGTTATGCGCTTCATAATAGGGAGGTCACTACACCAAACAAGACAAACAAAACCAAGGCGAAACACAAACAGCTGCAAGACAGAGAGGGGGGTATCTGCAGTACTTTGATCGGACAACTTCGTGCCAGGGTTCACTTTCCCTCTAATCCACGACCATACCCGATTCCTCCTCTTCCTCAGCCGGAGCCTCCACCTCGCGCGCCACGATCGTCGCGAACAAATCCTCCAAAAAAGTTTCCCTCTCCTCCACGAGCGCAGGTTGACATTCGAACGTCCCGTTCTGCAAAGCATGCATGACGCCTTGTCGATTCAACCTGATCACATCGACGCGTTTCTCCGGTGTACGTTGGAGGAGGCCTTGAAGGATTTCGATCAGGGGCATGGAGAGGTGCGCTAGTTCGACGCCGGAGAGATCGTTCGAACGGAGTCGGTGCCATTCGGGTCCGTTATCCGGGAGCGCAACGTTCGCGGCGGCTTCTAAAACGACGAGGCCGAGACTAGAGGAAGTAGAAACGTCAATCGTCAACTTTTGGATCCGAGAAATGCACGCCGTCGGCACCGACTCCGACTTACCTGAACATATCGGCCGCTTTGCCGTAGCGACCTGCAAGGATTTCAGGAGCGATATACTCGCGATCGCCTTCCCGTTCGAGGTCCTCCGGCGCATCGCCATTACTCTTGGCCCTGACCCTCCGTTCACCCTGATCGAGAGCCCAGGAATACTCCGGAAATCCAGCCGAAGCTGTCGATCCACTGACCTCCCTCAACGCAGCACCCTTGAAGACACTGGCTGGATCGGTCCTTGGCCATCGTGTCGCGAGACCAAAATCGCCGATTTTGAGGTGGCCGAGGTCGGTGATGAATACATTAGCGGGCTTGATGTCGAGATGGATGATGTGTCGCGAATGCAAGTGCCCGATCCCAGCGGCGATTTCGGCCATAATCTTCCACACGCGCGCTTCTTCGAGGTGTTCGTGGTCGTGGCCGTAGGTATCCAGGAAAACCTCGAGGTTGCCGCTCGGGCATACTTCGGTCTGGATGAAGAGACGACCACTCTGCTCCCATGCGTCAACGAGTGAGATCAGTCGAGGTGACCGCTGCGCCTCGTTCGACAGCGAGCGCAGAATGTCGACTTCTTCCAACCGCCGGATACTGGGGGTTAGAGACATCGACGGGTCAGTAACGAGAATGTGGCGTACTTCGTCTCCGGAACGTGGGAAATACTTACCGATCTCGGGGTCCTCCAAAGGGCTGCTTCGTCCGTTTGACGGCGTAAACCCCATCCTGCCGACTTCGGTCCACTACCTCGTAAGCATCGCTGAATGCGCCGGTCCCAAGCGCACGGGTGACGACAAAGTTCGTCTCAAAGTAATTGGATTCTTGGTCGTCTCGCGCGTCGAGCGAGTCCGTCGCCGAAGATGAGTGGCGCAACTTGCCGTGGGATCTACCAAAGGTGACGGGTCGAGTGTGCGTCTTGTCGAAGCGGTGTCGTTCGAGTTCGGATAATGGGAACGACTGTCGACCCTGCGCCGCCGCGATCGAATGCGTCGGGGGCGAACGCTTCATGGCTGAGACGGGTTGGCCCAAGTTGGGCTGCTCGACGAATCGGTTCGAACCGCTGGGAGTGTCGAGTAGCTGAGCTTTGGCTGTGGGTGCGCGGGTAACGTGGTCAGCAAAATGGCTTCAGGAGGATAGGCGCGATTCAGAGACTCACCATCCCACCACTGCGCTCCAGCACTTCGAGTCGGTGTCATCGGTTCCAAGTTGGGCGAGACAATCGTAGGCGTTCGCGACGATCCCGCACTCGAGTAGTTGAGGTTCGCGATCTCGCGCTTGGTGTTGAGCGGGCCGAGTTGACCACTGCTGCGTCGGCGGAAGATGGCCGGCATTGTTAAAAGGCTGCGAGAGGCACTACCGAGCTTGGAAGATGACCGAGCGTTAGCCACGGCGGCGAGAGCGGTGGGACTGGCATCGTTGCCGCCCGCGCCGCCGTCGCTGTCGAGCGAGCTTTGCGAACGCGGGCTCGTCGATCGACTGCGCGTGTCCTGGCTCAGAGCCCCAGGACGCCAAGGCGAGAGCGAGTCGGTCGATTCGGTCGGCCCGACCAGTGGAGACGATGCCGAGGGTGGGCTAGAAGAGTCGACGAGATCGACGAGAAGGCCTGGCGGAGTGGCGTGGGCAGGCAGAGGGGAGGCGAGGTCGCTGACGTTGAGTGCGTGGGACAGGCCAACCGATCGCTTCATCGGGGTGTCGGGCATCGAGAGTCGACTCGGGATCGCGTTCGGAGCCGCAACAGCTGCGACGGGGACGCCGAACGCGGCGAGACCGGTCGACGAGAAGGATTCGACGACGGGCGCAGCACTTGGAGGCGACGCTTTCTCGCCGGTTGCCGATGCGTGAAAGTCGAGCATCGGCGGTCCACCGAGACTGTTGCCGCGTGGCCGGCTGTGCTTCTTGCTCACAAGCCCCGTCGACATGAACGCGGCTTGCGATGGACGAGCATTCTTGTAGTTCTGGGGTGTGAAGAACGAGGTGTCGAGCGAGCTGAGCTTGGCGGGGTGAATACCACCGGTGCTGCTGTCTAGGGAACGGGTCGAAGTCGAGGCGCGCGGGCCTTCCAAATGCGCAATCACGACGTGATCCGGGCCCTCGGCGTGGCTGCTCAGTGCCGTCGACAGCGACGACGACGCCGATGTGGTACCATCGGTCAAAGGAGGAGGGGGTGGGGATCGAGTCCCGTCCCAGCACATGGACATCGAATCGAGATCTTCGTCCGTCATATCCCCCGTCTCTTCATCGCAAGCGTCCCAGTGCAGCGAGTCGTGGGCGACGATAGGGGACTCGGCGCTGAGGTTACTCGTGCCGGCGCTAGCCAAGAAGCCCGGACCGACCAAGAGCGCACCGTTGGCATTGCGCTTGCGACCACCAACGGGTCCGTCATGTGAAGTAAGGATATCGCTCGTCGAAGCAGGCGACTGGGACGATGTCGGGTGGGTTGCGGGGAAATGAAGCGAGTCCATGGACGCCATCGAGCTCAGGGGGAAGGGGATGCCCGGTTGATTCCGCGGATGCAGGCGACCCGACAGCGAAGAAGAGGTCTTGGCCTTGGGCAGGGACGACGCCTCGGCCGAAGAGTGACCCGTTACCGAAAAGTCGGGCATGGACCAACCCCGCTGAGCGTCACGCAGTGGCGATCCACTCAGCAATGTGTGCAGCGGCGTCGTGGAAGATTTTGAGCGATGGTTCATCGAGTGCGGGTCCGAGAGGGCTCGTCCGCCAAACAAGAGCACGGCATCTTTCTCCTGCTTCCGCACCGATTCTTCCATCTCGACGTCCATGTTGCAGCTGCCGCTCGAATTGCTGCTCGCAAAGCGAACGGGGGCTGGACCACCTTCCATAAGCGTGTCGAGAGCAGTGGTGAAGGAAGACGCCCGACTGCGACCCACGACCGGCTTCGGTGCCTCCTCGGAGCGGGTACGCGGAGTGGTGCTCGTCGGCGCGAATGCAGCGGTGGAGAAGAATTCGCCACTGGTGGGGCTCGGATGTGAGCGGGACGAGGGTATCCCGTCCAGGCTGAAGGACGGTACCGTCGCTCGAGAGAACGACTTGGTCCGTGTTGCTCGCCGGGGCTGTGTTGGTGGCGGACTCTTGGAAGAGACGTATCCATGGCTTCCAAACAACTCGAGATCGGGCTGTCGAGGGGGCGACATCTCGAGGCGATCGATGGACAGCCGCTTGTAGGGTGGCGGTGAGGCTAGGAAGTCAAAGTCGTCGCCGTTTTTCGACGACGACCGTGTGGCACCCCGCTGCGGGTTGAAGTTGATGTGTCGCGACGTCGACGGGACCAACGCTTGCATGAATGTACCGCGAGGCACCGCCGACGAGTTCGACTCTTGTTTCGGTGACTTGAGCGGCGAAGCGTGGAAGGCGAGCGACCGAGAGGGGCGCACGGTATGGGCATGCACGAGCGAAGGTGCGCGGATCTGACCATCCCGACGTCGAGCTGGCACGGGAGAGTAAGGTTCCCGATCCTCTTCCTCCATTTCTGCGCTTTTCCGTCGGCGCGTCTCGGTCAAGGCAGAGAAAGGTTGACCCAAGCCGCTCGCCGCTGCTGCCGAACCCGAGCCCGAGGCGTCCCGCCGCGATGGCGTCCAGGACGACTTGATCGCAAGCCGCAAAGCTTGCTCAGAGTCCACATCAGGCTCGGCCGATCTTGATGCGTTCTCGGCGAGCTTGCGACTGGTCGTTCGGCGAGTGGGCATGCGCGGCGCCGAGGACGAAACGCGAGGGTCGGATTCGATCGCGCCGAGCTCCTGGTTCATATCGGAAAAGTGGAAGCCCTTGGCGGGAGCGGTGTTGGGGCGCGAGACCTTGGGGGAGAAGGCGCTCGTAATAGTTGAGGTCAGGCGTCGCATCGCGGCGACCTTTTCCCGTGGGCTCGAGGCGATGTTGTCATCGGCGACGGTGGCGGCGGTGGTGGGGTGCGTCTGGTCTCCGCCATCACCGCCGAGGTCGAGCCGAGCTATCGCCGAGTTGTAGGCATCGTCGGTCTGCAGCTTGGAGTCGTTGACGAGACGTGGAGACGATGCAGCGGAGCGTCCTCGTCCTCTCTCGCGACCGCGACCGACGGGGCTGAAGGTCACGAGCGGGTTGGCGTGCTGAGGGTTCTGGGTCGAATCACGTGTCGGCTGCGGCGCGGGGTCGTATGATTCGGAACACAGTTTGGCAAAGTCTTGTGACCCGACGCCAACGGTCTGACGAGCGGGGGACGATGAACGAGGTGCGACGTTGACACCAAACGGTGATCGTTGCAGTGGTCGCCTTGGCCGCAACAGGTGCTGGTGCGGCGAGGCATGGGGTGACATCGCGTCGGCCATCGTGGGCTGAGCGGGGGACGGTGGCGCAATCACGTTGCTGGGCCCTTCCGCTCTTTCTTCAGTACGCTACGAGGAGGGAGTGGGAGAGTGATAGTCAAAGAGCGTCAGCGCATGTTGAAAGACCCCAAGGCTCGTGCATGAGACGCCAGGCGATGATGACGGAGGGTCGTATGACTCACGTTCGCGTCTGTTGTTTTTGGGGGCGAGGCGAGTGGCGGCGCGCGCCTGGAGAACGTGAAGGTCGCAAGCACGCGCGTCGTCGTCGCACCGGGCAGCGTTGAGTGAAGAGCTGAGGCGCACCAACGTTAAAGCGGAAGGTACGCGCTTCTCGGAGGCGTTCCACGGGTGTGGTCACGCAAAATGGGGTGGGCCGTGTATGGTCGTAGTGTTGGGGTGTTGTTGGGGTTGGTACAGGCGCGGTGAGAGGATGTCGGCGACCTTGGGGACGAGAGCGCGCAAGAGCAGCGCGGCGCAGTCTAGAACATGCGCAATTGGGGATTACGAAATTCCTCTGGTGCGACGCCCATTACAAATCAATCCGGGTCAATCTCAGCGGCTCAGCGGAACGGCGCAAGAGCGCAAGTCATAAGCAGGCGCGTGACTTGCGAGTCCACCAGCGAACGCCACCATCACCATCACCAATCAAGGCCAGCCATGACTGCATCATCGGCACCTGCGTGAGCACACATGGGTGATCCAGGATAATCTGTTCTTTGCCCACGAATACTGAAAAGGCCCATGTGGCGATAATTGGTCTGCCTCTCGGCCTCTCGCAGCCCCGCGGATGGCCAGCCTCTGCCCAAGCCCGTCATCTCACCCCCCAACACCGTCCTCCTCAAGGCCATCGCAACGGGCTGCAAAGTCTACGTCGAGCGACCAGACCAAGCTCGCAAGGCCGAGATCCTCATGATTCGGGAGAAGAAGCTCAGTCGAGCCGCGAGGAAAGCCACGCTCGAATCCGGCGTTCCCCCGCCCGAGGTCCCCGACGAGGAGAAACTCGAGTATTACGTCCATTATGTCGAGTTCAACAAGGTCAGTCACGAGGTCCTCGAGCCTAGCGAGCAAGGAGGGGTAGTTGTCAGTCGTCGACGTCCGCTGACTTGGGGCGCTTCCATCGGTTTCCGCTTCTTGCATTTCTCCAGCGTCTCGATGAATGGGTCCAAGGTTCTCGCATCCTACTTTCACGAGAAGTTGAATGGCCTTTACCTCCCGCTCCCGCCGTACCCGCACCGACAAGCAGCTCGTCCGCCTCGCGCAAAAAGTCTTCGGATACAAGCGGCGCATCCTCGCCATCTCGAGACGGCAAGTCTTCGTCGCAAAAGAAATCATCGGCCCTCGACACGGGATCTTTGCTACGTAAAGCAGCGATCAAAGCTTCGGCTGCGGGAGCTCGCAAGAAGGCTGTGACACTGGCGATCCCCGAGGGCAACGATGAGGATGCCGAGGGCGAAGCCGACGATGCAGGCGATGATGACGGATCTGCGGCCGACGCGAATGGAGACGTCGATGACGATGCCGACGAGACGATGTCGGATGGTACGACACCTTTGGCCATTTCACCCGGTGGGACAACCGTCGCCGATGCTGTGACCGAGGACGACGAGGAAGGCACCCCGGTCCCAACGTTTTCCAAAGCGCGTGAGATCGAAAAACTCCGAACGCAAGGATCCATGACGCAATCGCATTCGGAAATCTCGCGAGTCAAGAACCTGGACAAGATCCAAATGGGTCGTCACGAGGTCGAAGCATGGTACTTTTCACCCTACCCCGTCGAATACGCCCACACCGCGACGCTCTATATCTGCGAATTCTGCCTCGCCTTCTTCGCGTCTGAAAAGATGATTGAACGACATCGGAAGAAATGCACGCTGCAACATCCACCGGGGAACGAGATCTATCGTCACGAAGAGATTTCCTTCTTCGAGATCGACGGACGAAAGCAGAAAACGTGGTGCCGCAACTTGTGTCTTTTGTCCAAGTGCTTCTTGGACCACAAGACGCTATACTACGACGTCGACCCTTTCCTCTACTACGTCATGTGTAGTCGCGACGAAACGGGCGTGCATCTTATCGGGTACTTCTCGAAGGAAAAGGAATCGGCGGAGAACTACAACGTCGCTTGCATCCTCACCTTGCCGCAGTACCAGCGCATGGGCTACGGCAAGCTGTTGATCGAGTTCTCGTACGAGTTGAGCAAGAAGGAGGGCAAGCTGGGCAGTCCAGAGAAGCCGCTTAGTGATTTGGGACTGTTGAGTTATCGAGCGTATTGGGCCGAGACGATCGTCGACTTGTTGATGACGACACGGGACGAGATTAGCATTGACGAGATCGCGAACAAGACGGCGATCGTTCATGGTGATATCATGCATACGTGAGTTCTGCCTGTCAGTTTCCTTTCATTACAACGCATCACTGAAAGGTCTACCTCGCCTCCTGCGACACAGTTGCCAAGTCTTGCAGATGCTCAAATTCTCGAAAGGGCAACACCACCTCGTCGTCTCGCAAGCGCTATTACAGCAACACGAACGAGTCAAGGGCAAAGTGCGCCGGCGCATTGATTCGACTAAGCTCATTTGGAAACCGCCCATGTTCACGCGTCAAGAACTTCGGTTCGGTTTCTAGAAAGGCTTACGTGTCATTGCCAGCTCTCATGGTCTATCCACTTGTTCGTGCTATATGTTGTAATCGTTGCATGTTGTTACACATATTTGACCTGGTACCTCCACGCTTCCCGGAGTGGGATGAGCTAGCCTTGAGCATCCGCTTCCTGTCCCGTCGCGCTGGACTTGTGCTTGGGTTTGAAACTCCAATCCGAAGGTGCGGGCCCCAAGAACATCTATCACGAGAACCCAAGGATCAGCTGATGGACGACGATCAGCATGAGAAGAGCCAGAGACTCACCTCGGTAATCTTGACCCAATCACTAGATTGCTCACTCGCCAACAAGGTCTACGAGATGAAAAGCGATGTCAGCAAAGCAAGATCAACAAACAACCACCCTCTATAATAGAAGGTTGTCCACGCACCTCAAGTTCGTTCCTCCCCTTGTAAGGCAACGGTCGTTCGTTGAGTTTGGCAGGCAATTTCTCGAGCAGGCCCACGGGGACGTATCGGTGAGTGAAACTGAGACTTTCGCAGACGAAGCGGCGGACATGGTTGACGCCAATTTGATCCGAACCCTTGCGGCGAGGACAGGGGATCAACGATGATTCGTCAAGCGTAGAAATGTGTTCGCGCAAGCCAAACTCACGAAGTGCTCCAGTCCGAAATCAGTCAATTTGCCGATCATTTCGAGTCGCTCGGTGGCGCTAATATCCCAATCGCGACGCTCCTTGATCTGCCGGACCAGAAGCCGCAATGCAGGATCAGTACCGTTGCTTCCCAAAGAGACCTCCTTGTAGAGCCACAAAACACCCTCAACTCACCTCCGTAAAGATCCAAGGTTTGATCAGTGCCCCACGCGCGATCGCGACACCGTCCGCCTTGGTCGCCTCGAGGATTTCATGATAGGTTCGCCAATCGTATGCATCACCATTGCCAAAGAAGGGGATCGGCTCGAGGTTGTCCTCCTTCGCGGTGTCGCGTAGCACTTTGACGCATTCTCCGATGTAGTCGCTGTCATAAGGAGGCGTAGAGAGAACCATAAATGAGCTATAATACAGCAGAAATATCCGATCCAACAGGCACTCACTAGTCCGCCAATTTCGAGTAGCGCTGAGCCCTCGATCGGCCATGCATCGTAATAGCACTGACGCCCCATTCCTTCTGCAACCGAGGCATCAACTTGTGCGCCGTAGGGGAATTCGCCGCCACACCCGTCCTGATTTTGAGCGATACGGGGATCTCCCCGAGCACACGATTCATCCCGACGAGGCATTTACCTAGTTTGTTCGCGTGCGCGAGCAAGGCCGAACCGGCTCCTTTGTTGAAGACGAGATCGATGGGACATCCACAATTCACATCTGCGAGTTGGCAGAACTTTTCCATTAGCCATTGCTCCAACAAGCAAGTATAGGAAGGTCTCTGGACTCGCCTATGAAGTCGACGTCGCAATGCTGTACGATTGCCTCGGCCGCCATGGTCATGGTTTGTGGACGTGAGCCGCAGATTTGCACACCAAACTCCTTTTCGCTTGGGTGTCTACGAAGATGCCGAATCAAGTTCGTAAGCGGGGCAAAGGACAGCGACTTATGAACTCCAACTTGCCTTCGGAGAAGACTGAACTCGCTCGAGTTGCCTGACAGCAACTCCTGAGCAAGTGCCATCTCACCCACGGTGATGTCGCACCCGTACGAAACGGCCAAACGACGGAAGGGCAGCGCACCGACGGTGGTGAGTGCGGGCATGTAAAGCTTCCCTTGCCAGTTCAGCTTCTTCTTCTCGAGCGGACGAGTCTGTGCCATATCCGGGACGAAAGTTCGCGAAGCCGGTTCAGGCTCGGGTTCTTGATCGTAGTCATCGACGGCAACAAAGACTTCGGCGTCGCCTTGGCGTTGACGTTTTGAACCTCGACCCTTCTTCGAGTTCTGCCCTCCAAAGTCGCGCGAGTCCAGTTCTTCTCCGATCGAAGTCAGGTACGCGACCGAGAGAGGGAAACGCTCCTGTGGTCCGGATCTCATCAGCGTCTCCATCGGGCAGTGCACACCGGGTAAATCGAGATGATCGACTGACCATCTTGGTTGCGCCTTGGCCGCTACGGATGAGTTTGATATTTGGCATGTCGATCAGGTTGTATTCGCCCTTGTCGTTAGCTTTTGGCCCGAGTTGTTCGGCAGTGAGACGGATCTTGTCCACGTCCTGGACGAGTTCCCATTCGGACCCTTGGAACCCAGCCCCAGGTTCGACTTGACGAATGTGTGCTGATCCGAACCGACACTTGAAGCCATCGGTACACTTGCCCAAGGAGTCAAAGGAGGGGCAGCGATGAACGGAGTCCGCCGGGGACAAATCTTCTGCCGAGGTCGGTAAGGCGGAGCGAATGTCGGCAATACGCTGGGCCATGTAGGCCGAGATGTCATGCGACCAACGGCATTGACCTGCAGAAAAAAAGGGAGTGAGTACTCTCGCAATCCCTTGTCGAGTTACGGAGTGTACGCACCTTCAGGTTTTCGGCATGGGGATCCCTGTGCGACGTTATTGCACAAGCGAATGTCCCCGGTCCCCGCAGAATGGTTGAAGACGCGGCCCTAAATAAAGACGAAAGACGTAGATCATTCAACAATGATTTAAGATCGAGGGATTAGAAATGCTGATTTCCCACAGGAAGACTTACCTTGTTCTGGCCCGACTGTCTCTTCGCCCCCGAGTCCCCATCTCGTCCCTCTGCTTCGGCTGGAGGTGCGTGTTGCTTGGCCAGGGCGAGCTTTTTCTTCTCCGCTCCCGACAATCGAGCCTTCTTATGTTCAGGGGCAGTTCCGTCCTGTCCCTCGCCATTCTCCGAGGCAGCGACAGCAGCCTGGTCCGAGGAGGTGGAGGTCGAGGGGCGAGAGCGATCTTGCTTGCCTAGCCTGGCTGTTCCAGCTTCTGCGGCATCGTCATCGTTGGGTTTACGATCACCTTGACCATTCTTGATCTTTTCCCAAAGCACGTATCTGAGCCGGAAGTGAGGTATGTAAGCTTTCCGAGCACGAGCGCTGTGGGGCACTCTCCCGTCACATGACGAGCTTACTCGGATTTGATGGGTGTTACACCAGCTCTTTCCGCCCAGTAAGGAGGCTCCTGCTTGGCTTCTGATGCCTCTGATCGAGTGGGTTCGGCCTGAGTCGACATAGTGCGGTTAGAGTCGCAGCTGATAATAGACTGGCGGTGAATTTCCTGCGAGACACGAGGGCTCTGCGAAAGTGTCGGCCGGCGATACTTCGCCAGCTGGCGGTCCCGATCGGCGCTTCGAATTCAGCACGTGAGGAATTATTCCGCCGTCGCCGACGTCGACTCGGACTGCAGCTGCCCAAATTTTTGGTAGCGTCGATTGAGTATTCCACATAGATTACAGAGTCAGATTTGGTATACTGGCTTGCTCCCCCCCCTTTTTTTTTCTTTTCAACACGTCTCTCGGATAGCCGCCAGCAGAACCGGGGTGCAAGCCGGACACAAGCCGTTGCCGCCGCCGCTGCGATCGGCCTGCTTCGGACTGCTTCGGACTCTGAAATCACCAAGCACCTTCCTCGCGTGGGACCTTGCTCCTCTTCGCCTTTTGGCCCCGCTCCGCTCAAGTCAGCACACCCACCGCACCCACGCCTCCAAGTAGGACCCGCCCTTCAAGCTTATCGCTGCTGTCTCTTTCGACTCGACCGCATACCAATCAGCCCTCTTTGCTTTACCACTCGGCTCAACCTGGTCGCGAACTGGTGATCGCCCTTCCCAAGACATTGCTCTGCGAACGTCCCTCCCGTCTCTCCTCCCCCTCTTCGGGCGCATATAGCCGGAATGGCATTGGCGACGTCCCCCACCACCGGATTCACTGTACCCGAAGTCGTGTTCTACTTTGATGTCGTCTGCCCGTACGTTCCCACTGCTCTGCTCCAAGTCCTCCTTTCCTCATGTTCCACCCAGCCCTGACGAATGCTCCGTGCTTGGCTCCGCAACCCCCGGCGCGCCCGGTCACTTGCCCGCCCGTTCCCCATCACCACCACCAGATACGCCTTCATCGCTTCCGAGCGGCTGCCGGACGTGATCAGGTTCACCGGCGCCAACGTCACATGGAAGCCGGTCGTACTCGGTGCGCTCTATGGCATGACCCAAGCACCCCAGGGCAAGGACGGATCGGCAACGGATGTCTTTGCGCCCGCCAAGCGTGCACTCGCCGCCGTCGACTTCCAGCGCGAGTCCAAGCGCTACGGTCTCCCCATCAAGTTCCACCCCGAACACCCCGTGCGCTCCGTCGATGCCGGACGTTTGCTGTGTGCATTCCCCAACGAACATCGGGGTACACTCGCTCGCGAGATCTTCCGCGCGTACTTCTTCGACAACGCCAACATCAGCTCGAGGGCGACCTTGCTGCGCATCGCTCGCAACCTCAAGCTGACCTCAGTCGCGACCCCGACCCATGCCGGTCCCTTCTCCCTCTCGCCCGCGCTCTCGTTCCAACTCGACGAGAGCGTGTTCTCCGACGTCAACCGAGAGGACCAACTGCGTGCCAACACGCAAGAGGCGTTCGAGCGTGGCGCGTTCGGCGTCCCTTCGTTCTACATCCCCTCGCGCGAAAAGCTCTTCTGGGGCCAGGACAGGATGGTTCTGCTCGAAGCCGAGTTGATCTCGATCAAGCTCAACAAGCCCGTCGAGTCGATCCGACAACTCGAACGTCTGCACCCTCGATGCCTCCGAACGGGGCGCGAGAGCCGTAAGCGTCAACTCAAGTTTTGGTTCGACTTTTCCTCGCCTTGGAGCTATCTCGCTTGGAGTCAACTTGAGCGTATCCAGCGGGAAAGTGGGCCCGGTCTCACGATCGAGCTCGTACCTTTCTTGTTGGGAGCTTTGTTCAAGGGAATTGGTACCCCGATGGTCCCGATGGAGTCCATGTCGGAGGCGCGTCGCAAGTACAAAATGCAAGAGTGAGTGCGGGAATGGTGATCTGCCCCTTGCAATCGAAGCCAACAAACATCCTCTCTCCCTTTGCCACGATACCCCATAGTTTGCAAGACTGGAACCGCTGTGAGTCGCGTGATCAAAAGCAAGCCCATGCATGAATTCCTCACTGATGCTTCACCCCCACTCAGACTGGACTGCGGTCAATGCTCAAGAATACCCCCCTATCGACGGCCCTTCCATGGCCTGGCCCGACGAATTTCCCATCCGCTCCGTTACGGCCCTTCGAGTCGCCCTCCTCGAGGTAAACTTTTCTTTCACGACTCTCATTACCCAAACAAAGTGCTTATCCTGTCCATCATCATCCCTTCACAGCGCAAGACGATCCCCTGCCTCTTCCGCGCCGCCTGGCGCGACAACCGCCGCATCTCCGATGACCAAGTCGTCGTCGAAGTGCTGACCGCCGCCGGTTTCGACGGCAAGACCCTCGTTGCCCGATCCCTGGCCGCCAAAGATCAATTACGTCACAACACCGAACAAGCGCAGGCGTTGGGGTTGTGCGGTGCGCCGACTTTCCAGTTCAAGGATCAATTGGTGTTTGGGGGGGATCGGATCAACGTCGTGCAGGATTTGGTGTTGGGATGGTCAGTTGCTTCGTTGGAGTTGTATGGCTCCCGAGGAAGTGATAACTGATTCTGAAGGTTTGTGTTCTCAGGTCCCCGGAACGATCAAAGTTGAAGGCTAGTGTCGCCGGATTCGCTCACTTTGATTGTAAGCTCCCATCCCCTCCTTGCCGTAGTAAGGTTCGAGCTGTTGAGCTGACCCTCGACATCTTCGGGTACGCTCTCCACAGACCGACTCTGATCCCTTTTTGGCGTTAGTACTAAAAGCTCTCTCGGATGTGTGTAAGGTTTTGCTCTTAATTGTTTTTTAAGTTTTGTGAAACGGCCGCGATCATTTTTGACATTGCCCACTCGACGAATGAGCCTCGATTAATGTATCCTCTTGACCGTCTTATCGAATCCACAACTCCAAATACTCAAACCGTCCCCATCCTCCACACACGTCACCCCTTTAATTACCGAACTACCTTTGATTTTATCCCTTCTCACGTGTGCTTTTTCCGAAAGCTCCAACCCATCCTCCTCCTCCTCATCAAGAACGGCCGCCCCATGCGCCGCGACCTCCTTAATCAACCTACCACCAATTCCAACGATCCTCAAAATCCCATCCTCACTAGTAACGACGACCGCGTTCCCAGAGGGTAACCAAGCGTGCTTGGGTTGAAAATAATCGGTTTGGATCGCTTGCGTATGCAAGGTCGCGAGTCGATGCGGGGAGTGGAATGGGTAGAGAAGTATGCGAGCATTTTCAGTGGAGGTTTGGAGGGATAGGAGAGGGAGCGTTGGGTGGAGCGTTATTTGGAGACTGGGTACGGTGGAATAGCGGGGGAGTTAGTAAGGTTTCTTTCGGGGACAGGGTTTGGGGGGGGGGGGGGGAAAGGAAGAACTTGCATGGAAAAAGAACACCAATCATCACCGTTCTCATTCAGGTTGATCCTGTTCGTACTCCAAGCCTTGCTTTCGTCCTCTGTTTGCGGTAAGACGACTTCGTGCAAGAGATGATCATCCCTCGCCGTATAAACGAAATGAGTCGCACCGGGTAAAAAGATCGCCGCTTCGGGATTGGTGACCGTATGAACGACATGTCGTTCGATCAAGCGTACTTCAGGTTCGGAAGCGAACTCGTCGCGCTCCTCCCCTTCCAAAAGGATCTCTTCCGCTTCGCCTTGGGTATATTCCAGCTCGTAAATTCGAAGGGAGTTGTCCCTCGCCCACGTCATGGCCCATTTACCCTGATCGGAATCGAACAAGGTTCCGACGACGTATTTGGTATGATCCCTCAACACTTGCTTGACTTTTCGCGTGACGAGATCGATGAGGTGGGTCGAACCTTGCATGGTTGAGAAGAGACCTATTCGGCGGTGTTGGGGGTGTAGGGCGAAGGAGATGATGGGGGAGGGGAGGGAGAGGGTGTCGAGGAGGGAAGCGTCGGAGCGGTTGAGAATCTTGAGCGAGTCCACTGAGGTGGTGTAGATGCTGGGGATCCATTCGCTGTTGAAGTTGAGAGACTGCAAGTAAGCATATGCAGTGCACTTCTCCAAGACCAAGACCGAAAGTGAGCATCGTAGTACCTCTTGAAGCTCAACGTCTCTGAATCCCACCTCCTCCTCGGCCATAACCCATCTTGCACCGTCAAAAAATTCGCCAGATCCCTAATCGGCGTCGTCAACCTATTCGGGAGCCGTAACTTGGGAATCGATCCAACCAGTTGAGCCAGTTCAGTTTTGAAGGGGATCGCATCGACTTGGTTTGCGGTTTGGGCGACGAGACGATGGAGATGGTCTTCGATCAGGTCGGTCAGGAGGGGGTCGAGCGTGTAGCGCTTGTCGTTGAGCAGGCGGGGGATGGGCACCTCACTTTCGTTGGATAGGCGGGTCAGCGTGTCGCTGTAGCCTGTTGAGGGGTTTGGGATGGAGCTGCGATTAGGTCGACGAGTGGATGTGGGGGTTCGAAGATCAGCACGATTGCTGACTGACCTTGCTTCTGTAGCCAGTTTGCAACAAGACGATGGGTGAGATCCCGAGTGGAGCCATACGGTCTCATGCTAGAAGGATCGTGTGCCATCCTGAGCGCCGGACGAGGTGAACACAAAGAAGTAAAGGCTGACGAGAGCTGGGACGCTCGACTCGGACGAGCGATGACGAAAGAGGACAGGAAGAGGACGAGCGCGGCAAGCGGAAGCGCGCTTCTTTCGCGACGGGAAACAACTCTCTCCTTTCTTCCTTCACCCTCTTCCAACCCACAGCCACGCACATCCCTTCATCATGGCAGTAAGTCGGATCATGAGTCGTCTCGACTCTTTGGCGAGCCATGACTGATCCGTGCGTGCTGCACCTCGAGCAGAAGAAGGAACGAATCGCCCAGTCAGTCAGGGCCACGACGACACATCTTCCCACACGCACTGGCTCACCTTCAACTCACCCCAACCTCACCCCAACCCCTTCACAGGAAGGAGGAAGCGTCCAATCAAAAGAAGAAGGCCGAGGACGCCAAAGCGGCCGCGGCTGAAGAGGCCGAATGGTCAAAGGGAGCGTCAGTCGCTCGCTATCCGGCGTTCGGCTTTGGAGGTTGTCGTGGGATCTGATCATCCTCACATTTTTCTCCTGTCCTCAGTAAAGGCAAAGGTAAAGGAGAAGACAAAGCCGCCGCTGCAGCCGCCGCCAAGGCACGCAAGGAGGAAGCCGCTCGTCTCCTCGCCGAAGAAGAAGCCTCCATCAAAACCGCCAAAGCGGCCGCCCCTAAAGCCGGCGCCAAGAAAGCCGGCGCCGGCGCCAAACCCTCCGCCTCAACCAAGATCCCTTCCTTCTCCGATGGAGTTGAAGAACCCACTTCTTTCTCCGCCACTGGAATCGATGACGCGTTGGACATGCTCAGCCTCGTGACCGAACGAACGGACAAAGCCTACGTCGGAGCCCAAGCCAGCTCCAAAGTCGATTCCCACCCCGAACGTCGTTACAAGGCCGCGTTCGAAGCGTACAAGGCCAACGAGTTGCCCCAAATGAAGAAGGATTACCCCGGGTTGAGGTTGCAGCAGTATAATGAGAGGTTGTATGACGCGTTCAAGAAACATCCGGATAATCCGTTCAATCAGTTGACGGTTAGCTATGATGCGACAAAGGAGGATAAGGTTGCCGCGCTCAAGGCGCAGAAGGAGGAGGTTGCCAAGAGGTATGGTTCAACACTTGCGGTTTTTAGGGAAGACGCCTGGCTGATGATCGATTCGTTCGGCAGGCTGCGGGATTGAGCGAATCGTCCACCATCGGCTTTTTCGTGATCCGGATCGATCAATGTAACGAATAGGATCTAGCACGAACAAACACTCAAACATACACCAATTTATGCAGTCAATCTCAACACCCCCCAATGATGACACTCTGATACTTCCGAACACCGCAACGATGGAAGACCCAAAAGAACGGAAGAGGACCCGATCGAATCGCACCTCAAATCCTAGGAAGGAAGAGCACACCATCTCTCCATTTCTTGTCTCGATTACCCGAAAGGAGGAAGTTAGCCGAATTTCACTCTTATGACCCTCGTTCATTACACCTTTCCGAAACGTTGCCTCTTTGTCATTCTTCGGCGCACTTCCGAACAAGCGTTGGAAAAGGCTGGGGTCTTGAAAGAAACCGCTTTATCTCTCGTTTGCTTCCAAGTGGTGTTGTCAAGGGTGATAGAAGGCTGGGCGAGGAGACGGGAGTGGATGAGGCGTGGGAGCGAACCATTTCGTGTTTTCTTCTTTCTCTCGTTTTCAGAAAAGGAACAGGCAGAGCCCCTGCTCATTCTTAAGCGGTTCGAGACGTTCGGTTCGGTTCGGTTCTTTCCTTGTTCGAGGGCTTCTAGTTGACGGAACTGAGTACAAACCTATGAACAGAAATCTGAGGGGGGGAGCGGCGCCCAAGAGGAATGGGAGGCGGTATCACATTTTAATTTTTTGGAATGATAAGATTACAACAAAGGGGGGTTTCCTACACCCAAAACAGATCCAGGTCTGATAAGAGAGACTTCAAATTTCCTCATTCGAATCGTCCAAAAGCGCTTGTTTGGCCACGCCATGCAATTGACCACAAATCTTGACGGCCGTTTCGAGAGTCTGATGCGCATCGTCAAGGGCACAAGACGTGAGTCAAGCTTTGCAAGAGGTTAGATCACTTCGCTGGATCAGACGCACCTCTTCCAAAACGATCATAGGGAAGGATCCAGTCGTTGTGAGACTTGTGATTGTTCCCAAGGCGGGGAGACATGCGATGGTGGCGAAAGCGATTGAATTTCGTGCTTCGGCGAGGGCGGGGTCGAAGAAGGCTTGGGTTGGGCAACGGGACAGAAGGGCCTGTGGTGTAGAGTGTGGGATGGGTTATTAACTGGGGAATGGGCTGAGATGATAATGGAGGATTGCTTACGGCTGATGTTGCGACGACGAGACCTCGCATCGGGATGCCGGCTTTAGCGAGTGCCACGGAGGCTGCTGTGATTCCACTGCGAGGACTTGCTGAGAGTGGGTCAGCCTCCGGGTAACCCCAACGCCTAGAGAGAACTTTTGTTGAAAACTTGCGCTGCGATATCATCGTCATTGCCATCGGACTCTAGGATGGTGAGGAATAGGTCGATCTGGGATTTCGGCAACGTCTCGAGCAAGAGCGAAGGGAGAATCGCTTGATGCACTGCGCTGGATAGGGTCAATGATTCCGTATCCTGGGCGAGGGAAAGGGGATTGTTGATATTGGCTCGGGTGGAGAGTATTATTTGCTCGGCATTGACGAGCTCTGTGCGTACCTTGCCAGGAGCGAATCGCCGAACGCCCGAGGAAAATGGGGCGAATTTGACTTCGACGCTGAGGCGGGCTCGCGGACTAAAGGCGACCGAGGGCGCTGTGGGTTTCGGTCCATGTCTGTACGAGATGTGGAGACATTACTCGTCAGAGAGGGAAAGCTGGGAGAGGACCGCTGCCTAGATGAGAGAACTGACACTGCGCAGATGACCTTGGTCCGGCCCGTTTCAATGTAGACTGAGCCTGATGCATCGCTGACAAGGCCGGTTTGCATGACTGTGAATCCGATTTTCAATCCTGAGTTCTGGAACAAGTTTGGTGCCCCTGGAGATGTAGGCTCACAGAGGGGTCGGATCTGCGAGGGTGTGCGACCGTCCGGGCGCCAGGTCGAAGCAGCATCGTGGGCCTGATTCTGTGTGGTACGGAACGTTCCGGATGCTCGTGAGTTCAGGTCAAAGTAGTAGGGGCTGGATTGGGTCAGGGAGGGCACACTTACCAGCGATGCTGTCTTGTTGAAATGAGGAGGTCGAGCTCCCTCCGGTCCATTGAATCGACGTCGGTCTGCGGCCTGCATGTCGGTTGAGAGCAATGCCTAGTCGAATCGCGATCGAAGAATGAAGAGCTGGCTGGGCGAGAAGAGGCTCGTGTTGTTGTGAGCTGAGCGTAAAGCGCGCCGAGGTCTCGAAAGGAGACGACTGGCTCAGCTCCACGTTTCAAATCGGTTCAAATCGGTCCAAGCTCAGAATGGGCGTCGCACGAAGCTTTGCTCTTTTGATCGCGTTTTCGTGCGAGCCTGGCTTGCCTTCTCCCCACCACCTCACCTTTTCCTTTCCCCCTCTCCTCCCATCCGGCTACTGACCATGGTTGACCATCAGCACCCGCTGTGCTCACGATCATGACCGACTCTGTCCAACCTCCACCACCACTCTAACCCTCGTAAGTACACTTCACGCGCTGTCGCCCTCGTTTTTTCTCCCTCTCCTCTCCACCGGTGCGACGTGGTCGGGTGCGACCCAGTTAGTTGGCACCACACCCTGCTCCTCACCTTCCCGCACTGCACACACAACAACACGCCTGTGATTTAACCCTACACACTAAATCATTTTATACTCGCCAACCGTCTTGATTGACACTTCCATGCGGACTTTTGTGTTATGCACTACCAAATGAGGCGTACCTTCCCACTCCCATCGACTCGTTGTGTTGCAACCATCTTGTGGGGGACCCAAGTCGGAATCGCACAGAGGACTGACCATTCGTTTCTTTCTGCACTAGCCGAGGCCTCGGTCGCTTTCTCCCCCCTCGGCCGTCGCAACCAAAAGGTCAGTTTCTCCATCTTTTCTTCGACCCACCCCCCAACGACGACGACAACAGAAAAAAAAAAGACCCCGTCCTACGATGATTGGTTACTATTTTCCAGTTCTGCTTCGTATTAAATGATGCCGAGACTCAACCATATCTGCTTTACCTCATTCTGAGGACAACCCGTCTCTTTTCTGTTGTCGTCGTCGTCCGGGTTTTTGCGCACCTTTACGCGACTTGAGGCTGACTCGTCTTGCTCGGACCTGTCATAGATACCGCTGGATCATTCGACACCATGCGTAAGTGTCTCCCACCAGAGTAACCCCCCCCCCCCCATTTACCCCCACTCCCCCGACAATAGCGGATGAAACCAATCGATAATCCATTCCTTGAAAGGCATCACGCTGCGGCAAAGTACTCGCGAGGCCTCAAAAGATTCTTTCGTCCACACCGCCCTCTTTCCAATGCGTGCGCATATACCAAAACATCTGGATCCCCGACGTTCTTGCTCGACGCGTTCGTTCCCCGAGTCTTTCGTCTGATATCTCTTTGCGGCACGTTCGACTATCCTTGGGCTCTCGCTCGGGCCAATTGTTGGAAAGGAGCTAGGTATCGATGGTTTTCAAGTGGCTCTTGGTTCGTGCGAGATCAGTCATCGTTGGCTTGAGGGTTGGCCCGGCGGCTTTCTTCGATGTTGAGGAGTGCTGGTCAAGGTAGTGCAGGAAAAGGCCTACACCTGACTACTGCACCACTAAACCAGTGCTTTGGCATTGAGGTCTGCTGGGCCTGCCGTCTCGCTGACGTGCGCTCGATACAACCGACAGACCACCATCGATTCACCGAGGACGCCCATCCCATCTGGCCTTTGCGATGAGCTTGGGAGAAAGAATGGCGGAGAAGTGGATGTTTTTTGATGGTTGCAAGGGGAGTTTGAACAAATCGTCTCGAGCGTCATTGGGGTTCGGATGTGTGCGAGCGCGTTGGGAAGAGGGTCACGGCGCATGAGTCTTTTGCGGTCTTCGTATCATGGTGCTTCGTCGATGTTCGATCGCCTCTTTGAAAAAGACAACGGCGACTGAAAACTCTATACCCTCCCCTTCTTTTTGACGCACGTTCACGCTTTCTCTGTTTGGCTTTGGCGCTGACATTTTCCACGGGAACGTGTAGGCTTTTCCTTCCAGGTCGCTCTCGCTTCCCGTTCATCCTTCGGTACATCTCTTTCACGTCTTTGTAGTCATCTTCCCCTTGAGTATTCCTGCAATGTGCTTCCTGTTGTTACATCATGTTCCGCCCGTACAAGCTGTTATGAGAGAGACCCAGCCGAATCAAGGAGTTGTCCCCGCATGACCCATCTCCCCTTCCTCCCCCTCCTCCAGATCTGCGTCGTGCTGCTCTCCATCGATTTCCCCACCCGGTTCGAAACTCGCCGCGTTCGGATTCAATACCCCACCCTTGCCCATCGAATCCTCCCCCGCTCCCGCTCCCGCTGCCCCTGCAAGAACCCCTCCATTCGGCACCTGATCATCCTCATCATTCTCCTCCAAAGCCTTCCTCCTATCCTGATCCAATTTCTCCAACCTGATCGCCTCCGACATCGTTTCCAAAGATCGAACGATCGAATCGAAACTGGCCTGTCGGTGGGCCCAGGTGGAGGAATAGGTCGCTTCTTCGGATTCGAGGAGGGCGATATCTTGGTGTAGTTTCGCGATGGCTCTGAATTCGGTTGGGGAGGGAGGGGGGTGTGTGTGTGTGTGTGTGTGTGAGTGAGTTGTGGAAGTTTAGGAAGGGGTGAGGTGGGTTTTGAAGGGGGAAGGGATTATAGGATCAACGTACTCGCTGCCTTTGGCTCGGTCGGGAAGTTTCTTGATCGTTCGCGCGATGGCGTCGTATTCCTGAACAAGGAGCAAAAGAGGAGGTGCAAGCGAATGTTTAGGGGCGGGGTTCCCTTACCATCGTCATGAGTGATCACCCAAGATAAGAGTACTCACGATCCTCCTCGCGCGTTCCTGTTGGGCCAACCCCAACCTCGTCCTCAACGCCTCGATACTCTGAATCGTTTCCCGTGCCGTTCGTTCTGCGAACCTCGAAGAAAGATCAGTACTTTTCAAAAGAGCGAAATCCCGCTTTTTTTTTTTTTTTTTTTTTCTTTCTGGGGGGAATGATCTCGCTCTCACCCAATGCCAAAGCATCGTCCTGATAACCCGAAACTTCGATTCGAGTGACCGTCCGTATCCGTTTAGGTTTGGCGAGTTGTTGAGAGAGTTGGTCGAGGCCGATCAAGAAGGTCGCGTGGGCTGCTTCACTGAGCATGTGTTTGTATTATCATAGATTCGTCAGTGAGTGTGCGGTAAGGTGCGGGGGAGAGAGGGGAGGAGCGGCGTACAGTTGATCGGGTGAGAGATCAGGGTGCGAGAGTCGGTAGAATTCCCGAATAGATTTCCTTTGGGGTCATGTCAGACATTAGCATGTAGATCGTGGCGTTGCTGATGACCTTTCCCAAAGGACGGACTTGAGTAACTTTGTATCGTCCTGAACCCGGGTCTTGGCGAGGTGGGTCGCGGCTGGGGGTGTGTTGTCGATGAGAAAAGGATGGGGGGTCAGTGCGGATCAAAACATGGCGTACGCCTGCGCCAGTAGGTATGAGCGCCACACCTTCTGTATCCATGGCTCTTGTATAGGGTCAGCGACGATGTGCTCGGTCGCGAAGGGGGTTAAGTTAACGGGAAGAGTAGAGAAAGCGGTCGGAGAGCGGACTATAGCTGAGATTTGTAATGCCGATTAGCGCCTATTAGCGCGTGGTGCCAAACTCGATTGGGCGTCGCGCGAGTTCAAAGCTGCAGCAGGCTGGGTGGGTCGTGGTCGTGTGCGGTTGCGGTTGCGGTTGGTTGGCCACGTACAAGCTCACTCCGGCTTACCACGCCTTTCGGGGACCATCGGACCTTTGACCCGTCTATCGCAAGCGTGAACTAGTGTGAGATTGACTAGGACAGACTACGACCTTGCTCCCGTTGGGTTCGTCGTGCTCTTGGTGACGACGACGACGACGACGACGACGACGACGAGCCTATCAACTCGTTCCCACCCACCCACACACACACACACACACACCGGCGACGTCGCCTCGTGTCACACCCTCAACCCCATCCCCATAAACTTGCCCCAACTCAATTAGGCCTTTCCCACTTCGACTATGAATTCCGAAGCGGCGCAACAAGCGCTCGAGCTCGCACGCCGACACTACAATTCCGACAACCTCGACTCGGCCCTACGATTCATCAAGAAATCCGTCTCACTCCACCCTACGACCGAAGCGAAAGCTCTCTTGCAAAAGATCGAATCCGCTCAAGCCAATGCGGCACGCACGAGCGCAACTTCGAGTGCTACCTCCCAGGGCACGACTCGACCTACTTCCCGAAAACCTACCGCTTCTACTTCGGCCGCCTCCTCGTCGTCGTCGTCGTCGTCGTCGTCGACTTCGACCCAGGCCGAAGCTCCAAAGGCTAGAGACTACACACCGGCCCAGATCGCGTTGGTGAAAAAGGTCAAGGCGTGCAAGGTGACCGAGTATTATGCGATCTTGGGCTTGGACAAGGCCTGTTCGGATTCGGATATCAAAAAGGCCTATAGAAAGTTGGCCCTCGGTCAGTTTTCCATGACCACGCAGAGCGACAGCGGTTTGGGGGGATGTACTGAGGCGTTTTGGGTCAATGGACAGGTCTTCATCCGGACAAGTGTGGTGCACCGGGGACCGAAGAGGCGTTCAAGAGTGGGTCGTCCACGGGCTTGACCATCCTCGCGCTGGCGCACCCGAGCTGATTGCGGTCTCGGTCGTCCCACAGTGGTCTCGAAAGCGTTCCAAGTGCTCAGCGACGGCAACAAACGCGCCATATTCGACCAAACCGGATCCGACCCCGACTCACGAGGCGGCGGCGGCGGGGGTGGAGGCGGAGGAGGGATGCATCCCTTTGCTCGGGGAGGTGGAATGGGTGGAGGGGCCGAGGAAATGTCCCCCGAGGATCTGTTCCGTTTCTTCTTCTCCGGTGGAGGAGGAGGTGGAGGAGCACCTTTCGGCTCTCAATTCGGTGGAGGCGGATTCCAATTCTTCGGTCCGGGAGGGATACGAATGCAAACCGGTGGTGGAATGCCAAGAAGAGGTGGCGGCGCAGGTGGACAGGGGGCACAGAGGGAACAAGGCTCGATTTGGATCCAGATCGCACCCTTGTTGTTGTTGTTTGGGTTCTCGTTGTTGTCCCAATTGCCGAGCTTGTTCGGCAGTTCGACACCCGCCGATCCGGAATTCACGTTCGAACCAACGACGAGGTATTCGGTGCGTTGGGGGCTTTGCTCTTGAACTTTTACGTCGGAGGGAGATCGCTGAATTTTTCCCTCGTCTTCAATAGGTTGAACGCACAACATCCAACATGCACATCAATTACTACGTCAACCCAATCCAATTCGCCTCCCACCCGATATACGAAACCTACCTCTCGACCAACCCATCCCTGGGATTCAAATCTTCCCACGAGACAGGGACGACGGCGTATAAAGCGGATTTGACGAGGTTCCTGGCTTCGGAGGAGAAGCTGACGGATCAGGTGCAGAGGTTGAGGATCCCTAAGAGTTTGGCGACGTTTGAGAGAACGGTCGAACAGACTTATGTGGCGAGGTTGCAGCATACTTGTAGGCAGGAGGTTAGTCGGCCTTGAGGATGAGTGGTCGGCATATGAGGTGAATGTACTGACATTTGGGAGGATGGTACTGATACAGTTGCAACACCGCAACGAACGGCTCGATCGAGCCAGGGGTTTCTTGGGTGCGCTGGTTTCTGGTTTCCCTCTTTGCCCAACGAAGCTTTCCCTAACATTCTGATCCTCTCTTTGCGTAGGTTTCGGAGCCGATTGGGACAAAGTACGCGAAATCACCAACGAGAACGTACGTTGCCCTTTCCTCGCTCTTTTCCACCCCTGACAGTCCTCAGCTCCGAGCTGACCGTAATCACCTCCTTTTTCACAGTTACCGAGGTGCGAAGAATTGTCCAAGTTGGGCTATCGGGTCGATTATAGATGATACCGAGGTGTTTTCGATGTCATGTTCAGGGTCGTGCTCTGTAATCACGAATCGCTGATCTCCCGGTTCTCCCGGTTCTCCTTCGTTAACGTGTGTGTATCACTACTACTCGGGTCTCTCTCAAAAAAAAAAGGTGCCAAGGATGTGCAATCGCAGGATATAGCGGCAAAAAAAAAAATGTCGAAGCTTTGTTGCGGGACTTTTTTTGACTTCCGGGTTCTAAGAAAGACGAACGGACCGAAGGATGCAATTCAAAAGAAGACCCCCCCACTCGAATTACCTCGTCACGGAAAGCCCGATCCTCGCGGCCAACCTCCCGTATTGCCGTGATGCGAGGACGCGATGTCGGTACATGAGCAGAGCGATCGAACCCGTGGCGAAGAAGAGGTTGCACAACTTGGGGGAACGAAAAATGCGATTAGAGATTTAGCTTCTGACCCAAAAACACACACACACAGAGGGTTCAGAAAAGGGTGGGGGATTGAGCTTAACGATGAATTCATAATAATCCTCCTTCTCCTTCTTGACGACCCTCTGACAAGCCTCCCACGTCACAATCTCATCCGGACCATCCTGATCATCCATAACCGCTCTCCCCCTCATCCTAACCCCATCCAACGCGTCCGGTTCCGGATCGTTATCGAAGCTTGAGAACGCACTCGGATCGGCATCCTCATCCCCGATCAATTTATCCACCGCGGCGCCCGCACCTCTTGACCCATCTCCTGAATCCGATTCGATTTCCATCACTGAATCCAGCTCGTCGTTCGAATCTTTTTCTTGTGGTGTCGTTTGAGATGGGTTCGGGTTCGAAAAGGGGTCTTTGAGATTCTTCTCCAGGGAGGACGGAGACTCGGAAGTGGAGAGCGAACGTTCGCAGATCAATTTCTTACGATTGCCGTAGAGGGAGCAGACGGAACTGAAGATCTGAGAGAGAGAGAGAGAGAGAGAGAGAGAGAGAGAGAGAGAGAGAGAGAGAGGATGTCAGTTACAAGAAGATCATTTGTTGAGCTACCTCCTTGATTGGTTCTTATCCACTCACCTCATCGGCGGGACAAGGTTCGCATTCGCCTTGAGAACGACAGACGTAGTTCCCTACTCGGGTTGAGCCAGGTGGGAGCGGTGGACTGGGTTCGGAACGGCCTGGAATCACGGCTCGAGGGTGGGGGACGAATGCTTGGACGACGGGTGGTGGAGCGATGATTAGGAGGGTCGTGAGGGCGAGGAGGAGGAAGACTGTGGGATTTGTGTATGTTGGAGGCACGCAGGGGGACGAGGAACTACGTGGCGAGCAAGGCCGTTGTTGAATGAGGAGGGGCGCTAACCCATCGCTTGGCAGGTAGGGTGTGCGTTCCGATTCGTTCCGGGAGATGTGATCTTTGTGACGCGTCTCATTCTTGCTTCGGGACCGTGTTGTACGTCTCGTCGTAACGTCACCCCGCCGCCGAGATGGGCCAGCGCATTCCGTCCCCGACGTATCCGAACCGGAAGCGGGCATGTTTGTTGTCGTGACATTGGGTGACCACGAGACTGAGGGCGTTCGCCGTAATCGTGGCATATTAAGAATTTTGTAGCTATCGAGCTCGTCCTTCAAGTATATCGATTCCGATCAAAGTGCTGGTGGGTGAGGACTGAGGAGCAGGGTGGATAGGTGATCGGACGCGCCGTCCCGATTGGCTTGGCTTCATCAAATCAAAAGGGATCGACTCGCCAGCCAGTAATATTCGCGTGCGAGCGTTCGTTCCTCGATTCAATTCAGCACATCAACTACAACTTGATCAACAATAATAAAAATGTAGCAAAAAAAGAAGCACACGACCCGCTTGACCGCACCGCACCTCATCGCCTCTTGACAATCCTTCTCTGTTTCGGCATCTTGGGCGGCACCTTCTTCGCCACCACTGGCGCCTCCTCCACTTCCTTGCCTTCCTCCATCGCACCACCACCCGTGAGAGCACCCATAGGACCCTTCCCTTTCAGCGCAGCATCCAAGACGCCGTGGGAGATCGCGGGTGATAAGGCTGGCAGTCGACGTTCTAAAGGTGGTTTCTCGCCCGGTGAGGTGGTGGAGGATTTTGCTTTGGGCAGATGTACAGAGAGAAACGAGCAGAGGTATTGCAGGAGCAGTCGTTCTGGTGTGATGATCCGGATAAGCTTTAGGATGATGTGCATGAAGTATTATGGATGGATGGGAGCACTGACTTGTAGGAATTTGTGGGTTCAACACCTTGCCGTCTTTTTTGAGCAAGACCTTGACTCGACCGGGGTTCTCCCAATCTTGTGGGTGGACGCGAAGAGGCTGTAGTGAGGAAAAAGGAGAATGAGGGAGTGGGTGAGTGAAAAAATCAGCGCTGGATTGGACAGATGAGACGGTCTTGAACATGTTCGCTCGTCGTGAGGGTGGGGAGGGGCAGTCACGCACCTCATAAACGTTCTCCACCCCCAAGAACCCACAGGCCTGCGCCATGATTTCCGCTAACGGGTACTAACGAACGCAAAGTGTGGTCAAAAATTCAGTCCAAATAACCTTTCCTTCCAAACTCCACTTTGCATCCTCGACCGACCTCCAAAGCGATCTTCTTTGAAACCCTCCTTCCCCCGCGGCCCTGGCGTCGTTTCCGATCGATGTAGATGGGATAGATCGTTTCCCAACTTTTGTTCAACGAAAACCCCACCCGTACACACCAAAGGAAGAGGGAAGTGTCAATCTAAAGCCCACCACCCAGTCCTGAACGGGCAGAGATCGAAACATACCCCGTATAATCCTCCTTCTTCAAAACCTGGTAATGATTTTGAGTCGGTAAACCGTCGATACCCGCAATGTAACTCTTCTTTGGGGCTATCGGTGAAAAGCGCGGTACACCAGTCGCAGTAGCTGTACTGGAGGCAGCAGCAGAGGGAGGAGGTCGCGACGAGGATCCGAGGTTGCCTTTGGCTTTCTTGGCGAGTGTTGGCGTAGGTGCGGGTTGGGTAGGTAAAGGTGCGACGGGTTCCAAGGGCATGTCGTCGGGATCTGAATCGTATTCCTCGATGGTGGGCATGGTGATTGTGGTTGGATGGGGTGGGTGGAGGGTTGTGAATTGTGAGAAAGGATAAGCGCGGGAGTGGGGGGAAGCGGGAAGAGGCACGCGAGCGCCATTCGAAGGACCAGAGAAGACTTGGCATCTGAATACATTCGAAGGCGATTGAGCTCTGTTGAGCTCACAACCCAACTTGGAGCGTCTTTGAACGTGCATTAGAAACATCAATATAAAAAGGAATCGAACTCCAAATAAAACCACGATGCACCTCACCAAACCAGTGGCAAACTCCCCCTATCAAACTCTACAACTTCGCCCCCGTCCACTACTTTTGCGTCGATATCGAGTAAAATCTAATCAAGCTTAATACGAAAACAAACAAAAAAGCGCTGCCTCGTGCTATCCCGCGTCGACGACTCGACAGGCTTCTACAAGCTTCGAAACGCCTCACTGAAGCAACGAAGTCGCTTCGACACGAGTCGACACGTTCTCTCGACGCGCTCGTCCCCCTTTCCCTCCTGCCCTTCACTGGCTTTTGCCATCCTCACGCTAGCGTCCCCACTACTCGACGCTCTCCCCGATTCGTTTCTTCGCCCATCCACATTGTAACAAGTCACCGTGATCATGCCACCATGCAGGCCTCCACCACTCCATCTCAAGAAGGCCCAAAGTGCGCATCGTCCCTCCGCCCGTGGGTCATCCACCAACGCAGCGGCCGAATCCGCCCGCGTTGGACAACACGACACCAGGCGAAGACAAGATGTCCGGCCTATCGTACCAGCACATAATTTGCGCCGCGCCAGATTATTCCCGTGTGACTTTTGGTCCACAGTCCAGATCTGTGGCGAGATGCTTGTTACCATATGACCGGGCCCATCTTGGTCTTCCCATCCTTGTGTCATGTTGTCCAACGCGCGCAGGTTCGGCCGCGGCGGCGGCGTTCGGGACGCGGCAACGGCGAAGTAGTTGTAGTAGCATTTTGTAGAAGCTGGAGGTCTCGGGGATGAAGAACCGAGGTTATCTTCTTTTGGCTTTCTTTCTTTGCGTGCTGAGGTTTCGGACAACTGGTGGTGGTGTGGGTATTGGGCGGGGCTTTCAGGGACATGTCGTCAAGATTGGAATGGTGTTTCTCGGTGTTGACCATGGTGGGGGTTGGCTGGGAGGGGTGGTGTGGATCGTGGGATGGAGTCAGAGCGAAGTGGGGGGAAGCGAGCGCGACTGAGGTCGAGACCCACCATGATCGAACGACATCCATATCTCTCCGTTTATTATATCACGCCAGGGTGTTCATCCCGGAGAGACAGCAATACAAATAGAACTCAAATTGCAAAAGATCACACCAAGAACCGCACTATGCACTCCGAACAAATTCCCATTTACAACCTCCTCTACGGAATCGTTCCCGCCCCGGCAGCAACGACGACCACTTTCCCAAACATGGCGCCTAGGACCGTTTTGGCGATGTTGAAACCTAAAAGGGAGACGACGTAGAAGGCGAAGAAGATGGCGACGGGGAAGAGAAGGAGTTCGGAACGAATGAGGAAGGGGAGGGCTGTGGGGATTGGCAAAGGGTTAGTTTTTTCGTGAGGGCTTTGGGTTGGTGTGGAGAAGGAAAGGAGGAGACGTACCGTTGTAGCCGAGGTCTGGAGGAGAGAAACACATTCAGAGAGTCAGCAATCGATTCAGAGGTGAGACTATCACCAATTCTTTGCTCACATGTCACATAGGCATATTGAGTGAGCTGTCCAGGTCAAAGCGAACGATTGTCAGGCACACCGGACCGCACCACAGTCCCTCTCACTCGGAATACTGACAGCAGAAAGATACAACGTATTGCCGACCCAGAGGCAAACCCAATTACTCCGTGTCACTACAGGCGCAAGCAACAATTGCGCGACGTAGAGTTGGAGGAAGAGGGGGAAGAAGGCGTTGGCGTGCACGTCGAAGGCGTAGGGCCTGTGGAAGAGAGAGAGAGACGTGTCAGGACTTTGGAGATGGAAGTGTGAGTGTCCTCGTACCATTCTACGTGTTGGTCCGTTGCGTGGGTATGGGATGTATGCGTGAGGAACTTGTTGGAGGCGGCCCTGTGAAAGTGACACACGATCTTGATGAGTTCTCTTCTGGACGACCTGCCCAGCCCCAACTGCTCGCAACTGACCACAACACTGTGCTGATCACCACCCCGACGAGGAAGAAATGGATCGCGACCATGGAGAATATTGTACGCAGGGTGGTGAAGAAGTCGTAGCGGGCGTAGAGCACGGACCATAGGATCGCGGCGAGGAAGAGACAGGCCGAGATGAGGAGAGGTACGGCGGGGTCGTCACGCGCCCAGGTATTCTTGGTCTCTGTGGAGGGCCACGGGAACGTTAGAAGCTGATGCGATGGAAGGAAGGCGATGCCGTACGTACGCTTGTGATAGTACACGTTGCGATAGCTGCAAGATGGTACATAGCGAGATCGGGGGATGAGAGGGTTGCTACGTCATCTCTTTCTCGGTGGGCCGTACTCACACCCTCCGTGGTGCTATGCAAACATGTAGTAATGTCCATCCCGCCATTTCAAAGTCCTGATCGATCGGGGAGGGCCGGTCCCAGTCGAGGTGGAAGTGGAATCAGCTCGGCGCTCGGCGCTCGGCGCTCGGCGCTCAGGGTCGCGCAACCGAGGTCGACGGACTGACCATCTGCGGATAGCGCGACAATCTTCGCAAGAGGATCTTCATATCGTTCAAAGCGGAAGAAGGACTGGAAGAAGGTGCAGTCCCGGCGGAGTGAAGGAGGGATGAACGGGTCGAGTTGGCCGCCGAGGACGAGGACGAGGACGAGGACGACTTGGTGAGCGTGGAGGGGAGACGGAAGCGTGGACCAGCGGAGGAGGTGTGGAGGGAGCCGGTCGAGGTGGGGAGCATAGGCGGGTGAGTTGGTAAGGGTGCCCCAGCGAGCCTATGCAGGGGGAAGGGTGATGCGGTGGGGTGTACTGCGATGCACTTGGGGGGTCGTGCTGGACGGGAGGGAGATGGACACGGGTGAGAAGTGAGAGTGCGGTGAGGAGCTCGTTTGGTGAGTCAGACTCGCTAGGGGACAGTAGGGGACTGGGAGGGATGAGCTGTCTGCAAGGCCCTGCGCCGGGTTCGGATAGGGGTGTTGTTGGCTGTGGTCGGCGTTCGGGGTTTTGCAAGTCGGTCGCACAAGCTGAGGCGGGCTGAGGCAACAGCTGGCAGCAGCTGGCAGCAGCTGGCAGCCGTTGCCACAAGGCAAGTCCATTCCTGAGCTTTCCTGAGCTTTCGACAGCGAGCGCGTCTGGGTCTGTCTGGGTCTTTGCACCGTCGCTGGCGCTTCTTTCCCTCCTACGTACCCACGACCGGTCCTTCCTCCCACTCGGCCGCACACGTGCAGCAGAGCTTCCACCTCCCACCCCCCACTTGGGCCCCCACTACGTACACCACACCATGGAGGACGATGAATTCGAGCTCGATTTTGGCGAGGACGAACTCGACGTGGCCACGACCACGACCACGACCACGACCACGGCCACGACCACGGTCGAACCGTTGGTGACGCTCGCACGTTCATCCCTCCCCATCAAAGCCGCCCCTCCTGTGCAGGTAGTACCCTCGACGTCAAGCTCGACTTCGGGCTCGACACCTTTCTCTATTCCCCCAGTCCCTTTACCTGGTCAAGCCAGTGGTCGTCGCAGTTTGAGCGAGGTCAAGGTCACCGGCAGTAGCAAGGGCAGCACTTTGATCAAACCCAAGACACCCGTACCATCCCCACCCAAACCGTCCACGACGCCCGCCACCAGCAGCCAACCGAAGCACGACTCGAGCAAAGATGCGAACGGTCAACCCATGCTCAAAGGTTGGGTCTCGCGCGTGTCCACTTCGACCGGCGACATTTACTATCGCAAACCCGCGACCGCAACCAGTCCGACCCAGTCGTCGTGGTACATTCCTGGATCTGCCGAGTGGAAAGCGGATGAAGAACGCAAAGCGAAAGAGACTGCTGGTCCCGCCTCGACGACTTCCGAGACACGTGCAGCTGCCGAGAAACAGCCTTTGCCCCTGTCCACCGCTTCCAAGACCGAGACGGAGGCTCAGTCGCGTCCGAGTACACAGAAGCAGCCAACTTCCAAACACAGCGAAGGCACCTCGGAACTTGCGCAAGGCGGTGGTTGGCACGTCACCACCAACACTACTGCCGCTCCTTCTCGACAGGGTCCATCGGGTAAGCGATCCCTTCACATCTACCCGACCCGTGCTGTCGATCGAGCGCATCTCACCGCGTCGCTCGTACGAGTTGCATGATTCTTGCATCGCATACATCGCGTTGTGATCTACATTGCCGATCGTGTGAAGGTCGGGAAGCTCGGGTTAATCGAAGCCTCGCATGCCCCCCCTGATTACGATCAACCTGTTTTCGGAAGCCGATCGCTCATTCTCACACGCGGTCGATCTTCATCGCTCGTGCTCTTCTACGGTACAGGATCCGACTCTTCGCGCAATGTAGCTACTCGTAGTACCGTCGTTACGCAAGACGACCGTGGTCCTCAACCCTCCGAACCGGCTCGAACGGTCGCAACCAAAAGTCAGCCTCATCCCACCGCTTCTTCGTCGTCGCTTTGCGCGCATGGTCGCTCTCAGATCTGATGCTCTCTCGTTGGGTGTCCCTCGCGTACCTTCGATCGTGTTGTTTGCGACTCTACAGGTCGAACACCCTTGCCACCGCAGCAAGCCGTTATCGGGCGATCGACGTTGACGGATCCGGTAGCCGCGGCTCCCGTCGATGGACCGAGTAGACGTGCAACTCCGTCGTCGATGGAGGCTACGCGATACGCCTCACCTTCGAGTGGGCGAGACGTCGCCCTTCGACCTCGCGAAGCACCGATTGCGAATGGTGGGCCTCGGTTCGCTGCAGACGCACCTCGGTTCGCGACGGATACTCGTCCCAACCGAATAGATGACAATTCACGATGGGCTCAACCTGCACCGCCGATTCAAAGGAGTGCCGATTCTGTCCCTCCTACCGTTGGAGGTGCGAATCGCGTCCCATTAGGAAACAAACGGCCGAACCCGATGACGTTGGACCCTTCGACCAAATTCGCTTCGCCCGCCGTGTCGGTGGCTGCGAGTGTGCCACCGAGAAGACGCTCACCTTCTCCTCCTGCACGACCCGTTTCCTCTCCACCGCGAAGAATGGCCAAGGAGGAGACTCGCTTTGCATCCAACAGGGACGTTCCACCGCACATTCGTTCGAACTTGGATCGCGATCGACGTCCTTCCCCTCCACCTCGTCGAGCTTCGCCACCTCCTCGTCGTTCATCACCGTCCCGTAGACCCGTGTCGACTTCGAACATGCATCCACTTTCCGCACCGCAAGCATCAACACGACCAACGAACCCCGATCTCGAACTACCTCCCCATCTCACGCGACGCGAACCTCCGCGAACGACACCAGACCTTCACCGAGACCGAGAGCGTGAGCGAGAGCGTGACCTCGCACCTCATCTCATGAATCGAACGCCTCTACCTCCCTCTTCTTCTTCCTCAAGGAGGAGATCCCGATCCCCACCTCCTCCACCTCCTCCTGCATCATCATCTGTTTCCGCTCCGACGATGAACGAATGGACCCACCCTGATCGACAAGCATTGGTAGGAGCTAACGCGGGGGGAATGAGTAGGTCGTCGCAAGGTTGGGTAACGAATGATGTTCAATCGAGTGGTGGTGCGGAACGGTCCGGCTACGTCGGCGTTGGAGGAGTACCGAATGCAGTGAAGAATGGTGGGGCGGAATCTCAGGGTTCGAGACCGATGAGGACTTGGGGAAAACCTCAGTCGCAAGTCGTTCAGGATAGGGTTCAAGAGCTAGGTTGTGGTGGGGAGAGGGAGAGGGAGGATTTGAGAAGGCCCCGAGGGGAGAGGAAGGAGGAGGAGGAGGTGGAGACGAAACGAAGGAGGGTGGAGGGTGCTGAAGGGAGGAACAGAGGGACGGGGTGGGATCAGAAGGTTGAGAGGGAGTGGGGGACGGGTGGGTGGGATTTGGGCGCGGGTGCGAATGGGAGTGGCAATGAGGGGAGGGACGAACGGAGGGAGGTTCGACCGAATGAGGATCGGGGTCGGGATCGAAGGGATGAGAGGAGGTACGACGATCGAGTCGAGGAGAGGGTTCAAGCACCGAGGGAGCCCGTTCCTCCTCCTCGTGCGGTTGGACAAGGTTGGGAAACAAAGAGCACCTCCCTGTCGGAGGCGAATGGGTGGGAAACGAAGGAACAGCGCCCCGCAACACGTGCAGACGATTGGGCCGATAACAGCAATCGAAGGGACGACCGACCTGAACGAGGGGACGATCGGCCATTATCGGACCGCTTCACAGAATCCAGCTTCCCTGTCCAAGGACAGGGCTGGGCATGGAAAGGCAAAGGTGACGGGCGATCCCTCCAACCACCCCCCACCGAGCATCGACGCTCCGGCGACACACCTTCTCATCCAACCGATCGTCCGCTCTCCGATCGGTTCAACGGTCCTTCTCCGCCCCTCACGCGCCAGGAAAATCAGAATCAGAAATGGGGAAGTGGGAATGCAACTGGTGACACTTCGATCTCACCTCGCCTCGGGGATAGGGAGGAAGGGGCTTTTGGAGGAAGGGGTTCGGATAGTTTGGTCGGGAGACTGGAGGGGAGGTCTTTGTCGGATCGACTTGGTGGTAGGGGTGGGAAGGAGGGGGGGATGAACAATGGCGGCAAGGAGGCAGTGGTGAATAGGGTGAGTCTCTTCCGAAAGGCTCCTTGAAAGAAGTCTGAAGCTGAAGGCTGGAATTTGTGCAGGGTTCTCCGGCCACTAAGCAGCGTGAAAAGTCTCTACTCGATCGAGTCGATTCGAAATCGAGGGGGTCGGGCTCTCCTGCCCGAGGTGGTCGAGGAGGTCGATCCTTGTTGGATCGGTTGTCCTGAACCCCCGAACGTGTCTCCCTCTCTTGCTCTCTCTAAGACGGTAGTCTATCTCTTCCTCCGGAACTCAAGTAATCACAGCTGCAATGCATCAATACAATTCAGACACCAAACCATCTACTGCCTCTTGAGCCACTCGATCGCCCTCTGATCCCCCTTGAGCAAAGGGATCAACGTTGCTCGAATATGATCGTTGTGCTTCTTGAGCCATGTCTTCTCATCGTGCGTCAGGAGGTCAAAGTTGACCAGTTTGGTGGATTGGATGGGGACCTATTGAAATCACCAAGAAAGCAAACGGTATCAGTAATCTTTGGGCCCAGACGATCTGATCGAGGATACTGCTCCCGGAGGACTGACCATCGTGACCCTCTCGAACCCGAACCATTTCTTATCGCCAAAATCGCGCCTCGTCTTGACCTCTTTGACGACCAAAACGCTCTCGATGCGGATCCCGTAACTTCCTTCTTCGTAAAAGCCCGGTTCGTTGGAGAGGACGTGACCGACCTTGAGGGGGTAAGTCGATTTGGATCCAAGGCCATGAGGTCCTTCACTGTGAAAGCGAACAGCAGGCGAGTAAACAATGATCAGTTTTATTTACGCACGAACTGAACTGAATGGTGAGGAAGAGGAAGGAAACGTACTGCACCCCCAAATACTCCCCAATCCCATGCCCGGTCCCATGCGAATATTGCATCCCTTCTTTCCACAACTTGATCCTCGCCAACACGTCCAAATCACCCCCCGAAGTACCTTCAGGGAAAATCGCTTGGTCGATGGCGATATGTCCCTGAAGCACACGCGTGAAAGCCCTTTTCTGTTCGGGGGTTGGATGACGTCCTAGGAAGGACGTCCGGGTGCAGTCGATGGTCGCGTCGCTGGCGGGGTTGAGACGACAGGGTCAGTCTTCCCTCTTGGTGTCAGATAGGACCAGTGGATATACATACAGGTATTGCGGCCCACTGTCATTCAAATAAGGTGTCCCCAATTCAATCACGCTACTCTCCTTCTTCGTCGGTGCATAATGAGGCAACGCCGCATTCGCCCCCGTCGCCGAAATATTATCATACCCCAAACCCTCATAAAACTCCCCCTTACTCCTAATCCTCGTAAACTCCTCCGCCGCTTCGAATTCGGTGATGGGGAGACCTTTTTTGGAGACGGTGTGTTCGAGCCAAGAGGCCCATTTGGCCCAGGCGAGTCCATCGCGTATATAGGCGTTGCGAAAACCTTGAATCTCGATCGGGTTCTTGATGGCTTCCCATTCGACGATGGGTGAAAGAGGAACGACGGTGAGGTTGTCGTTTTGGATCGCTTGAGCAGCGGCCCAACTCAACGATCCATCCGAGACGACTTTGGTGCTCCCTTGAATCTCTTTCAAAGCTTGAGCGTACGATCGAATTTGCCCTCCCAAATCATGGATGTACTCCCTCAATTGATCCGTCACGCTCCCTTCCTGAATCCACACCGTGAACTTGTCCTCCTCCGAAGCCGGAACGAGTAGGACCGCATAAACGAAAGGGTTGAAAGCAATATCCTTCGCGCGCAAGTTCAACAACCAAGCGATTTGAGGTAAGGTCGAAACAAAGAAGGATGCGTCTCGGCCGCCTCCGTTCTGGTTCTGTTGAAGCCAGGTTCGGAGTCGGGCTAGTTTGGAGGAGGCGAGTTCACCGGTGAATTGGAAAGGGTGGAGTTGGATCTTGCTTGAGAGACGCGCGGGACGGTCCGAACCCCAGATTTGGTCGACGAGGTTATAGGGCGAGGCGTTGAGGGTGAGCTTCGTCAACTTGAACGAGTCCAGGAGGCGTTTGGCCGCACCTGAGGGAAGGAACGACAAGGATTTCAGGTCAGTTGGGGTATGCTCTGTTGTGAAGATTTAAAAGTAAGACCTGACTATAGGCTATCGTATTCGAGTCGACCCCAATCACGCTCCCCTGCGGCAGATCCAACAACCAAGCTGACCAATCCTTGACATCGGACATGCCCACTTTCTCCAAGGTCCACTGCTCCAAATCGAGTTGACGAGCCGCTTGGACGTAGTAACGACTATCGGTGAAGAGGTGCGCTTCGGACGAGGTGATGATGGCCGTTCCTGCGGAACCGGTGAAACTGTGGGGGGAACAGGAGACAGGGGTTGGTCTCGGGTGGGATTTTGGTTCTATATATGGGAAGCCTGCGGAACTTACCCAGAGATGAACTGCCTTTGTTTATCGCATTCACCGGGATATTCGGAGCCATGAGCGTCGGACGATAAGACGACGCTGAAAACACCGGCAGAGGAAGGGAGAGAGCCAAGCTCCTGTCCGTCAGTTCTGATACGACCACCCCACACCGACACATCCCTCACCAACCCCTCCCTCCATGAACTCACTAGGCATCGATTCCCTGCTCCTTCATCAACTCCCTCAATCGCTCCAGGCGTTGCTTTCCTTGAAGCTGGCGCTGCACTCGAGCAGCAGCGACCATGTGGGGCCGATCGGCGCACCGCGTGGTCGGGTGCGACGATTCGTCAGCCTCAAAGTCGAGATATCGCTTCTCATCCAGCAACGAGTCGGCTGAGGAGGAGCGACTCGATCGACTGGAGGAGCCGGTGAAGCAGTTCAGGAGACCCATGCTGGTGTCGAGGTGTTGACGATGTGGTTGGAAGGAGGCAAAGGTCCGTACGCGCTTCGGACAGACCGGCGAGCGCTTGTCCCAATTTGGACGGGCAAGGTCGAAGTAGCCGCCGGCCGAACGTGACACTTGTCGAGCTCCTCTTCATATGCACGAGACGACGTTCATAAATCAGGTACGCATTACAACAACGAAGAAAAGATACGATCAGGCTACAAAACGTCCAGAACTTTCCATCATCACAATTTACTACTCGGGGGTGTATCATCGATGCTGGGTTGTGCCCTCGCGACTTTCCACCGAGGATCCTTGGAAGCCGCCTCAAAGAGCTAGAGGGTGACCAAAGCCGGCAGTCAGCGCTTGAGCACATGATGAGCATACTATCTCCTGAAGCTGTTCACTCACCTCCTCGCGACTCTTCTCCCCCGGAGCTTCCTTCCCAAAAGCTGGTTTCCGCCCATAAGCAATCTCCGCCACCTGAATCAAAATGCCCGCGGTCAACCCCGTGACAGGCTTATGATTCGTTTCGAACGAATGGAATCGTGAAGGCACCCTGTCGAACCATTCGTAGTCGGCGTAGGTGTGGTAGGGTTTATCGCCGGTGATAACGTCCTTGGGTACGGCATTGGTCAGAGAGGGGTCCGAGCCGGTGTCGGAGAGGAATCCGGAGAGGGGGAAGGAGAATACGGTGTCGACTTCGTCTGCATTCAGTTCGGGCTGTACAAAGAATTCAGGTCGGTTCTCGTTGGTGATGCCTCCGTGGTGCTCCCTGAAAGCTTGCGCGCACCTTGAGCGAGTAATCAATCACGAAAACGACGACGGGCGTCACGAGCAACAGGTTCCTCGCCAGGTAAGGAGGTAGAGTGGTCAAGTACCGGATCTTCTCCGCATTATACGGAAGACCAACTTCCTCAAACGCTGTGCAACAAAGACGTGCGTCAGGACCGTCCTTTGTTGCAACGGGGAGCTTTGCCGAAGAATTCTCCGGCTTTCTAAACACTGACCTTCCCGCCTGGCAGTAGCTTCGAGGTTCATGTCTATGAGACGGGAAGTATATGGAGCCAGTCTCAGATATTGCTCTCTATCTTGCAAAGAGTCCGCACGACCGGACCACTCACCACCGGCCTCCATCTTGCCCCCGGGTAAAGCGACATGACCCGGCTAATGAATTCGGTCATCGATCACCCCACGCCGCGGGCCCCACTTTTGGAGTCAGCTCGTGCTCCCGGATCTTTACTGCTTGGGTGGGCCCACTCACAAAGGTGCGTAGGGTCTTTGAGCGAGTAGAGAGTAGTACGTTGAGGTTCTTCCCCGTTCGTGAGCCAAAGAGGGCGACGAGAACAGCGGCTCGACCTGCTGGGACCGGGTCTACGTGGTTGGAAGCGCGGACCGGCGTTCGTGATCAGCCGAGCTGGTTCAAGCCCCACAAATACCGACCACTGAGCGCACAAGTGCCCCCGGGACATCAACACAGGTCCCTCCGTGAACTCACACGTATCCAACGGCGGTTTGTACCTCGCCAACCTCCCCAAAGCTTGCAACGACTCGTCCGAGAGGGGTTCTATTTGGGAGAGCATGTCGCTCGATTCGTCGCGCTGTTGGACGAGTTCGTCGGTGTCGTAGTAGCCGACTTGGGACGCGTCGTCTTGCATGGGCTGCGGTGGGTGCGAGGTTGGGTCGGGATCGGCTGGGCTCATTGTTGGGAGATTTGTAGGGTAGGTTCGAAGGTGCAGAGACTGGAAGGAGGCAGAGAGCAAGCGCACAGTTCCGGAGCGCGAACGACCTTGCCTCGTCCTCGATCTCTTGCCTTCCTCTCTCTTTCCATACACCGCGCACAGCAAACGCCTCTACCCGGACAAATACCCTCTCCACTCGGCAGACCCCCTGAACATCCCGACACCCTACACCCTACACCATGTCCAAAGCCCCCGCTCGACCGATCGCCTTCTTTGACGTCTCGATCGGCAACACACCCGCAGGCAGGATCAAGATGGAACTCTTCAGCGACGTCGTACCAAAGTAGGTTCCAAATCAACATGGTCATTAACCCACCCACTGGGACGCTAACGAGCCCTTCCATTTGCCTCCCTCCAGAACGGCCGAGAACTTTCGCCAACTCTGCACGGGCGAACACCGCGTCAACCACATGCCGATCGGCTACAAGAACAGCATATTCCATCGCGTGATCCCCAACTTTATGTGTCAGGTACGTGAGACGCACGCAAAGAGTGACTTCACCCCAGCTTCAGCTGATCCTTGGGAGCGATCCCACTCGTGGATCGTGTACAGGGGGGTGATTTCATCAACGGTGATGGCACCGGTTCGACGTCGATTTACGGGCCTCAGTTTGATGATGAAAATTTCGAGGTCAAGCATGATGCGGCGGGGTTGCTGAGTATGGTCAGTCCCGAGGCTGGGACGATGCGGGTGACGGTCACCAGAAGGGGTGGGAGCATCAAACCTTGGTCCTCCAAGGGTATAGCTGACCCCATGTTTGTGTACAGGCCAACTCTGGACCAGGGACAAATGGTTGTCAAGTACGCCCCCACCGTCGTACTTCCGACGACAGATCTTTCCTTCTTTCCCCCCACATGTTGACAACGCCCCCTATCGTTCAATCCACCCCCCACAGTTCTTCATCACCACCGCCCCCGCCCCGTTCCTCGACGGCAAACACACCGTATTCGGCAAAGTGCTGGGCCAAGACTCGATGTTGGTCGTCAGGAAGATCGAGAACGTCGCGACGGGTCCGAACAATCGACCGAAATTACCGGTCACGATTACAGGTCAGTCGTAGCGCCGAGGGTTTTTGCAGTTGGTTTTCGATGGAGAAGCCAATGCTGAGACGAATTCTTTGCGTCCGAAAGAATGTGGTGAGATGTAGATTATGCAATCGCAGAGCAACGCACCCCCGATGGCTTTTCGAACTGGGCCGAAAGTTGGAGCGAGAGCCCTTCAAGAATGTACATAACCCCTCGAAAGTGGTTTTGAGATATTCAAAGTCGGATGTGCATGACTATAAGCTTCCTGAAGATTGTGCCTCCGCCAACCTGCCGAGTTGGCCCCTTTCGGTCCCGGCGCGCGCGCCCACCTCGGACGTCGACGATCGAGGCTTTTCGAGCCGACCTGCTCCACCCCATCAGACACCCATCCATTCTACTGGACCATTCATAGTGAATGCACCGAGAAAAATCCCATGACAGAGATGCACAGGAGACCTGCACTTGAAGCCACTTGAAGTGGCGATCGGATTTGCTGGCCAGCAATCGCTTTTCGTGAATTTCTGATTGGCCGAAACAGAGAGCCCGAAAGGAAGCGCGAGGCAAGGAGGCCTGCCCGGCCGCGCTGACGGCTGTTCGCTTTCCCGCCCCACCTCAACTAAACGCCACGCACATACTCGCACAGCTAGGCCGTCCAAGATGTCCATGTCCATGTTCTCCTCCGTCGCCAAGCGCTCTTTCCAGTCGACATCACGCGTGAGTACTCAGCTGCGGTGTGAGGAGGTGTTGAGAGACCTGCTGACCTCGGTTCCGTCCCGTCCCGTTCCGCGCCTGGCTGGCTCGTGTCCAAAGCAGGCGACCCGAACGCTCGCCACCGCGGCTTCGTCCAGTGACAAGCCGGCCCAACTCAAAACGTTCCAGATTTACCGATGGGTGAGTTTGAGCGCTTCAGTCAGCTGGGGAAGCATGGGTGGTCGCCTGGTTTATACCCGGTCGGATCGGATTGGGCTGCTTTGTGGCGCGAGACGAGTGCCCCGCGGCTCAGCGCAACAGGCCTTTGCCGGCGGCGCGTGCCTCTGGGGATCGTCAACCGGGTCACCGCGGCACTACATCCCTCGATCTTTACCCACAACGCCTCTCTCCGCACAAGATGACGAACCACCCTCTTGCCTCCCATTCAGAACCCCGACCAACCCGCCGAAAAGCCGCACTTGCAGTCGTACCAAATCGACATGGCCAAGTGCGGGCCCATGGTGCTCGACGCGATCCTCAAGATCAAGAATGAGCTCGACCCGACTTTGACGTTCCGAAGGTCGTGCCGGGAGGGGATCTGTGGCTCGTGTGCGATGAACATTGACGGCGTCAACACGTTGGCGTGCTTGAAGAGGATCGAGAAGGATAGCAAGGATATGAAGATTTACCCTTTGCCGCACAGTCAGTTCCTCAAACCGGGAGCTTGCGCTCGAAGCGGTGAGAGCCACTTCACTAACATCTGCAGAGGTTCCTGGATGACAGTGTACATCATCAAGGATTTGGTGCCCGATATGACCCAGTTCTACAAGCAGTACAAGGCCATCGAGGTCAGTCTGGGGACGATGTCACGTTGCTGGCCGCAGCGGGTCCAGCCCAACCCGGAACTCACGCCCCTCATCTCTCTCCACTTGTCTTTCTCAGCCCTTTTTGCAAGCCGAGAAGCCCGCAGATGGGAAGGAGCACCTCCAGTCGCGTGAGGACCGCAAGAAGCTTGATGGCATGTACGAGGTCAGTCGATGCTGAACCGGCAGTGTGAAGATCCCCACCAGGCAGGTTATACTGACACGGTCTTCGTCCTCCCATCTCCTAGTGCATTCTCTGCGCATGCTGCAGCACATCCTGCCCTTCGTACTGGTGGAACCAGGATGCCGGCTACCTCGGCCCTGCTGGTGAGTGGAGCAGAAGCAAAAGAATCATATCCGAACTGCGTGCTGAACGAATGGTGTCTGCGCCTGACGCTCACAGTGCTCATGCAAGCGTACCGCTGGATCGCCGACTCTCGAGACCAAATGACGAGCAAGCGCCTCGAGAAGCTGCAGAACCCCTTCTCGCTCTACCGTTGCCACACCATCTTCAACGTGAGTTTCTCCCGAGCCGGCGAGGGTAGGCGGGGTGAATGACCTCGCACGGGCGTGAGAGCTGATCACCTGATTCCGTTTGCGATTCAACAGTGCACCAAGACCTGCCCCAAGGGGCTCAACCCGGCCAAGGCGATCGCCGCTCTGAAGCAGGAGATGTCGACAGCTTGAGGAGCATAGAGCCCGAATGAGATGCTGCTAGAGGGAGGGAGGGAGAGGAGCATCCAGAGGTCGTTGTTGGGGGATATCGAGTCATGAATGCAATCTTTGAACCCTTATATGTAACTTGTTCAACGAAGATGGGATGGGATCTAATTGCAGGAAGCGGTGAAAGGAGGGCGCGTACGATCAATCTTTGGGTTTGGTTCCCGGATTGGCCCGGGCTCGGACTTCGGCGAGGGCGAATCCCTCAAGCGACCGCCGAGTCTCGCACCGACGCGAGTTCTTGGGCTCTCTCTCGCAGCTCACATCGCATCGCATCGCATCGCCGTCCAGCCCGACTCTGACTGACCTTGTTCACCCGACAAATCGACGAGACTGTCTGGCATCTGAACCCTGTACTGCTACCACTCCTCGTCGTGCATCGGCCTGCACCACTCGCGAACGCTGAAACTGGACACGGCCTCTCTCACAACCTCCCCGCTCCCTACTACGCCACTCTCGCGTCACCCCGGCTGTCGGTGCCTGAAACTCATTCTCGACGACGACCCCGGGAGCTCCAGTGCACCCGACTCTCGCAACGCAATCTCACCTCCGTAGCCACTTCCTGAAGCACATCTCCAAGATGGGAATCTTTGCCCACCCCTCGCCCGTACCGTCCAAGAGCGACGATCTATTGCAGTGGTTGTCATTGGACCCTCCGTTGCCCGTTCAATTGGCGCTCGTGCCCAGCATCTGTCGCTTCATCGCGTTCTTGCTCTTCTTGCCCGTCATTGCTTTGGCTTTGGTCAGTCCATCAGATTTCTTGCGTATGTGATGTTCGTATTACAGTCGACTGAAGCTGTGCTTTTCATAACCCTCTCAACACACTTCGGCACTTATTTCGCTTCCTCGATGACGACCGGGAATGGCTCGCCCGAACCGATCGGTGACCCGCGTTCTGACACGACACGCATCTCTGACCTCGAACCGTGCGCTCGTGCGCCACCGCTTCCATCAGACCGACGTCTTTGGGTGGGCCATCTTCAAATTGGTTTTGAGACCTTTGGGATACGCAAGTACGACGAGGTTCAAGGATCCAGAGTAAGCCCTCTTCTGCTTCCTGTCATTTGGATACCATAGCCTCAGCTCGCTATGAGAAGGCTCCCACCCCCCCCTCCCCACATGCCGAGCAGCCCTGCTAATCACTCCTCGCTTCTCCCACTTCAGGCCCGAAGATGTGACCAAGATGACGACAACTCGACGATCTCGCTCTACTTCGAAACCACGTTCCTCCAGTCGACCCCGCATCAGTCCAACCGATTCGGACTACATCGACGCCACCATCGACGGTGATTCCGAGCGTAGCGGTCACTCCAAACCTTCCAACGAATCCACGGCCGAAGGGGACACTTCCTCCTCGTCGGACGCGCAGGACGAATCTCGATCACCTTCTCGTTCCCCTCAATTACCTCATCATCTCACTTTGGGAGACCGAGCAGATTCTTACTCTTCTTCGGGGACGAGTCGCTTGAATCGTTTCCGAGCCCCTTCGGTCGGGTTCGATGGACCTCTTTTCGCTGTAGGGGAGGAACTCGCCAGTCCGGGAAGGAGCGATGATGAACCTTTACCTGAAATGGAGGATGGACCGGTGACGCAGATCGGGATGAGTGATGGCTCGGATAATGAAGGGTCGGGTACCGGTGGCGCGAGACGAAGGGTCGGGCCGAGGAGGGGGACTTCCAGTCTGAGTTTCACGTCGCTTGGTACGGAGGATAAGTAGCTGGATAGGGGAGGGAGGGGTTGCTGTTTGGGTGATGAGGTGATTGAGGTCTGGGGGAAAGGGGTTTTCGGACATTCTATATCATACTCTTAAGGGAGGAGTGGTTGTGGCACGGACTAGATTCATTTTTCGGCATGTGCGTGTGTGTGTGTGTGTGTTGCTTTTTCATCAAAGAGTCATGTTTTATACGATCAGGTTGCTTTTCGTGTTTTGTTGTGAGTTGTTGGGCGTGTTTTTCTTTGTGTGTGTGCAATCAGATACATTCGGCTCAGTCATTGGTTCTTGAAGTGTGCTTGTGAAAGTGGAGTTCACGGGTCTCGTTCGGCCCGGAGCTGGGCTGGACGAGGGTAAGCGAGGCCCGGCAAGGCTTACCCCACATTGAGAGCGGGCTCCGAGTAGCCTGGTCCTGTCTTTCCCCTCTCCCCTCTCCCCACTCACCTCGTTTCGAACCTTCCCACCTCCCACACCACAGACCCCTCAAAACCGCACCAACACCCTCCCTAAACCAACACCCTTCCAACCACCCCAAGGGCCATGCCCACCTTGAAGCCGATCCTCCTCGTCTCAGGCCTAGGTAACGGCGTTGGGATCGGAGGCGCCTGTGCGCGCTTATTCTCCCTCGACGGTTATCGCATCGGCTTAATCTCCCGACCGCGTCAAGACATCCATGATCTCTGTACAGAGTTGAACGGAAAGGGAGGTGAGGCAAAGGTTTTCTCGGTAGAGGGTTATGATCATGAGAATTTGGAAAGGGTTTTTAAAGAGGTTCGGAAGGAGTGGCCGGGGAGTCGGTTGAAAACGGCGGTTTGGAATACGAGTCAGTGGTGAGTTTTTCATTTATTTTTTACTTGATCGGTGGTGGTGGGGCGGTTGTGGGATGGAGGAGGAAAAGGGGACAAGGGGGTCTTCGAACAGAGCAATCGGAAGACGATCGAGTCTGAAAGGAAGAGTACTTGGGTCTGGAGGGAAGCTCCAGTGACCGATCCCTAACAAAGACCACTCCCTCTTCTTGCCCCAAGGTCCAACATCCCCTTCCTCGACATCAAAGAATCCGACATCCGCGCCAGCACCCAAATCAACATCATCTCCGCCACCGCGTTCGCGCAGCATGCGGTCAGGATGTTTCTTGAAAAACCGGCGTCGGAGGAGAAGGAGGATGCTGTGGGAGGTGAGTTTGGGAAGTGGGATTTGGGAGGATGGGGGCTGATGAGCTTTGCTGAATTTGGTTTCATCCATTCCAATTCGATAGGCACGCTGATTATCACGGGTGCGACGAGCGCGACGAGAGGGGCGTTGGGTTTCGGCGCTTTCGCTGCGGGCAAATCGGGGTAGGTTTTTTTCTCGTTTCGGAGCCATTGACCTCGGATAAGCAACCAGCACTCATCAACTCAATATCTACCCACCGCATGATTTCCTCCAGTCTTCGGGCCCTAAGTCAATCCATCGCACGCGAATTCGGACCCCAAGGTGTGCACGTCGCCTTCGTCATCGTCGACGGTACCATCAAAACCAAAGCGACAACCCGTCTATTCTCCAATCGTCATGAACGATCGCAAGATGGAAAGAGTTGGTTGGACGATGAGACGTTGGCCTTACAACCTGGATCGATCGCCAAAGCGTACAAGTATTTGAACGAACAGGATCCGAGCGCATGGACGCTGGAGATGGATTTGAGACCCGCCAAGGAAAAGTTCTAAACGAAAGGGGCGGCCAAGGCGTCCGTCAAATGTACTTTTGGAAATTCTTGCATTGCTATATTCTTTTTTCTTTATGCCTTGTTGTTCCTGGTTGTAGCTACTTCGATCAAATCCCTGACCGCTTGTTTATCATGTGGCAACTTTGCACACACCTTCCAAACCCCAGCTTTATCGGCCTCCCCAAACGCATCCAATTTCCACTGCCTATACAGATCCAAGAGTCGCGTACACACATCGACGACGTCCTCCTCCGTCGCGTCGAACAAAACCCACCACGGTTCGGGAACCAGAGGTAAAGCGATCGGAGGATCATGTTTCCTCGTCGCTAGGTAGATGGCCGCGACTGCCAAGGTCGAGGGTGGGTAAAGAGCGGGGGAAGGCGTTTGGAGCATGTCGTTGGCGTAACCCCACGATTGTTTGACCAATCCGGGGTAAGAGGTCAGTTCGAGCACTTTGAGGTAGTTGACGAGGTGGCCGTAGGGAAGACTGGATTGGGTTTGGAAACCGAGTCGTTTGAGGAGTTGCATCTCGGCGACGACGAGCGCGTCTTTGGTGTCGTAGAAGGACGAGGCGAAATAGTCCATCGGGACGTAGTCGAACGGAAGAGCGGTGGAGGTGGTGGTGGGTTGGCGGCCTTGGTGGGCTATGAATTCGAGGAGGTAGGCATAGCAGTTGATCAAGTCGCGGATACGGAGGGGGGACTCTTCGAGTTTGGACGCGAGGAAGAGGGCGCCGAGGCCAATGTCCTGAGAGCGCAAGTGAGATCCAGGTCAGGTGACCTGCAGGGCCCGGAGGTGGGATTTGAGGGAGGGGTGACGTACCCGGATGCCGAAATGCTTGAGCGATGTGACGAACCAGAAGCGTTGAAAGAGGATTTGAGCTGTGGCCATGACGACTTGAGGACTGTGAGGGGATGTCATGGAGGAGGATGAGGGATTGTCCATGTCGACCTTTGCGATTATTAGGGGAACTCATGGGGTCGACTTGCGCTTTAAGCATCAGTCCGACTTGTTGGATCAAGATCGCGCCATCTGTTGGCATAACGGACAAGTCGGGGTCAGCTGCAGGAGAGAAGGAGAACCCGAGTCGCGGAATGGCCAACTCGCAAGCTCTGAGGTCCCGCTCGAGTCGAGGGGGGACGCCATCGAGTGCGGATGGGGTCGCTGCATTCAATGGCGCCAATGGGTTGAGAAGGTGTCGAGAAGCCACGGTGGACGAGTCGGCCGAAAACGAGTGGGCGTGGTGGGGGAGTACTAGAGACGTCCGCGAGCTCAACCTTCTTGAGGCAGTCGCGAGGTAATCACAGCAGACAGCAGCATGCAGCAGACCACAGTCGCTCTCAGCCAGCTCAGCCGCTTCCACTCCGACTCGTGAGGGCGAGCTCTTCACGTGGCGCGCGGGCCGACGCTCCGTCCGCAATTTTTTATGGATATTCAATCACAAGAAGGATACACCACCCCAATAACAACATCCCCAACGATACCACACCCCTCAATTTCCCCCTATACTTTTGTTTAGATCTGGCGGGGTACATGCACTCTAGCGCAAAATGGCACTGAAATGATGGCATTGAAACTTTGATATGCTGCTAGCTCTCCCCGAGTCTCTCTCTCTCTCTGTGTTCACGTCGCCACGCGTCACACGACAACCGTCTTCGAGCAGCGACGCAGCGATCAAGCTGCTCTTGCAACCATGTGCGCGCAGAAATGAGGCTTCCGTTGAGAACGTCACGCTGAATTGGAGTTGCCTGTATTCATCCACAGGGAGTACGCCAGCGCATTCCTCTCTGCCGCCTCCTCACTCGGCGCGAGGTCCGCGCTCTCGTCCAACTACACCCTCGCGACCGCCACCTCGCCATCGTCGTCGTCCTCGGCCACCGCAGCAGGAGCCGTCTCTTCCTCCTCTTCCTCCGCGCCCATCCGGAGCCTACAGATCGGCCCGTGGAAGGTCGAACGCGCATCGCACAACAGCTCGGGCAAGCAAGTCTCGATATGGTCCTGCGACAAGTCGTCCCTTGTAGCACCGACCGGCGCACTCAAGCGAGACCCCAATGCTGCGAGAAGGCTCGAAAAGGCTGTAGAGACGCTCAAGAAAGAGGTGCGCACTGGCTCTGGGTCGTGTCCGAGTTGGCTGCGTGTGAGCATGTCAGCGCTGACGTCGAACAATGCACCCCCACCCATCGAATTAGGCCGCCTCCTTGTCCCGACTACGACACCCTTGCATCCTTGAAATGGCAGAACCGATCGAAGAGACGAGGTACGAGACACCGCCATCAATTATGCCCCCTACCTGACTCGGATGCCCGTGCACGGCGATGACGACTGACGCGCTCGAGTCTTCCCCCCCACTTTGTCCCCGTCCGCAGATCCGTCATCACCTTTGCTACCGAGCCCGTCACCGCCTCGCTCCGACAAGCGATCGCCGCATCCGCCTCGACCTCGTCCGCCGCAGGGTCCATATCTCGAGGCTCGGACCGACGCAACGGATCCTCTTCCTCCTCCGCCGCCATGCAGCAGCAGAGCGACCTCGAGCTCGACGAAGTCGAGATTCAAAAAGGCCTGTCCCAACTCGCCAAAGGTCTGCAATTTCTTCATGAGAGCGCAAAGACGATCCATGGGAATCTCACCCCCGAAGCCGTCGTTATCAATGCCAAGGGGGACTGGAAATTGTCCGGTTTTGGTTTGTCGATACCCCTCTTTGGCCCGGATGGGGTTGCGACAAAGTGGGAATTTCCGGGATACGATCATGCGTTGCCGGCGACTGTCCAGAGGAATTACGACTTTATCGGTACGTGCCGTTCTCGATTAATTATGATTACGCACACCACTGAACGCAGCATACTTCACTTGACAGCCCCGGAATACATCCTCGACGAGGCGAACCCGACCCCAGCGAACGACATGTACTCGCTCGGCTGCATCCTCCACTCGATCCACACCCACGCCGGACCACCCTTCCAAAACCGACAATCCCTATCCAACGCGCGCACCAACATCGAAGAAGGCCTTTCACGGGGCATGGTCCGACCACAATGGCGGCGATTAACGGAGGAGGCCCAATCGGCGTTGGGTCAACTCGTGACGAGGTATCCGAATCAACGAATCTCCGCCGCGGGCTTTTTGGCCCACGGCTACTTTTCGAGTTTGCTCGTTTCGACACTCAACTTCATCGCTAGGGATGCGTTCGCGAGCCAATCGACCGAAGCGCAGACGGGGTTCCTCAAGGGTTTGCTCAATGTAAGGTGATGTCAGGCGTTCTTCCCGGTGTCGTGGGGAAGAGATAAACTCATGCGTTCCAGGTGTTTTGAAACGCTTACAGGTCCTGCCGCAATTCAGCGACAAAGTCAACCGACGCAAAGTACTGCCCTCACTCCTCGAAGAGACGAACAAGACCCATTTGATCCCTTTCCTCCTTCCCAACATCGCCTACATCGGTCAACGCATGGACGTCGATGCCTTCCGCTCCCAAGTCCTCCCCCATCTCATTCCCTTATTCAAAATCAAGGATCCACCTCAAGCGATCCTAGCTCTCTTGGATTCGTTGCCGTTGTTCAGTGAGAAATCAACGCCGACGTCGTTCAGGGAGGAGGTCATGCCGTTGGTTTATTATTCGTTGGAGAGTGATAATCCGGTCGTGTTGGAGAAGGCGCTCAAGGCGGTGCCTTCGTTGTGCGAGACGTTGGATTATACGGTGCGTCGTGATGACTTTTATCTGGTCGAAAACGCGGAGGCTGATTGTCGGATCTCGCCTTGAACTTGCAGACGGTCAAGCAAACCCTCTTCCCCAAGATCACCACCGTAAGCCCTCCCTTGTCTCAGCTGCCTGTCTACATTCGCCAATTGACTGACCCCCTCGCCCTACAGGTCTTCACCAAAACGACGATGCTGAGCGTTAAAGTCAACACGCTCATCTGCTTTCATTCGATGACTTCGACTCTGGACAAGTTCACCATCACCGAGCGACTGGTCCCACTGTTGGCCAAAATCAAGACCAAGGAACCGGCGGTGATGCTCGCCACGCTTGAGGTGTGCTCCAAGATTGGAGACAAGGTTGATTTAGAGGCTTGTGAGTTGCATATCAGAGCGGGTGCTGTCGTACAGTACGTTGCTTACTGAGACGTGAATGGTGTGCACAGTGGCGAGTCAAATTCTGCCCCAACTTTGGAGGTGGTCAATGGGTCCCTTGCTCTCGGCCGACCAATTCGCCAAGTTCATGTCCGTCATCAAACGAATCGGACATCGCGTAGAGACGGAGCACACGAAGGCCTTGCAGGAACAAAAGCGCTTGGAAGAATCGACGTCCGGTGGATCGCTTTCGAGAGGCGGCGGTGGTGGTGCGGGATCAACACCGATGGACTTTGAGGCCCTTGTTCGAGGTGGAGCTGGGTTGGGAAGAGCGACTGAAGTCGCGGCTGATATCTTTGGGGATGATAGTCCGGGGGTAAGTCCTCGCCGATGTTGGGCCATGTGTCGTCGGATCTTTGCGCTGATTTGGGGTCCCGAGGTGATCTACAGTCCGTCACGCCCTCACATGGGTTCAGACCCCCTCCGACTGGGGTCGCTTCGTTCGCTCCTTCTCGACCTTCACCAAGGAGCAGTCTTTCACACAGCTCCTTGGGCGCCAAACTTGTTCCGGCTTCGACCGTCAATTCTTCCGCCTTTGGGGCGTCAACGGCCAGTTTGACACCGACGACGTCGAGTCTCAGTTCGATGACGCTGGCTTCCCCTCCTCCTCCCCCCGCTGCTCCGTCCGCTTTCGCTTCTTCATCCTCGAACTCGATGAGCTCCTTCACATCTTTGGAACCTACTCGATCCTCTTTATCCTCCCTACCCTCCCTACCAAACCAAACCAACAACTCGACCACATCCTCCTACTCCTCCCCACGACCCAATTACCACTCCCTCACCACAACAACAACCAACACCCTTCCCCCACTCGTCCCCAATTCTTCCTCCTTCTCCCCACCCAACCCAAATCCATGGGCATCTTCAACACCTTCCCAACCTTCCATATCAATAGCATACGTCGCACCTGTTCCTGCACCACCATCAGCACCAACTCCGAAACAATGGGACGTTCTACAGCCCAAAGTCGTTGCGCAACCGAGGAAACCAAGCAATGGCGATTTCGGCGCGTGGAGTGATTTCGATCCTTTGAAATGAACGAATGGATTGAGGAGCAGGGTTGGTTAGGGGTGCATGTTGTTGTGTCGGAGTCGTGGTGGAAGTTCGTTAGTTAGTAAACCTTTTGCTCTTATTGGTGGAGTGGATTAATCGCATTTACGTGCAACCGCGGTCCTATTTCTGCATTGCTGCGCATTGCCTTTCGGGAAAGGGCAAGACCCCGCCCGACCTTTGTTTCAAACGTCATTGAGAGAAGGGCCTATCGTACCGCTAGAGGTGTCGTACAAAAAAGCCAGGAAGATACATCGCGCACACCTCTTCATAATCCGCTTTAGAATGCGTGGCCTGCTCTTCGGCCTCCAACCTCATCGCCGAAATCGCGGCAAGCCGTGTGTTCGGTCAGGCCGGTCAGGGGGTGGGAGAGGGGCCGGCGCGGCGTAAGCTTTTAATTGGATTCATCACGCCGAGCGTCGCGGGTAGCGGTTTCGCAGAAGCTGTGCACTGAGGAATATCTACTCTCGCTGTAAGAGCTCTCCGGAACGGCTCTCGTACGTCCTAAGAGGCATGAACTCTGATTAGGGCCTGCGGATGTTGAACCTTGACCTCGGCGGAAAACCAAACTATGCTCCACGCGGCCGTCGAACCCGAACATTGAGATGACTATCCGCTACCGGAAAGACAAGAAAAGAGCTAAGGCAGAGACCCGATCCACACGTTCCCACTTGTAGCCTCGAACTGGTTTCCCCATCCACCCGGCGTGCAACTTAGATCCGAATAGACTCGAAACGCACCGAACGTGAGATCAAACGAGACGAGTTGAGACGCGTTCGCCACCACCGATGAACTTTAAGAGGCCTTTTACGTCGTCGTCTTTCGGGTGATGAGATTGCCGGCGAATACGCTGGTTAAGGCCGTACACTTCAAAATCGCTTCTAGCTTTCAGACTGACCACGACCACCACGGTTCATCTGTGATGGCCATGGCCAGTTTACGTTGGAGTCGTCGCTCGTACCTCGAGCGCACGATTCGAGCATGATGGTTATATCAGCCGCTTTGTTTTGGCGCACCTTCTGCCGTTGTCTTGTGTAAGTCAAAAGCTGGTATCTACGGATCAACAAATACCGCACTACATTCGTGACTCGGGAGCGCGCAGGCGAAATCCACCCCAAGTCCGGTCACATACCAAACTCGCCTATTCCGAACACCAGCAGACGTACAGCGGCCAACTTGAAGCCAACCTCAATCCGGTCACCTGATCCAAATCTTCCACGCAGCACAGCTTCTTCGAGACATGAAGTAGGTACATTCTCCGCGTTTCATCTTGATCGCCAAACAGGGCTCGTATGAGATCCGTCCGAGACCAGCTGCCAGCCCCTATCGAGTCATTCCGGGTGATTCGACCTAGGTATAGGATCGACGAGTCAATGAGCGCTCGTGCGGAGCGCTGATATCAAGGTAAGAGGAAGAAGCTCGATATGTACAACGGCCATCGAAAGACGGCAAGAATTAGACGATCCTCCCAGGATCCACACCGTCGTACCCTTCCGACCTTGGTACGTTTTTACTTAAGCCCAAGCCATCGAAGGGACGATCAGGCAGTTTCGGGAAGGAGACCTTTTCTTTGTCCATTTTTCACAAAAAGGAAAAAGGGCGAGAAAAATGGGATGAGAGATTTCAGAGGATCAGATGAAATTGAGAGCAAGGGAAACGAAGGAGAGAATGGGGGGTGAAGTGGAAAGATTGTGAGGGAGGGGCAATGAAGACGGAGACGGGAGGGGCAAAAGACATTCGAAAAAGAGGAGGGGGAGGGAGAGAGCGAATTCGCAAACAGAAACAGGAACGAAGAACGGAGAGCCACACACGCAGAATCAATCACACCCAGAGCTCCCACCCGAAATCAAGCACGCCTCGGTTGAGCTTGAGCCCTCGTCACACCGGGAGGAGCGAACAAGGTCGAACCACCACCACCACCACCGGGTGCGGAGCCGAAGAGACCTCCTCCGTTATCGAGGTATGTACCAGTCGGGGCGTTGGTTCCGTAAGGTGCGTTGGGGGGAGGTGGAAGAGGCGCGTTGGCTGCCAAACGGGCGTTGAGGATCGCAGGGTCGGAGAATAAAGGCGTCGAGTTGTGTCCGTCGTTGTTCCCTCCTCCTCCACCACCGGCGGCGAGCTGAGCGAGGAATGCAGCTTGCTGCTGCTGCTGCTGCTGCTGCTGCTGCTGCTGCTGCTGCTGCTGCTGCTGCTGCTGCTGCTGCTGCTGCTGCTGCTGCTGCTGCATCTGTTGTTGTTGCTGTTGTTGATGATGCGCCTTGGCGCCCGAAGAAGCCTGAGCCGCCGCAATAAGCGCCAACAAATCGACCTTTTCCCCCGTCGAACCACTGACCGTCCTCGGTGCGGCAGGAGGCAAAGGGAACGAAGCCGCTGCGATAACTGAAGATCGATTCAATGAGATACCGGGGGGTAAGGCAGCGTTCGCAGTGACGGAACCGATGTTCATCCCCCCTACGCCTACACCCGGTGGAGTGGAGGTCGCTCCTGTTCCGTTGTTGCCTCCGTAGATCATGCCTGCTCTCACGCGAGGGGAGAGTTGTGGAGACGACAAAGAGGAAGGAGAGGACGTCGCTGTGGCCAATGATCGCACGACACCAGGTGGGAAAGCCGAGGAAGCCGAAGTCTGCCATAGTTCTCCATTGTGACTCGTCGTACGATGTTGGGACCCATCGAGGTGGGAAGGGAAACCGAATCCGAGCGAGGACGAAGACGACAACGACCTGGTCTGCTGCTGCGCCGCCAACCCACCCGAGTGCATCGGCATCCCAATCCCAGGCGGTGGAGGCGTGAACGGAGCCGGCGAATGACGACCCTCCGTCTCAGCGAACGCCGAGCGAGCCAACGCCGAAGCCAATTCCCCATTCTTGACTCCCAAGTTCGAACTCGAACGACGCGCGAAACCGAACCTCGACCCACGAAGGGATTGATCATCGAACGAAGGTGTAGGCGAGGGTGTTCCCGAACGCAACTCGTCATGCGGATGGTGGTGTTGTGAATGCGAAGAAGGCGCGGCCTCGAACGAATTACTCGTATCGGCGAATGGGTCAAACGAGCCCATGTAGGACGGGATGCTGGTGAATATGTTGGTCGTATCGAACGCGAGCGGTTCCCTTCGGCGCACACCCGCTTCCCACTCTGACTGGAACCCGAACGGCGACGCCACGCGCTTCTGCTGCTGCAGTAGATGTGATTGTTGCTGATGCAATTGCTGTTGATGCAACGTACCCCCACGATCGTCGAACACGCCACCCGAAAACGCTCTCCCCTTGCCCTTGGTGTCCAAGTCGAGACTGAAGCTGAATCCACCATCGCCAAATTCGAGTTCGGGGAAGATGTGCGGTACCGGGCTCGGCGATCGAGGACGCGGAGGTGTGACCGTCTGCGCCGTCGTCATTCCGTTCGGCGCATGTCCGTTCTCTTGCGTCGTGCCCGGGCTCAAGTTGGGAGCGGATGTCGAGGAGGAAGAAGCGACCGGATCAACGAGCTGCGGTGTCGCGTCGGCGGAAATGGAAGCAGGAGCTGGAGTCGAGGAGGTAGGGAGGATTGAAAAAGGGGATTCGACAGCCGCCGCTGGCGAAGATACCACTGCGGCTTCTTTCCGCGTCGTGTCGATCGAGTTCGGTCGAGCGAGAACGGGTTTGGAAGGGAGAGGATGGGTCGTCGGAGGTTTGGGGGTCAAAGAGGTGGTGGCGGCGCTGCTGTTCTGTCGAGACGGGGTGCTAGGTTTGGCTGCGAGAGGAGTCGAGGTCGAAGAGGTCGTCTGTTGAAGCGAGAACGAAGGGTTCGGTATGATGGGTTGTATCGGCGCGCCATTTTTGGAGGCCCAAGAGGCAGTTGCTGGCAACTTGGCATCGACGGCGTTCGTTCGAGTCGTGCCCAACGAATCCTTCTTCCGAGGCTGTTCGCTATCCGACACGGCGTGGCTACAAACGGGCCATGAACCACGATCAGATCTTCCGTTCGAAAGCGCCGATTCGATCGCCCTTGTAATGGACTTACTAGGCATAAATCTCTTCCCTACTCGCCGGTCCAGCACCTTCAATCTCTTCCCCAGGTTCATGCGCCTGCATACAACTATCGTTGTTGCACTTCAAACCCTTGAGGTACGTAGGGCAATACCTCGTCGTCCCCCAAATCGCCTTGAGCTTGTGCCCATCCGAAGTCGTCGTGCCATCGATTGCGGCGATGCAGGCCGAAGCTTCGGCCGGGGTCCGATAGCTGACGTAGACGTTGACGGGTTGGAAGTGGGCATGTTGCGTAGTCGACGACTGCGAAGGTGCGACGGGCGTCGTTCGTTTCGACATGAAGAGTTTGACAACTTTACCGTACTGGCCGAACTGCTCGGATCCTTTCAAATACGCCAGAGTCTGAAGAAAGGCGAGTTTGGCTCATCAGCGCCGAAGATGCGTTAGATACGCACGAGACACTCACATCCTCGTTGGCAATCTTTGTCGTCATGCCTTGGACATGGACCTGCGCGCGTTGGCGCACGCGCACATTCGCGCGATTCTTGACCGACAGCTCCTCGTCCTTGCGCCGCTTGTCGCGTAACTTTTTGGCAGCTTGCAATCGTTTCAACCTGGTCGGATGAGGGGTGAGAGAATTAGCTTCTCGGGGGTCTTGAAGGCAAGGAGTGATGATGCGAGAACCTACTCTTCGGGCTTGACGGCCTTGAACTCGACGGTCTTGTCATCGTACGGTGTACGACAGGCGGGGCACCGGTTGTTGAGATTCTCCTTGATATGGTGATAGCAGAATCGGCAAATCTGTGACACAGCATGCGGATGGGGCGAAAAGGTCGAGGTGATGAGTCCGATGTTGTCCCTCGTGCGAACGCGCGGTGTCGCGTGAGTGAGTGCATGCGCGGAGCAGTCGGGCCGCGTGCGAGTACCGGAGCGGCAGCAGCGTGTCCGCGGAAGGCACTTGACGCACCTGATATCCACAAGGGCACGGCTTGAAGTTGAGATCGGAAAGATCCATTTCTTCGAGGCAGAGCGGACAATCCATATCATCCTATGGGTCCGTAGAATACGCTCGCTCGCTCAAGTCAGCCAAAAAGGGCTCATCAAGGATCGTTGTCTCGGAACGATGGGTGCACGCGGTGAAAAGGCAGATGCGGCTGCCGTGGTCAAAGCAGGCGCGATGCCACACGAAGCAAGACGCGTGGTATGGCATCGACTCGGTGCATGCTCTCGCTCGACCACAAGGGGAGCGGTCGCGCGCCCGCCGAGAGTCGAGGAAACCCTACAACCGGACAACTCACCTCGAACCCATCGAGCATAGCCATGACCCGATCGACGGCGGTGGAAGCACTGGCGACCTTGTCATGGTGGTGCTGGCTGGACGAAGAATGGTGGTGACGATCGTTCGAGTGGCCGTGAGCCGCCGCGGGGTGACTGCTCGTCGCCGTCGCCGTCGCCGTCGCCGTCGCGGTCGTCGTCGTGCCGTCGTCGTCATTCTCGCGCGCAAAAGGGCCATGGTGCGACGAATGGTGCGAGCTGTTGGCGCTGTGGTGGTGGTGGTGGTGGTGGTGTGGGTGGTGCGAGTTGATGCGGTGGTCGTGGCGTGGGGTCGGTTGCAAGGTCGAGCTAGGCGGGGGGAACTGCGACGTCGCCAACCCACCTGCGATCGACAAAGCGGGTGCTGCATGATGACCACCCCCACCTCCCCCTACTCCACCGCCCGTACCACTCGCTCTCGTATTCGTGTTCCATGCGGGTCGTTGTTGCGCGTGTGAGCCGTGATGAGCGCTGCTCGACGAAATGCCGCCGGCGCCAATGGTCGTTGCAGAAGTCGACGACGATGACGACGACGACGGACCCCCGTCGAGAGGGTCCTTCCTCCTCGAAAACGTCAGGCGAGACAGCGTGGGCGGGTCGGGCTGGGCTCGAGAGACGAAACGGGTCAACGTCGGTCCGTTCAAGTGATCGCACGATCAAGTTCGAGGCTGAGCGCCGAGCAGTGAGCGCTAGTGAGCACCGAAGCGAGCACCCAAAGAGGAGCGTGCGCGCGCGTGTGAGGAGGCTAATTCGTTATTACGAGTGCTTCCAAGCGCTAATGCGAGGTTCCTTCCGGCTCTTGTCTCCTTCGACCACGGCTCGGGTGCACACGGCCAGAGGGATGTTCATTTCTGCATGGTTCTACAACAATATAGCAAAGAAAGTGTCCCTTCTCTCTTCTCCCCCATCACTCGCTAAACCCCGCCCTAATCCTCGTCCAATTCCTTACCCACCTCCTCCATCCCCCCCTCGCCCATCCCTTCGTCCATCAACTCGTTCACCGCGTCCAGCTCGTCCCTCGTCGCTTCGTCGAAAGCCATATCATCCTCATCCTCATCCTCTTCCTCCACCACATGCGTCGTCGTGTGCTTGCGGGAAGAGGAGGAAGAAGTCCCCCGCGCGTCCGAGGAGGATTTGTGGTGGGTCGTGGAAGGGGGATGATCGTTGCTGCGCGAGATGGGTGCTATCGCAGCTTCGGCCGAGAGATGGTCTCGTACGATCGCGAGTAAATGATCCCGTTCTTCTTGGCCGGGAAAACGTTCTTCGAATTCATCGACCGACTTGACGGTCGCCCAAAAAGTCCACACAGAGAGAGAGAGAGAGAAAAGATCAGCCGGTTGAGGGGGTACAAGACTCGGCAAGTTCATTCCGACGGACCAATACAAAGTGGATGAGTTTGGTGGGCGCGAGATTGACGATTTGTAACCTCTCGGCCTTGGTCAAATCCAACTGTTCCAACTTGTCCAAGAGTTGTTGCACCGAGCTCGTCGTTTGACGGAGGTGAGGATGGGTCGGGTCTTGAAGGAACTTGATCGTCTGGATGAACATGAGCCCTCCCTACCTGATCAGACGGGAGTTTTCCCAAAAAGATCTAAAACTTGCCCACGCACCTCAAAAGTGACGGTATGCAGGTCCTGCGGTTGAAGGCGATCCCTCTCCTCGTCCTCTTCCTCGTTAGGGTACGCTTTCCTCTTCAACGCCGCGACCCTTTTGGCTTTCTGTTTGGTCAATTTCTTGATTTGGTTCGCTCGGTCGTCGCGTTGTTGACGCAGGATGGTGAGGACTTCGTGGTTGCACAAGAGACCGGCTCGCGGATCGATGGTCTGCGAATGAGAGAGAGAGAGCGAGCGGGCGCGCGGTGCGGAGGAAGGAAAGGGGGTTAGGTCAAAGAGGTAGAGTGGGATGGGATGGGGTGATGGTGGTGGGGGGGGGGCTTGCCTGCATTTGGAGAAATGTTAGTGCGTTGAAGCAAGCGCAAATGATGCAGGATGTACTGAAGCGAGCGCAGGCAACCGCTTGAAACTTGAGCTCATCTAATCGGGATTGAAGCGCTTCTAGTCGCTTTCTTAAAGATCATTAGTATGCTGCTCTCGGCGTGCTTCGGCGTCGTCACTCGGCGCTGTGCCACTCGAGCCTTGAGCTTGTACCTTGTTCATCCCGCGTAGGCCGACCCGATCATGGTAAGCCGCAACAGAGCAGCAATTCCAGAATGAATCCAAACTGAGCCTGGACTGTTCTCGCGCAGTCCAACACACTTCGACCTTACCTGGCCTGTGTTCGGTCGACGTTGACCGCCGCGTTGACGCTCGAGGCGTTCCCTTCCCAAGTCTCGGAACGACACAACGTCGCCGAAATCGAAGCAAGGTGCGCACTCGAGCTGTAACATCGTACTCTATCGGGATCGGCTGACACCAAGCCCTGCCTACTCTCTCTTTCTCTCTCTCTCTCACCCGTCGCTCCTCCCCACCCACCTCCAGATCCACTCCCGAAGTCCTCCTCACCCCCCTCGTAATCTCCCGCAACGCGTCCGAACAAGTGCTCATCGAACCTTCCATCAACTCGGTCCGACTCTCGATCCGCATCAAACAAGCCGACGACATCGAACGCATCCTAGCCCACAAATTCACCCGCTTCCTCATGATGCGCGCCGAAGCGTTCGTCGTCCTCAGGAGGGTTCCCGTCAAAGGGTACGATATCAGTTTTTTGATTACGAACAAGAACGTCGATGAGATGATGAAGCACAAGTTGGTCGATTTCGTCATCGAGTGAGTGCGGTCCGATCCAGCCGAGTTGGGGGTGGGTTGTGCGGCGGTGGAAGAATAGATCGACTGACACTCTCTCTCTGTTCCGTCCATAGATTCATGGAAGGTGCGATCATCGCGATCAAACAACGAAGGCCGAATACTGTATACTGACACCTTGCCCCCCCCACCTCACCGACTATGCAGCCGTCGACAAGGAAATCTCGGAAGCGAAACTATCGCTCAACGCCCGGGCTCGTATCGTCGCAGAGTCCTTCTTGTCCACAGTCAGTCGACAAACTATCGTCTTAGGCAAGTTCATAATTGCTGAGTCTGTTCTTTCTTCCCAGTTCGCCTAAAACGAGCAATCACTCAGCGAGACGAATCGGAGCTAGTTAGACGCCGAGATGGGACGAGCGCACTCCCCTGTTGCCCTTGTCCTTGTGCAAAAATCTGTAATCATAAGCAACATGAAACCAAGGATCGTTGGCGCAACTTGGGGGCAAGGCCCAAGTGGAGTTACAAGTCAGGTGCACACAAAATCCGAGTTGAAACGATGGATGCTGGTCTGAAAAGTTCAACACTGTAGACTGTTTGGAACGTTTTCTTCAAAAACCGAGCTTTATGCCATCACAAAATATCTCACCCGTCCTCCTCAGCGTCGAAGCTTTCTCAGCCCTTCTCAGCCCAAGTCGACCGACCACCTCCTCGCGCGTTACTCTGCTCCCGCTTCTCCACCCCACCACTGCACCCCGTCCATTGCACCCCAAACCCCATGCCGCCGACCACACCCCCACTACACCCTTCCCAAATCCCCACCTTGATACTCATAACCCTCTTACCTACGACCGTCCTCTCCACATCCCCCATCCAAGACTCGATCCTCGAACTCTGTCTAAGTTGTCTCTACGAAGTCGATCCTCCCAAAGGAGTGAACGAATGGGTGCGGAGGATCGATGAAGATGACGATGATGGTATTGAAGGGGATCAGTGTAAGGTATTGAGAACGGAATTGAAAACGGTGATTTTGGAATCGGTGAGTTTTGAGCTTTTGGGGAGGATGGGTAGTGGTAGTTGGTTTGACGCGTCGCGGCGCGCGCGAATGGCAAAGGGGCGGAGCGATGAAAGAATGACTCACATGATCGTTGCTTTTGGGTTTGAAAGACTTTGGCTTTGGCGAGGAATGGATTGGATATGTTTCATTCTTGGTTACAAGGTAGAGAGAGAGCTTTTGCCTAATCGAATCGCTCTAGCAAGAAACGTTGCTGATTCGGCCCCCTCTTCGAGTCCCCTGGCTTCCTTTACAGAACTGAAACGGCTGTATCCGTCGACGGAGGAAGATGAGGTATGTAACACCCACACGCCAAATTAGCGTACGGGGCATCTGACAGTTCTGTTCCCCTCCACAGGCCTCTCTAACCAACACCGTGCTCCATCGTCTATCCCCTTTGGCACTCTTCATCCGTCGATTCCGACTCACGTTCTCACAATTGTCGTTCGACCAAGCCGTGAAATGGTGGGAAGGCGTAAACAGATGGTGTGGGATCTCCTTACCTACGACAATGAGAGGGAAGAACGGTGTAAGAGGCAGGGAGAGTACGACGAGGGAACTTGTCGCTCAGAGGTGAGCAAAACTTTGGCTTTGGTTTCGGGAGGCCGCGGTCGGTCGCTCGAGAGGAACTTGACCTGATTTTCTCGGTCGCACGTTGCAGTTATCGAGATGCAAGAGCTTGCGCGGATTATCAAGGGATGAAGGACGCACTTGCGTATTACGATTTGGATGATGGAACCGGTGGGCTCATGTGAGTTTCGGTCAAAGTGGCTGCGCGCTTGACGCTGAGGCACTGACGAGATCATCCTTGCACAACGATTGTGTTGCGAGATAATAGGAAAGGACGACCCCAAACCGCTTTACTCAACTTGGCGTTCCTCGAATACACGCATCAAGGGTATATCGCTGCGCGTGAGGTAAGAGATTTTCAGCCCATCGTGCCGGCTCACGAGGCTGAACTGACCTCTATGAGTTCCAAATCGACAGGCATTGAACGAAGCGATCCAAGTTGCTCGGAATGTCGGCGATTCACAATGTCTTGCTACAGCAGCCAGGTGAGTCAAACCGTCTACCCCGACGCCGTCTTCAGGAATAGAAACTCATGCGACTCCTCCTCACTTGATCAGTCTCAAAGCCCGCCTCGACTTCACCTCCCCCTCCACACGCCACCTCTCAACAACTCCAACAACCTCCCAACCGACCCCCACCGATCTCCTACACACCCTCATGGACCTCTGCCTAAACTCCACCACCCCTCTCCCCTCCCTGTTCACACTCCTCTACGCCTCCCGAACGGCATACCAAATTCCCCCACCACCACAACTTTCCCTCAGCGGTACGAAACCACCCCAAACGGGGGGACCACAACCAAGTCCAAAGACTTCACCGTTGAGTGAATTGTTGGGGACGTGCGAGGAGGTGCAAGCTGGGGAAGAGGGGGATTTGTGGGAGGCTCAGATCGGGGTCGTGGGAGCGGAATTGTGGAGACAGATTGGTGAGTTGGAAGGAAATTAATCTTCTATTTTTGTGAAGGAACGAATTGCTGATTCAAAGGATTGGTCTTGGTTCAGGTTCGACGAATTTGAGTCGAGTGGGGGAAGAATTGGCTTTTGAAGCATTGGAGCGACATGCTATTTCTTCAAGGATCGACCCGACGACGGAATGGGATCTCAGGATCGCTATACTGTGTCGCCAATCTCAAAGGGTAGGTCCCTGGGTTAACCCCTTCATCGTCATTCGATCTGTATGCTCGATTGACCTGCTTTAATTATGTAGTTGGCCCGATCCAATCGAACGGCCGAAGCGCTAACGGTCCTGCTCGCCGCGGTCGATACGCGCTCCAAACGATCTTCAATGGGTTTGGTCGAACTAGTCGAATGGGAGAACCTGATCTGGGAACTGATCCATCTCGAAGCCGAACGACTCGAAGATCATTCCACGCTCGAGCTAGTAACCCAGATCCAACCTCGTTCCTTCAAGTCCCCTCTCCGAACCAAGCCCGAAGAAGAAAACTACACCGAGTCGACTCCTACCACCACTAAAGAACTTCCCCTTCCCCTCCTCCACGAAGCTCTTATCACTTCCTCGAACCTCCTCGATAGTTCATCCCCTTATTTAGCGCTCAACCCAACGCTCAACGCACTTTATTCATCACGAAAACAAAGTCGTTACAAGATCAGTTTGGTCGCTTTGTTGAGGTTGGTCGAATTGAGGATTAGGATTTCACCGAGTAGGGAAGAGGCGGAGAGAGGGTTGAGGGATATGGAAGAGGAGTGGGAGGGTTTTCTGAGATGTGGGGTTCATGAGCTGGATGGGGATGGGGATGGGGATGGGGATGTTTTGGGATTGGGGTGGGAGACGAGGGGGAGGTTGGAGGTTTTGAAGGGTTTGAGAAAGGGGAGGGAACAGGGGAAAGGGGATGGTGGGAAGTTGGAGAGAGATCAAAGTGAGTTTATTGGCTCGAGGAGGAGCGGCACGTCATTATGGCTGACGGGAGATTCCTTTGTTTCGCATGGTTCAGTTGAGGAGGAGTCGCTATTCAGAGCGATCAGAGCTTTGGAACAGGCGTTGCAAAGTAAGTTCTCGTCCCGTTGACGAGTAATGCCGTTCCCGAGGTGATTGACCCCCTTCCCACCTTCTCACCAGTCTACGAAAACCTCGATCAACCCTCTTGCATCAAAAGGGTCCTCGTCCTGCTCGTCCACGTCTACGATAACCTTTCGCAACACGTCGATCCGAAATACAATCAGCAGAAAGAGGAATATGCCACGAGGGTGATCGAGATGGATCGTCAGCGGAGGGAGGGAAGGTTAGGGACGAGGTCTTTGGAGGGTTTGGTTGATGTGTTGGAGTTGGTTAGAGGGGCGGTGGTGGGGAAGGTGATCTCGAAAGGAGGATGATGCAATGTTGTATTTACGAGCGCCGTTGATTCTCGAAGGTTGACTAGCCCCGGGGCGAGTTGTGAAAGCAGTATGGTGGGGGGTGGGGGAGTGGTTATATACATTACATTTGTACACATTTCGAGGGGACCCTGAAGGAGAAATAGGGTGATGATACATCGCGGAAGTGGTCCGATTCGGCTCGTCCACGAGTGTTGCGAGGTTGCGAAAGGACTGCGGCCGGGACGTGTGGTTCGCCGTCACGCGTTCGGGCATGTTTACAGCCGTGATAGATGATAGTTGATGGTAGGAGCTCGTGCCTTTCCTCCGATTTTCTGTGATGTGACGAGCCACACCAAAGTAAAAGAGGTCAGAACTCTGAGCAGGGGTCGCACCCTCCCTCGCGGGCCGACACGCTTGCGCGGGTCGAAGGGATTTGGCAGGAACGTACAGGTTTCTGCATGCACTCGTGCAACTTGGCGGCCGATTCCTTGCACTTGTCCACGCTGGCCAAGTCGCCCGACGCGGCCCAACACGTCAACATCGCCGAGAGCTCGATCGCACAGGGTTGGATGTGCGCCGTTCGACGCGGTTTGACTTTGAGCTGTGGGCCGGAGGGGAGAAGGAGGGGTAAGTGGGATGGTTTTGAATTTTGGGTGCGGTTGATGGGACTTGCTTTGGGGACGTGTACCATGATTGTGCTCTGTTGCGCGTTGCGTGTACGGAGTCGATCACAGCCGTCGAGCTCGCCTTCTCACGCCTCTAGTTCGATATACGCGCACGCACGGACCCCTTGTTTTTTGGCGCGAGTCAGCGACCGGCGCACGGGCCCGTTGCCCGCTTCGGGGTGGGCGCTGCGTCGCGGAGGCGGCTGAGTTGGTGGGTGTGCTGCGCTCAGCGGTCTTGCGCTGTGCTGCGAAGCGAGAACCGAGTGGCGGCGCGGCGACTCCGATCGCGTTTCTCCCTTCCTACATATTCACAACACCCTTGCATTCACCACCCCAGGTCCGCCTCGTTCACCTACCAAACAAAGCGGACTAGACCACCCAGAACCGCTCGCTCTACGGACAGCGCTCATCACAAGTCATCCACACGTTCACCCCCTGGCTGGCCCACTCACTCGTTCGGCACACCTTCCTTCCCGCTTCGAGACACTAGCCGTCATCAGCACCACCATCAGCACCACCATCAGCACCACCACCACTCGTCCCCTCCTCCATCATGCCTCAGAACGAGTACATTGAAGAGTCCATTCGAGTCAGTCCTGGCTCCCGTTCCATTCATGTGGTCACAGTTCGTGTACTGACACCTCTGGCTGCTTCGTCACCTCCCCTCCCCCATCTCCCCATCTCCCCCCCTCCGCCGACCTTTCACCTCCCACAGCGCAATGGTCGTCGAATGGATCACGAAGAACGTACTCGTAAAAAGACGGCTCGTCAAGCGCACAAGCAATCCCAAATGGCGCAAACCTTACACGGCCACAAGGCCAAACTTCTCCACGCCCGTCGTTACGCCGAGAAGGTGCAGATGAAAAAGACGATCAAAGCCCACGAAGAGAGGGACGTTAAAACGAAGGACAAGGACGTCATGCCCGAAGGAGCGTTGCCGACTTATTTGTTGGATCGGGAAGGACAGAATGATGCGAAGGCGCTCAGTTCGGCGGTGAAGCAGAAGAGGAAGGAGAAGGCAGGTAAATTCGCGGTCCCGTTGCCCAAGGTCAGGGGTATTGCAGAGGATGAGATGTTCAAGGTCGTCAAGACGGGAAAGACCAAGAGGAAGGGGTGGAAGAGGATGGTCACCAAGGCCACCTTTGTGGGCGAAGTAAGGCAGAATCGAGCAACAGTTCAAGTCGTGCTCGAGCTGATCGGTTGGCCTTCTGTTGACAGGACTTTACCCGAAAACCGCCCAAGTTGGAACGCTTCATCCGACCTTCCGCGCTCCGAGTCAAGAAGGCCAACGTCACCCATCGTCAGTTCCGAAGCAGAAACACTCGGCAGACCTAGCCCACATTGCTTACGCCTCCATCTCACCTCTTCTCACAGCCGAACTGAAAGCCACGTTCCAACTGCCCATCATTGGCGTCAAGAAGAACCCCCAATCACCGATGGTCAGTGCTGCCGCAAAACACGCAGATGATTCAAAACGCCTCGGGAAGTTTCTGACCCTTTTCTTGCCGTTATTTTCCGTCCACAGTACACGCAATTGGGTGTCTTGACAAAAGGTACCGTCATCGAAGTCAACGTCTCGGAATTGGGTCTCGTCACGTGAGTTTCAGCAATGTTGGGCACAAACCAATTGAGTCGAATCTGACCACATTCCCCTTCGGTCGTTCCCAACAGTACTGGCGGTAAAGTCGTTTGGGGTAAATACGTAAGCCTATTCATACTTTTAAAGTCACCGTAGCTCTCGAAAGCAACATCACTGATACCTATTGACCCTCCTCAATAAAGGCACAAGTCACCAACAACCCCGAATTGGACGGTTGCGTCAACGCCGTGCTCCTCGTCTAAACCGCGAACGTGACATCGATCGGAGTTTTCGATCCCCCATGTTCCATTCCTGTACATCATCTCTAGCTCGTACTCGTTCAGGTTAGACAATCCCATTCGTCTGGTCGTTCCTAGCTTTTTTACTTCACTTCCCGGTCCCACGAGTTTGTTTTTGTTTTGGTGTCCTTCGCTCGCCTTTTGGGGGTAAAGGGTGTATTGTAATCATCGCATTTTTTTCTCTTCATCAAAATACTAAACAAAAAATCGGGAAGGGAAAGGTCCGGGGAAAGCGGGCTAAAACAAGGTGGTGGTGGTGGTGGTGGGGATGGGTTCGTGCAAGAAGGCCGAGTTGAGGGGTTCATGAGATGATGAATGCGTCCCGGATGACGACGCATGGAGCCCGAGAGGGGCGGGGCGGGGTCAGGAGATGGTATTCCATGGCGTAGGTATGGAGACGAGTCGGGAAGGTAGCGAGGGTGGTGGATGTCGGCAGTGTTTTCGGTGGTAGGTGGACAGTAGTCGCTTTAGAAGCAGAACACCTGGTCCTCCTTCTTCGAGATCGTTCGGGGTTCGTCAAAGTTGAGTTCCTTGAGCGACTTCTTCATCGCGTTGATCATAGGGGGAGGACCTGGGGAAAAAAAATCCCATGCCAATACGCTTATCAGCCCTGAACCTTTAGACCACCTCTCCAGGCTGCAAAATTCACGCACCACACAACAAGATCTTGTTCCTCTTATACGCCTTGGGCAAATGTTCCTCAATCATCTCCCTGGTGACGAAGCCTGCGCCTCCATTCCATTCCTTGGGAGGCTCGTTGAGAACGTAGTACAACTTGAATTGATCGGCGTGCTTCTCGGCCAAGGCGTCGAGCGATTTCTTGAGCAGGATGTCTTGCGGTTTGACGTTGGCGTAGATGAGCGACAACTTGGTCTTGTCCGAAGGGTTCTTGAGCACGGCGCGGATGATTTGCTAGATGAAGTGATGTTTGTGAGCACACAAGGTGACAGCAAGACTTGTTTGGTATGATGACTTACGAGCATGGGGGTGATGCCCGTTCCACCGGCGATCATACCAATCTGGTCCGACATGTTGGGCGTGTAGACCATTTGACCCTTGGGGCCCTTGAAATCAACATAGTCGCCAACCTTGAGCTCGCCAAAGTATTTGGAGATGTTTCCGGTCGGGTAACTCTGTCCGCGCGACGGAAAGCGAGTGAGAGGGACCCAGATGTTAGCGCTGGGTTCACCACTAACATCGCACGGCGACGTGATGACTTGGGGGTTGATGGAACGCACCTTGATCAAGAGCTCAAAATAGCCCTTGTCGTCGTCGGATGAAGTAGGCGTGTAGGACCTCTGGACGAGCTTGTCGTTGATCGTCGCGGAAACGGAAACGTGTTGGCCGATGGGTAGACCCAAAATGCCTCGGTTGGGGATCGCGAACCGATAGCTGTGCAAAAGATCGAGTTTCGTTTAGTACGACGGGCTGGAACATGTCGGCGCTGCGCAGGACCGTCATCGAGGACAAGCTCGCCGCGGCCCGACGAGGAAAGCGCAGGGGCAGCTCGAGCCGCGGAGGAACTGACGTTGCCGTGTTGGGCGAGACGACGATCTTGTCAATCAGCTTGTACTTTTGCCAGTCGTCCTTCTTGAGTGATGGCTTTCCACCTGAGAAGAAATGGGATGAAGTCAAGCCATCATGTCAGTTATGCGCCGCCCTCCCTCTACATGGCCTCGATCGCTGGCCTTCAAAGCCGTTCCATCGCCGTGGCGCCCCGACGGCAATCAATTTCCCCCCCCCGGAGCCACAACGAGCGACCGAGCGATGGAGCGCTGGCGACTGACTCGGTCGAGTAGAGATGAGGTACAACACCGCGACCGCTACCAGGGCCACGGCGGTCCCGATCATCTTTTGCACATCATCGAGCGCGTTGAACTGGTCGAGGTACTTTTGATACGGGGCGGGTGACATGCTGGCGGTTGCTTCTATGGTCGGTGCAGTGGGGGGTCGATGGCAGGGAGACGACGGTCGAGAGTCAGGCGCGCGTTACAAGTCAAGGCCGATCCTTCGTCGCGCGGCGGACTTTCACGTGCGACGACGGCCGCCCGGAGCCCGTCTTCCCATGGCATGTACCAAGGCATCGAAAAATCTTACTGTTTTCTGCAGAGTTCCGTCATCTTTCATACTCACTATCGAGGTCGAAGGTGCGTGGATCCTCCGAAAGGTGCAAAGTGTGTCGAGCTTGGACGCCGCTCGGACCTGCTCAAGATCGGGAAGTCCGGCGGGGTTCCTTGCAGCCGAGGAAAATAGAGAATGTAGAAGTATCAAGAGTTACAGTAACTACAGAATTTTGTTGATGTAGGGAGTGGTATTGCTTAAAGCGGCACGCCTTTTCACTCGAACAATCCGATTTCGGGCAGGACAAACTTCCCACGGTGGCGACTTGGCTGCGCGTAGATGACTCGATTTTCGTCGAAGGCTCCTAATCATCGCTCACACAGTAATCCATTGGGTCCCAGCTATATATCCTACGAAACGGGCTGGTTCACCCTGGGGTTGACTGTGGTCTCTCTGAGTAACATTTTTTTTATTTCCGAGTGGGTATAAGTGGGGGATCGACCGCGTGCCAGCACAATTCTCATGTTCCGAAGCGACTGGGTCGAAGCACCGTACACTTCATGAAGTGAGTGACTGTATTCAAGCCTGCCAGAACTTTCACGACTGGAATGCTGCTAGATTGGAAAGGTCATGAGTGAGCCGACCTTTTTCTGGGAGCCGCTACTTATAGTCTCGGACGGAGCCACCGCCGGAGTACCGCCCGGCGCCAGGGTGCCGTAGTAGGTGCAAGCTCGACGCGCCCCGACGCGGCATTCAGGCTCCTGCCTCATCCGTCCTCATGGCGCTGTGGGCATGAGCAACTCTAGATACGCTCCAGCTCCGAGCGTTGATACCCAGCGCGCGCGACCAACGACGACCTTTCGATCTGCTGCCGCTGTATTAGCTGCCGAGGCTGCGAACCGGCGAGCGAGCGGGTCTTCGAGCAACGGTGCGAGGACGCTTCGTGATCTTCCTCCAACATCAACATTTGCAGCTCAAAATGGACATCAAAAGCAACAAACGATCACGATACTGTCGGATGACGATGATGACGACGAAAAGGATACACTAGACGAGGAGATGGAGGAGATTTGCGCCCCACCTCGCGCCGTGCTGGACCCGTCGAGCATCGGGGTAGTACAGGGGCATCCAATTGGGAACGACCAGGATGACGGCGACGAAGAAGAAGCCATCAAGAAGGTAGGGTATACATTTCTGCCCTCCTCGCATGATCCAATTCTGCGCTGGGCCCAGTGGCTCACCATCGAATACGTCACTTTGGCGCAGCTCGAAGACGAACTTGAATCGATCGATTCGCAGTTGAGCAAGCTCCAGGAGCTACGCAGGGTTATCCAACGCGATTACGACACTCTAAGACGCAAACTCGACGCCAAGAACACCCAAATCTCGTCGTACTCGAATGGCGAGACCTTGCAAAATCGCCAACTCGGTCGTGAAGCCGGCGTGACCGACTACACGCGTTCCGATTTCGAATGGTCCAAGCGGATTCGCGCCACCGCGAGACAAGTCTTTGGCATCGATAGCTTTCGACATTCGCAAGAAGCTGTCATCAATGCTGGATTTGTGGGGCGCGATATTGTCTGCATCATGCCGACCGGTGGTGGCAAGTCGTTGACGTACCAGTTGCCGGCGATTATGGCAAGTCGAGGAACGACGGTCGTCATCACCCCTCTCATCAGTCTCATGGACGACCAATGCTTCAACTTGCGCCAGCTCGGTGTCAATGCCGAGATGCTCAACGCTTCTACGACGAGCGAGGACCAGCGATGGATCATGAAGCGACTCGTTGGCAACAGTCAGGCTGCCTCGACTAACAAGAAGGGCAAAGCCAAAGCGGAACTCCAAGATTCTGAGCTCGGGATAAAGGACCTCATTAAGCTCGTGTACGTCACGCCCGAACGCATCGACAAGTCCAAGACGTTCGTCAATACCTTGTCCAAGATGTACGATGCTGGGTTAATCGTCCGCTTCGTTATCGACGAAGCGCATTGTGTCTCGACGATGGGGATGGACTACCGACCGTCGTACTTGGCGCTCAAGCGGCTCAAGGCCCTGTTCCCCACGACCCCGATCACAGCGACGACGGCGACTGCTCCCGCACATGTCGTCGCGGATATGATCAAGACCCTCACACTTCCTTCCCGAACGAGCCCCGGTAACGCCGCTCAACCGAACACGACCGTGATGTTCACCTCGCCGTTGTTCCGACCGAATCTACGCTTCAGTGTGGTGCCCAAGCCTCCATCGGCCGCGGCCCAGACCCAAGCGATCGTCGACGAGATCCTGACGTCACATTCCAACGATATCGGTATCGTCTACTGCCTCTCGCGCAACGACACCGAGAACGTGACCAAGGCGCTCCACGATCTGAGCAAAGGTCAGATCCGCGCCGCGATCTACCATGCCGGCTTGGACGATGGCGAAAAGTTAAGGGTCTATGATCGATGGCGCAAGGGCCAGATCAAAGTAGTCGTCGCGACGAGTGCGTCCTTCGGTCTCGGAATCGATAACCCTTCTGTTCGTTTCGTCATTCATCATTCACCACCCAAGTCGATGAGCTCGTTGTCGCAAGAAGCGGGGAGGGCAGGCAGGGATGGGAATCTCGCCGATTGCATTTTGTTTTGGCGAGCTGCGGACGCTTCGAGGTTGTCGACCTTGATCGTCGACGAATTTCGAAGTGGAGGCAAGGAGCGATTGTACGAGATGATTCAGTACGCAGAAGACCTCAAGACGTGTCGCAAGCTCGCGTTCGCCAAGAGCTTTGATGGTGGTGCTCAGGCTTCGAACAAGACGGCCGCTCGATTTGATGAAGGTCCAGATGCCGATCGTCCGTGTGGCAATTGTGACAACGTGAGTCAGGCCGAATCTTGCAGTTAGTGTACGAAGTGACTAATGACTCTGTCGTAACATCGCAGTGTCTCCGCGATCCATCTACCGTCGCATCCGTCGGCGTCTCGTTGGAAGCCTATCGGGCACTGCGAATCATGTCCGCCGCCGATGCCGCAAGTGGGACCCTGACCCTCACCCAGGCCTGCGATCTTGTCCGAGGTCTTGGGAAAGGTGCGATCACGACGACGTCGAACGATACAAGGGGTAAAGTCAACAAGGGCAAAACCAATATCGATGTCGATAGTGTTGCGGGGGGAAAGGTTGGGCTCAACAAGGATCAGACGGAACAATTGTTGGTTAGGTTGATGATCGAGGGGTATCTGTCGGAGCATTTTCATACGAGTGAGTGGTATTGCATAGCTGGCCGTAGGGGAAGACGAGCTGAATTGTAGTTTTCGTGTACCGTCACCACTGCAGCTGGTTACGCCACGACTTCGTACCTGCGTCCTCGACCTTTGGCGACGAGATTCACACGGTTCACGCCCGAGCAGATCTCGCAGTCCCAAGGTGAAGATTTGCCTATCAGCATCGTTCTTGAGGTGCGCAAAGATGGCAAGAAGGGGACTTCAACCAGTAAGGGCGGGAAGAGGAAATTGAGCCCATCATCGACGGCGGCTGCGAAGAAGAAGCTCAAGAAATCGGGGATCGAGACGATTGAGCTAGACGACGATGATGAGGACGAAGAGGGCGAAGGAGGAGACGACGACGACGACGACGATCCCGAGCTTGAACCGGCCGTCGGTTATTCGCAAGAGGAGCCGGATGATGACGAGTTGGAAGCCGCGACCGATGCCGATGGGTGGCAAGTTTGGTCCTCTGCATCATAGACTGAATAGCTTCAAACTCAGTAGCTTGTTGTATCCATTGTATTTGCTTTCGGGGATAGTTGCATTGCGTAGCATTGTTCAGAGAAAATTGATATAGAACCCCGAGCCTGTTACGGATCACACGCATCTATTGACGAGCGGCAAAGAGCTTCTTGGCCTCCTCGATCGCCTCCTGAACCTTTGCCGGTTCCGAACCGACACCTTGCGCCGAATCATCCTTTCCTCCACCTTTCCCACCGACGATAGCAGCGACGCCCGTAAGCCACGTCTTGGCGGTGAAAGACTTGCTCTGCATCGCCTTGGGAACATAGTTGAGGTGCAAGACCTTGCCGTCTTCAGCAGAGAAGAGGTACGCAGCCTTATCGAGCGCTTTGGCCTGCAACGATCCCGCTTGCAAGATCTTGGGATTGGCTAGAGCCTGTTCGAACGAGGCGATAAAGACCTCGGCTTCGGGGTTGGTTTTAAAGTATTCCGCGACGGTTTCGGCGACCTTCTTGCTTTCCTCCTTTTCGAACGCCTTGCCTTCATTGATCAAGGCCATCCTAGCCGCCTTCACTCTTTCCTTCAATTGATCTCTTCGAACGACACCAATCTCGGCAGTCGCGAGTTCAGTTTCGAAGGTCTTGAGGGCCGAGTCTCGGGCTTTGCCGGACAACTTCTCGATCGAGGCGTACTTGGCTTCCGTTTCGTTCGCGAGACGGGAAGCCTGGTGGGCCTCCTCGCCCGTCACAGCAATGACTCGTCGAATACCCTTGGCGATACCGGCTTCCTCCATCAGGACGAACTCCTTGATGTCCCCCGTCTTGGCAACATGCGTTCCACCGCAGAATTCGACACTCGTTCCCCTCCACTTGGGGTTCGTCAAATCCTTCTGAATCTCGTCAATACTGAATTCGAGCGTGACGACTCGAACGGGGTCGGGATAGGCTTCTCCAAAGACGGCGCGTAAACCGGGGATCTGTTGAGCAGTCTTGAGGTCCATTTCCTTGCTGAATACTTTGACGTTCTTCTTGATCCAGGCGTTGGACAACTCCTCGATCTTGGCCAAGTCATTCGTCGGGATCGGGGCCTTGTGGGAGAAATCGAAGCGCAGTTTGGTAGGAGCGACGAGCGAACCTTTTTGGTCAATGTGATCGCCGAGGACTTCGCGGAGGGCAAAGTTGAGGATATGGGTTCCGGTATGGTTGTTGCGAAGGGGCCATCGTCGAAGCTCATCGTACGAAGCGACGACGCCATCACCGACCTTGAGCGTACCCTCCTTGATCGAGCCAATGTGCAAGACGTAACCGTTGAAGACCTGAACATCGCCGACGGCGAAATCGGCCGATCCGTCGATAACGATACGACCCGTATCGTGTTCCTGTCCACCCGACTCGGCGTACAGGTTCGTCTTGTCCAACACGATTCCGAATGTCGCGCCAGCGGGGACTTCGGCACTCGAGTCGAAGAATTTGCTCTCGTGGTAGATGGCCTTGACGGTCGCATCGACGTTACCCAATCCGAACTTGAACGAGTCGTCGGACTTGGGTACAGTGGCGTTGGCCTCGAGCGCTGCGATATCGTGCACGTCGAGACGAACGCTTTGCCCATCCCCCTTCTTTCCCGCGCCTTTACTAGCTTCCTTACTCGCCTCCTGAGCCTTCTCAAAGTCATCCTGGTTGATCGTCAAGCCCAGTTCCTCGGCCATCAAGAGCGTCAAATCGACGGGGAAGCCATAGGTGTCGTACAAGCGCCAAACGTCCCTACCGGCGAGTTCTTTGGCTCCCGAAGCTTGGGCCGCGGCGACGTAGGTGTCGAAGAGCTTTTCTCCCCGGTCGAGCGTGCGCGAGAAGGATTCTTCCTCTTCGTCGAGGATCTCCTTCAAGTCGTCGTACTTGCCCTGAATCTCGGGGAAGAAGTCGCCCTGTTGAAAAAAAGAAACGTCCTGAGTGTCAGTTTCACTCGATGGGAGGATCGTCCATGCACAGGGAGTACTAACCATCTGCTCCGTCAAAGTCGGCACAAGGTCCGAAAAGAAATGACCAATCGAGACCCCAAACTTTTTCCTAACGTATCGAGCTCCACGTCGCAACACTCGTCGAAGGACGTAACCTCGTCCAACGTTGCTCGGCACACCCCCATCGCAAATGGCAAAAGTCAAAGTCCTGACGTGATCGGCGACGACGCGGTAAGCGGTATCGATGCCGTCCTTGTCCTCGGCGCCCAACTTGCCCGTGTAATCACGCGCTCCGGTCAGTTCCTGAATTCGTTTGAAGAGAGGTGCGAAAACATCGGTATCGTAATTGGATCGCTTATCCTGCAAGACCGAGACGAGGCGCTCGAAGCCCATTCCGGTGTCGACGTGTTGAGCGGGCAAGGTGCGCAACGAGGCGTCGGCTTCGCGGTTGTATTGGATGAAGACGAGGTTCCACACCTCGAGGACGTCGGGGTCGTCCTGGTTGACGAGCGACGAGGCGTTGCGGCCACCGATGCGGTCGTAGTGGATTTCGGTGCAAGGTCCGCACGGGCCGGTGGCTCCCATTTCTACGAATAGTAGAGAACGGCCGAATCAGTGCAGCTCATGAAACAAAGCTCTTGTTCATACGACTGACCCCAAAAGTTGTCTTTGGCATTTCCGGGGACGATGTGATCTTCCTCGACGCCGAGGGCGAGCCAAAAGTTCTTGGTCTCGAGATCAGGGGGTAATCCAAAGCCACCCTCAAAGTAAGTGACGTAGAGGCGGTCCTTGGGGAGGCCGTACACCTCGGTCAAGAGCTTCCACGCGAATTCGGTGGCTTCGTTCTGTGCGGTGGGAGCCGTGCGAGCGAGTGAGCCAAGAAAGGGTCAAGGTCTCCGGGGGGTTTTCATCGATGATTGCGTACCTTGAAGTAGTCGCCAAAGGACCAGTTGCCGAGCATCTCGAAAAAGGTGTGGTGATACGTATCCTTTCCGACGTCGTCAAGATCTAGGGGGTGCAAGGTGAGGGAGGTTTCAGGGCTTGCTGCCGGACTTTGGGGCCAAAGTGAGCGATGAACGGACCGTTGTGCTTGCCGCCTGCTCGGATGCACTTTTGCGAGTTGACGGCCCTCTTGAGCTTGGCAAAGGACGACGAAGGGTCGACGGTGCCCAAAAAGATGGACTTGTACTGGTTCATACTGTGGGTAGGTGGATGTGGTCAGTCAGTCAGTCAGTCAGTCACCTGCGGCGCTCGGTATGTACGCCCACGCGCCGGCTCCGACTTACCCAGCATTGGCAAAGAGCAAGGTCGGATCCTCGTAGGGGATCGTCGATGACGAAGGCACAAAGGTGTGCTGGGCCTGCTTGAAGAAGTCGAGGTAGGTCTGTCGCACCTTGACCGCGGGCCACTCGCCCCACTGCGAGCTTGTCGTGGAGCTCATTCTGATCGACGACTGCAAGCCGAGATGAGGTGTACACGAAGGCGAGCCCAAGAGGCGAGATGATGATCCAAGAAGGCAGCGCGTGCGGCGTATCGCGGTGGAGGCGAGCTGGAACGAGGACGTCGTGGTGGAGATGGAGCGGGAGCAGCAGCGGTACCTCTTCCCTTGGGCTTGGGGTGGGAGAGCAGCGTAGATTCCAGTCCGAGCGCAGACCGAGTCAAAAGAAAACCGCCCAAGACCGCCCAGCGCTCCCCCAGCGCATCGATCGCTAATGCGCTAATATGACCCGACCCGCGTCTTAGCGCACGCCGCATTTGCGCATTAGATCGCCCGGCGTCCGTGCACTTTTTGTCCTGATCGACCTGGCCTGATCGCCGACGACCTCGACCACTCGACCACTCGAGCGCGCGAGCTGGTTTCCGACACGTCATCTCGTGTTCCCGGCCCGTTGCGCACCTCTTGTCGTTCCCGGCCTTCGACATAGACGAGCTAGGTCGACTCAAGAACGGCCTACGACCACGATGGTCAGTCTACTAGCCTCGTTGCGGGCTGCGCGGTGGTGGCGACCGCGGTTGCTGCTGTGCACTTTCGCCACTTCGACCGCGATCCTGGTCGTCAACGCGCTCTCGGCCCTCGATCGACCCCGCTCCGGCTTCTTGGAGAACGTGTTGGAATCAAAAGACGTCGACCAAAAGTATTGCAAGGTAGGCTGCGTGTTATGCTCTTAGATCCCCCCGCTCGCCCACCTCTCAAGCGCTGACACGCACACACACGCGCCGCGTCGCGCCTCGCTTCCTCTCGCAGCCTTCTGGCTTGATCGACGATGCATGCTGTGATTTCGAAACGGTCGAATCCGTCAACGACGACCTGTACAGCAGTCTGCACGATATCGTATCCACACCTTATTTCCGCTACCACAAGGTACGTTCCCAGCTCCTGCTCTGATTAGTCAGCTCGTCCCTCGTTCGAGACGATCGCTGACCCCCCCCCCCCCCATATGAACTCTCTCCCCTATTCCCATCGTCGATCATCGTCCGTCCTGGCAACGACGATAGGTCGATCTTTATCGGGAATGCCCGTTTTGGCAAGAGGATGGCAGTTGTATGAACAGAGCCTGCGGTGTAGAGACAACAGACGAGGTACGTGGCATCCCATCCCACCCGTGGAACGACCAAGCCACGTGACCGTCGCATCCCCGTTGTCGTGGCCGACCCCTCGGCTCGGAACTTTTTCAAACAAGCTGAGCATTCTCTGCAGCCCAACATTCCAGAAAAGTGGAAACCATCCAAACTCGGCGCGTTGAGATTGAACGCATCATCTCCTGTACGTCGCATTCCTTCATCGTCCGATATGTCCCCCATCGTACCCCTGACCGTCTCTGACCCACGTTCGCTCGGCTTCCGCTCAACCCACAGGCCTCGGTCGAAGGAGGTTCCCTCGTCAAGGAATCCGATTTCTGCGTTCTCGAGGATGAATTCGATGCAGGTATGTTCCCTGAATCCCTCCCTTCTAAAATAAAACATGAGACCGACGAGCTCAACATTTTTTATATTTTTTTCGGACCCTACAGAAGGCGTCTACGTCGATCTACTCGACAACCCCGAACGTTTCACAGGTTACGCCGGCCCTTCTTCTTCCCGTGTTTGGAAAGCGATCTACGAGGAGAATTGCTTCACGCCCGTTACTTTTATAGACCCTTCCCGACCCGAATCAGAAGGCGGGTCGGGCTTTGCCTCTCTTTCCTCCACCTCTTTACAAGGAGGCGCAATGATGGGCTTACCTAGTCTGTCGATGGGTTCGACTGACGGTGGTGGATGGGGGGAGAATGAGAAAAAGTTCTTCGGGTCGTTGGCGGGTCCCAGGGATGGTGGTGATGAGACATGTTTGGAAAAGAGGGTATTTTATAGGGTCATTTCAGGTAAGTTGACCCACGGATAAAGTGCCTTCCCTAGACTGTCGATCCTTACGTCGTACTCGTCTGCTTGGGCTCCTTACAGGTCTTCATGCCTCGATCTCAATTCATATCTGCGATGATTATCTCGATAAATCAACCGGCCAATGGGTACGTCGGAGCAAGCACTGACCCCCCCCCCCCCCCTCTCCCTTCCCCTTCCCCGTACTCACTCCTTCCCATTCCCCTGCCCAGGCCCCCAATCTACAATGTTTCGTCACCCGCATCGCTCAACATCCCGAACGACTTCAAAACGTTTACTTCACCTACGTCCTCTTACTGCGCGCCCTTTCCAAATCGGGACCTTTCCTCTTGGACACTCTGAAGAATACGGAGGCCGAACCGGCTACGATCGGCAGGATGAAGGGTTTGATCAAGAGTGCGACGGGGTGTCCGACCACGTTCGATGAAGGTTCGATGTTCACGGGCGTAGAGGCGGAGGTCAGTTTATTACGGGCCGTGATTTTCGATTCGATGGTAGAAAGGGAATCTGGACTGATTTTTTGAATTTTTCTTTTCTTCTCGCTGGGGATTGATCACGTCGAACCTATAAAGGTACTCAAAAGTGAATTCAAATCTCACTTCCGTAACGTTTCCCGAATCATGGATTGCGTAGGCTGCGACAAGTGTCGTCTCTGGGGTAAACTTCAAATCACCGGTTTGGGAACGGCGTTGAAACTCCTCTTTTCAGCCCAAGAACAAACACCAACAACAACGACGACGAACCAAGTCGATCTCTCGAGGAGTGAGGTCGTAGCGTTTGTGAATACTTTGCATCGGTTGAGTGAGAGTTTGGCGGCGGTGGAGAAGTTTAGAGGGTTGTGGAATGAGAGGAGTTTCGAGGAGCGGGAAAGGGTTGAGAAGAGGGCGGAGGAGGGGAAACAGGAGGAGGAAAAGGGGGTGAAAGCGATGGGGAGAGGGGTAAGGAGAGGGAAGGGACAGGTTAAGGAAGGGAAGGAAGATGTACGGATAGAAAAAGAGTTGGAGGAGAGGGAGGAGGTCGAACCGGTTTCGGAGAAGGAGGAAACGACGAGGTCGGCGGGTAAGAGCGAGTTGTAGCTAGATGGGAATGACAAATCGTCGCATACCTGGACCATAAGACAGAAGGCAATACGCAAATCCGTGAGGACTTTGAGAGGCAGTCGAACTTTTCTGCAGTGATGTGAATGTTGGAGTGTATATAGCAAGTCTAGAGTGCAAGGAGAACCCGACCCAACGCCGAAGACATGCGATCACACGAAAGCGCTTTTCCCCTCCTTCATACCATCCAAGGTCCCATAACCCTAACCGACGTCGCGCCCTGACTCAACAACTTGTGATGCACCAAATTCAACGCCTTGACCGCATCCCTGCCATCGATCACACTCGAAATGTTGATCTCACTCGCGCCCTGCGAGATCATCTCGATATTGATATTCCCCTCCGCCAAAGTGGTGAACATTTTCCCTGCGATACCGACCATGTTCTTCATATGTTTGCCTACGAGGGAGAGGATGCACATATCCCGATTGACGATAACCTCCCCCACGACTTTCAACTCCTTCGTCATGCGATCCAGAACCGGTCCTCGGATCGATCCGTTGATCGCCATGGAGACGTGCACTTCGGACGTGGAGATCAAATCGACAATCACACCGTACTTGTCCAAGGTCCCAAAGATCCTCGCGAAGAAACCGTGCGAGATCGTTTTTCGATTCGATCGGATCGATAAAACCAGAATATCATCCTTGATCGTGATCGCCGTAGGACCCCTACGAGGAGGGATCACGAGAGGTGAGGTAGGCGTCGTGGTGGTGAAAGCGGTCGAAGGATCTTCCGAATCGGATCCTTCATCCGAATTCGTCGAGTTTAAATCGGGGAAGATGATCGTCCCTGACCCCGAAGGGTTTTCGACGTTCTTGATTCGGATAGGAATCGATGCTCGGATGACTTGTTCCATGGTGAAGGGGTGGATGACTTCGGATCCATAGTAGGTCAATTCGGCGGCTTCTTCTGGCGTGATCGTCGAGAGTAGTCGCGCCGTGGGTACTTTCCTAGGATCTGCGGTAAAGATGCCGTCGACTTCTTTCCATACTTGAAGTTCGGACGCGCCGACACCGACGGCGCAAAGCGCGGCACAGAGATCGGAATACCCTCGACCGACTTGGGCCAACAGGGAACCGGGGACGACACCGAAGAAACCGGTGACGACGGGGACTCGATCACCGCATTCGTTCAGTCGTTCGCCCAAGCGTTTCGAAAGCCGGTCGTAGAACGGCTGACTGAGTTGTTTCGACTCCCCCTTGGCTTCTTCATCGTCCTGTACCGAACCTTCAACGATATTCTCCAACGAAACCAGTTCGGCCTCTACACCTCGATCATTGAGCACGGCCACCACGATGCGACACGACAACCTCTCCCCGACGCCCATGATGATATCCTTGCTCCTTGAAGAAATCTCATCGATGATCTGAGCGGCAAGGAGGAAACTCCTCAACCTCTCGCAATCATAATCGAGATCATCCTCGAGCTCGGCCAAAATTTGCGGATCCTTGATGAAACTCCGTGCGGCCTTGAGGTGGTCTTGTTTGATTTGGTCGACCGTACCGTGGAACAATTGGGGTCCTTCGTCGATATCGCGAACGCGAAGAGACGAGATCGAAGCGGCCAAGGAATTGGACCGTGTCGAATGGGGTGTCGAGACTCCCGACCGGGTACGGGTGTTGTTGTTCGAAGCAGGTGAGGGACTGACGGCGTTCGAAGAACTCCTTTGAAAGATCTGGGACGTCAAAGGGTTGATACGATCCGAGGAAGCGACGCCCGGTGTGCTCGGTGCCGGTGTAGGAGGGAGAGAAGGGATCGAGGAAGACATGTCCGGTGTTCGTGGTCGAAGCGCTTCCAACGCTGCTCGGAGGAGGAGGTTCGTCGTTCCCGTCGATTTGGATTCGCCTGATCGTGCAGAACAGACGACGGCGACTCGATTCCCGGATTCGATGTAGGACCTGTCGAACGTCGAACAGGTCAGAGGCGAGCTCAGCACGATCAGCTCGCGGAGGAGAGATCCGGGTCTGGTACAGTCCCAGCAACTTACGGGATGATCTGCATCGTGATGTTATCGATGAACTTGCCCAAACTGGTACCGCCATACTTTTGGATGACCCAGGGTTTATCGACGAGGTTACGCAGCTTGGGCTTGGGTGACGACGACGACGAGGATGGAGGAGGGGGTAAAGTCGAGATAGACGCCATTGTAGAAAAGGGGGACAGTCAATCCGCGTCACAGGGGTCCAAGATGGGTTTGGGGAAGGTAAAAGGTAAAAGGTAGTATTGATGTGTCGGATCCTAGTACAGGTGATTTGGTTCAGGGGTGCTGCGAACGAGGACGTCTCTCGGTTGGCTCCGTCCGTCGAAGAACAAAGTGAGTCAAAAAAACTCCCAACACTCCAAGCTCGTCATCGATCGCCGCTTCCAATAGGTTCTCTCAAGACGCTCTAGCAATTAGAATCGGGAGAGTTTACCCCGAGATGGTGTGGTCTCTGATAGACCCGAAAGAAAAATTCCCAACACCTATCTGATGGGCTGTACGCACCCTGATGATTTTCCCGAGAAGCCCCCGAATCTCGCTTCCGACCGATAGGGCCGTGGGCCGCGGTCGCGCGGTCGTCTGGTCGAGATCGCGAAGTGCTCAAAATATTCGTGCCGAGGCGTCCGCCTTATTTGCCGGTGCGCAGCAACACACTTTTCATTCCCTCTCTACCTCAAAAAAACCAAAGTCTACATAGAAGACCTGCCCATTTCGGATCAAGTCCGAGCGCGTGGTATCCCTCGTCGTCCGAAAAGGAGGTTCGATCTCGAAACACAGATCGTGGTTCCTACGCCTTGCGATGTTCAATCTTTTCGACCCTGACCTCACCCTCCACAAGCTGATACACGTATCTATTTCCCCAAGAGCCCCGACCAAACAAAAAAAAACCAAAAAAAATTAGTACCCCCATCCTTGAACACTCTCCTCGGAGCCGCGTGAAACTAACGTGACGACGACATTGCCTTGAATATCCAACAAGGCGAACGAAGGTGTCGGCGAAGGCGGTTCGATGAATTGATCTTGCTCCGTCTCTGCTTCTTCTTCTCCTGCACCGTTCGTTCTCCCCTCTGCTTTGGGATCTGTCGTTCCTGCAGCAGTTGCTTCGGACCCGGGTCTACCTTCTTCCGCAGTCTTGGTTCCTGTGCTCAGAGTGGAGGTCGTCGCGGGGGTAGTGGACTCGACGCCGGTTGTCGAAGAGGTAGAAGGGTGGTTGATCGTCGTCGGTGTAGTCGTAGCCGGTGGTGTCCAATGAGGGGAGAAAGCGCCGGTCGCCGATCCAGGGTTGATGAAGAACCGGCCATCATATTCGAACGCTTCGAATCTGCAGGTCACGTTCGGAAGTAAAAGAGAGTCAGCCCGATCGACGAGGCTACGGGAATATACTTTTGTGTGCCTGCCAGATGAGAGGGTTAAGTTTACCGATGGGTCGCGCCCGAGATGAGAACATCGACATCGAGTTTCCTCGCGATCGCACTGAGCGCTTCGGTATCGCCGAGGGGGACGACTTGATGGCCGTGCAGGACGCCTATCCGTAAGGGCCCGTGTTGGAGGACCATGGAAGGGGGGAGGGCAGGGTTCTGAACGGGTTCACCGAGGGAGAGGGCAATCAGTCCATGGGTCGGAGGGTGTGGGGATAAGCGTAAGGGAGACGCGCACCTCGTCGTATTCGCCGCGGACGCCTCGCAAGTCAGGTGCGACGCTACGGAGGTATTCCCATGTTTCTTTATCGCACACATTGCCTGTACAAAGGATCTGTTGGATCTTGCCTGGGACCTGTGGGGTGCGGTGGCAAGTGGGTGGGGTAGTGAAGGCGCGGAGGGTTGATCAACCACGTGTGGGGTGAGGGCAGAGAGGGGGACGATGCATCAGTGCGAGGCGGAGCACAGGCGTGAAGGCGTCTTACGAGTAGTTTCTTGAACTTTGCGGGTAGGTCGTGGGTACGGATGGGGATGTGGATGTCACCGAGTACGAGCACGAGCACCATGATGGATGACCGAGTGAGATCGGTCGGTCGGTCGAGCGAGTGTGGGACGACTACGTGTCGACTTGGGATCGGTGCAGAGTGGAATGGGCTGTCGAGGGAAGAATACGGAGATGAGGTGGTGTGGGGTGCTTCCGGTCGTAAAGGCGAGCTGGGTGCCTGAGGCCAAGATGGGAGGCCAAAGATGGGGAAGAGTCGACGAGTGGAGACTGAGCTGAGGGGAGACTGAGCTGAGTGGAGCGTCACCGCGAGTCTCCGCAGGTCTCCGCAGGTCTCCGCGAGTGATCAGCTGTAATCACCCGCGCTGTAGTGAGGTGAACCCGGCTTGGCTTGTGACCCCACGCACGCGTAGAGCTTCCTCTGCTCAGTCACCGCTTTTCACTTGACCACCGCCCTCTCCGCCATCAATTTTCCGTTCGGGTTGGTGTACCCCGTGCGTGCCAGCAGCTCGTAGCAGCTCGTCATCGCCGATCGTATCCCGCCCCGGCGCCTCAGCGGATAGCCCCAGCTCTCCTTCCCGCTCCCCCCCCCCCCCCACCCATCCAAGATGAACCTCGTTGAATCCCTCTTTGGTCGCTCCAAGACGCCCGCAGAAAGGCTGAGGTACGTACGCCCGATCAGCCGCCCTGAGCTCCGTCCTGGCCCACTCCCCTCCCTCGCCCCCCCCCCCCCACACACACAACCCGAGCCTGACTGACGACCCGCTTGAAACCCCGCCCTGGTAGACAACATCAACGTTCCCTGCAAAAAGCACAACGTGAACTCGATCGAGAACGCACCAAACTCGAAACCCAAGAGAAGAAGCTCGTCAATGACATCAAAACCTCCGCACGCAAGGGCCAAATCGTACGCCCCCCCAGTCGCGCAACTCTAGCCCTCGAAACTGAATCAATTCGGGGAACGCGCCCTTTCCCGCACAGAACGCGTGCAAAGTGATGGCCAAGGATTTGGTCCGGACGAGGAAATACATCTCCAAATTCTACGGCATGAAGACGCAGTTGCAGGCCGTGTCGTTGAGGATTCAGACACTGCGATCGAATCAACAGATGGCCGAGGCGATGAAGGGGGCGACCAAGGTCGGGCCAAACGCACGATCTAACCCTCCTTGGATCAAATTCTTACCTCCAAAATTTTTTGACTTTTCCCACACCCATACAGGCCATGTCGCTCATGTCGAAACAGACGAACCTACCGCAAATTCAAAGGATCCTGCAAGAATTCGAACGCGAGTCGGCGAGCATGGACATGAAGGAAGAGATGATGGCCGATTCGATCGACGATGCGATGGAGGATGACGAAGACAATGAAGAGGAAGAAGGGAACAAGATTTTGGATGAGGTCTTGGCCGAGATTGGGATTAGTGTTGGGCAGCAGGTCGGTTCGAGAGATCGGACTCGGCACGAACGTGAATTGCGGAGACTGACCTCGTTTGATTTTGACCCGCAGCTCGGCGAAACACCCACCGATGTACCCGCCGTCGGTGTCGCCGAATCGTCACAACGGATGGCCGTCGCGGAAGGTGCAGGCGGAGGAGGTGCAGCTTCGGATGATTTGGAATCAAGGTTGGCGAATCTGCGAAGGGATTGATAAGGAGGGCGAAAGTACTGAGGACATTGATGTAATAGTATGCTGGTATCGATTATGAAAGTATTCACGGAAGGAGGATTAGAGTGATGTGGCTTTGCAAGTGATTTCACACACTCGCTCGGCTGATTTCGGTGCGATCGCCTCGGTCGGCGTCGCTCGTCGCTCTCTTGCCCTTTTGACATTCCCCTGAACCCGTCGGTCCTGCGTCCGTCCTCCTCTAACTTGTACATCGCAGTCTGTACCCCGGTCGTACCCGGCGTCTGTGCACCCACTTCGAACATATCGATCTCAACTTCTGGTGGCTCGACAACAACACTGCCCTATCGCTTTCGGCTCGACATAGGCCTGTCACGTGGCTCGCCGGCTGGCTGGCTGACAGTACGTCGAGGCGCGTCGCACGAGACGAGACGAGACCCCCACCTCGCGCACTGGCATCGCTTAGGAGTATCCACTAGTTCAGACGACATCAACGCAGTCGCTCGGAGTAGCTTCGCCCGCTACACTCGAGCAAGCCCTCTAGACAACTTGTTGGCCAGGCGTTGGGGCAGGACTGGGCAGGACGTCTCGAAAGGAGCCAGTGTTCGAACGAGCCACCCTCCTCTCCTCTCGTCTTCCGGATCCTCAAAGCCCAGACCGTAGCCGATCATGTCGTCCGGTGATGACGGATCGGTTGACATTGGGCGCAGTGCACCCAGTACTCGCGAAGCAGCGTTATCGAGATCCCAGCCGTTGCCGATCGGTCCTAGCCGCTCAACAACTCCACCACCCCGAGCCCAAAGTGCATTCCCACTCGGCCACCCAACCACCCCTACAAACCCCTCGGCTATGGATGTCGACCCGACTCCCCGTGCCGGAGCCATGACTACACCTCCGCGTCGACCTCTCACATCCGCACCGGGCTCTTCCGCCGTCGTTCGTCCCTTGACCCCCGGTTTCCGTCCCTTTCATCCCGAATCGACACCTCTCCATCCTAGCCCCGCCAACGATAACAAACCCATCCTCGTCGCATCGACTGCACCTACAACCCCAACTCGACCTACCTCCATCTCGAGCCCCATGGAATGCATCACGATCGAATCCTCCCCTCTCGGCCCGAGTCCGTCCCAACAAGCCCCTTTCCCAACCCCTCCTCCCGCCTCTGGCTTCAGCAACAACCAATCCTTCATCCCTTTGAGCGGTAACATCTCCACACCAACTTCAACCGTCGTTTCCCCCGGAACCGTTCGAACAAAAGAACAAATCGAAGCTCAAAGGCTCGCTGCTCAACGACGACAAGCCGAAGTCGCTGAAAGGAAGGCTCGGGAACAGGCGGAGAAACAACATCGGGAATTGGCGCAAAAGTCACTCGCCGAATGGGGGCATCGGATCAGTCCAAGGAGGGGGCAGATGAAGATTGAGACGTCGGCCAACAGCTTCATTTCTGACTTTGCGGAGAAGGAGAAGGAGACGGTGTGGAGGGATAATCCGATGTGTTCGGACGAGCAGTTGGACGTGTTGAACAAGGTTCGGGAAGGGAGGAACGTCTTTTTCACTGGCTCGGCTGGTGTGGGAAAGTCGTTCTTGTTGCACGAGTGAGTCGATAACACCGAGCTTCCAGTCGGATCCTGCTGATGACTGGCGGGTGATATTGGCTGCAGGATTCGTCGACTGATCAAGTTTCAAAAACGTGAATACGCCATCACCGCACCCACCGGAATCGCGGCCTTACAAATCGGAGGAGCCACGATCCAATCCTGGGCCGGAATAGGGATTGGGAAAGAGAACGTAATGACCTTGTATGACAAGTTGGGGAAGGGGAAGAGGAAGCTATGGAAGGAAACGCATGTGCTCATCATTGATGAGATATCCATGGTCGATCCCGAGTTGTTTACGAAATTGGATCTGTTGGGCAAGTTGTTGAGGACCGATAAGAGGCCTTTTGGGGGTTTTCAGATGATTGTGTCGGGCGATTTCTTTCAGTCAGTTCTATTCTAGGTGAACGATGGGGAATGAGGTGATGCTGACCTCGCTCGCGTATCGCAGACTACCCCCTGTTCCCGATTCGCACCCTCAGTGCATGCGATGTGGTAGGTTCATCGCCCACCCTCAACCTCATCCTCACCACTCACACCTCTCCCACTCCCACTCACAGGCGAAGCAAATTTCATCACCATCCCTCTGACGGAGTCCCACCTGCCTTACGAAGAAGCGCCTAAAGGTGTCCCGGCTTACGAAGTCCGTAAATGCGTCGATGGGAAACGGAATGGAAAGGTTGTCAAGGGGTGTCATTTGGAAACGAGGGTGCGCAAGTTCACGTTCGAGACCGACGCTTGGGCCGAATGTGATTTTCATGTGATGGAATTGACCAAGGTGAGTTAGCTTGCCGTGCCGTGCCGTGCCGTAAACGAGTGGCTGATTCATCGGGGTGGTGGGTTGATAGGTTTTCCGACAAAGTGATATGGAGTTCATTCGCGTGTTGGAGATGTTCAGAAGGGGGAAATGTGATGATGAGGCGATCAAGTTGATCAAGTCGTGTGGGTACGGTCTCGACCCTGCCGCTGCGACGGGGAATATCAAAGTAGGGCATGACCGATCGGTGGAACTATGCGATTATTTGTTCGAAGGCTGACTCAAGTTTTACACGTATGATTTGACAGCCTACAAACCTCTACGCGACCAAGAAAGACGTAGCTAACGAGAACAAGACCAATTTCGAAAAACTCGGCGGGCCCATCATTGATTACGTCGCCAATGATGAGCAGTGGGGAGAGGGAGCGGGGATATATATGAAGAGAGTCAGTACAACAAAAGCAGTGTTGTGTCGATCGGATCATGCTGACCTTGGTTTTCCTGTTTCCGATGATTAGTTGAACGACTGTCCAGCCCCGGATAAGCTCAGGTTGCGCGTGGGCGCTCAGGTCATGCTCATTACCAATCTGAGCGTTAGCAGTGAGTTCTCACCCCACCCCCAGCGACGATCGAACATATGGAGCCGGATCTGAAACTCGTTCCCCAAACCTCTGGATCCCTCAGCCGGACTTGTCAACGGATCGCGCGGCGTCGTCGTCGATTTCCTCGACCTCACCCACCCACCCCTGAACGACCCCGACGACCGAGCAGCTCCTCAAGGTCCTGTCAGCCAACGTGACGAATGGCGTAAGAACGCCGCGATGGCTTGGGGAGAAAACCAAGCACATACGAAGTACCCAGTGGTGTACTTCATTTCGGGGGAGAAACGTGAGTTCTTTCTGGTGCTTTTGAGATGAGATGGGCGTCAAGCTAACCGACGTCACCTTGGGGGGAAACTCTTAGGTGTACTGGGTCCTCATACGTGGACGATTGATATCGACAAATCCAACTCGATTTCGAGGTCACAGATCCCTTTGGCGTTGGCGTGGGCTTTGACGATGTGAGTCGTTCGGAGCCGGACTGTGCGACGAGCATGGGCGGCTGACTCGCGGGTGAGAATTGCGCAGTCATAAATCTCAGGGACAGACATTGGATGCGGTCACCGTGAGGTTGGACAAGACGTTCGAGAAAGGACAGTGAGTTGTTTTCACTCGTCTTCCCAGTGACTCTGGTACGCTTGCTCATTCTTTCTTCGTCATATAGGGCTTACGTCGCTCTTTCCCGATGCCGGACCATCTCGGGGATGAAGGTCGATGGCTTTGACCCTCGCAAAATCATGGCGCATCCGACCGTCTTGGCATTCTACGATCGGATAGCTCAGGGCAAACCATTGCAAGTAGAACCTCTGTTTTTGTTGCTGTGTTCGACGGCCCGCTCCCATCTAAACAGAACCGATCCGAACTCCACAGTTTCACCTCCATTCCCCCACTCCTAAACCCGCTCTACTACGTCCCCGACGACTGTCCCCTAACCTGGCAACTACTCCACATATTCGGTCGTCCTTCTGACCCATTGCCTCAAGGATCGGCGGTCCTGGCACCGGGTCAAAGACCCCCTTCGGAAGCGGTAGCTCACACTACGACAACAACGAATGCTTCCCCTTCAACGTCGACCTCTGGAGTGAATTGCGCGACAGGCTTGTCGGCGTCGAGTTCGTTGATCGAACTCAAGCCCGCTTTCATCCCCGTTACGAGGTCCCTCACTTCCACTACTTCAACCACGTCCTCGACCCCTTCTGCAACGTTGACTTCTTCGACAGATTGGGAACAACACCTGCGCGAAGCCATTGATGCCCATCTCACGACCACCCCGACCTCGGACGACGGATCACAAGGACCATCAAGTCGTCAGAGCTTCTTGGATCGAGCGAAGGAGCTCTATGACGAATCGAGGTTGTTGAGGAAGAGGGGAAGGGAAGGGTCTGTCGCTTCCATCTCTTCCGCGAGTGGTGGAGAGGCGGATGAGGTGAAAGTGGAGGGGGAGGAGGAAGCGAGACTTAAGCCAAGGTCCAAGAGGAAGAGGCCTCATAGGGCTGGTAGGTGATGAAGACGCTGGCACGGAAACTCAGTCAGTCGTGGGATTGAGGAGGAGGCGCGATCGCTTTGTCCCTTTGTAACGGAATATGATCGCAATAGGTACGACGCGATGACGCGGTAGAACAGGTTCAAGATGTAAAATGATTCACATGCTAAGAAAAAGGTCTGAATTACGCTTGCCCCAGCGTGGGTCGTTGGACTTTCTTTGTCGTGGACGCAGCGTGCTGTCCAGTTGAGAGGAGGAATATCGGGGTCTACGCGGGAGGATCGCATTTGTCTGGGAAAACTCGAGCACGCAATAATCGCAGTACATACACTGTTATCTTGGAGACCTCACCTCTTGGGCCGTAGCTTGATCGTTCTGCGCTAATATTCGCTGATGCGTGTGAAACGATCACACCGCCCACGGATTGTATTCGCATACGCTCACCCTTGATGATTCCTCGCCGTCGTCTCGCGTTCCCTTCTTCCTCCTTTATCACCTCCAGCCGAGAGTACTGCTCTTCTTGGCTGCAGCTTTCCCTTGGTCCAGAGTAGCTCGAGCTTGCGGCAGCTGGTGACTGAACCCACCCCACTTGCGCAGCAGATCAGGCTAAGTTTTTGAGAACAGGCCACTTTCGAGACTCGCGCAAACCCGGCCAACACATGAGAACCGGTAGCCCAAGGATACCCGAGGATAATGAGCATGCTGAAACCAATGATCCTCTAATATTGCATTGAGGTATCCCTTAGACCCATAAGAATCCCGAGAGTATATCACCGGGCGCATTGTTGCTGAGCCAGCGAACTCACAATTTGGTCGGTCATCGACCACCGTCGCAGAGAAGGCGATATTTTGACGGCGGACAAGTGAAACTAGCTGACCTCAGTTCGAATCGCTACTCGGAGCTTCTGTATCCATATACAAGCTTCCCTCAGTATCTGAACCGCTACGAAAGCTGGAGTCGGTTGTGTCATCCTCAGCCTCGAATTGTGCATCTTTGAACAGAGCGGCGACGACGTCGGGGCTCGGTTCTTCCACCTGGAGGACATCGCTCAAGCACAAGGCGAGAAGTACCATCGCCAGCGATACCGTTGGGTACTGGGTTTCGAACGATGTGGTGGGCAGGCTTTGGAAGATGGGGCTGAAGAGGACCCCAAAATCGCCCTTGTGCGATTCCGGAAGCCGAACTGATGCGGAGTGAAAGCCAGTTCGGTCAGTCCGCAGCTCGATCTGTTGGGCGCACGGAGTTGGGACAGCATGCTCACCTTTTTCGGTCACAAATCCAAGATAAGCGCCGCAGACGATCCCGAAACGGACGTCAAATTGGTAGTCAATTGATGCGGTTGCCAACTGCAGGCGCGACTGCGCAAGCTCGGGGCGCTTTGATCAATACTAGGGCCGCTGGGAAGAACTGCACAAGTGCGCGAGACGGCTTACCTTGAGCAAAATGGCGCTCGACTTGAATGTTGCCGGCTTCTTGACACGCAATCTTGTGGCCTCTTGGTCCGCAAGTCTAAATGCAGCCTTTGGGAATTTGAGGGACGACGAATCGAGAACGCGGCCGTATTTATTCAGGACAGAATCTTGTTTGCTCTCGAGGCAGACTACAGAGGCCACTCTGCGATCAGCGAGAAGCAACAGGTCTTCGTCACCCTGTTGGTGGCGGTGCAGGCGCGGTGACTTGGAAATCAGCGAGAACTTGCCGACGCCCCATCTCGCCATCGTCGACGATTCAGACGCCTGCTCCTCCGCGGCCAATCCAGCGATTATCATGCCAAGGACCGGTTCGACAACACGGATACGAAGGGACGAGGTCGCTTTCAGGCATTCGGCTTCATCTTTGCATGGCTGATAGGACGGGATGTCTCCAAGCAGTCGCTCCATCTCGGACTGGACCAAATCGACCAACTCGAGGCGCTCCAGGAGGCGCCAAAGCGCTTCGAGCAGACGGGGCACGACAGACGCACATTGCATTGCTGACACCGGATTGCGATCGACAGATCCTTGATTGGCCACGTTCTCGATTCGGGAACGCTTCGGCTGAGTACCGTCCCTGGCTGCAAAAATAGCGTCGATCGCGTCCTCAGAGCTGGAGTCGTCGCTCGTTCCACCGAACTTGGCAGTGGTCGTGGCAGTCGACAAGTCCAGCTCATTCGTTTGCAAAGAGCGGAAAACGTCGAGGGAGAAAAGTAGTCTGTTACTAACGTTCGATAAGAAAAGTGCGAATTCTGGAACCATGGCGGGCGGGACGGGCCTTAGCAGTGCGTGGCGCGGAGGAGAGGGAGAGGGAGAGCAGGTACACCGGGTGCGACAGAGTTCGTGAGCTTTCATGAGTAGTTAGGACCCCCGAAAGCCCATCCAGAGGCAGCCCGAAACTTTGAACATTCTGGGGACCCGGAAATCGGCTAGGTAGCCCGCAAAGATTTGGATCTTTGCTCTGGACTCTTCGCTGTCGCTGCCCAGCCGAGTCCAAAAAACTTCGAGCCTAGACCCGTTTTGGGCCAAAAATGTCCAAATTTGCTGGCTGCCTAGCCAATTTTCGAGTCCCAGAATGCCCAAATTTGCGGGCCGCCTATACAGGCTGGCTGGGCATTTGGGGGTCCTGAGTCGTTCAGAGTAGTTCGTGCCTGTTTGTGCGACGCATTATTCCGCCCTCGCGTCATCGCGCCTTCATTGTTGACCACGCCGACGCAGTTACGCTCGCCGCCTTTACTCGTCATCGCAAGCTCCACGACCACCACCAGACGTATGGAACCACTCTATTGCGCTCAATGAGATAGGTGAGAGGTCGTGCTCGTCCCATCTCGTAGCGCAGGAATTGCTCTGAGCGCTGGCGACAGCGCGCTGCGAAGGTCAAAATCGTTGCACGAGCGACCTTGAGCTAACATGACTCAACCGACGCAACCGTTAGTATGTATGAGGCGCTTTTGGGGACACGAGGATTGCGCGCCGCGGAAGGAAAATAAAAGATAAAATAAAAAATGGCGCCCTCAAATCCCAAACCCAGGGTGGCGTTAAATGGCTGAGAGTTGACGATGGCGCTCTACGTCTGCTTCGGTCCCCTTCAGTCCCCATCGCCCTAGATGGCTACGCTGTCGCCTGTTCTCACCCACCTTCAAGACGGCGATCAGCATGCCCTAGGAACGGAAGTCGGCGACGAACTGCTGGACGAAGAATCCAAGACAGCGCTATTCGAAGAGATCCGAGTTCAAGGTTTCAAATCTTATGCTCTTGAGATTGAAGAGGCGCGGCGGAAGTATTCGGTGGCTCTTCGATGGTCGGAAGAGAACCTTGCAATGTGACAGCTTTTCAAATCATACCCTATCGCTCGCTGGCTGGATTTGATGGTCCAAGCTGAATCTCGTCCCAGTGACAAAGTGACAGCCGCGCAGTGTCGCCGATGCGCCGATCGTCTCTGTCTCGCACAAGAGTCAAGATTTGGTACATGTTACGAATTATTGTCTATAGTTTCAATCCGAACTCGCTAGTCTACAACGCATGGTTAGTCTCGTGGCCGCGGGGGACGAGAGGTTCGTTCCGAGCGTCGAGGGGAAAAAATCTCCGAAAGCGCGTCCGACAAGGCGGGGTAGCAAGGCCAGTGAAATCTTCTGGAGGTTCGGTCGAAGAGCTAACGTGAGCATGTTCCCTTGAGTCGGCAAGTGATTGCATCTGCTGCTCAATTGCCTGCCTTGGCTGTCGCTTCGGACCAAAGTTCGGCGGAGGATTCGTGTGACCCTCAGATCCCTCATCGGATCCGGGACTTAGGATCATCTCCTGAATCCTTTGCTTCCCCGCAAGGTTATCCTGAACCTGCCGCCTCTCCGCACCTGATTCCGAAAGTCCGAACGAAGGTAATCATCCTCGCTCGCTTCGTCGTCGTCATCGTCCCGGGCGCTGGCGCTGGCGCTGACGCCGATCAACACTTGCGCTCTTCCCCCAGTCTTTCTCTTCTTCTTCTTGCTCCTAACTTGCGAACATTTGCCCACCCTTGTCCTTCCTGCTCTCCTCCTTGCTAGTGGGCATCGATTGCATCGCTTCGGCGGGGAAGGAGCCGTGTGATGCCTATTTCTTGAGCCCTAGCTGAGCGCCACTCAGCCGGCTACGCGCCGAGGGTGCCTCTGGTGTCAAGAGCCCACCCCCATTGCGATCATTCGCGTGTACCGGAGATGATCGCGACGTCCTTGCGTTGCTCGAGGTCGATCGGCTGAGAGCCGGGTCGGGCATTGGCGCGGCGGGATGGATGACGGGTGGTCGAGGCGTGACTCGTCGACTGCAAAAGAGTTGAGCTCGATCCCGAAGGATAGACGAGGGACGACTTGAGGATGTGGAAAGACTCGAGCCGGATTCCAGCGGATTTGAACGGTGTTTAAAGTAAGGCCCGCCAAGGCACATTGTCGCGGATCCAGTTTACGAAACCGAGAGCCGAGAGATCAGCAACTGAATGGGACATGGAACAACAAGGGACGGCAAACGGCCAACGTGAATCGACGAGACTGACCTGTTTCCTCGAGACCCAGGTTGTGAGAGTTGATCAGCTACAGATATGCTGCTGGACCTCGTTTGTCAGCCGCGACCCTAGCTTCCGTCTTGCCGAAAGCCATCGCGCGTTGTCCAATTGAGCGTAGATCGGCTCGGCTAGCCTCGACTTTAGCAGCCATGGCAGCGATGTGTTGTTTCTGCTCCTTCATCGACTGGGAGGGAGCGAACCCTTTCTTTCCTCACCATTCGCTCGATACCAATCATTGCAAGCATGAGCCTTCCCGGTCCTGCGGTAGGAGCTGAGCCAGCCGCGCGTTCCGAAGAGACTTCATTCATGATCCTTGTCGGCGGCGTCTTTTGGCTGCGCATGGACCGGATTCTTGTTGTTGTCAGTGACTGTTGAACGCCAAGTAACCAAACCCGTCAGCCGGTATAAAAGGTTTTGTGGGGAATTGCGGGCTTGAACTCAGCCTCGTGACCATCGGTGTTCCACAAGTCATATTCAGCTTGGCATCCATTAATCCATTGCCGAGCGCTTGACAGGAGAGGCGATGACCCGCTTGGACTGAGTTGGACGGTCGGCGGGGGCGTGGTCTGGCGTGTCATCTGCCGCACATCAGCCAAGGAAAGTACATCAGGCACATGCAATATGCACAAAAGATGTATTCAAGAAGTACTCATGTCGTTCTGGCCGTGCACGCGAATCCTGAGGGGCACGAAGTTTAGGCGCCCGTGCCACTGCATTTGCCGGAGGACCTGTCCCTCCAAGCGCGAGCCTCGACGGTGCAGACAAGTGCACACAGATCACCTTCACGGAGGATGGTATGGTATAGCAAAGCGGTCGCTCAAAGATGATATGTAATGATAATGGAAAAGACGGGACCGAGACCGAAGACGAGGGAGACGAGAGACGAGAGAGCGACCGGAACGGCCGAGAGACAGGGAAGAGAAAGGGGCCCAAACCGAGAAACGAGACCGAGTACGAGAACGAAACGCTGAGACTGGAGACTGGAGACGAGGCCGAACGAGACTTGAAACACGCAGAAAATGAGAACCAGCTAAGATGCTGTATTGGATCCTAGAAGTGGTCTAGCTAAAAAGAAGAAGCAAACTCCCCTCAAACGTTGCGACTGTCACGAATCAGCAGTCCGAGGTCTGAGCGCAGCGCCACTGCGCAGCTTACTCAGCACTGGGAACTTTTTAGGAGCTTCCAGTTATCTCTCTGATCTTGCGCCTCGATCGCTTCCTTTGGCTTCAACTTGCTTCCATGGGTTTCTGTCGCTTTCCCGGGACTTTCCTGTTGCAGAAATGTTCTCGAGTGGTAACTGATGATGACCACGACTCAGTCCAATGAACAGGGACGAGAACAGAGTGAGGTAAGATTCCAAAGAGCTGACCTTGTGATGACCACGACTCAGTCCAATGAACAGGGACGAGAACAGAGTGGCCAGAGACTAAGGGACAGACTCGCGGAAGGCTAGAAAGTGAAGCGTAATGCTAATAGGGAAGAGGGATTAGAGACTAGTAAAGCAGGGAGAATGAGTGACTAGGGAGTTCATGAAGCGTCGCTAGGCTCAATCCCAAGTACCATAATAGGAGCAAGAATCAGATGAAGGACGATACAACCATATATTTCTAACATTTCCTGTGACTATAAATTAACGCGCCCCCGGAGGGGGCGACGGGTCCCTGAACCTCTGACGGAGTAACACCGACTGACAACGTCAGCTAGTATAACTAAGGGAAAATGGGTTAATGCCGCGAGCAAATGGTGCATTTACCAATTACGCGCGCGCGTTTACCCCCGAAGCTTGACCCATCTACCCAGGTAGTAAGGTGCAAAGTTCACTTACAAATGGTGCATTCTTCGCGCAAGTTTGGTGCGTTTGCCCCGGAAGAAAGGTGCGTTTACCAATTAAGGATGGTGCATCTACCAATTAGCGGGGCAATCCGCTGTATCTCGTGTAGTATGCCATGTATCACCCTGAAACTTGACGAGCCCTTTTACATGATCACCAAGTACGTCCACCTTCAGTAAGAAGCACTCTCACCAGGACCTCATGTAGTTGGAAATCGTGCCCCTACCCCCGGCTGTCGTCCCAGCCGCGGCCATCGTCCGGACCCCGGACCGAGTAACCACCCCCCACACCCTAGGCTGCAATACAATGACTAAGACGATCAATCATCTCGGAGCTGCTGGATGTGTCCATATGGGGTGGGACACCTTGTATAGCATTCCTCGCTGTATTCCTGCCGCAGCAACTTGGACAAGGAAGATCATTGACTGCCTTTCCAAACCATCCGTGAACCTGTCCTCACAAAGCTAGCACATCACCAAGTGTTCTCGCAAATGTCACTAGCCGCGATCATTATCTCATTATATGTATATACTTCCTTCCGTTCTACTCATAATGGCACGGCTTAGGATCGACGACCTCACTCCTCTTCTTGCAGCTGCTCAAAATAGACCATGACCAATGTGAGTGTTCTGGTGACAAGGAAGGATCCGATGCAGTTTGGGAGAGCCCATACCTTGAGCAATTGACTCCAACATCAGATTCATCTTGTGAGCCCGGCATTGAGTGCAAGGCTTCAGCGAAGCCGCGCAGCTTTGAAAAAGAATTCTTCCCTCTTGCGCTTCGATCGGCGAGGGCTTGGGGCGCTTGTGGATATAGCGGCAATTGACCGAACGGCCAATTTACGTGTTTGATACCTTGGCAAGCAAGCAACGACCTCGAGTGCCTCAGACACCGGCGGAGGGGGAGTAGGGTCGAACCTTACGACCCTCTGGAGTCTCATTGGCGGCGCATCTGGCATCGAACCAATCGTTTCAATTGACGGTGCCGGGTTGGGCCGCGGGCTTCGCGAAATCAACGGAGCAGTACATTGAGCGTCGGGTTTGGACTCAGAGGTGTACATTGTGCCGATTGAAGGGTCAATCAGAACAAGGGTAGGCGCGGAAATTTCAATGCCGGGCGATCCCAAGGGCTTCTCTTCGAGCTCCGGCGAACACTCCTTGAGCGCGAGTGGGACAGATTCTGCATACACAAGAGTGTCAGCCTCAACATCAAGCAAGCTTGAATGAACTATCACTAAGATCAGATCGTTGAGATCAACAGTAGAATGACTGACCGGGAAGCGGCGGAGGAGCTCCAGTCCCCTCTCGCAAATCGAGGGGAGGGGGGTCAGAATTTGCTTCCAACTCCGTGTCACACCGCAAGCGAGCATGAATAACAACGTCCAACATGTATGCGCGTTGGTCAGCATAGAAGTTGTCCTGAAGTGGCTTGAGTGGGCTCCAGCTCCAGTCTAATTCAGACTGAAACGCAACCGCCGCGACCAACGTTTCCATCGTTCGACAAACGAAGACGCCGCAAGCGTTGCCATCGGGCTGTCGCGTAAACTCTGGCCTAGGCATCAAGTCTCCCTTCTTCGGTACTCGCGGTTTCACGATCACTCGCTCCCACTCTGCGTACGGGATTGTGGGCCGGTCACTGCCTCCGGTGACACGAGGGATGGGTCCTTCTGCCCGAGCCGTGAGGAAAGGAACGATGTTCTGCGATCATCAGCTCAGCGGATTATAGTCAGCCTATCAGGTAAGCGGGATCCACACAAGTCGTTTCTCCCTCTCACCTTCAAACAATTGGCAAAGTTTTGTTCCGGCGATGGAATGTTCGGGTCGTCTACGCTTTCTTTAGAACGCCGCAGCGAGTCATAGAAGCGGAAAGTGTGGTCGGACAGACGGGCCTCAACAAGCACCCAATGCCCGGGCATATGGATTGGAAATAGAAGCGCTGGAGTCTGAGAGAGGCGTATCTATGAAGAAGTAAGGTAAGTGGTTAGTACTTACAAACTCTCAACAAATGCATCCGAGCATATATTCAACTCACCCCGGGATGTCGGTTGGTAGGATTTTTTCCTCCGATGTCTTCTCCAAAGTCTTTGAGAGGGTGGAATCCATAACACGTTGGCGTCCGATCCGACACAGCTGATCGCTGGTCCTCCCGCATCGCAGCCTGACCACCGAACCGATTGATCGCAGTGACGAACGCATCGATATGAGCACTACTTACCCATTCTTCGGGGTCGTTGAGCGTCGCCAGCGTTCGCAAGTTCAACCCCGGCACATACGCATCCTGGTGGACGTCTAAATGAATCATCCATGGAAAGCGGTCTTGTCGCGACGCTGTATAAGGGTGCTTGATGGATCCAACGACAGCCTGTATATTAGTCACGTTCGCCATTCGATTGTCAGGGTTGACTGTGGCATAAATCGACGGTTGCAACATGCCTTCGACCAAAGGGGGGCAAGGGCATGCAGGTTTCTGGTCGTCAGAGAGCGCTTCGTCAGAATATGCAATGTCGAGGCATTCCAAGGTTGTTAGACAATCTGTAATCTCCTTGGCAGCTTGATGATGCTTGGTTCCTATGAGACTGTTGAAAGGCTTGGTCTCAGGTCGTCGCCCACGCGTCTTTGAGAATGCTTCATCGGCGAAGGGCTTGTCCTTCGCGGTTTTAGTACGCAAAGACGCTGGATTGAGCTTGTCCCGCAATAGCGACTTGAGGAGTTTGTCTGCGTTTCCATTCCGGCGGCCCGTATGCTCGAGATGAGGTGCACTTTTGATGGTAGGAGAGGTTGCACCTTGGACATCCTCCGTGACGTTCAAACGCGTCTTCTTCTTTGATCGACCTTTCGGTTTCGTGATCGACCGACCTGGCTGTAAAGGCTTGTTCTTGGGCGAAGGACCTGTGCGAAGGCGCGGAGCGTCAGTGAGAGTGCGAGGTACTTCAACTGGCTGGCAATACATGTCCTCCTCACCTCTGCTGGTCGCGGCCTTCATATCGACGTCGGCACGATTCCCGACTTCGATCTCTGCTTCTGATTCGCCGGAACTATCATCCTCGTCATCTTCTTCTGACAGACTACCATGGAGATCATCAATGGCGAGATTTTCGTTGATCGCACAATTGACCACCATCTCGATTGTCGAATCCCGAACCTTGCTGCGCGGAATGTCGTCATGAAGCGCCCCCTTGAGATCCATAGCAGCTCGTGCCTGCTCCTCTGCATAGGTGGTTGAGTGGTGTTAGCAAGCCACCCAATGGGTTCCGTCTGGCAAACAGGCTGAATATCGTACTCATCACAGTGTGATAGGGCCCATTATTCACCAGGAGATCCACTGCCCACAGGTGGGGGCAGCGCTTGCCTGACTGGTCGAAATCTGAGCATTTGCATTTCGGCAAGCGCATGTCCACTATTCTAGGCTCGAAACCATCTCTGCATTTTGCGTAGAGAGCCGCAGGAAATGACGTAAGTCCAGAGCTGAAGACATGTAGTATTGAGCAAGTTGACCGAGAGCAACTAACCCTGCTGAAACCACCCAAGCGTAGCTCTTCTTCGTCTGTTGAAAAACACCCATCTCCCAAATGTCCAGAGCTTTCGCCAGAATTCGCCTGAGATCCGCATTCGGCCGCATTCGGAGTTGCAATCGTTACATCTTTGAAAATGTCGTAAATCAGTGCGCTGTCAAGTAGTATATTGACTAGATTATCGATGCTACCGACAGCGGGATGGTGCGGGCCTCAGCAAGTCTGTTTTACTCATTTTCTACGTGACTCGAGCCAGCTTACCGTTTATTTGCTCGACCTTGGAGATGCTCTTGCTGAATTCGTTTGAAAGCTCGTTCAGTAATGTTGTTTGTATTGATATCATCTCGAGCTACTCCCAATGGTAGACCATCGTCTACAAATGTTTCTGTGGTGAATGCGCAGTCTGGTCACTTGGCTGCCCTTGCATCCCAAATGCAAACTGGCTCTTGCTCTGGGACTGACCAATCCAAGCATCCACGAACCAATTCTGCGTGAAGTAGTCACGAACTTGTAGCTGCAACTTCTTGATCTTTGCCTTCCCAACATCCGTTGTTGACGTTTCATCGGATGAGTGCGACTTAAGGATCCATTCATCGGTTCGGGTTAGAAACGTCTGCGCTCTTGCGTCAAATTCCTGACGTCGTCGCACGTTTGCAAGCTCCTCCGTTTCCTGTGGACCCCTGACGAACCGGAAGCGTTGGATGATTGAACGAAAATCACGCAAAATATGGACCAATATGGGCTTTGATACTGGGGACCTGTCGGTCTTGCTCGCATGGGTTGCATCCGTTGACCACCGAGTAATTGCTTGAATCGCATGAAACTGACAAAGTCGAATTTGAAACTCGAGCCCATGCCGCAATGCCCCTGTTGCAGACACAGACCCGTGAGGGGAGATCGAAAAAAATGATAGGTCAGATAAAATAACCCCTGAGACCAATGATCACCGCTTAAGAGGAAAGCGCCTCACATTTTTTGAGGGCGCTCAGTTCGGTCCTGCACTTGTCGATCATCAAGTTGGGCGGTTGCCACTGGTGCTGTACAATATACTGAGCGTTCTCCAGCAGATTGGGCAGGTTACCGGGCAGTTCGCTGACGGAGCCCCGTTGAGCATCTACGCTTCGCGAAAGACATGTCAATGCGCTGTGTCAAGGCCGAAGTATCGACAGACTGACTGCCGAACCTACCTCTGACAATAATGGCGGCCCGTTTTTCGACTAGGTCCTTCACAACGTCCAAATAATGCAGCAACGTCCCTTGCTTGACGTCACTCGAGAGTAGCATAGGCCCTACAGAAAAGAGAATGTGCGAAAACTGATCAGCGCCGAAGGCTGAAGACGCTGAGACTCGCAAGCAGGCACGGGATTGGGCAGGGCCTCCTTCGCGACTAACCCAACGCCATCTGTTCGTTCGTACCCATCGTCGCAAGAATGGTAAGCGGGGCGCGGTTCTCATTCAGATACCGCCAAGACGAATCAATCCCAAGGAATCGCGAACCGTCTTCGGCAACGTTTCCCATGGTGGCAAAGGCGATCAGGATATCGATCGAATGCAAGGATGCGAGTACGCAAATGAGTGACTCGTTGTTCGTGGCGTTAAAAGGTTGAAAACTGCGGGACACACGTACGACGTGTAAGCCATGCATTAGCAGATGCAAGCGCGACAATGCGTCGGATGGAGAAGAAAACTCACTAGGCAACTCCGCGAGTCATCGGTTCGGACGCATCGTCCAAGCAGAATTTTCGCAGTTGAGCTGTGCGTGATAGGGCGTATAATGGAGAGGAATGTGTGTACGCCTTCGCAGCCTTGGTCCGGAACATGCTCTTGAGTTGTTTGGCCCAAATGACCCGGTTAGGATGGAGAGTGACTCGGTGGATCTTCTCCCACTTCTTGCAATAGTCGGACATAACTTTCTCGCGTGAATGGACCAAGAACGCGAGTCAGCGGTGCGATCAACAGACAGATACAGGGTTCTGTTGGACATATCATGATTGTGATTCGCCTTGGAAAGCAGTGCTTCGGGTGCTGCCACACTGTTGCACTATCTGATGAGCGACAGTTCGCATAACCGCGGCCGGTTTCCTGACCGATTCTAGGGTCCGCCGGCCCTCATGGTCGCCAAGCGTGTAAATCAAGGCGATCGAGAGATTGCTGGCTGGAACCACAATCTTACAAAAGCAGAGTGCAGAGTGCAGGTAACGAAACGGGTCTCAGCGCATGCGCAAAAGCCACGAACCCAAACACAGCAAAGAAAGGATCTCTGACGCTGAAATTTCGGCTAACTCACCTTCAATTGTGAAGAGCATTCGCGCACGATATCTTTGTCCTTCGGTCGCACGTTGTAGTATATCTTCCCATCATCTCCTGTGTAGCGCATGCAGGCGCCCGAGCACTGGTGCGATATGCGAAGCACTTCTTTGCGTGATTCCTTCCAAGTGGATTGCAAATTGTGGCCGATCAGCGGGTGCCATTCGATCATTGTCAGGTGATCCGCCGGATGCTGATGGAAAGAGATCGATGGAGCACCGTGAGATGTTTCTTCTACGGCGAGACAACGTTCGTATTTGCAGGCTGTCCATTCGTGCTCCTGTTCCGGTTGGTTTCGCCAATGAAGGATAGGAGGATCGGTGAGGAAGAATTGTGTCAGTTTTGCTTCCTAATCAGCAACTTCAACTAGCCATCAATGACTGCTTATGCTTGAACCAGTATCGACATACTTCGGTGGCCATGTACAAAGGAAGCTTGAGAATTGGTATGGTGTCCTTGAGCGTCCATTCATCTGCTTTCCTTCGGTTGCCAAGAATCAGCGGCCATTGCCCGTAGTCGGCTTTCTCTTCCGCCGACCAGAGACGGTTCGACGACATGATCGCTTGACGTTTAGCTTGCATTGTGGCATACTCCAGCTGTAGATGGTTGGGTGCACAATCTTCGAGGAGGTTGACGACTTGGCGCAGTCGATCCATGGCTTCTTCGCCGCCATCGGAGGAGCTGGCTTCGGAGTCGTCGACGGCGGGGTCTGAGTCGGCGTTCCAGTCGACATCGTCGGAGCAGCCCTCAGGAGTCATTGAGGTTTGATTAGATTGCGTCACTGAAGGAGATTGGTCAATGATATTGGGTTCCCGCTGGCCCAAGTCTTTCTTCTGGGTAGACGTAGTCGAGGACATGTGGGAGGTGCCACGTGCAGGTGGGCTGGTCATGTCGATTGGTCGGGTCCCAATGCGGGGTCGGTCACCCTTGTTCTGCAGCGTTGCATTCATCTGCTGACTGGACATGACGTATGCGAAACGAGTTTTAGAACCAAGGCGAGTATCGGTCGATGGCAACGGATGGCAGGAACTGGCGTGGCGCGGTGAACATGAGTCGAAAGTAGAAGTAGGCGTTTGGCGCGACGCGACGCGTCAAGCAGGCTACGTGCACCCAGACAAAATTGAGCAAGGTCGCTGGCGGCGATGCGCGGCTGTGCAATGGATGCAGGGCCTACTTTGCTTGGGCAGTGACACGCATGATCGGATCACTTGACCCGTTGTAGTACCCAGCAAAAGAAAGAGTGAATATTTCGATGCCTGGGAGTCTTCGTCGAGCCCGGGCTGGGACGACAGCCGGGGGTAGGGGCACGATTTCCAACTACATGAGGTCCTGGTGAGAGTGCTTCTTACTGAAGGTGGACGTACTTGGTGATCATGTAAAAGGGCTCGTCAAGTTTCAGGGTGATACATGGCATACTACACGAGATACAGCGGATTGCCCCGCTAATTGGTAGATGCACCATCCTTAATTGGTAAACGCACCTTTCTTCCGGGGCAAACGCACCAAACTTGCGCGAAGAATGCACCATTTGTAAGTGAACTTTGCACCTTACTACCTGGGTAGATGGGTCAAGCTTCGGGGGTAAACGCGCGCGCGTAATTGGTAAATGCACCATTTACTCGCGGCATTATGTATGGATGCATAACTAAGAACGTGCCATGGATCGGGCATGCAGCACCAAGTTGGCGATTCGGTTCAATCCACATGAATGAGTCGTGTAAGTATGTGCCAAACATTAATGAACATTGCAGACAAGAAGAGATCGAGCCAGAGCCGGGCGGGTGGCGGCACATGGACGTGTTCGAATACTGGTTCATCAGAGTCGTTATGCGCTGTTGCGTAGCCTTCAAAGAGCGATGATGTTGGTTCCACTGTGTCTGCGGTAAACACCTTCGCCAAAACTGCGTCGGGCACGAGACTGTCTCCATCCGACACTCGGGGAGCCATCGAGACGGAAGCCGAAGCCGAAGTGGAAGCTGAAACCGCCGTGGGTGCTGGAGAGGTCGGGGCAATCCGCTGTATCTCGTGTAGTATGCCATGTATCACCCTGAAACTTGACGAGCCCTTTTACATGATCACCAAGTTTAAGCACACCAGAATTGCGTCGAACGAGCTGTGAAGTCTTTCGCCATCAAAAAAGGAGACGGCAGAGTACGCCGGACTCTTGCTTTCGTTGATCAACCACCTGGGCATCTTTTGGATCCGACTCTGCTTCACGATCATGGGTCGAAACTTGTCCAGCTCCGCAAGGTTGGGGTTCCCTCTGCGGAATAGAACGCACACACTGTCAGCGAGTTCCTCGCCTGACATGGACAGTACATCGGTGAACGAAGCGGTGTTCTGGCTGAAGATGAGGGTGTTTCCGCGCGTATATTCTTGTTGAACTTTGGGATCTCCGAAACGAGTTAGTTTGTACGCGCTCTTGTAGGCTCTGGCGCGCGCAGTGAAGAGGTGCTCAAGCTGACTCGCGTTGGAGAAGCATACTCGGACATCAGCGGGGACGTGATCCAGTGAGCAATAATCCGTTGCTCAACGACCGAGGGGGCTTGTCAGTGGCCCTGTGGTAGGGAACAACCGTTTGAAGCAGTCTGGCCAGAGTGAGCACTGAAGCGTGTTGTTCATGGGCGAGTACGCGATCTGATCGATTAAAATCGCTCGGTCGATGAAGCCGTCGGGGATGGATGAGTGCGCCCCGTCAAGCTGAAAAATTGTAAGTCGGGGGGTCGGAGGTCCGTCCGTAATGTAGAGTTGGTTACTACCTTCCAAATCCCTGATTCCTCACGCTTGATGTCGTCTTCAGGCACCCATCGTACGTTATGCCCGAAGACTCTCTCGGAACACACCAGGCAGCAGAAGAGACGGGAACGAGCCTCGATGAGTAATCATTCCATTCAGAACGGTTCTCGGTCTCGAACTGATCGGATGCTGGCGCAAAATGCGATGTCACTTTACCGGGTTCTTCTTGTTCGGGTTCGGGATGCAGCGGTGGACGTCTGTGCATCGTTTGTTTAGAGGTAGTCGCCGAGATGTTCTCGCGATTCTTCTGGGCTTCCTCGTTCAGTTCGGTTTGGAGCACGTCAACAGGTTTTGATGCGTATGCTCTGTGCTCGGGGAAGCAATGGGGGCGGAGTCACGAGACTCGCCGCTTGTTGCCTTCTCAAAACATACCCATTTGAACAAGCATTACAGTTGGGATCGCACGACCAAAGGAGCGCTTGTAGGAATAGCTCTTTCGCAAGCGGATTCTTCCTGGAGTATCCTTCCACGTGGTGCGCCCGACAAAGCTCTTTCAGGAGATTCATGCTGAATTTGTAAGGTATGCGCCTCTGATGTGCATAAACTACAATCTGTCGTCTTGACCGCTAGACTAAAAGCAAGTCGTAACTAGAACTCGACAGTTCTAGCTACTCAGAGGCTACTTATGGGGCTGTTCTGTAAGGCATCCCCTTACAGAATTTGATGTTGCTGAGCACGAGTCGTCCCAGACTGCATTCTACAATGCCAACACTGGACTGTTGCGTAGGAGCGGACCGGAGTACATATACTGTGCGTGTCCGGTGCGGCGGGAGGATCGGCTGTCGCTAGCGGTGGACGCGAGGCTTAACACGTCGTCGAGATTCGAGCGTTCAAGTTGTGGGCTGACCTCGATGGTGCGGAGGGGTACAAGATCACAAAGAAGTCACATGACGGCGGCTGTGTGATACGGGTCTTAGAGATGCGGGGACACTTATGGTATAGCAAAGCGGTCGATCAAAGATAATATGAAATGATAAGGGGAAACGATGGAACCGTGACCGAAGACGAGGGAGACGAGATACGAGAGAGCGACCAGGACGGCCGAGAGACGAGAGACGAGAAAGGAGCCCAAACCGAGAAACGAGACCGAGTATGAGAACGAAACGCTGAGATCGGAGACGGAGATGAGAGACGCGACTTGAATCACGCAGAAAGTGAGAACCAGCTAAGATGCTGTATTGAATCCTAGAAGTGGTCTGGCTAAGAACAAGAAGCAAACTCCCCTCAAACGTCCCGACCATTCAAACCGCTGCGCTCCATTCATTCCCCTTTTCCCCTTCATCCGCGCATCCGGCCCGGTCTTCCATTCAAATCCCGCCACATGATTCGTCGCTTACAGTCTAGTCTCGAGTTACCGAAGTACTGAGTTTATCCGGGACCGCTTAATCGCTGAGAATTCCGCCGAAACTAGCGGAAATTGAATCGACTCCCAACCCGGCCGTCGAAACGACTTCGGAACTCAACCCTGCTTCGATCGAAACGACTCCGCTACAACCGCTGCCTCCGACGGGATCCCGAGTGCCGCATACCCCACTAAAATGACCCGAAATCACTCCTGAGCCCGGCCCGTATGTCCGAAATGTCTCCGACGGGATCCCGAGTACCACACACTCGGTCCAAGTTGGAGCAAGGCGAGTACAGAGAGACGGAAAGGAGAGGGCCGGGCAGTGGCAACTTGTCAGCGGACCGGGCCTGCCGCGGGGACTCGGGGAGGCTGATGACGCCCAAGCTGAGTGCTAAGTGCGAGGGGCCCTCCTATCCGGGAGGCATTGTTTAAAGTTTAAAGCCATAAATTCCAGCTAGTCTTATTCAAACACAGAATCTAACAAACGCTAGATCCGCTGGAACACCATAACATGTGACATATATCATACACCCATATTGTATACGGGCCATTGCCTCGCTGGGATTAGGACTGATGCCCCATTTCTCAGGGCTTACATCAGTTTTCCCTCCTCCCCCTCGGCTCCCGGCTCCTGAGGGTAGATGGGGCAAGGTTGCCACCATCGCCTCCACCAGTGCGGTATGCTACTCCATATTCTGTTGGAATGTCCACCACTTCCGCATGCGGCCGCCCCATATTTGCCCAGCCCCTTTAATCAGCTCATGATGCCATGCTCGGTCCAGCCGCGTCCGCGATCGCTCGTCTAGAGTCCAGTAGATATCCGGTTTGGGTATCATTGGCACCGCAAACCACCACAAATGTGCCCTCACCAGTTTGGCAGCAAAGGTACATAGCTCCCTTATCTGCAGGTCCGTCCATCCTTGTTGCCGCGCCTCAAGTTCGCTTCGCGTAGCCCGATACAGGTCCTGACCAATTTTGTCGCGAAGTTCTTGTCCCGAGGGGCACTCTCCAAACGCGTGTTTCTCTGTTTCTTCCTCTGCTCCACAAATCACACACTCCGGGGAGGTCCCCAGTCTCTCTGAGCATCGCGAAGCAGTGGGCAGAACATGTGCCCGCATTTGGAGCTGTGTCTGTGCGGCATACGTTGACACTGCGCGAAGATATGGGTACTGCCCTGCTGAATGTCCAACATTCAATAGGAGTCGAACACTGTCGCCTGTCTTCTTTGGTAACGACTTCAGCTGCCAGTCTTCTCGAAGGTCGTAAATCTTCCTGCTGATATCGCATTCCAGCCATTCGAGGTTGTTGGCGGTCATTTTAGCGATCGTCCACTGCGGGAGAGCGAAATCAGGGAAAGGCACAATGAGGTCAGGCTGTGAATGTCCCTTCTTGGCCGCTTCATCCGCTCTCTCGTTTGCACGCGATGCATCGTCCGTCCGTCCAGTATGAGCTTTCACGTGTTGTATTTCGATCGTGTGGTTCGTTGCGAGTATACGTTGGAGCCATGTGTAGTGTGCAAGCGCCCCCCTCGGTTTCTTCGGTGCGACATCGCCCTGCCTAATCTTCTCGGCAAATCTGACCGATGTTAGATGATCTGCGAGAACCGGAATCGGTGTAGGAGCCCCGAAATTGTACGGTTGTATAGTCAGTGCTGCCATAATCAGGGCTGTCACTTCCGCTTGCATGATTGACGCGCCCGCAAACAAAGCTGCCCGGGCCTCCCAATTTGGTCCCACGACTGCTGCGGCCGCGGAGGTGAATCCCGTGGGCAGGACAATAAGTGAGCCATCTGTCGCCCAAATGCCTTGAGCCTGCGTTTGTCTCATTTTAAGTATGGGAAGAACTACACCCCGAATCTGATCTTCGACTTCGGTTTGCCGCTCGGCTCTGTTTCGCAGGAGTTGGACTGGTCCCTCGGCTAAAGTCAATTCATCAAAGCGATCCGACCACTGCCGCATGAATCTGGTATTGGGATCTAGCCAATCGGAGAAAAGGTCCGGTCGATCTCTCCGCGGTCCTTTCTTGAGCTCCCGTATATCCGTAAGCCGAGCTGGAAGCGCCGCCACTGCCCGCCGTAACTGTGGTTCGTTCCGCCGAGCCCCCCCTGTCTGAAGATATGCATGCTCCGCGCTGACCATCGAGGTGAGACGGCTTGATTGGTCGGTCTCCAGCACTTGCAGCTTCCCGCATTGTTGTAAAGCACCAAGAGCCGTGTTCCACGTCTGGGGGACCTTTCGCTGCGAGTGCGGAAAAGACAGGGGCTTGGGGTCAATGAAGGGAGAAATGCAGCCGTGGTGTCGGCATTGAAGATCGGCCAGCGTGATCTTGGCGATCGTTGCAAACACCGGAATGTGATGATTGAGGTCCCGTAATAATCCGTCAACCGCCAGTGCCCCGTTAGTCGCCATAGGCTGGTAATCTCGAATCCAAACTTGACGACCGGCAAGGTAACCAACTTTGCCGTTGGTGTGAAGACCCATCCGTAATATTCCTTTATCCGCTGCGCGACTATTTGATCAAGTCTGAGCGCATCCTCCGGTCGAATTGGGCACAATGCTAGCCTTGGCCTCAACCTGCTAATCACTTGTTGCTCGGTAAACCGCCGCAGTGCTGAGAGCGGAAGCCTCCTAGTCGATGTGCTGGGAAACCCAATCGTTCGCACAATACTCTCCAGCTGGGTATATTGTCGATCTGGTGCTGCAAACGGCGTTTTGAGGAAGACATGTACCGGGTCGACAGCAACCTGTCGTTCTCCATGGGGAGTGTCAACGGTCACCCTTTCTGGTGGCGCCACCAGTGAGTCAGTGTCTCCCAAGATAATAGCTCGAGTTTTCGTACCCCAGTCCGTTTGAGCTCCATAAGCCTCTTGGAATAGCTCCATGTAGAGCGTCATGGTAGCTAGCGTAGTTTCACTCTTCGCTAGCAGAATTGTGTCGTTCATTGCGGCTACCTGTGTGACTCTGAGGGTGAGCTCGTCGGCCTTTTTGTGCGCGCGCCGCCGTGCCCCATTTTGCGTTGTGATGAGAAGGGGGTCATCGAAGACTTGCTCGTCCAACCAGTAGGAGCCCATAGCCATCGCAAGTGAAAACCTGAACGGATTTGGTGGATCGCCTTGTTTCATTTGTCCGTCCACTTCGAAGGGGTCTGTCAGGCCATATGGTGTCTTTATCATGAACGAGCCGTGTGCTAACCGCGCTCGGTCAAAAGCCTCCGCGTTCGGTCCGAAGCCGAAGAATTCGTAAGCGTCGTATCCGGCTTCTGCCCGCAGCAGATCAAAGCCCTTCTTTTGATCTCGAATAAGGCCGTAAATAGGAGTCTTTGCGCGAACAGCCCATGCTTCGAGTTGCGCAAGGAAGCTCGTGAGATCCCGCTGCTGTACGCCGCTTTGTACTGCGACCTGTGTCTCTGGTATCATGTGGTGTTTCATTGCATAAGCCTGCGCTTGACGCATGAACCATGCAGCCGCCGTAACCGCAAGGAAATTTCCAAAACAAACCGCCCGGTAGTTACTCAATTGGGTGGAGAGTCCCCGATTTTTGAACATCGGAAGGAGATAGTGGTCACGCAGCTTATCAAAGTAGTTATTCACCAACACATAGTTCAAAAGGGCCAGGACCACGGACAACGCTCGGTCTCCGAGAATTGCTACGGTCCATTTCTCCCATCGATCCGGCCCGGGGGATGGCTCCCGATTTCCTCTACTGAGCAGCGTTCGGAGGTCGCCGAGTGTCAGGGGCTTAGGCCACTCGAATTGTGTCAGAGAGAGCATATTGCTGTCTTGTCCCACTTAGATTCCTGATTATGATTCGTTGCTAGTTGTTGATATCGGCCGCCTCGCGTGCCTCGAGCTGCCTCGCGCGCGCTTCCATAGCCTTCCTTTACTTTCTCCAACTATCTTTACTATCATCTTCGGCTCTCATACTGACGCATCTCGCGCCTGGGCTTCAGGGTTCTAAAAAATTGGTCCTGCTGTGTTGTATTACGGAAGTGTCGGGAGCTTTCTGAGTTCATCCACGGCTTAGCAGTCACTGGTTGTTCTTCGGTCTTTTTGAATAAAGTACTGAAATATTGCCTGAAGGTGGTACGTACTTCTGTTGGATCCGCAGTGGTATTTCCCCCCGCAGTTTCAACTGCTTGTGGCTGAACCAGTGTCGTCCGCGGCATGAGAATCCTCTTTACGGATCCCCCATTAATGACACTCTGGATCCGGAGATTGTTAGTCCGTTGTGTCATCTCTTTGCGTTCCCGCTTCTCCTGAGCATGTATCCTTTTGCAGAGTTGTCGACGCCAGACCATCGCTGTCTCCAAGACTGCGCCTTCGGGCAGATACCAATCAGTGTGTCCTCTATCTTGTTGTAGACGTTGTCGTGTTGCATTTTCTAGAGCCTCATGCATTTCGTTGAACCATCTTTGTACGTCCTGCTTTTGTTTGAGTATGTGGATAGAATTAGTATTGAGGGCATATATTTACCGGTTCATATGATAACGGTCCTGAATCATTTGTCTCAGTTCGGGGGATCCGACGAACTGGCGTTTGTTCGCTGTTGTGCCCCGCCTCTCGCCGAACACCTTCAGAGAAGTATCAACCAGTAGCAGAGAGAACTCTTTATAGGCAGTGTCCCAGACCTCCTGTGAAGTTACGATTACGTCTTCCGATATTTCCCTTAAACATTGTACATTTGCAACGCCGTCTTCCATTTCTTTCGTGAATCTTGGCCGAGTATCGCTACCCCTCGGCGGAACTTTAATTCTTCTCGGTCCATCGTCTCCTACTTCGTCACTTACGACGCAGAGCCCTGGAAACCATAACCTGCATTTGATTGGCCTGTGGTCGGTGGCCACAATCGGGCGTAATGCCTCGATGTCCGCATTCCCCGTCGGTACGGAAGTCGCAAGCCGATCTATGATGCTCGTGGTTTGCGCGTTCCCGTAGAGCTTGTGTCCAACTTTCGGCGAGCACCAGTGATTCCAACTCGTTCCACACATCGTGACCATTAGTTTGGCGTAGGAAGCGGCAGTATTCGAGTGCGGTCGGTCGAAGTCGCGGAAAATTTGTTGCAGCTGTTTCCCGAGCGTCAAGTACTGCGTTGAAATCGCCTACTACCGCCCAGTTCGGTGGGCCGGTTCGTATGAGGTCTTGCATGGCGGTCCAGAAACCCGTGATTGCGTTGTCATCGTTTTCGGTGTTGCGCGCATAACCTCCGTGTGGGCAGTAGGCGGACACAATACGAATTGGGACCATATCTGTGCCTTCCCGGCTTGCTCGTACGAGTATGTCGGCGGCGGCGACTCGTCCTACCAGTGGTCCTTCGGTAAATGTAAAAATACTTTAGTATCGGCAGGTTATTGCGGACAAGAAGGAGGGTTCCCCATTTCATCCCCGAGCCAGCCCGGACGGAAGGTGTGAGGATCGGCTGGAAATCAGCGAAGTCGACCGGTAGTCGTGTGTCCGTTCGGAACTTGAGCTCATTTAGGCTGACGACATGGTGATCTGCGTTGATTAAGGTTTGTTGCACTTGTTGGAGCTTCACGGGGTCTGCAAGTCCGTTCACGTTGAGGCTTGCGATAGAGATCGGAGTTGCTGCGTCAACCCGATTTTTATCCAACACAAGGATGAGAAGAAGGATGATACCTCTTGTCGGGGCTGATATGCTGTGAAGATTGATTGTTATTGCAAGAAGAAAATATGTGCTGAGTGTATGGATAATTTGAAGGTGATTTTGTTTTCGGGGTTCGATGTCTTCGTTTATGGGTCCTGCCGCCATAAGCAGCACCTCGTCAGACAAGGTCCGAGAAGAGAATGGGGATTGTGGTTGAGTACTGACAATAGACATTCCTTCCTCGATACGACGTTCTGTCCTCATGACGCTTGAAACAAGACTCCCTTCCTCTTCGGCGACACGTCCGTGGTGAGTGAGACGTCCGCGCTTACTGGGCGAGCCTCCAGATTCATCGCGTTCTCTCGTCGGCGAGTTGTTCGTGATGTTGGCTTCGGGTGTCAGGGTGGTCTCAGCCGTTTGCCTCGCTATGTCACCGGAAATAGCGGAAAGGTTGGAAACAATAAGCCGGTGCGGGAGTGGTTGCGTGTTGCGGATCGGTGTACGGTCATCCTCGATGAACGGCTTTGGGACCATTACAGAGCGCGAGGAGTCGTATTGTGGAAGAGCGAGTGGGAGCGGGAGATGGAAGAGCGAGGTTCGGGAGAGGTGTAACGTCTGCGGCCTTATTCCGGAAAAGTGTGTGAATGTTGGAACCAAGTCACTTCCGCCAGATGACGTGATCGATTGTAGGTATGGCATGCTCGGGTTCGGGATCGGACAGGAGTAAGTTTTTCCAGGCAAGTCGGCTTTAGAACCCGCCGGGAAATAAACACCGGGCTCAGCGCAGAGTATGGGGTTAGGAGAGACAGAGGAGTGAATGACAGGCGTTGGATGGGGAAGTTGGCATTCCTCAATAGATGAAAATGGAAGTATTGTAGGTGTTGAGTAAGGGGGTTGCATGGTAGTATCAGGCAGAGCATTGGGCCCGCGAACTTGGTCAGTGGGAAGGTAAGTGTTCATTGGAAGCGTGCGGAGGACAGGGGCGGATTGCAACGATTCGTTGCAATAGTTCTTCATTCTGCTATGTCGCAGATCGATAAGGGTGTTCACATTTAAAACAGGCTAGTGATAGGGGGGTCTCCTATTCTGTCCTTTTACGGTATTGGCTCCTTCTCAGGGTCATTACGAAGGGAAGTGACGTATAAGGAATCCGTATCACTGTGAGGAATTCGATCAGAGTCCAAGTGTAAGAGAAACGAGGATTGCTGAGGTCATAGAGGTGAGTTATTGGGTTGGTTGGGCAGTTCGGTAGTTGGTGGGAAGCATTGCGTCCGTGCGAGGCTCGTCGGATTAGGAGGAGCGGCTTGGAGGCCAGAGTGGTTTTACAAAACAGGAGGTGATGTATGGGGGGGGGTTCAGAGTAGTAAGGTAGGAAGATGTGGTGGGAGGCAAGGCGTCCGTGCGAAGCTCGTCGGGTTAGGAGGAGCGGCTTGGAGGCTAACATGGGTGTGCAATGCAGGTAGGGATGTAAAACGAGGTACATGTGCTTTAAGAGAGGGAGAGTTAGCTCTAGGTGATAAGGTGGAGAGAGATAGCACTCGTCGTTTCTAGAGGAGGTTCTGTCTGCACCATCTGGATGGGGGCCTCCCTCGTCGCGTTGCCTAGATGGGCAATGGGGGTAGGAAGGCACCATGGCTTGCAACCATGGGTGAGAGAACGACCATTCGATTACTGTAGGAACGATCGAATGCTGCTGTTGAGTATGGATTCCTGAGCTGTCAGCTGGCCGAAGGGGGGTCGGAGGCTGGGGTGGTTTCGACGCGGTCGCACAGGCTGCGAGAACACGTGTCACGTGGTGCGTGATGTGCATTCCGAACGGTTGTAGGGTTGTTGGCGATACTCGAGTAGGTATGGTACACGGTACGGTACCGGTCAGGTGAGGTGAGGTGAGGTAAGGTGAGGTAAGGTAAGGTAAGGTAAGGTAACGTTGAAGTGTGCGAATACCTAAGCTCGACGCCCCTTAAGCTCGACGCCCCTCCCTTTGGGAGGGGCTTGTGAGTTATCCGCGCTTTTGGCTGAGTTGCCCTCCGAAATTTTGGCCCTGAAAAGTGCCCCCTTGCTGTAGCATGGCGTATATTGGTGCTATCTGAAAACTGGAGGGATACGTCTTTACTTCATCATTATTGATGAGGCTTCACCGAAGCTTGAAGTCTAGGAACGCTTGATCATCTCGCTACAACAGCTTGAATCAACTGATTCCGAACGAGACGCAGGTCGGCGCACGGACCAGTCGTAGTCCAGTCCGCGTCTCCGACCGAGACGACCCGGACTTTTGGCTCAACGGCATCCGCGTTGCCCTCCGCAAAAGCGCCGAGACCTACAACAAGACCTGGGGAACGAAGATCGCGACCCCGGAGATCCTACATTTCCAGCGCAACCTCGAGGTAGTTCCAGACGAACCCTTCCAACTCCTCTTCGATGCCAGATACTTTGAATGAACCAGTGGGAACCCGTTAAATTAACGGGAGGATGAAATTCAAGTCGAACGGTATACATGACGAAGTACAGCATAGCAACTATTCTTCATCGCCCTGAGAACAAAGCGGAATATTGGGTTTGGGGTTGCGGTGGGTGCGGCTGCCGCTCGATCGACGGCTTGTAGGTTGTCGTCATCATCGGCGGGGTCGCGAGAGGGGAGAAGCACCTTGATTCGATCAACACCCATGGCTCGATACAATGTCACATACAGCTGCCCATGAGTGAACACGGGATGCAGGGAGAGAGTGACGCCATCACGTTCGAGTGATTGACCTTGAGTTATGTTGATTGTCTTGGCCAAGGCAACTCGGAGCGGGAATTGGAGCCGGCGCATAGTGAAACCAAGTTGGCGACTGCTAGTCGCACTCGCCTCAAGTCGCACGCGAGGGATGCAAAGCATGGTACCCGCTCGATCTCCGATCAAGATGACGGCTTGAATGACTCGCGATCCTGCGTGGGAGACGATAAGGATAAGGCGGGTACCGCGGGTACCGTTGCAGAGACCTGCGTCTGGGTCGAGATTGCGACGCGCAACTGATGCGCGGGGAAGTTGGACGGGTTGACTGAATGCAGTACTCTGGCGAAATCAGATCTGGCGCCATTCCCCCACTTTCGCTTACCTCGACGACCTCGTCTGCGCTGCGATACTCGACGTAGTCGCCATCGAACTCTTCGAGCAGGTTGGCATTGATGCGATCGACCGTTGTGTTATGCGGAGCCAGGATGTTTTCGCCTCACTTTCCATGCAGCACGTGCTTTGTGACGGCCTCGTGGAGTTCAGGATGGCGCGAAGGATTGGGTATCTCTGCCGAGATCATCTTGTCGATCGCTTCCGTCGACAAAGGGTAATCGTCGGGCGCGAGGATGAAGAGGATGCGCGCATGCGGATGGCCCCGCTTGTAATACCCGATCACGTGTGTATGCGTCAGAACGACACCGAAACAGCCTGCCCGATGCTTGTTGCCCAACACGTTGTCGCAGAGTCGGCTCAACTTTGCGTCAAATGCTTGTGCAATGAGATCCAGACGGTTGCATGATATGTCGTTCAGCCCCCGTGCAGCCTTGATTTCCGGGGTTGTCAGTCACCGTGATGAACAGCGAAGAATTGCCATGTTTAACAACGCACGCCATTGCATATTGGTAACGCTGCGTGATCTCGCGCGGGGCTGTTCTTGAATGTCGAGCCCAAAATCACCGAACATCCGATTTGATCCGGGGTCAAGCCGTTGGCAACAGCGTCGGTGATGCCTTGGGCCTGGGCCATGGTGAGGCGCAGGTTTTCTTGATGCAACCGGATGTACTTGAGTCGATCGATCTCGACTTGGGGGTATCCGTCGATCACGAACTCGAGGAAGAGACGCTGGGTGCAATGAGGTATTGAGAAGTAGTCGTCGCGTTCGTGCAAGTAGTACGCAAAGAATTGGGAACGCGAGACTCGGGTTGATCCATCTCGTCCCCTTTTCCTTGACCTTCGTGCTAGATATCCAAACATTCTATGTCAGTCTGTGCTGCGTCTTAACAGAATGGAGCACGTGAGAAAGAGCCGAAGACGCTTACGTTCACCATCACCATTATCTTCGTCCTCCTTGCCGTCTTCATCCTCATCGTCGCGGTCTTTGTCCTCCTCCTTCGTCATCCAGACCGAGACCGGAAGTACCTCGCGCAATTGGACACCATTGTCGATCTGCTCTCGCTTTCTGGCGATGGGCGGCCCGGCTTGGTGGAACCCGCAAAGAGGAGTGTTGAGGTGGAAGCTATCTTCCTCTGCGGCGAAGAGTGGTGGGTACCGGAGAGGCATCGCAGACGGATGGAGCGAGCAGCGAGCTGACGACTTGGTAATTGGGTCGAACATCGGGACAACGATCACTGTGCACCTGGACAACAAGTTCTTGCGGTCCACGATCTCCCGTGTTGGTGTCGGAATCGCAGATAAGCATCGTCATTTCCGTGCTCGACGGAGGAAGGTTGTGGGTGCGTCGGTCTCGGCCTGGTGGCAGGCAGACGCAGAGGCGCAGGACGCACTCTTTGGCCGTATCCCCAGCCTGCGCAAGCTTTGGCCGATGCAAACTCCCCCACAAAGCGGTTTCTGGTACGCAACATGGACTCGAGCTTGGTCAATGTAGGCCTTTGTATGCGGCTGTCTGCGCCGTCGAGTCCAAGTCGAGTGTCGGTGGCGGCTGGGTCGATGAGCCACGTTTGAGCGAAGGCTGAGCGTTGATTGACGACAGGGATCTGGACGCCGAGTCGAGGAGTAAAGGCGATCAAGCACGCGAAACACGCGGGGTCCTAGAACGCCCAGTCGAGTCTGGTCAAAGTGAGCAGCGAGCAGAGTCAACGACAAAGCGTTGTTGTACGACCCAGCGTTCTCGCGCAATGCTATAGCTTCTGTGTGCGTGGGAAGATTCTTGCACAGTTCAGCATGTGGGTCTACTGCAGACGACGGTTGTTGGATGGAGCAACTGACCGCTATCCGAGCCTTCAAGTAGCTGTTGAAAGTTGGGATTGGGCCGGAGAGAGGGAGGTAGCTGCACCTTGCCCTGCGAGCAGCACGTGATTAAGTGTCCGTTCGACTTCGTCCTTTCGCACTTCCCGTTGTCGAGCCTTGCAGTGGGTGCACACGGCAATCTGGGGTAGTCGCAGATGGAAACGTGGGGCTTGAGGGGTTTGAGCGCGATTCGAGTGATGAATCGGATTCATATGAGGATGAGGACGATTCGAAACTCTCGGCAGCTTTGGTCGCGGTTCCCCCCAAGTCCTCGACGTCTCGCACCTCCTCAGCCTCGGGGCTTTCGAACTCTCGCAAGAACTGTTCAAGCGACTCCGAAGAGGATTCGACAAGCGATTCATACTACGGAGTCGGAGAAGACAGCTCAAAGGAGGTATTACCTGACAACGTCGTCTCCGCACCACTCCTGGCTCGGAAAGACAAGAAGATTTGGACCGGCATACCTGCGAGCTCTCTCGGCGGAACGCAGACCGACGAACTGTCGAACACGACGCGCGGAGGCATTTTTCTTAAACATAATCTTCACCACTGCAGAGCACAACGAGCTCCGTCTCAGGCCGGTCGTTCCTCGCAAGCAGAAATCCGAATGGAAATTTGTAAGCAACCTTCCTGTCCTGGAGCTCCCAAGGTTCATAGCTACAGAGGTGTGTCGAAGCTGCGTGCTGCGCTGCGTTTTGTTTCGTCCTGTGATCGACCTAACCCTTATTGGTGAGATATATCAACAGACGCATGACTGGGCTCCACGCCAATATGAATGCTGTCTCGCTGTCGTCGAGCGACCTTACGGTAACGCGCGCTCCTCTACTACTCATCATCAACATCCGTCGGACGTGGCAGTGGGGATCTGATGACGTCCAGAACTGCCCATCACTCTTCTAGAAGCTTGGAGCCAACCCGCGAAGGTCGACCTGTTGTGGAAGTTCTGCGGATGGCCGTCGTTGCTCGGGGGCCTGCAAAAGAGATCGGGGACGTTTGAACATCGTTCAACTGCAATGATCATACAAGCAAAAGTCCGCCGATGTCGAAGCGTGACTTATTAGAATATGTATCTTCGCTCGATCTCTATGAACTGTTCTTCATGGATGAGAGAAGCGAGGGACCGGTGCCAATTCTGGTCTAATCGGCGCAATCACGTCCGGGAGTGTCGGCCTTGGCGGTTCGGGCGCCGGACCGCTGACACCACGGGCGCGGAGCGGCCAAGCGTGGGCAGAATCCCGATGTAGCAACTACTGCATTGTCCGCTTTGTCTCACCGGCCATATGTCATATAGACCTGTACATGCATCAAACTACTGTTCCCAGAGTGATACATCACACATTGCAAGAGATACAGGCGTCTACACTATGTGGTACCAAAGTCCCCATGAACGTGGTACAAGAATGACCTCGGATGTGATCCCAAAGTCCGCATCGATGTGATCCCAAAGTCCGCATCGATGTGATCCCAAAGTCCGCTCCGATGTGATCCCAAAGTCCCCTCCGATGTGGGACCAGAGTTGCCATCCTCGGGACCAAAGTGCCCTGCTATTCGCGCGATTAACCTAATTCCGATTCGGTAAGCTCAACTAAGCCCTCCCTCTGGGAGGGGCTTACGAGTTATCGGCGCGCTTGGCCCAGTTGCCCTCTGAAATTTCAGGGCCATTTGGGGGTGGTTCTCTGTAACTTGGCAAGTAGGCGCATCCATGCAAAAGTGAAGGACCCTATTTTTCTTTATGCTCTAAAAATGACATACCCCAAGTGGCGAGAGCTTTCATAAGCTGTGGGTGGAGCTGCAGCGATCCGAAGTCTGCGATTTTGGTCGATCGGGCCTCAGATGGTCCGAGCGCATCGTGTTAGTGGCGCTCTCATCGGCGAGCCTGCTCCGTTCGGCTTGATCCCTTTCAGTCCGCTTCGCTATTCTCCTCTTTTCACGATCACCGTCGTCCACGTCAAGCGCGACAATATCTAAAACCAAAAATGACCCGAACAAGCACACGCCGTACCTCATCAACTCGCCAGAACAACCGCCGCGAGGCGTAGCCGCGATCTCTCGCTATGTCAATACCTGTCGTGGTAGTTCAGCTCATCCACACGATTTGAAGGCGTTCAAACACACCGACCAAAGCTGTTCAACAGCAACTGGTCCAGCCTTAAGCGTGTACTTGATCTCATTCTACGACTTGCACGCGAGGATGGCGCAGAGTCAAGAAGCCGAATCAATGGCTGGATCGCCGAGCAGGTGGGCAACACTTTCGTACTTCTCGGATTGATTCTCCGGATCCAATAAAGCTACTGAATACTTGCCTTATCCGCGTGCAGGCCGACTCAATCATCGTTAAAGAGATGAAGCGAACCAAGTGCGCCTTCGTCGCTAGCCATGACTTGACTCCCGAAGTCCCCGCATCCGATAACATCGACGCCCGGCTCGATGCAATCGCCGAAGACAACCCTTTAATCAGCGGACGGGTTCGTACCTTGCTATCACAATGCGGAGACCCTCCACCGGCCGAGCCAATCAATCGCGACAAGGACCCAACAGCTTCCACTGATGTCGAGATGGAAGAAGCCACCCCGGAGAATGGTTCCGATCCGGGGCAAGAACAAGAGCCTGGTCACGAAAGAAAGCGTATCGAGTTTGTGAGTGTTTCTGACCATGGCTCGGCTGGGTATCGCAGCGAACTGACACCAAAAACTTCAACACGCTGGCCGCAGCTTTACTGCAGTGTCATGGGTCAGATCGCATTCGCTTGCAACCGAAGGAACAACGCCATGCAGCATCGCAACGGTCTCATGACTCTCGCATGTGGAGCGAACGACCGATTGACAATGTTTCTGTACGATTGCGGCTTGACGACATCTCGCTGGGCGACTCTCCAGGCAGCTGCGAGCTTGACGAAGGCGAATTCGACGGAACTGAAGGAGATTGGCTCGAACAAGTACTTCCATGTGACCGTGGACAACATCGACGTCACACATCACGTCAACGATCAGCAATTGGATCGACGGACCGAGCTGCTTCATGGAACTTTTGGTTACGCCCACATTCAGAACGGAGATATTGCCGGCGCTTACAACCTTCGAGCCTACTCTGCACATCAAGCGTCTTTACCGCGAGTCAATCTCCAGCATCTCCTCCCAACTCCCCAATCCGACTCGTCATCTACGACCGGGATAAAAGCTCAGATATATCGAGCGCTTGCTCGACTGGTCCCTCATCTTGGCCTCAGTCTTCTTGATGCACACCACCCCCCTGTCCTCGTCATGGACGGGCAACTTGACGCGCTCTCGAAAGGACTCGTTAGAGATCAACTTTGCCCAATCTGCATTGTTGATATGCATTTCAGGAGACTTTACACGCAGCAAACAGGAAGGAAAATCAACACATGTGGACTTCACTCAAACAGGAGGTCAACCGGCACATACGATCAGAATGAAGGAGATCTTGTGATTGGGGTCGTCCAACTGCCTGTATAGCTCGCCGTCTCTCCAGGTCTCCTCAGATACGACAATCGCGTTCTTTCCCTTTCGATTGAGATTGGCAGCCTGAAAGAAGCATGTGACTGCGGAAATCAGCACGAATGTCGGTCCAGCAAGCCCAGTCGGCAGAAAAACTCACCTGATGATTGCTCAGTGCATTCAGTGGACTGACAACAATGGTGACTGCCCAGCGTCCGTAAATGAGATACATTGCTTCGAAGATAACACTTTTGCCTGAACCTGTTGGCGCTGTGACGAACACAGCGTCATATCGATTCCGGTTCCCAAATTGATCGAGTTCGAAAGGGCAGCAATGGCCTCGATCTGCACAGGCCGGGGGGTAGAGTCCTCGTCAAGACTTTCGCCCAGAATCACTTTGATCTTCTTGCGTAATTCGCTGGAATCTCGTCGGTCCTGGTGAGTCAAAGGTGGCCTCCAGTGACCGAGAACGGCTGTCGGATTGGTTGAATGATTCGGTGCTGGGGTCGTAGGACTGGCCCTTGAAGCTGATCGCAAGGGAGACGCCCTGAACTCAATTGATGGATGTCGACGGGGCGGTCCCCTAACCGGCCTGGGTGTTTGTACCGACATGGCTCATCATGAGGGGAGGTGCGATGTTGAGTGGAGGAGAGAGAGGATGCGTGAGGCGCGGCCGGGCTTAAGTGACCTGGATCTATGCAGCCTTCGAATTTTTTTGTATCAAGCCTGATTAGATTTCACATATTCGGTTATCTACGCAAAATCAATGTTTCTTGAAAAGGGGGGTTGGACTTATGTAAAGTTATAGCCACTAGATCCATGCAGCCCCCACACTCCTGAAACCACCAAAAGTGTGATTCCAATCATGTGAGCACCACCACCCTTCCTATTCCCCGGTGGTAAAGAATAGGCACAATCGAGAAAGAGAGAGAGGAGAGGGGAGGAAAATCAGGAGAGAAAACTCAGAAACTCCGTACTCATGAAAACGTCAAGTCACATCATCTGGTCCAGAAGCTCGCCGTCTGGCAGACGTCGAAGTCGGAATTTGAGATGCGAGCGGACTTCGCGAGTAAGAAAGTACGGGGTCGGTAGGGAAATTTGATCCTTGTGCTGATGCCATCGAGCAAGGTAGAGCTTGTTGAAAGCAATCGCAAGAACGACCCGAACGACGATGTAGGTCCGAGAGTCACGACTTTCGCCACTCACCCGAGGAAGGCCAAGCATGATCTGAGGAGAGTCGACTTCGCCAGGTTGGAAGTCACCTGCCTGGCCAAGCGCAACCCTCAGCAGCTGCAAGGTCAGGCGCCAGAACTCACGTGAATGGTCACATTCAAAGTAGAAGTGCATGGAGGTGTCTCGTTGGCCGCACTGTGGACACCCATCAGATGCAGCGTGACCATGGTGATGTTGCAGAACGCATGTCGGCGTCGCCCCGAAGATCAGTTTCCAGTGAACGTCCTTTTCGACCGCTGTTGCCCATTGACTGTTGAGCCAGCTCCAGAACTGTTGCTTCTGTGACTTTGTGAGATCTGTTGGCCACTTGAGTCGAGAGCCGTCGTCCAGCGAGGGATAGCGGGCCTCATTGATGAAGTGCCGCAGAGCTTTGATCGTAAAAGGACGGGTCGCGCCAAGGAACGTGTATGTGCAGGGTCGTAGGAAGTAGCAGTCGCCAATGGCGGTCCGGACGGCGGCGGGCTGGGGCAATGCAGAGGCTATCGGAGAGCTAGCACTCACATCGGCCCAAAGCTTTTCCAATAACGACTCTGGTTGCAGGCCTGGGTTGACGGGGTCCCCTGTCGTCTGCGGCCTCCGGTAAAGATCGATGATTGCCCCAAACTTCTTGAGCCGCCTGCGCGCATCGTCCGACAGGCCTTGTGGGTGTAAGGAAGGCAGAGTGGGTGGGATCACGAGCACCTCGGTCGACCGAAGGAGCTCTGGGAACACATGGGGCAGCATCAGTCGCGCAACGTTGATGACCTTCGTCCACCGCGCGTGGGTTGCGCGGCGAGGTGAGGCAATCAGTGTTGACCAAATCGACGTTTCTTCCGGATATGTGCGCTCCCACCTGATCCGTGCGAGTGTAGCCCAGATCGGCTCGAAGCCATGGGCAACGCAGTCCCAGAACCGGATCGCCATAGAGCAAACAATGTCCTCGATGCTCAGCAGGCCCAATCCACCAAGATCGCGACGGAGGAAGACCGCCTCTTTTGTCACGGGTCGGAAGGAGTCGTTGTGCCACACGAAGGAGATGAGCGCTTGTTCGAAAGCGTCGACGAAAGTGACGGGTGGGATGTCGAACGAGAGCAAGTGGATGACCCTCGAAGTGACATACGAGTTGGCGTACATCGCGCGAGCCCGTGGGGGAACACGTCGATTCGCCGCTGCCTCCAGTCGAGCCTTTGCTCGGTTGAGTGTCGTGCTCCAGAAGAGCGAGAGATTGCCGTCGATGGAAACCGGATAGCCAGCCCAAGTCATGCACTCACCAGCGCGCACAGTAGCGATCCCGCTAGCCCGCTCGTCCTGAGTCCAGCCCAAGCCGAGAGGGAGAGCAGTCGTCTTGGCCGTGTTCGAGCGTCCGTTTGTAGCCAAGCGCCAATCGACGGCGAGACCAGTCATGAGATCGAGTGCTGCCGGTGACGAGACGAGCACGATCGCATCGTCCGCAAAGGCGAGGTGGGTGAGGATTGCAGCCCGGGTGGGAAGAAATACTGCACTGAGATCAAGGGCAATTTTTCTCCTCACTAGGGCATCGAGGTAGGGCTGAAAGCACACGTTCCAGATGGGACAACTCACGGGATCTCCTTGCCCCAGCCCGCACAGCATGCGCACAGCCTCCGTGAGGTATCCATTGATGATGTAACGAAGTGACACCGATCTGTAGATAACGTTGAGAAGGCCAAGGAAACGTTCTGGCGCTCCCATCGCTCGAAAGACGCTCATGATCCAGTCATGATCAACTAGGTCATATGCGCTTTCCTGATCAAGCGATAGGAGAGCCGAGTCAGCAAGGTCAAGGGATCGAATTTGTTCAAGGAGCAGGGACAAGTGACTTCCCGCGTCTGAGGCCTTTCGACCAGGCATGAAACCATGTTGTGAAAGGGGAAGAACGGATGGCAGCACTTTGTTCAGCCTTGCTACGAGGACCTTGGTCATCAACTTGTACGAGCACTCGCGAAGCGTGATCGGGCGGTAGTACTTGAGGTCCGAGTAGTCAGCGTCGGGCTTTGACTTTTTGAGGAGGCGGACAATTCCTTTGGTCATCGATTCAGGCAGAGCACCTTTCGTCCACGCCTCATTGCAAGTCGAGGCCAGTAGCTCCGCAAAGACGGTTAGGGAGGACTAATACATCTCGTACGGTAGCCCGCTCGCTCCTGGACTTCGGCCCTTGTCAGTCTTGGCAATTGCGGCTGCAAACTCGTCGGCAGTGAAAGGTTCCTCGAGCAGCTTGGCGTGTCGCGCAGTCATCGGCCTCATGAACCTTGAATCGGAGTGCTTCTTGCCTCTTGGTAAAGCGCGTCGTACGGGATCAAGAAGGGTAGAGCGAGCAGCTTCGACTTGAGCGGGATCGCGATCATCTGGCGTGTGGTGGTCTTGGAAGTATGCTCGCGCGTGGTCCAAGCACTTGGTAAGGTCCGTTGAGGGCGAGCCATCCGCCAGACGAAGGGTGTCGATCTTGATGGCCGTACGGCGAGCGGCGAGTCGTGCATGGACCGTGTGGGAGAGCTGCTCCTCCGAGCTGAGTTCCGGGATGTGCGCACGAATCCTCATTTGACGGGCTCGGTCTAGGATCAAAACCTTGGTCATGGCCACCAGATCTTGCCATTCGGCTCGTCTCCCGTCGTCGAAAGTACCGAATGCTTCGAGCTCATGGATACGACGCTCGAGCGTTTCCTTTGTCGTCGAAAATTGCCGATTCAGGTGGCGAGCATGGTCACTCGAGGCAGATCTTAGTCGAGACATCGCTTCCTCAAAAGCCGCAAGCGGATCGAGCGGGTGGGACTCGCGAGATGCGTCGATGATGAAAGGTATGCGAGCTGCAAAGGCTTCGTCGGCATAGACTCGTGTGTTGACTCGTAGCAACTGGGACGACGTTTCCGGGAGCGAGGGCAGGGCCGGCGTGCTTTTGGCGGATGGGCAGGCGATCCCCGCATACACGGGGCGATGGTCCGAGAGGAGCGCGTCGAGGTACGTGGTCCCCGAGACCAGCAGATGAGCATGTTGTTCCGACAAGAGGATGTAGTCGATGCGCGACCAGGACTTGATCTTGCCCGCCTGTTGATGCGGCCTGCTGAAGTGGTTCGAGTGAGGGTGCAGGTATCGGATCGTGTCGATCACAGCAAAAGGGAGCCGGCCGATGAGAGTACGCCAGTAGGTGGGGGGAGAGCCAGACCGTCCCTCTTTAGAAACAGATTTTCGATCCACCATAACGTTCGGACAGTCGTTCAAGTCTCCAGCGATGATCCTAACGGTCGTTTCGGGTTCTCGGTCGAGCGAAAAAGTGCTGAAGTGGGCCTTGCGTTCCTTCGGGTTCACGGGGGCATAGTAGTTCACGAACTGGTATTTCTGTGAATTCAGAAAGTAGTTGATAGTAAGTATTCGAGGGTCAGGAAGGTCTCGAAAAGTAGGGGAAAGGACGTACAGGCGGGAGCGCTCCGGGATGAGGGTGGCGACAAGGTCTCTGAAGAAGACCCGCCCTTTCCAACATCGCTCGAAGCGCTCCCGTTGTGATCGACTCTTTAATCCGTGCTCCTGTACAAATACAATGGAAGGGGGTGGAGAGAGGGAAGAGAGGTAGACGAGGAAACGCTCCTGGCGCCCCAAGTCAGCAATAGAGTTTACATTGAAAGTGAGAAGGTGGAGCTGGTCCAAGTCAGGTCGAGTTGGTGGTACAATCATTTTGGGTAGTTCTTAATTTGTGTCCATCAAGGACACTGAACCAGAAGATAGAGGAGAGGGTGCGAGCGCTGTTCCCTTCGGGGCGCGAGTGGTCGGCCTTTCGTACGGTGCCGGTCTCTTGGAGCGTGGTGAAGTCGGAGGTGCCAACGACGAGAGAGGTGTTGAAGACGGGATCGGGCTCGAATCAGCCGAGCTCAAGTGCGATGATACCGGGGTCGATAGAGCCGCCGCCAGCCCAAAGTCGTTGCTGTTCGGTTTAGATGATAACGAGCTCGACCCCTGCTCTACTTCCATTGCTTGTTCATCTTCCGTCTCCTCTTCTTCCTGACTTCCATCCTCCTCCTTTTCCGCCGGACCGCTCCTCATCTCCTCTTTCTGACCGCCCCTTCCTTCGGCCCTATTTTCCTCATTTTCCTCGTCCCCTTCCTCTTCCATGTCCTCCTCTTCCAATCCCGCAAAGGCGTTGGTGAGCGTCATCCCGTTTGCCCCCGTAGCCGGACTAGGGGTGGTAGTCGGCCGGGCCTTGCTGCTCTGGGTGGCCGTCGCCCATCCATCGCCGGTGCCCCTGTCCGAGGTCGCTCGAGGTTGAGAAGCGACCGCGCGGTTGAGTCCGACCACCTGCCGTTGGGTCTTGGCTTGCTGGATCGGACAGACGGAACGAACATGTCCGGGACGGCGACAGTAGCCGCAGAAGCCAACCTGAAGATCGTTGTTGAGAGCGACTACCGCTCCTTGCCTGTTGGTGAGGTGGACCGGCAAAAAGGTGTTGAAATCGACATCCTTCATCGCTTCTTCCGGAAGTTGCACATAGCACCAGTAGTCGCCACTGAAGAGGAGTTGGAAGGGTTCGTCTGGAACTACCTCGAGGTTGCGCTGGAAATGTAGGATCTCCGGGGTCGCGATCTTCGTTCCCCAGGTCTTGTTGTAGGTCTCGGCGCTTTTGCGGAGGGCAACGCGGATGCCGTTGAGCCAAAAGTCCGGGTCGTCTCGGTCGGAGTGACAACGGAGCCTGATCTCGACTACCCTGTCGATGGGGGAATGAGGGAGGGTGATCGTCGTTGGCGAGCCCCTGTACTGGAAAGCCGGACGTTGGCAGGCGCGGGCGAAAGCCTCGGCGTTACGGAAGTTGATGTCGTACGTGTGGACGGCGTGGATGCGGCCTTTCGACGGGTCGGCCGGGATGACACGCGGCGAGATACCGCAGATATCGGAAAGGAGGTGATCGAATTTGGATCCGAGCTTGCTGATGTCGGCGTTAGGGATGGAGAAGAGGCACATGGATTTGGGCTTCGCCGTGTTGTAGTGTGCAATGAGCGCCTTTTCGACGTCCACGCGAGGGAGCGACTTGTGGGTCGCAAGACTGAGGGTGATACGGATGGTGTCGGGTTGGACTACATCGCGGTAATCGGTTTCGGATCCTTTCAACTTCCTGGAGGCGTCTTTCATCGCCATTGCGGAGGTAGGAGGGTAGAGGGGATGGTGATGGTGGACATGGAGCATGCGCCCCGCGTTGGGGCCAGGTACGATATTGAGCTCCTTGCAGAAGAGTAGACGTTCAGCAAGGTCTCGTTGTTGTTCTTGGATCGTCAGCTCATGGGCAGCCGTGGCAGCCATGGCGGCGGTGATGACGGTAGGGGAAGTGACCGGTGACGGGGGGCTGGCGGATGACGACGCATCTTGTTGAAGGACGGGTCTACCCGATGGCGACGGTGTAACGACTACAGCAGGCGGCAAGGTACCGCCTGGATCGTCGGCACTGCTGACATTCATCAGAAGTGCAGAAGTGTTGGCTGTTGGTGTTGCTTGGTGTTGTGGTTTTTTTTTCTTTGTACGCAGCCGTGACGCGTGGCATCCACGGGGGAGAAAGGGTCCGTGCGCGCGAGCCTGAATCGGCGCGTCAAACCCTTGCAGCAAACGCCGAAAAGACCATCCGACAGCGTGCTCCACTAACTACTCTTGCCTCTGCTCGCTGAACTGAACGGCCCCCGTCACAAAGACTTCAACGCATCGGTCCCCGCGTCGTGTGGTCATACGATGTTCTTCACTCGTAATCGGAACATCTTCCAGTCCCCGTTCACGTTACTACATGGTGGTTCATACTCTGACCATCACCCATGCGGCAAGGTGGATGACTTCAGCTACCGTGCGATCGGCACGCCGTTCCAAGGAGCCCCCCTTCCTCCCTCGTCACAGCTCCCAGTCTCAGCAATACTGGATACCTCACTTCAACAACGACTAGAAGGCGCGCTACTTGACTTTCTGGGCGCGCATGACTTGGTGGAACTATGGTAATAGTGAGCGGACGATCAGAGAAAGGGGGGGGGGGCGATTGCTATCGAAGCGCAGAGACCGAGATGCCGAAACCGAGAAACACGCAGATAATGAAACCGAGAATGATAGATTCGCAGAAATGTCCTCTTCCAAGCGGTCCTCCCCTCCGAAAGTCGCCTCCCTCCAAAGTCGGTCTGAGTCGTGTCTAGTCTAGTGGTCTATCTCCGAACAAGAAGCGAGTCTTCCCTCCAACGCCAGGACACTCCATTCCCCCCGGGCCAGCTTCCTCCTCTTTTCCGACACTCGGCCTTCTGATCACGCCATACTTCGTCCTGATCACGCCATTCCTTGCTCCTGTCACACGGTCCCTTGCTCTGAACTTTTATCCGCTCATGTGACGCTAGGCCGAGTTAGCCGAATCTGCGCTTCCCGACTAAGCGACTCCAGCCCGATTTCCGAGACCACCGAATTAGCCGACGCCCGCGTGAGTCGACTACCCTAATGCAGCCGACAAGATCGGGAGTCCCATCTCATTTCCGACAACAGGAGCCTCATTTCCGACTTTGCTGCACACGACGGGATCCCGAGTACCACAGAACCCGTGTACAACGAGACGAGCTCGCTGCTGATGCATATGGGACAAACACGACTCTTCTGTACGAACTCACCCGAGTGCACCGTCAGCGTGCACGACCTGCGTATCCGAATACTCGAGCCCCTCGTCACGATCGTGCTGAAAAAATATCACGACAAGATCGAAGAGGACGGCAAGAAGTCGGGCGGTTGTTACCTCCTCCAGTATCGCCCCGAAGACCCCCTTCAACCCCAACTCCCTCGCGGGATCACCTTTGCTCTGAGGCACACGATAACGGGGGTGGCGTCCAACACGACCATATCGTTTGATGAAGACTCGAGCTTCCTGACCTTTGGATGTCAGCCGAACGTGTTTGCCCGCGAGGACGAGTGCAAGTTCTTCCTCAACGAGGGTAAGCCGATCCCGCTCGATCCGTGCGGCAGGAGCCACGGCGCGCAGGCGATGCTGAACAAGGTGAGCATCTTGCATTCACTCGTGCTTCGCTCAATGGTCACTAGATTGCTAACTGTATCTTTCATCGGGTCTCCAGCTCGTCTGGAGGATGCAGTCTGCAATTCAGCGTGACCCAAAGACGGGTAAAGTCGAGGTATCGGTGCGCTTTGGCATCATTATGGGCACTCATTTTGCCATTCTGGCCGAGTCGGGTAAGTTGGATTGGTCATGACGAGTTGAGCTTGCCCATCCCTAAGCCACCTTCTGATCCCCTGACAGTCACCAATCCGAACAACGATCAAGAAGCTGGGCTCGTCTACACCTCCATCTTCAAAACCGGTAATGAAGTCAAGGATCGGGATCGATATGCATTCGATTTCCGGCCAAGGTCCATTCCGCCTTTGTTCCTCGCAATCATTCTAGACTATCTCGTCAAGGTCCCACCTCCGCCCGACGAGATTCTCAACTCTCTGTTTGGTACGGGGAAGCATCTGGACGATTCTGGCGGGGACTCAGGTGTCGAGGGGCAGACCAAACTTGAACGCTCAGAGGAAGGTAACGGGGAACAGCCAAGTGGGCTAAAAAACGAGCCACAGAGAACAGGTCAGCCAAGTGAATCAGAGAATAAGGGCCTTCCGGAACCATCCGCCCAAGTCGTATGACCACCATGCAGCTCGCTGTCCAAGCGAGGCTGAACAGTGGCCGGTAAGTCATCTCGAATACCATCGGATGACGATAGAAGTCGTTTGGCGCCTTCCCCATCCACCGCGGGTAGCTGACAAGGCTTTCTTTCTGACGTTTAGCCACGAATAGCTCTCTACAAATTTGATCGAGGGAATCGGGTGAACCGGGGCACACGTATCGAAGCCGTCATCTTCGAGGTCGTCAGCAAGCCGGGCAAATCCTTGAAGGCTCCTCGACACAACCCGAGTCATGACCTTGTCCACCTTCCCCCCGTATTAGTGTATTACTAGGTTCGGCGGCGCGCGGACCGTAACCGTTGACCCGCTGCAATGTGATGTACTTCGCTGCAACAGCTGCGGTACTGTTCAGTAACGGAAACCTAGTGGTTCAAGTCGGGAGAGGACCGCGCGACGACGATCAAATGTACCCAGCCTTCATTTCATCACTGGACTACTTTTTTGTTCTGTGGGAGCCCGATGATGGGCTCAGACCGTCGTCGAGACCCGCGTCGAGTGTGGACCTTTTCACGGGTGTCGCAAGCTTGACTTGAGCTGCCACGGGATGGTGAGCCGCAATTCACGGAACCGGAGGCGTGTTTTTGGCGTGATTCGTTTATTGCCACTATCCTGTTGTCCATCTGTAGCGATGGCAGTGAAGACTCACATTTAGTGTCCCATGGACCCGGGTTCTCAGCGGTACGAAGTCAATCCTTCCATATTGCACCAGTGCTCGCCAATGTGCGGCCGATATCGCGCGCGAATGCTCTTCACGCTTGAAGGTGAGTTGGCCGAAACTTCAGACTCGATCACGCTCCCGAAAAGAGCCCCTGAGACTTTTTGGATAGTATTACCCACTGAGATTGGAAATAACCGAAGCGAAGGGTACTACCGTCTGCTTGGGTAATACCGTCGTCACGTGGGTAATACCCGTCGGGTAGGTAATACCGAACCAGCGGGTATTACCCGACAAAAACGTCGCTCAGTGATGTGATGGTATCGGCAAAGGCGAGCTGGCGTTGCAACACGGCAATTCGTTTGGGGAACAGGGAAGGGGTTGATTGGCTTTTGGTGTTGTGGCAGGTTTTCCGACTAATTTGGAGTTGGTTCGCGTTTCGGAGACGTTTAGGGAAACGTGATGACGAGGCGGTCAAGTTGATCAAGTTGTATCTGGCTGCTAGCTGCTGCCAGTAGCTCAGGAAAGCCTGGGAGAGTTCGGCAGTAGGAGCGAGTAGCTCGGTACTAGCTTGAGTTCAGTACTAGTAGGGACTGGTAGGGACTAGCTCGGGCTGTTCAGCATCGCCTACACGGACCCTCACCTTGCCCCAACCTCTCAGAGTCAGTGAGTCACTCGAGCAAACGTGGTTATCATCTCGTCAAGCAAGCCAGCACTGCAGTTCGGCCAAACTTGTCAACCAAGCTTCCGGCAAGACCCCCTGCATCATCCACGACTCAATCACCTGACATGTAGCTCGGGCAGCACGTCAAGGCGCGTCGCACGAGGATAACCCCTCCCCCACCTGGCAAGCTGCGACTCGGAGACATCACCCACGACGTCGCTGCACCGACTAGATCGACGCTATCGCACATTCTTTCACAGTCGTCTGGCATCGCTTCACTTGTCGACCAGGGGCTGTGACACAAGGGTGCGAAAGGAGTCAGTGTTGCATTCGGTACCAACGAGCCACCTCCTCTCCTCTCCTCGCCGGGCTCCCCATTATGATGATGTCGTCCGATGATGAAAGATGGGTAGACCTCGGGCGTAGTGCACCCAGTACTCGCGAATCAAGCGTCGTCCAAGTACCAGCCGTTGCTGATCGGTCATTGTGAGCTTGACCCCACCACCCTCGAGTGCAAAGTGCGTTCCATTCGGCAACCCATCCACACCTCTCGATGAACGTCGACTCGACTCCCCGTGCTGGAGCCATGGCCACTCCTCAGCGGAGTCCTTTTACACTCGCATCGGGCTCAGGTAGGCGCCGGCATTCGCCCTATGACCCCATGGTCTTCGACCCTTTCATCCCGAATCGATGCTAGTCTCGCCAAGGACGTACGACCCGCCACCGTTGCATCAACTGCCCCCGACGACTCCTACTTGACCTACCGCTACCTCGGCCCCCCATGGAATGCATCACGATCGAATCCTCCCCTCTCGCCGCCGTCCTACCTCGAACGCTCACAGGTTTCTTCAAGTTCCTCGAACGACACAGCTTGGTCGACGAGGTTTTGGAACTTGCGAACAAACTCATCTAAAACATCCATCCGGGACAACGATGCGCTACCGAGCACGAATGCGCCATCTTCACGAACTAGCGAGGCATTGGCTCCAAGAAGTGAGGCACGAGTTGGATCGTGAAGATGGCGCATTCTTGCTCGGGTAAAGTATCGTTGTCCGGCATGGATGTTTGGACGAGCTTGCTCGCAAGTTCCAAAACCTCATCAACCAAGCTGTGTCGTTCGAGAAACTTGAAGAAACCGGTGAGCGTTCGAGGCAGGACGCTTTCGTCTCGCATGGCAGCTGGCACCGGGTCCTGACGGGATAGAGTCGGGCCTAGTATGTGGAGAAGCGCCACCCGGTCCGCTTCTCGCGTTCAATCCTTGTGACGACGTTCAAAGCGTGAGTCGGCAAGACTGCGTTCCTTGGTTCAGCAAATCCCGTATCAGGTGGGCAACAAGATTACTGCTTCAAATGAAGCTTGCCGAGCGAGTTGGTACTGACTAGGTAAGCATCCATTTCGACAGGGTCACAGACGATACACAGCGGTCCCATCCAGGGTTTGAGGGAGCGGATCAAGGTTTCCGCGTCGAGTGTTGAACCGTCACAGAATAACGGTTCAAGACAGTATAGCGGTTCAAGACAGTCGAGGTGAGCATCATTTCTCCGACGCGGGCGGCGGTAGGGCGTCGCCGACTTTTTCCTCTCTTCCCGGACATGACTTCGCAGCCGAAGTTCAGCGCACACGTGAGGTAGTCGGTGAGTCCAATCGTCTAAGTACCGCATGACTCACCTGATTTGCTAATAGGAACATCTGGATCGTCGGTCTGAACAGAACACTTGACCCACTGGCTTTCCGCCTCAACCCGAAGAATCTTGGCAACTTTACTCTCTAGACTGCCCACCGGGGTGCCAAGTGGCAGGTGCTGTGATGGAAAGGCGCTGCGAGTGCCGGTGTTCAATCGATCAACTATCTATAGTCTCGTGTTTGTTCAGATCTGCATTTCTGACTTGGATTATGGTATGTGTCTGCGACTCCGTCTGAGCTGCACGCACCTCCGAGGAGGATTCAGTTCGGCGCTGATTTACACCAATTCAACATCGTAATCGTCAAAGCTTCTGTTTCTTTCTTCCATCGACGGCTTCGGATTCTGCGGAGTAGATTCCTTAGCATGGATCATCTTATATCTGCCTTTCTCTTACAATGGCCGAGGCAGTCAAGATCTGATGAACTATCTTTCGAAACTGACCATGGATTTTTCGTCCGCCAAACGGAGAACCTTTCTTTTTGAATCGGATGCTTTAATACTCAGTGCAACTTCCAAAGGTCGAAGTTGTGTCGCAGTGTGAAGAGGTGCGTGGTAGCGCACCGCCGAACCTAGTGGCAAGTATATAGAAACTTTTAGGACTGGAGTGGAAAATTGGGTGAAAGAAGGAGGGAAAGAGACTGAGAGCACTACTCTCGTCCGACGTCGTGTCGTCGACAAATTCACGTGCAATTCGTGCGTCGGATGGGCCATGCGGTATCACTAATGCACATCTCAAAACCTGAGATCTTGAGACTTGATCGTAAAATTGCAACACATATCTTTGAATTTGATAGCTGTCACCATATTGATGTTGAGAATGAGGGAGGCAGCTTTGTCAGTAACCTGCATTCCGTTGGGCCTGCCGAGTTTTGCTCCCTCTCTGCCGAGTCTGACGTCCGACGTCTGATTTATTGAGTTGATAGTATGGTGAGCCCGCCCCAAAAGGACTGAAAGTGAGCGGAGGTCGATATAAGCTGGCTCCTGGCTGAGGCTTTGCCGCTGGTGACATCGAATCTAACCCTCGGGATCCGGCTTGAACTTCTTCAGTCTCCGAAAGTAGGGACTTTGAAGTGGCGAGATTTCAGTCGATCATGCACAACGAGCCGTCGCGGCATCGCTGACGAGTTGCAGTCCGTATGATCGACCCCATACTTTTCGAACAGTTTGTAGGCATCGCTATGGAGAACCAAATCACACGCAGCAGTGACCTGTAGAAATAGGACAATATGGCCCCCCTTTCCATAAAAGCTCACCATATCAGTTGCTGAACCTCGTCGTTCGATCTTTCAGCGAAGGGGATCGGATTGCCGGCTCGAATTTGGTGTCGCGGATGCTTTGGGAGACGACGCTATACAGCACCCCGAAATCGCCATCGGTTGGCATGTTGGGACGGTTGACTGGGCTCGCACAGGTATCTGTCGGGATATTAGAACAGTGCGCAAGTGCGTCCGCTACCGAAGCTCTGTGCTCACGCCTTTCGGCGACGAATCCGTTATACGCACCGCAGATCATGGTGCTAAACCGCGTCTCGGTCCCGTGTGCTTGCTCGTAGTAATTGCTGGGTGGATAGCGGTCGAAGCCCGCGCCGATAGAAGCACTGGCATGGTGGTAAGCAAGTGCGAACGGTCGCCAAAAGAAAGAGAAGGTGACCACCTTGATGAGGATCCCGCTCGTGTGACAAGTTTCGGGTAAAGTGGCGTCGAGCTTAACGGCGGCAGTCTGGGCGAATCGGAACATGCGGGAAGCGAGGTCGCCCTTTGTGGTCACGTGCTCCTCGACGTAGCCGTCGAGCACGGACTCATCCCTCTTGGATTCTAGCGAAACGACCAGTCTCACTTCTTCGTTGACCAGAAGTACGAAGTTGCCGTCGCCTTGCTGGCGCCGGGCCTTCATGTGGAGATGGTGGGAATCCTCGCCGCGAGCCTCAAGTTTTGCGCTTTTGAGGCTCGGAATTTGGGCAAGATGAGATCGAGCATAGAGGAGTCCCATCATCTCCACGTTGAGACCCGACGCCAGCAAGGCGACGGCAACTTCGTACTTCTGGTCAACGAAGAAGTGAGATTGGTCGTGTCGTTCGAATGTAAGAAGGATTCGGTGATCGACGGTTACGTCGAGGAGCACCACAAAGGGCGACCTCGCTTCCCGAATGACGAGTTGAATCCGCTCAGACTGCGGTCAAGCTCGAAGCCACTTTACCCGAAACTCCGCACACGAGCGGGATCCTCATCAAGGTGAGCATCTTCTCTTTCTTTTTTCCGACCGTTCGCACTTGCTTACCACCATGCCAGTGCTTCTGTTGGCGCGGGCGTCGACCGCTATCCAATCGGCAGAAGTACGAGGTGGCCGTCGCCGTCGCCTTGCGCACGTCGGATCCTCTAGTGGGTCTCAATATCCCGAGAGCAGTCACACTTGCGTACCACTGATCAATGATTCGAGCTGAAGCAGGCGCAATTACCGTATATGTCCATCACCTCGAGCCGAGATGTCATCGCCCCGACATTGGCGCTGTCGGAGCCTCTGACTCGTCACTTGGTCACTGCCACTGACGAGAGCTGAAGCAGAAGCAATCCGAGCACAAGTATCGAAAGGAGGACGTGAAGATTTCCAAACGATGTGGCGACTGAAAATTGGAGAACTGAAGACGCTGTGAGGGACCAAACCGAATGGGAGAGTGGGAAAGGGGATAAGGACATGGAGAGGAGGAAAAACAAGGGGGAACTAGTGACGTCGCGGCATCGTGAGGAGAACAGCCTATACTAGTAGTAGGACCCGGGAAAGCTCAGCTGAAGGTGCGTCTCGAAAAACCCCGTTTTTAGGCCGATTTGTACACCGAATGTCCCTATCCAAGGGGTGTATGTATTCCGGTGTAAGACCAAAGTATCGGGCTGTGTTTAAAAAGTATCTACCATCAAAAATATCGTCATGTAGCATACACATGGCATAAATGGGCCCGAAATGTACAAATCTATCGGACGCACATTGGGCTGAGCTTTCCCGGGTCCTCTAGTAGTGGCGTCAAGCCACCTGGGTTCCGTCTGATCATGTTTGTTTCTGTTTTCTTTTCTAGGTAGTCAAATATTATTCTTGGGTATTCAGATATAAAATTGTGGATGTTTACTACGACATAGTTTGACAGATGTGTTAGAGATTCGAACGCTACTTGAAGTTCGTCCCACGGTGGCCCCGGGCCCCCACTCTCCCTTTTCGGTGGGAGAGTGAACCGGTCTCACCTGTTCCAGGCGCGCACTTCGACTCATCGGATCATGAATCTCAACAAAGATTTCATTTGCTCCCCATTCACAGTACTGCCCGAGGGATTATCCTCTGATCATGACCCTTGCGGCAGGTTGGACGACTTCAGCTACCGTGCGATCGGCGAGCCCTTCCAAGGAGCCTCCCTTCCTCCATCGTCTCAGCTCCCAGTCTCAGCAACACTGGATACCTCACTTCAAGAACGCGTAGAAAACGCGTTACTGGGCTTTCTCCGCGAGCACAAGATGGTGGAATCCGTGTTCTACGAGGCGTGCGCACTGCTCATGATCATTGGGAAAGCACGACTCTTCTGTACGAACTCACCCCAGTGCACAGTCAGCGTGCACGACCTGCGTACACGATTACTCGACCCCCTCGTCATGTTTCTGCTGCAAGAGTACCAGGCCCAGCTTGGCGAGGACGTCAACAAGCTGAACGGCGGTCGTTACATTCTTCACTCCAGCCCCGAGGACCCTGATCAAACCCATATTCCTCACGGTATCACGTTCGCTCTGCGGCATACTCATACGACGGTGGCGTCCAACACGATCATATCTTTTGAAGAAGGCTCGAGCTTCATGACCTTTGGATGTCAGACGAACCTGTTTGCCCGCGAGGACGAGTGCAAGTACTTCCTCCACCAGCGAGGGCCGATCCCGCTCGATCCAAGCGGCAGGAGCCACGGCGCACAGGCGATGCTGAACAAGGTGAGCATCTTGCATTCCCTCGTACTTCACTCAACGGTCACTATATTGCCAACTGTACCTTTCCTTTGGCCTCCAGCTTGCCTGGAGGATGCAGTCTGCAATTCAACGTGACCCAAAGACGGGTAAAGTCGAGCTACCGGTGCGCTTCGGCATCATGATGAGCACTCATTTCGCCATTCTGGCCGAGTCGGGTGAGTCGGATTGGTCATGACGAATGAGCTTGCTCATCCCTAAGTCACCTGCTGATTTCCTCACAGTCACCAATCCGAACAACGATCAAGAAGTTGGCCTCATTTATACGCCAATCTTTAAAATTGGCACGACCCTTATGGATCGGGATCGATTTCCATTTCATTTTTGGCGAAATCCATTCCGCTTCTGTTCCTCGCCACTATACTGGACTACCTTGTCAATGTGCCACTTCCGTCCCACGAGTCCCTCAAATCTCTATTTGGTGCGAGGAGAGATTCCGATGGTCCCAGCCGTGATTCCGGTGGCGGTGGGCAAGCTAGACATGCCGAGGAAGGGGCCGAGAAACAACCAAGTGGAGGACTGGAGGACACGGGATCCACGAAACCGATCGCCTCTGACGTATGGACCACCAAGGAGCTCGCTATCCAGGCGAAATTGAACACTACGGTGTGGCCGGTAAGCAATCGCAAGAGGATATCAATCCTTCAGTATCTTCACCGAGGTCGGCAGTGCGCGGGGAGCTGACCACCCCTCCTAGGCTCTTAGGCGCGGATAGTTCTTGGCAAGAATGGAACAACCTGGGCATACGTCTCGAAGCTGTTATGTTCGATGTCGTTGGCAAGCCGGGCAAAACCTTGGCAGCCCCCCGACACAGAACGAGTCATCGCCTTATCCCACTCTCCCCCGCGTTGTTGGCTTATCTTTCGAAACCCCTGGGCGAACAGCGTGGACGTAAGAAGAGCTCTGTCACTTTGTCCAATCTGAGGGAGATCAAAGTCGACACTTTACCGCTCCTCGCTGCGGTGCAACTCCTGGGGAGAGGAGGATTCGGCTCCGTGACCGCTGGTAAACTCGTACTCAACCCTCCCGGATTCAAAGATCCGGTTCTTAAGGATGAGGAGGGCTCGAAGGCTCCTGAAGTAGACAGGTTACAAGCCGGAACACCTCGTGAGGGGATTGCGGACTGCCCCAGCTCAAGCTCGATCCCGACCGATCGACCCGTGGCCATCAAGCTTTTCGAAGACGACAAGCTGGAAGCCGGGATCCGAAAATCGCTCTTTTACGAACACATTTTTCCGCTCCTCCCGAAAAATGCGCGCGCGTTCCTTCCTGCTTATTACGGAACCTTCCGAAGTGCTCGTGGCAATTCGATCGCTTTAATTATAGGTTACGGAGGGCGGCCAATCCGACGGTCTGAGCGATCGAACGAGGAACTCCAACAGAAGGTCGAGTGAGCTACACGGCTCTTGTAGTGTGTTCGCGGCTACTATAGCTTGCTAATCCGTCGGAGGTCCGTCTCTCCACAGCAACGCTTACTGTCTATTCGACAAGCATGGGGTCGATCATTCGGACCGGAATCTCCGTAACGTGCTGCTGCGCGAAGACGGTTCGCTGTGCTTGATCGACTGAAACCTCGCTACCCTCAACTTCAAACCTTCCTTCCGGGGACTAAAAAAGCAGAAAGTGGTTCCAAATTGATAGACACTATGACATCGGTGGCAATGTCTCATCCAGAACTGGGCTCATAGCAACCTCCCCTCAATACTAATCCTACGCAAGGCAGTCGCAATACTATCTGTCCTTGAAAACTCAGACTCGACAGGGAGCGAGCGAAAACCGACAGGACCGGCAGAGTGCTGCCAAATTCTTTGCTTTCACGGAATTGCCTTGCTTAGTTATTGAACCCGGATGGTAACATTCTTTTCACTAAATCCACTCGATCAGATGGAATGCCCACCTTGCATTGGCAGGTCCGCTGCGGACTTTGAGCTACGAAGACGAAGTGGACATCGCATGCCCACTGCAAGGTGACTGCCGTTCAGTCTAGAATTTGACGCCTTGCTCCTCCAGCTTCTTTTGCAGCGCTTCCATCTTGGAATCTGTCTTGATATCTTCCGCCGCCTGTACCATGATGACGAGGTATCAGCGATCAGTGAGTGCCATTCAGTTCGGTCGCTCTCGGGGTTGGCCAAACCGCCAAAAGCTTACCTGAGCGCGCTTCCTCTCAGCCCAACTCTGCATCTTCCCTCCCATGTGCGGGCATCCTTCGGCATGACGGTGCTGCATCAACATAACCTCATGGGCCTTGATCTTGGCTCTCCGTTCCTCGCATTCCTTGCGGCGTTCGAGGGCTCCAGGGTGTGCTTCTTCGATTCGGGCCAATTCTTTGTCTAGCGCAGCTTTGTGTGCCCGTTCGAGCGCCACGCCTGCAAAGGAGACGAGATTGATAAGTTTTAGAAAGCGAACAAGTACTGAGGTACAAAGAAGGTGTCGAGACTTGATCGATGGTGACAAAGTCGTGACACTACAGGGCTCAGTTTCGAACACTCACGCTTCTCATGGCCGGCCTTCCAGTGTTTCACCAGATCGACTTGTTCGCTCTGAGTCATTTCCATGATGTCCTTGCTAGGAAGGTGCGGATGGATCAACTCCTCCTCTTTCACATCTGTTCGAGTCACGCGGAAAGCTTCAGCCTCTGTTGTCACGCTCAGGAAATAGGGGGTTTCCTCCTCTACGGATGCCGAGACTCCCCAGACTGACATGCGGTGTAAAGGAATGCTCCTCCCCCGAGTGCCAAGACGATAGTGATCGGAGTTGTCAAGCCACTCGTTCCTCCAGCAAGTTTCTAGTATAGAATGCACCCCTCCTTGATCTGCGTCAAGTACTGTTGTACGAATCTGCAGGCTCGGTAATGCTTACAGCGCTGGAAGGGGTGGCATAAGTTCTCCTTGACGATTGCAGTGCAGTGCTTCTTGTGGTGTAGATAGAGCGAACAACCTGTGTGGGCCATCATCGGATGGACGGGATGAGGGTGTTCACTGTTCAGCACAAGCAAGACACGCTCAGGCTGAAGGTTGGGCCCCACCCGCGCACCGCAAGGGGGCGGAGGCCGATGGGCTGCAGTGACAGTGACTCACAGTCGACGCTGATCTTGTGACGGGTCTAAGGAGGCCAAACAACATGACGGGCTACGTAAGTGTGACTGTAGGTGGTTGATAGAAAACGGGAGACAAAGAAGCGACCCCGGGAAAGCGTATCGTGGTCGATTGCACCGCTGCGCTCACTGGTGCATCGGATCAGTGACCGTGAATGACGGTGACGCGCAAATCGGGCGCATCGACCTTCGCGCACGATCGCCGAGGAAATAAGCTGAAGCTGGAATGCGAACCTCTTCCGAGCAAGCTGTAGAAAGCCCCCATCCCATCCACACGCTTGGCGTTCTTGTAACACAAGTCCGTTTCAAGCATCGATCAGCAACTTACCAAGCTCATGCCTGCAGCGCGCCCCGGTGCGCCTCGACCGCCCCCTATCACCCGAGCGAAGGCGACGACTTCCTCCCTCACGTGGCCGCTCTCGTTCGTCGCCATCGTCGGCGTCTCGATCCTCGCTTACCGTCAGGTCTTACACCGACGACATACGGACAATCGCTCGAGCAAACGAGAGTTCCCCAATCCCCTCTGAGGAGACGGGCTCCATCTCCCCACGCCGCTCTCGGGCCCCCCCACAAGCAGTGCTCTGAACGCCTCTCCGAGCTCTGAATGGCCCCCTTGTTCAAACGACTCAAGAGTCTCATCATCGGCACTTCCGCACCTTCGAATCAAAAGACCGAAGCGCCCTCGCCTTCCTCGGCCTGGACCGCGACCTCGTCTGTTGCTTCGGCCCACCCACACCACCCGGCGGCCTCGGCGACGGCCTTCTCGCCCACCGCCGATGCGGCTGCCGGTCCCTCCGACACGAGCCCCGCGTCCCCCTCCTCTTCCGCCCGCACCAACAAGACCACGACACTCATCGATTCGGTCATCCCCATCACCGTCACCCCTCCAACACCAGGTACCGTGGATCCAGACTACCTCCCTTTTGCCGATACCAAGACTGCCCCACCACCTCCACCTCCACCTCCACCACCACCACTACCAGCAGCACCCGCAACGATGGCCCCCGTCGACTCCAGCTCGTCTTCGGACCAGCCCAAGTTCAACCCGACAGAAGTGACCGTCATCTTTGTTCTCGGTGGCCCAGGAGCAGGTCAGTTCATTCTTATGTCCCTTGGTCGCGGTGTGTGTGGTTGTCGAGTCGTGATAACTGACGCGCGCGGCACGTCATCATCCCTTCCCCATCTCTTTGTCGACGCGTCGTACCGGTGGATGAACAGGCAAGGGCACGCAATGCGCTCGCTTGGTCGATGATTACCGATTCGTTCATCTCTCGGGTAAGCAGAAACGACCATTCGCCTTCTCGTATTTGACGTTACCACGAGCTAACGTGCACTACCGTCAATCCGCTTTCGCTTTCAAATAGCCGGTGATCTCCTCCGAGCCGAACAACAACGACCCGACTCCAAAGTCGGCGCCATGATCAAAGAGTACATCACCGAAGGCAAGATCGTGCCTATGGAAGTGACGATCCAACTTCTGTCCAACGCGATGAGCGACGCCATGGCTAAAGATGCGGATAAAAAGAGGTTCCTCGTCGATGGGTTCCCGAGAAAGATGGACCAGGCGATCAAGTTTGATGAGAGTGTGAGTGGGGGAGGGAGCTCATGGTGGAGTTGAGTTAGCGATACGGCGGAGCGAGCGCTGATGGCAGCTGAATTGCTTCCCACAGGTGTGCCCTTCTTCGCTCGTCTTGTTCTTGGTTTGCCCGGAGGAGATTCTCCAAGAGCGATTGTTGGAACGTGGCAAGACGAGTGGGCGAGACGACGACAACGCCGAGAGCATCAAGAAGCGTTTCAGTGAGTGTTGCATTCTCGCCAAAATACGCCTTCTCTGGCAATACACTCGGGATTAGGCGCTGACCTTGTGATTTTGGGGAATGCTGGTGGTTTCCTGCACTACAGAGACTTTTATCGACACCTCTATGCCCGTTGTCGACTACTACCGGGAGAAGGGCAAGGTCGTCGAGGTCAGTCCGAGTCGGCGGTCATTCGCGACGACTGGATTTTGGCTGCTGACATGAAAGCACTTTCCTTGCCATGACTGAATTAAAAGATCGACTCATCGAAAACGATCGATCAAGTCTACGCTTCCATCGTCAAGGGTGTTGAACCCGTGCTGAACCAGTACTAATTAGGGATCGAGGGATTGAATTTGAGAGATAGACCCTAGTATGCATGTGGGCATTTATATATCATCACCCATCAACAAGGCGCGAGCCAGGTCTACATGAAAAGTTTTGGGCCGTCTTCTATTTTTTTGTACGCACGCCATCCTGCAGCACAGAATTGAGCCAGCTGTGTCGATCGCCGAGCCGGAGCGGTGACGTGCGTCATGATGCGATGCGGTATACGGTAGCTTGTAAGCTCAACTAAGCCCTCCCTCTGGGAGGGGCTTACGAGTTATCGGCGCGCTTGGCCCAGTTGCCCTCTGAAATTTCAGGGCCATTTGGGGGTGGTTCTCTGTAACTTGGCAAGTAGGCGCATCCATGCAAAAGTGAAGGACCCTATTTTTCTTTATGCTCTAAAAATGACATACCCCAAGTGGCGAGAGCTTTCATAAGCTGTGGGTGGAGCTGCAGCGATCCGAAGTCTGCGATTTTGGTCGATCGGGCCTCAGATGGTCCGAGCGCATCGTGTTAGTGGCGCTCTCATCGGCGAGCCTGCTCCGTTCGGCTTGATCCCTTTCAGTCCGCTTCGCTATTCTCCTCTTTTCACGATCACCGTCGTCCACGTCAAGCGCGACAATATCTAAAACCAAAAATGACCCGAACAAGCACACGCCGTACCTCATCAACTCGCCAGAACAACCGCCGCGAGGCGTAGCCGCGATCTCTCGCTATGTCAATACCTGTCGTGGTAGTTCAGCTCATCCACACGATTTGAAGGCGTTCAAACACACCGACCAAAGCTGTTCAACAGCAACTGGTCCAGCCTTAAGCGTGTACTTGATCTCATTCTACGACTTGCACGCGAGGATGGCGCAGAGTCAAGAAGCCGAATCAATGGCTGGATCGCCGAGCAGGTGGGCAACACTTTCGTACTTCTCGGATTGATTCTCCGGATCCAATAAAGCTACTGAATACTTGCCTTATCCGCGTGCAGGCCGACTCAATCATCGTTAAAGAGATGAAGCGAACCAAGTGCGCCTTCGTCGCTAGCCATGACTTGACTCCCGAAGTCCCCGCATCCGATAACATCGACGCCCGGCTCGATGCAATCGCCGAAGACAACCCTTTAATCAGCGGACGGGTTCGTACCTTGCTATCACAATGCGGAGACCCTCCACCGGCCGAGCCAATCAATCGCGACAAGGACCCAACAGCTTCCACTGATGTCGAGATGGAAGAAGCCACCCCGGAGAATGGTTCCGATCCGGGGCAAGAACAAGAGCCTGGTCACGAAAGAAAGCGTATCGAGTTTGTGAGTGTTTCTGACCATGGCTCGGCTGGGTATCGCAGCGAACTGACACCAAAAACTTCAACACGCTGGCCGCAGCTTTACTGCAGTGTCATGGGTCAGATCGCATTCGCTTGCAACCGAAGGAACAACGCCATGCAGCATCGCAACGGTCTCATGACTCTCGCATGTGGAGCGAACGACCGATTGACAATGTTTCTGTACGATTGCGGCTTGACGACATCTCGCTGGGCGACTCTCCAGGCAGCTGCGAGCTTGACGAAGGCGAATTCGACGGAACTGAAGGAGATTGGCTCGAACAAGTACTTCCATGTGACCGTGGACAACATCGACGTCACACATCACGTCAACGATCAGCAATTGGATCGACGGACCGAGCTGCTTCATGGAACTTTTGGTTACGCCCACATTCAGAACGGAGATATTGCCGGCGCTTACAACCTTCGAGCCTACTCTGCACATCAAGCGTCTTTACCGCGAGTCAATCTCCAGCATCTCCTCCCAACTCCCCAATCCGACTCGTCATCTACGACCGGGATAAAAGCTCAGATATATCGAGCGCTTGCTCGACTGGTCCCTCATCTTGGCCTCAGTCTTCTTGATGCACACCACCCCCCTGTCCTCGTCATGGACGGGCAACTTGACGCGCTCTCGAAAGGACTCGTTAGAGATCAACTTTGCCCAATCTGCATTGTTGATATGCATTTCAGGAGACTTTACACGCAGCAAACAGGAAGGAAAATCAACACATGTGGACTTCACTCAAACAGGAGGTCAACCGGCACATACGATCAGAATGAAGGAGATCTTGTGATTGGGGTCGTCCAACTGCCTGTATAGCTCGCCGTCTCTCCAGGTCTCCTCAGATACGACAATCGCGTTCTTTCCCTTTCGATTGAGATTGGCAGCCTGAAAGAAGCATGTGACTGCGGAAATCAGCACGAATGTCGGTCCAGCAAGCCCAGTCGGCAGAAAAACTCACCTGATGATTGCTCAGTGCATTCAGTGGACTGACAACAATGGTGACTGCCCAGCGTCCGTAAATGAGATACATTGCTTCGAAGATAACACTTTTGCCTGAACCTGTTGGCGCTGTGACGAACACAGCGTCATATCGATTCCGGTTCCCAAATTGATCGAGTTCGAAAGGGCAGCAATGGCCTCGATCTGCACAGGCCGGGGGGTAGAGTCCTCGTCAAGACTTTCGCCCAGAATCACTTTGATCTTCTTGCGTAATTCGCTGGAATCTCGTCGGTCCTGGTGAGTCAAAGGTGGCCTCCAGTGACCGAGAACGGCTGTCGGATTGGTTGAATGATTCGGTGCTGGGGTCGTAGGACTGGCCCTTGAAGCTGATCGCAAGGGAGACGCCCTGAACTCAATTGATGGATGTCGACGGGGCGGTCCCCTAACCGGCCTGGGTGTTTGTACCGACATGGCTCATCATGAGGGGAGGTGCGATGTTGAGTGGAGGAGAGAGAGAGGATGCGTGAGGCGCAGCCGGGCTTAAGTGACCTGGCTCTATGCAGCCTTCGACGCGGACTGGACTACGACTGGTCCGTGCGCCGACCTGCGTCTCGTTCGGAATCAGTTGATTCAAGCTGCTGTAGCGAGATGATCAAGCGTTCCTAGACTTCAAGCTTCGGTGAAGCCTCATCAATAATGATGAAGTGAAGACGTATCCCTCCAGTTTTCAGATAGCACCAATATATGCCATGCTACAGCAAGGGGGCACTTTTCAGGGCCAAAAATTCGGAGGGCAACTCAGCCAAAAGCGCCGATAACTCACAAGCCCCTCCCAAAGGGAGGGGCGTCGAGCTTAGGTAGCTTAGGTTTTTCGTGCCGCGCTGGCTGCCGCGCCTCTCTTGTGCGGCGCGTTGCCAATCGGCGGGCGCTAGGCTAAAGTTGTCGCTCGTCGAGCGTCTCGTGTCGGTCAAGCAAGTAATACGACGAGCAGTCTCCGACTGAACGACGTTTGTGCCGATCTCTATTGATGAACATGAATAACAAATGGCTTGAATTGGGCTTGGGAGCGAATTTTCCTACGACGCGGCCCCGCGAAGAAAGCGGAGGGGCAGCTGCAGCGCAAGCAAGGGGAGGCAAACCGGGGAGTCGAGTCGGGCGGGAAAGCAAAAAATAATGAAGTTTCGAGCGAGCCACAGGCGATGTTGCGAGCAAAGCAAGAGAGAGTGATTCACACCGCACACTATGATAGCACTCCCCTAAGTCCCCTTTGTTGAATTTCATTCTACTACAAGCGTTCGAACACTTCAACATTGGGCCGCCGTTGTCAGGTCCGCCCATTTTCGCCTCGGCGCCTTCGCCTTCGCAGCCAAGCCGCCGCCCTTCGCCGCGCGCCTCCGCCTTCGCAGCCGAGCCTCCTCCCTCTGCCTCGCGCCGGCCTGCTCAACTCACGCCCGCGCGCCGCCGCCTCCACGCCGGGACTCTGGCCGTCTGCCCTCCAGTCTTGCTGAGCCAATGCCTCCACTTAGTCACCAGCAGCTTGCCGCCGCCGTCCTCATGTTCCATCGGCCATCAAGAGTATCGCCCATGCATGACGCCCGCCGTTCGCAACCTGAGTCTCGTCGCTATGGACTCCCTCGCTCACCAACACTCGACATCGTAGATAGGTTTCCCCTCGTGGCCGTTGTCCAACACGACCCCTCTCAGCACCCGAATGACCCACTTGGAGTTTGCCCTTGACGCTTAGCAGCGCGTCCGCCCGATTTGCAGTAGATCCTTTGCGCGCCCGATTGCTAGAACCTTGTCAGACTCGTGCTCCTTGTGCTTCCCTTCCTCTTCTCTACCGCTTTCCGACATTAGCCAGACTGCTAATCTTCGGTAGAGAACAGGTTAGTTGAAATCATATCTACCGCTTTCCGACATTAGCCAGACTGCTAATCTTCGGTAGAGAACAGGTTAGTTGAAATCATATCTACCGCTTTCCGACATTAGCCAGACTGCTAATCTTCGGTAGAGAACAGATCGTCCAGCCGCACCGCCGTCTCGTCAGACCGCGTCTGTGCCGCCTTGCGACTTCTCCCAATCGGACCGTCCGTCGCAACCGTAGCCACGTCGACGCGCCCAACAGTAGCCCCAGCGGTCGCTACACCCAGTTCCGAAAAGTTCCACGACCTACATTCTACACCCTTTCGACTCGCTCGGCGCGCCCGTTGGTCGCCTTTGCCAACCAGTCACGGCGCTTCAAGGAGCGCGGCCTATAGCCTCCTACTAGTAGCCTCCTATAGCAGCCTATAGCCCGATCCCGTCACCTGTGGATCCCATTCAGCCCCGATCTCAGTAACTACCGCGGCTTTGCTCATCGCTTCATCGCTACCTCGCTGCAGCGCCCTCGAATGACCATGCCAGCGAAGCGGAAGCAAGGTGGTACTGGTCGCCCTCGTCCCAGTCCTCCATCGTTGAACAAAGCCTCCCCACCAAGCGAGCGCCAATTCTACGCGTGTTGGCCAACAAGCGTCGAAGCTCCACGTAGCAGCGCATTCGATCGCGAGCCCCCTAAACAGCCAGATGCAAGTGAAAATAAACTCTCAATGGGTGTGGAGTTGCTCACCCGCTGACCAAGCTCAGTCGTCATCTGCCTGCAACAGTCACCACCGTCACGGGTCCCACCGTCGCCCGGCGCACCCTCGCATTCACCTCGATCGTCAACTTCCACGCGCTCGCGCCCGCCCTCGCCGGCAGCACTTTTGCGATCATCCGAATCCTCTCCACCCCTGCGCTCGTCGTCGTCACCATCGCATCCGGACGGGCGCCAAGATCGAGGCCAGGCCCAGGCCGACCCCGCGGTCCCACGCTCTCCGTCGAAGTTGCCGAGCATCATGACGCGCTGTCCGACGACGGCAAGCGGCGCCCACCCCTTCCACGGTGACCGTGACCAGCGCGACCAGCGTGACCAGCGTGACCAGCGTGACCACCTCAATTACCCGCATATGATGCATATGATGCCTGCGACCGCGAGCAATGCGGCGCCCGAAAGTGTGGTCGAAGCTCTCATTTCGCCTGCGCTGGACTGTGAAGATGACCAATTCTTCATCCAAGAGGAGATCGTTCCCCGCGTCGTCGTGTGCAATACCCCCGGTTTGGTGTATTCGGTCTGTCGGATGGAGCAAGCACGGTTCAAGGCACGCGTGCAAGAAGTTCAGAAGCGCCCCAAGCGAGTCCTGAGCAGACTGAGAGACGATTTCAAACACGACTGCCAACGACCTGCGAGCCAAACAAAGGCAGATTGGGTTTGGCCACTTGCGAAATAGGTAAGCATCTTTCAGCCACGACTATCCAGATTATGCGTGGCATACGACGATGCTGAATGCTGCGCTCGCTATCCGATCTCGAACCAGGCGACTTTCGGTGGCGGACAACAGAAGGGTTTGACGATTGCACAAGCGCAAGAACACCCTCGATTGACTGAAGAAGGTGCACGCCACACGGACCTCAAACTCACTCAACCTCACCATTTCTTGACGTGCTGCGAGCAGATGGCCGTGAAGAAGAAAGGGCAGGCTGCCGCCCGTGGTATGCTGGTGCCGATCCGTTTCGGCATGCTTCCGCAGGGGGGCCATGCAAAGCGAACGACGTTTTTCACGTCTCCCCTGGTCGAGGTCGTGCTCGACTTGGCGCAACATGCACTCAGGCAACCAACTCGCATGTATTCGCCGGGCCTGGCCATAACCCAAACCGCGGCTTACCTCGTTGTGCTCGACCATGAGGCGTGTCGGATCGCGACCATCTCGGATTGTTGGGGTGAGGGCTCTGGCGAGTTGGGGGTCGTCCTTTCCATTCTGTTTTGCCTGGATGTCTACTCGGCAGGGTTCAACCCGCTCTTCCGCTACGCATGCCACTCCAACAGCGGCATCAAGCCCGCGTCATTCTTGGCTTCTTGCCTTCGTCCGCCTGAGCTCGAAGAGGGAGCTCCCCTCGTCGGCCGTACCGTCGGGTTCATCGACGAGGAACCCATCGAGCTCGTCCACTCCACACTCAGGGACGGCGGGTCCATCTTCAGCCGTAGCACACTCGTTTTGCAGCTGACCCGACCAAACTTGGTCGCGCCGGCGGGCTCGGCATCTTCGCCGTCAAACTCCACACCGTCCTTTGTGCTCAAGGTTCAATACAACACGCTCAACTATGTTGGCCACGAGGCGACCGTGCTGCAAAAAATTGAGGAGCGTTGTGCGTCCATCGCGTCGCCGGAAGAGTCGTCGTTGATCTTCAACCACATTTCTCTTCTCGAAAAGCCCAAGTCGTTTGGCCTCCATTACTCGCAAATAAAGGACGAGGACTTGCCAGTGCGTCAAGACGGGCAAGATGCTCATCAGCGAGTGCTACGACGCAAGCTGGACCTCCTCATTCTACGCAACCCCACTCCTCTACCTACCCGGGTCCACGGACACCGACATTGTCGCCATCCGATGAGCGACGCCTTTTATGTCTTGGATCGGCTCTTCACCTTGTTGCCGGTTCTCTACGATCTTGGTATCCATCATCGCGACTTGTCGCTCGGCAACATCCTCCACCACCGAGGACACCTTGTCCTGGTCGACTGGGACTCGGGCATCGTTGCACCGCCGGGTGAACTCGTTCGCCTCGCCGCCGAGGATTGTGGGTCCGCCAGAGTAACCCTCGATACGGCATCTTCAGGCACGCTTTTCTGGCTCCTCACGAAACGGGACGAGGCTGTGGCAGAGCGCGATCTGGGTGACGACCTCGAGTCCGTGGTCTACTGGTTCTTCCACATTGTGGGCTCGTTTCTTGAATTCCTGAGTCCACCCACCTGGTCGGCATGGAATTTATTGTACCTAACATGGAACCGTGGGTTGCCGGCTTGGAGCCTCTATACGCTGCACGCCTGGATCTCTGGGGCGACATTGTTTCTGATAGTCAGGAACGAGTGGACCTCCTCAGCGCCATGTACAGGCTCAGTCCGGTGGAAGGCCGATTGCTCGCCATGCTCACGCGCAAAATCCCCGACTTTCCCATGGGTTCGGTGCAGACCAAAGAGGAGATGGCGAAGATGCAAGTCAAGATGAGAAAAATATGTTGAAAGAGGATTCGGCGCATGCATCTCTTGAAGGTGCCTTCACTTTTGGTGTACTGGTTAAGGCGACCAGGATGGTTTTGCAACAAAATACTTGGCCCTGCTTTTCAGCCTCGCCCGTGAATAATGTGTGTTCGTTCTTTCATTTGTTGTTCTTTTTCCTGGTTTTGTGGTTATTTGCAATTGTTGAGATACTTTGCGCGCCCTCGACTCGAAAACTTTGCAGAGGGCGAGAGAGCGTTCTGCCCCACCTTTCGGGTCTTGCACCCATCGCGCATCAAATGGGCTCGTGGAGCTTGCAGATCCCAACAGCCTCACAACCAGGCTCGTTCACGCGAGCACAAGCACTCGCCGTATTATCCTCATCGCGGCCTATTCACCGACGCACGATCGAAACATTGTTCGGTCACTGTCGCCAGAGGTCCTCATCCGAGTCCACGGAGTTTGAGTCTTCTTCTCTGAGCTCGCGCTTCCGGGGTCCACCTCTTTGCCGGCTTTCCCGGGGAGGTTTTATCCTTTAGTGCGCCTCGACTCGGCATCAATCTGGTTTTTAACGCTTTCGAGGCAGAACTTTGTCCGCGTTTGTCTTCGCCATGCAACCGGCACTCGCAGCTCTGGCGATGAGGCAGATGACTTACGATCATCGAGAGGTTTTCCCGAGATTAGTACGACGCAGTTGCAACCTTTTGAGCTGTATGCGGTGAAAGTCGCATGTACAGTGAACTAATTCCGTCCCAATTTCGAGCACACCGAACAAATGCACCATCGTGCTGTGCCCTCTTTCCCGTCTCGTCTTGGGCTGTGTTCTCGACTTCTGAACTCTCGCTGTCAGGTCTCAAGCTCGACCATTTCCTCTTCCTGCTTCGGGCACATCAAGCACCGCGCCATCTGGGCTAGCTCCTCAGTATCGTAGCTTGCCTTTATGTTTCCTCTCTGCCTACATCTCAAACCTCGTCAAAGTCCGCATCCGTGCACTTGTCCGTCGCCCCCCCCCCCCCCGTCGCCAACCCCTGCGCCTGCGCCTGCCCCACCTCTCCTATCTTCGCCTTGGCCTCGTAAAGGCACGGTCTCTCACGAACTCTCACGAGCAGCTTCGCAATCTAGATAACAATTCGGTGAGCCAGGGCTTTACTTGGAACTTGTAAAAGTCAGGAACCTCCCTAGACAGAAAAAGCGGAAATGCGACATGCATATGGACTGATTAAGTCTAGCAACCAGTATCTAAGTGCCCTGGCTGCCCGATCCCGCCCTGTCGCCCTCTTGTAGTACCGTAGGAGCGTGCACCGGAGCGAGAACGAAAAGATCACAGGACCAAAGTAGGTAGGATTGACACTGGACAATTTATATTGGTCGCTGCAATGCCTCCTGATCCACCTGGGCTCACCTGGACACTCTACGTTAGTCGCTGAGGAGAGACTAAAGAGTGTGCCCAGGTACGTGGCCCCTCCTCTTCGGCGCACGGGCGTTACAAACGAGTGGGGTGAAGGAGTGCGGATTGAGTGGCCCCTGTGACTCATATCTCCTCTAGTCTCATGTTCCTAGCTAATATACTTCGAAGATAAGCACTCCATCGATTCGTTGGTGCTGATTGGTCTCTCGGCATATTGTTGAAAAGCGAAGAGTGTGCGTGCTCCGCCACTGAGAGTGTCATCTCTCCTGTGATGCATCAGCACTGAATGACACTCATTGCAGGTTTAGAACTGGGGGCGCGGCAGGCAACTGGTGTATGGGAGTGGAAATAAATGAGTGGGGGAGTGATTCCTGCAAGCTGAGGCCAGACGCGCGTCAGGCCTTGAGTAACTACTACGGAGTATTACAGTAGGGTTCCAAGGAGCTGAACGATCGCTCCTCAGCTTCCTCTTCCTCCAAGGGCTTCGGCAAACCAAGAGCCGACAGCACGGAGAGCAGAGCTTAAATAACGACGTTTAGGGCCGGAACACAGCGCGGTTCGGACGTCTACCCCAGTCTTGAACATATCCAGTTCGAGAACGGTGCAGTTGCCGCGGCCGGTGTGACTGGCTGTATGACGGTCCTCGCGGCAGGAGAGAGGTCTAGGCTGAGACTAGACTTTCGGGGACGAGGTGCGAGGGAGTTCTCAGAGAGGATCAGGTTAGGTCTGCGAAGCAACTGAAGCAGGACTTGAACTGTAGGGTTTCTCGAGATAGGTAAGGAGTGTGATTGCAAAGGAGTGTGGTAGGAGTATGAGTATGAGGATGTGTTTTAGTGTGTGTTTTAGTTGTTGCTTCCAGGAAGCAAAGGAGAAACTATCAGATGACCGGCTTTTATAGTAAAAGCCATGGAATGTTATGGAAGGAAATAGAACGATGTGGAATCTCATGGAACGAAGACGACTCTCGGGTTTCGGCGTGCAGTCTCGAAGAGAAAGGTGAGGAGAGGAACGGCATTAGTCGCGCTTGATCTTTCAGCCGGACCGGAGTTGGACTTCGGCTCACCAAGACCGTTTACAGGCTGAGACTATGACCGGAGTGCAGCAGGGAACGGAACTGGCCCCGACTTGTTTCAGATCTTGTCCTTGAGCTTGCGAGAGGACGAGATATTGGGTTTTTGGGCGAAGAAGCTCATATGAGATACTCTTTTCAACGAAGCCGTTGTCGAGCGAGTAGTCGTACGTGAGGAGGCGGGAGAATCCCGCCGACGGGCACTTGTTTATAGGTCAATACCGATGTCGTAGGACAAATATATAAGTATTCCTAGGTTGAGCCTGCTAGAAGAACATGATACCATATGCGCTGCAAGAGTTATGATGATTTGAAATTCTCATGTGCGGACCGCAGCCTCATACATGTGTCGGTCGAATGTCCGCACATGGCGGTCTGCGGTCCGCACTTGGCCCACGATACGTACAGGATATTTTCAAATCATTATAAGTCTTGCAGCGCATCAAGTTCTTCTTGCAGCTTCAACCTAGGGATACTTATGTATCTGTCCTACGACATCGAAATGATACGTTTCGTCATGTATTGACCTACAATCAAGTGTCCGCACACGTGCGGACATGTGTCGCGGCCGGCACAGCACCTGTCCTTCGCGGATGGGGTACTCGCAATGGAATGGACAATCTTAAAACAACTCACTTACCTCTCAAAGTCGATCAAGAAGAAATCGGCACCCCACAACAAGCTCGTACAGTTGTTGACCAACGTCAAAGCGATGTTTCGTGATCGGTTGGGGTTTGGAATCATGCTTGACGTTGACGTCATCTCGTGCAAGTCACTCAAGACCACCGCGACCAACATCGACCTCAGGAAATTCGATTGCCTGCTAGTGGCCATCGCGCTGCTCGCACAGCACCCGTCCTTCGCGGATGGGGTGCTCGCAATGGAATGGACGATTCAACAAAAGCTCACCTACCTTTCGAGGTCGATCAAGAAGGAATCGGCCCCCCACAAAAAGCTCGTGCAGTTGTTGAGCAACGTCAAAGGGATGTTTCGTGATCGGTTGGTGTGTATAGACGACGTCAAGCATGATTCCAAACCCCAACCGATCACGAAACAACGCTTTGACGTTGCTCAACAACTGCATTTTCAACAACTGCATTTTGTATTTTGTGGGGGGCCGATTTCTTCTTGATCGACCTCGAAAGGTAGGTGAGCTTTTGTTGAATCGTCCATTCCATTGCGAGCACCCCATCCGCGAAGGACGGGTGCTGTGCGAGCAGCGCGATGGCCATTAGCAGGCAATCGAATTTCCTGAGGTCGATGTTGGTCGCGGTGGTCTTGAGTGACTTGCACGAGGTGACGTCAAGGAGCTTGAAGAATGCTTCTGTTAGAGTCCCTCCCTTATGTCGCGCAAAAGTGTGCAACGTCAGGGGTCAGTACCTCTGATCTTATTATGTTCAAGACCCGCGCTAGGGTGTCGGAGTGGTGAAGTTGGTATAGGCCATGCGAGTGCATGGAAGGAATGGAAGAGACGAGATGGGTTGAACAGCCTATTCATGCGCGCGGCCAACATCTATGAGCTTCTACGAGCGAGTACGAGCGCAGGAAACTACAAGGATTGCGCTTGGACCGCGCGCGCGTGTGTGCGTTGGTCACGTGCTGTGGCAGGCTGTGGCTACCAGCCGAACCGACGCGCGAGAAAACGAAGCCGAAAGCTGCCGAAAGGCGCGGCGAGATCAGTCCAAAAAAAGATGGGGCGCTGGCGGTGCAACGCAACTTGAGCAGAGGACGCTTGTTGAACCTCGTCTGACGGAGCGCCTTCCCATCCGACCGCAGTCGCAGGGCTGATTCCGCAGCTCGGTTGAGAGCTTTTTGACGACCGACCTCCGACCTAACCGTCCTGGCGGTAGGATCACTTCGTTCGTGTGGGGGTACATTGGTGGTGCTTACGATTGCCGAAAGCCGACGACGTGGACGAGCTGAACACGGCTGCGTGCGATCGAACCGGCAAAGCGCCCAGCAGGCTCGGTCAATCTAACGCGTTAACATCTCGTCGCAGCGCCCCCAAAACGGTCAGAACTGGTGAGTCGGACGTGCTCTTCCCATCGATCGTCGTGACTGTGGTTCGTTCGATGGTTTTCGTGCACGCGCTGCAGCTCTGAACGGGCACGTGGGTCGCGGGGGAGGTGGTGACGTGATGCAATGGGGGGGACAGCTGGCGGGGATGCGGATGCGCTCCCGTGTGGGGAGGCACCCGACCGCTTTCTCTTGGTCGTGGCCCCTGCCAGTGCCAGTGGCTCGCACGCCCGCCTGGCGCGAGAAGGTGCCGGAAGAACGACGCCAGAAGATGCCTGCTTCAGGCATTACGAAGATCTAAGCTATCGCACGACTAGGTCACCAGCCCCGCACGCGTCATCGCTTTCCAGCGCGGCCGCCAAGTGGGGTCTGCCGGTGGAGTGTGAACTAGCTGCCAGCCAGTATTTAGGGAGGGACATCGCTCGGTTTTGTTGCAGGCGGCCGGCCTGTTCGCAGCACTCGTCGGTGGCAATCAGCGCGCAATTCTGCGTCATCCTTGCCTTTCCGACCGTGTTGATATCAACGCGTCTTGCACATTTCATTCGCTAATATCGAAGCCCACACCCTTCGTCAGAACGAACGTGCTGCGGGCGATCCCAAACCCACCCACCCTCGATCCGACTCGGACCCTCCACGTGAGTCGAGAGTTGAGCAAGCTCGCGTCGAGATCGCTCTCCGAGCTCCACGCTCCCCGGACTCGAGATGCTCAGAGGGCAGTGTGATCTTGATCGCACAGTCTTGGGCCTCGTGCGGACGTGGACGATCCTAGAGCTCGACAGCGCACCACTAGGGCCTTCTGGCGATTTCCTTCGCTGAAGGCACGCTGCATCTCCCATCCCCACAGTTCATTCGGTCGGGAGTCCATCGAGAACGAGTCCATATCCATCTCTTCACTTGAATATGTTTTCGTTCTTGTGGAATGGCAGCAAGAAGGGCGCGTTGACCTCGTCAACGCTTCCCTCGCACCGCTCGTCGTCATCACGCCCCGACCCAGCGTCGATCTGGTCCGCCGACGCCGACTACGACGATGTGGCGTTCGGCGACACATCCGAGCCCGGAAGCGCGCCGTACGATGGTGTAACTCCCGTGCTCAGAGGTCCATCCATATTGGGTTCTCGCGATCATTTCGTCGGAGGGCGGCCCGTGTCGAACGACCCTCAAGCCTCATATCCGCCTTTGCCCTCCTTCTCGCAACCTTCTTCCACCAAAAGTCGCGATCCACCCTTGCGACGGACCTTCCGCCATCTGGAGGGTCTCCTCGCCGATCGATCACCGGCATTGCTCGACTCGCTCGCAGACCCCATCGTCGCAGCGACGGACCCACAACTTGCTTCCCTCCTTCAGCTCATTGCGCCATATCGTCTTCCGCCAGCCGTCATCGAAGCGTACACGTTGCACGACGGGCAAGACCCTTTTGCGCTCGGTGGCATGTCGGAGGGCCTGATTTGGGGCTTGCGATGGATGCCGCTTGAGGAGGTCGAGAGGGAGTGGAAAGCCTGGCGCCAACTCGAAGCTGCCGGTGGATTGAGCCATGCCGATGGCTTTGGCACCTTCAAGAACGGTTCTTCCAACGTCTCGCAAGGCCGCGGGCGGGACCACCCGTACGTCGAAGAAAATCCGGATGCCAAGCCGTTCAGTGGGAGGGAGGAAGGTCATGCGGATGCAGGGATGAGCTCGTTCCCGAATGGCTGGGTACGATCGAGGTACTCGCACCCGGGTTGGTTACCACTGTTGACCGACCGATGCGGGAACTACATTGGCGTTGATCTGGATCCACCACCACCGCCACCACGCTCATCGACGGCATCAACTTCGCGAGTACCGGGTCTTGCTGCGAGAGGGTATGGGCAACCCGGTCAAGTCATCGCATTTGGTCGCGAAATCGATCAAAAAGTCGTGCTGTTCCCCGGTGACGGAAGTGGAGGATGGGCGAGATTCTTGGCCGCTTTCGTCGAGGATGTCGAAAGAGGCGAATTCGCAGTCTTGGATCATCCTTCTGGGCGAGGCAGTTCGAATACCAAGGCGAATGGATGGCGCAAACCGAATGGCGATGTCGAGCAGGGGACCGGGGATCAATCGCCCAAGAGTGATGATGGGTGGGATGAAGGTGATGGGATAGGCGATCGAGGGTACCTCGACGGACATTCGTATGGTGAAGAAGCTGAGGATTCGGGAGGGGTCGGAAGTGAAGCTAGGAATTGGTAAGTGCTCGTTAAAAATCTGACATTCGTATATTCTGTCACCTGATGCTTTGACGTGTGATTCTTACAGGGTTTTGCGATCGGAATATCGTCGGTTGATAGCAACCGTTCCGGGTGGTCTGATAGGGCTCATTGCCGAACGCAGTCGTCGGAAATGGCGCTCGCTCGGAGTTGGGTCGCGCAACACCTCGTCCACGGATGCTCAATCGACCAAGGGCAAGCCGCCGTTGGCAATCATCGTTCCAGAGACACCAGAGGCCGGGCCAGAATCGAGCACAACCGTGCGAGCGGGTTCACCGATGACGAATGGTGACAACGCCTTGTCACCACCGCATGTCGAGGTCGTGCTCTCACCTCCGTCGCCGGTCAAGAGCGTTTCCTTTAATGATGAAAGAGAAAACGCCTCTCTACCCGATGAACCCGGGTCGTCGACCTCATCTTCAACAACACCTTTCAAATCCGCTCGAGCGCAATCCAAGTCCCCCGAACACTTGAACGATGGTCGCTCGCAACGGTCCTCATCCTCGTCCTCTCGTTCATCAAGAAGAATGACTCCAAGCAGGAAGAATCGACCTCCCGCACCACCTCCAGCAGCTCTCGACCTCCCAACGCGCTTCGACCTCCTCTCCGTTGAAGATCGTGAACCCGTACAAGATAGCATCTCCATCGCCATGGACATTGGCGCCTCTCCTACGACAGCAGACTTTCACCCAGGAGAACGAGAGATCGAACACGTTTACTTGGACCTGAACGGACGAAAAGATCCGAGGGATTCGACTTCGTCTTTGAGGTCCGAGCATTCGCGTTCGAATTCGAGGGAGGAAGCCGTTTTAAGAGGTTTGGCCGTCGATTCGCAGGTTGATTTACATGAGGGGGATGTCATGGGTTAGAAGGAGAGGGAGAGCACGTTTAATGTTTCCGTTCTTGGGCTGATGCATTCCGCGTGGGGGTCCTTCCGTCCCCGTTCTTCGAATTTGACACTTCATGCACCCTCGTTCAGCTTCTGCCTCCATCCTGAATACGGTAATATAAGCCAGCCTTCTGTGTTTGTACCCCCCGCACATTGACGAGTGCGAATATTTTTACATCTTTTTCCTCTTGTACCCACCGTAATTGATGATGACTTTGTTTGGACGTGCGATCGATCGATTTGCACACTCCAACCCAAGGGGCCCGATGGGGCTCGCGGCCAGTCCCAGCCCCGTCAAACAAACGTGAAATTGAGATTGCGATCGTTAAATGGGAATCGGCAAGAGGAGCTACGCATAATGAGAGGGGCACCGATTATGTTAAAAAGATCAAGCAGCGATGAGACTGAAAGGAGGCGAGGGGCCCAAACGGAACAGAAGAACCGAGACTGACGCCCCTATCTTCACTGAAGGATAGCGCCCAGCCCGGCCGCTTCGACAGCCGCCGCCTGAGGACCCGTAGCCAAATCACGCGCAAGCTTGACCACGACATCGCGACCTTTTTGACTGACTTGAGCGAGGGGAGCTTCGGGCCAGACGCCGTATTTCGTCGAGTCGAGCACGGTGGCAAAGTAGGAGAGGATCTGCGGGAGTTGCGAGACTATGAGAGGGTTCTCGGCGCGGATGAGCTTGTCTAGGGCGGTGATCTGTCGTTACACTCATTATCTATCAGTGTGAATCTCTGCGCAATCAAGTTTCGTTCGTTCAGGGTACTTACGACAGTCTCCGTCTCCTCGAAATCGACTCGAATAGGCAAAGCGGCCAACCAAACCGGACCCAATTGCTCCAGAGGAAGCAGCGCATCATCCTTGAGTAAGATCCTCGCCACAAGCGCACAAGCGTTATCACCCAACACATCGTTGTGATCCACCTCGTTGCGCTTGAAAGCATCCTCAACTTTGGTCAAGGCTTCGCAGAGCGATTGTTGTTGGAGCAATTGCGCATCGTCCGAATTTTGGACCAGGAAGCCGAGGGCGTTCAATGCGTTGGTACGGACGGCGGAGTTTTCGTCCTTGTCCAAACACAATACGATGGCAGCGGAGATGGGCTGCGTGAATGGCGTAACTGCCGATTGAAACCCCGAAGCGACTTCGGCGAGGCAGGCAAGGGCGATACAGCGTTGGGAAGAAGAGTTACTCGGTCTCGCAAAGCGCAAGATCAAAGTCAGGTTCGCCGACACGAAAGGAGTGATCGCGGGCCCGTAGACGGTCAGAAGCGTGCCGAGGAGATTGATGACAGCCCGGAGCGCTTCGAGATCTTCGAGCACAGAGCCGCCGGAGATGCGCGCGAGCAGTGAGCGAGCACCGGCGTTGTTGACGTTATCTTCGGCATCAGCCGAGGATTGTTGCTCGAGGACCATCTTGATGGTCTCGCAAAGCGTCTCGACCTCTAGATAACTCCTTACATTCCCGTTAGTATCGGACTTTGCGGCGAGTTGGCGAAGCAATTCGGCCACACTCACGTTGAGAAGTCAAGAGAGCGGGACCAAGCTTTTCCAACGTTTCGCCGAGGCTGATGCAGATCTCGGGCAAAAGCGAGCTGTGGTTACCCGAGAGGTTCTGAGTGAGCTGCGGATATGCTCAAACATCGTTTTCATTTTATCTGCCCACTCACTCGAGGTCAGAGTCCTCTTCGGCACTTTCATCGAGGAGCTCGAGTATCTTGGGCATGGCCACGGTCACGAGCTGCTGCGCTTCGGCGCAGAACGGAACCTGTCCCGGCGAGTAGTATTGCGAAAGGGTCAATGGCAAATGTCGAGATAAATTTTAGAGTATGAAGACTTACAAGGGAGGCGCCTTGCTCCCACTTCGCTGCTCCAGACATTTCTTGCAAGATCTCGAGGGCCTTGAGCAGACCTTGCGCCGCCGCAAGCACGACGTCCATGTCGCCTTCGGATTTGACGTGCTTCAAAAGCGCCGCCCCAACCCTTTCGAGGTAAGGGGCAAACGCCTGCTTGGCGGCGGAGAAAATCTCGACGCACGCAGAAATGGCATGGCCTTGATCGGTCTCGAACGAGATGAGACCACTGACCGAGTCGTCATCTTCCCCTTCATCGACATCCTCGTAGTCATCGTCATCGTTGTCGTCGTCGGCCGATGATGGAGACTCATCAGCTTGCTTCTCCTGGTCCACTTTTGCTTCAGCCGCATCTGCACCGACATCAGTGTCAGTGCCAATTCCAGAGCGCGAGCGATTGAGTACAAACCTACCAAGCGCAGCCTCGAGCTCAGCTTCTTCATCCCTTTCAATCGTCTCAAGCAGCACGGGACAAATCGAAGGAAGCGCGTCGGCAATCTCAGCGCCATACGTCTTGGCAACCGCGCCGAAGAAGTCGAAAGAGGCACAACGAAGAGCAATAGCGTCCGATTCTGCGTCATCATCCTCGTCACCATCTCCCTCTCCCTCGGGCTTGACGGGCTGCAAAACCGCGCTCGGCTTTGACGAAGCCTGCGCAGTCGCGACGGCCAGCGTCGATTGAAGAAAGGGTCGGAAGGCCTCGGGGCCAGAGGCCTCTACAAATGCCGAAAGAGCCTCCTGGACGGCAACACGAAGAGTGCTGAGTTGCTCGGACGCTGGGCGAGCTTGGATCGTCAGAAGAGGCTGAATGGCTTGAGCAAGCACAGGCACAAACGCAGACTCGACGGCACAAGCAAGGGTTCCAAGGGCCTCCACGTAATCCTCCGCCTCTTCCGTTGGTGCGACCGAAAGATGATGCAGGAGACATTCGACGATGGGACCAACTTGGGGTGCGACGAAGTGCGAGGGTAACTCGTCGACGTAAGCGACGAGGGCGGAGAGCGCCGCCTGATGGATCGAAGAGACCGACAGGGCTTGGAGCAAAAGCTATTCATGGAAAGATTAGGGTCAGAGCGCGTTCTGCTCTCGTTAATACTCACTAAACTCACTGGGATGAACCTCTCTGCTCCAGCGTCGATCCCAGGAAGCTCAGCTTCTGCGCTCGCCTCCAACGCCTCGCAAGCGGCTTGCTTGACTGTCTCATCCTCGGCCACAAACCAACTCTCAAGCATATCCAAGCATGAAGCAACCTTGTCACGGAGGACCTTGGAAGCGCTGGCCTTGTCGCTCAAGGAAGGGGCCAAACGAGCCCAGCGCGTCGCCGCATCGAAGGGTGCAGTCGCAGCGCATTGAATGATGTCATCGACTTCGCCCAACATCTCAACGACAGTCACCAGCTCGGTGTTCAAGATCATTTGACCATCATCGGAAGGCTCGGAGGTCTCCTCGACGTGCGAGAGGTCCTTTCCGCCAGCGAGGGCTTCGCGCTCGGCCTGTTTGAAAGAGGGGACAGGAGATAAGTTGAGTCAGATTGCGAAGCGCGAGAAAAGAGAGGCGAGTCTTCTTGTGGAGCGAGCAGCGGCAAGAGCAAGAGGCGCTCCGGGAAGTCTTGATGACAACAACTATCCAGACGCTCGACACACTTGACGAAAGAGGCGGACGTATGGCATCGGTGGTGATAATCGACCGGCAAGTAAGGGGTGCATGCCGGCCCGCTGCCTCGACTTCGCGACAGCAATGGAAAGAGAGCCAAGCAGATGAGCCGCTTGCGAAGGCGGAGAGCACTCGAAGAAGAGGAGTGGGTGGGGGGTACGGGGTGGCAATTTGGAACCAGAAGAGTCGGAACACGGGACTCACACTGTGCTCAGACATTCTTCAGGAGTGTGGGCTGGGAACTGGAAACCGGGATTGGTGTACGGAGCAGTGTAGGAAGGAAAGAAGGCTGGAGTCACAGCGAAAGCAAAGGCGTTTTGCTCGGAGTCATATCCGACAGTGACGTGGAGCCTGGCGAACATAGAGGAGTCGAAGGGCCCATGCGACGAGGTCTATGCGATTCAGACAGGGGGCGCCTTTAGCCTCCCAGCTCCGCCCGCTCAATCAAAAGGTCACAAGCGAGCAGCTCATGTACGAAAATGTGTTATAAGCCTGGAAAATACTGTACTGATTGCAGTGTTACGTCACAAGGACGAGCTGATCAAAACGCGCCAAAGCGAAGCAAAAGAACGAAGGGCGGGATAATACATGACGAAGACACACGCATGGACGAAAGAGCGACGGAGCAGAACACAAAGCCACAGATGCTACGGGCGGGATGGCCCAAACTGAACACAAAACGATTACACTACATCTCGAACTTCATGCGAAGACCTCCTTCATTCCTCCACCCCTCACTCGGCCTTCGACCGGGCAAAGTTCCAAATGCGAACCTGACTATCGTCGCCACCGGTGATGACGTATTGATCTTGCAAGACGACAGCCGTCACGGCACTCGTGTGGCCGACCAAGGTGTGCAGACTCTTTCCCGTATCGCGATCCCAGATCTTGAGCGTTCGGTCGTGGCTGCCCGAAACGATCCTCAACTTGTCCACGTCGACGTCCCAGACTCCTTCGATGTGTCCAAACATCGTCCGTTGACAGAGACCCGACTCAACATCCCACACCTTGATCGTGTTGTCGAGTGAAGCCGAAACGATCAGGGGCTTCTTGTCGTTGGCCAACTCGAGCGGGTCGAGCTTGACCTGCGGGTTCGGCGACAGGCCTGCGACTCGATGATTCCTTTGGGACGGTTGTTGCTGTTGCTGCTGCCAGGTCGCTGCGTTCATTAAAGCTGGCCCGTTCGTCTCACGGTTGGAGCTGCACGACGAAGTTGAGGCCGTCGAACTCGTGAAGGAAGAGCCGGCGTCATCTCGTTGCGCCGATACCGAGGGACCATTGAGCATCATGCGACCTCTTGCCTCGACTTTGTTGTCGCTGTTGCGGTGCTTGTTCTTGGGGTTCAAGCTCGAAGCCGGGAAGCCAGGGGTGCGTTGCTCATCCGAAACGGTGATCTTGATGCTTTGCACCTGCGCCACGTGACCCGTCAAGACGCGCACACATTGTCGGGTGTACAGATCCCAGACGCGGATTGTCATGTCGTCACTGCCGGAAATGAGATACTTGCCCTTGCTGCTCGCTCGGGCAGCCTCGGGGTTCGTCGTCGGGCCGCCTCCAAGCTCGCCGTCGGCGCTGGGTGTCGCAGATCCGCCGGTGCCGCATTCGGCGTTCGAGTCGTACAGCGCAACCGAGTTGACCCATTCGGTATGTCCTCGCAGCGTTTGTACCTCGCCCGTTCCAAAATCCCAGACTCGGATCGTCGTGTCGCCGGAACCCGAAACGAGCAATTGCTTGTCATATGTCAGGCAGATGACGGCACCACGATGCCCCCTGAGCGTGCGCATACATTCACCCGTACGCCAGTTCCAGATCTTGAGCGTCTCGTCCATACTTCCCGTGACGAGCTTGAGCGCATCAAACTGCAACGCTCGCACGCCTCGCAAATGCCCACGCAGCACCCCAACCTGACTACCGGTCTCGAGGTTCCAAATCCGCACGCTTCGATCCCACGAACCGGTCATAAGAACGGGGAACGAAGGGTGAGGAAGATCCTCGGCGACCTGTAAGCAAGTGATGGCGTCGGTGTGCCCAGAGAGAACGGTCGAGACGAACTGGCCGCGACGCCAGTTGCGCTCGATCGCGAGTCGTTCGCAGTAGACAAGCTTCCATGGTCGTGTCGATGGAACGACGGGCGCAGAGACCGATGTCAAGCTCGCAGACAATGCCCCAGGTCGTTGCGGTGCCTTAGCACCACTTCGGGGTGAAGTCGGGGTAGGACGCGGGGATGCGGCGCGCGATGGGCCAGGCGATTGTGTCTTGGCTCGCTTGGCTCGATGCGAGTCGACAACGTCGATGACCATCTCCGACGTCGATGTGGAAGGGGTCGACAATTCTTCAGGTCCATTATGGTGGGTCTGAGCGTGGGCGGCAATGATCGAGGCGTCAACTTCGCTGTCCGACGGCGAGTCGGGGTTCGCCGCTGCGGTTCGCCTCGTCTCGCCTCGCTCCTGAACGAGATGTGCTGGCAAGGCATTGATCATGGTCCGCGCCTTCCTTCTTCTTTCGCCGAGCAGCGGCAAACCCCAACCGCACTTTTCGCACTTGCGCTCGATGTGTTGCTCGCACATGTTGCGCCACAGCAGATCGTCGTCAGCGAGATGCTTCCATGTCTTGCTGACTTGAGCGGCGCGACCCAACGAGATGGCGTCGAGGTACGAAAAAACCTTGAGGGATACTTCGCGGGGTAGTAGTTCGATCGGGTCCAGCCGCATCTCGAGAGTGAGCGCATCTTGAAGAAACGACAGTTGCGACGGACAGGCAATGGTCAGGAGACCCCGCAGGATGAGCAGTCGCCGTTTCGAGGGCGATGACGAGAACAGACTCCAGATCGTGTTGACGGCATTCTGATCATGCGGGGGTAGATTTTCGATCGACTGTTGGTGAAAATTGCGGGAGGAGAGAAGGGAGCAAGGGCAGGAAACCGAGAGGGAGAGAGCGCCACCGCTGCTTAGTGATGAGGACCGGGCAGGGGGAAACGGGAAACAGCTCGAGCGTGCGCACCTTTTGCAACATCAAGTTGGTACCTCCATTGGCCATCCTCTGATGCCTCAGACATAGACTCTTGCAATCACCTCCGGGAGTATCGGCCGCGGGCGGACCCCGTCGCAGAGCATCCTCGTGGTTAACCATACTGGTCCTCGAATGCGAGGTCGAGCTGGAGCGATTGACCGCCGAGCCGACCGCCGGCACGGTCGAGTGGTGCGCCAGCTGAGCTGACGAATGCTGAGACTGCGCCGATGAGGACAGGGGTTGATTCGACAGAGTGGAACCCAGAGTTGTAGAGGCGGAATCCTCGTCCATGGCTATCGGCCCGGGACTGTCGCCTCTCGGCGGCGAAGGTGGCCCGAGATTGTGGGCGATGGACTGGGCGATTGTCGCGGTCGAGGTCGACGCATCGGCCGAAAATAATGAAGGGGACACTGTCGAGGTGTTCATATCGTCGACTAGTCCAAAATGCGACGTCGACCCGGCCAGGAAGGACGTGAGTTGAGGTGGCGAACTGGGCGAGAAGGAGAAGTTGAGGTGATCCCCCGGTGCGAGACCATGGGGTCGGTGCGACGAGTGGGACAACGACGGTGACGACGACGCAGCGATGGGGACGGGCGCAGAAGCCGTGTGGGTTGATACAGATGCAGACTGTATTGTGGGCGTTGGTGGAGGCATCTCTGTGTCGTCGAACATGACGAAGCGACGACCGAGAGCGATGAGGATGTGGAGGAAGGAGTCAAGGCGCGCGCCGCCCCGAGTCAGCTGACGACACCACGGTACGGGCCTCGTCCCATCTGGCGTAATCTTTTGACAGTCAAACGAATCGCTAGCTCACCGTAGAAGGTCGTCTAGAATTTGATCTTTGTCGGCAATGCTCTGCTGACTTTGCCCAACCTATTCTACGACCTAGGTCTTATTTGTTGTCATTAGTCTCGATGTGCAATGCTCAATTGTAAGGAGTTTCGCCCATCAATCCGCCCCCGCGAGGAGTCGGTCGGCACCGCAACAATATCGCGCCATCGATTCGGAGAAGTGCGCATTCGGCAAGGCACAAGCTTCGCGTCTCACACGACGCGAGCGCCACCGCAGCTGCCCATCTCCGAATTGGCCCCGATGCTATGGCATTGATGTGGCAGCCCATTCACAAGAATAGACGCATGTCATACAACTTACCGACAGCTGTCAGCTTTGTCGTGTCGGAAAGTGGTGGTTCGAATCGGCGTGCCGACGACGGACTCGAAGCTAACCTGTAATTCGTCGACGGGTCGTAAGAAGGTGTGTGTGTATTGAGCTGACAGTTGCTGGTAGGACCGTAGGACAGAAGGTGAGGTCTACGTGAAAGGTGGACGGAGGAAGGCTCATTTGCGACAACACCGCGTGGTGACAGAGCCCAGATGACGACACGGCCCCTATCTACGATCACGTGCTCGATCACGCCGATCGCTCCCTAGTCATTTCTCCAGAGAGATGCGCCATCCCCGCTTATGACTAGCGATAGTGCAAACCCCACATCCGGATGTGAAAGGGCACGCTACAGTCAGACCTGAGAAAATTTATATTTTCGGTGGACGGATTTTCCCATAAATTAAGACAGGTATAAGCTTGGAGATTGCGGCTTCAGATCACTACATTATGACCTGAAACTCCGTTTTTAAGCTTCCTACATCAAATCAAGAATTTTCGTGCATCGTTTGAGTCGATACATTGACTTTTGACGGGGAAGAAATTCAGAAGGCCCGAATTACTGAATTGCAGCCAATGTACGGCCTCTACTGAGGCATGATGACACCTAACAGGTTTTGAAAGCTCCAAGAAACAATATCTTGACCTACTGACGCTGGAAATACGAAGTCACTGTCGTCTGAATCCTCGCAGCATCCTGCTCGGCAACAAGAGTCCTGCGAATCCTCCTAGCCTCGTCCTCAAAAGAAATCAAATACGTTGGACCTGAGTATCCATTCATAGCAAACCTAAGGAAAACATCAAGCGCGGAGATTGCCTCCTGCAGCGTCGTTCGCTCCGCCGGTCGGAGCTCTATCTCCCCTTCCTCCTCTCCTCCTTCTCCCTCGCAATTCTCCTTCAACTCTTCGGCAGTGACCAGGTCCACAATCTCCTGATCGGTCATTTCAGCCCCACCAGCAAGGTTCTCCTCCCCCACATCGACGAGAAAGTGGATACTCATCTTCTCGTTGCTCGTAACTATGCCCTTTTCGACCAGCTCATCATTCGCCGTCTTCAGAGCGTTCATCGCGTTGATGATGCCGCGATCGCCATTGAGAGGCCCGCGACCGTTGGGAAGAGGTGCATGGTCGGTCGATCCTTTGTTCTTGCGATCAGACAAGATTTGAGCGTGGCGCCAGCAGTTGGCAATCGTCTCGGGGCGGATGTCGTTCCACGCCTCATGTCTCGCAATGATGCGAGTCTTATTCATCTTGACACCATTTCGACCGTTCCGAGCAAGGCCCGTAGACGGACGCATAGCGTAGAAGAGACCGGTTTCGTCCATGTTGAAGATGACACTTGGGTCGTACTTGTTCGTAACATTGTCAACCGCCGCCTTTGCTCTCCTGTGCTCGCTTCTCGGCTGTTTCGGGGCATTTCGGACTCTTCCAGCAGGCGGCTCGTCAACAAGAACGCCGAAGGAGAGGCCAATTCCTGATCAATCGCTCATTTCCGGCTCTCTCTTATCTTATAATTTGACCTGTAAACCCATAAATTATAAGGTATAAGATTGGACAGGTTCTGTCAGCCAAAAAACTCGGGAGATTGAAAAGTCCATAAATTTTGACAGGTATAAGATTGGGCGATATAAATTTTCTCAGGTCTGACTGTATCTATGTTTCACACCTGGGTTCCTTTTTAGTTGAACTATGAGTACAAATCACGTGCAGGGCTGTCTACCGCGCATTCGTAGCCGCGCGCATGCCAACGCCGCGACCTGCCCTGACTGTATGCAAGTGTCTTGCCATCCCGATTTACTCCCAACGTTTTCTTTTTAGTAGTCTAGCGGTTTCGTACCGCAATTGGTCTGGACTCCCGCCGGCCTCAGCCGACTACTTCAAAAAATCACGCCTTGCCTTCTGTCGTCGCACACGCGGTAAGATGGTCATGCCCTTCAACGTGCATGTCGTGAGCGGGGTGGGCCTGAGCTGACGATCGCACACACAGCGTGACGTCGTATTCACGCGCTCAGGCCACCCAAGGGAGTTACCTGTACACTGGACGACAGGGGGCATCGGGGGTATCGATGCAAGAATGTGTCGACATCCGTTCGTTGAAAAAGACAAAAGATGAAACCAAAGTAAAATCCGACCACATACTATTAGCGATGGGGTTATTGCGACGATGGCTCACCGGCATCACCACCGCTCTAAAGCCCATCGCGCGGACAAGTTGCCGACCCGAGGCCTTGGCGGGCGGCGGCCCGGGAAGATCACCCCGATCGCTTCCTCTCCTCTCCCTTCCTCACCGTTTAGGCTCTCGCCGAAGCATCTCTCCGATCAATTCGACCCAAGGACCTCGACATCTGCGCTTTACAGTCGTTGAAGCCCATTGCGCTACCTCAACGCCCAGGCTCACCGGCTCGATCAAAGCCACCGCCGGGGTGCCAAGAGCAGCGCGCGACTTGTGCCGTTTCGCCTAGCACCAATCATGGCCAGTTCACCCGCTGGCTCGTCGCATAACTCCATATCGTTCACACCACTCTCCTTACCGCGGCCACCAACACCATCGCTTCCAACTACGGAGGATGCCACGGTCGAATCTGGGCTGTTACCCGAGCAGCAGCAGCAACAACAGCAACGACAAAGAGCATGGGCCAATATTCGACCTCGAGCTGCGGAGGACCAGGATAACCTTCCACCCGATCTGGAAGGCCAGGAACCCGAGGCGGCTTTAATGAAAATCTCAGACCAAGATGTCGATGGGTACAAGGAGCAAGATGTGAGTCGCATGCCACCAATTGGCCTCGGTTTGTGGGACGAGCTCCCGGGGCAACCCACTCTGGCACCCCACTGCGCGACTCACCCGTTTCGGGTCCCAGCCGATCCCCGAGCCGGATCCTCCTTTTTGTGACTTTAGTCGCTCACCTCCATCAACTTCATCCCGCAGCGCTTCCTCCCCATCGCCAACGTCGCAAGGGTCATGAAACGTGTCCTCCCATCGTCGACCAAAGTCTCCAAGGAATCCAAAGAGATCGTACAAGAATACACATCCGAGTTCATCTCATTCATCACCTCGGAAGCGGCTGAGCGATGTAGTGCCGAAAAGAGGAAGACGATCAATGGCGAGGACCTCTTGTTCGCGATGAACAGTTTGGGTTTCGAAAACTATGCCGAAGTGATGAAGATCTACTTGAGCAAATGGAGGGCGTTGAGCACCAGGGAGGACAAGAGGGGGAAGAGGAAAAATAGCACGACCGGGGATCCGTCGAACCAGAATGGGAATGGCGATGTTATAAGGGGAAGCAAGAGACGAAACAAAAAGGTGAGTGTGGGCAGGCGTGGTAAAAGATCGGTGCTCGCGGCTGAGCCGGAAGTCGGCCCTGACCTGACGCAATCAAATCACATCTCACAGGCAAGGACCGAGCAGGACGGGTCAGAATCAACTTCGCGCTCCGAGGATCAGCTAGATGGCGACCAAGGTGACGACGACGACGAAGAGGAAGAGGATGACGACGAGGATCAAGATGAGGACGAAGGCGATGAAGATGGGAGAAGAGTCTACGGCCTGTGAAATTCCTTGTGCAACTCTGGCCACGGTTGGCGTGTACATATGACCAGGTCCCCCAGCTCTATTATGTTGCAATCTTTACCTGTATCACTCTCGGTCTAGCATATCCTTCTCCGACATAGCATCGAGTCGGCAGACATGAGCCAATAAATTACTCCAATTCGAGAAGTTCCGAATACATTTGCAAAATTCCGTGAGAGGCTACAAGGGGTTTACTACAAGACGGGAGTCCAATTTATCCGCTACAATAGGGCGCACTACCAGAATCAAATATAGAAGGCCTTATGAAAAATGCATGGAATGCATCATAACCAAGTTGGAGGCATACTGCGGCATCGGAGGAGGCTTTGCGGACGAGGGTCCGACGACGCCTCGCTTGAAGCGCTTCAGACTCAGACTCGACATCTTCTTCACCAGCGATCTAGGACCAACATCAATTGCGGGAACAACACCAGGCAAGGGCAAGGTCGAGGTCGAAGAAGCGGGGGAAGGGCGATCAGCCACTACGGCGGCGGTTCGGGCGAAAGCGAAAGGCGGTGGGGAAAGTGGAGATGATTTCGCGACGGACGGAGTCGTTGTGTCGAGGGCGTCCTCTTCAGATGCACCAATCTCCTCAGCGAACTGCTGCCAGTCCATCATCGCATCATCCTCGGCGCACGCCATTACTCGTCGATCGACAGTGGCACCGCCAGGGTTTGCACCTTCCAAGGGCACACGACGAGGAGTTCCGGTCGTAGGCAAGACCGCAGCCACGGAAGAGGCGGTGCTATAGACGGACACATCGGATCCTCGTTTGACAGGAGAAGGGAAGCAGCGGCCGAAGACGTCGATCCCTTCACCGTCGGCTATTGTGTGCGCCGTTGAGCCCGATGTAGACGACCATCGGAATGAGCCGTTGCCATTCGAAGAGAAGCCAGACGATCGCGTTGAGATGGGGGAGGAGACGTTCGAGGAAGACCCAATCGACGAGAAAGTCGACTGGCGACTGCGCGCGGTTGCAGGAGACAAGCGGCTAGCAGAGGCAGTGGCGCTCGCGTGGTGGGCCGGAGGCGCCGGCAAGGGCAGAGGAGGGGGAGCGCCGACAGTTGAATCAGGGCTGAGGTTGGCCGTCTGAAGTGACAATTTCGAGAAATTATGGGGTTTAAAGGAAGTGACGGTGCTCGGGAAGACAGGTTTAGGACCGCGAGGGTCAGGGTTTGCGCGCTGAGCAGGGGAGGGGAAGATCGGCTTGCGCATCCTCGCGACTGATCGATGGGACGAGTCTTGACGGACCGTGGACTTGACAGACGACATTCTCGGGGTGAAGTTCAAGTCAATATTGTAGTCGTTCTGGTCGTCCTGGTCTTCCTCATCGGACGAGACGGCTTCGTAGGCGGTAAGGATCGCATCGATGTCGAGGTCGAAAAAAGGGGTCTCGAAGAAGGACGCGTTGGGGTCAGAACCACCACCGAATGGCATGGCCGACGAAGGGGAATGAGCACGCAGGGTGCCGACTGATGGCTGAACAGCAAGAGGTCGCGTCTGGGGAGGGACGGGGAAGTGGGTATGGTGGAGGTGGACCGGTCTATCGGCGACGACGGAAGACAGAGTAGCGCGAGCTCGGCGTTAGCGCGGGGGTCCGAAATGAAATGACGCCTGGGTTCGAGAGGTGCTAGACTCACAAAGAAAGTGGATTTGACGACGATTCCAGTGGGCTCCATGTCGATTGCGCAAGAGCCAGTTGCTTTCGCGCCACTTGGGGTAAAGCCAGGCGGCCGACACTGCCAGAAGTCGAGGCAGCGCAAGTCGAGGTCGACTCCTCAGTGGCGGCGGCGAAGCAGTCGTCGCGAAATTGCGATTCACCGTCCTCGTTAGCTTGTAGTTGCTGTAGGAATTGCGAAACTTCGTTGTCGAAGAAGGGATGCGACTCGTTCTCAAAGTCGTGTTCGAACGCCTCGACCGACGAGTACCGGCCCTGCTCCTCCGTTGCACGCTGTGGCGAGAGACACAATTCGCCAGCTGCGAGCGCGTCGGCGAAGTGCGAGGGGGTCGATGACGACGGCGACAGAGCCCGGTCACCACTGAGGGAGGCCGACCCATCAAGCACGGGGTGCATACCCAGAGATAAGGGGGATGAGGATGCTAGGATTGGCGAGGGAGGTGCAAGAGCGTCTGAAGTCAACGCGGTCGGAGGTGAAGAGGGCCGAGCAGTTGCAGAGACCGTTGAGATGGGCAAATCACGGCTCTTCGGGTTGAACGAGCGCGCCGGCGCCGCTCGACGCGTCGACTTGCGCAGAGACACGTCGGAATTGAAACTCCGGCGACGATTTGTTACAGTTCCAAAGTCGATGTAGCCGCAATTTTCGTCCGAGGCTGGCAAGTCTTGGGGCTGTACAGCACGACGAGAAGGGCGAGTTGGGGTTGAATCTGAAATCTGGGGTGCAACTCGTGGGAGTGCTCGGCTCGCGTAGTAGGCCTGGGGACGCTCGACTTTAGTGACAGTGGCCGCAACGGAAGACGTCGGTGGTGACTGGGGCGAGTGCAAGCGTCGGGTCATGACAGTTCGAGTGGTGTCGGACAAGTGAATGCACAGATTTCGGAGCCTCACGTGAGGCCTGTGCCGAGCGAGTCGGTTGAAGAAGTGCTTGCTCCTCGGAGATCTTTGAAAGGGAGCAGAAGTGGCGCTCGGACCCGTTCGTTCCTCGATTCGCTGCAAGAGCTCGATGCCGATGCCGAGCTATGTACGTGAACGTCGACCAGGGTGTTGTCGACGGAGAAGTGCAGAGTATGGCAAGAGTCCAAGCTTTGTATATTCAAATATGAAGCTACACTTTCACATACAGTCGGGTTTGGCACTACGCGAAATCTCCGGAGGATAGCGAGGAAAAACTGACGTCGCGAAGACTTTCCTTCTCGTGGGGACTGGAGACTCGCCGGGCTCGCCCGAAGAAGAACAAGGACGGCGTTGGAAGCGGTAGCCAATCGACCGCGAGATCACGTTCATAGCTTTAAATCACCGGTTCCGACGGCCGTCGTACCCTCGCAAGGCAATCGCAACTGTCCACGACGTCTTCGGCTGGCGAGCTCGAGCGCGCGTCGCGTCGCGGTCGGGCCTGACGCGACCGTCCGAGTCACCCCGCGTCGATCATAGATTGTTGAGTAGCATGCTTCCATCCGCTTCCATCCGTGACACCTACGACTTCACCACAAGTAAATGGTTGCGACCCATCAACTACGATGGTTTGGCTCAAATGCTTCCATCAAACCCTGGCCAACGTCGTGGTACGCGATAGCTTGCCAGTTAGTACTCAAGATGAACCAATATCAATTGCTCGGGCCTCTGCAATAACTTTCACTTTTATTTAACAGCTTCTGAGTATTACAAATAGCTGCGAAGAGTATGTAACAGGGCAGCGCAGTGCCATGTGGCGTTAAATGCCTCATTTTCACGAAGTCGCGAAATCCAGCTAAAAAAAGTGACTCGACGGTTGCTGCCGGCGCCGTTGCTAGCTTCCGGATCCCGCGGCCCTCGCCGGTCACATCACGGGGAGGTCGAGCCGTCCTCGGCAGATTCTGCTTCACAATCCTCCAGCATCTGAATTACCTGGGCATGGCTCGTTGAATTTGTATTCGTGATGCGAGGCGGGTAGAACCATTGAGCCTATGCTGCACCGACCTGTTTCAGGATCCCCTGCAGTGATCACCCGATTTCGCCGGCTTCATCTCCGAGTTGACGCGCCATAGCTTAACTCATCACGACAGGACGCGTCAGTGTAGTCAATCGTGCCTCAGGTAGAGCGCCCTGTCCCGATACGAGACGTTCCCACTTTCGGTCATGACGCCAAGCACACAACGTGCCGGCTTTATAACCCCTATTCGGATCGGAGTGACGCGTCCAATCGCCCACTTCTCCACGTCCACGGCGCTGTCACTGATAGGCTGCATCGAAAAAGACAATTAAGCCGATACTTTCCCACTACCTAGCATTTTCCGACCAAATTCATACCTTTGTCTGTGAAGAGCACCGTGTCGAATATTGCCGAGGAATCCCGGGCCGAGGGTCAATTATGTCAGCCATTAAAGGTGGAGATGAGTGATCTACCTTGTGCCGGGGTCTTCATGCATGTCTTATTGGTGCAAATTACCTGGGTAGATGCTATAGTACTGCATGAGTTTGGCGCAAGAAGTTGAATCGACTGCGACCACTGCAGAAACACCACTGCGACCAGAAAGAGGTCCAAGCGCGCCTCGCGCCTCGCATCGTTGCTTTGGCTCTACTGCTCTCCCTCTTCCAAACCCACTTTATTTCCGCCTACAATCACTTCACTCTCCAGGCATGACTCGAGTCCTACTACCTGGCGATCGACTACCCTCGACCTCTGCTGCATCAGCCGCAACGACGCTCCACCTCGGCCCGGGGTTACAATCCGTCGTGGTCCCCTCATCTTACAAGGGCAAGAGCAAAGCGACCTCTGATGCGATGGATACGGATGAGAAGCCAGGGAAGGAAGCCGAGGGGGGTGAGGAGGACGAGGAAGTCGTGGCCAATCGAGCGGGCTTGCTGGGGATGCAAGAGGACAACAAGAGCCAAAAGTACTGGATCGAAGGGACGAGCCGAAGGGTGAGTGCAAGAATTGGAGCACTTATACCACGGCAGGGTAGCATGGGCTGCACAGAGTCCAAGAACGCACCGAAGAGACGCAATGATGTACATTTGGCTCGCCCCGAGTGGCGCTCGACACGCTTCGTCGACGTTGCGAATCTCGGCAGCACGAGGGTGCTGCCATGATCTTATGCTATATGGAGTCTACGGTGAAGACTACTCCAACCATGACTTGAAGTGTACATTCAATGAGGGGGACAGGCATTTTTTGCCTTACAAAATCGTTGTGGCCCAGTACAGCGAGCTGACGAAACGATCCATCCTTTTGAATCTTGTCCCGACTTTTATCATGCAGTACATTCCGCAAGCTCCGGAGCCGGTGATTGGGATCATTATTGCAAGGCATGCCGAAGGGTATCGAGTAGACATTGGGTCATCGCAAGCCGCAAGTCTAGACGCGCTGGCATTCGAAGGCGCCACAAAACGAAACAAGCCGAACCTCAAAGTACGTGACCGAGGATCTTCAATATATTTTTCGCCTTAACCAGGGTCGTCGAACTGATAACAGCGACCTTGAATTGTTTTTTTTAGGTTGGAACGCTTGTATACGGCCACCTCCTCGCTACACCGCCTTTTTCCGAACCCGAAATATCTTGCGTCGACGCGGCGACACAAAAAGCCGCTGGATTCGGCGAATTGGCTGGAGGGTTCCTGATCCGCCATGTTGAGCTCGGAAGGTGTAGAGCGTGAGTACTCTCTGTCTCTTTCCACAGGGTTGCCGGCCGGTTCGTTCCGACCTCGGGCCGCGCGAGCTGACTATCACTTCTTCCCTCACTCATCGATTCTCGCTCGCAGGCTGCTCTCTCCGAAGCATCCGATATTGGAACGTCTGGGAGCACAGTTCGCCTTTGAGATCGCGGTGGGGATGAATGGACGAGTCTGGGTGAAAGCCGGGGATGATGATACCGAGAAGTTGATCGCGATGATTGCGGAGCTCAGGGGCGATGAGTGAGCGCGGCCAAACTAGTGGCGATTCGCGACGTAAAGTTGGATGATGAAATTGGAATGACGATTTGCACTCGCACCCGGAAGATGCTCACAGTCGAACATGAATCTCACTGGCCCCACTTCATAGGAAGGAGACTCGCTTCGGGCTCTGGGAGGTGAGATGGTGTTGCTGCATGTATGCGCCCACCGCCCAGCGACTTGATGGGAGGGAGGCCGAGGGAGGGTCTCCTCGGAGCCAAGCCTTCGATCACAGATGGAGCCGACTCAGGCTGAAGCCGATCGTGCGAGCGAGCGCGACCCGGCGTCGTCATTTGAACCCATTGAAACTCCCTTTGACCTTGTACCATATCTACCCACCGAACGAATCGATGACTCGGATACCTTTGCTCGTGGCAGCAACGTCGTTGGTCGCTGGATCAATCGCTGGAGCGGTCTACGTAGAACCTTCCTACGTCGATGTCTCGTAAGTCTGACTGCAGGCGGCGGTGCCAATTCCCGCAGCGCACAGCGGACTGCGAGCGAGCCAAGAACAGCCAGGCCCACCCCTGCGGTTGCTGCGATCGAAACGGATCGTCTACCACGACTGGGAATCAGTGCAGGCTTTCGGGCATCGCAACGTTGGAGATGGGCGTAATGCCGGATGTGGAGCTCAACACAACTCGAGCTCCGCTTTGGACCATTGAGCATCGCCTGTCATTGTGGAGTGGCGTCGTGCGACAGCGATCCGGAATGAGACCCGCTCCGATCCCTCGAGACATTTGACTGAACACCAGACTCCGATCTCGCGCATCTGCAATCGCCCCCACCCCCCTACAGACGCATTCAAGAAACACTACGACAGGCTCAACAAAAGCATCAGTCTGCGCTCGACAACTTCCATGCCAATGAACTGAATCACCCGGAGGTACTGGAACAACACCAGTCGCTGATTCGGCATGCGCATCGCATCGAACGGAGAGCGAGGGCCAGGGCTAGGGTTGAGAAAAGGCAGAGCTCGGGCCAAGGTGTGGTACCCATGTTGGACTTTTGTGAGTACATGGTTCAAAGGAGACCGTTGATTTATATCCTGAACTAACACCTACGGTGTGCTCTGACACAGACTCGGAGCCCCTCGACATTATGTGAGCTTTCGTCGAACCGGACGCCGAGCCCGACCCCGACGCCGGGGGCCGTATGAAGTGGCCGATTCGACCGAGGTATCAATCAGCGGGCCCACTAACACACTTTCCCACACAACTCTATGATAGGGTCTACACCAATGTTTCGATCGGGACGCCAGGACAAGTCTTCCCCATTCTGATCGACACTGGCTCGGCCGACCTGTGGGTGTACCAAGAGGGTGTCGGCCAAGTTGCGACAGCCGAGTGGGACGCGAGCAAATCGACTTCGGTCGTCACGACGCCTTCGATCCCATGGAGTATCAAGTACGGCTCGGGATCCCAGCAGGGGTTCTTGAACCAGGACATTGTGACGATGGGCGGCTATTCAGTCGACACTGTCTTTGCTGCTGCGACAACGCTGAACCAGGTTCGTCGGAACTGGCTTCCGTGACTCTGATCGCCGAAAGCTAATGAATCGACCTTCGTTCGCTTCGATCAGGCTTTTTCGCCCTATCCTATCAGCGGAATTTTTGGTGAGTGAACTACCCTGGTTGACTCGCCCCCTCCCTGCTTCCCTCACGACTGACAGGCCATGATTAGGCTTCGGCTTTGGGGTCGTTGCCGCGAGTGGATACAGTCCTTGGTTTGAAAGGTGGGTTGCCTCGGGAACCCTTTGTCGAGATCAAGCACTCACCAGCAAATGTGTCTTCTCTTAATCTAGACTCATGAATCAAAGCATCGTCGCAAACCCCTATTTTTCCATGTTCCTCGTGCGAGCATCTGACATCACCACGGTCCCACAAGGTAGTGTCGGAGGGGCGCAGTTGTGCATCGGTTGCATGGACAACGCCAAGTTCACCGGAACGATGTGAGTTATGCTTCTCCGATCGAAGGCTGCGATTCCCCCTGGCTTAAACGTTGGTGGCTTGGCGCGGCTCGACCCCTGCGCAGCTCGTGGAACCGCGTCACCTCGATCGCCTTCTGGACGATCGCGATGGACGGTATCGCCTTGAACGGCACGGTCATCACTGGAACCGAAATGAACGCCTCTTTCGATTCCGGCACGACCCTGATCCAAATTCCCGTCGCAGCGGCCCAAGCGATGTACGCCCAAATCGGTGGTGTCGATTCAGGCACCGGCGATGGGACCTACAACATCCCTTGCGACGCACCCATTGGGTCCCTAGCCTTCGCCGTTAAAGGGGTGCAATATGAGATCCCGCCCGAAGATCTCATCCGAGCAATCTCTCGCGATCGAAGCATCTGCGTCCTTACCATCGCAGGAGTGGACAATGTCGATGCGCGAGGTAGACCCACCGCCATCGTTGGCGGAGCTTTCCTCAAGAACGTCTACGCCATCTACTCCTACTCTTACCAAGGAGCTCCTGCTGTCGGGCTGGCGAGGAGTATTATTGCGGGGAGTTGGAATTTCACATCGGGTAGTGGGGAAAGCCCGGCGAATAATTTGACGATCGCTTCGACGGGGTCGATTACGGTCAGTCAGGTTGGGCCGGTGACGAGTTTGGCGACGACGGATGGGGGGATGGTCACTTCGGGTGGATTGGGAAATGCGTGAGTCACAGATCTGTCACGGGAACGGGACTATTTTAAAGGGTGTTCGAAGCTGATCTCCAAGCATCTTCCTCTGACTTCTTGACACACTCGCAGTCCCTCCACCACCACCACCAGCAGTAGCAGCAGCAGCAGCAGCAGCAGCATCGCTTCCCCCACGCCGACTTCAATGACCCCCGCTGCCGAAGTGACCGTCACTTCCCAACCCGAAACAACAATATTCGTTACCGCCTCAGCCGCTTCTCCTATCCCCTCAGCCACCTCCCGAACCTCAGGAGTGGAGCGAAGGACCTTTGGATCGACGGGTGTGGGTTTGTTGGTGCTTTTGGGTGCGGGAGGTCTGTGGGTCGTATAGACACTTTCTTCTGTCCGCCTTTGCTCTTGTTGATATATTGGAGGAGATGGCCCTTTATATGGCATTTCGATCCATCCGCCCGAATACCATCCCCAGGGCTTTAATTTATCTTCCGTCTTGAAGTCGCAAAGGACATTATGGTTTCTGTAGCTTTGTAGTTGTTAATTCGGAACAGAAGTGGGAATCCAATGCGAATTACAACAAGTTGTGGGAGTGGTTCTGCGCCGAGAAAGGAAGGGAACAGACCTCGTCAAAAGTCATCATCATCGACAATCTTGACGCCTGCTTCTTTGGCCGGTGCGACTTGGGGTACGGTGATAGCATCCTGGATGAAGGCACCGTTATTTATCGTTTCGATGCGCTGTGTGTCGTCATCCTTCGGTCCTTCCTCCTCGTCCTCGTCCTGATCCTCGTCCTGCCTCTCCTTGGCGGACTTGAACGTGAACGCCCCCCCACTCGCCGCCGCACTCGATCCCAGTTTTCTCTTCTTATCCGCCAACATGGCCCCATCATCCTTTTCTTCCCCAGCTTGATCCGCTTTCTCCCCAGCACCTGAAGCGGATGTGGTCCTCTGCGCGTGTTTCTTCTTTTGCCTCTTCAACCTGTTCTTGGCCGTTTTGGCCTCGGCTTGGGCTTCGTACGTGGCTTGACGGTCCAGGGCGGCTTGTTTGGCTTTGTTCTGGAGAGTTGTGATTGAGGGTCGGGGGTGTGAGTGGATTGTGCTCGGTCGAGTGAGGCTAGAGGATAGGTTCGTACATAGGCCTCCTCCTCGTCCATCAGTTTGAGCCTCTCGTATTCCCTCCTCCTCGATTCCTTGTACACGTGCTGCGACGAGGACATACAAAAAAAAAAAGATCAACTCCTCATCGTCCCATGCGGAATCTACCACACTCGCACCGATGCACATGCACTCACAAACTCGCCACTGCCCGCTCCCGCCGAGCTGCCCTGGACGTTCCTCATCATCTCCCTCGGCGCACGTAATTGCTTGACCCCCTCCTTGGGTGCGGAAGGGATATGAACCGGTTTGGAGGTGTCTTTGAGTAGTCTTTGTAAAGCTGCGGCTTGGAGTTGGGCGGGGGTCGCATGGCGCAATTCTTTGGAGGTTGGGATCGACGAGGTGGTGGTGGTGGTGGATGGGGTGGATGTGGAGCGCGAGGGGGAAGCCATGGTGGGTGAGAAGGGGGTGAGGGTGAGAGTGGTGCTCGAGCTCGAAGGGGGGTGGATGGGAAGAGGAAGGAAAGCCAAGGAACAACCGTGAGAGACCAGAAGAGACCCGTGAGTTGGCAGCCGCTCGTCTCGTTGACTCTCTTCTCTTCTCTTCTCTTCTCTCCCCACTCGACCCGACCTGACCCGTCCGCCTTGCCCGCCCAGCATGGCCCCACCCAAACGCAAATCCCCACCGCCTTCGTCCTCGTCCTCTTCGTCCAACATCAAACGCCAAAAGATGACCGCCAGTACGCGAGCGACCCCCGCAGCGGTCGAACCTGAAGCCGAGACCGTCGTCGTCGACGAATCGGATTCCTTGTCCAGTCTCTCGCCTGTTCAAACACCCGAGGAGGACGAGGACGAGGACGAGGACGAGGACGAAGAGGACGAAGAGGATGTTCCCTTGCATAGTTTGGTGCGGAGTAAGACGGCCGTAGTGACCGGGGACACCTCCACTCCCAAGAAAGCTCGACGACCTGATCCAGACGACGACGACGACGACGACGACGACGATCCAGACGATCCAGACGATCCAGACGATCCAGACGATCCAGACGATCCAGACGATCCAGACGATCCGGACGACGACTCTGATGAAGACGACGATGACGACGACGGCGATTCTTCCTTTGTCGATCTGGACGAACTCACACGCCAGGACAAGCTCGATCATCCTCGTACGCCTACGACGACCGTCACCGAAGCTCCGGCGCTCATCGTCGACCACGCCGTCACCTCGGCCAAGTCCGTCCCCGCTTCCCAAACCCGACCACCGGCGAGTTCCCCCCCCAAGCCAGAAATGTCCAATAGCAATCGATCGTCGACCGGTGGAAAGGGCAAGAAGGGTGAAGAGGCATTACAACAGGCCGTCGCGGCGAGGGAGGACGTCGAGAGGAGGAGGGTCGAACTCAAGGGACCGAACGTCGAGAACCCCGTCGTGAAACAGTTGGAAAAGGAGATTCAGCAGCAGCGGGAAGCGGATAAAGAGGAAGGAGAGGACGAGCATGCGCAAACCAAGGTCAAGGAGGAGAAGGCGAACGGGGAAGGGAACAAGAAGAATGGAGATGGGCAAGGCGAGGGAGAAGGCGAGGGAGAGGAAGGCGAGGATGAAGAAGAACCTCCCCCACCCGTGAGTTTGGAACAAGACGATGAGCACCCTACTCTCCATAAACTCAAGCGTATTCCCAACCATTCATAGCCCAAACGAGAACGACCCGCCCTGGCCGAGGAACGCGCCAATGTCATTCAGTTCAGAGTCGTCACCAATGATTGCAAACCCGATTCGATGATCATCCTTACGGGGCTCAAGAACGTGTTTCAGAAACAGTTGCCCAAGATGCCGAGGGAATACATCGCCCGATTGGTATTCGATCGAGCGCATTGGAGTTTGGCTATTGTCAAACGAGGGTTGGAAGTTGTGGGTGGTATTACCTATCGACCTTTCGAAGGGCAGAAATTTGCCGAAATTGTGTTTTGTGCCATTACGGGCACGGAACAAGTCAAGGTGAGTTGCCGAAAAAACCCCTCGTATTTGTTGTCGAGTGGCCCTTGCTGACTTTACTCGGCATGACAGGGTTACGGTTCGCACATGATGAACCATCTCAAAGACTACGTCAAGTCGTCGACGTCGTGTATGCACTTTCTCACCTATGCCGACAACTATGCCATCGGCTACTTCAAGAAACAGGTTCGTACGGGTCTCTCTCTTCTTGCATAGCTCGCACGTGTTTAGCATAAAGAGAAGCTGCTCGAACAGGGCTTCACAAAAGAGATCCATCTCGATCGAAGCGTGTGGGCTGGTTACATCAAGGATTACGAAGGCGGTACTATCATGCATGTACGTCTTGAGATCTTGCCACGTGTCCTACACCAACCATGATTTGACCCTCCCCGTTCATCGATCCGACAGTGCGCCATGATCCCTCGCATCAAATACCTCGACGTGAGGGAGATGTTGACCCAGCAGAAGGAGGTACGGGCCTCACCTCGTCTCTGTGATACAACAATCCACTCACTCGAGCTATGCTGACACCCCTTCTTCTTCCGAACTTCTTCAGGTGATCCTCTCCAAAATTCGCATCAAATCCCAATCCCACATAGTACATCCAGGTCTACCCTACTGGAAGACCCTCCCCCCCGGAACCTCCATCGAACCCTCCCAAGTCCCCGGCTTGAAAGAATCCGGCTGGACGCCCGAAATGGAAGAATTGACGAGGAGACCTAAAAGGGGTCCCCAATTCGCGGTGATGAAGAAGTTGTTGACGTTGTTGATTGATCATCCGAGTAGTTGGGCGTTCGCGAGTCCGGTGAATGCTGCTGAGGTACGTTTGAAGGGAGGGGTGGCGTAATGATCGTTTATTTCGTTGCGGAGGGCTGATGGACGGGTTGTTGGGATCTGCTACAGGTCACAGATTATTATGACGTCATTAAAGAACCCATGGGTACGTTTTCACCCACCCTCAAGTCCCATTACCTTCTCATCCCCTAACCCCCTCTCCCGTCCCCTTAGATCTCGCAACGATGGAAAACAAACTCGAAGCCAACTCGTACACGGTCCTGGCCGACTTCCTCTACGACGCCAAGTTGATCTTTGACAATTGTCGGCAGTACAATGACAATGGATCGAATTGTGAGTTCCGAGAGGAGGAGGCGAATATGCGAACGATTACTGAATAGTCTGAATGCTCTGCCTTGGAACTAGACGTCAAGAACGCGAACAAACTCGAAGCGTACCTCAAGGAGCAAGTCAAGGTGTATCAAGAACCCTAGGCCATTTTATGGATAGGTCGTAAGGAAGGAGCCGCTGAATCTTTATTTGTTGTAACAAGAGCCCACGAAAGCATGTTGTTTTGTTCACTGCCACCTCTGGCTCTCGGAGCGTTGTTTGAAATTCGTGTTTTCACTGCGTTGTATTTTCACTTCCTCTCGGAAAAAAACCAAAGTTCGAAAGCGCGGAAAGAAGGAGTGAAATTCCTGGTGAACAATTGATCCAAGAGGGTAAAGGGAACAAGTTGGCATGTGAACTTGGTGGGCGGAAAAATCAAAGCGAAACGGATGCTTCAAGGCTTGTCTAGACCGATTTCGACTTCCATCTACTTAGTAACAAGGTTTTGGGGCGCTTCCTTGACGTGTCGACGACCTGAAGAAAGCAGAGAGATAGCATCAATCTCAGGATACTCTTTATATGGGATGCATGACGGCGCCGACATACCATCTTGCCACCTAATGGTGACCGTTCCATCCGGGTTCCCAAAGTAAGCGGCCAGCGCCATATTAGCGAAGATGCCCACTTCCAAGACACCCGTCAACCTGTGAGCGAAAGAGGATACAAGCTCTTGTTTGGACCAGATATCACTTTGATGCTCGTTGAGAAAGTTTGAGCTCACATCTTGATACGGTGCAACAACTCTGTCGGGTCGCGCATGTAGGCTTCGGAAAAGACGGCGTCAATGACGAAGTTTCTAAAGGGGCGGAAAATTGGAAGAAGAGACGACGCCAGATCAGCACCAATCAGACCCAGAAAATCTCTTGCACGGTCACTCACCCATTGTCAGTGACGACCGGTCCGGCCTTCATCTTGCCCATTCGTAGTGTCGGCTTCTCGCATCCCATCTTCTGAAGATCTGATTCGTCCGAAATGCAACTCAACACAAGTTAGCAACCCAGCCCTGTCGTTAAGCACACCCCAAAAAACGCACTCTGGAAAACCTTAGCCCAAGCGAAAGGCGCGACCTCAATCGGAACGCCTTGTTTCCAGTTTGTACCGAGGACCTTCGAATCCTTGCGCGAATCGGCAACGATGATGAAGTGCGTAGCCGCTTCAGCCAAGACCTTCTCTCTCAGGTGACATGCTCCACCTCCCCTAGTCAGACGAAATGAGATGATATCAGTTGAGCTGTTCGGTCCCGCCTGCTGCTGGGTGCAAATATGAAACTCACTTGATCGCATTCAGTTCGTCCTGTGGTCAAAGCAAAGAAGCAGGATGTTCAGCAAGAAATAGATAGCTAGCTGATGATGTTATGATCACTCACATCGACCTCATCGGCACCATCGATCGTGACATCAATCTCCGGGAATTGATCGACGTCCCCGAGGTTTAAGCCAGCCTTGACGATAAGTTCTTTGGATTGGAATCCGGTCGGCACGAACCTGGAAGAAAAGATCCGCATAGCTCAGCAACATGATAACAAGTGCTGCCGAAGCTAGGTTTCCACCGACCATCGATCCAAGTTGTCGGCGCAGTGGGGTTCTTGACAAAGCCGCTCGACGACGTAGGGAACGGTGGAGCCCGATCTGGAATTTTTAGTTTGTTTTATCAAGGTCAGTTCTCTGGGTTTGTTAGATAATTATTGGAGAGGCGAATGGGATTCGGATGGTCTGTCCTCGCAATCTCTGAGATTCGGGACCGAGGAGCGGCAAGTGGTACGCCGGAGCCGGAGACGATGCTCGCAGGGTCGACCAAAGATGGCAGTGTAAAATAGAGAAAAGCACACGACGACTTGAAAAAACCTCATCGTCTGCCTCGGAAGTATTGACGTCTCGACTCTTCCTTCGAAAAGATCCTCGAGGAGCCTCTTTCGCAGATTCGGTTGACCGAGCCAGGCCGACCGTCGCATTCCCAGGACGTCCGAAACCCTCGAGCTTCGGCGAGACAATGAGCACTAGGTAGATGTCATATTGCCTTACCCAATTCCAAGCACTTTGTGCTGCGGCTTGACGTGTTCGTCGACGGCGGCGTAGGCTGCAAGACGTTTGGCCGTTTCCTCGGGACTGAGCACATGCAGGTTGTCGGGATGTCCCGTCGGATGAGCACCGGGGCCGATTCGGGAAGCCTAGAGCTCAAAAAATATCGGTCAGACTATGCGATAGACGTCGCCTGAGACGCGGGGGGTAATTCGGCGAAGGCAAACCAGAAAAGGGGCTTCGAGACGGTCTGACTCGGGGGAGCGGCAGCGGTTTCAGGTGGAATCGGAACGTACGGAGGCATGAATGATGGACGACAGAGGGTCAGGTCGACCCATGGCTGAGACGCCGGATGGTCGACGCGAGTTGGGCTGGCTGGACGACGCCTTGGGGTTCTCCGGCAGCGGCGCCATCGGTTGAGGCTGAGATGACTGCATCGTGGACGAGGAGAAGCACGAGAAGTGCAACCGAGGTGACCGCGTGGGAGTGGGGCGGCCAGCGGCGAGAGCAAAGAGTCTCGAGTACAGCGACGACGTGGATGTACGAAGCGAAAGAATTGCGGAAAGAGGGAGACGACACACCCGTGTGCAATGCGGGTGAGATGGTGTGGGGAGAAACAAACCAAGCTGGGTCTCGACGGTCGACTTAGAAGTGCTCGTCGCTCGAGCTCGAGAAGAACCCAATTTTGAAAGATGGCTTCGGCTCGTTCGCAGCGCATACTGCCGGAGCGGCGCGTCTGTGGTCTTCTGTGGTTGCCGGGGCCATGTCTGGGCCAAACTGGACCTTATTTGCAGCCCATACTGTAGGAGACACAATTGCTCGATGCTCCAGGATATCTATTCCAAGTAGTCCTCCACCGCACCATATGTCCTCTATTGTTTTGAGTATACCACACTATCTCCACCTTTAAATCGCCCATATTGGGCTTCTTGGAGCGAAAGATGTCGTCACGTCCAAGGTCACTCGGCGCTGGAAACAACGTCAAGCCGATCGCAACTGACCGGCGCTAGATTGCTGGAACGAGCTTATTCCAGGCGTTCGAAAAATCACGAAAAATCAAAAACTTGTATTGAAAGATATCTTGAACTAGAGACACACTATTGAGCCCTGGTATCTGGTGGCCCGAATTAATTCGTGCTTGGTATTTTGCCTGTCCGTCTCAGGCTGGCCCCCCCAATTGATAGTCCCGATCGCAAACAAGCCGGGCAGCCGAGCAGCCAGCTGCGGGTCCGTGGCCACGGCCGACGCCCCCAATTCGCCAGTTCGGTCGAGACGAGCTGGTACAGAACGAAAAGAAGCATCAATTGCCTCCTCCGTTCCTCCCCCTCACCCCCTCACCCCCTCCCCTCCTCAGGCGCTCAGCGTTTGGCGCCGATAAAACATACTACCCGCTTACTTTTGCGGTGTGCGTCCCGCCGCCCTTGTTTACCCAGCATCGACCACACCCATTTCAAGCTGTGGGCCCCGCTGTTCATTTTCCTCCTCTCATCCCACCACTCCCCACTGCTCCTGGCTGCACCAGCATCCCCTCTCATATTTCCATCCCCTCCAATCACCTCGAGCGGCAACAGTGCACGCCGCTCGCCTCTTTCGAAGCCTGTCACCTATCTTGAGCAGCCCGCTCACCCGCCTCGCCTCTGTTTAGAATATTTACGTGGCTCGCGCGGGCTACAGTCGAGGTACCACTTGCTTTCCCGTCCCACGCGAGCTCTACCCATTCGACGGGCTCAACAATCCCATTCACCTGCCCAAACTCTCTCGACAACATCATCCTACCAGCTGCCCTCACGTGCGACGCGTACAACTCTTTACCGATCCAAACGATCCACTCTCGGCTACTTGGTGTAGTATCACATCTCTCTACCGGTGCAGCATATCGACCACAGCAGCACGTGACGACCGGATTGTGTCTTTTTTCATACACAAGGTCGGCAGTGCACAACATTGCACGGCGATTATTTACCTCAATCACCATGCTTTACCGAGCAACCATGATAATGTCGTAAGTGATGCTCCCCGGGGTTCCCAAATTTTCTCCCCTCCAGCCATGTCGACGCCAACGACGATGTATGCGTGACTCGGCTGAGCTCAGGCTCGGCTGGGACTTGGCGTCGTCAGCGACCTCGCAGTCTCACTTGTGCGCATATCGCTCTGAACTAACATACCTATCATCGTGGAGTACAGATCATCTTCTCCGGAGGATCAGGACGACTCGCTCCGAGTTCATCCCGCAACGCAAGCCATCGCATCTGGTGCCACTTTGATCGACCCGACCCCGTCGGATGAAGCAGAGCCGGAGTCGCATTCGGGAGCCTCGGCTACTCAGCCGAGCACACTCGGCGAACAAGTCGTCGTTGACGACGAGGATAACGAGGATGACGAGGACAATGAAGATGAGGAGGAGAACGAAGATGAAGATGAGGATATTACCCCTTCGCAAAAGCTTTGGCCGGTCAAAGCTATTGTGCGTTACACATGTTCCCCGTCTCGGGTCGTCTCAGCGCGGTCTGAATTGACACTGACGTCCGGCAATCGGATTCGGCAGATTGGCGAGCGTCGAGGCCAATACTTGCTCGCATGGGACGGGACCGACGAGCATGGGAGATCGTATGAGCCTACCTGGGTTCGTCTATCTTAAGGACTCGGAGGCAAATGTCGACCCTGACTCTGGTTGTACTGCGTGTCCTTCCTCAGGAGGCCAAATCAAATGCCACGCTGGGATTAATCAAGCATTGGGAAGCCACGAAAGCCCCGAAGACCACTAACAAGGACGCTCGAGCAACTCGTCCTTCCATGAACAAGAAAGGTAAACAAAGAATGTCGAGCGAGCCCGTCATCGAGATCGAGCAACGGCAACGAACGAGTGAGAAGTCGTCATCCGTCGAGGCGCGCGCGACTGGGCGCCCCGTCAAGAAGGTGAGGAAGGTCGCCTTCCAGATCCGACCCGATTCTGATCCGAGCGAAAGCGATGAAAGCGACAACGACGATACTAGAGGAGCAGGTAGTAGTGATGGTTGCGACAGCGACGTCGTGATCATCGAGGAGACTATGCGCGTGATCCTCGACTCGCAGGGCGATGAAATTTTTCTCCCCTCCAGCGTGTTGCCGCCGCCATATCTACCTGTACGGCAACCGCTGGCGGAGTTGTCCGTCTCATCATCTTCAACACAATCGACTCAAGTTTCCTCCTCCTCGTCAAACACCCACTCATTGCGGTCTTCCATCAGCGTGGTCGGTTCGACACCTGCTGCCTCCGCCGTGTCAGCCCGGCCCATGCGACCCGTCCCCATCCCTACGGCGACGGACTTCTACCCTTTGTCCCAAATGGAGATCGACCCCATCGAAAACCCAGACTCATCCCCCGTCAGACCGTTGACGTCGAGGCTCCCGGCCACTCGGCCTTCCACAAGTGTGCCCCTACGACGAACGGGATCCAAACCTCAACTCGAGCTCGTGCTGCAGACGCCGGCTTCTTCCGGGTCGTCTTCGTCTTCCAACAGGACTTGCAGCGATGAGAACTCGAGCCTTCCGCTGCCTATGATGCCGAATGTTCCCGCGCACGCCGTGGTTGGACCTTTCAGTGTACACGTCGCTGCTCAAGCGATCATTGCCCCCGACAAGATCAACATGATGCGACCGCCCCCAACGCTTCTAAGTGAAGATGGTGATGGAGATATGGGCTTCTTGAATGCTAGAGTAGCAGCTCGAAGAACGCTGGAGCGCTCGCGTTCCCTTGCTTTGCCGGCCCACCCCTTCGCATCGAGCTTCTCGACACGATCATCCTCTGGGAACTATGCTGCCGCCGATGGGAGCGAAGGCGAACCGTCCGCAACACAACCCTACCAACAGCCCATGCAAAACACCGCTCCAATTCCTGGACTATCGGCTCCTCAGAGCTACGTGGCTTCGACGAACGACTCGAATGGGTCCATCGCTAGTTCCATTATTCCTTCGTCGACAAATGGAGCGTCTTCGCTGCGCAGCGCGTCATCGAGCATGCCAGCGGGGTCAGCTGCTCCTCCACCACCACCGGCACCGAATACCACGCCGGCACCCGCCCCGAATCCCACAAAGCGTGATTTTCCCGAGAGCGACGAGGAAGAGCAGCAGACCAAAAAAGCGAAGACGGTCGAATTCGCCGACAAACCGCCGACATTAATCGAGATCCCTCCTTCGACGACGACTGAGAGCGAGAGGAATCCTGTCGAATCGACAGGAGGCTCACTGGCTCGCATCATGGACGCTCCGACACAGATCACCCTGCCACCCCACCTGGCACCCTTCACTGTCCCGACGCAGCCTTTGTCGCCAGCCCTCGCGCGCGTTCAGGCAGTCGAAGGTCTTGCAGCAGAATCGAACGATCGACAAGGCTCTCCTGGACCTAGCGGTACAGGGCAGACAGACGCGGTCTCGCGCAACGCTTCCCCCGCACCAGGAGGTGGCTCGCACGTCGATGGACTGATCCAACTCGTGCATGCGTCGACCTACATCACCGACACGGATTCGACAAAAGCCGAAATTGAGCGCTTCTTGCGTGACCCTAAGGCTTATGCCAGTAAGTGCTAGAGCTAAGCTCGCATCCGCAGATCCCTTGACTGACGATTTGACCCGTTTCCATGACCACAGGCAACCCTGAAGAACCGCTGTGCCGAGTCGCCCACTGGGCTTTCGAGCTCCGCCACGTAACGCAAGAGAACATCGAAAAAATCGACTTCATCATCGTCCATTCCCAAGCCGGGACCTACCAACTCAAACGCGTTGCAGCCGCCCAAGCCCAATTCGACTTTGCTCGTTCGCTCGCCCACGCCTCGACTCGAACCCGTGGACTCACACCTGGAACCCCTGCGGCCGTTCCCGCGACTTCAGCCGCCGCTGAACCGGCGGTGCCGCCTCCCAAACCGATCGAGATGATGTCGCGTGACGAACTGGAGCGAGAACTTGCCGACCTCCGAGCCCAAACGTCGACTATGTCCGCTGAACTCGAGACTCTCCGACCGCTGGCGCTGGAGGTGACCAAGTTGCGGACAGAGACCGCGACCTTGCTCAAACAGAACCGTTCCTTGGCGGCTTCGAAAGAGTCCGCCCAATCCGACTTTGCCTACATGCAAGCGCAATACTCGCAAGCCTCTGCGGCCGCAGTGATGAGGGCACGAGAAACGGACGTGGCTGAGGCCGAGACGTTGAGGTTAAGGTCCGTGTTGGATCGCGGGTTGAAGCAAAATGCGATGCTGTTCAAAGCCGAGAACAAGAAGCTCAAGTTCATGGTCAAGAGGTTGGAAGGGGAGATGGCGTTGCTCAAAGCGGAGAGGAGACGGGTCGCGGAGAGCGAGGTCATCAAGAAGGCGGCGTTGTGGGACGATTTCCAGGCTGAGCTCAAGCATCATGAGGCGATCGAGAATGACTTGGAGCGAAACGATTCAAGTGATGAAGAGGACGAGAAGGACGACGATGAGGAGAGTGCACCGCCACAGGAGGAGAGCGCGCATGCTGCTCCTGCGGACACGACAACAAGCGAGGAAGCGAATTTGTCAAGCTCGATCGGGGAAACTGTCCCCTTACCGCCGCTCGTCTGCCAGTGGAAGTCGTCAGGGGACGGTGGTCGAGTTTGCGATGCGGTGTTGCAGACGAGGGAGGAGTTGGAGCAGCACATGGCAACGCATCAAGCGACGCAGTCCTATGTATCGTAGTAGACCTTAGAATTGCAAAATCTCCATGTTTTATACGTGGCATCGCGCACAAAGACTGTCAGGCAAATGAGATTGTCTCTCAAGTCGAAGGAAAGGCGCACGACTCGAGAGTCAGAACAAATGTGAGGGAAGCGATATATATTTCAGTTGTGCAGCGAAACGAGCGACCTGAAAAGCCGTTCAGAGGGGGTGGAAACCGCAAGGAAAGAAATAACAGTGAGGTAAGACCGACCTCCCAGGAGCAAGATAACAACTTGTGGGAATGACCTGCGAGCAAACGAAGTAGTGAAGGAACAGATGGATGTGTGCATGAAGCGAAGAATAGACGTCCGAGTGAGCTAGCCCGATGATCTCGTTGGTGATCTTGGCGAGCCGGGTGCACCCGAAATCGAGTTCCTCGGTGACCTCTGCGGCGAGCTCGGCGCATCGGCCCCAGCCGCTACTTTCTCCGCCAGTTCCTCCATAGACGAATCGTTCTTGCTCATCGCCTCGCGCATCATGACCATCGTGTTCTCCAGACTGCGACGACGCGTCGACGGACTGGTCCTCGTCGTACCGAGCGAACTCTGCCTACCGTGGCCTTTGCGGAAGCGCGCGCTGGCGTTGTCGGCTTTGGGCGATTCGAGCACGCCGGGCCATGCGGATCCGGGTAATGAGTTGGAAGAGGGTAGGCTCGGGGAGGTTGGCCCACTCTTCGGGCTCGAAGGGGAAACACCGTCCATGGACGATGGGGAAGCCGTGCGCTCGATCGGCGACGAGGTCTGCATCGGCTCCTCCGTGGACGGGGAAGCGGGATCCGAGAAGGACCCACCGGCCGATGATCCAGGTCCAGACGAGATAAAGTCCTCAGGGTCGATGAGATCAGGCGGCAAGTGCTCGTTGTCGATATCGGACTTGCGAGCGTCGATAAAGTTTGTGATCGAGTCCTTGATACCATCGGCACCGTTCGCGAGCGCATCCGAGGGCAAAACGCCCGAAACACCGGACACGTTCTTGAGTTCGGAAACGGATTCCGACTCTTCTCGCAAGACCGAGAACAGTCGGGACATTTTGCCGACGGCCAAGATTTTGTTTTTAATCTGTTGTCGACGCATGGCCGCTTCTTCCTCTGTGAAGCCACGTAAGGACCGAAACCATCGTCAGTGACGTTACCCGTAAGGCTGGCCCGAGTATGAACTGACCGCTCAATTCCTCTCCACTCTCACCCTCTTCACCTTCCTCAATCTGATCCTCCTCCATCTCATCCTCCTCATCCAACTCCTCCTTGGAGCAAATCCCCAACATGGCAATCAACATATCCGTGATCTTCTCTCCCACAAAGGGCAAACTCCACGTGAAGACGTCCATAAAGTTAGGCAGCCAGTACGGGTGGGGCGTGCAGTTGAACTGGCGGATATTCATCACGTTGTTCTCGTACTTGAGCACGGCGGCCTTGTTGTTGTACACGTCGAGATAGTTGGGTGCCGAGAAGATGGTCATCACCGAGGGGAAACCGGTCGTCTTGGTCTTGCGGTACATGCGGTACCCTGCATCCTGGGCCTCGTGCGCTCGGATGATCGCCAGCAGACCGTTGCGCTCGAGGAATTGGCACGCCGCGGTGTATCTGTACAGACAGAGGTCTTTATGAGCAATCGCGTTGCTCTCACGCAGATCTAGACAAAGCGTTCTCCAACGCACGTGAAGAAATACGAACAACCCCGCACATGGTTGTGTACGAATCCGTCGCTGTTCTTCTCGTTGCCAAATTCCTCTAGCGGATCAGCCCACAGCAGATCGCACATCAGGCCGTGTGTTGGCGGCTCTCGAAATCGATTGACCTGTATCACCCGGAATCAGAGCCTCAACCGTCAGCCTCATCAAAAGGGAAGCAATGAGGAAGCAGAACCACGGACCGTTCGCAGATCATCGAGGGTGTTGAGTTCAGGACTGAGTCCTCCGTGAATGCACAAGAATTGCTTGTTCATGACCGCCGCGAGAGGGAGCGTGCAGAAGGATTCCATGCAAGCGTTGTACACCGTCTCGGAATACTTGTGTTTGCCTGTGTGAGTCAAAGACGGCAAGAACGTATGAGCGCTCAAGAACGCAGAGATTTGCTCGTGATCGGGTTGCGATCGGCTCACATTCTAGTTTGAAGGTAAAGTAGTCGGTCAAATGTCGACATTCGTGGTTGCCTCGAAGCAAGAAGAGAGTTTTGGGGTACCAGATTTTGAGTGCCCAGAGGTAGAGAACGCACTGCATGAACGAGGCTCCGGGAGGTCAGACACTAGGGGGGGCATGGGGATAAGCGGGCTCGCGGTGCGTGCACTGACCTCGATGGAAAAGTAGCCCCGGTCGACGTAATCGCCCAGGAAGAGATACCGCGTCTCGGCGGGGTTACCACCGACTTCGAACAGCTTCATCAAGTCATACTGTAATCACAAAAGGGGAGAAAGGGATGGTTAAGGGTCATGAAGGAAGGAGGACAGTTGGAGCCGATGAGAGGAGCGTGGAGGGGTGGTGCGTGTGGGGCGGCGGGCGGAACAGAGAACGGACGATTACTGGCGCGGGGAATGGTGGAACGGCGAGAACGCATAATGTCTGAAGGACTCACGTATTGTCCATGAATATCACCGCAAACTGGACGGAGAACGGACACAAACTGAGGTGAGCACGGGCAAGGCAGACGCAGGGAGGTGAGAGACGAACCGGTGATGGGCGCGTCGACCTCGAGCAAGTTGGGTTCGGACTTGAGGATCTCCGAGGTCGTTGTTAGGATCCACAGGGCCTAGAGCAGCGTAGATCCGCGATCAGTCTTTACGACCTTTGCGACCCATGCTGATGCCACAGGGCGGGGGGGGGGGGGCGAGGAAGGAGCATGCGCCGCCACCACGACTGGCCAAACGAACCTGTTCCTCCGTCAATCTTCCCTCGCGATAGAAATGATTCTTCAAGAACGCGATGTCAGGCTTGGTCCTCGTCTCATCGTGCCAAAACTGTTGCTCCGTCGGTTTGTGCACGGCGGGAGCCTGCACTTCCTTGACGACGCGTTGGGTGGTGGAGAAGGTCTGGCCTTCATCGTTGACGTGGACGGTGAAATCGATCGTCGGCAAAGTGCTCGTCGCGGCGGCGCGGTTGCGGATTTGCGACAGGGCTGCTTCGGTGTGGGCTCGCTTGGAGAGGACGTCCGTGGGTGGGGCGGAGGATTGCATCGCGACAAGAAGGGACGACCGAGCGCGGTGCGACGGCGTGCGAGGTGGTAAGCGGTGAAGCGGTGAAGCGAGGCGAGATGGGGGCGGGAAGGGCGAGAGGCAGCCGAGCGGGCGCGTCGACCTAGGAAGAGGAGAGGTCGGCGGCAGTGGGAGGGAGATGTGGGATCGAGATGAGCTAGGCCAAGCCTAGTGAATACCCGGAATACGATCAGGAAGGTGGGAGGCGTCGAGCGGGGAGGGGAGGACAAACTGACGCACACGCTGTGGCCACTAGCGCGTCAAAGCTCGTCAAAGCGCGCGTCGTGGCAGGTCGTGGCAGGCAGGCAGTCACCGGCGCCACCTCTCGCACGAGCTCGCACGGACCTAGCGAGATCGCGGCGGGGACGACTCGTGGGACTATTTCGGCATCGAGGACCAGCCCCTCATGGAGCGAGTTTGCACGATTGACAGATGTTCCTCAGGCAGCTATGACCGGACGAGAATAGCAGCGTGACTCGAAAATTCGTCGGTGAGCCTCGATCGTGGCGACCAAACCATTCACACCGCCGCTGATTCGGCGACGAGCTCAAACCTGGCATGCAGTACTTGAGACCCGTATCGGATCCACGTTCAGGGCCGACAGATCATCTCTAATCACGGCGACACCGTTCATTAGGGCCCATTGGAAGGCGAGAGGTGCAAAAGACAGCGGAGCAGAACTGAAAGAAAAAGAAAAATTCAGAGCAGTTGTTCGTCGTCGTCGTCGTCGTCGTCACGGTTTGTTCTACTCCATATCGTCAAAGCCGTGCTCAAGCAAGCTAGAGAAAACCCAAGCAAGTAGTGTGGTCGTCAGTCAAGACTTGCCCACCCAACTTGCCTTACCAGCGCAAAACTCACTAGTTCGCGGCCAACTCCTCATTCCGATCGCACGCAAGGTAAGCCTGAATGACGACCTCCCTATTGAAGCCCATCGCGGTCAACCTATCAATCGCCTGGTTCTCCTCCTCCGTCACCTGGATATAATGCTCGTTCCTATCCTCGCCCTCCTCATCATCGCCGAACTGATCCAACAAACCTTCCATCCCTTCCCCACCCGCAGCCCCACCTTCTTGCCCTTCTTGTAAGAATCTCACGAATTCAGCTTGGTTCCTATCGATGATGCTCAACAACTCGGGGTTCGAAGCACCGAGCTGTTGCAAGAAAGGTTGCAGCAACGCCGGGTTCTGTTGCACCAACGAACGCAATTGGCCGAAGATGGGTTGTTGCGCCAACTGTGCGAGCTCGCTCGAACCGGCAGCGCCACTTCGGGTAGCCCCTGTCGTAGCAGCTGCTGTAGCAGGAGCGGCTACGGGTGCAGGTGCTTCAAAGAGGTTGCCTGTCGAAGACCATCGTGTGGCGATAGTGTGAGCTACGGTTCGGGCCTACACTGCGCCGACCGCGGGCTCCAAGAGCAGCAAAACTTACGAGGGGCGTTCGGGGCAGCCGCAGGGGCCGCCGCAGCAGCGGGTGCGGGTGTAGCAGCAAGAGGAGCAGCGTTACCACCCGCACGAGAAGGTGTACCCGGGGCCCCAGCACCAGCCGCCGCAGCCGGTCCAGGAGCGGGTTCGGACGACTCGGGGATACCCTGGAGCCACAAAATCAACAGATGCATCAGATTTTGCAATGGAATCACGGAGGATGTTGTAGTATCTGACTTGACTGACGGTCATGAGGTATTCGACCGCACGATGCGGGTTGTTGAAGCTCGCTTTCAAGGCCTTCATGACCTGATCCCTCGGGAAGCCCATGCTGACCATCTCGTTGATCGAGGATTGCAACGCCGAGCCCATAAGGAAGGACGTGTCGCTGGAGGAGGATGCTTCCTCGCCCGTCGACGCTCCTGCAACGGCCGGGGTCTCGGCGGTGTCCAGGGCGGTGCTGTTGGTCGATGCCGACGGGGTTTCGAGGACGGCCGAGTTGGGCACGGCGGTGGCGGGGGCAGGGGCGGGTGCGTTGGGCACTACAGCGGGTGCTGAGGCTTGGGCAGGTGTAGCAGGGACGGCTGATGCTGCCGATGTTGAAGGAGCAGCGGCAGGAGCAGGTGCGGCCTTGGGCTTGGAGACCATTACGACGCAGAACTAAGTACAAGTGGGGAAGGAGGGAGATATCAGCTCGGTTCGGTCGGTCCAGTGGGTCGAGTGGACTTGTGCGTGGAACTTGCATCCTTTTCCTTGAAGTTGGCATCCGCAACGGTCTTGTCGTCGGCCAAAATCTTGCCCTGTAGAGAGACCGACTCGGACATCAGCTCTTGGAAGCAAGCTCGGGTGTGGGCTTTGCGGATCCGAACGCACGCTGAAGATGATCTTTTGAGATGCCACCTCGAATCCCTGTTCGGCTTGGATCTTGTTCTTGAGGTCGAGCACCTGTGGCGAGCCAGGAAGGTGTAGGATGTGAGCCCGCTGAGAACGAATGGGACGAAATGTCGTGGGAGTCCTACTGACGGTGTCGGTCGGTTGCGCCTCGATCTTGAACTGCTTTTGTTGCAGCGTCTTGAATGTGATCGAGACCCTGAGCACGGAGAGGATGCGATGAGGTCAGCGATGGGCGAATGCGACACGAGCTCGCAGCGCAGGTGGATGCGAATGTGGAGTCGTGTGGCGACGGCGGCGGTCGTACGGTATGGGTCGGTGGTGGGTGGACGCGCAAGCGGTTCGATCGAGTCGGAGGGAAGGGACGGGCTTGCAAAGCAGCAAGAGACTGTTCAGCGCCCGGTGTGGGGGTACAACTCACATGGTGGACAGATTGTACGCAGCTCAAGAGGGTGCGCGGAGAGAGGCAGAACTGCTGTGCCAAAGCTGGATGGACTTTTGACTTTATTCGGGGCTCAAACACTGCTCAACCCTGCTGGTCAAATGACGCGCGCTTCACTCCGAGTCGTACCGTCGTACGGCACCGTCAGCGGGAGTCAGCGGGCAGATCAGCTTTTCCTTTTTTCCCGCTGTGGATTCATGCCTGCACAGTACAAAAAGTCCATGTCTGGGGGGCAGCGTTGGTTGGCTGGGCCGTGGCCAGGGAGTCGGCCCGGACAGGCTTGATTGATATTTGGCTCAAGATTTGCACACAACTTTCTGGGTCATCTCAAGTGGCCTCGTTCTCTCGGCCATCAGAGTTTTGCGAGTGATGACGTTGATTTTCAGAGGCATGGATTATGGTTACAGTGCGGTCGACGAAATGCTTCGATCAGAACCGAGGCACCAGCAGATCGCCGAACTGGGAGAGGACGACGATCGCCGAGGCGAACGTTGCGACGGCGACTCCGATCCCAAAGTTGGCCTTGTACGACTGTGGGAACGATCAAAAGATGAGAAGGTGAATCGGTGGGTTCTTGCGGGTCAGAGCGGGAACAGCGTCGGGGCGTACCTCGGGGTCGTTCCATTGGGCTCGGAGGATGTCACCGAGCGTGATTTGTTGCGGTGTGCGAGCGGGAGGGGCCATGATGAGTTTCTACAACACAGACTAGGTCAGCGCTCATGTACTCGAGATGGATTGCTGCTGGCGGTGTGGTGCTCGTCACTCGGGGCTCCGCTGGCTTGCGAAAGACAGGCCACGCTCGTAGGAGTCGAGCAAGTCCATGATCGTCGAACGTGACAGGTGCCAACGGTGATCCAAGCTACACGAACTACACGGTGACCTAGGTCGACTCGGGTAGGTCATGGCTGGTGGTGGTGGTGTGATCGCGGATGACGACGGTCGGTCGGATGGACGCGAAGCGAGCTCGATCCAGAGTGCGAGCCCGACTTGACCGAGGAACGTGGCCCGCCCGGCCGAGTGGTGAGCAGAGGTACACAAGATCGTCTTCTCACCTCGTGTTGACTGTGCTCGAGGCGACGATTGGGAATGCGGTGCGAGGTGTACAAGTCGACCCGGGCCCCCAGCCCATGCGCTGCCACAATAGGGTCGTAATAGGGTCCCAATAGTAGGGTCTAATGGGGCACTAATGGGGCACTAATGGGGTGCGCTCTGGTGCGCTAGGATGCGCTGCGCTCCCCTCGCCGTGTACCTGGCGCGCTTGCTGCGCTCCTCCTCCCCTCGCGTCGACTCGCACGCTCTCCACCATGCGTATCATCGTCAAGGGTGGTGTGTGGAAGAACACAGAGGTCAGCTCACGAGAACGCGGCTCTTGGATCTGGCAGAAGCTGACCGGGTCATCATGTCCCCTCTCCAGGACGAGATCCTCAAAGCCGCCATCGCAAGTCACCACCCTTCCATCTACTGCGACATGTGTTCCATCCCACTAACCTCTCACGTATACCGCTCACCACAGAGTAAATACGGCAAGAACCAATGGGCACGTATCAGTTCATTGTTGGTCCGCAAGACCGCCAAACAGTGCAAGGTACGTCTGCTCCACCACTCCGTCCTGCTGCTGCTCTCTCTCTCTCTCTTCACACACACCCACACCAGACCGACACCATACCCCCCTCTCTCCTCCAGGCACGATGGATGGAATGGCTCGACCCAGCCATCAAAAAGACCGAATGGTCCAAAGAAGAAGACGAGAAACTGCTCCACCTCGCCAAGTTGATGCCCACGCAATGGCGCACGATCGCTCCCATCGTCGGCCGCACCGCGAACCAATGCCTCGAACGCTACCAGAAACTCCTCGACGAGGCCGAACAGGCCGATAATGCCGAATTGGGCTTGACCGGCGTCGACGATGCGGGCCCTTCGGCGGATGACGTGAGGCGCCTTCGACCGGGCGAGGTCGATCCCGATCCTGAGAACAGGCCCGCCCGTCCGGATCCGATCGACATGGACGAGGATGGCAAGTGCAGTTCATATCCCATCGTGTGCCGAAATGTGCCCCAACTAAACCCGCAACACGCGACCCACAGAAAAGGAAATGCTGTCCGAAGCACGAGCCCGACTCGCCAACACCCAGGGCAAAAAGGCCAAGCGCAAGGCCCGAGAACGTCAACTCGAAGAAGCACGCCGGCTCGCGATCCTCCAAAAGAAGCGAGAGCTCAAAGCTGCCGGGATCCTCATGCGCGCCAAACCCAAAAAGGGTGGTATGGACTACATGGCCGACATCCCCTTCGAGAAACAACCCGCCGCTGGATTCTACGACACCACGACCGAGCAGGGCAAAAAGTACGCCGCGCCGTTGGGCAAGAATTTGCGTCAACTCGAAGGCAAGAAGCGCAAGCAGGACATCGAGGAGGAGGACCGCAAGAAGAAGAAGCAAAAGGAAAAGAACGCAAAGGACAAGGACGCCGACGCCATGGCCCATTTCTTGCCCTCCAAGGACAGTCAGATCCAGCAGCAAAAAGAGGCGCAACAGATCAGCAAACGCCGACGATTGGTGCTCCCCGGTCCTCAGGTCGGCGAGGCCGAGCTCGAGGAGATCGTCAAGATTGGTCAAGCCGGTGAATCGGCTCGTGCGCTCGTCGGCGAATCGGGCAACGAGGCCAGTCAGGGTCTCTTGGGCGAGTACTCAGCCCTGGGCCATGCTCGAGATGCGCGAACCCCACGGACGGAAAAAGCTCCCGATAACGTCCTCGCCGAGGCACGCAACATCCGCAACTTGACGATGCAACAGACACCTTTGCTCGGTGAAGAGAACACGCCGATGCACGAACTCGTCGGTCGATCCGGCTTTGAGGGCGCGACCCCTCGAGGTGCCGTTGCGGCGACCCCCAACCCCATCGCGACCCCATTGAGGTCAGGTGCTTCCGATGTTAGTGCGACACCCATGTCGTCCGTCGGCGGCCGACCGGGAGCCACGCCCTTGCGCACCCCCATGCGTGACAGCCTCTCGATCAACGACGCCGAGTCCATGGTCGGTGATACCCCTCGAGCCGAACGACAACGTCTCCATGAACTCAAGTCGCAACTCAAGCAAGGCTTCATGAGCCTCCCTCAACCTCAGAACGAACTCGAACTCGTCTTGCCCGAGGACGACCCCGATGGGGACGACGACGTCTCGAGGGCAATGCGTATCGAGGATGCCTCTGAACGTGAAGCACGTCTCGAAGCGATCCGAAAAGAACAAGAAGCCAAAGCGCTCGCTCGACGCTCACAAGCCGTCAAACGAGGATTGCCCCGACCGATCGAATTCGAAGCCTCAACGTTCTTGGCCCAGTTGAGGTTGACCGATCCGATGAGCGTGCAAGATGACCTCGAGCGGTCGATCGCGATCGAGATGGCCCAATTGATTGAACACGATTCGATCCTTCACCCCGTCGCTGGATCGTCTCGACCCGGAGGCGGAAGTTCGACTCTCCTTTCAATTGACGATGATGAACTTGCCGCCGCTCGTCAATTGGTTCAATCCGAATTGGCGTCTTCGGTCGGTCTTCCCGGAGCGAACGAGACCGTTCTCCGACGAGCCGTCGCTCTCCCTTCGCAAGAATTCGATTCTACATGGCGACCACTGTACGACCAACTCGTCTACGACCCTTCGCAACAACGTATGGTCCCTCGATCTTCGGTGACGAACGACGACTTGATTCAGGCTTATAGTCAACAACTCGTGTTGAACCGTGATCGAATGGCACGGGAATCGGCCAAAGCGGTCAAAGTCGAGAAGAAACTCGGCGTCACATTGGGTGGATACATCGCTCGGTCCAAGACATTGGCGACCAAGTTGAACGAAACGGTCGAAGACCTTTCAAGGACGAGGATCGAATCCCATTCGTTTGAGCGATTGGCTTCCAACGAGCATGGTGCGATCGTAAGGAGGATGGAGGCGCTGAGGGATGAGGTGAACGCTTTGCAGAAGAGGGAGAGGGATGGACAGAGTCGGTTCCGGGACTTGATGGAGGCCAAGCAAACGTTGACGATGGCGATCGAGGAGATGGAGCTTGAAGAGGCGGAGAGGATCAACGAGCAAGCTTTGGAGGCGATGGAGGCGGAGGGAGAAGAGGCCTGAGGGTGGTGTGTAATTTCGATACCTCTTTGTATTATGCGATAAAGGCATGTTCGAATCATCATCGCCTCACGGATCTTTGGACTTTCTCTGCACGACCATTGCTCTCTGCCAAAATTGATTCGTATAAGCCCTCAGCGGAAATTCGAAGCGTACCATATAGCAGTATGTCATGAAAGTGTCTATGGACGGGAGTAATGCACTGTCCTAGTCAAGATGGGAAAATATAAGTGCGGCTGTGAAGAGGACGAAAGGCATGCAAAAAGCGAACAAAGTGTCACAATAGGTAGATCAGAGGATCACCAAGAGAGAGATAAACAACACAAGCGAGACGAGACAAGCTATTTATGACCGTCCTTTGTTCATCAGAGGCGCGTTGGAAGGAACCTTATGCCATGGCAACGAACACGCTGAGGAAGACCGAGGCGATGGCTGTCAAGCCCGACAGTGCGAAGGAAGTAGAAGCAGCGCTCGTTGAAGATGTCGAAGCTTGGGAATCGACAACCGACTCGGTCGGCGAAGCACTGGGCGAGGCGGAGTCCGCAACTGGTGTCGGCGATGCCTCGGTCGTGGTGACGGATTCTGTTTCTGTCGGGGGCGCTGTAGCCGCAGGAGCAGCAGAAGCGGTCGAGGACGCGTCAAAGTAGGAGAAGGTGAAGCCTCCGATGACACCCTGGCCGCTGTCGCCATCGCCACTACCGCCAGCGTCACTGCCGCCATTGTCACTGCCGCCGGTTGAGGTGCTGCCGCTTCCGCTGCTGGTTGCCGCGGCCGCTTTGACCGTGACAGCTTTTGAAGCCGACTGAACGATAGGAGCGGCGGTCGAGATGGCCTGTTGTGTTGCAACGAATTTGGAAGCGGCTGAGGATTTGTTCGTGGCCGTCGTCGTCGCCGAGGTGGACCCGTTCTTGCTACCCGAAGCCGTGACAGTGCCAGCCGGGGTGGCGGCCGGCGAGGTCGCAGCCGAAACACTGCCCGAGCCGACGCCACTCGTGATGGACTGCGCGAAGCCAACGGCAGGCTTTCCGTCATGCGAGTAGGTGAAGACACTGTAGACGGCCTTGAGGAACAAGACACCGACGATGGCAACGGTATCTCCATCGGCATTGGTATTGTCGACACCGCTGATACCGAGGCTGCACTGCGACTTGTCGCTCGAGTCGGCGTAACCCAAGAAAAGATCGGCGAGGGGGATGTTGTAGATCTTGCCTCCGAACGAGAGACCAAAGGTCTGGAAGGCGGCGGCGCAAGGGACGGTGTACGAACCATCGGCGTACTTCTTGGCGTTAAGCGACGTGTAGAGCTTGTCGGCGACCGCGACGGGGACATAGATGAGGGTCGTTCCCGTGTCGACCGCAACTTGCATGCTCGTGCCGGAAACAACGGCGCCGTTGACGGCGATACCGTCGGACGGGACTTGCCAGTACCCTTGGTCCGAAACGGCGGTGTAGCTTAAAGCTCCACTGTACTTGGACGAGTCGATGCAACCGACGCACATCTCACCGCCATCGAGGGTGCCGCTCGTCTTGGAAGACGTGTCACGCGCGCGCTTGAAGTAGAAACTGACGGCAGGAGTCGAAACCGAGCCTTGGTTGATCAGGTTTTCCAACATCGTCGGCGAGCCCATGAAGGCGATCGAAGAGAAGGCGAAGCCCATGACACCATCGACGGGGAGGTTCTCGAGCACCTGAGCGGATGCACTGGCGAGCGCAAAGATTTGGGTCGCGTAATTGTAGCCAGCCAGTTGCACGCGATCACGAACGATGAGACCCGCCGAACTGCCGGTACCGTAATTGACCGACCACTTGACCTTGGACTGCTCGAACGAGGTCGACTTGTCGTCGTTGAACTTGGTGTGCTTGGTCGGGTTGCTCTGACCTGGGACCCAAAGGCTAACAAGCGATGGAAAAGGCAAGGGTTAGCACGGTGTCGACTCGCTCGGCACGAAAACCTATCCGGTACGCACTCCGCGGAGCCGGTATCGTAATCAATATCAAAGGTCTGGTAAGGCGTTCCGATGCTTAGTTGTCCGTAGTAAACCGTATCGTGGCCACCGGTGACTGTGGAAGACCGGGATGAGGGGCGCATCAGCTTCGATGCAGATGGAGGTACGAGCAAATGAAAGCACGATGGCATTGCGAATATGGGTTGAATTGTCCCATAACATGAAAATCACAGAGAGAAAGGACGTGACTAACTCCAATCGGTGAGGTCGAGGGAGCCCTTGGGCGCCCGTTTGTCAAATTTTGACGACTTCTCGGACTCGATTGATCGCTTCTCCATGGCCTGAGCTGCTTCGGACACGGCGGCCATATGACGACGTATCTTGGAGGTGGTGTTCTTGCTCGCAAAGTTGATGATCTTGGTTGCGGAGGCGGTCGCATACTTGTGCGAACTGCGCGCCAAGTCGTTGTTGACGAATCTGGGAGGGAGAGAAAACGCCGAGGAAAAAAACAAACAAGCCGCCGTCAGTGTTCTGGTCGAGAATCGGGGTGTCTGGGCACGACTCTGGAAGGTGGAAGCACGGCTTGGGGCAGCGAAAGGTTTGAACCTAGAACGCTGCCGAGCGACAGCGCCGGTAGGCTAATAGGCTAAAAGCATCGGGGCCGAGCCCGCTGCGCGACGCGTTTCGCCGAGGCGGGCACGGGCCAAGTCGATGCGACGCGCCGCGCGTGGCGCGCGTTGTTCGCTCAACCGCCCGAAACGCGATCGACGCTCGGCTCAAACTACGCGCAGCTCACACCAAGGCCACGAAAACACCCAGCGACATTGGCAGGGCGTGAAAGGTGCGGTTGGTGCAGCGCAGACACAGCCTCAAGTCATCCAAGAGCATGTGCGCAAGTGGATCTGCCGTCAAGAAATCGATGCATGCGAGGGTCTGTGCAGAGTCGATCCGAGAGCTAGACGAACCGGCAGAGCGTGGCGGCCCGCGACGCGCGCGGCCCTAACGATCACCGGGCGAAAAACGCGAGGGGTCGTCCCGTGGCAACAAAGACAAAAAACCAGAATACTCACTTCTTATTGACGACACCTTGGATCGAGACAGGTTCCAGACGCTTGGCCAATCTGAACTTGCGGCCCCGGTGAAGTTGCTGCTGCTGCTGTTGTTGTTGCGCATCGCCGTGCAGGGACGTTCCGAGTGCCGAGGTGGTGAGCAACACGAGCGCCGCGAGTGAGGACGAGACGAGCATGATGAAGGGTGTTGAGGACAGAAAGAAGGGGGAGAAAGGAGTGACGGTGGTCTGTAGTGATGACACTCGTGTGCTGCAGTAAAAAGTGGAGGTCGAGGCGGATCCGTCAAGCGCGTCGCACACTAGAACACGGGCTCCGAGATGTGCCCACACAAAGGAGAGTCGAGAATTGCGGATGAGCTGCTGGCGGAGGGTCGAACGAGCGGACGAGGTTGGGCAGGCGGTACCGGTGGGTGGTGGTGCTGGTGAAGCGATGGTATAGTCACACACTCGATCAAGAGGATGTAGACTGTGAGAGAGACGGAGAAATGAGGTGACACACGGGATGCGGGTGGTGGTAGGGGAGAAGCAGGAGCCCAAAGCTGAGACCCCGCCAAAGTTCAAAGAAAACGCTCGACACGAAATCTCACGGAATTGGCGCCTGCGCGCGCCGCCCCCGCGACAGCGCGCGCGCGACTGTGGCTTTGGGCGCCCAGCGGCTCCCGTGCTGCAGCCCGTCCCGTCGGTTTGGTGGCAGCAGGGCACTAGGCACATTGAGCCATGATTCGAAGGGCGCGGCGAAAATAGCCAGCATGGGACCATGTACCGCCAAGGCTATGGAGATATTTCGTTTTAAAACCACAAAGAACCCCAGCCTCACCAAATAGGTCCTGCACTGGCCACACGTGCAGCCTACTAATGATGACTGGCGCGGCGGCGCCAGATGGAAATCGAATGGCACTGCACGGAGTGCGGCGGTTATCCTCCCTGGTCCCAGTCACCACTCAACATCCCCTACGGTAGATAGAAAGGTATATTTTCTCTATCTGGGTCGCCATAGTCATTGTTTTTTGTCCTTCACCCTCTACCAAGCCAAAATGAAAGGTAGGAATCGCCAAGATCATGAGGCCAGATTCCGGAACTTCGATTCGAGGCTTCGAGCGGCCGGGTCAAGGCGGTCAAGAAGCTGGTGGGGCCCAGATACCCTGCGATGCCTGGCTCAAACCTCAGAGACTGTGGAGCTAACGAAACAACGAAACCGTTACACGTTCTTATATATCAGGATATAGCTCGTGAGCGTGCTGATCTGTGTATTACCGTGGCGCAAACGCTGGGTCGAGCCGAATGTGCCACGTGCGGAGGCCAGGGGCTGCAACGCCGAGGCAAACGATCGCGCACGTTGACCATCTGGCTAAACAGCGTCAAGATAGGACACCAAAGGTTAACCTAGATGCACAACTACGTCGCCATCATGGGGATCTCCCCATCTCATCCAAGTGCTCGTCGTTCGTCGTGAGAAGGCGCCTCACTTCTGATACCGGAGAAGCAGACCGTGTTCATTCCTTCCATTATGTCCAGTACAAAACTTGGGGCGAGCGACCTAATACTTGAGTGTCGAGCGCCACTAACGTGTAAATTGTGCAAAGAAAGAACTTGGGGTGTGATCGACATTATCGTTGTGGGACAAATCGTTGACTAGGCCGAAATTGCTTCGGAGGGTTCCGTCGGCATAGTCGTCATTTGTGGCGAGGCCAAGATCTGCACGCACCGCAGCGCAGATCAATCATTGTGCTCGAGACGACACGACCATCTAAGTCATTCCCATGCGTACCTGCAATGGATCGTCAGACAAGGGTCGACTCCACCTCCCCTTCTCCTGGCCTTCCAGTTCCGGCTCAACTCCCCATCGGTGGTTTTTGGACCACCGCTTGGCGTCTCTCCACTTGTGCTCGGTCCATTTCTCGAGTTCGTGCTCGTTCTCCACAATCAACCCAACGAGGAGGGACAGGCCCCACCAGAGAAGCAATGCGCCGATAACACCACGGATGACGCGCCCCCTCGCCCTCGCATCCGCATGGCGGAGCGACTGTTGGTACGCCAATGCCGAGGCAATGGGTAGTGGTAAGTCGTTGAAAGGCGAAGGGCCGGCCGGGAGTCGATGCACGGACGAGAAGGACGACGACGAGACACGAGGGAGGGCATAGTTGGGGAGCGAGCCTGAAGGTGTGCAAACGTAGTAGATGGGTGTCCCAGATGGCGATGGGCCTTGGGATGACCGGTTCGATTCGACGTCGATAATGTGGTAGGGTGGGGCTGCGAAGAGATAGAAACGAAATGCGCGCGGCAGTGTTAGTGCAGGTACTTGGGTGTCTGAGCCCGGAGTGACAGCGAGTGGCGTCGCCTGCGAAGCGGAAGCCGCTCCAGCAGAGGTACTTACGAGCTGCAGAACCCAAGAGGGCGGTATGCTCATCAACTGGAGCTGTTTGTTTCATGGTGATTTCGAAGAGTGCGAGTGAGTGTGTCAAAGGCGCCGAGTGGGGAGCACGAGGCAGAAGGAGATCCCGTCGAGGCTGAGGCAAATGAGTCGACTCCGAGTCCCGTGACTTCTCGTGACTTTAGGTGACGTTCCACCGGCGGCACGGCACACCAGTAACACCAGCTCGCCACTACGCACGAGCGCGCGACTAGCGTGGGCGCATGAGCACGGCCATATATCTCCGCCGATGTTTCATTTCGCCGCTCGGATCTCTAACTGACGCTACTTACGCGTCTCGATGCCCCCGCCGACATGTCGTCGAGTACCGTGACCGAGATCAAACCAGAGGAGCACCAAGATGCCATCGACACGCTCGCAGCCATCTTCCCACAGCTGCCTCGGTCGACCCTGCAACGTTTCTTCGTCGCGTCGTCGCGCGACCTCGAGCGCGCGACCACCGCTTTGCTGGGACACGACAACAATGTCAAACCTGCCAGCGCCGCCGGGCGACTCGTCACCACTTGGGACAGCACCGGTCTTCGGGCCGTCAAGAGGAAGCGCATAGAGAAGCTTGATCACTGGCTCAAACCAGCTTCGTCGTCGACGATGCGGCTGCCAGCCCAATCGCGAGGAGCGGCATCGACCCCACCCTCGCCCAAGCGCGAAGTCAAAACAACTTCAACCTCGACCGTCGATGCGTACCAACTGTTGCAGCGAAAGCCAACGTCCAAGACGCCGGAATTGAGTGCGACGTCGAATACCGGCGGATTGGCGAATCCTACGACAGGAGCGGGTACAACGCCGACCCATCTGCCTCCTTTGACCTTGTCAACCCCAGAAGCGATTGCCAAACACACTCGTGGTCGCATCATTCTCATCCCCAACGTCCTGCCAAAAGAGTTGGCCAACATGCTTTTCAAATCAATGCTCGAAGAGAATGATGGACGTGCGCAAGAAGGAAGCAAAGAGCCATGTCAGTCAAATCGGAAGAGCCGCCCATGTCTAATAGCCCAGTTGAGCCTCGTCATTAACTTTATCATCGGTTGCAGGGGAACGTAATAAGTGGTACATGTTCGACCGCGAAGTTGAATCGCCGCACACAACCTCTTTTTACCTTGAGAAAGCGCCTTTAGTCGGAGACGAGGATCTGGTCAACGCGACAAACGTCGCCTTGTCCACGCACTGGTACAACGGCACGAAACGCCAGGGGCGCTATTTCACTCCACTTATGGACCAGGCGCGCTCCTTGATCCAGCCTTTAGTTAACTTGATACTCGGGTCCCGTCGGCGCCATCCCCTCGAGTACACCGCGGGTGAATGGGTACCCAACGTCGCCGCTGCCAACTGCTACCGAGGCGCCAAGGAAAGCGTCGGACCCCATTCGGATGTCCTCACGTATCTTGGCCCGTTCCCGACCATCGCGTCGCTCTCCTTGGGATGTACCCGACCTTTTCGTCTGCGACCTTTCATACCTTTGCCTGGCATCGAAATGAGATCACTCGATCTCGTGCTGCCCCACAACTCACTGTGCCTGATGCTCCCGGGCACGCAAGAGTTTTACAAGCACTCGATCCAGCCCGTCTCGGCCCTCGACACGTTCAGGATTCCGGGCCAAGAAGAACGCTACCGCGAACGAATCAATGTTAGTTTCGTTTGAAGCTGCTTCAGTCCTAGATGCAGGCCGCCGTGCAGATCTAACGATTTCGGCTTTTCCCGAATTCGAACACAGATCACGTTCCGGCATTACCGCCCCGACTATGCGCCTTTGCCCGTCCACACGTCGGTACCACTTACTGGCGGAGCATACGCTGGAACACCACATTGTCAATGCAACTTGCCTACAATCCTCAGACCGGACGGTAAAGGACGGGCGAGGGCTTATCTGCAGAAGGATAAGCCGAAGGTAGACTCGGACATGAAAGAGGGGGAAGAAGGTGACGATATGGTTTTTTTCTGGACCTGCTCGGCATCCCAGGTCGTTCCTGGGCATAATTGCGGTTTCTGGAAGTTGTTGTCGGAGCAACAAGAGGGTCGTGGTCCCTGGTTTAGGGGCAGAAGTGCCAAGCCGTCCGGATTGGCTGATCTTGGTGATTGATTAGGATCTTGATCTTGATGGCAATACACTACTTGAAAATATTTCTTGAGCGAGAATCAAGAGACGTAGTGGTCGTATTCTGTTGGTGAAAAGATCTGGCGGGATCAGTTCATACTTCATAATAGAAAGGTTTTTCGGAACGCGCAGAGTGTTTTCAAAGCTCACGCCTGGTCATCCAGATCAATGACGTTGCTGATTGAACCAAGGGTGGAAAGAATCAATTACGTCAGCTCTTGCGCTTGGTGGAGTTGCGACGTCACGCCGACGTACATGCGACGACCAAGGGGCTGATCAAACCTCCTCCCAACGCCGCGGTGCGAAAGACGAGCCATTCGAGTCCGAAATGGCCCAGTGCCAGAACGTACGAGATCAAAGCGAGGTCGTACATCCTGTTCGGAGATTCATAGAGTCAGAGCCGATAGGCTTGGCAGTTATTCTTGAAGCACGAAGGACCCCGTGGCACGATATGTGGGGGGTGGGTGTCCGGGCTTACGGCTTGAGCGAGATGTTGTAGGCTGCATAGATCCGGATTGCAGCGGAGGCCAGCGTCCAGGCCGCGAATGTCCTGGCCTGTAGCGGCGTGACTGAGAGGCAAGAGAGCAGCGTGAGATCAGGGGCTGTGAAACGACGGGGAATTGGACATGTGCTCGGGCCTGACAGACCGCAAGCGGGTGACCGAGCGTAGATGCGGCGGGTCAAGGACGTCGTGACAAAGTTCTGAACCGAGTTGAACACGGCCAAAGAGCTGTTGTTCGACAGTCAGGCGTGCGATGGTGAACGTCAGTCTGTGGTGACTTGCGAGAGCCGCCGGTCTCGCGAGCGGAGCAGGGTGGGTTGGGGTTGACTGACGAAACGAAGATCATCCAGTACGGCAGATAGCCCTGGGACGCCGAAGGCAAATCTATTGTGAGGTGGATCGCAATCAGTACTTCACAGCGCTTGGGTTTCTTTCTTCGATTGACGCTCACGTGCTTGTATAGAGCTCATCTTGAGCGGGAGGCTGGACTCGTGCCGGTGCGCGGTGTACGAGAGCTCAAAGAGAGTGCGAGGGCGTGCGGCAGATCGCCAGAGTTCGCCAAAGAATCATGTCAGGGATAAATTTCCACCTTTTGGGTACCTCGACTACGGGACTCAGTGCTTGACGGAAACCTTGTGTACAAGCATTCATTTTTGAAAGAGAAAACGGGTTGCAGTTGCTATAGTTGGAAAATACATAAGGCCAAGTTGTTGGCACGCACAAACACCCCTTGAGACAGGTAACTGCACGTCGTCTTCTACTAAGTTCTCCCCTACGGAGCCAATGATTGGTCAGTCGACCTTCCAGCTGGATTCAACGCAAGCCGTATTCCTCTCAAGGCAAAGCACTCCTTACGGACGTCCCGCTTTAAAGTACTCCTTGAAGATCGAGCCGCCGGGTCATTCACTGACTAAGATCTATTGCCACGCCCCGGCTCGCGCTTGATCGACCAAGCTCTCCCACTTGGGCTCAACGGGTATGAGCCACTGTAGAATACCTCTGAGATGCAGGATCGCCAACCATGGTTCCTGGTCGTTGTAGCCGAAGGACAGCAGCACCTCCCTGTCCTTGTACAAAGTGCATCCCGTCAGGAACTCGAACCAATTGACGTCGTCGATCGAGGAGAAGATGGCAAATTCGTCCGTGTAGGCGGCCAGCGACGTCGATTCCAAGTCAACGAGGACGAAACGATGTCGATACGCATCGTAAAACAGCCCATCCTTGGTATACCCACGCTGGTGAACGGTGCCCAAAGCCAAGCGACGATTCCAAGGGAGGCGTACAAGGGGTGCCGATCCTCGCCAGTGCTCTGAACCGCTGGGTAGGCTCGCTAAGCACTTTGCGGAGTACTGTTCGAACGCTTGGGTGTCACTCTGATCCATCTCGGGTCGGTGTGGCAGGCAGTTGACCCGACGTTCACTCGACCCGGGCTTCGGCAACCGTCCGCAGTCAACGACCACGAATGGTGAGTAGTGGGTGATCCAGAGGGGTGCGCCATCGGGTGCGTCGTCGAGTATCGGGACCCAGTTCTTCTGCGGCGACGAATTGCCGTTGATGTCGACCAGCATAGGCATGGGCAGACGATCACCCTTGGGGGTGGCGGCATCAGTGAGTCTGAGAGCGTCCATCGCTTTTATTTGGTTGCTGCCCCAGCCGAGGAGGGTGGATGGCTGAGAGTCGGTATTGTCAAAGCCTTCGTACTCGGTCAATCGCATATCCTGTCCGAGTATCGAATCCACCTTCTCGGAGGTACCGGTGTACGACAAGGCATAATCGTCGGGACCGAATTGGATGACGGTCATGTTGAGCCAGACCGTCGAGACCCTCCACTGCCCACCGTCCTGCGAGTATTTCGCCCTCGAGTCTGGATTGCGGGTGAACGATCCTGATCCGAGTTGAATCGCGAGGGCATAATTGGCCAAATCGGGTCCGTCCTGACGGTGGCGGATCGGATGCCTCGCCAGGGCCGGGTTGGAAGGAAATCGCTGCCCCACCGCCGGATTCTCGATCTGCGAAACGAAGCCCTCGAGCATCGGCAGTCTTTGTAGCCGGGTCGACCGTGAAGACATCTCGTAGTTGATACCATGCATCTTGTAGTGCGCAAAATATTTACCCCATCTGATGCGAGGGTACGAGTGGGGGAGAGCCGAACTCAGTGGCCGGGGGGGATTCGGCGTCAGGATGGCGGCGACCCAGGCGTCGATCGTCTGCGGAGCCTTTGTGGCACTGGGAGTGGGTTGGGCCTTTCCGGGAGTCTCTTCTTTAGTTATCGGGGCCGTATTAGGTACAGTCGTGTCACCTGGGGTGGAACACAGAGATAATGCCCAGGGTCAGACGGGATATCACTTCGACGACCCTTCGCCGGCGAAGCCTTCGTATGCCACTCACTCGTAACATGTTGATGATAAGAGCCTATTTTGGTGTCCTCTCCAACTTTGGAAATTCCCTTCTCGGCTACGGTTGAGGCCCATGAAAATGCCGGCGAAAAAGTTACGAGCCTACCCAAAGGGTGTCAGATCCGAGTTGCTTGAGACAATACGAGGCACCCGGGCCGCCCACTGGCCCTCCGAATCGCGACGGGAGGGTCGATGCGTACAATATGACTCACTTTCGTTCGTTGACTACATAGATGCATCGCCAAACGGAGATGATGGTGCAGAACACAAAGACGGAAGTGAACAGAACACGCATCTTGCGTCCTTCAACGCTCGAACCGTTGCCGCCGGTCGACGTCGTCCTTTGCCGCCAAGCTCGGTCCATCGCTGGCCCCCTAATGCGCGTGCGTGGGGAGACAGGCCCAGCCGCCTAAAGTGACAGCGGGGTCACGAGGCGCGATAACTGAACCCCCAGTACGGTGTCAGATAGGTAACACTAGACTTTATGGACGAAGGAGAACGGTTGGCGGAGATGTTGAGGGTGAGGGAGCCAGGGACACGGCTGATGAAGGCTGACGGCGGTCGGCCGTCGTCTGCCGTCGTCCCGGACGGAGCTAGCAGCCTAGCGCCTAGCAGTGACAGCGCTCGCTAGGGCGATCAACGGTGCCCACCTGAGCAGTGGTCGATCATGTCTATTTTGAGCCCCACCTCGTTGCGCGTAGCAGCTTACCCAACTCTTGCCAATCTGACTTCCAGTGCATGCAGAATTCAGATATGTTTACATTACCTATTAAATATGGGTATTTATCGTAGTATCTAGTAAAGAGCAGATATCGCCTATTGAGTTCGAGAGTCGAGCCCGTCGGCGTTTGGAAAATGAGTGCTGCAGATCCTTCGGTGTGATCGGGAAAATGAGAGCGGCAGGGAAGCTCGGGTCCGGAAAACGCATCGACTGACCTCAGGCGGTACCTATTCCCTTAATTCCATGGCCACCTATACCATCCAGGCTGGGCAGCTGAAAAATCCCAAAGAAGTAGCACTTGTCTGACATCGCCCACTGATGTGCTTATTTTTTCATCAGGCCTTGATGACTTCTCAGCGACGCCAGCGGCGAGTTGAAACCTGATCGAAATCTGCCCGAGTCAGACTTACTAAGTAACTGAGAGCTTCCGAGTACTAACATAAAGTCACAACTCCACAACTTACCACTCTCAACGCGTGCGGACGCGTCGGTTTTTGACAGCCGCTCACGCGTGCATGTCGTCTGATGGTCATCGACAATGGGCGATCTAGCGAGATGATTCCTATGACCTGGCAGATAGCTACCTCCCCGGGGATAAATATAATTTGGAAGCTCCGCGGGACTCGACGTACGGACTGAGGCCCTGTTGGCCGTCCTCATTCCGTGGAACGTGCTACACACTTCGTACTCCTTCTAGAGACTCACCCCTTCGCAAGAATGAGGTCGAGGCGTGAGATAAATGTTGTGAATTTGGAGCGCTACTCCTTCGCAAGAGGTCGATGCGTGGAATAAATGTCGTGAATCTCAGGCGATTCAAAAACTCGAGTATAACCCTGCAAGTTGTGTCACGAGTGACGCGTGACGAGGGATATCGAAGTAAGAAACCCAGCCGGGTGAGCTCCTGCCGACAAAGCACAGAGCTCCGAGCTCCACACTGCAGTCGAGCTTGAGGCCTTGAGGCGCATGACGGTCTCCACCCCGCCGATCCACTCCTGTTCTGTGCGCACACATCGCCGGCATGGGGGCGCAGAAGCGAGCAGCACCGCGACAATCGGAGGAACAGGGAAGTGAAGCTGAGGCCTCGGATCGATCGGAAGAGGGCAGGAGACACAAGAAGGTCAAGTTAACCGAGAATCGACCCTCGCCCTCGCTCGCACGGCCTGCTTCACTTGCGGATTGCATAAGCAGTCTCGAGCCCGAGTCTGTTGGCAGTGGCCAGAAGGAGGGAGATGATAGAGTTGGAAGCACAGAAAAAGCCAAGGGAAAGAACCAGGGAAAAGGCCAGAAGAAGCAGGTGAAAGGGGCTCCAGCAGATCGAAGACATCCTTTGCATTCGACGGCCAGCGCACCCGTAGCGTCGACCTCGACCTCCAATGCAGCTCCCGTCAACTCCACTCCAGCACCGAATACCATATCCATGTTGGCACCCCCAATTCCGTCAAAACGACCAGTCCACGCCGGGACCTTACGACGTCTTGCCGGGGCTCGACCTCCTCCTAGCCGTTCCGTGCGGCTCGGGTCGACACTGTCGGGAGCCAAGATCAGTGGTCCATCTAAGGATCTGAATGATGGCAAAGACGAAGAGGAGATTTGGGTCAAGCTGAAGAACGGGCTGGGAATGGGAGGCTACTTGAAGAGAGGTGTGGGTGCCTTCAGAGACCGCAGGTCAGTCTCGTCCGCCTCGCTCCAGTGCCTCCCTCTCTGCTTTCAGTTGGGTACGTGAGCTGAGACGATATTCATACACATTACATTCCTTGCGCTCAGATGTCGATGCCTGTCGATACATGGGATGGGCGCAGCAATCCCTCTCGCTCTGTCGCTTGGGCTCGCGATCCGCGACGCCTTGCCTGGTGGATCATCGGATGCACAGATGAGCACCGTACAGATGGAAGTCACTACCGGCAGCGTCGAGGTATCTGATGAGATCACTCCTGAAGACGAGGTATGCTGATCGGAATTCACCGGAGCTGGCGGGGATCCTCGACAGACGACACTAATGCAACCGCCGTCGATTTCTTGCGTCTTCGCTGCATCGTGCAGGACGATGACCTGCTTTATCAGAACAGAATCAAGAGCACTGTCTCTATCCAACTCTCGGTACGGGATGTGATGCCCGGGTCAGGCCCGAGATTCGACCTGAAGGGGCGGGGCCGGGGTGTGGGGCCCAACGCACGAGAGCGGAAACGAAGGGGCGGTCCAAAATCCTGATCGGTAGCTTGGGAAGATATACTGACCTAGCATGAGTTTGTTTTTGCTTGATCGGATGCACGAGCACTGTGTAACGGATGGATCCATTCGGGCAGGTTCCACCTAGTAGTCTCGGCTTCTCTTCCGTTCCGTACACATCCGCTCCACTCAACTGCAGTGGATGCGCGGCGAGCCCAGTTGAGAGCGCTAAACTGCAAGCGATGTTTGATCTTGAGAGGTTCAATGTCTACCTGATGGAAACTGCCCACTCTGGGTCGGCGCCTTATTCTCATGTCCGGGTAAAATGGTCCCTCCTTGCACAAGATTGCCGTGAAGATTAGCCGCCTGCCCCAGGCTCCCGGTTGCGCTTGCTGCTCGCACGTGCACCGTACAGGCATTGTGCACCGCTTAGCGACCGTGCGTTACGGAGCTCCAAGTCACTTTGCAGCAGAAGAATCATGCACGTTTTAATTAAGCATGAGGAGCCAACTCTGCTGCTGCGGATCGCACCGTGAGCGAATTTGACCTGGCAGCGCCCGCCGCCCAGGCACGCCTGTTCGTTCGATCCGCCTGGGTTTTGATCGGCTTGGCAAAGCTTGGGCGGCTTGGACACTTCCAGCGACGACCCCTATGACCGATCCCGCCCGCGCGCTCTACTGATTTGTAGTTGGTATGCAGCCGGATTACATCATTTTTTGGCGTATGCTACTGGCAGCAACATGTTAACTCAGCAGTCCACCAAATTTCCAATATTTCCTGCTCGCTGGCGATGGGAACACGCTCGATAGTCAGGAGCTCGGTGGGTGGCAAGTCGGGTGACGTGAGGCGCGTCAACCTCGCATTCAAGAGAGCATTGGCTGCAGGCGCCATCGGCCCTTGGAGGCAGGTCCGCTGTCATCGGCGGGGTACCGGAGGGCCCCTCGGCACCTGGAGTATTTCCTTGGCAACATCTGTTTGCTCACAGCTCTCCTGGGTTTGGCTGCATCGCACCGTCGTATGATTCGGGTGGCCATGACGACATCTCTGCCTTGCTGCCCAGTTCGGCCTCGAGCTTACGCAGTACCGCCTCGTCGTTATCGTCTCCACCTTCCTCCGACTCACCTGGCTTAGCTTCCTTCTCATCACTCCTCACCTTATACGCCACTCACCATTATGAAGACCGTCGCCATCTTCGCTACCGTGCTCCCCATCCTCTCCGCTTTCGCGGCCCCTGTGCCCGAGAACGACGGCAAGGGCAAGAAGAGCCACGACTCGGGCAAGGGGGTGTACAAGCCCAACAGCCAGTATATCTCGAATGGTGTTTTTGACTTCACTTCGACGTACTCTACGTATGCCACGCCTGATCAAGTGTGAGTTTTCCACACGCAGGGTCCGGCCGCTTAGGGTCGCTCGCTAATGTTGCCTCCTCGTTTCCTCCTGGACCCAACAGTGTCAACGCGAACTCGACTCCTACTCCTGGCGAGCCTGGAGCTTACGGATGGTTCAACTACGGTATCAACGCTCGACAAGAGATCATCTGCTACAACATCACCGTGTTCGTCTCGGGTAACTACAGCTCACCTGCCAAGACGGCGACCCACATCCACCAAGCTGTTTACGGCCGCAACGGCCCCCCTAGGATCGCGTTCCCCAATCCTACCATCACTTCCCCTATCGATGAGTTTGGTCGCCGTGTCTCGATCGGCTGCCTGCAAGGGCCCTTCACCACTGGTCTCGCTGCCAACGGAACCGACGTGAGCCTTCAACTTTTTAGAGCTGGTGCTCCCTACATGTTCTTGTCCCAGACAGTGTGCTGACCAGGATACCATACTCTTCCTTTCATAGACCGGAACGAACTTCACACTTGCCCAGATCGAGCAGAACCCTCCCGGCTTCTTCACTGACACCCACACCGCCAGCTACCTCGCCGGTGCTATCCGTGGCCAGCTTACGCTTACCGGCACATCGTACTAGATGTTTCCCACAAGAACAATTGATCATGGTTTCGTATTTCTAGTGTAGCATACCGAGCTTTCGTATGATCCCCCGTCTGATGTATACCAGTTCAGACTTTATTTGATCATCAATGTACAAAGTCATTACTATACGTTCGAAGCGACGTGCTCCCGGGACCCGGGATTATGCATTGACTTCAACGGTCAGATTCTGAACCTGCAAGCAAATACAATGGTGGCTCAAGAATTCTAGATTACCATGCTTGCCGATATGCAGTTCATGAGGTGACTTTAACTGCCTATAAGCAATACATATATGGCGATGTAGATAGTCGTCGGCGTGCGAATCTCCCAGCTTAAACATCAGCCGCCCGCTCCACACGAGTGCCCCCACATGCGTCCGATCGTATAATCCCCTGATCGCCGGCGATCGCTGCACGCGCTCATCATGCGCAAGGCGCCCCTTGGCCTCTCACCCCTCCGCTAAACCTACACCTCAGCACTCTTTTGATGCAGTGCCTCTCACATCTAGTCGAATTATTCACCCCCAAGACGATGTCCCTCACCTCCTCCAACACTTCCGTCGACCTGCTCGTTCTCGGCGGCGGGTGGACCTACACGTTCCTCAAGCCCTTACTCGAGGACTCGTCTATCTCGCACGTTGCGACGACTCGCGATGGCCGGGACGGGACATTGACGTGGGCTTGGGATAATGAGAGTGACGATGATACGCAGTACGATGCGCTGCCAAGGGCCAAGACGGTGTTGATCGTGTTCCCGCTCAAGGGGCAAGGGATGAGTAAGCGCCTGGTGGAAGGGTTCGAGAAGGAGCATGGATCAGTCAAGTGGATTCAGCTGGGTAGTACTGGTATCTATGATGTGAGTGTGGGCAAGCGCATACTTGTGCAACTTAGGAGTTCGCGAGCGAGAGGCCGAGCTAAGCGCCATCGCCCGGGTTCGCCACCGCGACATAACAGGGTGGGCCAACCTTGGCGGCAGCATCGCAAACACAAGGCAGCGTAAATGAAAAGTCAGCGGTCGACTCAAAGGGCAAAGAGTTCGAATGGACGACGAGGCACTCCGAGTACGCGACCGACAACCCGAGGGCGATCGCTGAGGACGAACTGCTCTCGCTCCGAGCCAATGCGTTCGTGCTCGACTTGTGCGGTCTTTGGGTACGTTGTATAGGCTGTGAACTCTGCAAGCCATGAGTCATACGTAGCTTTACTCTAGCAGATATCCCTCCGCTCACTGTTTTCTTGCTCATTTAATCAGGGCGGCACGCGCGACCCAGCAAATTGGTTTCAAAGGATTGCTCCGTCCAAGGCAGCGCTCGGGGCCAAGGGCTCGGTACACTTTATCCACGGCCTTGACGTTGCTCGAGCCGTGATCGCAGTCCATCTCTCGCCTTCGGTGTCGAGCTCAAGCGCTCCTGCCGCAGAGTCCGCTAAGGGACCGGAGTCGTCAAGGAAGTTCCTCGGTCGCCGTTACCTTTTGACCGATTTGCGGGTGTACGACTGGTGGGATCTCGCCTCGGCTTGGGCCGCTGAACCTTCGGCAGAAAAGGCGGTTAAGGATGCTGGTGATTGGGTGAGGGAGTTGTTGAGGGAGCATAACGTACGAGCGCTTCCCCGGACGCCCGAGGTGATCGGTCGGGCGCTCGATTCGAGAGAGTTTTGGGAGGAGTTTGGCTTGAACCCAGTCAAGGGGCGGTGGGAGCGAGCCAGGTTGTAAAAAGTTGGGGACTTGGTAGGTTTCCGACCCAGACAAGATGTACTGTGCAAATCAAGCGACTTCTGCCGTAACGTTTCCTGATATAAATTGAAGAGGTTTTGGACTCGGAGACTCTCGGACTTGTGTCTCAGCCGGCTCAAGGTGGCTCAAAGTGCACCGGCCGGCTGCCGCGCTGCTCTACGTTTCTCTCTCGCAACGCTCAGCGATTCGCATCCGACATTCAATTGCCAGCGCAGCTCTCTATTCGGATCGTTTCCACTCGTTCGCATCGTACGCCATTCCGATTCGAATCCTTGCCTCTGGAGAACGGACCAACCCAGTCGCCCACGCTCTTCACCATGGTCAGTCCTTGAGCCTCCTCCTGCACCTTCTCGACACACGCCCTAGCATCTCAACGGGTAGTGTGCTGATATAACACTTCACTACACAGACCACGGTTTGCCAAGCTCTGTCGTGCTGGTCGTCGTACCGGGATAGCCGCTCGCCGCTGTCGATCGACCTGCAGTATGCCAACCTCGCCGTGTCGTCGACGGTCTATGTCGGCAACCTGTCCTTTTTTGTGCGTCCAGCTTTGCGTGCACTATTCACATGTGTTGCACTCGAGGCATCAGCTGAGCACGAACCTCTCACGTTGCGCTGGGCCACGCAGACGACGGAGGAACAGATCTACGAGCTCTTCAGTCGGGTCGGAGAAGTCAAGCGCATCATCATGGGTCTTGACCGCAACACAAAGACCCCGTGTGGTTTCTGCTTTGTCGAGTCAGTCCAGTTGCTGGTGTGCGGTTACCCAGAGGGCCTGTCGAGCTGACAAGTCCTTCCTTCTCATCCCTGGCCATACTCTTCTCTCGGCGAATCATCGCACCGATCAGATATTTCCACCACGAACACGCGCTGGCATCGTTGCGATACGTGTCCAACACCAAACTCGACGAACGACTGATTCGAGCCGATCTTGATCCGGGCTACCTCGACAATAGGCAATACGGCCGAGGCAAATCTGGAGGACAGGGTCAGTCTTTCTCTTGGTGTGGGAGCTCGACCGTGGCGGCTTTCGACTGACTTTCACAACATTACTCCCATACAGTACGAGACGAGTTCCGACAAGAATTCGACGCAGGCCGAGGAGGGTGGGGTCACATCAAGGCGCTCGAGATCACACGGCAGCAAGAGCAGGACGATCTCTATCGGGGCGATCATTATGGCAACGCTCAGCAAGAAGTCCCGGCAGGCATGGGGAGCTTTGTCGATGAAAATCCTCGATTCCGGGAGGAGCGAGATGATTAAAGATGATTTTTTTTGGTTGAAATAGACAAGATAGTAGGTTTGTAAAAAAGTAGGGAGACCGATTCTTCACATGTAGTCGGGTCAGGCAACTTCAAGGCGTGCTGGGAGCTGCTGGGAGTGGAGACACCTTCGATACCGCTGGGGCCCGAACCCCGGTTAGCGCTCTCTCGTCTTGCCGGTGTGGACCATCTGATTGGTCGCAGGACGCTCGCCTCGCTGTACGAACCATGACGTTACCAACAAGGGGTGTCACGCTTCCTCCCGAGCTACTCCAGGCGATCCTGTCGCGCCTACCGACCCAATTGCATTTGTCGATCCAGACGTTGCTCGCGTGCTCGGCTTCGTCTCGGTCACTGCGTCAGATCGCGCTGGACAGCTACTTGTGGCGACCCCACGTCGCAGCAAGATGGCGCCGCGGCAAGCAGTGCACCTATGACGAGGATGCACACCAATTCTACCGCATGCGATCCATGCGAGATACCCAAGCAGAGCACGATATCGGGACACTCGCTTCGACGTCGCACGGCCGCATACCCTTGATCGAAGCACTGCGAGGCCAAGGCGACGAGGTGATCGAGGCCCTGGAGCAACTCCAGCGCCTCAGAGATTTCGACAGACCCCTGACCTGGCTTTCGGAACGGTACTGGGCCAAACAAGCCTACCGCTGTATCTTGAGGGACCAGGCGATCGCGGTCTGGGCCACTATCGCCGATGAGACCGTCGAGCAGGAGGACTCGTTTGAAAAGGGGATCTGGGCCTTTGTCGCGTTCCGGGATGGTGTAGACTATAGGGATGTGAGTCGCACTCCCCATCAGACCGGTACACCACCCCTCCATCCGATGAGAGTGCCGCGAGCTCATCGCTTCGACCACCTCATATTGTATTGCACAGTATCTTCACAGCTACGACATGGTTCGACATCCCGAGCTGTTGGCCACACTTGCTTCACAGCGGTGCCAAGGCGAGGCGCTCTTGGAGCACGTCGCCGTTTCCGTCATGTCCTACATGCGTCGGATCGGATTCAGAGCCGCGGATGCGACCTCGTTCCATGATCTCGACAACCACTTTTTGTCGCACGTTTGGAGCGGCATCGACCCAGATGCCGACCCAAGTGCTCGGTCCGAGTCCGGGACATTGCCCATGTCTCTCGTGTCGATCTTCTGCTCATTCGTCCGACGACTGCCTAAGGAGTACAATATCAGGGCCAAACCCATCGGACTTCCTGGCGTGATGCTGGCTGGCGTTGCGTTGGGAGACAGTGCAGACTGGGTCATGGTCAACGTGTTTGAAGGCAAGATCGCCCAGCCCAGCGACCTTCAAAGGATGCTGCTTGGCATGAGACTCGAGATGGTGATGCCCATTAGTCGCCTTGAACCCGCTTCGGCCAAGACCATGGTGAGTCGACATGTCTTGACGCCCAAGCGGTGCTGTGGCCACTTGCTGACGGTACCGATTGCAGTGCGGGCGAGTGGCGCAAAATATTCTCACCTCGGTTCGACGAGGCGATGATGATGCTGTCCAAGATCACTACGTCTTGATTTCGGCGCATTACTCTGTCGCTCTGGCTCTATACCACTTTGCGGCGCCCGAATCGCGGCACTTGTACGCCAACTGGGTCGTATCAATCATTCAGGCCGAGTATCCGCATGATGTCTCGTACCTCGAGAACACGCTGTCCCAGGTCTTTACGGGCGAGCGCGCCGAGACGGTCCTACGCCTTTGTCGTGAGATGCGTGATGATGATATGGTCGAACCGGAACCGCAATTGGGGACCTCGAGGATCCGGTGGAGAATCGGGCAGGTCAGTACCTTTATCTGACCAAAAATTTGCGCGATCTTCATCCTCAACTTCTCCAATCTTATCAATGTTCTCAGGTCTTCCGACATCGATTGTTCGGCTACTGCGGTGTCGTCAGAGGATTCGACGAAGAGTGTTTGGCCAGCGAAGAATGGATCCAATCGATGGGCGTCGACACCCTACCTTACGGCAGGTCCCAACCCTTTTACCACGTCATCATCGAAGGCGGGGGCACGCGCTACGTCGCACAGGAGAACATCGCCGACGAGGAACACCGCTCGATTCCGTTCGAATGCATCGAGAACCTCGCGGGACTCTCCGTGATGGGGAGATACTTTTGCAGTATGGATATGGACATGCGTGGCAGGTGGAGGTTCGTCAAATCGTGCGAGACGGCGGCGATGTACCCCGAACCGAGCCCGACCGCTTGAGTGAGACGACGATACTAGCCCTGGTGTATAGAGCTTGCCCCCGGCATTGGCAGTTGGATCTCTATATTGCGATATATGACGTTGTTGTCGGAGATGAGATTGTTATATCATTAGTCAAAGCTACTAGAGAGTTCTCGCTACTTCGATCTCCTCGATACTCTGAATCAAGTCTTGCTCCTGGAAGCCTTCGAAACCTTCCAAAGCAATACCACACTCGACTCCCTTGGTGAGTTCGGTCACGTCCTTCTTGACGTGCTTGAGCGTATCCACAGTGCCAGTAAAGATGACTTCACCATTCCTCACCACGCGAGCCTTTCGAGTCTTTTGGAAGACCCCGTTCGAGATCTTGGACCCAGCGACGACCTTGGGGACCTTGACACCCTTGATGGTGATGGAGAAAAGTTGCTGGACGAGCGCTTCACCGTGAACGCGCACCTCGATCGTCTTGGGGAGTAAGTCGGCCACAGCGGCGCGAATCGCATCGACGAGGCGATAGATGATTGATGAGGCGTAGACGGCAACGGGATGTGGCGGTCGAGCGGCGAGTTTCATGACGGATGCAGGGGTGCGCACGTTGAACGCAACGACGGCGCCACCTATCGCTCGGGCCATCTCGATGTCCGACTCCTGCACATCGCCGACACCCGAGCTGACGATCTTGACCTTGGCTTCCGAGTTGCCGATCCCTTCGAGCGATCCAACGACGGCCTCGACCGTACCACTGACATCGGCCTTGATGAGGAGGATCAACTCCTTGACACCCGCACCTTCACCGCCCGTCAATTCCTCGACCGCAGCCTGTCCAGCGTACATCACGGCGTTCCTACGCAGCCCTTTGGCTTTGGCTTTGGCCTCTTCCTCCCTCCGGATCAGCTCCACCTCCGAATCGACCTTGCGCTTCTCATTGATGACTTCAACCTCTTCCCAAAGCTTCTGCTGTTCGATCTTCTTGACGCGGTTCGTGACCGCTCGCTTAGCCTCGTCCTCGTTGACGGCTTCCAGGACGAGGTCGCCCGCGCTAGGCAAATCTTTCCATCCCGTCACCTCGATCGGTTGGCCAGGGTAAACGAGTGAGACCGCTTTGCCCGTCGGAGGGATAAGCGATCGAACTCGACACCAAGTCGTCCCCGCGACGAGACTGGCGCTCGCTCTCAAGCAACCCCGCATCACCAACACCGTCGCAACGTTACCTCGCCCCTTTTCAACCCTGGACTCGATGACGCGACCTTCCACTCGGCCGGATCGCTCGGCTCGCAATTCGCGGATCTCGGCGATCGCAGAGATTGTCTCGACGAGGGTGGGCAGACCTTGCCCTGTGACAGAAGATACCTCAACGCAGGGGATGTCGCCGCCGAAATCTTCAATCTCCACGCCGGCCGCCATCAATTCTTGCTTCACCTTGAGCTGGTGCAAATAAGCTCTTAGCAATGTCAGCGAGGATCGAATGACCGCAACAATGCGTGGAAGCTTACCGTATCCACTCCAGGCTTGTCAACTTTAGTGATGGCGACCACGACGCCGACATCGGCACTCTTGATGAGACCGATGACTTCCTCGGTTTGAGGTTTCACGCCGTCATCAGCAGCGACGACGAGTACGACGACGTCGGTCACGCTTGCTCCACGTTCTCGCATGGCCGTGAACGCAGCATGGCCGGGTGTATCCAGGAACGTAATGGTCGCGCCTGAGTCGGGCTCGATCGAAGACGGAGTGGGAACGGCACCGTCCTTGCCGCCGTTGCTGAGGTTGCGAACGATGGCATCAACCTCGACTTCGAATGCACCGATGTGTTGTGTGATCCCTCCCGCTTCACCCTTGGCAACGGTGGTTTGCCTCAGTGCGTCGAGCAAAGAAGTCTTGCCATGATCGACGTGACCAAAGATGCCTGTGATTGGTGGCCTCAGCGGTCGCTCGATTTCGTCGAGGATGGGTAAAGGGTAAAGATCGAACGCGGCCTCGTCGTCGACGGTGGGATCAAAGTTGAGTTCGAGAGCAACGAGGGAGGCGTCCTCGGCGGTCAAGAGGCGCTCGGGCCGGACGTTGTCCAGTCCGATGCGTTGCATCGCCTTTTGCAAGGTTGGTAGCCGTACTCCGAGGATGCGCGTGAGATTTTCGAGACGAACGGTGGTGGGAAGGGTGACTTTTTTGAGGGCTCGAGGTTGTTTCCTAGCCGGTCTACGTTGGGCCGAGGAAGAGGGTTGCACTCCGCCCCGGACAACGGGGCGTACCGCATTTCGGTCCGAGTTCCTGTACGTCAACAGCCGAGAGTTGACTCGGCCCGGCACCATCTCTCGGCTGTTCCCGGACGGCGACGTCGATGTCAATTGGCTCACCCTCCTGACGACCCCTGTCGCTCCCACGTTCTTAGCACTATTGAGCAATCGCTGCCTCTCTTCGGCATCCCTCTTTTCGAAGTTGGTCTGAATCAACCTCGCGCGTTCCCTCTCCAAGGCGTACAGCTTCTCGGGGCTCATCGTTCGGAGCAGCCTTTCGCGAGCCCTGTCCTCGCGCTTCCTTTCCTCGGGTGACAATTTCTGCCATTCGCGAAGGGCTCGTCCGACACGAGGCTGCAACGTCGGCGTAGGTCTGTCCGAGTCGTGGCGAGTGTGTTTGATGGAGTTGGACCTCAAGGGGTATTGGGCCGACAATTCGCGAGCTGAGAAGGTCGATGATGGTGATGACGTGGACGACGAGAGCGAGGACGTCGGAGAGGTTGGGTTCCTCCTGGCAGGGTAGGATTGGGTAGGGCGGGTATCGTCCCTGCCTCGGTTCTGGTCATTCCCTCTCGGGTCTCGATCATAAGCACGGTCTCGGTCGCGGTCTTTATTCCGATCTCGGTAGTCTGAGTACGGCGCCGAGCTGGGATTCGACGACGAGAAGGGTCTCGGCGCCGGGATCGAGGTCGACGATGAGGAGCAGAAGTTCGAAGAGGCCAAAGCGGGGTGGTGTCGGGTATTAGCCAGCGATCGCGATGATGCGATTGTGCAACTGCATCTCGATATCAATGCTCTTGAAGTCATCGTCGTGGCTGCGTGGCATCCAAGGGACATGAATGGTTGGTGAGCGAGCGATGTACAGATGACCAAGGCGGTCGTCAAACGGCGCCCGGCTTGTGTCTTCCGGAGCGAACTGGACGTACCTCCTCTGGCAAAGCCTTCGGAATCCAGACAGGGTTGGACCGGATGCCACAACCTGCTGCAACGCCCAAGTGTATCAAGTCAAGGTTCGGCGAAGGCTGAGACCGGCGGCGCTATCCAGTTCGGATCGAGACGGATCGTTCCTTCGCAGCGAGACCGGCGTTGGCGCGGGGCTGGTTGCACAAACCGTAAGGTACTCTGGGCGAGTCCAAGTCGATGCCAGACGTGTTGGGTTTGTGGATCTGTCTTTGAAGCGCAGACTTGGTGTTAGGTGCGGCGAAGGAAGCGCGATCAGTATCACGCTCAGCTCATGCGTGGCCGCGGTCAGTGGTTTAGAGTGGTTTCGCTGTCGCCGCCTGTCGCCGCCTGTCGCCGCCTGTCGCCGCCCGTTGCCGCCCGTCGACGGGCCGGACGCGCGGTCCGTGCACCGCCGGTCCCGATTCCGGTCCCGGTTCGGCGGTCGGTTGCAGTGCCCAGCTGAGAGCCCGCGCTCGCTCGCCTTCTCCACACACACACCACAGAATGGCGGCTGCGTCAGGGATCGTTCCCTCGAAGGATCTGCTTGACACATGGGCCAACGCCTTGGGCCCCGACTCACCGGCTCGCATCATCAAGGTCAGCTCAGATCAGGCCTGAATGATGTTGGGCAGTCTGTGCCACTGAGTGACGTACCGTGACGGCGACGACGTGGTCCCGAGCTCGGCCGCACCACCCGCTCGTCACCGCATCCACTGACGCTCTCACGCTCTCACTCTCACACCTTCTAGATCGTCATCGACCAAGAGACACTCATCTCGGCCGCTCAAGTCGACGCGCAGGGCTCGGACGAGCAAGACTTTGAGCTGCTGGGCCCACTCGGCGAAGACGAATCGCCCTGCTTCCTCCTCTACAGGTGCGGCCATCTCCCGTTCCCCTTTAATGCCCCCGATAGCTCATACGCTTTGATCCCATAACCCCCTCATCGACATCAACCCCGTCGCTCTCTTATGTCGCTCCATCTCACCCGTTCTCAATTCATGCTGGGGCCCCACTTTGCATTCAACTTTGCTTTGGTGTTCGCCCACTACCTTTACGGATCTTGCCGTACAGGAACCGCACTCCAGAATCGTGGCTCTTCATCTCCTACGTCCCCGATGCCTCCCCCGTGCGCTCCAAGATGCTTTACGCTTCGTCCCGACAGTCCTTCGTCCGGGCACTAGGCGATTCGAGGTTTTCTTCTTCCATTTTCGCTTCTACAAAGGTACGATAGGGAGCTCTTCAGCTCGGGCGTTCATCGACATCCCAGACTGACCGCGATTCCCATCTCACATCTTGATCTATCAGGACGAATTGACCTTCGCCGCGTACAGAAATCATCTAAAGGCTCAACAATCTAGCGCCCCTTTGACCGCAAGGGAACAAGAGATCGCCGACATCAAAGCCGCCGAAGCGAAAGAGAGACGAGAAGGCGACACGAGCGAAAACGCGAACCAGCCCAGGAGCATGTTGGATCTTTCGGGCTCGACCGAAGGGACTTCAGCGGACGGGAAGAAGGCGGGGACCGGGTGGAGCGATGAAGCCGCAGAGCTGATTAAGACGTTCGCTGCTGGAGACAAGGAGATAGTCGAGCTGGTGAGTTTGGGCGGCGCTACAGCCGGCATTCGGAACCCCTTTTGCTAACCTACAAGGTTGCCGAACCACGAACCACAGCGGATCGAAGAGGAACGCATCATTCCCTCGCCCGAACAACCCTCCAGCCTCGCACTGCCAAAGGATGCACCGTGCTTCACTTTCTACAAACACTCGGCTGGAACGGGTGCGTTGATGCTTGAATTACAGCATCATCTGAACCCCCTACGTGACTGTAATGGGCTCATGAGCTCATCCTCCTTTGCGCAGTATTCATCTACTCGTGCCCCTCCACGTCCCCGATCAAGTCGCGAATGATCTACGCATCGAGTTTCCATTCGGTCCGAACGAAGGCATCCAACTTGGGCGTCGACGTGTCCAAACGAGTGAGTACTGAAACCAAAGAGCAAATCCCAGTCCTGACTCTCGAGCCCGGTTTGCACACTGAGCGTGCATATCTGTTTCCCTATCCAATTGAAGCTTGAAACTTCGTCACCCGAGGAAATCACCGACGCCTTTGTAGCCGCTGAATTTGGACAAGCCGTAGCAGGGGAAAGTACACCGACTGGGGATGGTGGTGGAGACAAGCCTGCATTTGCACGACCTAGTCGACCGGGAAGGAAACGTTGAGAACGCGGTGTGAATAGGACCTTTCCGCCTGAATGGTCGAAATGACAGTTGGGCGGTGATATTGTTTGTTGGCTTTGGGCAAGAGCAGACTGGCTCGCTCTGGTTTGAATCAAACTGGAGCAATCCTTTGAGTTGAGACGAAAAAAGCATCCGTTGCCGCTTCTGCGTCTCGCGAGCTGACCCTGAACGAATGCTCGAAAATAGTCACCGCTATGTGCGCCTTGTAAGGAGAGGACAAGGCGTTCCTTTTCACTGCAAAGTAACACTATCGTCGATCCTCATCTACCACAACCCGGCTTAAGCCTCCAAGCAAGTTCAAGTTCAATTTTTCAAACCACCCATTCGCCCGCCCATTTACTCGCTACCAGTAGGACGGAGCTTGAGGGGCTCCGATAATTGCTTCTCGGGCACACCAAGCTCGATGAGCTTGGCAAAGACGTTGGAGAAGTCGGCAAAGAACTTGTCCTCGTCCTTGGCGTATTGCTCCGTGTACGGTCGGAACGCCTTGTCGGTCGTCAGGGCCATGTCGGTCGTGAGCATCATCAAGCTCTTGGTCGACTTGTCTTCGTACTGAATCGGTCCCTTCCACTTCTTGAACTGTGCGTGTGTGAATACGTGAAGAGAGAGGTCAGCAAGCAAGCGGCATGGGTCACTGACAGGCTGAATGCGACTAACCTGCCACTTCTCATTCAGCAAGAGCTTGTAGTACTCGTTGTTGAAAGAAGTAGGCGAGTGTTGCCAAGGTCTGAACAGATCATGCCGGACAAAGGGGTCAGTCTCCCGAAGTATCTTCCTCGAAAGGAAAGGAGAGATCAAGCGAAAATGGACGTACCCAGAAAAGCCCGAGCGGTCAGTGTGGCAACGTCCTACGGCGTGAGCACCAGACAAAGCAACGATCTCCTGGTCGTTGAAGCCCATGCGGTAGAAGATGTGGCGCAAGTGGTCCGCGCCCTTGTCACCATCGGGGAGACGACCGTCGGGGGTGCAGTTCTCGACGTTGCCGTCCTTGCGGCCCGCTCGCCAAGGGATCGTAGGTCCGCCCATCTCCTGGATTGCGCAGACACCGGCGAGGGTCCACAGGTCAGAGTAGGTGATCTCGGGGAATTGCTTCTTGATGGGCTCGAGCAAGTTGCGGGCCACATCGAGACCGGCGTTTGCGCCGTGGTTTGCCTGGGAGACGATATCATGGGAGACGACGGCTAGGGGAGTCAGCACTTTTACGAACACGAGCGATCCGATAGAGAATAGGGGTCGAAATCTGAGACCGACCTCGGGAGCGAAGCGCATGGTAGCGCCGTTGGACCCACCGTTGCCGGTTGTCTTGTCGTAGGTACCGGAAGCATGCCTAACAGATTAGTGATCGCCGTGGGATCCAGAGTATTAGTCAATGTGACCCGCATAGCGCGTCAAGGACCGAGAGGCCAAGCTCACCACGCCAAACGAACGAGCACGGGGCCGTACGAGCCATCTGCAGTCGAACAACATCAAGTATAAGCCGAGATGATTCTGCTGTCAAACAAGCTCGACTTTGAATGGGCATCCGCCATCAAGGTATGTCGGGATCCCACATCTCGTGAGCGGCAATGACTAGAAAGGCTCCGCCGGACCCCGCCCGGGCCAATCACATCGTCGCCTTTTCCAACTCGACTCAGGGAATCGAAGCTGAAAGAAGCACCCGCCCGCGGTGCACGCCCGCTGTCGATCCCACTTACCGTCATAATCCTCAGCCTCGAGCACTTGGGCGATAGCATCGTAAACCCTGCCAGCAATCAGGGTTAAGGTCGAATCAGTACCCTGTCGAAATCGAGGTCGACGCTGTAGCGGACCGACACAGATGAGACCACTTCTCCCGCGGTAACTGATAACCGCCGACGGAGCAAGCGCGGCCTCACCCGCTCCGTCGACCGAGCACACCACTGCCACAGGCCCCCCGGGCACTCACTTTTGGTAGTCGACCGTCTGGGGAGACGCGGCGTCCTTGATCTTGGTCGGGTCCGAGTCGGATTGACCACTGAGCGCATAGTAGGCGCCTCCACCGAGCGCGGCCGCACCGAGCAAGGCGAACAGGGTCGTGTTGCTGCCTCCCGAAGCGGGGGCGGCGGTCGCGTAAGTGCGACGAGCCAGAACCGGCTGGCGAACCGCCAAGCGGGGAGCGACGAAGCGCGAGGAGCGAAGCAGAGAGCGTGTGGCGAATGACATGATCGGATCTGGGTCACAGAAGAGGTTCGAGTGTGCAAGATGGGAGGACGTAGAGCGCCGCTAAGCGTTGAACGCCGTAGACCACCCGCGCTCGCCAGTCAGCGCTAGTCAGCGGGCAAATGCGGCCAATGCGTCTCATTACTAATGCTTCACGGCCGAGCTTTGGCCGACGAACTCCACCACACGGAACCACCTATATCTCGACCAGGCGTGGTGGGGATCGCCTGGTAACTAACCAATGTGATGTGGAATGCATCTCTTTTGCTCCAAAAGTATATGCGCATCGCAGTGCGGGATGATGTTAGATGCGATATGCCGTCTGTGCAGTTGGCGCTCTCTGTGACTATTCTTGGACGCTGAGAATGATGAAGTGCACAAGCTATAACGGTACAGAAACGACATGGACGCAACATGAACGGACAGAAAAATCCAAGTGATACAGCGCTTAAACTACTGACTAGCCCTCAAAGTACGTCTTTTGAAACATGATAATGTCCTTGGTCAACTCGTCCATCAGGCTCATGCTATCGAGGTGGTCCGAACTGGCCGCGTTCTGCTGAACAGCAGCGGTCGATCCGGACGCTCCCGAACCACCAGAGAGGGCCGCCTTCTCGACACGCTCGGTCCTCTTCTCCCGATCCGACATCTCGATCTGCACCCTCGTCAAGTACTCAAGCACGTTGCGCGCGCGCTTGCGCATCTCGGGCATCGTCATGCGCTTGTTCGGAAATCGGATCTTGGTCGGAGCTTCCGCCGTCGTCGGTGGCGTTCTCGACGAGTATGAGTCGGAAGATCGCTTGCGCGGGACGTGGATGGGCTGAGGACTGGGCGTTGGGAGCAGGTGCGAAAGGTGCTTGAGGTGTTCTGGGATGCCCCACCCCGAGGGGTCGTTGCCTGGTACCCAATCACGCTGCGGCCGGTGGGTGCGAGATGGATGCTCGGACGAAGCCATGGTCACACCGCTCGCATTGACAGACGTGTTCGCCAGTGAAGCGCCTCCTGACGTATCCCTGCCACTGGCTCGCTTGACGGGCGAGCCGCGTCCTCGACCGCTCGGCGTTGGCCCCGGTTTGGGACGGTAGGTGTATTGGTTCGGATGTTTCGCTCGAGCACTAGCATTGGGGTTGGGTGATACAGCTGGGAAAAATAGGAATATCACAAAGGTCAGTCCCCTTTCGTTCTCAGCCGGTGGTTCCGATCCGGAGCACTCACTCGAGTCGTCGTCGAAATTTGCTCCAGATTGGTTCAGTCCGTCGACATCGACATCCATTTTGGCCTCGGGAGCGCCCGGAGGCGGCGGTGCAGACTCGAAATTGAGTGAGGGTAGACTTGGTAGCTCGCCTAGCAAGATGGCAGGATGCCGTAGCACTCCGTCCTCATCGAGACCCAGACCGGCAGCATCGTCCCCGCTGACGGTTCTCTTCTCCAGCTTGGCACGCATCGCCGCTGCTGCTGGCGTCATCAGGCTCAACGCGATGGCGTCATCGTAAGCGGCATCGCGAGAGTTCATCGTACTCCGCTTCTTTGGCGCTGGTTCGGCCTTGGTCCCGCCGCCTTGTTGATTAGGTGAGAGCGACCGCGATTCGTGGCGGATCGCCGCCGCGGACGCATCGCCGGTGGACTCAGCGGCCAGATATGCCGAGACCAGAGCGGCATCAGCGGACTCGCGAGGTTTTTGCCCACGGATACTGGCGGTGACTGGCATAGTGGTGGGGGCAACGACGCTTGTCTGCCCTGGTGGTAAGGGTAAGGCGGCAGTGCGGTTTATCATGACTTTGCGGTGGGTTTTGCGGATTTGACTGTGGCGATCATCGGTGATCTGGTCAGCAAAAGAGAGGTCAAGCCGAGCACCTCAAAGGCTATCCGATAAACCTACCCGTTCTGGCCGTGCCATGTTGGCTTGCACAACTCGCAGAAGTACCGGTCGGGACATTCCTGCCATTTGATCCCAGATCATCGTCAGCGTCTCAAAAGCATCTTACAGGGCATTGTGAGAGAGAGCTCACCTCCTCTTCTACAAGTCCAATACATGGTCCATGTTGCCAGCATTTGCAAGTGTCGCACTGGATCATGAGCTCTTGTTCCTTCTCAACGGCTGCGCAAGAAGATCAAGCTGCGTTAGTGTCTGGTCCAAAGGTTCCAGGGTACGATAAGCAAACTCACTGTCTTCTCCGCAAATGCATCTCGTGAAGCCCTCCGCACCATCGGCTTCTTCTTCTTCCTCCAATAAGAAGCCTTCGTCCTCGTCGACCTCGACTAGCTTCTTCGCGCCGGCTCGCGCGGCCCTGGCGCCTCGCTTCTCGACATAGATCTCGTCCTTTAACAACTCACGCGAATCGTCGAGCTTGGGTGTTCGTTTGGTCGCCCCTTTCTTACCCGTGGCCATCTTGTTCTTGGAAGCAGGTGGTGGGGGTGATTTCTTGAGCGTAGCCGCGGACCGCCGTGGTTTGCCCGCGTAGTTGGTAGCGAGACCCGATTCGGGCTCGACAGCAAGCTCCGCCTCCGGCTCGATCGTCGTCGTCAAAGGCTTGTTATCGACCTCTTCTTCAACATGCACCGAAGTCGAAGCCAAAAGAGGAACCTCTTCAGGGTCCCCTTCCACCGGCTCGGCGCCAGCGGATGGTTCGTCCGCCGCGGATTCCGAATATTGTCGGTCGCTTTGCTCAACAGAGTCTTCGACTGTTGGTTCGGTCTGTTCGGGAGACTCGTGACGTTCGGCCTCGGGAGAAAGGACGCTCGTGTTCGTAGCGGCTACCGCATCGTCCGGCGCACACAATGCCGAGGATGGTAACGAGGCCGCCACGACGGGCTCGACACTGTCCGGTGCCGCTGGCGCCGGCTCAAGCTCAGGCTCAGGCACGGGTTCAGGCTCGTCGGGTCCAGGCTCGATTTGAGATGGAGTGCCGTCCACAGCCTCTGTTGGGTTAGCGGCATGATTCAAGGGCTGTCGTTCACTCGAGTTCGTCTCTCCTGCTTCTATGTTATTCGTGGCATTCGAGGCCGTTGATGATGCATGTCCGGGTGCCGCATCCGGCGCGAGCGAGGGCAAGGGCAGCGACGCGCCGAGGCTGGGCGAATTGCTGGCGCTGACGGATGTCGAGGCGGTACGATAGCTTCCTTTCCGTTTTCCTTTGGCTGTAGGCAGGACAAAGGGTACGGAGGGTCAGTGCTGCGCGAGTCGCCTGCGTCTAGACTCGGACCCCAGCAAGACGAGCAGTGCGAAGGCAGTCGCTGAGACGCCGTAGACGTCCGAGCGACGTCACGTCGAAGGTGCCCATCGCGCTGGACATCCGCTGGCAGCGCAATGCCATAATGAACGTGCAGGAGCACAGATGTGGAGACTGGCTCGGTAGGAATAGCCGACGTGACGAGGTGATTACGCAACGAGCTGGGCCGGGCGCGGAAGGTGAAGCTTGGCCGGTCACGCTGGCGAGCTAGCATGCTCACAATCTTCGGACAAAGCTCGAGCGCTTTGGACTTACTCATGCTGGTAGTATTATAATGCGGATGGAAGGTAGTCCAGTTGTGGGTATCGATTGAGGTAGGGCCCCGGACCTGATATCGGAGCTGATAGCTGAGCGCGAGCGGCAGGACGGGGCTGAGCTGAGCTGAGCTGAGCTGAGTCGAGGAGAAGCTGCGGCACCGAATGCGAGACAGGCCGGACTCGAGAGTAGTACAGGTCGCAGAATCAAAAAAGCGGTGTGTGCTCAGTGGATGACGATCGCCGACCTAGCGCACGAGCAGGCAGTGCGCTGAGACTGAGCGTGGAGGCGAGCAGCTCGCTGCAGGTCAGCCCGGGTCCAACGCTTGACCGGACCCCATTGAGTCCCCCGAGCCGGGACCGCTTCTGTAGCGCTACAACCGGCTGACTCGATTCTCCCATAGCGTCATTGGACCACCTACGCCTCCAAGCACGCTCAGACTGACCCCTATAACCGGCCTTGAAGGCTCCGGTACATCAACCTCACCACACGTGACGTGACTCTGCGACTCGCTGGCAGCACCCGCCGCGGTAGCTGGGCACCGGTGGTGGCCCCCATGTCGGCAGCCGGTCTGCGCCTGAGGGCCTTCGCTCCGACCGTGTTGGCAGCTCCTAACCCATCCGCGCACACGGCATCGCTCGTCTTCTGCCATGGCTTTGGTGCCACTGCCTCCGATTGGCAAGATCTGCATCAGTTACCGGGAATGGATCACCTCAAGGTCATATTGCCGCAAGCGTCAGTCATCTGAGCTGCACCCCACATGACTCCCTCTAGAGGGGATTAGGGGTAGACGCCGAAGGGGTAGGCTGACTCCGATGAAACCGCTTCTTGCGGATGGTCGTGTTCGTTCCAATCTACACCTGCTCAGTCCCTTGAGGGCCATCTCGATCAACTCGATGCAGCCCATGCCCGCCTGGTTCGACATCCTGTCCATGTCTCATGCTGCACGGACCCAGGACGGCGACGAAGACGAAGAAGGGCTCGGAGAGTCGGTCGACGACCTCACCCAGATCATACAGACCGAAATAGACGCTGGTATCGCTCCCGGTAGGATCGTAATTGGTGGCTTCAGTCAAGGTGCGGCTTTGGCGATGATGCTCGGCCTGGCCGGCAAATTGAGACTCGGGGGTGTCGTCGCGTTATCGGGGTATATGCCGCTGCAGTGGAAGTTCATATCGGCAAGTTACGGTCACTGGATGAGTTTTGTGAGCGACCAATCGGAAACCCTGACATTTTCTAGGCGGATGTACACTCCCTGCAGATGCTAAGTCCGTGGGCACGAGAAATGCCCGTCTTTGTCGGCCACGGCACCGCCGACCCTGTCATTTCGTAAGCACGAACTTGAAGACTGCGGTCACGAGCGCATTGTGGTACCTGCGTCCACTCGTGCTCCTTCACTCAAGCCTTCCACATGTTCTGTGCACAGCTTTAGCACCGGCGAGGCCGGAGTTGCGAGACTTCGAGACGCCGGTCTTCAACGTTTGGAGTTCCAAACCTACCCAGGTAAGTGACCTCTGGGCAAAGAACGAGGTGGGCCGATAGTCGCATTGGCTGATCCGAGGATTCCCATAATCAATTCTTTGATCCCAGGAATGGCTCATAGTGCTTGTCTGGAGGAGCTGCAGGACCTGACTCGATGGCTGCAGAAGGTAGTACCCCCGATAAATCGGCCAGAAGCCACCGGAAATCCAAAGCTATGGCCCAAGCTATGAAAGTAGCATCATGACCAGTGAATGTACCTTGCTTTAGTATGGTGTTCTCGCACCTATGTGGGACCCCGTGTTCTCACTTGGCCATGGCGTGCAAATCGGATAGTGCTCTGCTCGACTTCATATACACTTCATTCTTCATTCTTGAGTTTAGGGTTTCACGCGGGCAGAGCTTGAGAGCGATCGCCCTCAGCTTGAAAGCCAGTACCCACCAAACTCACCAAGTGGAATTGAGGACGAGTAGGCGCATCCCATGTCTTCCAAGCTTCAATTTTCTGTTGTGCAAAGAGGCAGCATAGACACCGGTCTCTCCGGTAGAGAGCCCCTCTCGGGCTCCGACTTTCCCCGCCGCTGCCTGCTGTGGTCGACCGATGTGCCCCTGTTCCAGCTTCCAAGCTTGCACCCATCGTAGCCTTCGTCCTCTCCGGCTGTTGATTCGACCACCCTGGTCCACAGTATTGTAACCACTGTCCATGCTTGGTACCGTAGCGAAGGGTCCTGGTCGTCTGGTATTCGCACGCAAAGAACAATCTGCGAATCTGTGCGCAACCGACTGCGCGGTGAGGACGGCGTCCCTGCGCCGATCGACGTTGGAATGGTAAGGAATCAAGTGAGAGGAAGCGGTGTATCACTCGAATATAAATAGTGAGGAACATTTTATTTGGCATCAAGTTATGGCCTGAGCTAATCATGGATGAATGTCGCCCGGGAGTTCCCCAGGCATTCCTTCCTCCGCAAGAAGAGCTCCTGATCCCCTCCGGGGGCACGACTACATCGTATGGTAAGGTTCTGCTTTCTCAAAGGGTACACTGTACGCCTAAATCTTGTTCTCATTGACGATAGTTTCCTTGGATCTAAGCTGGTGCGTCATCGCGTACTCGCTTACGTTGACCCTGAACATCGAGACCGAACTCTCGGACAGGATGTACTGTGAGCTGGCATACACGGTCCAGTAGGCCTCACTGTTCTCCCGCTGGTAGACCTGCGCCGCACTATCCTCGGGAGTCTACCATACTCGTAAAGGGTCAGCTTTGTACCCTGTTGACTCGTTTAAGGCTACAATATACCCCCAAACGGACGGAATTGTGCCATTGGTCGAAGAGGCGCTCTAAAGAATGGGAAGCTGTTCAGATGCCAAGTAGTCAAATTGCTGAACCTATCCCGCGGTATCTGGTCGAAATATCCACCTGCTCATCTCACAAAGGCGAGAAGACCTGTAATGGATACATAGTTAATGGAAAGTAGATCAGGGCGCGAGCCAGCTTCAGCCGCATACTGCGTACAATTGAGGGGGGGGACCTGCTCTCCCACCATCACTTGTATTTGTGTTGAGATCACCCGACGGCAGTCACGTCACTAACAAGCATACCCATAGATATTGATTTGACATTTCATACTGCGGAAGTGGACCAGTGGGGAATACAAGACGGCTTGAGCTCTGAGATGAACTAGACGAAGAGTGACAAGAGCCATAGCGGGCATGCAGAGCGAATGCAAGCACCGATGCGTGCCAGGCTTTCTAGGCCTCTTTCTTGGCGAAGGGATCCTCCGCATCATCCTTGGCCTTCTCCTTCTCCCATTTGTCACCAGTCTTCTTGTCAAGGCCGTCCTGCACCTTTTCCTCGTTTCGGGTGATCTTGCCGATTAAGACGTCTTTTTGGCCCTCGATCTTGTCGGAAGTGGTAGGGTGCACCTTGTAGTTAGGACCCAATCCGACTGTTCAACGAGAAAGTGAGAACGAGTAATATAAGGCGGTGCGTCAGAGTTCAGCCCGTGAAGAAGACGAGACTCGCTCAGGCTCGCCGGAGCTATTTCGGGCGTCAATCTCCCTGACCGAGGTCGCTCGGGGAGTCACGACCCAGAACTCAAGAGCTGCGGCTTACCTTTACCGGCATGCTTCTGTTCGGGGTACTCAGTGTGTTCCGGAGCGGTGGCCGACGTCTTGGTTTGGCTTGTTGCTGTGGGCGCGGGGGCAGACGAGTCAACCGACGGTGCGGTCGTGCTGGCCGTGGTCGTGTCGAGGTTGGCCGAGTTCGAATCTGGGTTGGCGGACCTGCGCAACGTAGAAGCACATGTGCAGCACTCGGTCAGTCGGAAGAGCCGTGAGCCGCAGATGGCATGTCGCAACCAACAACTTACATGATGTGCTATTTGTGTTCGTATGTGTCGGAGGTCTGAGAGAGCTGTAAAGCGGATGAGGTAAGAGGGTAAGAGAAGGGTCCCTCGCTATCTGAATCCCCGCTACGATGACGTCGGGTTTCCGAGGGCTCATGACGCCGGCTCTTCTCGGGCCACGAGCGGCGGGGAGCGACTAGTCACCCGACTCGTATTAGCTACATACGTAGCTGGGTAGATACCAAGGTGGTACACTTCTTCAAGGTGACTGAGCCCGGCTATCTCGCCAGGCTCCTGTCGGACGCTCGGGGTCCAGACCCTAGCACACGGTTGTGGCCGGTGACCGGTGACCACCACAATCTTCGCAGATTCTTTACGCCGATCAGGCCGATCAGGGCGATCAGGACCGAGTTTGCCCTGGTTTTTGGGGACTCTAACGTCGGCGTCCACAATGAAACTCGTCGCTTGTGCCAGGCATATGTGTGCGTTGATTGAAAGTCTCGCTCACAAAAATCATGTCCGAATTTGCCTGGGTGCCTATCCTCATGATAACGTACAGTGTAAGCATGCCTGCGAAGCGTCGCAGCAGTTCAGGCGCTCGGTGTACGATCAGCTCCAAGCGGACAATGTTAAACCCTTGATAGCGATTAGAACGATGAACTTGGACGCCCATTTCCGTATTCGGTAGTATTGGCACCCTATGAAGCTCCCGTTTCCTGCGCAAATTGGCCTATCCTCGTCGCGAGCCGAACATCGAGGCCGGTCAGCGACGAACCGCGATCGTGCGTCGTCAATTCGATGATGACCTTGTTGTACACGTTGGACCACTCAGGATGGTGCTACCGTAACCGAGCAGTGTCAGAAAACGCCATGCTGTCAGCATTTGGCGCCAACCAAACGAGGAGACGGCGATCATGGATTCATGGTCCTGCTCACGTTCAGCTTCTCGGCGCTCAGAGCTGTCCTTGTCATGAAGCTAAAGGCTTGCGAGAAGTCTTTGAAGATGAATTCCCTTTTGAGCTTGTTCTGTGACGACGAAGCTGGCGCAGCGAGCGACCAACCCTGCTCCAGTAGCGGCGCAAGGTCGGTCGACGAGGCGGGGGTGTTGCGAAGTGTCGGAGCAGAAGAAGACGCCATCCTGAGTCCAAGAGAGTCACAACCCCGACGAATCGTACTTCTTGCGAGGCTCCAGCTCATACACGTTTGAAGTTGTCCCTGTCGATGGACGGAATGGAGGGAGTCTCCGCCTGCCAGTTGCGCCTGCTAGTCCCTCCCACCTACCAAGACCTCCCCCACATGATGGAGGCAGGAACTAGCAGGAAATAACCCATCGCCGATTTGCGAGCTCTTGCCAGACTCCACTATTCCCGGCACACAGTGAGATCCAGAGACTTGCTCGGACTTGTATCGCTTTACATATCGAAGGTCAAGCTATCGCCCAAAAGCTACTTCGTCGGTTAAGGAGCTTCTTAGATAGAGTCCTTCCGCTTCTCGCGCTCAGCTCGTTCCCTCGTCATCTCCTCCAACCTCGCTTGCAATTGTGGCACTTCCAATAGCTTCTGCTCGAGCACCTGCTTCTCCTGTTTAGGCGTACGATCAAGAAGTTCTGATCAGGGTGCGGTTCCTAGTCTCAATCAGTGGGTCAACCTCGGAAAGGGCTTACTTCTTGCAACGCGAGCCTCTTCTCGGCGTCGAGGGGGCAGAAAGCATATCCGCCTTGCCCATCGTACTGTAAGATGTATTTATGGTACTTCCACAGCGAAGGTCGATGCGACACGGTCAAGAGTGTAATGCCGAGCTCTGCAACAAGTCAACGGCAATGATGACGCTCAGTCAGCACAGTGGCTGCATCGTCTTCGCGAGCAGCAATCGAAACTGGGCCTACCAGTGGCACCATCGTAAAATGTCTTCTCCACGGCAAGGGTGACGGCGCTCGTGCATTCGTCAAGGATAGCGTACTGTAGATTGGATCAATGTGTCAACTCGTGCACTTATTGATACGGCATCCGCTTCGGCTCACTTTGGGAGAGTGGTAGAACAAGCGGGCCATGGCGATGCGCTGCTTGTCTCCACCGCTAAGAGCGTCCCTCCATTCCCTTTGCACGTCCCAGCCACCTTCGCGCTCGACGATGTGATCGATCTCAAGTTTGGCGAGGATGCGCATCAGATCGGCATCAGTCACGCCTCGTTCGATCATCTTGCTGCGTGAGTGGGGGTAGATGATCTGGTCCCGTAGTGTGCCGAGCGAAAGGTAGGGTCGCTGCGGGATGTAGGTGAACTCGCTCGCCGGCGGCTTGGTGACCGTGCCTCCGTAGATGGGCCACAAACCACCGAGAATTCGGAACAAGGATGACTTGCCGGTACCGTTGCCACCGATAACGAGCAAATGACCCCCTGGTTTGACGTAGAAGGACAGCGACTTGATGAGGATGTCGCCATTCGGTGTGACGATGGGAACCTTATCAAAGATGATCTCGTCGTCCGAGTGCACGAACGTGCCTCGCCCTTGCAGGACGCGCGCATTTTCCTCTGTACCGGCGCTACTGACGAGCTTCTTCTGGAACTTGCCCCGCTTGGTCTCCTCCATCGTATCGAGCAGTTCAGACACGCGCTGGGTGTAGCCCGACAGCTCCGATAGTTCGCGATAGGTCGACATCAATCGGCCGAGCGCGTCCGAGGCCGACAAAAGGAGGCGACGGTTTGTCACGAACCCTTCGGTACGACCACCGAAATCCACGCCACCTGAAGCGCCTGGAATCTTGAAAAAGACGGGGATCGCGCAGATGAGCAGCCCGAGGGAGCCCCACACCCACTTGACGATGCCCTCCTCCACGAGCCCGTGCAACATGCGCATGCGGAAAATCCGATTGACGTGCTTGATCAAAGCGAAATAGCTGCGCTCGATGATGTTCTTCTCGACGAGCGAGCCGCGGTAGAGAGCGACCTCTTCGGCGTTCTCGAGCAAGCGTGTGTGGGCGAATCGGTATTCACCCTCCAGTCGCTGCTCCTCGGCGGCGTACCTTCCGAATGGAGGGGTGGCGAAGCGCAAGAGTGCGGCGGACAGTTGAATGATGAGGGTCAATCCAATAAGCCCTTCGGCTCCAACGTTCCGCGAAAGCTGATAATTGTAGATGATGACGTCGAGCACCGGCTTGGCAATGTTGGAGTAGATCTCTGCCAGCGAGTTTGAGAACTTCTGTATGTCGACCGTGATGAGCTGATCTGCATTTTTGATGCGGTCGTCCAGGTTGCCCAGGGCGTAGAATGTGGTGTCCTCGAGGTACATTTCGTGCACACGCTTGGTCAGCCGAGTGCGGTACGCGATCGCTGTCGGGGAAGGATATTCGGTCAGCGTTGCTCCCAGATCGCACCCACAGGCGATAACAAGTCGAGAATTACCGAGCTTGCTTTGCATGTAGCTCAACATCGAGTTCGTGTACGTTGCGGGGATTGCAACGGCCTGCCAGAAGATGCGGGTGCATAAGCAGAGGTCCAATGGCGAGATGAAAGGGCTGGCCTGATTTGCAGTACTGACCATCCACAAGAAGATGCGATACAAGAACTCGCGCGGCTTGGCCCTGACAAGCGCAGAAACAATACTGCCATCGAGCGACGCGACGTAAAGCGACAGCAGTGTTCGAAGGACGAGAAAGAGCGAATGGATCACGAGCAGCGATGCTTCTTTGGACCGCTTGGACGGAATCACGATGCGCAGTATCCTGGACAGCCGCTCGAAGAAGACAGCATCGACCTATGAGGAGGACAAGATCAACTTTTCCACTTTATAAGCGACGATGCGCCTTAGTCGAGCGCCGTTCGGGTCTGGACCTGGACCAGGCCTCCGGCGCTACCGCCCGTGACTAACCTCAACTCTAGGCCCTCGTTTCTTCTTGCCTCGTCGACTACCGGCTACCTTGTCGTCCTCGACGTCATGGGCCGGCCCTTTCGACGAGGTCGACGTGGCGGATCCATCTTTGGACAGGTCTTTGGCCGCTGAACCGGGTTGTGGGGGCTTCTTCGTAGCGCCGCGACCGGTGACACCCATGTAGGTCTGTGTGGTAGAACACAATGTCGTTCAATGGACGGTCCCACACAATTATTGCACAGTATAGCGGGACCAATTCTAGGGTAGGAGGAAGTCGTAGACGTACGTTCGAACAGACGTAAGACGTGAAGCCGAGCATGAGCAGGCGTTGATAGCGCGGCTGATTTCTCATGTAATGCGACGCGAACGCGGCGGTGTAGGCCTTGAGCTGCGCGCGAGTCGGCGAGACACCGGGACTGTTCATAGTGGCCATGTCGAGGATGCTTTACAGCGAGATAATTCGCGTGTGCGGGGGCTGTAGGAGGCGTGCTTGCGGAGGATGCGGGCGGGATAGGACGGGCACGGCCGGCGACCGGGGACGGGTGAGCTGAAGAGGCCGACGGTAGTGCCGCACTTGACTGCACGCCGCACGACCGAAGCAGCTCGTGACGACGGGGGCAGACAGAGGTCGTCGAAGAGGATGGCCACGGATGACCGAGATGCTCCGGATTTACCAGGTCCTGTGCGTAGGTCACGGGTGGGGGTCAGAGTCGACCTGCCGGAATGGATGTTAATGAGCCCCGAGGCGCGTCAAGAACCCTCTTCACGCGCAACCTGTGCACCTTTGCCTCGATCAGCGCCCAGCGATCTGACTCGGCAGCTCGACATTCAGTACTCAGTCCCGCTTTTGCACCCCAATTACGTTGTCTTGCAGCTGGTCCAGATAGATGCAAATCAATGAAAGCATTGCAAAGTCAACACTTGTACTAACAAAACGGATCTAAATCAAGAAAGCGAGGGAGGGGTTCAATATGTATAATAAGCAACAGCTAAAGGTCGAGGCGGAACAGGAAGGGAGGACCATCTACTGATCAACGCCGCGAAGAGGGGCAAAATCAACCGTCCAGATCAAGCCGGAACGACAAGGCATCATCAACACCAAGGTCCTGTTCGTCTTCGAAAACATCGAGTGGCGTTTCCACTATTCCAAACGCTTCGAGCGCTGCCTCGGCATCGTCATGAGCCGCAGCTGGAGCGGCGGCCGGAGAGGCAGGGCCGTTCGAAGGAAGCGTGCGAGAACTCGATACGGACCTGTTGGACGCGCGACGAAGACCACTCGGAAGAAGAGAAAAGGCGGGGGAAGAAGAAGTCGAGGAGGCGGGGAGAGAAGGATCTCTCGCGTCCGTTTTGTTCGGGACGAGCCGCGAAGCTGGCCGGCCAGTAGAGCTCTTCGACGCGACGGAGGCTGGTCGAGTGCGTGAAGTCTCGGCTGATTTGGCTCCGATCGCTTGGAAAGTCGAGGCATGGTGCGACATCGCAGTGTCGTTGGGTGTTCTGGTGTCCCGATTCGGCCACGGTGAAGACGGGTCGCCGGCGACGCCAGTGGTCGGGGGCCGGCGCAGATTCTGCGCCGTTGCAGAAGCCGGTCGACCACTCGGCTTCGTCGCGGCCACTTGCACGATCCGGATGGGTTGCTTCATCGATGCCGAGGAAAGCGTATTCGTGGACTTGACCGAGAAGGCCTTGCGTTGTATCGGCATGGGAAATATTGCATAATTCGGGGAGTCGGCGTCTGTAGACAGGTCAGGAGCTCGCAGGGAAGTTTAGCTCTTCATGACTCTTTGACAGTTTCACCGAAGCAGCACGGTATCGAGATAGCTCACTCTGATCCATGTCATCACATCCCATCTCCAAGTTTGCTTTGAAAGCCGTGCGATCGACCTCATCTTGGGCTGCGAGCACTTCGTAGTCGGCGTTGATTGCGCCGAGCTCGATGCCTCGCATCACGTCACCGAGATTGCTATCGGCGTAGTTGGAAATGAAGAAGCCTGGGTCGAACTCCTCCTCTACATGTGATCAAACCGGCCATGACCTTTTGAAGTGAGTAGCGATTCTGGCTCACCGCCTTTGCCAAGGTCATGCACCCCGCCACTGACCGTAGTTCCTCGCGCTAGCGCCTGCTAGCTCAACGTCCTGGTCCAGATCCACCTCCTCTGGCGTTTCGTCGCTCGCATCAGGTTCGGAATCGAAGACGATTTCGGGAGAGAAGGAGAGCGACGCGTATCGGTGAACGCCAGGCGAAGGGGTGCGAAGGTGATCGGGCAGCACGGGCTGCACGGCCTTAGGAGAGAGCGCGGACCCTCTGACGCGTTGTACGGTGACGGAGGGGCCAGGCTTGCACGACGCGTCAAACACGAGAAGCTTGTTGGTTGCTGGGGAGGTGACCGGAGGAAGGGTCAGTCTAATTGGAACTGTTCCATGAGACGCGATGCGGCGGGTGGCTGCAGGCTGCGATCGCCCCGCGTCGTTCAACCGTCGTGTGCTCACCTGCCGGTCCGAAACTGGCACCAAGTCCACCGCCTACACCGCCGTTTCGATCTTTGGCCCCCAGGACCTTGTTGGTATGCCTAGCAGTCAACACAGGGCCTGCACCAAGCATGCCCTGGCCCGGCGCTGCATTCGATGGGCGCGCTGGGGTTTTGGTGATGATGCCTGTCGCGGCGGGTCGATGCGTGTGCTGAGGGTTCTCCTGATTCAGGTTCGCACGTTGCGAGCGCGACAGCATGTCGTTGGTGCAACGGGTGGCGCTCGATGACCCAACAGGCGTAAAACGTGAGGTGGGTTCTGCTTCGTGCCGGGAGGAGGGCAAGGACGTAAAGGTGAGGTGCGCGGGGTGCGAATCCGCGCTCGGGGCCGCGTCGTGACACTCGAGTCTGGGCTAGTCTGAGATAGTCTGGGCTAAGAGCATGGGCATTCTCCAGTGCAATACTCCTCACAGCTCTTGGTGAGATCACCAGTTGGAAGCTTTAGGGGCAATCGTCTGATTTTAATTTTTTTGAGAAAAGGACAAAAATGCCCTCGCTTCTTTTCATGAGGACAGAAATGCCCTTCTCACAGGACAAAAATGCCCTCGGATTCTCGACATCTGTAATATTTGATGTATCAACCCACAACCAAAAGGGTAGCTTTTTGTAGTCGTTGTGATCAGTGCCGTATACTCAGAATCTCCAGAGGTGCCGTCAGAAGTCAGTTATCACCGTCGCAAAGTCAGGGGCCGCATCGAGTCCAAGTCGAGAGCGAGCGATCAGTATAGACCGCAGTGAATTACCATATGAAACAGACCAGCACGCCTTCGACTTGTAGGTAATATCGACACCTTTGACACCTTATGCTCAGATTCAACTGGTCGATCTAGCTATCGCATGTAACTCGGTTGTGTCCGGGCCTTTTGCAGAGGCCACAGATCGTGTCGCGCTTGGCCCTCGCGTCCGCACCCCGGACCCTGCGCTTGGTTGGACGTCCTGTACGTCTGGGGAAATGTGGCGGAATGATAATGGCACCCTCTTCTTCGCCAGTCGAGTCACTATCGTCTTTATCATCCGTGACCTCATATCTTGCACACGACGTGCCGACGACGCGTGTCAGACTTACGAACGTCGAGCTGGTTCTGGTTATCAAGCGCATATCGATAGCCTGCATCTGTGAGCTCTTTCTTTTCGTAGAGATTTTCCCCCTTCTTGAAACAATGTTCCATTGTCGAAAGTCGGTGGTGACTTCGGTGTCGGGGCCGGGGGCGAGAATGTGGAAGGAGGCCAAGGTCGATTCGCGAACTCGCGCGCCTCGACGCGTCGACGATCGATGAGGCCCCTGACTTTGCGACCGCGATAACTGACTTCTCACGGCACCTCTGGAGATTCTGAGTATACGGCACTGATCACAACGACTACAAAAAGCTACCCTTTTGGTTGTGGGTTGATACATCAAATATTACAGATGTCGAGAATCCGAGGGCATTTTTGTCCTTTTCTCTATTTTTTTTTCAAGCGCTTTCCTGCCTCTGACTCCGTGGTTGAGCTTCTTAGTCATACTCAGTGCTTCCCAGTAGTCACTGCAGGTTGGGCTCGTTCATCCGGCGGTCAGTCAATGAATGCAAGTTCACACGAGCCCAGCATAGCATGATTTCCTGCTAATTACATAACATCAAACGGACGGATTGAGTCAACAGTGTGCATTTTAGACACCCCTTAGTGCCCTAGGAGATACATTTGCTCTACAAAGCAGCCATGGGAAGGGACCATTGAACACCTACTTGTCCAAGCCGGCATTAGCGTCAATGAGCAGCCAGTTTTCTTTCAGTCGCACGAAGTCCTTAACCTCACCGGGCTGTCGGACCCTCTCCAATCAAGATACAAGGCCCTAAACACGGATTATTTTGAGATCATCGGGCCCAAGGACGAAATTGAATTCACCAGCAAGATCTTCAGTTTTCTGAATAACGACAGCAAGCCGTACTGTGAGTGGGACAAAAGAACGCCGACCCTCTCCTGTTCACTACAACAGCCTCTGACAGCCCAGACTTTCAAACGTCCAGACCCTTCCTCGTTCGAATCCGAGCTAGTCGACGAAAACAATCACCGTTGGCCTCGTCTTTTCGCTCATTTCACCGGCGTGAAGGAGAACGACGAAGTACGATGGGTCCGTCTAGCTTTTGATTCCGTAAAGCATTCCGGCAAGGAGAGCTACGACACCATCGAGCGAGCCCCGGAAGAAGCAATTCGAAAGGCGATAAAAGCGCATTTGGACAAACACTTCGAAGACATGAAGAACGTCCCCGCCGAGTCGTGCATTTCGGTCACCAACGATTCAGGTACACGCGGCGATCAATGCAAGGTCCTGGTCGCGGTTCGTATGGCGAGTGCTTTTATGGTGGACAAGATCACAGCCACGAAGGACCGGTCTACCCTCAGTGCAAAGGTCAACATCCCAATGCGACCCACGTCTCGTTTGACGCCACAAGTGACTACGGAACCACTGCTGGTCGAACAAACCATCACCGGGGTTTTCAAACGCATCGTGAAAACGCGAGGGATGCGAGAGCCCTTCGCAATCGTCGTCTTATGGGCCAAATCGAACAGGGACCCCCAGAGTGTGGCCTCGTACCTGATGAGCTGCCTTAAGGATGCCGAGACTCGACATGCCGCCGAGTACCCCCAGGATCCCATTACGCGACCCAAAGGCACAATTGTGACGACGGACTACGAGCCGGCTACCGGCCCGGGCCAGCACCAAAAAGCGGTCTTTCGGTTTTCAGTGTCCACATCCGCCCTGGCAACACACATCGTGCAGATGGTACCTTTTCTGCCGGCCCACGACAGATTCGGCACGAGTTGGCATGATGGCGACGAACGTGTAGTCATCAAGGTCTGCCTAGACAACGAGCGCGCTGATGCTATCTCTGCCCGATTCAATAAGGCCACGTCGGAGTCGCAAGGGGCTATCGCCGAAAGTGCTCGACACATCGAAAATCGGATCGACATGATCCAGGACGTCTTCCAGACCCTCGCCACAACGTACGCGGAGGACAAGCGAAGGAACGAACAGATCGCGCAAGAAACTCGGCAAATGATGCATGCGCTCCACATGAGCAATCAAGCGCTCTTTTCATCTCTATCGGGCGTACAAGCGTCAGGTCAAGCGCAATTCGCTGTGATGACCGCCAGTACCCAACTCAGCAATCTCAGGATGGAGCTCCTATTCAGTAATCATCCCAAGGACAGTCAGGAATACCAAGAACTCGCGCGAGAAGTTCAAGAGGCACGAAGGATGGTGTGCGACGCACAGGCGGCATACCAGCAAACGCAACACCAAGTCACCCTGGCGCTCCGACAAGCAAGTCCCGTATACCTGCAGCAACTGGCCCATGACGGTCCAACCATCCCCAATGGCAACAATGCGAGCGGCGCCGCAGATAACGCGATGGACGAACGTGAAGAATCCGGAGGCTCGCCGAGCAAGCGCGGACGACACAATCAAGAAGGTGACGTGCACACGACAAGCCCCCAGCCACAGAGTCGCAGCGAGCATGAAGGAATGTCTATAGTAAGTGACTGGTGGCAGGTTCTCCAACGCCGCTCGCCTGATGATACAATCACCACCGCAGGATTCGTGAAGGTCGAGACCGAACTCCGAAGCTGGCACCTCCGCCACCACCCTGGGGTGTATAGCAAACTCAGCACGTATGGTCTACTTGCAATGACGATTTTTAGTTCCACCATACCAGCACCGGCGAAATGCCTCACCGTTCTCCTCGCTATCGTTTTGAACAATAAGTTGGCCTACGCAGCAACGCCAATATCAATTGCCAGCCTCAACATAAATGGAATCGCAGATCCCATCAAGCTCCAACAAGTCCAGAATAATCTGCTACACTCAGAACACCATGTCATCAGTTTTACTGAGCTCAAATTCAGAACTGACACGCAGCTTCCTCTCAATACTGGGGGTTTCCAACCGGTCCTCACCCCATCAATCCGGGCGGGTTCCGTCATGAAATGGGGGACGCTCCTTCTCATTCGCAACAATCTGCCGCTACTGGCTTCCTATACTTTTACCGATGGACCGCTGGCAGGACGGGTAGCAGCTGCGGACGTATTGATTCGAAGTCAAGGAGGAGCAAGGATGGTGCCAATCCGGATCGTATCCGCCTACTGCCCACATGGAGGATACGCACGCAATGCGGAAGGTGACGGTAATGCGATCAACGCTTTTTGGGCGGCCCTCCAGGACCTCATACGAACAGGACCACCGAACTGGGCCATAGTGGGTGACTTCAATGCAGTGCTCGACGCTCGCGAGACCACAGCAATGGTTTTCCCACGACTCAGACCCACCGCGGTAGAATACTGCCGCTTCTTACGCCAGACCAACGGCCACGATGTGTGGAATGAAATGGAGTCGGTTTCACTCGCGGAAAATTGGACACATAAGGCATACGGGGAAGCGCAAACCATCAGCATCATAGACCGTCTCGCAACGTCAGCGCCGGCGGGGAATGCGGATATCCATACGTTGCGTCAGGTTATGGCCACTGATCACAGACCAAATCATTGCAGACTATGGTTCCCGGGTCTCTGTGCGACAATTGAGGAGGCGAGCGACGACGGACCTCGGAGGGTTAAAGTTCCGCCGCGGAATAGCGACACTCGGCCAAAATTTCGGCAAGAGATGGAAGAGGGCGTTGCTAATTCGCAGTCTTTGAATCGAGTTGCCAAGGATGGAACAGTAGCCTCACAAGAGGCTTGGAATGCGACTAACGATGAATTTTCCAATCTAATAGTAAACACTTCCCTCCAAATATTCGGCGAACGAAGATCGCCAGCGGTCGGGAAACGCGAGTTTGTCGGATCGCCAGAGTTACGACAATTGAGTCAGGACCGTCACCATATGAATCGCTGTATATACGCACTCAAGACTAACTCCATTCATATATTGAGAAACAAACCGGACACAAGAAGATGGTTCGAGGAGCTCCATACCGACCTAGAAACGGCGACATTGCAACGTCTCCAACAAGAAACAGGCAGAGCAGTGTGGTACCCCCCCGAGGATGAAGTGTTAGAAACCGCGACTGTCTGGCGCCGCCAACTCTGCAAAAGAATACACGCACAAGAGAAGCGGGAGCGTAAAGAACTGGCACAGAGGTCTGATAATTTTCGGATACAGAATGTCATCAACGGAGGTTCAGTGAAGAAAATCCTGATACCACGTACGTCACTGATACAACCACGTGCGGTAGAAACTGTGGATGGAAATCTTACCGCTGACCCCACAGAGGTACGGAACACGTGTAAGCAGTATTTTAGCGCTTTATTCCAAAAAGAGGATGACAATGCTCTGACAGACAAACCTTGGATGAATACGGAAAGTTCCCGGAAGTTTCGGGAGGCTACGCAACGCGACCCATTTGTCTGGCCTAGGCCCCTGATGCTCAGCGACCTCCGGGCGCTCCTCGGCAAAGGCAATAGGGAACCATCCCCCGGTCCGGACCGATGGGAGAAATGGACAGTAACGATACTTGGAGACCAAGCGATGTCTTTTGTTCTGGCACTCCTGAACTATGTACTGGTGCACAACTACTTCGACAAGCTGCGCGACCACTATCTGCTTCCGATGTTCAAAAATCGCGGACTGTCTTCCCAACTGAGTAATTACCGAGCGGTCTGTTTTGGCAATTTCTTGGCGGTCACAGCGGCTGGATGGTTTACACGTCAGGCGCAAGCTTACGCAATGAAACACCACATGATTCCAGAAACACAGGTGGCCGTCCAGAGCGGTGTACAACAGCGCGACCTCACAAGTTTCCTAGCGAACCTAGAAGCCTGGGCGTTCCGGGCCAAAACTCCGATCTACGGGCTAGTACGAGACCAAAAGAAGGGCTTCGACCTGCTCAGACCAGAAGCTGGGTATGACGCCTACCATTTTTTCGGCTTTGGCCCAAACGCAGAAGCTTTTGACCGAGCCCGATTGGCACACGGCGCTTTTATCGTCAAGACACCGTACGGCCTCGCGGAACCTTTCGAAGTGGACGGGCAGATGAAACAAGGGGATCCCCCGAATCCTCTTCGTTTCTCCTTGGCCATGGCTATGGTCTCTTACTGGCTGGACGAACAAGCGTTCGAGGACCCACTACTCATCACAACACAGAACAGGGCACGCTCAAACAACCATACACAAGCGGATGAACTGACCCTCAAGATTACTCAGGTATCTGCGATGGACGACACCATACTACTGGCCAAGAGTGAAAGGACGCTGGCAGCGATGACTCTCTACATGGAGCATTTCCAGGAAGCCTACGGAGCCCAAACCGACTGGGGTACAAAGACTCGAGCCATCATAATGGGCCTCGGCAACCAGTCTGATACACCAGGGACAGTCCAAGTTGCCACTCCTCATGGGAGACGACAGGTCACTGTCGACCCAGCACACGTTTTTCTCAAAACACCGTTCGCTGCGCCGGACCGACAATACACTCAGCTGGAAAGTATTGTGCGATCGATCGGGTTCCCGAGCACGCCAACGAGGCGACTCCTGCTCTCGGCATTACGACGATTCATCGAACAACAACTAATTAGCAGGCTGAGGCCACGACTGGCTTTATGTCCTATCCGACCGGACGATGCCCTTAAGCTAGACCAGCTTATAGCAATGCGGATCAAAGAGTACTATGGATGGGTTTTCACACCGAGCGCTAAGTTGGTCACCCTCCCCGTCGCTAAATTTGGATGCGAGCTTACTAGTCTGTGGCGACTGAACGGGGCTATGGCAGTCGATGGACTACTACGAGACCTGAACCATCATATTCCAGCTTTCGCACAGATGGCAAGAATAACGCTGGCCGACCTACAATGCCAACACCATGGCTGTATATCGCCGCTCCTGAACCCTAAGCCCCTGTCTTTCAAGCACTCGCAGCAGATGGTTCCTCAGATCTGGAATACGGCACTAGGTGCGCTACAACACTGCGGGAACCTCCGAGTACTCGAAACCGACCAGTCGAATCGCACCGACTCAGGTATTAGTGCGGAACATGCATACCTCCAAAGCGGAGGGGCCAAACGAAACGAACCGCAACTAAAAGCCATGGCGGCGCTTCCAGCAGGCCTGACGGACCTCCAAGTGCTACGGAGAGGCCCACAGCGCGATAGACCCGACCTCTTTGCTGGATGGCTGCACCCGAACACGAGATTGGTGCGACAATGGTCTAATCGCTTTGATGAAACTTTACTGGCGGACGGGCCGGTTAGGTTGTTGAAGACGCGAGCACAGCGACAAAACGACGCCGAGCAGCAGATCAAAATCACACTCCTTTCCCTGATAAATTTTCGAGGCCAACAAGACCAGAATATTTGGGCTACGGATGGCTCACTCATCGTGTTACCCACAGGACTCACATCTGCGGCGGCAGCGGTTGTAGGGCCATACTCGGCGGCTCGTGCGGCACTACCGGCGGGCGCGACTATCATGCAGGCAGAGGTGACAGCCCTGATCATAGCGGCACTGACCTCACACTTAGAGACCTCACATTTTGGGTCAGCAATTCAGGTTGTCGCAGATCACCTTACCTCCGTCAAATTCGCTGAGAATCTGAAGAAAGATCAAGTTGCACCAAAGAAACCGAGGGCCGCATTTGCACACTACACTTGGCTCGAACACCTGCTGAGAACGAGTGATTCGATACAAATACGGCACGTTAAATCCCATACGGGTGGCGGAGACGAAGCATCGCGTGCAAACACTCGAGCAGATGAGGCGGCGAAATCGGCACACACTCAACCTGACTTCTTCGTGCTTTTCCCGGACTTTGCACTCCCACAATGGACAATCCAGGCATCCCTTGGCGAGCAAACTGCTTGGATAGAGGGTGATGTGATCAAGAAAATCTACGACCTACAAGAAGCATGGCAAATCAAATCGCTTCCCCAGAAGATCGGTAACGACGTTCAATTGCTACTCCAAGTCGCTCATTCCGCAGGACGGTATCCTTACCTTCGCGCAATTTCGACGTACGCAGCGCAAACACAACTCCAGCTGCGGGCACACATCCTTCCCACCGCCTCGCGATGCTCAGAACGATTCGGTACGTCGTCTTTGTGTACTATTTGTGGATTGGCAGAGGAGACAGAGAAACATGTTTTCAGGGAGTGCGAGGCAGGTCGTGGACTGCGGGAAAGAATTGGACAGGACTTGTTTCAGATGACGCGTAGGGAACTGGAGATGAGACACCACGAATGGACGGGAGCACAAGTATACGAGCTTTCCAATTTCGCTGCAGGGCTAGTAACGGGACATCTATGGTGGTATGCGATGCCGATGATCCCAAAACCTGACATCTACTGGGCCCTCGATGAGCGATCTCGGACGCGGCTGGATCGGACATGGCATCACGAGCTTATAAAGGGAGCCGGACGGTTATGGGCGGCGAGAATGAGGAAGTGGTGGGCACTGCAAAGGAACACGGAGCAAAGGAATTCGCATTAGTGACAGAGGCGGTGGTGGCGGCATTCCCCACCTGCCTTTGAGGGCGGGCGCTGAGCTGGACGAGGGAAAGACTGATGTAAGCCCTGGAATGGGGGGCATCGGTCCTGGTGACAGCAAGGTGACGGCCTACGTGACATGAATATGGTGGTCCAGCGGATCTAGCAATTTGTTAGATTCTGTCTTTAAACAAGACTAGCTGGAATATATGGATTAAAACATTAAAACTCGTTTCACATGGTAGTGAATTTCCGTCTGCGGCGCACTTCTCTCAAGTTCGAAGCATCTACTACGTGTTCCAGGGGCCAGCTCGCTCGCCTCTGCGGTGTTCGTGATCTGAATCGAGACACAAGTGGTGTGAGGTAGGGAGATTACTGGCGAGACTGATCCGTCCTCGCCCCGTTCGTGTCCATTCAGAGAAGAAATGTTTTGCTTCGACACCCTCGGGGACAAAACTTGAAACTTCTCTTAGTGCCGTTTGCCGGTGTGAAGCACTTGGCGCCACATCTTCCAACCTCCTTTCAGAGCGAAAACCTGGGCAAGTCGTCAGCGCGCGCTGTGCGAATGAGATTTGCCTCAAGCACTGGCGCCACCGGAACCAGTGTTGCCTACACTACCTGGGCACTGCTAAGCGATGAGCTATGCAACAATTAGCTCTAAAATTCCTTCATGTTTCAATTGGTATGCATAGTAGTGAGTTGGTGTCTCCTACATGCGATGACGGTACAGATTTTCACCTTCGATTTTTTACCTAGTTTTTTAATAGAAGCGCGGCACTCGGCGATCGCAGTGCTGACGGAATGACGTCACGTGCGATGTCTTACCCTTGGTATTAATCGTCCGCGATTGGCAAGCTGGACCACTCTAGGTTCATTTACGAGAGGGCAAGAGTTCTGCTCCTCTTGGGTTTCGGGTGCAAAATGATCGTCATCACCGCCGACTAGTTCAACGTTTCGCACGTTACACGCACCGCCGGTGACCTTTTTCTCTTCCACCTCTCCGCTCTCTCGTCCCAGAAACTGGTCTTTGTCTTGCTTGGACTTGGTACTCGCACAGGACACTCACCACTTCAGCGACAGTATGGCTATGGAACGTTCAGCTCAGCCTCTTGCCGCGGCCTCGCAAAAGCCCCCCCGAGCGACGGGCTCGAACCGGTCGAGTGCCGCCCCTCAGGGCGCGAGGAACCGACCCATCTTGCGCTTCACAACTCCCGCTGTACGAGGTCCCGGCTGGGAGCCTAGTGGTGCCGACAGAGACGAGGAGAACTACGGTCGCCTCCGTCAGCTTCGCCCCTTCCCTGTGCACCAGCACCACCATCACCTCGACGAGAAGCACGCTGACGGGACCGACGGCTCCGTTCGTACTGGCCACAGCCACGGGCTCTCCAGCACGGGGAAGCGAGTGGCTCGCGCCTTAATACATGATATCCTCGCATGCGTGGGAGAGTTTGTCGGAACTTGTACGTACAGAACCGCAAATCAGAGCAGGCTAGACCCCCTTGTGTATTGTCTCACCGCTGACGTATTCCTCGACTCTATGTTCCACCCCCTGTCCACGGCCGACTCTGATCCCGGTACGATCGCCCCCGGCTGTTTCACCCTGGTTACACCTACCCTGCTGCGACGTCTCGAAACGGCTTGGCGCCTCCTCCCCTGTCTTAATCTTTAAAATCCGATTCAATCAAGCCCAAAACAGTCTTGTTCCTGTTCCTCGCTTTCCAAGGCGCTCAATCAGCTACCTACAACCGAGGCGCCGTCAACAACCAATCTTTGACCACCACCGATAATCAGGTAAGCTGCCGGCCCCGTAGCGCCCAGATGACGATAATTTTGCTGACTCGACGTGAAAATAATCAGACGATTCTTTACATTGCTTTGTCGTTTGGCTTTTCGCTCGTCGTGGTGGCCTGGGCTTTCTTCCGGTAAGTGAACGGCGAGTTCAGCTCCTCTGTGCTTACTCTGTCGCTGTTATTTACCACGTGAGCAACCGACTATTTTTGATTGGTATCCTGCAGAATCACAGGCTCTGCTTTTAACCCTGCCGTTACCCTGGCGCTGTGGCTCGTCGGCGGGCTCTCCTCTCGTCGTGCCGTCGGCGTCGTCATTGCCCAATTGCTCGGAGGAATCGCTGCCGCCGGACTGTCGAAGGGTGTCACGCTCGGCACTTTCTCCGTTCAGAATTCGCTCGTCGTGGGACTCTCGTCTGGCAAAGGTCTCGTTATCGAGATGCTGACCACCGCTCTGCTCTGCTTCACCGTGCTCATGCTCGCCGCCGAAAAATCGCGTTCGACGTTCCTCGCCCCTGTTGCAATCGGTTTGGCCCTCTTCGTTGGGCATCTTGCTAGCATCGGCTGGACTGGCGCCGGTATCAAGTAAGTCAGGTGGGACATAGTTGAAGCGCGTGATCGGCTCGCTGAAAGCTGACTACTTGACTCTGTTTCTAATGTACAGCCCTGCTCGCACTTTTGGTCCCTGTGTCGTCAGCGGATCCTTCCCCCACAACGCATGGCTCTACTACGTGGGCCAGTTCCTCGGTTCGCTCCTGTCGACTGCGATTTACGTGCTCTTGAAGCACCTTGACTACGAGGAGGTCGTTGGCTCGATCGATTCGGCCGACGCCTCGCAAAGTGCGGCTATCGACGGTGCTCCTCTCATGAAGGGCTTGGCCAACACCGCCAACCTCATCCCTGGCGTGCAAATCGGCGACGAACCCGACACGGATGCCACCTCGCATGCGACAGTCACCGATGACGCCGCTGCGATGGAAGAGGGCAAAGCCGAGCACCGGCCCGGAGGAACTCTGACCGAGAAGGCTTAGACAGAGTGGCTGTTACATACGGTGCAGGTACTCGAGCGACTGGCTGCTTTGAGCGCTCTAACTTTTCCGGTTCGTTAGCTGGCACCAACCCATATATTCATGACCCCATATATACATACAGTAAATTATCTTTTGGCTCCGCTTCATTCGTCCATTTAATCTCTATCAATTTGAACTTATGCCCCGGGGCATCATCGATCATCGGCGCGTGTCAGCAAGTACTCGCGATGACCACCGCACTTACACAAGATCCGAATGATCGAGACAGTGAAGCAATGACTAGGAAGTTCACTTCGGATCAACGTAGGGGCTGCTTGCAACTGAAACCTGGTCGTCGGAATAGTCAAGTACCAGAATCTTGCAGCGATCGAAGTAGTCAGGTAGAGAGAACACCCTGACCCGCTGAACGCTAGACGGCGGTCGCCGGGAGAACAAGAGGACCTAACCTTTCACCAGACTCTCACATTCCCTTTCTTTTTTTTTTATCTTTCTTGTTTTTTTCTAAAAAATAAAAAGAAAGAAAGAAAGAAAGAAAAAGAAAAAGAAAACCCCCTTCTGAAGTTGGTTTGGGTTTGACTGGGTAGAAACTGTTTATCATAAATGTAAAGTAGATGTATATTGCCTCCATTCCTGTCCCCTGTTTTGGCCTACGGAGAATCTAGATGGAAGTCGACGATAGCGCTTGCCAAAGTGCAATAAAAGATAAACGGGCCGCCGGTGTCATTTTTTTTTCTGTATAAAACTCATCGCTAGTTTCAAGACGAGCAAACCCCCACGGAATACTACCCAGAATGCACGATAATAACCACAACCGCCCGCATGACGCGTTGTAAGTAGCAGAGCAGACCAACCCGACTGGCCCGCCCCCCACCCAGCGGTTGCTCCCTCCCAGAGCACGAATGAGGGAAAGATCGAAGATAGTACAGGAGACAAATGAGAGGTGTCGAGGATGGAGTTGGTGCTGGTACACTCTGTTGTACAGGTGTGCGTCCGAGATGTTGTACAGTGGGAACCTTCTTCGGGCCTTCGACTTGGAGCCGCCTCCAGAGCCTCCTAACCCCTCGAGGCCTTCAGTTTATTCCTTGCCTTACCCCAAACAAGGTTTCCGATGGCACGAGTCCGTGGCTCATCCGAATGAGTCACGTAGTCGAAGTGGAATGTCACCCCCTTCGACCGCAGCAATCACTTACCCCTTGTGCCCAACTACACAGTGCGCCAACGCCGCCGATCCACCTAACCAAAGCCCCGCCGCGACCCCTCACAATGAACCAACCCCGCCCCAGAACACCCCCGTCTAATGACTTATACTGGGGAAAGAAGAAGCATGAGGCCCGGGGTTTTTTTTTTCCGATTTTTTTATTTTAATTTATTTTAATTTTACTGGGGCTCATGGAATTGCAATCCTTCGGGTTGGCTGGGACCGCTAGAAAAAGAGCTAAAAGAGGTTATAAAGCAACGACGGCAAGCAATTGGGTGAAAGTCAAACCCCTGCGCGCAAAGAGCGCTGCGCAGATCAAAACTCGCCGAGCACCTAACGCGGACTCCAACGGGCGGTGAGTACTGCTGCCGCTTCACGTCCCAAGAGCGGGAGCGAAGATACTCGAAAACCAGGCAAGAGCGCCTAGAGAAAGAAAGGGGGAGAATATACAAACATTCACGACTGGAAACACGGAGAACCAGGAATACTAAGACAGAGAGGAGGGGAGGAGGAGGGGAACACACCCGAGGGGCCAAGGGAGGGGGTCGAAGCCAGAGCTAGAGGTCCCCAGGGACTGACAGGCCGCAGCCAAGCCCCAGCTACTCGTCACCCCGACAGCGCCTGATGTCCTCCCTTGGCTGAGTCTCGAGTGCTGGCTGTTGAGCCGTCGGGGCCGAGCGAAAACGATCCAATACAACGAAACGAGCCTCGCCTTGACGCGAGGATATTGACCAAGAAACGAGCGACCTTTCTTCCCGATCCATGCCGTAGAACTTGACCAACGCGAACGAACGATCCATTCGACGGAATCCAACACACGGCTTAGGAATAAAAGGAGAAGTGGCTGAAGCGTAGTCAACAACCGAGCAACAGGAAAGAGAAGAGGAAGGGAAGGGAAAAAAAAGGGGGGGGAAAGAGGGGGGAGAGCTTCACAAAGCCTCCAACGCAACGACGATCGACCCGGCTTGCCGATCCATCCAAGAACGAAAATCGCTACTGCGCAAAGTAGAGAGAGGGAGAGGTGCGCAGCCTTCCACTGCGCAACAAGTTTCAAGACAGTCAGCTTCTGACCGAAAAGGAAGGGAGGAAAGGAGGGGAGGAAAATGGGAAGGAAGGACTTAACTCGGTCATCACACCTCCCAATCTCGAACCCCAGGCACAAAACCCGCTCGAGAGAGGAAATCTCGCTCGAACGCTCTGAGCGCACTGGGAAGCGAGGGAGGGGCCACGACGTTGTCCAGCTCGAACCGCTGATGAACGCGCCAGCGGAGCAGGTGCAGCCGCTGGAAGTCGATCGCGCAGGCCAGCCGAACCCACATCCATTTCGAGGTCGTTCTCCCACGACCCCGCAAAAGGGGGAGCCCCATAGTCAGCTGCTCCGGAGTGAACGTCGACGGATCGACGTCGGTATCCTCGATGCCGAGCTTGTCAAGCAGAATGCGTAGCACCCCACCCCAGAAGCTGGTCGAGTACGCGCACTCGAAAAAGTAGTGGGACACCGTCTCGATGACCGCTGCATCGTTGCCGCAGAACAGACACGTCGGCGAAGAGGCATGACCCTGAGTATGCTGCCTCTTGCGCGTCGGCGTCACGTCGTACATGAGCCGCCAGTGGGTGTCCTGCTCGACAGCAGACGCGAACCGGTCATGAAGCCATCTCCAGAAGCGCTTCCTATCGCTCTGAGAAGTCCCATCAGGGAAACGCTTGACACGGTCCTCCCTCCCTGGGAACCGCACCTTGTTCACAAGCCGACGAAGCTTGCGAATCGTAAAAGGTCGGGAGAGCCCAAAGAAGTTGAAGCACCGAGGACGGGGAGCCTCCTTGAGAGGTATCCGAGCAGGTCGCAACGCGGTCTTGGGCAGCAACGCTTTCGCCTTGAGCAACTGACCCACGCGCGACCACACGTGCTCGTGCTGTAGGGCGGGTTCCTTAGAGTGCTGCCAGAACCCGCGTCGATGACCAACCAGAGCCCATCCCTTCCCTTCGTCCCTCCAGTACAGGTCCGCGATCTGCGCAAACTTCGCCACCGCGTCCGCATCGTCATATGCGTGCTGGGCACCTTCAGCATAGAGTGAAGGGAGGCGAGGCGGAAGCGAGAGCAATTCGGGAAGCGTAAGGAGTTCGGACTTGATGGTTGGAACTGTGACCCTGGCCGCTGCAACGACTGCCCCCCAGCGCGTCGAGTCGCGATACAGCTTCTCGACCCGAGCCGTGCTGCTGAAGAACCCCCACGGACTGAAATCGCGGGTCGCAGCGACGAGGCACCTCCAGCTCTCGCGAGCTAGGGGCGCCCAGATCGCCTCGTCCGAGCCCGCCACAGCATCCCAAAATCGAAGCGCCACCGAATGAACGATGTCGCCAATCGAAATCAAACCCAATCCACCGTCCTCCCGAGCCTGGAACACGAAATCGCGAGCGACGGTATTTCGCCCTGCTCCTCCCCAGACAAAGTCCGTAAGTGCCGTCTCCGCCGCCTTAATGAACCATTGAGGCGGTATGTCGAAGGACAGCACGTGGAGGACCGTCGAGATGATGTGAGCGTTGGCATAGAAAACCTTCCCACTCGGCGAAAGTGTCCGGTCTCGAGCGGCGCGGGCCTTGGCCTTGATCCTGTCAAGAACATGGGTCCAGAACAGTTTCGAGTCACCGTGGCGAAAGAAGGCATAGCCGCACCACTTGAAGCTCTCCCCCTCCTGCACCGTTGGCAGCGCCTGCGCAGTCTCGTCCCGAAGCCAGTTCGGTCCGAGTGGTAGCACCAGCGTCTTGTCCGTGTTGGTCTTCCCGTTGGTAGCCTCGTACCACGTCTGCGACAGCGTTTGCAGCTTCGACAATGCCGCCGGTGACTCCACCACCACCACAGCATCGTCGGCAAACGCCAGATGCGTAAGCTGCGCACGCGGCCCCCCTGGCCACACCTTCTGCAGGTCGAGCGCGATCCCGCGCCGAACGAGGGCGTCGAGGAAGGGCTGGAACGTGATGTTCCAAACCGGGCACGAGAGGGGATCCCCCTGACCGAGACCACACAGCAACCGCACCAAGTCCGTGGGGAACCCATTGACAAGGTAGCGCACCCCCAGAGTCTCGGGATCGTAGAGAGCGCGCAGCAGCGAGATGAAACGCTCACCGAACCCAAAGGCCTCAAAGACCTCGAAGATCCAGGCGTGATCGACCCGATCGTACGCGCTCTGCTGATCCAAAGACAAGAGGGCGCCCTCGGGGAAAACATCAGTGCCTAGCGACTTGAGTTTTTCGAGAAGGAGAGTGAGATGACTTCCCGCGTCCGCTGAACGTCTTGATGGCATGAAACCGTGTTGCGCCGGCGGTAAAAGCTCGCCGAGCACCCCATTGAGTCGCGCCACCAAGACCTTGCTGAGGACCTTGTAGGTCGTCTCGCGCAATGTGATCGGTCGGTATGCCCCCAGTGATTTCAGATTGGCCCCCGGTTTATTCTTGGGCAAGAGCCGCACCAGCCCCTCTGCCAAGGACGCCGTCATTTTGCCGCCCTCCCAAATCGAGTTGAACAAGTCCAACAGCTTGGGAGCAAAGTAGGTTGGCAGCGCCTTGAAGAGCTCGTACGGAATGCCCGAGGGCCCCGGTGATCGCCCCGAATCCGTCTTCTTCAACGCCGCTTCAACCTCGAGGAGGGTGAAGGGCTCGTCAAGCGCCACTCTCGCTTGACGAGGCAGCCGACGACCGAACGTAGGGTCCGAGCGGTCGTCATCGTAGCATTTCGCTGCGCGAATAGGGTCGAGCAGGGACCGGCGTGCGTTCGTCGGGTCGCCACGAGCTGGGTCCGGCGTGAAGAGCGACTGCGCGTGCCGTGAAGCAATACCCAGCGCCTCCTGCATGTCAACGGTCTCGGTGCCATCCACATCCTCCAGCGAGACGATGCTCGTCTGGCGACTCCGGCGGTTGAGGCGCGTGCGAATGCTTGCCGATTGACCTTCCCTCGAGTCGACTGACGGCACATGCGCACGAATGCGCAGCCACTGAGCCTCCTTTACCGCCAACTGGTCCAACCACGACTTGGCAAGAGCATACGCATCGCGCTCGGCCTCATTCATGTGCTCACCGCGTGCCTCCAAAGCCTCCATGACGGATTGGCTCTCGGCCCGCAGTCGGCGCATGTCGGCACGAGTCGAGCGGTATCGTGCATGGCCAGCGACTGCAACCGCCCGCAGAGCGGCGTCATAGACGTCGCCGAGCGGAGCGGTCCCCTCGAGCCTTTGATAGACCTCGTCGACGACCCCGGGAATCGATGCGACAAAGTCTTGATCGTCAAAGACCATTGGGTTGAGCCTCGAAATGAAATCGCTCGTGGAGGGAAGAGAAAGGGGGGGTTCGGCATCAGCGTTCGATGTAGGCAAAGCGAAAGTCGCAACTACAGGTCTGTGGTCCGAACAGGGCGCATCGAAGAGCGTAGAAGCGCTCAACAACCGGTTCGCCCAACTGCATTGGACAAGAATATAGTCGATCCGCGACCACGAGCAAATCTTTCGCTCTTCCCCTCTACCACGGTAGTGAGGACGAGTGAATGCAGGGGTGCAAGGATGGACATGTCGGACCGTGTCGAGTGCCTTGAACGCGATCTTTGACAGCAAGGTCTGCCAGTGCGATACAGGAGTCCAAGCGCGATCGGTGATGGACACTCGGTCGATCGATACATCCGGACAATCGTTGAGATCGCCGGCCAAGATCCGAAGAATCTTGGGTCTCGGGGCGTTGAAGTGCAGAAGCCCGAAAAAGTCGCGACGATCGTCCTCCTGCACCGGCGCGTACATGTTGATGATCTCGACATCGAGCTCCTCAAGACGAAACACCGAGCGCAGAATCCGACCGTCGAAACGAGGAGCTCCTGCAAAGACGACCGGGGTAGAGGAAAGGAGATGGCCCGCCAAAGGTGAGCCATCGGGTATGAGGGTAAGGACATGAGGAGTGAAACGAATACAAGCCCCCGGCCAAGCACTCTCGAAGCCTTCGCGCGACGCGTTGTAGCTGAGGTGGTGCTCTTGCAGGAGGATGGCCGCAGGGGCCGGCCGAAGGGTTTTGAGATAACGGATGATTTTGACTTGGTTGACTGCGTTCTTCATCGATCGGACGTTGAACGTCAACACGGTGAGTGACTCAATCATGATTAAATCAGTTCAGCGCCGCCCCCCTCGAATTCGGTCACCTCGGACCTGTGACCCCCTGAACTGTTGCCCCCTGAGCCATCACCCCCTGATGCACCGAGGATCATGGCGGATCCCGCCCGGGTGACACGTCGGTTGCCGGGTGCCGAGCTCGAACGAAGGCGTCGAGGACTCGTCGAGGCTATCGAGGTTGTCGAGGTTGCCGATGATCCCGACGTGCCACCGGACAAAGGCGAAGGAGAGGTCGGGGTCGAAACGGGCGCCGCCGTCGTCGTCTGCGTCTCCTTTGTTGAGCCCAGGGTCGCACGCGTCGACGTCTCTTCCCCAGTGTCGCCGCCCTCCGGTTCGGTCGAAACGACCGACTCGTCGTCGCCGTCGTTCGCGTCGTCCTTGTTGGCGGTTACTGCACCTGCGGGGTTAGCACGAGGTCCCAGCTGGATCATGTTCGCGCCAGAGACACGAGAGTTCAATGCGGCAGGCCCACCGTGCTTCCCATTCTTTCCAGCAACTCGGAAGCCGGTGGTCGAAGTCGAAGTCGAGGTCGAGGCCCCCGGAACAGGGGCGGCGGTGGCCGGAGTCGAAACCGGCTTCCTGCAAGCGCCCCACTGGTGTCCGGCGCGATCGCACACCGCGCAGTAGTGCGTCTCGAATTCGTGTCGCAAGCCGTACTTGGCGCCCAGGATCTCGATCTCTTGTGGCAAAGCGGCGTTGAGCGCGGCCTTCTGCGTCTCGATGGAGCCTTGGAAAAGATCAGCATGTAAGCGAAGGTACGCGCAGTGGAACCCGTCTTCGGTCATGGCCATCGGATCACCATTCGGATCGACCGTGAGGCCCCGCTGTAATTGCATCAGGGTATAACCTTGCGTGCGACCTGCGCGGCCGAACGAAAGGGTGATAGCATCATCGAGAGATTTTCGGAGCACGGAAGCGGGGATCGCGCTGGAGGAGGAGGGCAAGGTGAATCGCACCTGCACGACGTGGTTAAGGGGAGAGGCGCTGGGGAGCTCGGTAACCATCTCCTTGCCGTGGTAGGGGAATGGGCCCGCTGAAGCGGCTTCAAGACAAGCTTGCTCGGATTCGAATACAAGCTCGTACATGTGACGAGCGATCGGGAACCTCTTCGTGGCTTTCGTCACAATCGGGTTCAGCTTCACGCATTTCGAGAAAAGCTTCTCGACCTCGGGGTCAAGCACGACGCCCTCGGGCCGCGCGAACATGAACGGCGTCTCGGCCAATCCAAAGTGCTTGCGCAGCGCGGTCTGTACAGGACCTCTGGGTGATCCAGGACCATCCATAATGACTCGAATCACATTGGAGGCCGGGGCTGCGTCGTTTCGCACCGCTCTTTGGGCGGCTGGTGCGAGCGCTGGCGCCTGCGAAGGCGGGGTCGAGGCGTCGTGCATCAGGACCATCAGTCGGCGGGTCGACTTGCTGGAGGGAACAATCCCGAGCACTTGGAAGGTCTTCTTCATCAGCTTCTCATGGTCCAACCGGACCTGAGTTGCCTCGGGCGACCAAGCTGGAGGATTCGCGGTTCCTCCAGTGACCGCTTCACGCGTTTGCGTGTTGAGTGATGAATCACTCGCGCCATTACCACCCAATAGGTCCTCGGGCGGGGGCGCATCGGCGCCGGGCGGATCCGGCATCGCGTGTTTGTGTTGACCTGTAAAGCTTAACGGGCTTGGAGGTCAACTACTCACTCTACACCACAGAAACTCACTTGTGTGTGTGTGTGTGTGTGTGTGTGTGTTGACTTTTTTTTTTTTTGTAGAAACTGTTCATCATATTGCCCCCAAGTCCTGTTCCCCCTGATTGGCCTACGGAAAAACTAGATGGAAGTCGACGATGATAACACAAACCGCCCGCAAGATGCGAGAAACGGGCCAAGTCCACCAATCCGATACTTCGGATTCAAGTGCCCCAGCCAAGCGGTTGCTCCCCCCCAGGAGACGAATGAGAGAGAGAAGAGAAAGAGAGAAAATGAAAAAGAACTGGCGTACTAACGACAAGAGGCCCACCCCGCACCCACTTCCCAACTCGGTCGAGACAAAGACAGGAGAGCGACTGCGCAGCTACCCTGACCCGCGAAATCCCAAGTCTATGCTCGGTCACAACAAGACGCGGTGGAGGCCCCTCAAAACCTCCACCTCAGCAGTCCCTGGCCCCTCAAAGCCGACTTTCTGCCTGTGTCTGCTGATCCCTCCCTTGACTCAGAACCCCGAAGCCAAAGAGCGCGAGCCACCGTCGAGTCAATCCCAAATCGCGAGCCGGTCCATGAGCAACGGAGGCAGACCTGTAATAAAAGAAAGAAAGATGAAGAAAATATATTTAGTATACAGTTTTTGTAAGAGGATGTGTGATGTGGGGTGTGTGAGTGTGGGATCGGGTGGGGGGAAATCGAACCCAGCCTCTACTGCCCTCGCCCGCCCCTTGCTCCCCCCGCCCTCAACTTCATCCTCTCCTCCAGTACCACCCTCCTCCGCTCCAGGCTTTCCATCCTCGTCCCGTGCTTCTGCATCCTCCATCTCCCACTGCTGATCATCTCCAAGACCATCCCCGTGAAGATCTCGATCGTCCTGCCTGCGCCTTCCTGTTCGCTGAGCTTGGCCTTGAGCTTGGGGAGGCCAAAGAGTCGTTGTAGTGTCGTGTACTCGGCGTCCTCGATCGTGTCGCATCCGAGCGCGTCGCAGAGCACGCCCCTTGCCGCGGTCCAGATGTTCCGCGAGTCGACGCAGCCGAAGAAGTAGTGATCGGTGTCGTCCACCGGCGCTTCGCACACGAGGCACGCGGGAGAAGTGTCGTGCTTTTGCTCGTGCTGGAGTTTGCGCGTCGGGGTGAAGCGGAGGATCAGCTTGAACCAAACTTCCCTCTCCCTCGCCGTCAGTGCCTTCGAGTTGACTGCCTTCCAGAAGCTCCTGAGGTCGTCCGGCTGCGGTGGTCCCTTGAGCCCGAGCATGTTGGTAAATGCCTTCGCGTTCAGGACCCGGCGGATGCGACGGACTGTGTAGGGGCGAGCCATGTTCAGCAGCGTATACTGGCTCGCCTGTTGTGGAAGCACCGGGTCCGGAAGGCGCTGCTCCATTGCGAAGCGGGCCACGGGCTTGGGGATGATCGCCTCGAGTGGTGCGCTGGTGCCGATCCGGGGAGGCACGTTGAGTCGTCCCGCCGCCACCGCCGCCGCCAAGGGGGTGTTCTTGTGTCGATCGACAGTGAACCGGTACCAGGCCGCGATTGCCAGTCGCTGCGGGAGCCCGCGTCGATCGTACTCGCTGTTGTCGCCGAGCACATCCGCCGGCGGCGTCCAGAGGTGAAACCCCCCACCCGCATACAACTCGCGTCGATAGAGATCCGCCACCTTCGGGTAGCCCTGGAGACGAAGGTAGTCAGGTACATGAACCGCGTCGATGGTCTGTCTCCCTCTGATGGGGGTGTGGAGGCTGCCGAGCAGGGTGGGCAGCGCGAGCAAGTTCGCGGTGGTCAAGGCCCTCGGGTTGACCTGCGCGTCGTGAAGTTTCGGAACGCCCAGTGCGGCGTGCCATCGGGGATGAAGGTCGTTGGGGATGGGAGTGGATGGATGTGGCCAGAGATCGGTGGCCAGGTCGAGGTCGGGCTGAGCTCGCTGGAGTGATGCGCGCGCAAGTCCTTGCCAAATCGCGCCGGAACCGCCGAGAAGAACGTCCCAGAGCCGTGCCGCAACCGCGTCCACAACGTCCCGCATCCTTATCACCCCGAGTCCCCCCTTGTTCTTGGCGGTGAACACAATGTCTCTGCCGTAGCTGGTCCTGCCCTTGCCCCCACGGACGAAATCGACGAGCATGTCATCGAGCTTCTTGACGACTTTGGGCGGCGGGATGTCGGCTGCAAGGAAATGCAGGATCTTGGGAATGGCGTACCGATTGACGTAAAAGGCACGGGTGTGGTGCGTGAGCCAGCGATGCTGAACCGCTTCCAGCGTCGCCTCGAGCCGTTCGATGAGATTCGCGTAGGCGAGTTCGGTGTCGCCGCTGGGGTCGAAGGGGAGGCCGATCCACTCGAGCGACTCGCCTGCGGCCTTGACGACGATTGGCCGTTCCCCAGGGTCCCAGCGACGTCCAATCGGTAGGACGACCGTCTTGTCCGTGTTGAGCCGGCCATTCGTTGCATGCCTCCAGTCGAGCGCCAGGTCATCGAGCAAGTTGAGTGACTCCAAGCCCGCGACGGCGACGACAACGTCATCGGCAAATGCAAGTGATGTAATGGCGCGGCTCTGTGGGTACGGATGAAGTGCAGGTATGGAGAGATTCAGCGCGATGTTTCGACGGTGTAGAGCATCCAGGAACGGCTGAAACACGATGTCCCAGACCGACGATGACGCCGGGTCCCCTTGGCCGAGCCCACACGTCAGTCGCACCGGCGCCGTCAGGAACCCATTGATGATGTAGCGCGCCGAGGTCGAGTCACCCGAGTAGAGCATCCTCAGCACGCGAAGAAAGGTGGTAGGAGCGCCCAGAGCGTCGAAGATGGCAAAGATCCAGTCATGCTCGACGAGGTCGTAGGCGGATGATTGGTCAAGAGACAAGAGCGCGGCCGCGGGGAACTCGGTCCTGCGCGCGCCAAGTTCCTCGATCAGGAGACGAAGGTGTAGTGCAGCGTCGGCCGATCGGCGGTCCTTGACGAAGCCGTGCTGCTGCGGCGGGAGGAGATCGGGCAGAATTTGGTTCAATCGGGCGACGTAGACCTTGGTAAAAATCTTGTAATCGCACTCGCGCAGGGTGATGGGGCGATACGACGAGAGTTCGGCGCGATCGGCATTCTTCTTGTGGCGCTTGAAGATGAGGCGCACGAGTCCCTGGCCCTGCTTGGGAGAGAGTGAACCGCGCTCGATCATCGCGTTGTAGGCCTTGGTCAGCACCTTGGACCACGCCTCCGGTGCGGTCTGATAGAGTTCGTAAGGCACGCCCGACGGGCCCGGCGATCGCCCCGGGTGCGTCGTCCCGATCGCGGCCACGACCTCGTCCTCGGTGATGGGTTGCTGGAGGAGATCAATCTGCGCTTCCGAGAGTCGGCGCAGAAAGAGCGGATCTGAGCGCGGGTCGTCGCAAGTCCGTGCCGCCCTGATCGGCACGAGGAGTTCGTCCCGAAGTCGGTCGACGCGTTCCGGATCACGAGGCTCGATGTGGTAGAGGCGCTGGAAATGCGCCTGCGTGTGGTCAAGAGCGACATCAATGTCATGCGTTAGCTCTCCGTTGCCCAAGCGCAGTGCTGTGATCTTGGAGTCCGAGTTCCGCGCCGCGAGCTTGGCGTGGACCGGCCGCGACAGTCGTTCCTCGGAAGCGATCTCGGGGACGTGGGCTCGGATCCGGAGTAGGCGCGCGCGCTCCTCGACCGCCCGCTTGAGTTCCTCGGACGTCCTTGTCCATTCTGCCGTTTCCGCCTCCCCCCATACCGGTAACGCCTCCAGATCCTGCACCCTCCCCACCAAATACTCCATCCGTTCCGTCCGCTCCCGATGCAGCCTCCTCGCCATCTCCCCACCCCTGTCCCTGCACGCCTCCAGAACCTCCTCAAGCTCTCGCACCGGATCCTCCCCGCTTGCCCCTTCCAACCATCCTTCCATCATCCGCTGAAATTCCACCGTCTTGAAGGTTGTGGTATTGATTCGATGTAGTTGGTCGGATGTGGTAGGTAGGCTGAGCTGTGGGAGAGCCGCATCAAGATCGTCTGAGAGAGCTAGTACGATCAAGACCGGTCGGTGATCGGAAAGATCCTTGGGATAGTCGTAGATCGTCGAGGCCTGGTCGAGCCTTTTTTGGTGAGCTCTTTGTAGGAGAAAGTAGTCAAGCCGGGAGAAGGAGTTGGGTCGCTTGCGATTGGGATTAGGTCGAGTGAAAGATGGGGTGATGGGGTGCTTGTAGCGGATGCAGTCCGTGTAGGCCGAGTCGAGCTTGCCCATCAGAATCGGCCAGTGGTGGCCGCGCCGACTTTGGTTCCGCCGATCGACTTCTGGGCGCGGGCAGTCGTTGAGATCGCCGCCAAGGAGTCGGAGGTGGGATTTCTGTGTTTTGTGGAGGATCAGTTTGTCGAAGAATTTTGCTCGTTGTTTTGGGTCAACGGGCGCGTAGAGGTTATTGATTTCTAGAATTTTGATGTCGCCCCGCAGACGAAAGGAGGTGACGAGGAGCCGGCCGTCGAGTGCCGAGTGGGTGCGCAAGAGCTCGGCGTCGATCAGGGGCGAGTCGGCCGGGATCAGGGTCAGGCAGTGCTGGTTGATGAAGAGCTTGCCCTCGTACTCGTCCTTGATGAGCTGCCAGAATTGTGGTCTGATGAAATGCTCTTGTAAGAGAATCGCGGAAGCTTTGAATGTGGAAAGGTAGGTGTAGATATTACGTCGTTTTTCCGGGACCCCCATGCCCCTTCTTACGTTCCAGGTGATGATGGTGTGCTTGATCATTAATGGGTAGTCGAGGTCGAGGCGCTCTTGGCGGTGGTGACGTCCTCAAAGAGGGGAAGGGCGGGCAGGACATCGTCCTCGGGCTCGTGGTCGGACCATCGTTTTTCCTCAGCTACCCCTCTTCCTTTCCCTCTGTCCACCTTCGTCACCTCGACCTGCATCGCCGCTGCCGCCGACATCGACCTCGTCACCCTCCGCCCCTCTATTCCATCCTTCACCACGACGCGGCTCTTCCCTTTGATGATGACTCGCTTGGCGTCGGTCGGTTCGTCACTTGGGTCACTGAGGTCCGCCGCAGTCTGCGACCTCTTCATCACCTGCTTCTTGAACTTCGCAGCGGTCCCCCTGATGTTGATGGAGCGTATCTCACCGTCCTCGTCCCACGTGGCAAAGTTGTGACGCACCAAAGGGGTTTCAGCGTTGAGCCTCCTCTCGATGCTTTGATCCCGCTCAAGTCGTGCCTGCTCAACCCAGTTAGCTCTGATCCTGTCCCACTCCTCCCCCTCGCGTAGCGACTTGGCGAGAGTTTCGGGTGACAGAGGTGGGGTTGGTTCATGCGGCGTCGATTCGCGGGAAGCGGTGGCGGCGGTTGCTGTGGCGTCGCTGTCGTCGTCATTGTCCAGCCTGTTCGTTTCCCCTAAGTCCGTCGCTTCCGCATTCTCCGCTTTCGTCGATCCCCTCGCTTCGTCCACATCGCCCACCTCCGTCGCCACCTCCTCTTCCTCCATCTCCGTAGCCACCTCTCCTTCCGTTTCACCTCTTTCATCCGCCATCACCTCATTCTCATCAATCACCTCTCCATCGGATCCGCTGCAGTCCTCCAAGACCGACTCGTCCTCGCTTTCAATTTTGATGACCTCCGTTTTCGCGGCCGCCTCCGATTCCATCTCCGAGTCCTCCGAGTCCTCGTCATCCGCCTTATCACCAGCGTCTTCCTCCCCCGATTCCTCCGGTCCCTGTTCGCCCTGGCCAGTTACCTCTTCCTCCTGTCCCTCCTCGACCTCGAGCCCGGCGAAGTGATTCTGTGATGCGATCCTGTTAACAACCAGCACAGGAATGGGGGCCTCGGCCTCCGCGATGTTGGTGTTGTGGGTGATGGTGTTTTTGTTGCTGTTGATGATGCCGTTGTGAGCCTCCTTCCGCTTCCTCTCCTGATCCAGTCCGCAGGTTCCCACGTGACCCACAAAGTGGCACCTACCGCAAGCCGCCTCCTTCTCATAGTCATGGCGAAGGGCGGTAACCGGGATGCCTCGAGTGGGAAGGTCGATCCTCGAAGGTAGAATCTCCTTCAATTTTTTATTTTTTTTACTGGGGCTCATAAATTGCAATCCTTCGGGTTGGCTGGGACCGCTACAAAAAGAGCTAAAAGAGGTTATAAAGCAACGACGGCAAGCAATTGGGTGAAAGTCAAACCCCTGCGCGCAAAGAGCGCTGCGCAGATCAAAACCCGCCGAGCACCTAACGCGGACTCCAACGGGCGGTGAGTACTGCTGCCGCTTCACGTCCCAAGAGCGGGAGCGAAGATACTCGAAAACCAGGCAAGAGCGCCTAGAGAAAGAAAGGGGGAGAATATACAAAAATTCACGACCGGAAACACGGAGAACCAGGAATACTAAGACAGAGAGGAGGGGAGGAGGAGGGGAACACACCCGAGGGGCCAAGGGAGGGGGTCGAAGCCAGAGCTAGAGGTCCCCAGGGACTGACAGGCCGCAGCCAAGCCCCAGCTACTCGTCACCCCGACAGCGCCTGATGTCCTCCCTTGGCTGAGTCTCGAGTGCTGGCTGTTGAGCCGTCGGGGCCGAGCGAAAACGATCCAATACCACGAAACGAGCCTCGCCTTGACGCGAGGATATTGACCAAGAAACGAGCGACCTTTCTTCCCGATCCATGCCGTAGAACTTGACCAACGCGAACGAACGATCCATTCGACGGAATCCAACACACGGCTTAGGAATAAAAGGAGAAGTGGCTAAAGCGTAGTCAACAACCGAGCAACAGGAAAGAGAAGAGGAAGGGAAGGGAAAAAAAAAGGGGGGGAAAGAGGGGGGAGAACTTCACAAAGCCTCCAACGCAACGACGATCGACCCGGCTTGCCGATCCATCCAAGAACGAAAATCGCTACTGCGCAAAGTAGAGAGAGGGAGAGGTGCGCAGCCTTCCACTGCGCAACAAGTTTCAAGACAGTCAGCTTCTGACCGAAAAGGAAGGGAGGAAAGGAGGGGAGGAAAATGGGAAGGAAGGACTTAACTCGGTCATCACACCTCCCAATCTCGAACCCCAGGCACAAAACCCGCTCGAGAGAGAAAATCTCGCTCGAACGCTCTGAGCGCACTGGGAAGCGAGGGAGGGGCCACGACGTTGTCCAGCTCGAACCGCTGATGAACGCGCCAGCGGAGCAGGTGCAGCCGCTGGAAGCCGATCGCGCAGGCCAGCCGAACCCACATCCATTTCAAGGTCGTTCTCCCACGACCCCGCAAAAGGGGGAGCCCCATAGTCAGCTGCTCCGGAGTGAACGTCGACGGATCGACGTCGGTATCCTCGATGCCGAGCTTGTCAAGCAGAATGCGTAGCACCCCACCCCAGAAGCTGGTCGAGTACGCGCACTCGAAAAAGTAGTGGGACACCGTCTCGATGACCGCTGCATCGTTGCCACAGAACAGACACGTCGGCGAAGAGGCATGACCCTGAGTATGCTGCCTCTTGCGCGTCGGCGTCACGTCGTACATGAGCCGCCAGTGGGTGTCCTGCTCGACAGCAGACGCGAACCGGTCATGAAGCCATCTCCAGAAGCGCTTCCTATCGCTCTGAGAAGTCCCATCAGGGAAACGCTTGACACGGTCCTCCCTCCCTGGGAACCGCACCTTGTTCACAAGCCGACGAAGCTTGCGAATCGTAAAAGGTCGGGAGAGCCCAAAGAAGTTGAAGCACCGAGGACGGGGAGCCTCCTTGAGAGGTATCCGAGCAGGTCGCAACGCGGTCTTGGGCAGCAACGCTTTCGCCTTGAGCAACTGACCCACGCGCGACCACACGTGCTCGTGCTGTAGGGCGGGTTCCTTAGAGTGCTGCCAGAACCCGCGTCGATGACCAACCAGAGCCCATCCCTTCCCTTCGTCCCTCCAGTACAGGTCCGCGATCTGCGCAAACTTCGCCACCGCGTCCGCATCGTCATATGCGTGCTGGGCACCTTCAGCATAGAGTGAAGGGAGGCGAGGCGGAAGCGAGAGCAATTCGGGAAGCGTAAGGAGTTCGGACTTGATGGTTGGAACTGTGACCCTGGCCGCTGCAACGACTGCCCCCCAGCGCGTCGAGTCGCGATACAGCTTCTCGACCCGAGCCGTGCTGCTGAAGAACCCCCACGGACTGAAATCGCGGGTCGCAGCGACGAGGGACCTCCAGCTCTCGCGAGCTAGGGGCGCCCAGATCGCCTCGTCCGAGCCCGCCACAGCATCCCAAAATCGAAGCGCCACCGAATGAACGATGTCGCCAATCGAAATCAAACCCAAGCCACCGTCCTCCCGAGCCTGGAACACGAAATCGCGAGCGACGGTATTTCGCCCTGCTCCTCCCCAGACAAAGTCCGTAAGTGCCGTCTCCGCCGCCTTAATGAACCATTGAGGCGGTATGTCGAAGGACAGCACGTGGAGGACCGTCGAGATGATGTGAGCGTTGGCATAGAAAACCTTCCCACTCGGCGAAAGTGTCCGGTCTCGAGCGGCGCGGGCCTTGGCCTTGATCCTGTCAAGAACATGGGTCCAGAACAGTTTCGAGTCACCGTGGCGAAAGAAGGCATAGCCGCACCACTTGAAGCTCTCCCCCTCCTGCACCGTTGGCAGCGCCTGCGCAGTCTCGTCCCGAAGCCAGTTCGGTCCGAGTGGTAGCACCAGCGTCTTGTCCGTGTTGGTCTTCCCGTTGGTAGCCTCGTACCACGTCTGCGACAGCGTTTGCAGCTTCGACAATGCCGCCGGTGACTCCACCACCACCACAGCATCGTCGGCAAACGCCAGATGCGTAAGCTGCGCACGCGGCCCCCCTGGCCACACCTTCTGCAGGTCGAGCGCGATCCCGCGCCGAACGAGGGCGTCGAGGAAGGGCTGGAACGTGATGTTCCAAACCGGGCACGAGAGGGGATCCCCCTGACCGAGACCATACAGCAACCGCACCAAGTCCGTGGGGAACCCATTGACAAGGTAGCGCACCCCCAGAGTCTCGGGATCGTAGAGAGCGCGCAGCAGCGAGATGAAACGCTCACCGAACCCAAAGGCCTCAAAGACCTCGAAGATCCAGGCGTGATCGACCCGATCGTACGCGCTCTGCTGATCCAAAGACAAGAGGGCGCCCTCGGGGAAAACATCAGTGCCTAGCGACTTGAGTTTTTCGAGAAGGAGAGTGAGATGACTTCTTTTTTTTATTTTTTACTGGGGCTCATAAATTGCAATCCTTTGGGTTGGCTGGGACCGCTAGAAAAAGAGCTAAAAGAGGTTATAAAGCAACGACGGCAAGCAATTGGGTGAAAGTCAAACCCCTGCGCGCAAAGAGCGCTGCGCAGATCAAAACTCGCCGAGCACCTAACGCGGACTCCAACGGGCGGTGAGTACTGCTGCCGCTTCACGTCCCAAGAGCGGGAGCGAAGATACTCGAAAACCAGGCAAGAGCGCCTAGAGAAAGAAAAGGGGAGAATATACAAAAATTCACGACTGGAAACACGGAGAACCAGGAATACTAAGACAGAGAGGAGGGGAGGAGGAGGGGAACACACCCGAGGGGCCAAGGGAGGGGGTCGAAGCCAGAGCTAGAGGTCCCCAGGGACTGACAGGCCGCAGCCAAGCCCCAGCTACTCGTCACCCCGACAGCGCCTGATGTCCTCCCTTGGCTGAGTCTCGAGTGCTGGCTGTTGAGCCGTCGGGGCCGAGCGAAAACGATCCAATACAACGAAACGAGCCTCGCCTTGACGCGAGGATATTGACCAAAAAAACGAGCGACCTTTCTTCCCGATCCATGCCGTAGATCTTGACCAACGCGAACGAACGATCCATTCGACGGAATCCAACACACGACTTAGGAATAAAAGGAGAAGTGGCTGAAGCGTAGTCAACAACCGAGCAACAGGAACGAGAAGAGGAAGGGAAGGGAGAAAGGGGAAAGAGAGGGGAGAACTTCACAAAGCCTCCAACGCAACGACGATCGACCCGGCTTGCCGATCCATCCAAGAACGAAAACCGCTACTGCACAAAGTAGAGAGAGGGAGAGGTGCGCAGCCTTCCACTGCGCAACAAGTTTCAAGACAGTCAGCTTCTGACCGAAAAGGAAGGCAGGAAAGGAGGGGAGGAAAATGGGAAGGAAGGACTTAACTCGGTCATCACACCTCCCAATCTCGAACCCCAGGCACAAAACCCGCTCGAGAGAGAAAATCTCGCTCGAACGCTCTGAGCGTACTGGGAAGCGAGGGAGGGGCCACGACGTTGTCCAGCTCGAACCGCTGATGAACGCGCCAGCGGAGCAGGTGCAGCCGCTGGAAGCCGATCGCGCAGGCCAGCCGAACCCACATCCATTTCGAGGTCGTTCTCCCACGACCCCGCAAAAGGGGGAGCCCCATAGTCAGCTGCTCCGGAGTGAACGTCGACGGATCGACGTCGGTATCCTCGATGCCGAGCTTGTCAAGCAGAATGCGTAGCACCCCACCCCAGAAGCTGGTCGAGTACGCGCACTCGAAAAAGTAGTGGGACACCGTCTCGATGACCGCTGCATCGTTGCCGCAGAACAGACACGTCGGCGAAGAGGCATGACCCTGAGTATGCTGCCTCTTGCGCGTCGGCGTCACGTCGTACATGAGCCGCCAGTGGGTGTCCTGCTCGACAGCAGACGCGAACCGGTCATGAAGCCATCTCCAGAAGCGCTTCCTATCGCTCTGAGAAGTCCCATCAGGGAAACGCTTGACACGGTCCTCCCTCCCTGGGAACCGCACCTTGTTCACAAGCCGACGAAGCTTGCGAATCGTAAAAGGTCGGGAGAACCCAAAGAAGTTGAAGCACCGAGGACGGGGAGCCTCCTTGAGAGGTATCCGAGCAGGTCGCAACGCGGTCTTGGGCAGCAACGCTTTCGCCTTGAGCAACTGACCCACGCGCGACCACACGTGCTCGTGCTGTAGGGCGGGTTCCTTAGAGTGCTGCCAGAACCCGCGTCGATGACCAACCAGAGCCCATCCCTTCCCTTCGTCCCTCCAGTACAGGTCCGCGATCTGCGCAAACTTCGCCACCGCGTCCGCATCGTCATATGCGTGCTGGGCACCTTCAGCATAGAGTGAAGGGAGGCGAGGCGGAAGCGAGAGCAATTCGGGAAGCGTAAGGAGTTCGGACTTGATGGTTGGAACTGTGACCCTGGCCGCTGCAACGACTGCCCCCCAGCGCGTCGAGTCGCGATACAGCTTCTCGACCCGAGCCGTGCTGCTGAAGAACCCCCACGGACTGAAATCGCGGGTCGCAGCGACGAGGGACCTCCAGCTCTCGCGAGCTAGGGGCGCCCAGATCGCCTCGTCCGAGCCCGCCACAGCATCCCAAAATCGAAGCGCCACCGAATGAACGATGTCGCCAATCGAAATCAAACCCAAGCCACCGTCCTCCCGAGCCTGGAACACGAAATCGCGAGCGACGGTATTTCGCCCTGCTCCTCCCCAGACAAAGTCCGTAAGTGCCGTCTCCGCCGCCTTAATGAACCATTGAGGCGGTATGTCGAAGGACAGCACGTGGAGGACCGTCGAGATGATGTGAGCGTTGGCATAGAAAACCTTCCCACTCGGCGAAAGTGTCCGGTCTCGAGCGGCGCGGGTCTTGGCCTTGATCCTGTCAAGAACATGGGTCCAAAACAGTTTCGAGTCACCGTGGCGAAAGAAGGCATAACCGCACCACTTGAAGCTCTCCCCCTCCTGCACCGTTGGCAGCGCCTGCGCAGTCTCGTCCCGAAGCCAGTTCGGTCCGAGTGGTAGCACCAGCGTCTTGTCCGTGTTGGTCTTCCCGTTGGTAGCCTCGTACCACGTCTGCGACAGCGTTTGCAGCTTCGACAATGCCGCCGGTGACTCCACCACCACCACAGCATCGTCGGCAAACGCCAGATGCGTAAGCTGCGCACGCGGCCCCCCTGGCCACACCTTCTGCAGGTCGAGCGCGATCCCGCGCCGAACGAGGGCGTCGAGGAAGGGCTGGAACGTGATGTTCCAAACCGGGCACGAGAGGGGATCCCCCTGACCGAGACCACACAGCAACCGCACCAAGTCCGTGGGGAACCCATTGACAAGGTAGCGCACCCCCAGAGTCTCGGGATCGTAGAGAGCGCGCAGCAGCGAGATGAAACGCTCACCGAACCCAAAGGCCTCAAAGACCTCGAAGATCCAGGCGTGATCGACCCGATCGTACGCGCTCTGCTGATCCAAAGACAAGAGGGCGCCCTCGGGGAAAACATCAGTGCCTAGCGACTTGAGTTTTTCGAGAAGGAGAGTGAGATGACTTCCCGCGTCCGCTGAACGTCTTGATGGCATGAAACCGTGTTGCGCCGGCGGTAAAAGCTCGCCGAGCACCCCATTGAGTCGCGCCACCAAGACCTTGCTGAGGACCTTGTAGGTCGTCTCGCGCAATGTGATCGGTCGGTATGCCCCCAGTGATTTCAGATTGGCCCCCGGTTTATTCTTGGGCAAGAGCCGCACCAGCCCCTCTGCCAAGGACGCCGTCATTTTGCCGCCCTCCCAAATCGAGTTGAACAAGTCCAACAGCTTGGGAGCAAAGTAGGTTGGCAGCGCCTTGAAGAGCTCGTACGGAATGCCCGAGGGCCCCGGTGATCGCCCCGAATCCGTCTTCTTCAACGCCGCTTCAACCTCGAGGAGGGTGAAGGGCTCGTCAAGCGCCACTCTCGCTTGACGAGGCAGCCGACGACCGAACGTAGGGTCCGAGCGGTCGTCATCGTAGCATTTCGCTGCGCGAATAGGGTCGAGCAGGGACCGGCGTGCGTTCGTCGGGTCGCCACGAGCTGGGTCCGGCGTGAAGAGCGACTGCGCGTGCCGTGAAGCAATACCCAGCGCCTCCTGCATGTCAACGGTCTCGGTGCCATCCACATCCTCCAGCGAGACGATGCTCGTCTGGCGACTCCGGCGGTTGAGGCGCGTGCGAATGCTTGCCGATTGACCTTCCCTCGAGTCGACTGACGGCACATGCGCACGAATGCGCAGCCACTGAGCCTCCTTTACCGCCAACTGGTCCAACCACGACTTGGCAAGAGCATACGCATCGCGCTCGGCCTCATTCATGTGCTCACCGCGTGCCTCCAAAGCCTCCATGACGGATTGGCTCTCGGCCCGCAGTCGGCGCATGTCGGCACGAGTCGAGCGGTATCGTGCATGGCCAGCGACTGCAACCGCCCGCAGAGCGGCGTCATAGACGTCGCCGAGCGGAGCGGTCCCCTCGAGCCTTTGATAGACCTCGTCGACGACCCCGGGAATCGATGCGACAAAGTCTTGATCGTCAAAGACCATTGGGTTGAGCCTCGAAATGAAATCGCTCGTGGAGGGAAGAGAAAGGGGGGGTTCGGCATCAGCGTTCGATGTAGGCAAAGCGAAAGTCGCAACTACAGGTCTGTGGTCCGAACAGGGCGCATCGAAGAGCGTAGAAGCGCTCAACAACCGGTTCGCCCAACTGCATTGGACAAGAATATAGTCGATCCGCGACCACGAGCAAATCTTTCGCTCTTCCCCTCTACCACGGTAGTGAGGACGAGTGAATGCAGGGGTGCAAGGATGGACATGTCGGACCGTGTCGAGTGCCTTGAACGCGATCTTTGACAGCAAGGTCTGCCAGTGCGATACAGGAGTCCAAGCGCGATCGGTGATGGACACTCGGTCGACCGATACATCCGGACAATCGTTGAGATCGCCGGCCAAGATCCGAAGAATCTTGGGTCTCGGGGCGTTGAAGTGCAGAAGCCCGAAAAAGTCGCGACGATCGTCCTCCTGCACCGGCGCGTACATGTTGATGATCTCGACATCGAGCTCCTCAAGACGAAACACCGAGCGCAGAATCCGACCGTCGAAACGAGGAGCTCCTGCAAAGACGACCGGGGTAGAGGAAAGGAGATGGCCCGCCAAAGGTGAGCCATCGGGTATGAGGGTAAGGACATGAGGAGTGAAACGAATACAAGCCCCCGGCCAAGCACTCTCGAAGCCTTCGCGTGACGCGTTGTAGCTGAGGTGGTGCTCTTGCAGGAGGATGGCCGCAGGGGCCGGCCGAAGGGTTTTGAGATAACGGATGATTTTGACTTGGTTGACTGCGTTCTTCATCGATCGGACGTTGAACGTCAACACGGTGAGTGACTCAATCATGATTAAATCAGTTCAGCGCCGCCCCCCTCGAATTCGGTCACCTCGGACCTGTGACCCCCTGAACTGTTGCCCCCTGAGCCATCACCCCCTGATGCACCGAGGATCATGGCGGATCCTGCCCGGGTGACACGTCGGTTGCCGGGTGCCGAGCTCGAACGAAGGCGTCGAGGACTCGTCGAGGCTATCGAGGTTGTCGAGGTTGCCGATGATCCCGACGTGCCACCGGACAAAGGCGAAGGAGAGGTCGGGGTCGAAACGGGCGCCGCCGTCGTCGTCTGCGTCTCCTTTGTTGAGCCCAGGGTCGCACGCGTCGACGTCTCTTCCCCAGTGTCACCGCCCTCCGGTTCGGTCGAAACGACCGACTCGTCGTCGCCGTCGTTCGCGTCGTCCTTGTTGGCGGTTACTGCACCTGCGGGGTTAGCACGAGGTCCCAGCTGGATCATGTTCGCGCCAGAGACACGAGAGTTCAATGCGGCAGGCCCACCGTGCTTCCCATTCTTTCCAGCAACTCGGAAGCCGGTGGTCGAAGTCGAAGTCGAGGTCGAGGCCCCCGGAACAGGGGCGGCGGTGGCCGGAGTCGAAACCGGCTTCCTGCAAGCGCCCCACTGGTGTCCGGCGCGATCGCACACCGCGCAGTAGTGCGTCTCGAATTCGTGTCGCAAGCCATACTTGGCGCCCAGGATCTCGATCTCTTGTGGCAAAGCGGCGTTGAGCGCAGCCTTCTGCGTCTCGATGGAGCCTTGGAAAAGATCAGCATGTAAGCGAAGGTACGCGCAGTGGAACCCGTCTTCGGTCATGGCCATCGGATCGCCATTCGGATCGACCGCGAGGCCCCGCTGTAATTGCATCAGGGTATAACCTTGCGTGCGACCTGCGCGGCCGAACGAAAGGGTGATAGCATCATCGAGAGATTTTCGGAGCACGGAAGCGGGGATCGCGCTGGAGGAGGAGGGCAAGGTGAATCGCACCTGCACGACGTGGTTAAGGGGAGAGGCGCTGGGGAGCTCGGTAACCATCTCCTTGCCGTGGTAGGGGAATGGGCCCGCTGAAGCGGCTTCAAGACAAGCTTGCTCGGATTCGAATACAAGCTCGTACATGTGACGAGCGATCGGGAACCTCTTCGTGGCTTTCGTCACAATCGGGTTCAGCTTCACGCATTTCGAGAAAAGCTTCTCGACCTCGGGGTCAAGCACGACGCCCTCGGGCCGCGCGAACATGAACGGCGTCTCGGCCAATCCAAAGTGCTTGCGCAGCGCGGTCTGTACAGGACCTCTGGGTGATCCAGGACCATCCATAATGACTCGAATCACATTGGAGGCCGGGGCTGCGTCGTTTCGCACCGCTCTTTGGGCGGCTGGTGCGAGCGCTGGCGCCTGCGAAGGCGGGGTCGAGGCGTCGTGCATCAGGACCATCAGTCGGCGGGTCGACTTGCTGGAGGGAACAATCCCGAGCACTTGGAAGGTCTTCTTCATCAGCTTCTCATGGTCCAACCGGACCTGAGTTGCCTCGGGCGACCAAGCTGGAGGATTCGCGGTTCCTCCAGTGACCGCTTCACGCGTTTGCGTGTTGAGTGATGAATCACTCGCGCCATTACCACCCAATAGGTCCTCGGGCGGGGGCGCATCGGCGCCGGGCGGATCCGGCATCGCGTGTTTGTGTTGACCTGTAAAGCTTAACGGGCTTGGAGGTCAACTACTCACTCTACACCACAGAAACTCACTTGTGTGTGTGTGTGTGTGTGTGTGTGTGTGTGTGTGGTACTTCGGAGGAACACTAGTAGATATTGTTAATTCATGTGTCAAACAGGCTTAGGGTGTTCGTCCAAAGCCCGGTTGATCTAGTCGGTTATGATGCAGACCTAATACCGCGTTAAGTCTGATGTCGGCGGTTCGATCCCGCCACTGGGCATTTTCTTTTGCTGTTTTTACTGCAGGCGGTAATTCCTTCATGCAGGCCTAGAACATGCCCAAGCTATCTCTTTTTTCCCTCGAAAGGCTACCGAAGCGTGTAAGGCAGGACTTATGATGATGCAACATTTTCATGTCCCTACCGCAGATCTCGTGCACGCACCGCAGCCTCAAAGGCGGTCTGCGTTACGGACATGTTTTTTTTTGTAGAAACCGTTCATCATATTGCCCCCAATTCCTGTTCCCAATGATTGGCCTACGGAAAAACTAGATGGAAGTCGACGATGATAACACAAACCGCCCGCAAGATGCGAGAAACGGGCCAAGTCCACCAATCCGATACTTCGGATTCAAGTGGCCCAGCCAAGCGGTTCCTCCCCCCCAGGAGACGAAGGAGAGAGAGAGAAGGAGAGAGAGAAAGAGAGAAAGGAAAACAACTAGCGTACTAACGACAAGAGGCCCACCCTGCCGCCACTTCCCAACTCGGTCGAGACAAAGACAGGAGAGCGACTGCGCAGCTACCCTGACCCGCGAAGTCCCAAATCTATGCTTGGTTGCTTGGTCACAACAAGACGCGGTGGAGGCCCCTCAAAACCTCCACCCCAGTAGTCCCTGGCCCCTCAAAGCCGACTTTCTGCCTGTGTCTGCTGATCCCTCCCTTGACTCAGAACCCCGAAGCCATAGAGCGCGAGCCACCGTCGAGTCAATCCCAAAGCGCGAGCCGGTCCATGGGCAACAGAAGCAGACCTGTAATAAAGGAAGAATGAAGGCAAGATGTTACAGTATAGATGATTTAGTATACAGTTTTTGTAAGAGGATTTTTTTTTTTTTTTTTTTTTTTTTTTTGTAGAACCATGCCTCGCATTGCAGCGCCCAACTGTCAGCCAACATACCAAACCAAGTATTGAAAGTAATAAGGGTTGCGCCAGGCTAATAACAAACTATGCGCACATATTGCGTTGGCTGGCCAAGTCAACCAATTCGAAACTTGGAATTCAAGTTGCTTAGAGTTGCCCTTTCCTTCTTCCCCGATTTGAAGTAAGGGATTTGAAACCGTCTTGAAGCCATGGGGGAATCGAATGGTCCACTCCAAGGGAGTGTAGCGAAAATTGAAATTGCGAATCTTGAAGAGTATTGATGATTGATTGAGGATTTGAGGATTTGCTTGAGGGGAATTAGGACATCTTCTCAAATAGGATTCGCCGGCCGATCGCTGGTCCGACCCGACGCCGGTGCCCGACCAACGCAGACTCCGCCACACAGGAGCTCCACCCCCACATGAATCGAACGCGTCAAGTCGAGTCGGACCCTTTTGTTGACGCGTAACTAAGAGAGGCCAGGCCCAGACACGCAACGCGACTCAGAGCGGCCGTCATTTCGGCCCATTCCGTCTGGGGTCGGACTTTCGGAGGCTTCTACACGGCCCAACGTCTAGTCAGATCGAGGTTTTAGAATCTTGCGATTGCGAAATCGCCCAGTGGCGATTCGGCCACAGCCGTCTGATCCGCATTCGGTAGCACTGCACACCAAGTCAGAATGCAAGCAGTCAAGGCTTGCGCATCCGTCTATCTTGACACCCATCTCACAAGCCTCTTCCAGAGCTTGACGGCCAGCTGCCGAGTCGGCCAACTAATTAAGGATGATAACAATACCTGCGGCGACCATCTCCCGAGTCGCGCTGAGCTGTGTCGACACGCGCGGTGCAGGCACCGCCTCCAACCTCCTCCAACCTCTACCTTTTTGACGCTGGGATAACACCACTTAGCAACGAAGGTTTGCCCCGGCTCAAGCCGTGGTACCGAGAGAAGCGCAGTCAACGAGGACGATCGTCACGACAATCATGACGACGCCGCCAACTTCAGTCCGAATGCGATCCGTCGTCGACGACTCGACGCAGATTCCCATTGCAACCGCGATGCCATCACGTCTACATCGACTTCTTCGTCTTCATCGAAAGCGCTCGACCAGATGTCGAGACTCAAAGGTGTCGTTGTTAACACCAATGTTGGTGCATCGCAACCGCGGGGTACTCGCCTTTGATTACGACTCCGAGTCCGAACCTCTCTACCTCACTCGCTCCTGAAAACTCCATCGGCTCTCCCGCAAGAACTTACGCGCGTCGAGTTCGGCATCCCTCAGTACTCGTGCTTTCCCTGGTTCGACTGCTCTGAAAATTGATGGTGCGTCTTCAAGTTTCCAACTCAAGTTCGTCTTCTGCTCTGAACAAGGCTGATATCACGGTGTTGCGGGCTCAACTTGCTCAGTTTCGACCATCATAGCCGAGTCTTCCTCCACGCAATTAGTCTTTAGCGTGCTAGTCCGGATGCGCCCCCGATTCCCATCAATGTCACCGCCAAAAGCGCATTGTGTCATTTTCCTTCAAGATGGGTTTGAGCTCAGAATGCTCTTCAAGGTATGCCAAATAATCCACGAGTAATATGCACGCGGGACTGTGTGATGCAGATCACTGATAGTGCTTCCCTTCTCAATCGCCCCTGCCATCTTCAGCCGACTCCCGCTTCGATGACTCGATCGCTGGACAGAAGGATATCTCTTTTGTTCCCAGCCTGATCTGCACCTCCTCTCAAAACCTCAAACTCGTCTCGTTCGCTGCAAGGGACGATTTTTCGGACCGAGTTCTTGAGTGGACCCGCTCGCTCTCAACCTCGACACGCTGCCAGCCGAAGCAATACTGTTGATTAGGGTTTCTCCTTTTTGCATCGACCAGCGAACTAGTTTCATATCTGAGGCTTTGCTACTATTGCAGATCTACTAGCATGCCAGCGATCGTCGTCAACTCTTACATCGCGCATCCGTCCCTGCCAGCTCATGGCGGACGGCATCATCTCGGAGTACAAGAGGACAGCAATCTGGACCCTGCCCTCCCAAAGTCGCTGATGAAAGGATTTCTGGCCACACGATACAGCTTGGTGAGGTGAGGTCGGGCGCCTTCGTTATGGCCGGCCAAATGGTGGAGCAGTCAAAGGAACCCCCAGATCTACTCCCATGGTACGGTCTCACCGAACTCACCCACCTTCCCTCAATCGGTGACCATACCTCTTGGACGGTCTTTCGATGAGGGGAAAGGGGTCTGGAAGGTGCAAGACGCTTCGGACTTGTTCCAGGGGCTCAAATTCGTGAACTCTATAGCAACTTCGCTATAGCACTATTACAGACCACTGACAGGGCTTTCTCGTCGAACTTGCATCGTGTGATCTTCTGGGCCAATCTTGTGGTAACCAGCGCTCTTCTTCCAACGAGAACTTCGACTTGCAAAACCGCTACTTCTGTCACAGACCGATTTAGAGCGAGCGGATGCGTTGGTCGCGATCAGACGTGTGCGGACATTTCCCGGCCATGTCCGTAACGCAGACCGCCTTTGAGGCTGCGGTGCGTGCACGAGATCTGCGGTAGGGACATGAAAATGTTGCATCATCATAAGTCCTGCCTTACACGCTTCGGTAGCCTTTCGAGGGAAAAAAGAGATAGCTTGGGCATGTTCTAGGCCTGCATGAAGGAATTACCGCCTGCAGTAAAAACAGCAAAAGAAAATGCCCAGTGGCGGGATCGAACCGCCGACATCAGACTTAACGCGGTATTAGGTCTGCATCATAACCGACTAGATCAACCGGGCTTTGGACGAACACCCTAAGCCTGTTTGACACATAAATTAACAATATCTACTAGTGGCAGTTTGGCCAGGGACTGCTGAGGTGGAGGTTTTGAGGGGCCTCCACCGCGTCTTGTTGTGACCGAGCATAGACTTGGGATTTCGCGGGTCAGGGTAGCTGCGCAGTCGCTCTCCTGTCTTTGTCTCGACCGAGTTGGGAAGTGGGTGCGGGGTGGGCCTCTTGTCGTTAGTACGCCAGTTCTTTTTCATTTTCTCTCTCTCTCCTTCTCTCTCTCATTCGTCTCCTGGGGGGGAGCAACCGCTTGGCTGGGGCACTTGAATCCGAAGTATCGGATTGGTGGACTTGGCCCGTTTCTCGCATCTTGCGGGCGGTTTGTGTTATCATCGTCGACTTCCATCTAGTTTTTCCGTAGGCCAATCAGGGGGAACAGGAATTGGGGGCAATATGATGAACGGTTTCTACAAAAAAAAAAATGGCGCGTTCATCAGCGGTTCGAGCTGGACAACGTCGTGGCCCCTCCCTCGCTTCCCAGTGCGCTCAGAGCGTTCGAGCGAGATTTTCTCTCTCGAGCGGGTTTTGTGCCTGGGGTTCGAGATTGGGAGGTGTGATGACCGAGTTAAGTCCTTCCTTCCCATTTTTCTCCCCTCCTTTCCTCCCTTCCTTTTCGGTCAGAAGCTGACTGTCTTGAAACTTGTTGCGCAGTGGAAGGCTGCGCACCTCTCCCTCTCTCTACTTTGCGCAGTAGCGATTTTCGTTCTTGGATGGATCGGCAAGCCGGGTCGATCGTCGTTGCGTTGGAGGCTTTGTGAAGTTCTCCCCTCTCTTTCCCCTTTCTCCCTTCCCTTCCTCTTCTCGTTCCTGTTGCTCGGTTGTTGACTACGCTTCAGCCACTTCTCCTTTTATTCCTAAGTCGTGTGTTGGATTCCGTCGAATGGATCGTTCGTTCGCGTTGGTCAAGATCTACGGCATGGATCGGGAAGAAAGGTCGCTCGTTTTTTTGGTCAATATCCTCGCGTCAAGGCGAGGCTCGTTTCGTTGTATTGGATCGTTTTCGCTCGGCCCCGACGGCTCAACAGCCAGCACTCGAGACTCAGCCAAGGGAGGACATCAGGCGCTGTCGGGGTGACGAGTAGCTGGGGCTTGGCTGCGGCCTGTCAGTCCCTGGGGACCTCTAGCTCTGGCTTCGACCCCCTCCCTTGGCCCCTCGGGTGTGTTCCCCTCCTCCTCCCCTCCTCTCTGTCTTAGTATTCCTGGTTCTCCGTGTTTCCAGTCGTGAATGTTTGTATATTCTCCCCTTTTCTTTCTCTAGGCGCTCTTGCCTGGTTTTCGAGTATCTTCGCTCCCGCTCTTGGGACGTGAAGCGGCAGCAGTACTCACCGCCCGTTGGAGTCCGCGTTAGGTGCTCGGCGGGTTTTGATCTGCGCAGCGCTCTTTGCGCGCAGGGGTTTGACTTTCACCCAATTGCTTGCCGTCGTTGCTTTATAACCTCTTTTAGCTCTTTTTCTAGCGGTCCCAGCCAACCCGAAGGATTGCAATTTATGAGCCCCAGTAAAAAAAAAAAATCCAGATTGGGAGGTGTGATGACCGAGTTAAGTCCTTCCTTCCCATTTTCCTCCCCTCCTTTCCTCCCTTCCTTTTCGGTCAGAAGCTGACTGTCTTGAAACTTGTTGCGCAGTGGAAGGCTGCGCACCTCTCCCTCTCTCTACTTTGTGCAGTAGCGGTTTTCGTTCTTGGATGGATCGGCAAGCCGGGTCGATCGTCGTTGCGTTGGAGGCTTTGTGAAGTTCTCCCCCCTCTTTCCCCCCCCCTTTTTTTTTCCCTTCCCTTCCTCTTCTCTTTCCTGTTGCTCGGTTGTTGACTACGCTTCAGCCACTTCTCCTTTTATTCCTAAGCCGTGTGTTGGATTCCGTCGAATAGATCGTTCGTTCGCGTTGGTCAAGATCTACGGCATGGATCGGGAAGAAAGGTCGCTCGTTTTTTTGGTCAATATCCTCGCGTCAAGGCGAGGCTTGTTTCGTTGTATTGGATCGTTTTCGCTCGGCCCCGACGGCTCAACAGCCAGCACTCGAGACTCAGCCAAGGGAGGACATCAGGCGCTGTCGGGGTGACGAGTAGCTGGGGCTTGGCTGCGGCCTGTCAGTCCCTGGGGACCTCTAGCTCTGGCTTCGACCCCCTCCCTTGGCCCCTCGGGTGTGTTCCCCTCCTCCTCCCCTCCTCTCTGTCTTAGTATTCCTGGTTCTCCGTGTTTCCGGTCGTGAATTTTTGTATATTCTCCCCCTTTCTTTCTCTAGGCGCTCTTGCCTGGTTTTCGAGTATCTTCGCTCCCGCTCTTGGGACGTGAAGCGGCAGCAGTACTCACCGCCCGTTGGAGTCCGCGTTAGGTGCTCGGCGGGTTTTGATCTGCGCAGCGCTCTTTGCGCGCAGGGGTTTGACTTTCACCCAATTGCTTGCCGTCGTTGCTTTATAACCTCTTTTAGCTCTTTTTGTAGCGGTCCCAGCCAACCCGAAGGATTGCAATTTATGAGCCCCAGTAAAATAAAAAAAAAAACCAGGGACTGCCGAGGGGGAGGTTTTGAGGGACCTTCACCGCGTCTTGTTGTGACTGAGCAGAGACTTGGAGCGTCGAGGGTCGTGGTGGTTGCGCAGTCGTGCTCTTGTCTTCGTCTCGACCGAGTGGGAAGTGGCTGTGGGGTGGGCCTTCTGTCGTTAGTACATTTCTTTTCTTTCTCTTTCTCTTTCTCTTTCTCTTCATCTCTCTTTCTCTCTCTCATTCGTCTCCTGGGGGGGAGCAACCGCTTGGCTAGGGCATTTGAATCCGAATCTCGGATTGGTGGACTTGGCTCGTTTCTCGCACTTTTGCGGGCGGTTTGTGTTATCATCGTAGTCTTCCATCTAGTTTTTCCGTAGGCCGAAACAGGGGGAACAGGAATTGGGGGCAATATGATGAACGTTTTCTACAAAAAAAAAAATGCACACACCAAATTCTCGTGACATCATTTTCTCCTACTGTACACTAAATAGCTCGCTTTCCTCTTTCTTTTGTTACAGGTTCACCGTTGCGGATCATGGACCATCTCGCGATTTGGCGTCGACTCGGTGTGGCTCGCGCTCTTCGGCTTCGGGGTTCTGAGTCAAGGGAGGGATCAGCGGACACAGGCAGAAAGTCGGCTTTGAGGGGCCAGGGACTGCCGAGGGGGAGGTTTTGAGGGACCTTCACCGCGTCTTGTTGTGACTGAGCAGAGACTTGGAGCGTCGAGGGTCGTGGTGGTTGCGCAGTCGTGCTCTTGTCTTCGTCTCGACCGAGTGGGAAGTGGCTGTGGGGTGGGCCTTCTGTCGTTAGTACATTTCTTTTCTTTCTCTTTCTCTTTCTCTTTCTCTTTCTCTTTCTCTTCATCTCTCTTTCTCTCTCTCATTCGTCTCCTGGGGGGGAGCAACCGCTTGGCTAGGGCATTTGAATCCGAATCTCGGATTGGTGGACTTGGCTCGTTTCTCGCACTTTTGCGGGCGGTTTGTGTTATCATCGTAGTCTTCCATCTAGTTTTTCCGTAGGCCGAAACAGGGGGAACAGGAATTGGGGGCAATATGATGAACGTTTTCTACAAAAAAAATTCGCGGCGGCAAGAGGAGGCCGTGCTATGGCAAGGACGTCGTCTTCACACCGAGGTTCAAGGGGGGTCTTGGGGTCATGCGGATGCAGGATGTCGTCGACTCGGTTGCGGCACGCGTCTGGGACGTGCTTCTTGGCGGTTCGGATGCGATCTGGCAGGGACTTGCGCGCGCGGCGATTGTACGAGCCCATCCCGCCCCCGACTTTGACTTGGCAACCGATGCGTGGCCTTGCGACTACACTCCGATCCGAACCGATCTACACCCAAGATGGCAGGCCGTGCTGAAGGTACCATCGACGCACAATGCGCAAGTCAAGCCGAGGACGTTGACGCTCGCGAACCTTCTCGCTCTTCCGATCAAGTTGCACACCCTTCACTACCTACCGGGAGCACCAGCTGTGTCGCGACCACCCTACGACGCCGACTATGCTGCGTTTGCCATTTACGCCAAGGTAGCGGACCTGTTTCGACGCGAGCTGTACCCGGGCGGGGGCTTTCATCTCTGGACGCCGCCGACGGATGTGGTCGTCAGCAACAGCGAATACGATCAACGGGGCCGCCCACAACGAGAGCACATCGTGGCATGGTACCGACATGCGATCAATCGATTGAGGTTCACACCAATAGCTCAACCGGTGGCGGCAGTACGAATCAACGGGCCTCCCCGAGTCCGCCCCACCACGCCGCTCGAGTCGATCCTGCCCCATCCGATCGACCCGCCGCAGCGCCTTCCGAGACCGGCTCTCCCAGACCAATCAACACAATACAACTTGCTCAGCATGGATCGGCCATACACCATCCGTCGCGTCCGCCGAGTCTTGAATGCAAAGGCCTTCACCGACACGATCGGTTTCAGGGACTCGCTGCAGCCCGACGATCTCAAGGGATTTTGGAAGGGGGTCAACTCGAAGGCATTGACGGCGAGGGAACGCGAGGTGTGGTTCAAGCTCGTCAGGAACTTCACCCCGACTCGGAGTCTGCAGTTTCATCAAAAGCACGACGACTCGCCCGCGTGCCTCGTCTGTGGAGCGCCCAAGGACGATCGGGAGCACTACTTCTTCGACTGCGTTGACTCTAGGAACGTTTGGATCGCGGCAAGGGGCGTGCTCTGCGACGCACTGGGGCTCGACACGATCGACAACACGCATTACACGGCCGTTCAACGCATGTTCGGACTTCCGAAGCTCAAGGCCAGTCTGCGCGATCAAGAAGGAGCGGGAAGGACGATCGAAATATTCACCGGGCTGGTCTTGGAGATGATCAGCAGCGGGAGGTGGGGGATGCAGAAGTGGGGGACGAGGATGGAGGGTGTTGGGAGGAGGAGGATAATCTTGGAGGAGAGGTTGAAGCTGAGGGCGGGAGGAGCTTGGGGGAGGAGAAGGCAGTAGAGGCTGGGTTCGACTTTCCCCCCACCACCACACACACACACACCAAATTCTCGTGACATCATTTTCTCCTACTGTACACTAAATAGCTCGCTTTCCTCTTTCTTTTGTTACAGGTTCACCGTTGCGGATCATGGACCATCTCGCGATTTGGCGTCGACTCGGTGTGGCTCGCGCTCTTCGGCTTCGGGGTTCTGAGTCAAGGGAGGGATCAGCGGACACAGGCAGAAAGTCGGCTTTGAGGGGCCAGGGACTGCCGAGGGGGAGGTTTTGAGGGACCTTCACCGCGTCTTGTTGTGACTGAGCAGAGACTTGGAGCGTCGAGGGTCGTGGTGGTTGCGCAGTCGTGCTCTTGTCTTCGTCTCGACCGAGTGGGAAGTGGCTGTGGGGTGGGCCTTCTGTCGTTAGTACATTTATTTTCTTTCTCTTTCTCTTTCTCTTCATCTCTCTTTCTCTCTCTCATTCGTCTCCTGGGGGGGAGCAACCGCTTGGCTAGGGCATTTGAATCCGAATCTCGGATTGGTGGACTCGGCTCGTTTCTCGCACTTTTGCGGGCGGTTTGTGTTATCATCGTAGTCTTCCATCTAGTTTTTCCGCAGGCCGAAACAGGGGGAACAGGAACTGGGGGCAATATGATGAACGTTTTCTACAAAAAAAAAAGTGTGTTCCAGGCTCGGGAGGACGGTGGATTGGGTTTGATTTCGATTGGCGACATCGTTCATTCGGTGGCGCTTCGATTTTGGGATGCTGTGGCGGGCTCGGACGAGGCGATCTGGGCGCCCCTAGCTCGCGAGAGCTGGAGGTGCCTCGTCGCTGCGACCCGCGATTTCAGTCCGTGGGGGTTCTTCAGCAGCACGGCTCGGGTCGAGAAGCTGTATCGCGACTCGACGCGCTGGGGGGCAGTCGTTGCAGCGGCCAGGGTCACAGTTCCAACCATCAAGTCCGAACTCCTTACGCTTCCCGAATTGCTCTCGCTTCCGCCTCGCCTCCCTTCACTCTATGCTGAAGGTGCCCAGCACGCATATGACGATGCGGACGCGGTGGCGAAGTTTGCGCAGATCGCGGACCTGTACTGGAGGGACGAAGGGAAGGGATGGGCTCTGGTTGGTCATCGACGCGGGTTCTGGCAGCACTCTAAGGAACCCGCCCTACAGCACGAGCACGTGTGGTCGCGCGTGGGTCAGTTGCTCAAGGCGAAAGCGTTGCTGCCCAAGACCGCGTTGCGACCTGCTCGGATACCTCTCAAGGAGGCTCCCCGTCCTCGGTGCTTCAACTTCTTTGGGCTCTCCCGACCTTTTACGATTCGCAAGCTTCGTCGGCTTGTGAACAAGGTGCGGTTCCCAGGGAGGGAGGACCGTGTCAAGCGTTTCCCTGATGGGACTTCTCAGAGCGATAGGAAGCGCTTCTGGAGATGGCTTTATGACCGGTTCGCGTCTGCTGTCGAGCAGGACACCCACTGGCGGCTCATGTACGACGTGACGCCGACGCGCAAGAGGCAGCATACTCAGGGTCATGCCTCTTCGCCGACGTGTCTGTTCTGCGGCAACGATGCAGCGGTCATCGAGACGGTGTCCCACTACTTTTTCGAGTGCGCGTACTCGACCAGCTTCTGGGGTGGGGTGCTACGCATTCTGCTTGACAAGCTCGGCATCGAGGATACCGACGTCGATCCGTCGACGTTCACTCCGGAGCAGCTGACTATGGGGCTCCCCCTTTTGCGGGGTCGTGGGAGAACGACCTCGAAATGGATGTGGGTTCGGCTGGCCTGCGCGATCGGCTTCCAGCGGCTGCACCTGCTCCGCTGGCGCGTTCATCAGCGGTTCGAGCTGGACAACGTCGTGGCCCCTCCCTCGCTTCCCAGTGCGCTCAGAGCGTTCGAGCGAGATTTCCTCTCTCGAGCGGGTTTTGTGCCTGGGGTTCGAGATTGGGAGGTGTGATGACCGAGTTAAGTCCTTCCTTCCCATTTTCCTCCCCTCCTTTCCTCCCTTCCTTTTCGGTCAGAAGCTGACTGTCTTGAAACTTGTTGCGCAGTGGAAGGCTGCGCACCTCTCCCTCTCTCTACTTTGCGCAGTAGCGATTTTCGTTCTTGGATGGATCGGCAAGCCGGGTCGATCGTCGTTGCGTTGGAGGCTTTGTGAAGCTCTCCCCCCTCTTTCCCCCCCCTTTTTTTTCCCTTCCCTTCCTCTTCTCTTTCCTGTTGCTCGGTTGTTGACTACGCTTCAGCCACTTCTCCTTTTATTCCTAAGCCGTGTGTTGGATTCCGTCGAATGGATCGTTCGTTCGCGTTGGTCAAGTTCTACGGCATGGATCGGGAAGAAAGGTCGCTCGTTTCTTGGTCAATATCCTCGCGTCAAGGCGAGGCTCGTTTCGTTGTATTGGATCGTTTTCGCTCGGCCCCGACGGCTCAACAGCCAGCACTCGAGACTCAGCCAAGGGAGGACATCAGGCGCTGTCGGGGTGACGAGTAGCTGGGGCTTGGCTGCGGCCTGTCAGTCCCTGGGGACCTCTAGCTCTGGCTTCGACCCCCTCCCTTGGCCCCTCGGGTGTGTTCCCCTCCTCCTCCCCTCCTCTCTGTCTTAGTATTCCTGGTTCTCCGTGTTTCCAGTCGTGAATGTTTGTATATTCTCCCCTTTTCTTTCTCTAGGCGCTCTTGCCTGGTTTTCGAGTATCTTCGCTCCCGCTCTTGGGACGTAAAGCGGCAGCAGTACTCACCGCCCGTTGGAGTCCGCGTTAGGTGCTCGGCGGGTTTTGATCTGCGCAGCGCTCTTTGCGCGCAGGGGTTTGACTTTCACCCAATTGCTTGCCGTCGTTGCTTTATAACCTCTTTTAGCTCTTTTTCTAGCGGTCCCAGCCAACCCGAAGGATTGCAATTTATGAGCCCCAGTAAAATAAAATAAAAAGGGTGTTACTCTTTCTCTTTCTCTCTCTCTCTCCTTCTCTCTCTCATTAGTCTCCTGGGGGGGAGCAACCGCTTGGCTGGGGCACTTGAATCCCAAGTATCGGATTGGTGGACACCGGCCCGTTTCTCGCATCTTGCGGGCGGTTTGTGTTATCATCGTCGACTTCCATCTAGTTTTTCCATAGGCCAAATAGGGGGAACATGAACTGGGGGCAATATGATGAACAAGTTCTACAAAAAAAAACGGGTGGGGGGGACTTGAACTCGGATGTATCGGGTTGGTCTGTTCTGCTAGTTACAACGCATTGAGCGGCGGTTGTGGTCATCATCGTGCATACTGGGTAGCATCTCCTTTAGTTCCGTAGGGGGTTTTCTCGTCTTGCAAATTAGCGATGAGTTTCATACAAAAAAAAAACGGATGAGACATTGTTGAGTTCGACGACGTCCGTCGAACCCCGCACATCGAAGGTGGTCACGAGCAAGCGCCCGCCGAGAGACTGGCGCGAACGACGATGACCACCGAGAAGAGGAGAAGAGCTTGGAATCAAAGTGAGGCAGTGTTGAGAAAAGTAGGCCTCGCCCTGGTGGGACTGGGCGTACTCGTGGCGTATGTGAGATTGTCGTGATTTAGGAACATTGTGTTCCTGGAGAAGGATAGCAGAAGGGGGAGGTGTGAGCGACTTTCATCTTTCATCTTTCATCTTTCGCGCTACCCTACCTCGGCAAACGTCAATACATCGAATACATCAACTGCTACACCAGCTAACGACCCGATGTCCGACCCGGCACCGCCTGATCCGGGCCGCGGCCCTCCGGAGCCGGCAGCGACGGGACAACCACGTGGCGCGCGGTGGCGGAGGCCGATGCCGCCGAGGGACCAGCGAACCCCGGCCTAGCGCTGTATCAGGAAAAGCGTGATGAAGAAAAGAAGAGGAAAGAGGATGTCGCGAGAATCCTGAAGATGATCAGTCTCGAAGATGGCACACGCCAGGGCACCCGCATCCTTGTGCTCAAAGACGCACTCGGCTTCGGCAAGGACCGGGCCACCTCCCTGCGCTTTAGCGCACTCAATGCAACGAAACCAATCGCCGACACGTCTGGTGCAGTTCTGGAAGTCACGTTCGAACACACCGGTGTGGCCACCGAACGCGAGAAGTCCGAGTTGTACTCGAAGGTGCTCCGTACCCTGTCGCCCGACACGTCGTTGTGTTTTAACCTGCCCGCAGGAGTTGTCCTCCCGCCCGAGCTCCAAAAATACGCTCCAATCATCCATGGAGTCGCACCGGAATCGATCACCCAAAGCGGTAACACCCGGTTCAAGTTCGTGGTGCGCTGCGCTAGCGCAGCGGCGCTCGACCAAGTCCACGACGCGGCGACCAAGATCGAGTGGAAACGCTCCTTTGCCCAAGTCCGCAAGCGCTTGGCGTTCGTCAAAAACGTCGTCGAACTGCGTTTCATTATCAGTCCTGAGGCCGAATACACGAACGACGACCTCTGGAACAAACTGCAAGGCGTCGTCGCCAAGCTTACCGGGGACGGCCACAAGTGCGACTTGCTCCGACTCCAGCAGCCTCTAACGGTCGTTCAAGGCTCGTACCTCGTCGCTCGAGGAAACTACGCGGCCATCGTCCAGTTCGACGACGACGACCTGTTCAAGAACAACGGTGCTCAACTTCGGCAGGTTCTACCGACGAGGATCGACCTTCGGGGACGACTCGCAACACTCACGCCCCTTCGCCACGACTACGAGGCCGAAGCCTCGTGCCGCCGATGCGGTTTTGTAGGCCACTCCGACAACTGCGTTCAAAAGCCGGTCCAGCGTCAGCAGGCCGCCCAGAAAAACAACAACAACCAAAAGCCCCAGGCCGAGCCCCAAAGCAACATCGAGCAAACCTCGACCCCCCAAAAACAACGCAGAGGTGAAGTAGCCTCTCCCTCTCCCCCAATGTCTCCTGTCGCGTTCAAGCGTTCAAAGAAGAACGCATCTCCCCCAAGGGACACTAACAACTCACCACGAGTCTACCCTACTCGTTCACAAAGCTCTACACCCACAGCATCCGCCCCTCGCGGTTTCATCGTCGCCGCAAACCCATTCGCAAGTCTGGCCGGCGACGTGGCCGAGGAGGCGCAGGAGGAGCCCGCTCAGGCCCTCGAGGACGACGAGGACGCGATGAGCGTAGTCGAGGCACAGCTGGAACAACAGAGGAGGTGCCGCCGTTGGAGCCTTCGGATCTGTCGGATCTGCAGGACCGCGGAGCGGAGGGGAACCAGGAGGAACACACGGAGACGAGTGACTCGGAAGAAGGGGAATCGCAGTCGGCCGAGACGGGCGCTGTGCCTGAGATTGTTTCGACGACTCCTGAGCATACCCCTGAGCCGACGCGGTCCCGATCGGCCAGTCACCATCAGCTTGATATGGACGGCCTTCCCGACGACTGGATGAATCGTGTGTCGGATCGCGAGCGCAAACAGGATGCCGGTCTGTACGATGAGATCACCGAGTTGGACCGCACCCCGTCTGTGACCGGTTGGATGCCTTCGCCGTCTCCAGGTCCAGTGTTTGATCCCGAGCCCGAGCCCAAGCAGGAGGTGGACGAAGGAAGTTCCCAGGGTCTTCGCCGGTCCGAGCGTATCCAGCGTCTCACCAGCGTCGCGCGCACATCGGACTGGAACGAATCGACCGCCGCGGACCCTCTCCCCTCACCCACATTCGGACCTATGTTGTCCATCAAGGGAGCTGCTGCTGCAACGAGGGCGCGATCGTAATGATTGAGTTCATCATCATGACCTGGAACGTCAACAGGGGCTTCAATACCCCCGAACGACGTCGTCTGCTTCTTTCGTATCTCACTTCGCTCACACCTCCCCCTTCTGCTATCCTTCTCCAGGAACACAATGTTCCTAAATCACGACAATCTCACATACGCCACGAGTACGCCCAGTCCCACCAGGGCGAGGCCTACTTTTCTCAACACTGCCTCACTTTGATTCCAAGCTCTTCTCCTCTTCTCGGTGGTCATCGTCGCTCGCGCCAGTCTCTCGGCGGGCGCTTGCTCGTGACCACCTTCGATGTGCGGGGTTCGACGGACGTCGTCGAACTCAACAATGTCTACGCTCCGGTTCAACCCGCCGAGCGCCTCCTCTTCTTCACCTCCCTTCACTTTCGGGCGACCGTCTCCTCTCACATTCGGTTCATCGCCGGCGATCTCAACGACTGCCCTATTCCCGCGGTGGATCGAGCGCGACAGGTGGACCGCCCGAACACCCACCACTGGCCCGTGCTTATGTCTCGGCTCGACGGGGTGTACACGGATGCCATTCGGCTCATGCACCCGCTGTCGCCGGCGACCACGCGCCCGCATCTCAGCAAGGACGGCCGGCTCATTTCGCGCGCGCGCATCGACTTTGTTCTGGTGCAGCGGCGACACGAGCGACGGATCGTTTCTGCTTCCACAATATCTCTCGATCCATGTCGGATCATCGACCGGTTACGGTCACATTTCGGCTTCGCGCAAGTGGTGCCGAGGTCGAAGAGGAGCTCTGCCTTCCCCAGGCGGCTCATTTTCTGACCCGCATCAACTCGTCGACCTTCAAACACGCCGAGTTTAAGGAGTTCGTCACTCCTCTCCTTGAGCAAGCACCGTCTGGGGATCCGGTCGCGGACCTTCAGCGCGTACTCTCGGAGTCTCGGGTCCAAGCTCTCGAGCTGTCTCGGCGTCTGTATCGGGAGCGCAACGCCCTCGAGATGATGCTGGTATCTCGACTGCAGGACATTGAGTCTCGTCGGGTGATGAGCCCCTTTGACGTCATCGACTGGACGAACACCCACGACGCTCTCTCCAAGCTTGTGAACGAGCGCGCAAGGCAGTCCCGGATCAGGGCGCATGTGCCCGAGATTGCATCCGAGGAACGTCTCAGTCGTCCGGTACATGCCAAACTGGCTGCTCGGTCCCGGGATGTGAAGTTTCAGAGTATCCGGCTCGCTGATGGCGAGCTCACCACTGACATTGAGCGCGCGCTCGAGCACACCCATTCTCATTTCCAGCAGCACTACCTTGTCGAAGCGAAGGATCCGGAACAGGTCGTGACGATGCGGGATGAGCTCTTGGGACCCATCAGATCAGCAAGACCTTGTGACGACCCGCTTTCCGACGCTCGCTTCCTTCGGCGCTTCTCGAATTCGCACGTCGACATTCTGGCCGAGCCCATCAGCGAAGCCGAGGTGCTCGCAGCGATTCGAACCACGCACGAAGGTCGATCTCCGGGGCCTTCAGGGGTCCCCTATGAGATGTATCGAGCCTGCCCCTTGCTTTGGGCCCCTCTCTTGACTCGAGCCTACAACGAGCTGATTACTCGAGGCTCCCTTACTCCACAACAGAGCCAGGCCAATGTGCGCCTCTTGTTCAAACACAACAAACCTGGTGCAGCGCGATGCGACCTCAAATCGTATCGTCCGATCACCTTGCGGGAATGCGACTACAAGATCTTCACCAAGGTCTACGTGGCTCGTCTGAACCGGATCCTCCCCGATGTTCTTCCGGCCGGACAGCATGGGTTCGTTAAGGGGCGAAGACCAGCGGACGCGGCTTTGCATCTGAGGCTCCTGATCGACGAGATTAGGGGTCGTGGGGCAGAGTTCCCGACAGCAGCGCTCCTCTCCCTGGATCAGAGCTCGGCTTACGACATGGTCGAGCACGATTGGGTCTTTGCGGTGTTTGAGGCTCTCGGCGCGCCGGAATCTTTCCAGTGCGTCTTGCGGATGCTCTACAACGGCGAGACGTCCACAGCGCGGTATATCGTCAACGGTTTCCTCACCGAGACGGTACGACTCCTGTGCGGTCTTGGCCAGGGCGATCCTCTCTCTTCTTCTGTCTGGGATGTGGTGTTCCAACCCTTCCTTGAAGTAAAAGTGCACCACCTATAGAGGTGGCAGCGGTAGGACGATACGCAGCAGTGTCAAAACCGATAGTTGAGGAACAAGTGATTAAAGAAAAGCTAAACAAGGGAGTCCGCATTGCGAAGGCATAGGCCCACGCGCAAGAATATAATCCACTCAGACACTAAGTTTAATCCACTGCCTTAAAACCAATCGAGCCCCTGGGCGCGCGCCGCGCCTCGTTACCGATGGCCTACCACCTAGACAACACTCTCCGTACTCCCCAGGAGCCTCGGGTTCTTTGCGCCGGCGGGCATCGTCGCCCTTGGTTCGAGCTTCTGCCACATCACGATGACACACAGCGAAAGCGGATCCCCTCGGCCCTCTCCTGGACTCCGCCGTGAGTTTTCCACTCCTCTCAAGGGCCGGGTCTGTTTTCTCTTTCGGTCGAGCGACTCCGTGATCTCCTGTTCAAGGCCGGCACAAACTGCCTGCGTGGCTCGCCTCTCCTTGCTTTGCTGCTCGCTCGGAGTCGCGGCCGCGCGGCGGGTGACTCGGGTACCGAACCGCCATACACATCCACACTCGAGCGAGGTCCCACCCAATGACATCACCGTCGTGGGCCTCATGCTCCTTCTTTCCCCAGTATCTGCGGTGATTGGGAACCACCTGCACGTACAACGGGACTCGAGTGTGCGTTCCGAGATTGGGAGTACGCCGCAGGGAAGCGAGGCCCCTGCGGAAGGTATACCCCGCCTCTTGTCTCCAGCTGCGCGCCGGTGTTGACGGCCACCCGCCCGCGCTGCAGACCGAGGCGTGTCCAATGGACTGTCACATGCTCCGTGACTTTCCCCGGAAATCTCTGGATTGTGTGTTTTTGTGCGAAGTAGGCCCGTTTCGCAGTTGCAGTCATTGAAATGGGGGTGATCTGGGGTCGTGCGGTCGCGAGGGGGGGGGGCCGACTTTGGTAACCGAAAAGGGGTTTGGAATCCGCGGTGCAGATCCAGCGCAGTTGGGTACAAGGGGTATGTGATTGCTGCGGTCGCAGGGGGTTACATCCCCCCTTTGGACCACGTGAATCATTCGGGTTGAGCGGGATGTTTGTGCCATCGGAGGCCTTGTTCGACGCGTGTCAAAGAATTAAGGGGCCTCAAGGAGTATGGTGGTCTCAGGGGGATCTGAAGTCAAAAGATCGAAGAAGGTTCAACTGTACAACTATGATCGGATTCGCCTGTACAACACATGTACCACCACCAACATTTCTTCCATCGTTTCCCGATTCCTTGTGTATTATCTTCAATCTTCCTTTCATTCGTCTCTGGGAGGGAGCAACCGTGGGTGGGGGGGACTTGAACTCGGACGTATCGGGTTGGTCTGTTCTGCTAGTTACAACGCATCGAGCGGCGGTTGTGGTCATCATCGTGCATACTGGGCAGCATCTCCTTTAGTTCCGTAGGGGGTTTTCTCATCTTGCAAATTAGCGATGAGTTCCATACAAACAAAAAAAAAAAAAAGAAAAAAAAGAAAAAAACGGAAAAAAAATCGGAAAAAAAAAAAATCGGGCCTCAGCTTCTTCTTTCCCCAGTACTAGAGTTACTTAGTAGTCCCACTCAAAAACCCCGTAGAGAAAGCGCGCCGAACCATTTTCTGAGAAAGTCTAATTCGAAAATAAATGAAAGCGATTTTCGTCATGGTCGAGTTTCTGCGGACGTTGCAAATTCACGTGCGGCAACCTTTTCTGCCTTTCAAAAATGAGGCGGACGGTCCGTGCGCAAGTGATCTGACATGTAGACGAAGACGCGTCACGCGATAAACCGGAATAGGAGCGTCTGTCGCCGCGTCCTTCCGCGACTCGTTGGCTTAGGGGTTCCTTTCCGACATCCCTCCGACACGTCTTCTCCTTTCGCCTTTTCGTTTCCCACTCCCCGCTCGTACTACTCGGCGTGCAGAGCGTCAATTTGGCCTTTATTAGAGGAAAGTGAGCAGCGCTGCAGCGCTAATCGCGGCCTCGGGAAGTCTAACGTTGGAAGAGGAGGTCCAAGCGCGAAGCTCGAGCGCGTCTAACAACATCTGGCTTCGGCCAATCTCCACGTCGCGTGCTAGAGTTGAGCGCTCACCTGTAAGGTAGTGTACGATGACATGGTGGAAGAAAGGCCCTATCCGGCGGGGCGTACTCGGCGGAGCGTACTCGGCGGGGCAACACGGGCGAACTTCACGAAATGAGCGCGACAACTTTTTAATAGGGGGCACGGGCGCTCGGCGTTTCACGTGACCTTCACAATCTACATCACGAAATAAAATGAAAAGTGAACAGATCTGTCCAAAAATCTGAGGTTCAGGTCGGATTTTTGAAAGCGCTTCAAACGCGTTTGCTTTTCAAAAACTGAAGCGATCACGATCGAGCCTAACCCAAAGAGGAAGGCGCGAGCGATTTCACAAAGTCTAAACTTCAGAATCTGAAGCGCTCGGACGGTCGTTTGGGGTTTTTGAGTGGGACGTATAAGTCATTAGACGGGGGTGTTCTGGGGCGGGGTTGGTTCATTGTGAGGGGTCGCGGCGGGGCTTTGGTTAGGTGGATCGGCGGCGTTGGCGCACTGTGTAGTTGGGCACAAGGGGTAAGTGATTGCTGCGGTCGAAGGGGGTGACATTCCACTTCGACTACGTGACTCATTCGGATGAGCCATGGACTCGTGCCATCGGAAACCTTGTTTGGGGTAAGGCAAGGAATAAACTGAAGGCCTCGAGGGGTTAGGAGGCTCTGGAGGCGGCTCCAAGTCGAAGGCCCGAAGAAGGTTCCCACTGTACAACATCTCGGACGCACACCTGTACAACAAAGTATACCAGCACCAACTCCATCCTCGACACCTCTCATTTGTCTCCTGTACTATCTTCGATCTTTCCCTCATTCGTGCTCTGGGAGGGAGCAACCGCTGGGTGGGGGGCGGGCCAGTCGGGTTGGTTTGTTCTGCTACTTACAACGCGTCATGCGGGCGGTTGTGGTTATTATCGTGCATTCTGGGTAGTATTCCGTGGGGGTTTGCTCGTCTTGCAAACTAGCGATGAGTTTTATACAAAAAAAAAAGTAGAGGTCTCAACATAATAAACGGGACGGCCCGCACTTTGGCGGGCATTATCGTCGACTTCCATCTAGTTTCTCCGTAGGCCAAAACAGGGGACAGGGTTTGGGGCCAACATTATGAACCGTTTCTACAAGCAAAAAAAAAATAAAAAATGAAGAAGAAGAAGGGGGGTGGGGGAAGAGCCTATGTAACGTCTTCGACCTGGTGTGATAATATGGGTAGTGCGCATAGAAGTGTGTAAATTTTCTGCAGAGACGTCACAGTATTTCCGTGTGTCGCTGTTATCCGTCAATCGAAGTTGATACGGGGAAAAGACACTACTGCGAAGCGTTCTCGGATTTTACAAGCACCATGGAATAACCTAGCTCGGCGTGAGCGTAGCTCAAAATACTCGGCTGAGTTTAGACGTCGATCACGCCACGTGATGACGTACCTGTTGCCTCAGGGCCTCAGGCTTCGGGAGGCGGCTGCTGGCCCTCTTGACGTCTCCCTGCCTTACGCGGCCAGTCGACCTCGATCTTGGCCCACTTCAACCGCTTTACAGACGACTGCGAGTTGGCTTCAGATCGAGCCCCGCTGACTGAGTCTGTGATCGACCCTTCCCTTGCCCGCCCTGATCGTCTACACGGTCTACGCCTACGCTCGCCGTCGTCCACGCCCGACACCGGCGGTGCTGCCACCACTTCGCCGCTGACCTTCACCCCTGACCTGTTTGACTATCCTCGACACCGTGAAACCTATCACTCGCTCTGATACCGCGCCGTTCATGTCATCTCGCCTATCCCGACCGTCGATCAGTCGACGCTCGTCTCGCATGGCCTCGACGACCTCGATGCCGAGTGCTGCCGTTCCCGATCAGGCCGATGCCGCCAATGAGGCAACCACCCTCACCGCTTTGGCGACCAAAGGTGAGTGCTCCACCCGTCGTTCTCCCAGGCAGCTGATCCGAGATGGACTGATTTTGTGCTCGCCGTGCCCATACAGCCGGACCTGAAGAATCGCTGAGATCGTACGCAATGCTGCAAGCCTTGCGAGCAGGTAGGTCATTGTCGCTCGACTTCGGGCCGGCTCCTTCTTGGCTGCACCATCGACCGAGCCTCTCGGGGTGGTATTCGTTGCCGCACGCCGTTGATTGACGATGACAGCTGACCCGATGACCCGCCTTCGATGGCAATCTACCCTCCCAGGTGACGTCGACGCATTGGCTCCATTGCTCGCTCAGCATGCCGAGGCGCGCAAGAAGCAACGCCGGGAAGCGGAAATTGAGGTCGAGATCAACTCGCCCTTGCACATGGCGGTGCGGTGCGCAAAATGTACATACGATCATCACTTGCCTGAAGCAATCATGGAAGAAGCGGTTGCTGATCCCGTTTGCCCTTTGAGCAGACCCGGTCGTCGAAGCGGTGCTCAAGCAGGTGCCCGGCTGCCTCAACGCCCAGGATCCACGCGGCCAAACCCCGCTGCACGTTGCCGCTTCTCTGAACAGGACGGACGTTGTGGCGCTGTTGCTGCTCGATGACAAGATCGACGATGCTGTCAAGGACTGTCAGGGCAAGACGGCCCTCGAATCCGCAAGCAGCGCCGACACGGCTAAGCTCATTTCAGGTGAGTCCTCGTTCGGCCAGGCGGAAGGTGCTACCCTGGTACAGAGGGTCCGAATCGCCTGGATCTCAGCGACTGATCCGGGATGCTCGTCGCGTGTAGTCTCCCGTTCGCACTACACAGAAAAATACCTTGCCTTGCTTGCCGCCTACATCGCCTCCGCTGGTGGCGAAACATCGACGTCGTCGGGACACCGACACACCCCTTCCCTTGCATCGATCCGGCCAGGCAAATCCGAAGCGACGGGCGAGGTTTCAGCCGCCTCGGGCCATGTCAGCAATGCCACTGCCGAGGCCGTCTACCATTTTCTTCAGCAGCCCCGGTCGACGGGCATCGATTACTCGCTCAAGGACCACGCTACGGGCACGACTTTGCTCCACGAAGCGACGAGACGCAAAGATCTCGGTCTCATCAAGCTCGCGATTTCGAAGGGGGCCGACGTGCTCGCTCGTGACGGCAAAGGCAAGATCCCTTTGGACGTCGCCAGGGACGAGAGGATTAAGTCCTACCTGAAGCAAGCTGCGATCACCGAGGGCCGAGCACTCAAAGCTTCGTCGTCGCACCTCTCGTCGTCCACCAGCGGTGCACCCTTACTAGCGGGCGAGACCCCCTCAATGCGGGGCTACCTCAGCAAATGGACCAACATGGCTCGGGGATATCGCTCGAGGTGGTTCGTGCTCTCCAACGGCGTGCTCTCGTACTACCGCTCGCAAGAGGACGAAGGCAAGGCTTCGCGAGGTTCGATTAACATGGGCGTGGCGCAGATCGTGACATCGGCGTCCGACAAGCTCAAGTTCGAGGTCAATAACAAGCTCGGTAAAAGCTTCCCATCATTCTTCCTCAAGGGCAGCCACCCAGTCGAGGTCATGCGCTGGGTCGACGCCCTCAAGCAAAACGTCGCCTATGCCAAAGAGCTCAGCAACACGGTCAGCCAGACGCCTTCTCGTGCGCCTTCGATCGCTCCTTCGGTGGGTGGAGGGAGCCTCGAGAGGCGGATTTCGACTCTAGACCCGGACGGCACCGGCATGGATTCGCAAGGCCGAAATTTGAACGACCGCGATGGATCGATACTCGATGATGAAACGTTCAATGACGACAACGATGCTGTTCCGCACGCCGATGACTTTGAATTGCTCGCCCAGGGAACTCGCACGCAGGTGGAGTTGACCCGACAGCTCGTCGAGACTTTGCGCGTGGCTGAGGCGGATCCTGCGAACGCAAACGTCGTGTTCGACGAGGTCAGAAAGGCAATCGTGGGCTCGCTGGGAACCCTCGAGTCTGCTTTGGACGAGTACATCGATGTCGTCAACCTGCGCGAGCGCTTCTTCGTTCGCAAGTACGAACGCGAGATCGATGCCAAACGAATGTGGGAGGAGAACATGAAGGAGCTCGCCGCTCAACACGCCGCTATCGAGGCCGAATTGCAAAAGACGTCTCGAGACAGCACGCGACGAAAGCGCGCGCTGCAAGAGGTTCGGGCGAACCTGCTGTCGTCACCCCCAATGAGTCCGATCGCCGGCACGCCTATCGACACGAATCCGGGTTCAAAGGCGCTGCAAGTCGACACCCAAAGTCTGGCGACGGCGACGGCGGTAAATGCTGCCGCAATGAGTAGTCCTCGGAGCGCTCGTGGCCGGTCAACCACCATGCACACACTCAAGCCGCAAGAGCTCGAAGACCTCGTTGATTCGGCGCTCGCTGGCGAAGCGGGCGAGGACGACTCGGCACTCTCGGACGATTCTGACGAGTTCTTTGAGGCGGTCGAGTCGGGTCAGATTCCCGTCGACAACGATGACGATGACAAATCCGCGCCCACAGCACCTGAGGCCGAGGCGTTGAGTGCCAAGTTTGACACCGCTCCCTTCGAAGGCTACCGCAACTTGCGCCAGCGACTGCCCATCACCACCGACAATCGGCCGCCCGTATCACTCTGGGCCATTCTCAAAGGCTCCATTGGCAAGGATCTGACCAAGATCTCGTTCCCCGTCTTCTTCAACGAGCCGACGTCGATGCTGCAGCGCATGGCCGAGGACGTCGAATTTTCCGACGTGCTCGATCATGCCGCGGCGCAAGAGGACGCCACCAGGCGCATTGCTTTCGTCGCGGCCTTTGCGATGTCGAACTACTCGTCCACGATCGGCCGCATTGCAAAACCGTTCAACCCGATGCTGGGCGAGACCTTTGAATTTGCGGATCTGTCGAAGAAGTACCGCTACATTTCGGAGCAGGTGTCGCACCATCCCCCAATCAGCGCGTGCATCGCCCAATCCGCGACGTGGGACTATTATGGAGAAGGTGCGCCTTTCTGTCTCTCTTTCGCGAGGTCATCTGCCTCGGAACATGCATTTGAACTGATCTTCGATTTTATTGCCTTTCCTAGTTGATGCCAAAAGCAAATTTATGGGCAAGAGTTTCGAGATCCGCCCGACTGGTATTGCTCATGCCAAACTAAAGATACCAGCGGCATGGGGGCCGAACTACCCGGCATCCACCACGCCAGGACTCGTCGAAGAGCACTACAGCTGGACCAAAGTTACGACGTCGGTCAGCAACTTCTTGCTCGGCAATCCTATTATTGATCACTTCGGCGACATGATAATCACCAACCACCGAACGGGCCATCTGTGCAAGTTGACGTTTAAGCCGCGAGGATGGCGCAGCTCGGGCGCGGCTGAAGTTAAGGGCAAGGTCATGGACAAGGATGGCAAGGAATTTTGGGACCTTGCCGGCAAGTGGTCTAGCCAGCTGGTAGCTCGTCGTGTAGGCGCCGGCTCGGGTGATCTTGCGCCCGACGCAGCTGTGCCGACAAACAAGGATGGCGACGTCTCTCCCGAATACATTCGCCTGTGGAAGAACTCCGAGAAGCCGAACCCACCCTTACCGTTCAACCTGACCCCGTGGGCGGTGCAACTCAACGACGACAACGCCGGATTGCGCAAGTGGCTCCCGCCGACCGACTGCCGCCTTCGTCCCGACCAACACGCGTTCGAGAATGGCAAGTTCGAGCGGGCCAACGATCTCAAATCTGAACTGGAGGACCATCAACGCGCCACGCGCCGCAAGCGTGAGCAAGGTCAATGGCCACCGCACGCAGCGCGTTGGTTCCGACGAACTAAGGACAAGGACACCGGGGAGTCGTTTTGGGAGCCCGTCAAGACAAGTGACGGGATGGTCGAGTATTGGGAAGAGAGAACCCGCGTCGGCAAGGCCAAGGAAAGGGGAGAAGAGACCGAGTGGAAGGGAGTCGAGCCAATTTTTGCAGACTTCCAGGTGTGATGACTCTGCCGATCTTCCCAATTTACCATGACTCTCTATGTAGTATCAGCTTGGTTTTAGTCTCTGTATGGACTTTCAGGTGTTGATTGATGTCCACGCTCAGCGGGCCATTGTTGGAAAATTCTCGAGCAAGCTTCTAGCTTCTACAAGCGTCGTACTGAACACTGCAGAATCAGGGCCACTAAAGATAGTATATGGTACTCTGGGGAGGAGTTTATATATGTACGGCGACATGCCAGCTTCTCGCATAGCCGTTCAGGTTAGCTCTTGTCCACCACGCTTCCTCAATTTGAAGATCGCCATCTCCTTCTCGACCTCCTTCTCCACACGCGCATCCTCTTCGTCCAGCCTCTTGCGCTCTGCTTCAAGCTCGTCCGTGGTTTCCTCCAGCTTGCCCTCCCCTCGCGCTTTGCGGATCGGATTCTCAACGTCCATGACACCCGTGCGCTGCATGCGGTCGAAGAGCACGTATAGTTTCTCGGCTTCTCGCTCTTTTTCCTCCTCGGTCATTTCGTCCTCAGTGTCGAAGTCGGGTGGGAGCTCGAAAGCACCCGTGATGGGATTGACGGTTCGGGGTCCGGATCTCATCGCGTTGATCTCGTTCCCCTCCTCTCGCACCGTTGAAGCCGATGAGAGCGTGCTCCAAGGACGGCCTTTCTCGGCGGTACCGTCAGACGTTCTCACGGAACTGGTGGGGTTCCCGCTCTTGCGCCGCCTTTGCGGAGATTGATGGATGGGCGGCGGAGGAATGAGCTCACCTCGATTCTGAAGGAATCCCGAAGCGTTGCCGTAGCCAATCTGGGTCGAGAGGGTGGCTGGGTCCCGGTCGCACAGGTTGTAGAGGAATTCGCCGACGCCGTATGCGGTGTTGGGTAGCAATAGCGACGAAAGGAGCCGTACGAGGTGACCCGTCAGGTCAGACCTTTGTTCGAGGGGAAGCGAGCGATCACTGTGAATGAACGAACAAGTCAGGCCTGGAACGAGAGGTGCGAGATGGGATACTGTAGGGACTCGCATGTCATCGGGGAGAAGGATTTCTCGTATGATCTCGGCTGGTTCCGCAAGCATTGAGACCTTGCGCAACAGCAACATAACGGGACCGAGGATTTCATCCACCTTGGCACTTTCACCGCCAGTACCTCGAGGCAAGAGATCGTCGGGATGAGCAGGCAGCTGCACGTGGCTCGCCGGGACGGTAGGCCGACGGTTGTGCAAGGTCTTTTCCAAAGGTGCTTTGTCGACGGGGAACCAGGCGTTGCACGTCATGGCTAGAATCTCCATTAACCGGCCTGGTAATGAAGGAAGCCGCGGGACATTGCGTCGCGTGCAGTAGGTTGTGACGCGGGCGAGCGAATCCGACTCCGGCACGGGCTGCAGCCACGAGTACTCGAGCCCATCGAACTCCTCGAGCTCGATGGGGAAGTTGAGCAAAGTGTTGAGAGCGCCGCGGAGCAGCGGATTGGGATCCTGGGGATCGTCGCCGAGCCCGAGGCAGCAGGCAAGCGTCAGGCATGGCCTGAACAGAGGCAGGAACGGTCGCACGGTCTCGAGTGTGAGCATCCCCGAGCTCCCGTTTTCAGAGTTGGGGGGGACAGTATCCCGTCTTGGTGTAGAAGTGTGGCTGGAGAGGGAGCTCTGAGTCACAGTTGGCGATGGTGACGGACTACGCGTCGATGAGCCCGGAGAGCCCCCTACGGCCTCACGAATTTTGCGGCCAAAATTGCTCGAAGTTTTGGAAAATTGCCGGTCGGCGGTTGCCGATGCTAGCATGTCACTGGTTCCGGGCATTCTGAGTGACTCCCCCTCATCGCTGCTCGGCTCGGTCGTAGTAGAGATGGACCGATTACTCATGCCAGACCACCTGAAGCGCCTCTTCTTTTCCTTGACGGCGAGCTCGGTTGTAGCCGAACCGAGGGAGCCGAATCGCTGGGCGCCTTCTGATTGAGGTTGAAACAGATCGTCGTCGACATCACTCGTGTCTCGGACTGGATCGGAATGCGAGGACGAGTCGGTTGAAACGAAGCTAGCAGGCGAAGTGGAAGAGTCCGATTGGTCAGGGACGGATAACGGTGACATCGCTTCCGTTTCGGAGACGGGGGTGAGAGGTGGCTGAGACAGGGCTGGAGCGAGGCGTCCATACTGCAGCATGATGTTGTAAGCCAGTTTTAGGTGCTCGCGCAGTGTGTCGGCGGGGGTCGGCATGGGCCCCGTGGTCAACGAGAGGGCCAGCTCGGGATCTCGAAGCCTGCGAAGGTAGCGATCGGCGAACTGGAGCGAGCAAAACGGAAACCTGTCAGAAATACTACAACGCCTGGTTGAAAGTGGGCCGAAATCGAGCCGCGGCTGAATGGGGCTGCTGACCTTTCGCATCTTTTCGATCGTGTCACGATTTTCGGTGAGCTCGACGATCAAGGGAGTGGGCTTGCTCGTGATGAGGAACAGTACGCGACCGCTGAGGAACCCTGCGGTGTCACAGTCGAGCAATCGTAGTAGGCCGCGTACTGCCTTGCGGCTGGGATCGTTGCGTAGCCAGTCCGAGAAGCTGTCGCGCGAGCTCGGATGGAGCATGAGGGTGTTGCAAAGACAGCGCAGCGCCTCGCATTCGTAGGGGAACAACGGATCCGACTGCCCTTGCAGGTAGTCACCGTCCTCGGGCTCTTCTTCGCTTGTCGATCCGCTGATGCCGAGATCCTGCACATTGAAGGTGGTCGGCAGCACCCTCGAGTTGCGGCGCGATGTCGGGACGGGCAGTCGGCCGACGCGGTCCAACCCGCCGAGCTGCACGAGTACGCTCAACGCTTGCGCACGGCCGAGCTCCTCACTCCCCGCGGCGGAGCGGCCGAGCAGCTTGAGTATCGACGCGATCGGAGTGAGCATCGTCGGCGAGGAGGTGAGCAGGAACGAGGCTTGTAGCGAGGACAGGATCGCGGCGAGCAGTCGCCGCCGAACTTCGGGCACGGGTTCCTCGCCCTTTTGGAGCACTGTGGAGCGAAGCCGGGCGGGGGTGCGTCATCACGGCAACATCGAGGCAGACCATCAACCGACACAATGTATGATGACGACGGTTTTGGGCGTCGACGGCAAGGGTAGGCAGGCAGGTAGTCAGTAAAATGAGGCTAGTCAGCCGGGGGGGGGGGGGGGGGGGGGAGAGGGGTGGGGGGGGGCGGCCACCTCCGACCTCTGACCGCCGACCGCCGACAGGCTGTGCGGCGATGGATGGCTGGCGACAAGGTGCACCCGACTGACCTTGCAGCATACGCTGAAGCTTGGGCAACACCGACGGCGACTCCTGAGCAGCCTGAGACAGGTCAAGGTAGGCGTGCAGTGGGTCCGACATCTTGCTCGAGGCCAGCCACGCTGTAGGCGGAGACTGCCAGTGATGTCCGGGAAAGCTGGGATAAGGCTGAGCGTTGAGGCCTTGAGGGAGGAAGCCTGGAAGGGAGGTCCGATGTCGATCAGCGGCCGGATGAAAATTGCTGGGGGATGGACGTCGATGGACGCTGGAGGACGGAGGATGGGATCAGGCTGGATCAGGCACTCGGTCGAACCACGATTGCATTACAGAACGGTTGATCGTCGGACTTTGTTTACTCAAATAATAATAAGAAAACACAGAACAGACACCATTCGGAGCCGCTGTGCAACGCGGCCTGAGCGTGCAGATAGAAGAAAGAAAGAGCAAACACAGCGAAGCCCTGCACATCCATCCTTCCTCTCTATCATCCCTCGTCTGACCTGTCAGGGCCAGGCTGACGTGTTGCGAGTTGAAGCAGCTGCTGGCAGCGGGGGCAACGATCGTGGCGGCACCACCTCGCAACTTCAGGTCCAAGCAGAAGGGGCGGAAAGGAGAAGTACTTGTAGGTAGTCAAACATGTTGCACCCAAGACTTTTTCTTTGTGTCTATCTTCAACGATACCCGTCATGACGTCTCGAACGGCCGGATGGCGGACGAGGAAAGTCCACGAAATGCCAAATCTCTGAGGTGGAGGCGAAGGTGGATGACGTAAGCAAGTCACGAGGAGGACGGTGGGGTCAAGGCGAGGTTGACGGTCGAAGAGGAGCATGAAAAGTGAGTACGTCGAAGGTGAAGATGTGAGGGTAGGAACAGTGAGGCAGTTGAACAATGAATTCTACGAAAAGAACGAGCTCACGGACGCAGGCTATCGATATGCCCTTGATCACCAGTTTCAGCTCGACGTTCGCAAGTCTGACACGCAGCTTCATTGAAGACAGTGATGGTCCAAGCACTGCCTTCTCCTTTGGAGTCAGCAGTGGCAGAGAAGGCGCACGGAGGAATTTGGACATTCTTGTACACGACGTGCCAACGACGCGTGTCAGACTTGCGAACGTCGAGCTGAACCAGGTGATCAAGGGCATATCGATAGTCTGCATCCGTGAGCTCCTTCTTTCCATAGAAGATTTTTCCTTCTTGAAACGGTGTTTCAGTGTCGAAAGTCAATAGTGACTTCGGTGTCGGGGCGAGAATGCGGAAGAAGGCCAGCGTCGATTCGCGAACTCTGCGTCGACGATCGATGAGGCCCCTGATTTTGCGACCGTGATGACTGTCGACTGACTTCTCACGGCAATTCTGGAGGTTCTGAATATACGGCGCTGATTGCAACAAGTAGAAGAAGCTACCCTCTTGGTTGTGAGCTGATATATCAAGTGATACAGAAGTCGAGAATCCGAGGGCGTTTTCGTCCTTTTGAGAAGCCCATTGATGAAGAAGCGCGAGCATTTTTGTCCTTACGCTATCTTTCGAGGGCAATTTTCTTTTTCTTTTTCTCTCTGCATAATCAATCTGTCGCTCTTTTTTATTTTTATTTGATAGAATTCAATAACAGTATAATTATATTAATACCTAAAAACCTTTGGACAAGTCGGATGCAATGCAGTTAAGCACACTGGCTGGGCCAGTCGTGTAGGACTCATTGACCCTGAATCAGAATCAATCATACCCACTAAAATCCCCTTAGGTAGTTCATAGAGACAGAAGGAGACCCTTGGACTCCTGAATTGACGGCCGGAGCTCCTCGGGTGCCGTCTCGGTGATCGGTTCCAAAAGATCCGACGAGAATCGGCGGCGACTCTTCAGAATTAAACCAAAAGCAAGTCGTGCTAACTGGAATTCGATAGTTCAAGCTTTTGAGAGGCTAGTCATATGGCTGTAAGGCTTTGGGGTAGGACCATTTGACTCGAGTCGAAGGCTGCTTCCGCGCACATTAGGTACGTATGGGAAGCATTCTCAAGCCGTACCCATGAGCACTGTTCGGATGAAGCCAAAGGAAAGCTTCGCATGAAGCTCTTCAGCGATCACGTAAGTAGGTAGGTTTAAAAAGCACTAATATGACATTCAACATAGATCCCACGAAACAATATTTCACCCTGAGAGGATTCACGGACTAATCAAGAAATGACAGCACAACGCAGAGGACTAGTCCATTTTGCCGTTCGAGTACTGAACGGGGATGTTCTGGGTGTCGCGGGTAAGGACGCGCATCGAAGTGGCGTCGTACTCGGAGTGACCGTTGCGCTCGTTGTGCGACCTCGCGACCTCGGCCATCTTGGGAGGGACGTTGTGGAGGAGAAGCTTGCGAGCGCTATCACTTAGAAGAAGGACCTGAATAGCGCAACCGCAGAGTGTGCCCGGGATGTTGACTGCGCGCATGAGGAAGATCAGAAATGGAGTAAGATTCAGAGCTGGTTCATAGAAGAGAGCATTCGCCTAGAAAACGAAGGATGGAGACACTCACCAAGCGCGGCGATAGCGGTGTACTTGGGCCAAGCGGTCCAGCACTTGGAACCAAAGGCGACCGAGCAGGCCATGCGTCCACCGAGGTCACGGGCAGAGTTAAGCGAGATCGAGTCGATGGCGAAGCACCAGATGACGACCGAATAAGCGAAACCGATGATGAAAGGAGCACTTGCGAGGGACGTCAAGAAGTTGGACGCGTCAAGGACAGCAAAGACAATCATGGACAGGATGAGGGTCGCGAGGAACTCGACCGCCACGAGGTAGTTGGTGGTTTGTGTGGTACCCGGGAACAAGCCCAAAACTCCGGCAGGACCTTGAGCAGTGAATATGGCGGCCTCTCCAGCGGGGCCGAGGGCCTTGAATCCGGCGTAGGCCTGATCGAACTCTTGCTTGTACACACCGTAGACGGCGAGAGCTCCGAGAAAGGCACCTAAGATTTGAGCGAGAAGGTAGAAGGGGACCTTGCGCCAGGGGAAGCCCTTGAAAACGGCGAAGGCAATGGTGTAACTGGCGGAGTCAGAAGGCCATCGATGTATGATTAGTATAGTGGTTTCGATAGGGTACCGATGACCAAGTGGGACTCACCTAGGGGAGAGATGTCCTCCGGACGTCGAACAGACCGCGACGAGGGCGAACACGATACCTCCACCGTAAGCGAAACCGATGGTCAACAAGCTACCAAATCCAGCCTCCTTCGCGACGGTAGACAGGAAGAACGCAGCTGAGGATCCAAGACCGAAGAACGTCTAGCGAAGACAGGAGGCATTGGGTTCAGCCACGTTTCACCTCCGACACCCCCTTTACCCCCGTGACAGAACATGCTCCTAATACGTAAGCAGCTTCGGAACAGGCAGGTAATCTACTCACGTAAATGAACACCCCGATCATTTCGGCAACACATTCGGTCAACAGGATCGGGCGTTTGGACTCCCAGTTCGTCAACCACATGGGAGGGGCGGCATGCTGAACTTGAGCCTCAATACGCGGCTGCAAAACATCCGCGAACTGTTGGAGGACAATCAGGAGTGAAGGTATGAGATCAGCATGACGATCGGCGTGTCAGAACACGCGAGGAGGGGTTGGGAGTGGGGCCTGAGCAGCTTACACCGGTTTCAATATCGCCATGAGCTCGATCGAGATGGGGGCTGAAAAGAGGCCAAGGCGGGGGAGTCAGTCGAAAGACCTGGGCAACCAGGTGGAGGAGACAGTAATGCGACACGCACCGGGTGGCTTCCATTGCTTAGTGGTAGTGGGAGAACTCAGAAGCAATCTGTTGGCAAGGTGGGAGAAGGTTCGAGGGCTGGCTGGCGAGGACGATGGGAAGAAGGAAAGGAAAGAAGCAATTGGGGGTTCGGGGTCAAGTGACTGCCTTTCGAGACACCTGAGATGAGCGCGGGGTCAGGCAGCAGCTCTTGAGATCCAGATTCGGTTCGGCCGTCTTCTATGACCGTAGGGGGCCTTGCCCCGCGTTTTGCTCCTTGTCTTACTCGGGAAACGCGGGTGCTCTGGGGTGCCGGACCGGGGGCGAAATGCGACGCTATTTTTGGGTAGGTCCTGAAGGGCAAAGCGCCCCGGCGGGCGGCAACAGACTGTGTGCTGCGCGTTTGGCGCGTAGCCCATCGCGTTCGATGCCCGCACAGGACGCGCAGGCCGAGGTACTCCCAACACGCGGGGATTTCGCGGGGGTCATGCGGGGACCAAAAATAGCGCCACGAGCATTGGTGATCGTGACTTGCCTCGATCAGCAAAAAGGATCGCGCATTGCTCCTCATGGCGATTCGCCGAGATCTCGGGAGCGGAGAGATGAGTGGTCCATTTGTCAACAGCTTGGCCAGTGGCCAGCGATTATAATCTTCTGACAGATGATCCAACTGGGCACCGGCGCATTGTGGGCACTAGGTCAGTCAGGACTCGGTTCTGGAACCAAGGAAGGTAATTTAGATACCGGTAGTCAAACCCTGCGGGATTACGATTTTACGGTATCCGCAACACGTTCGGAGCGAGTGCGTGCGTACTAGGCCTTGGCGTCCTAAAGAGGGAGCTCTGGAGTTGTCAAGTAACCAACAACTTGATTGGTCAGGTAGCAGGCAACTTCTTACCGGTGCCGTGGGTGAAGAAGTGGGAGCAGAATTCGGGAGTCGGGAGACGAAGAGCCGATTGTTCGCGGCGATCTTCCGAAGCCTCTTTGAGACTTTGACGCCTTGACGTTCACTCGAATCACCTGGAGCCGAACGGGCGAAGGCGGCTCGCACGATCGATACAGGCAGCCATACGTGCTCTCTCGCTTCTTAATCAGATAGCAACTATCGGGTTCGAAGCTGGTTTGGAACATGCTGTGAGCTGTCTCATCGACCCTGTACGTCATTTGCTCGGCAACGCCAACCTTGGTGCTCTGTCGACTTGCGCCAGACGATCTGCTCGGATTTCCACTGCAGACGTCCATTCTGACCCAATTCAGCTTAATGCGCCTGTCGCGCCACAGATATCAACATGCTCGACGTCAAACGTCAGATCAGAAAGGAAACCGCTTGGGCAACCAGGTACACGCAGGCAGGGTAGAAAACATTTTCTAGTTTCCTCACTCTGCGCAGTGCCGTTTGACACCTGCCGTCTTGCACGCCCACTTGCGGCTGCATATTGCTTCCTGCAGGTGGATTCGCCGGCCACATGATGATTCTGCTCCCCATCTATAGCACTGCGCCCAAAAGTATTAGGACTGAATGCTTTGAGGCCTTTTGGTACACGCACCACTTGGTCAGTGCGTTCTCGCTCGTGATAATGCTGACTATTATTGATGCGTTCGCAGTCGTTCCTTTTTCTACTGGGACTGCGAGTGAGCTGATTTCCTCTTCTCTGTGTTTGGCGATCCCTTTTCGACTCCTTCGTAGAGTGGAAGCCCTTTTTTTTTGGGGGGGGGGGGGGGGGGGTGGGTGGGTGGGAGGAGCTCGGAAAATGGAACGGCTTTGCTTGGAAAGCGCGGTTCCTATCAGTATCTAGGGTTACTGCAAATGACTGGGAAGACTTGGCATACCTTGTGCGTCGCGTACTACGAACAGAGATAATCTGGCACCCGGAACGCTGGCACCTTGGGTGATGAGGATTGTCTGCGTGCAAGGTAGCCAAGTAAGTCAGCATGTCCAACAAGGACAGCTGTGAGTAGGAGTATCCTGGGGCAGAGCCCGGGAGAGGAATGGTGATGTACCTTGGCTCTAGGAGCGAGACGCGGTACTCAATGGCAAGAGGCACGGCTACGCTTGGCAGGCGTAGGGCGGGGGCTGCATACAAGGGTATGAGCAGTTAGTCAACCATCCAACAAAGAGAGTTGAAGAAGCAGCGTACACAGAGGGCAGTTGTCCAAGCCGTCTGGCAGAGACTGATGCGGGTGCGTCCGTGATCGCTGGGGAAGGTCCTGTGTGAGACTCGGAACCTGTCAGCGTGAGGCGTAGTGACAGGAAGAGTTCGAGGACGGACACCAACCTTGGCAGGAGGGTGGCAGAGGTACACAGCGATGAACTGGTACAGCAGCGGCAAGCATTGCGGAACTGACAAGGCTGGAGGAGCAGGCTTGGGTAGAAATTCCTGTGCGGGGGGCGGCTTATGGACAAAGCCTCAAAGGGCAGGCGTGAAGGCACGGCTTACAGCAGGGACTTGAGGTAGCGCGCGCCTCGGCTTCCGCGCAAACTCTTGCAGCAAAAGCCGAAAAGACCATCATTTCACAAGCCCCGTGCTTGTGCCTCGCCGTCTTGCGCAGCTGGATGCTTTGTTCGCGGTGTTCTGCCGGACGAATTAGTGGCTGCCTCGGCTACAGTTCATGGTATTAGACAGTTTCAGATGATTGATGTACTTCCTGGAGCTCATGGTGCGCTTGATAAGTCGACCGCCTCACTTGTGCCCGCAGTCAAGATTGCGCAGCGTTTGCCCAGCACAGGCAAATTTTGATCAAGTTCGCTCGAGCCGACCGATCGAGTTGGTAAAGGTTGTACTCCATCCTGGCGGCGTGATAGAGGTGTGTTTCAGCCACCCCTTATTTCGCTACAAACCTGGGCAGTGGTTGTTACTCAAAGTGGCAGAGCTCGCCGCCTGGCAGTGGCAGTCCCTCGCCATTTCCTCGGCTCCCGATGATTCCTACGTTTCTGTGCATATTCGTCAGGTCGGAGATTTAGGTAAATCCTCGTTCTACGTCATAATTGACTGATTTGTATACGAGCAACTGATGTCGCGATTTCTTTCCGAAACTGCAGAACTGTAGCGCAGTAGGCGAATGGCTCGGCTGCACTCCGTCACTCGCGACGCAGGTGAACTGAATAGCATTGCCACGCACCGGCTTCCAGAGTAAGGAGTCACCAATACCAAGTCCACAACATTACCATCGACCGTATATCGCTCAGTCACCGATCGAGATACTGAGGCGCATCGTCGGGGACCACTGAAATGATGCCTCTATGTGATTCGCAGGAGGTGTGCGGTGTCAATTTTTCGTTCTTGGCAGAGCCCTTCGTGACTCAGAGACTTTCGGGCCCACTCATATGACTTCGACCATATACTGATGTGGGATATGCATTATCCCCTAGACTGTGGAAATGTGTTTTTTAGTCAATCAGACACTTGTTGCTGGCTACTGTGATACGATTCAACTAAACGTGACCCTGCATGATATGGAGCAGAGAGCACTTACGACGAATGCTGAGGTTATAGGGTTTCGTCACTATCTGGAAGCAAACACAAGTGCCAGAGGAACGATGCTATGTACATTTCACAATTGAACTTCAAGTTTGACGGATCACGGACTGCTACAGAGCTAGAAGGGCTTGAACGAGCCGTAACATGTTGACCTTGGCGTGATGCGAAGCGTGTGAAGACAGATTGTCCGCCTAATTCTGCTCACTTGACTTGGCGATCTCCAAGTCTGAGCCAGAGATGGTGCGCAGGTGACCAGGTGCTGCTGTTTCCCCAGTGAGAGCCGATTTGGCGACGTCGAGAACTTGTCCGATCGAGGTGCGCGTCGACACCCAGTAGTTGATCTCGGAAGGGCGCACTTCCTGCACAATCCGGGCAGATAGACGAGGCTGGTCAGAAAGAAGCCAGAAAAGACATGCAAGGCACGACGAGGGCGGGATTTACAATAGCCGATACACGGGGGTCCGTGTACGTGCCGTTCTTCTCGCCACCGAGGTCTCCAAACCAAGCCTTGAGCGCGGGGTTCCAGAACGGCTTGATCGACTCGGGGTCCGTCATGGTCTTGCTGAGTGTGCGACAATGATGCCACAGAATTGAGCTGCTCAGCTACAGATAAGGTGCTTCACAATAAGGTTAGCGGCCGATTTGCCACACTCACGCCTTGCCCGACACCGAAGCCCAATTGGTGCTCGAAGCGTCTGAGAATGAAATGTTGACGTTCTCATCGTGTTCGAGGTCGTCGAATTTGCCTGTGGAGATGGCACGGAAGAGGCGAGTTCAGTGTCTTTGGACAAACTGCATTCCATCCCCCAAGCCTTTTCTCAGACTTACCCGACTCGTTGTTGGCGATGAAGACGAAAACAAGACCCTTGTCGGAGGCGGGACTCACTGAGATGGGAGGGCAGGGGGAAGGACGAATCAACCGCGAACGGGTATATTGTCAGAAGCCGCCTGAGGGACATATAAAGAGGTGCTGAAGGGTGAATGAACTCACTGGCCCTCGAATGAAGAGTACCGTCCTTGCTGCGAGTGGTGAGCATAGCGACTGCATAACGAAGTTAATCGGCGACGCCTAGGTCAACTTGGTCCCCCGGAGCAGTTCGGTGGTCGTTGAGACAGGAGGCGCGTCATCGTGGGGGGGGAAGCACGCGAAGCACCTGGTGTCAGGCATGGCTTCGATAATGACCTACACTTGGACGAATTGATGACTTCGTCACGCAGCTCCTTGATCTTCTCGGCGGGCGAGGCAGTGGACGCAGCCTTCGCGGTGTAGGGGTCGTTGGACATGCTGGATCGAGGTCGAGAACTTGAAAAGTGACGAGGTCCGAGGCGCAGGAAGCTCGATGAGGTTGCTGATGAGAGCTTGTGGGGAGTAGAGCAGGTGAGGGCAGTAGCTCGGCGCGATTGACGTGTAGCGGAAGCAAAAAGAGAAGTAATGGTGGCGAGTGATGGGAGAGTGCAAGAGGGAGCCGTTCCCTTTGGATTTTCCCCACTCCAGAAGGCAGCCTCGCTCGGTCGACGCGAGCGCTGCCGAGCCAAGTGTGGCAGCATGTCGTCATTGCGTCCAATGTGCCCGCCGCGGCTGACGATCGATCGAGCGCGAGTCAGCTTCGAGCCAGATCCAGCGGCTGCAGCAGATTCTGCAGCTCAATTCGTCTGGGCATGGTGCAGTCTCCGAGGTATACTGCAGTCTCTATTCACACTCTACTGCGGAGCGCAGTCTCCCCTTACGACATGTTAACAGCTGAGGGCTCCGGGCTCTGTCAAAAGCCTGCGAGGTCACGTGCTTGGCCAAGTCGGTCTCAAAGGCCTTCGAAATTTGCTGAATCGTGACCGACAAGGGGAGGAATATTCTGAAGAGGAGCTCGAGAATGCAATATGTGAGGTCGTTGAAGATTTAGTTGCCGATATAGCGGACCTCCGACGCTGCGACGCCCTGGGCCAGGCCGGGTGACCCACTGCGGATTCGGGATTCGGGAATTTGAGGTCTTATACCCATTCCGAGTGAGGTTGAAGACCATTTCTACCTAGGTACCGACATCAAGAACGTGTTCACCCCACCGACCTGCTCCCCCGCCGTTCTCGATGCAGGGCGTGGGTCACATTTGGACTGAACATTGCACTCAACCAATCTCCGTTCTGAGCTCCGGACATGCTCCGAGTGGTAATCCAAGTGGTAAGTCGTACACAGAGCTTAGTCTCAGGAAACAGATCGATGAAGATTATTTCAGGGTAAGCGTTGGGTACACCCTGGACCTTTCCATCCGCCTTCATTCATACGGGTGCAGTGGCATCCATCACGGGGATGAGAGATCATCCAAGCACTCCAACTCGGGGCAGACACTTGGTTCGCGTAACAACCAGGCTGAAAGAGGCAAATCAACAATACAGTTGATAATGATAGCTGCATCATTTTAGGCTTCTTATCTCACCTTCACAGAGCCGCCAGAATCCGGAGCCTCACATCTCGACAGCAGCTTGTAGCAAGATGGAGCCCCACCTACCCGCTCGCTGTGGCTTCGAGCCGAGCTCGCAAGACTCTCGCAAGGGCAGAGTAAGTGGCAGGGCCCGCACAGGGACGCACTGCGATGACGGTTCGCGAGCTGACCAGCTCACCCAGCTACGATCTCTGCGTCGCCATCGCTCGAAACAAACCGTATGGCCCCTAAAAGGAAACTTCGACCGCCTCCGATCAACGACAGCTCCCTCGAGACAGCCGCAGCGGCTTCGCTCGACTCAGAGCAATGGCTTCAAGGTCAGGCGATTGTGGGCGGGTGGGGCAGTAATACAGTGGACTGAGAAGTCGGCCTCTCATGTCCATAAATGCAGATGGGGTACAGCAAGAGAGCCAGGGAGACCGCTACCAGCACGGTGCCAAGGCAGCCCGACATTACCACAACTCGATCGTTTCGTACCAACTTGCGGCGTCGCGGTCCACAAGCCCAACCTTTGATCCCGTCTACAATGCCGCAAGGGTGATGTTCACTTTGGCATCCGACCATCTCGAGGCATCGGACTGTGTGGACATGATGCAGAGGGCAATCGCCACGTTTCGGATAGCGCAGACCGCCGCGACCAGCACGGATGAGATCATCGACTCGAGCTTCAATCTCGCCCAGGCCCTGGTCGCTCTGCAGGATCTCTACGATGACGGGATCAGCATATTTTCTTCCCCGTTAAAAGCATCGAGCTCCGCGGCCACGGTGTCGGACCATGCAAGTCTGCTCGCTGCAAAACGGGTCTTTTCCGAAGTCGAGCAGCTGCAGCGAAGTGCGCTCGACCCAATATTTCGCGAAGGCTCGACAGATACACCGCTAGAGGTCGACATGCAAGATGCGACTGTCGCAGACCCCGGTAGCATCCACACAGCGGCTGCAACAGAAGGCCGGATCGTCGTACCTCGGCAAGTCATCGACACATTGCTCGAGGCGATAGAACTTGACCTGCGGTTACTCGATCTGGTCAGTACATCAGATCCTACGACGAGTGCCACATTGGCCGAGTCGGCGGTCTCTGCACTGTCCCGAGCTGCCGAACTGTCCCGATTCGGCCCCTCGTCGTCATCGTCCGCGGAGCTCGAGTTGGTTCTCGCCCAGATCTCCGTCAATATCAGCTGTAGGGGCGCAGTTCCGACATACCATGCGCTCTACCTCGCACCCGAGCAAGTCTCAAGCACGATCAATACTCTTGCTTCCTCTCGGCAGGATGACCCGTCCTTGCTCTGCGCCTCTGCCGACCATCTCCTGGAGAACTCTGCACTGTCGGCTGGGTCGATACCGCTGCTCGAGTTCATCCTGACCACGTACCAACGCGCTCATGCGCTTCTCTCTTCTCTCCTCTCGCCACCCAAGGACGTTCCGGCGCACAGCATCCCGTCACTCGTCGCGTCTAATTTGGTGTCCCAAGTCGAGACGCTGCTGCTCCTGTTTCACCTGTCTCCGCCGGATCGGAGTTCTGCCTACTTGCACCAGGCACGAGACCAAGCGATCGAGGCGATTAAAGCTTCCTCATTCGGGTACACGGTTGAGCTAGCTCCGACGGTGCGCATCTTGAAGCTTCCGGGGGACGGACGCAGGGATTGGACAACGGTGAAAGCTTTTCGACAGGGCTGGTTCTGGCTAGTGCGAGTCCTCGTCCATGCAGCTTCGGGGCCTGCAGGATCAAATGGATGGGTGGGTCTTCTTCGAGCTTGGGACAAGGTGGCACCACCGACAGAATTCACGCCGGGATGGATGTCACAGCTGCGGTGGTACCTGGATGTTCAGGAATGGCCGAGTGACCGAGTGTGGGAAGCTAGTCACGGGAAAGAGCAGGAGCAGTGGGCTAAAGTTTTGATGGAATAATGCTTTCCGGAATACTGTCAAGATCGTACAGGAACTATGGCATTGTATTGTGACCAAGGAGCTCCAGAATTATCCGCCTGGCCGGCCCAAGCGCGAGGCAGTCGCCGACCCTCTCGCCTCTGCCTTTCCCCCACACGCGTTCGCAGCCGAGGCATAATGACCTCTGTACCGGGTCGATAGAACACATCTCCCTCGGCGACGTGGGGTACAGTGCAGCTCCCCTCCACTCGAACTATCTAAGTCATGTCCGACTCTGCCGGAGCTCGACCTTCGTTTGTGCCTGAGGACAAGGTCGAAGCTGCGGGATCACAACTCGATCGATCACTCGCCCACACGTCGTACGAAGCTGATCTGGACCAAGTGCTCGGAGTTGCGAGTGACAAGCACGGCCAAGACGATGAAAACGGAGAAGATGAGGGCGGTGACGAGAACCAGGACGGGTTTGGCGACTTTGTCTACACTGGCAAGGACGTGGAAAGACCGCGGATGGATGACGACGAGATGGATGAGGATGAGCAGACCGACCACAGCATGGGGGAAACACCGGTGCACTTCGACGACACGCGGTCATACGAAGAGAGAATGAAAGCCATCGTCGATGAAGGTGTCGACGTTGTAGAATCGACAGGCACTACGAGTGCACCGGCCACACCGAAACGCAGCTCTCGTATCGGAGCACCACAATCCGGACTGGCAGTGAGTGGGCGAAAGAGACATAGTCTATGGCGCAAGTCCGACTCATATCAGACCCCTGCCTCCAGGATTCACCTGCAGCGTCTGCTCTCACCACCCCATCCGACGACACCTTCCCGGGCTACGCGCCGAGTCGAACTCGACCAGGAGCACGACCACGGCACTCGGCCGCGACCTCGGTGCACGGTTCGCCTGCAGCATCCACCTCCTCTGCCTTCCCGCGCCGACCTTCCTTCCACCCACAAATCTCGCGGCTGCGTTCGGGCTCGCATCAACCTCAACGCTTCGTTTCGAGCAGCACCTACTTTGAGAATGGGGCCCCGCCCAGATTCGATTCGCCGGGGACTTCGGCGTTCGACTTGGCCTCGCGAAGGTCGTCGACCTCGAATCTGTTTGGCGGCGATCACCACGACCCACAACGCGCTGGGGTCGCTTCATCGGATCTTGGCGCATCACGGAACTCAACAGCGAACACGTCCGAGGCAGGTGCGGCGGCAGCCTCCTCCGATGCGCCGATCAAGTGGACAGCGCTGAAACGGATTTCGCAGAGCATTTATCCACCTTCGTCGACCACGACAAAGAGCCACGGCTCGAACGGGTCCGCAATCGTAGGGTTGACATCAATGAATGCGGCCTCGGCAGGGCTCATAGGTCGACCTACTACCTTGGCGGTCAGTGGTGTCGTCGCGATTGGAACCGACAAGGGTTGGGTCATGGTTTTCGACTTTGCCCAAAACCTGAGATGCGTATGTGGCTCCGAAACTATCAGTGAGTGCACGTGCAGTCTGCTTAACTGTCGAGTGAGTAATGTGCTAAATACCTCGTTTCGTCTCCGATCCAGGCAAGGAAGCAGGCCCAGTCACCTCAGTCGCGATATCACAAGATCACACTTTCATCGCCGCAGGGCATGCCACAGGCTGGATCCATCTCTACGCCCTCGTACAGCCCATCAAGCCTGCTCGCTCCGTTCCGCCAGCATCTTTGCAGCTCATACTGTCAGGTCGGAAGGAGGGTCACCTCATCGGGTCGAAAATTTTACACCTCGGATTCGTGGGGGCCCGACACACCGCGATCGTGTCCTCTGACGAAACGGGTCTTGCTTTCTATCACTCGCTCGGCAAAGTGCTCATGCTCGCTTCGACCGACATCATTCGAATGCTGGGTCGATATCCGGATCCGCCGGGCTTTTCCACAGCGAATGGCGCCCGGGCCTCAGTCCCCAAGAGGCCATCCACGATATTCGACATGGCACCGTTGCCGCTCGGTCCAGCCCAGCATGCCAGCGATGCCCAGTCGCTCGTCGCGATCTTGACACCAACAAAACTCGTCATTGTGGGCTTGAAACCTACACCACGGACCTGGTGGAGATCGACACCCGTCAAAGGGGAACATGAAACGAATGGCTTGGATTACGCCAATTCGGGGATGCTGAGCTGGTGGCCCAGTATGGACGAAGACGCAGGACCTGTCGCAAATGGGACACCGAAACCGAAGGACTTATCGTCTGAGGGGCAGGACCCGCTCTTGGCGTTTGCTTGGGGGAAAAGGATCAGACTCGTGGGCGTACGCAAGGAAGTGCAAGACAATGCCGACGGGTCCTTGAGTACGGGAATCCAGTTCGTGGAGAACGAGGGATGGATCTGCGACGGACCGGTGATGGGGATTCAATGGTACAGTCAACGTGTAGGTGTCATGCCTGGCCTTAAAGAAACAAAAATTGGCCAATGCTGATCTCTCGGTTGGTTCAACGACAGATAATTTTTGTGATCACGGAAAACTGTGTCGATATCTGGGACGTGTCATCTCGGCAACGATTGGGGAGGGACGCACTCGATGTGCGCCATTTAGTCGCCCACGACTACTATGCCTCCGCTTTTCCTGTCAAGGCCTCATCTTCGGCTTCGGCTCAGCACCTGTCGTACTCTTCGAGCCTCGCCACCCACAAGAAGAAGCTGTTTGCACTGGTGAGTGACGTTGTAACACATTAACACATGATCTGGGGCAGACGGTGGTCGACTGACCGCTCTGGTATCGGTTTGTTCGTGCAGACCACGGGTGAAGTGCGTGTCGGCGCCATCCTCTCTTGGGCCGACAAGATACTCGGTCTGATGCAGCCCGGAACCATCCTGGAAGCCATCGAGTTGACGACATCGTACGCCCTGGGACAATCCGATGCTTCGACTATTGCGCTACCAGACGATCCTGTAGCTAGGCGCGACATCGTGGAGCCCAAACTGCGCGAGATTCTGGCGGCATCACTCGATTTTGTCTTTGCCGAGGACCGATTGCGAGACGGCAGTCACGCCGACGGCGCAACGATGCAACAGCTTTTCGAAGGTCTCGTCGGAACCTGCGTGCGCGCTTGCTTGGCGACGGGGGACGTCGACTGGCTGTTCGATGAATTGTACGAACACTACGCGCAGAATAGCATCGATTCGATCTTTCTTGAGCGGATAGAGCCCTTCGTCCTGTCTGGATCCGTCCACGCTCTTACCCCGAGTGTGAGTCAACGGCTGATCGCCATCCACGAGGAAAGAGGGCAATTCGAGGCGGCACAGCGAATCATTTGGCATGTCGATCCCGAAGCCATCGACATCAACCAGGCGCTGGGACTCTGCCAACGCCAAAAGTTGTACGATGCCATGGTCTACGTCTACACTCGTGCAATGCACGACTTTGTGGCGCCCCTCGTCGAACTGCTGGGGCTTGTGCGAGCAATTGTGCTGCATCGCAAGGATCGACCACGAAGAGTAGGCGAACTTGATGTCAGCGATGCGACTTCCTCGTTTGACGATCCTATTGGCGAGTATACATCCCCATGGGCCGATGACGGTGTCGAAGCGACGGTGCCCGATGCGTACAAGATTTTCGCCTATATCGCCCAGGCATTGACCGGCTTGTCGTACCCGAGTCGAGAGCCCCTTCCCTACGCCGAGGGCAATCGAGCTCGCAGCGCTGTCTTTTGCTTTCTGTTGTCTGGATCGACCATATCCTGGCCCGCAAAGGGCGGTCGACCTGTCCTCACATCGGACGATGAAGGCACAAACGAGCCGACGTATCCGTATCTGCGGCTCCTGCTCCGATTCGACGCCGAGGCTCTCCTCGACGCCTTGGACCTCGCCTTCGAGGAGTCGTATTTGGATGATGACGATGCCGCGGGTAAAAGCATGACTCGACAACTCATCATCGATCGCTTGCTCGAAGTGATGACCCCGTCGATGACGAGCCCCAACGACGAGTTCACGGCCATCGACAGGACCTTCTTCAATATCTTCGTCGCCCGCAACATGCCAAAGTACCCGCAGTACATCCGCCTCAAGCCTGCTGTCCTGCAACACGTCCTGATCGAGCTTGTCACCGATTTTGATCAAAGTACTATTGAGGATCGTCAACTTGCCGCCGAATACCTTCTGTCGAGTTATACGCCTCCAGATCTCGATAGTATGATCGCCTTGTTCGAGAAGGCGGGCTTCTTCCGAGTGCTGCGATCCATCTATCGCAGTTCGAAGAAGTGGGCGGCGCTGGCATCAACCTACCTCCGCGACCCAGACATTGGCAGCGACGTCTTTCTGCATCTACATGCTACACTGAAGCTGGCGAGCAAAGCGGTCGACACGAAACAGGTCGATGACTTGGCCGAGACGATCTTGGACGCGGTTCCGACTTTAATCCAGGCCGAGGAGCATGGGCTTCAACATCTGGCCGATCTGATCGACAATTTCCTGCCGTCATATCATGCTGCGATTATCGATCGACTTGGCTCGAACCAATGGAGGCAGTTTGCGTATCTCCGCTGTCTACTCGAACCCGCGCACACCGAGGCCCACTCGGAATTGGGTCATGGCCATCGCGCCCCCTCAGCTCGCCCCGACAGGCCGCTGCGCCTGAGATATCTATCCCTGCTGTGCACCCACGACCCGCGGAACGTCATTCGGTTCTTGGAAGCCGATGTTGACCGCCTCATCGATGACGACGCGGTTCTTCGCATCTGCGAGCGTGCTGAAGCGTTCGACGCTCTCGTGTGGTTCTTGGATCGGCGCGGAAGTACCAAGGCGGCGCTCGAGAAAGTGAACGAGGCGCTCGAAACGCGAGTCGACCAACTCGTACAGCTCATGCTAAATGGAAAGCGGTCTCAGGCACACGAGATCGAAGAAGAGGACGACGAGGACGAACGTCCCCGGGTATTACCGGCAAGGTCGGCAAGCGATACGCTGGTCGAGCAGATTGCAGCCATCTCGATTGTGGCGATCGCAACCTGCGTCAAGCGGGCAACCGGTCCCCAGCGAACTCAGGAGATGTCAAGTGAGGACCTATGGTTCAGTTTGCTCGAAACCCTGGTGACTACGATCCGCGCCGTCCGCGCCATCGCTCCCGCCCCTGTTCGACACTCCGACCGCTCGTCTTCGCATCGTCGCATTTCTGGCGCATCCATCATCGTCAACGACAATGAACCCGAACCCCTTTCCCCGCGAGCCCAAGATGTTCTGTCGTCGCTGATCCCAACTGCTCTGTCTTCGCTGGTGTCAACGACGTCGACGCGCGAGGTATCATTCCCAGATCTGATGCGCCGCCTCATCGACTCGAACGCCTGCTCACCCGCGGGCGACTGCGCTTATCGCGAGTTCAAAGCCATCGTCACCTCCATGCTCGATACATATGTGTCGGAAGGCGAGTTCCTCCAGTTGACCTCCTCGATTGCGTCGCAAGACTTGTTCGAATACGTCGAAACGCTTCAAGTTGAGGGTGCCAAAGGATGGCGAGCCAAGGGTCAAGTCTGTGCCGAGTGCCTGCAATCCGTGTGGGGTCCGGCCGGGCATGGAACTTCGCCGCCGATGAGTCGGAGCGCCTCTGTATCCCTCGTCGTCGATTCGCTCGGGTTGACAGGTCGCCCAAAGATGAAACAGCGACCCTCGATCAAGGGCAAGGAGGTTGACTGGCCGGCTTTGTCGGACCCACGCGCTCGTGGTAGACCGGCCGAAGCAAAACTCGAGCCCCCGAACGGGATCGTGGTCGGCAAAAATGGTCATTTGTGGCACCAGACGTGTCATTTGCAGTCGCGATCATACGATGGCGACGGGTACCGAATGGAGTAGACATTCTACTTTGGGGGCTATTGTTTGTTCTTATTTGCAACCGCAGTTGGTTTTCACCGTGCATCCGACAGCGTTGTCGTGATGTTGAGCTGAAACATGTGTGACGAACCGCATGCCGCGGTAAAGTTCTGTTCTATAATGCTCATGACCTTTGCTCCTTGCATCTACTTGCGGTTGGCAGACACAAACTTCTGGAGGTCATAGTGACCGTCCTTCCCTGACGGATGCGCAACGCCGAATTCGGTAACGATACCACTGATCAAGCCCGCGGGTGTGACGTCGAAAGCAGGGTTCCATGCTCGTGTGCCTGGCGGGGTGATGAGAACCGTCGCGACCTCGATCTCTTGTTCTTGCGGAACCGTACCGTTCGACTTTGCCATCTGAGCGACGTCAACGACTCGTCCACGAACAGTGCACGCTTCCCACGACGGTCGTTGCTCGATGACGATCGACCGTCCGGACTCCATCGCTAGATCCAAGGTGGCTACGGGGGCCGCCACGAGCACGGGAACGGGCGGGTTGGGCGAGAATGGGTGAGGGGAGGAGCAAAGGTGAGAGATCTGGTACGTGGAGATCTTGTTGGCCGTATCACCATTTGCAGCGATTCTGTAAGAATTGATGCGAAGCATGATCAGATAAGTGTGCCGGGTCGAGATGAAGTCTGAGGAGCGATAGACTGACCGATCCGCACCTGCGACGAAGAGGTGGATCCTTTTTTCTGCGATCAAGGCGCCGATCGCGGTATCGCACACCATGGTGTTCTCAACACCCAGACTTGCGAGTTCGAGCGAGGTCAAGCGGGCTCCTTGTTGATAAGGACCTGTTTGAGCAAAGTAGGCATGCAATAGCCGTCCCTTGGCGGCCAACGAAGCGATAACACCCAATGCCGTGCCGTAGCCCTGTCGACAGTCACCGAGGTCAGTCTCGGGGAAGGCAGAGTGCGACGCGTCATGGAGAGGACGAAACGAACGGAAGTTGCCAATGAGCCAGTGTTGCAAACCTGTGTGTACGTATGCCGATGGCTAGATCAGCATTCTACACGTCCATGATGGTTCCCGCGGACTGTGCTTGAGACAGACCGTCAGCACTGCAATTTTTTCGCCTTTTTCGATGGACCCCTCGCCCTCTAGCTTGTTGAGGATCCAATCGGCTCCGTTATCTCCAATGCGTTGACATCGCTCCTTGTCCTCCTCAAACACTTCGATCGCGACCTTGATGACGGCTTTGGCCAGCTGCTCGGCGGTCGCTCCTGCTTCGGCCACGGTCGAATTGGCCACGGCTTCGATACGGTTGAGCGCTTCCAAGAGGTTGACTGCTGTCGGCCGGGACGTCAACAGGTAGGCGGTCTGTTGGAGCAAGAATTCGAGCAGTTTCGGGGTAGATTCGAGTGACGAGACGGGGAACGCCGGCGACGATGAGCCGGAAAGCAGCGTGGAGAGCTCGGAAGCGATGCCTAGCGAAGCAAGCGAGGCGATTGCGGGGGCCCCTCGAATCTGTGGGGAGACGGTTCGGTGGGAAGTGATGTTCAGCATGATCTGTCTCACACTAGAGAGTCAACCGAACACTGCGTCAGTTCATCGACGGGGGGATAGGAAGCTGAACGGACCTTCATCGACTTGATCGCTGCGAAAGCGCCTTCGATCGTGTTGACGGTCTCCCACTGGACCGTGTGTGGCAGCACGAGCTGGTCCACGATCTCGACCTCCTTGGCCTCCTCGAAGGTTCTTCCACCCGAGATACGGAAAGCTGACAGCGGCGAGGTCATGGTGATACGGCTTCAAGTTCAACTTGGCGAGCTGTGGACGGAGACGGGCGAGCAAAAAGGCACGTGCGCCCCCGCCTCACTGCTCTCGGCTTCCGAGTCGGCTACCGGTCACGCCCAGAATTTTATGTTCTTCACGATAAAACGCGCGCATTGGAAGGTGCTACGGCATCATTTTTCTGCATTACATAAAGTACAATCATTCATTTCCTTTCTCCACCGCGCGAGAGTCCAACAGGTGCTTGGCGGCATTGGCGATTCTCCGACTAGTAGCCGTACTGTTCACAACTCGTCGTGGTTGCCGAGATCGACTTGTTGCGTATCCTTTCCACCGGCTTCTCCCCCCTCCGATGACTTCTTCTCGAGGTCGGCGGCGTACAAGGCAGCCCCCACCGCGTTCGAGAACGCGAAGATCGTGCCGGCGATGGGAACAAGGCCGAGAGCGAGCTGAGCGGCTCCAAGCGAGGTCAATCCGGGGTGGTGCTGGTCGACGAACGCCTTCTTCTCTTGCTTATCAAAGCCCTTGAGTTGGAAGTAGCGGTTCAGAGCCGCAGGGCCCGAAGACCACCCGTTGAAGAAGAGGAAAAAGATCGTTCCGACCGCGGGGACCAAGTTGAGCGGCAGCGTCAACACGTATCGGACCAGGCCCTCGGTCGAGAACTTGGACGAGATCGGTTTGAGCAGCGATTTGCCGAGAATAGCGCCTCCGCCGCGAGTTGAGTTGACTTCTCGGCCTCGCTCTACTAACGAGGAGAGACCCTTGTTCACGAGGACCGCATCGAAAAGCTTGTCGGTCGCGCCGGCGAGTAAGAAGCTCTTCAGCACGACGTTCGTAATTGCGTAGGATTCTGCGAGCACGATTGGAACCGCTGCAATGAACGCTGCGATAGGAGTTTTACTGCAGGGTCAGCGGATGCCACAGTACTGGATAGCCACCCGGCCGTCGTCACGTCACGCGGGGCCGGCTGGATATGACGCCGATGAACTCACCGAGAGGGCCCGAGACGACGGACAGCACGGCGACTTGAGGCAAGTACGTCACGATGAACATCCCTACGGTGATACAGATGGACCACATGACACCGCGGTATAGAGCGACGCGGACCGAATTGAACAACTTTGGGTTGCGGAGGAAGTAGATCAGGCCGTAGCTAGTTCACGCGAGGTGGATGTGAAGCAAGGCAGCGATGAGTATACAGGTGTGGAGAGGCAAGCTACGGGCATGCTCGAGGCTCACATTGGGTATAGATAGGCTCCTGATTTGGCGGCATCCGCGCCGAGCTTGCCAACTGACTGCACGTCCGACTTGGCCTGCGCCGCTGCTCGTTGCGATCGTGTCTGCTTCCTTTCCGACATGCTTGAGGCAGACAAGTCTTGCTGGATGGCACAAATGGCAATTCGGGAAGTGGCGACAGAGGAGAGGGTGAGGTCGATTTTCGTGAAGGAAGGAAGGAAAGAATGACAAGTCTGACCAGTCCGCGTCAGTAGTGCAACTCGCGAGCGACAGCAATCGACATGAGCCGAGTCGCGCGACGTCATCGCGGACGCTGGGTCGAAGCGATTACCCGATTGGGGTGCGGTCGAGAGTAGGCCCCGGGGCGGACAGGGTACTACAGGTGGTGTAGGGCCTTTATGGGCGTCTCTGCCGGCTCTATCATGCTCTACCAGCTTCAAAAAGTATGCATATGGCAAGGGAAGACGATACATGCAGATTAGCGGAAGCTGTAGCAATTTCATTTTTTTCAGGGCGTACCGCACATTTGTTGGCGGAGAGTACGCCCCAAACGGCCTTCGCTCCGCCTAATGGGGCGTACTTGGTCCGAGGCCGGTACGCCCGGGGCCTACGTGAATTGGCACATGTACGCCCCAAAACTTTAGATCGCGTTTGCAGCTGCTACAGCGCATTGCATACACTCTGACAGTCACCAGTTCGGTCTAAAGGCACGGCTGCACAATCCTCTAGCAGATGAAGAGATACAAGTCGATGGTCATAAAGTCGAAGCTGTGACCACCGCGCAACGACTCGCGAGTGAGGCCGGCCTCAGGTACGAACGTTGATATGTATGCTGTAGCAATCGCAAGTCCCCTCAGTAGAGCATCGATTACAGCTCAAAAAGATATATGGTACATGAAACGATACAGGGGCCGAATCACACAACTGCTATGGTTCTACAGGACGCTGTATGCCCACCCAGTGACTTCCTCTGGTTCAGATTGGATGATCTGCGCCAAGGGCAATGCAAGTAAGTAGCACTTCTGCAATATGGAGGAGTAGAGATGTCTCACAGGGCCATCCTCATCGCTATCATTATCGGCGTACCGTTCCGCCGCTAGCTTCTTCGCACTGGAGAATGAGGCGGCTATGTTCGATGTGCAAGAAAGAGCTTGGGAGAAGGATCAGCCTGATAGTTTTTTTCTGTGCAAACCGGTTTTTGGTCACTTGCCTACGTTCAGATGCTTGATAGTCTTTTTGGTGTCTTTGATAAATGCCTTCACCAGACTAGCATTTGTGCCCCAAGTCTTCTTGAGTATTGCCTCAGTGGGAACCTGCAACTGATGAAGAGTGACAAGTAGGCAATGCCGGTCAGCCAAGCCAGCCCACTCTGCCATGCCATTCAGGATACTGACTCACACTCAAGTAAATGTCCCGATTCTTGCTTCCTTCCAATTGCTTCGCATTGCTGAAAGACCATGCCAGTTTGTTACCCGGGACCAGCTGGAGATTGACGCCGCCTTCTGGACATGAAACTTCAGCCAGTGCCCGCGCTCCGAGCCCATCCCGATGAACTCCATAGTCATGGACCTTAACTAGCCTCCAAGCCTCACTGATGTAAGCCCATGCGCATGAACGAGCAAGCGAAACACTGTAGTAAAAAGTCGTATTAATTCTGGAACACAGGGAGTTCCACAAAGCGGCATACATTGAGGCCACTTACGTTCCAGAGAGCTTCTTGAATTCGTCTGCGCGCAGATCCTTCGTTGACACCACATTCACACATATGATGCATCTTGTCGTTCTTTGTTCCTCTTTGGAGATCTCGGCATGCAACTTATGTAAGTACAATCCGCATAAGTTACAGCGGATGAGGTCCTGAGTGAAGGCGATCGGCGTTCCACACAGCCGTCCCGCGGCACAAGTTGGGCATCTGAGCTTGACCATGACAGGATTGTGCGCCCGATACTCGTCCTCGAACAGCGAATGCCCTGGGTGCAAGCCGATAGCCTGTACACAAAGAGAGGATGTTCAGAGAACCGATGGCCGTGACACCACCATCGTGGCAGCCAATGCGCCATCACGTCCACGAACGTACCTTTTCCAGAATCATTAACTTGTCAATTTGGTACTTGCGGGCGGAGCCCGCTACCCTGAATTTTTTGAACGTCTGGCGGCCCGCCTGTGCTCCCTCCTCCACGACGCCCAACTCCAGACCCATGACCTCGTAGCGCTGACGCGCCATAGCCACGGTCGGTAGTAAGGGTCCCTCAGCGTTCACATCGGGGTTTCGCCTGCGCGCGCCGTACGTTTGCGCAGCAGATGGCTCGAGGTCGGTAATCATCAATTCCAGCGAGATCGTCCCTCACCTTGTCAGAAAGGCATTGAGTGATCGCAGCGCATTCCGGTTTCTTTTGTACACCCACCAGCTATAAGAAGCCGTGGCGCGCAAATCTGGGACCAGCTCGGTGGCGAGATGCGCAATTGACACCATTGGATTGAGTCCATCAAATTGATGCCATTGAAGTTCGCCATCCGGACCGATTGCAGCCCCACCTTTCGTTGAGATGTGTTGATGGCGTAGCTGAGTGACGGCTCGGAGTGACCAACGATGCTGCAAGCCAGTGTCATCGCGAAAGACGAGGTCTGAGCCTCGAGCGTCCGGCGTCCAGCGTACGGTGCTTCCGTTGTGCATGATGGTGAAGCACATGGGGACTTGAGTGAACGAAAGCAACGTTCTCTGTCCCCCTGCACAACATCGGCACGTACTGACATCCATGACAGAACCTATGCCTCCGGCATCGTGCGACAGGACGGACTGCAAATTCATATCCGCACCTTGCGAAAGCTTGAGAGGTGCGCAGTGCAGGAGTGCCTCCAGGTCGAGAACGGAAGAACTCGTTGGCATCTCAGGCGAGGACACCCTTGCGCATACACAATACGTAATTGTGTGATACGTTGAAACAACCCACTTGCTTAGAGATACGTCCAAAACCCAGTCAGTCTCAGCCATTCGGGTCGACTGTGGCGGCAATGTCGTCTTAGAAAGCTTGAAAAGCGATGAAGCAAGATATTGCCACCATTCCTGTGAAAGCCGACTCGGAGGTCAGCTTGCTTGCGTCCAAAAGCGCTGGAAGCTGGAGACTACGGACCACAGCGTTGGCGTATCCTGTAGTTTTATGATCTCCATGACCAAGGGCGAGCAAGTTCGCTTTGATGAGCCGGCGCAATTCATTCCTTGGAGCGACGTCATTGACCTCCTCGATTGTAACTAGAGCGCCCAAATGGTCGATTTGGGTGGAACGGGCCATGGGTGGAATGAGCCATCACGTCAGTTCAGAAATGACCCCTGACGATGGACAATGAACGGGCAGCTGCGACCATGGGAATGTCCGTTTGCTCACCGAGCTGTGGTCTACTCGTTGGCGAATCTGTGGCTCGTAAAGCTTTTTCTCCCATCCAGGAGACAGGTCCACTTCATTGATAGACTAGAAGCAGTACATAAAATTAGGGGTGGAAGTAACGACGGTGACTGACGCAGTACGCACCCTTCGCAGTCTGACGGGTGAATGAGAATGGGTCGCGTCAACGTCGTCGGAGAAGCCTCGCTGGGATGACCCCGCGGGCTCAACATCCTCAAACACGTCTTCGAGGCTCGATTTCCAATGAGGTTTTGAGCTCGATTCATGTATGTGTGTTGGCTCCAAGGGGAAAGTAGCTGAGAACGCCGGTGGCGACGCAGCGGCACCAGGTACTAGGTCGAGGACTTGGAGACGCGTCCGACGCGATTGAAGTCTTGCTTCTCGCTCAGATATCGGAGGTGGGGCATGAGCCTTTGGCGTCCATTTGTTTCGTCTTCCACGGGCCCTCGTTGGTGGCCTGTGTGGTCGACTCAAAGGAAGCACCTTCCGTCGCGGGCCCGCAGATGGCCGCGTTTAGCACTGACGCCAAAGTGAGACCTAATTTGAAAGTGATCGACTCCTCCATAGTGCGCGCTGTTTGTGGCGTTTGTTTTAGGATGGAAGAGTCGAGTTGCAGTGATAAGAGAAAAACCCGCACTCCGTAACAAACGGAGGGTTTTCTAAACAGGAGTTATGAACAAGTAGGGTGGGAGGGAGGAGCTCAAAAAAATGGTCGATCGGCTTTGCTCAAAGAGCGCAGGTCCGATTAGTAACTAAAACACTGCAACTGACTTGGGGGATAGGGCATACCTTTGCTCGAAAAGCGCAGGGCGATGGCAGGGGAGGAAGGCGACGCGGTAGGTAGACGCGGCCAAACGAGGTCTGTATACAAGGTAGCCCCATGAGTCAACTTGCCCAACAAGGACAAGGAATTTGGCAACATGCCCAACAAGGACAGTCGTGATCCGGAATGCGAACCTTAGCTAGAAACAGCGAGCCGCGATAGTGCGAGTCTCGAAAAGTTCGCCCTTGCTCTAAGCAGTGGGTGCGATACGACCTTGCAAAGCAGCGGGTACGGCGGCTGCTTACAACGTAGTGGCAGGCTAGCTCATCAGTCCAACTGTCCAACAAGGGCAGAGGGCTTACGAGGGATGTTACCCACTTTGAGTGAGTAGAGACTGGCAGGGGGGGTGCCGGAACCACAACACGAAACGCTAAGGCGTGCGGGACGACGAGGAAGAGGGAGAGGAAGGGCCCGCGCGCGCCAGCGGGTGAGCAAGGCGGGAGGCCCAAGGGGGCCGAGAAGAGTGCGTGCTGGCACAGGGTCCAAAGAATGCGTGTTCGAAGAGTGGAGCGCGAGCGGGCCCCGTTAGGCCGAGACCAGCGCGCTTGAGCTGTCCGCGTCAAAATCTTGCAGCAAAGGCCGAAAAGACTAGACGTAATTTGTCGGACAAATTAGTACTCAAGTCGCGACGGTTGACTTATCTGTCACGGCTAAGTAGGACTTTGCAGGGTTGACCGCACTCAATGCTGGAACTAGGTATCATTTTACCGCCTTGTTTTAAACTAGCACACATACACATATCAACGTTCGTACCTGAGGCCGGCCTCACTCGCGAGTCGTTGCGCGGTGGTCACAGCTTCGACTTTATGACCATCGACTTGTATCTCTTCATCTGCTAGAGGATTGTGCAGCCGTGCCTTTAGACCGAACTGGTGACTGTCAGAGTGTATGCAATGCGCTGTAGCAGCTGCAAACGCGATCTAAAGTTTTGGGGCGTACATGTGCCAATTCACGTAGGCCCCGGGCGTACCGGCCTCGGACCAAGTACGCCCCATTAGGCGGAGCGAAGGCCGTTTGGGGCGTACTCTCCGCCAACAAATGTGCGGTACGCCCTGAAAAAAATGAAATTGCTACAGCTTCCGCTAATCTGCATGTATCGTCTTCCCTTGCCGTATGCATACTTTTTGAAGCTGGTAGAGCATGATAGAGCCGGCAGAGACGCCCATAAAGGCCCTACACCACCTGTAGTACCCTGTCCGCCCCGGGGCCTACTCTCGAGATGACCGAAGCGATTGCCCCGCCAGTGGCAGTGGCAGGCCAGTCAAGCATATGTCTAGGATGTAGCTTGCTCGCCTTGTGCACGTACACCTGAAGACGACAACTTGCCAAATTCAGAAGCTCGGTCGAGAAATTTTGCAGTGTTGATTGTGAGGTGTATCTTGACCCTTGGGGCCAAGGTGTATACTGCTGATTTTATGAGTCTTTCTCATCTTTAACTAGGTTCGGCGGTGCGCTCCGCGCACCTCCTCACACCGTAACCGTTGACCCGCTGAAATGTGATGTACTTTGCTGCAACAGCTGCGGTACTGTTCAGTAACGGATCCCTAGTGGTTCAAGTCGGGAGAGGATCACGGGACGACGATCAAATGTAAAGAGCCTTCATTTCAGGACGTTTCTGACACCGTCCACATAGTTGCTCAGGACAACGCCACATACAACTGGCCGTGAGAAAAGACGGGCGTCTCCAGACACACTCCTACCTGCGCAAGTGCCAACTGCTCTTGCAACTTGCTGAACGTCATAGCCATTGCCAGCCGAATTCGAAACTGCGTCAGATGCAGAGTGAACGGAAGCTCAGCTGATGACCCTGTCTTCAGCGTGATCCGTGGCAACAAAACTGGCTGTCCAGCATGATCTCCTGTGAGAATGATGGCCTCGAGCAGGTGGGTGTGTAACCGAGTTGACAACAGTCTTGTGCCGTTGCACAGCCCCGCGGCGGGGTCCAAGTTTCCACTTTGAATCTTGCAGCGTGCAACGGCCTCCCGGCGATGTTGAGACTCTGAAGGTACTTGATCGAGAACAGTGATCCGTCTTCATTTTCGACCGAATCCGCGCTGTAGAACGTTTGAGCGTCACCCGGCAGCAGGTCGGGCACCATGTCGTTGATCTGTGCGAATTTTTGGGCGCCAGAATTGCTCGATCTCGGAAGTATTCGACTTTTCTGCCTATCGACGTATTGCCTTTGCCCGTTCCGTTTCGGTCATGCGGTCTGCAGCGGCCAGAAGACGCATGTCTGTCTGCGCTCGCACCGTGGGCTGTTGTTAGTATAGGTCTAAAAGTCAGGCAAGGACTACTACTTACAGAGAGATCCCCCCAGAAGTCGCCATTCATGATGCAAGCGTCGACGATTTGTGCAGGCGATGACGTGGAATAACGGGAAGGCATCGCTTCGGAACCCCTGTGATGTTACAGTCCAATCAATCAGTTAGTCACACCGCCCTGCGCTTTGCTTTTGAAAGATTGGCACACACCTGCCAACACGACGGTCACTCCACCGAACCGAGCCGTGGAATAACGGGAAAGCATTGCTTCGCATTTCCTGTGATGTTACAGTCCAACCGGTCAGTTAGTCATGCTGCCCTGCGTTTTGCTTTTGAAAGATTGGCACACACCTGCCAAGAACCGAACCGAGCCGTTGAGGATCTGCCACGGGATGGTGAGCCGCAATTCACCCGACCAGAGGCTGTTTTCTGGCGTGATTCGTTACAACTATCAGCATTATTGCTGTTGTCCATCTGTAGCAATGGCAGTGAAGACTCACATTTAGTGTCCCAATGACCCGGATTCTCAACCGTACGAAGTCAATCCTTCCGCTGTGTCACTGACGCAATGTCTGTTCTTCGTATCAACGCATGCCGTATCACCTGCTGACGGTGAAGAAACAACTCGAGGGTTGACATTCAGAGAGGACGTGTTGAAGAGAATTGCTGCTTGGTAGTTCTCCATTAGCTCCTGAACAATCCCACACCGAAGAGCACAGTTCATGAAGTTACTTACTCGAATTCGTAGCTATGTTGCATGCAGCAGGCATTTCTTGATCCCGTATTCGTTGCAGAGCTTCCACGACGACCGCTTCGGACGTCGCGAGCTCGAGGTGGCGATGGGATGAGTGGCGATGGGATGAGGTGCGATGGGTAAGGTGCGAAGAGCAGGAGGGAGAAAGATGGAGAAGCCTGCGCCTCAGTTTAAACCGGGTTCATAGAATGTCGCGGAAGGCCGCGGAACGACGTGGAGTGAAGCCCAGTGTCGGCAAGCCATAACACGCTGGCGGGGCCCCTAACGGCGGAATTAACGCACTGGTCGACATTACCGGACGTGCTGCCGGTGCAGATTGACTTGAAGAACCAGTTTGCGCGACGTTGTGTTGATCGATTGGCGGTGGCGACTGTGCGATTAGAGCAGGAGTCGGGTTGTTACGGAGGAGGCTCAGCTCGCTCACGTTGCCGACGTCTCTGCTGCCCCTCTGCTCTCCGTGCGGCGTGAAGATTGTCGTACAGGAGAGGGGACGTAAAGCTTTGCAGATGACATGTCGGCAGTCGCAGGAGCTGGATGATTGAAGGAACTACGCTACGATGTCACGCAAAACAGGTCGTCTGAATCTGCTTCGGAATCGGGAAGCAGAGGGTCATGTGCCAGGCTGCTTTGATTGAAAATGGAACCTCGGCGAACGTGGGCGAAACGGCCTGTGGCCGGCCGACCCTTTCTGAAACAGCGCTAGCTGGCGAGAGCTGTTGCAGTAGCGAAACTGTTATGACGTCACGCCACATGGTTTGTCTTTTGGTTTGTCTCCGGTTCTTTGACGTTCTTTGTCTCGACGACGTTTTTTATTATACAGTTTTAAGGATTTCGCGCAGGCTGGGACGTTGATCGGAGGCGAAGCAGCGGCGCAAACCTTGAATTTGGAGTGCGTCCGCCATAGACCCTTCTCTCGGGTCCTGCGACGTACAAAAAGCATTTTTTCTTCGATTTGAGAGCCGAGAAGTGAAGTGTACCTCCTCAGCTATGTACCCGCAACTGTTGGCCCAAGAGCTGCACCGGTGATCGGCAGCAGAATAGCAGAAAGACCCACTGGCACTTATTACGATATTTGGCCGTCTCATCCCCGGAATCTCCGAAGCAGCAAGTCCTGACCGACTGTTACTGATTAAAAAGACGTCCGAATCAGGTTGGAGGTAGGTATGCTGAGCTGGCCCTGCAGGCTGAGCGAGGCATGAATTGCCGATCGGGCACCGGATCCCGACTAGCCGGGCGACTGCCTGCGGCTAGAACGTCGTAGAAGCGTCGAGTAGCTTGCGCTCTACCTCTCTACCACACACCACACACACAAATTCCTCCCCCCCACCCCCACCCCCCACCTCCTCATTCCAAACACTTTATTCGCACACACACCATGACGATCGAAGTTGGCTCCACGATCCCCTCCGGCACGTTCGCCTTCGTTGACAACGTGGATGACGATCCCTCCATCTGCGGCAAGCCCCAGCAGCTCAAGACCGACGAGTGGAAGGGCAAGAAGATCGTTCTCTTCGGCGTTCCCGGAGGTCAGTCTCGATCTGACGATAGACTCTTTGAGACTGTAAACTGACGAACATTACGACTTGTTCATCGCCGCCACTTCAGCCTTCACGCCGACCTGCTCTGGTGCGTAGATGACCCACTCTCGTCTCGTATCGGCGTCACCCTGCCCGTAACCACTGTAACCACCGTAACCACTGTAACCACCGTAACCACTGTAACCACTGTACTGACATTCATCGCCTGTATCCCAACAGAGGCTCACCTTCCCGGTTATCTCGAGGGCTTTGAGAAGCTGCAGTCCAAGGGTGTGTACGCCCTGCAGCACGTTTATCGCTGCACCCGCGGCAGTCCGATTCCACGTGGAAAGCCCCCCTCTCCGCCCGACCTCGCTGACAAATTGCGTTCGCTTTCCCCACTCATCGACGACACGGCCCCAATTTGACCCCTGTCTGCACCGCCTTCGCACACCTACCCTGCTTTATTGTGGTAACGTTGCGCAGGTGTTGACGCCGTCTACTGCATCGCCTCGAACGACGTCTTTGTCGGTAAGCCTGTTTTCGCCCCCTCTCTCTGCCTGTCCCGGCTGACCGAAATGGTCGCTTCCCTCGTTTGCCAACCCCAGTCTCGGCCTGGCAACGCGCTCTCAAGGCCGGCAACAAGTTGACCTGCATCTCGGACGCCACCCTCACTTGGCTCGAGGCGGCCGGCTTGGTCCAAGACTTGTCCCATGTCGGCTTCGGCAAGCGATCCAAGCGCTTCGCGGCGATCATCAATGACCTCAAGGTAAGACTTGCTACTCTCGGCGGTTCATTAGATGGCGCAGCTTCGCTTATCCGAATGTTTTTGTTCTTTAGGTCGAGTACATCGGTATTGAGGAGGGCGGAGGAGTCACCGTCTCCGGTGCCGAGGCCGTTTTGGCCAAGCTCTAAACGACGATACCACTCGTTGAAGCTACCGCGTGGGCAATATGTCAACAGTGATCAGAAATAAGTCAATACAAAGTAGATCGGCCGCCCCGGTTGCCCTCCGGGAAGTCTGAAATGGAAACCGTATTCACCAATTTGTCTGATGGGACCGTGTGCGATCTTCGATAGGAGCATTTGCGAGAAAAGGGAACTTGAAGCTAAACCAACTTCCGAGGCCATCTCGGTCTGTACGAACAATAATATGTGAAGTCCTCCATTACATATCTGTGTTGTCAAACTCCTGGACTACACACGCTACTCGATCCACTCGGAAAAGCATCGTCTATGTTCATTTGCACGGATTTCGAAACACGGCGGAAGTACCAGCGAAGAGAATACGGTCTGGGAAACTGCCTAAACAGAGAGCAGGTCGAACCGAATGGGGGAGTTGGGAGCAACAAAGAAGAGCTTTTACAAGCTCTTAGCCTTCGGCAAGGGTCGCGGTGGCACCAATCTCGGGGTGATCTTGCTGTGTCTCTCTACAGAAGCGAAACGCGCCGAGTAGGATAGGGGCCAGTCAGTTCACTTCAGGCACGGCTCTTCCGTGATGAGGAAAATAATCAAACTCACTGAGCATACTTCTCGAACTCTCGGTTCTTGGAAGCGTAGATGGCGATCCTTTGTTGAACCTGGGCGACGACCCTGCCAACACGTTCATGCTTCTCGGGCGGCGCAAAGTGGTTGGGATACTTTGAAAAGTTAAGCGCGACCATATCGAGCGCGTTCGTAGCCACCGTGTAACGATCGCACTTGTTGACCTTGAGCATAAGGTAGGGAGTCGTCGTTGATCCTTGTTCGATGTAGCCGTTGATGTGGAATCGGGTGCGGCCGACAGAGTGAGGGCGATTGAACAGCAAGGATGCGATCTGAGCAGGGTGGCCGTGCCAGTTGATCACTACAGGAGTGTTGGGCGGGAACAACGAGTTGAAACCGGCCTCGCTCAACGCATGCGGGTGTTCGCCGACGGGCGCGAGCACAAGCAAGTCAACGACGTTGACCACACGGACTCGGAGGTTGTCACCGAAGTCTTTGCGCAAGCGAGCCGCAGCGGCGATAACCTCGGCGGTGAGCTCGAAACCGATGCCGACGAGCACAACGTCCGGGTTGACACCTAGCACGACATCAATTAGATTTGGTGAAGTTCTAGAAAGGCTTGAGGCTGCTTATGACTCACCTTCATCTGTGGAGTAAGACTTCCACACGCTGGCACCTGCGATGCAGTGTTCCTCGGCCTCGTCCGGAGTCAGGAAAACGGGAGAGGGTGCTTTGGTGCCGATGATCAGGTTGATGTAGTTCTTCGACTTGAGGCAGTGCGAGATGACGGAGACGGAGGTGTTGGCGTCCGCTGGAAGGTAGACGCGAGCGAGGTGAACAGGCAACGAGAGCACGGAAGAAATGAAGCCCACTTGCTGATGCGAGTACCCATTGTGCTCCTGGCGTGTCCATGTGCTGGTCTCGATGTAGGTCAAACTCGCCATCGGGCCACGCCAGGGAGTTTCAAGAGCCACTGTTAGAGAAGAAATGCCACGCCGAGGAAAAGGATAGAAAGCATCAGTGAATGTTCACCAAGATAGTCAACCTCGTGTTCGATTCGAGGTGCGCGGTCCGAGAACACAGGGCCGAGCGCGGTACTCACTTTTGGTGAATTTGGCGTATTGGATCATCATAGTCGCAATGATGCCCAAAAATGCCTCGTACGAAGGGAAGACACCTGCACGGCCAGTGAGAGTGTAGCCTTGAAGCCAGCCTTGCAAGGTGTGTTCCGACAGCATCTCCATCACTGCCGCATTCTCCTTGTCCGCCGTCTCGGGATCCCACTGGAAGGCGCGACTGGTGACTTCAAATACGCCGTCGAGCTTGTTCGATGCGAGCTCGTCGGGAGAGAAGATGCGGAACTTGCGCGGGTTGCGCTTGATGGTGTCGGCGAGGAATTTCCCGATCGCCTTCATGCACGAGATCTCCTCTGCGCCCTTCTCGTACGTCATCGTTTTCCAGTCGCCCAGATCGAGCGCCTTGTAACCCTGATAGGCCTCAGGGACAAAACCAAGTCGACGCTCTCGTTGTTTGGGAAGGACAGAGTCGTAGTCTTGATTGAGGATAGAGGTGCCTTGCGAAAGCTTGTGCTCCGGCTGGAAGATCTTCTCTGGCTCGTACGATCTGAGCCATCTCTCGAGATGATCCAACTGTTCGTCGTCCTTCCCAGCGGCCGGGAGAGGGACCTGATGCGAGGCGAACGAGTTGAGCAGCTGCTTGCCTTTGCCGTCGGTCAAAGGCCCCGTCCATCCTAGATAAAGGAGAAAGAACCCAAGAGTCAGCTTGTTATGCGTCTCGTGTATCTTTAGACCTGGACACGCCGCTCTCACCTTTGGGCGAACGCAAGATCAGCAATGGCCAGCGAGGCTTTTGCAGGGGCTGGCCCGATCGCGCAGCCTTCTGAATTCGACGGATTTCGCTGTACGCCCAATCGATCGAAACTGCCATGTTGCGGTTGAGCTTAATGTCCGCTGGGTCGTTTCCTCCCATGGTGGGCTCTCCCTCTGGCTCATACTCGACGAAGCGGACTTGATAGCCATAGCCCGTATATAGCAAAGCTAATTCGGTCGCGTCCATGGTTCCGGGAAGCGTGCGCTCCGAGATTTTGAAGCCGTTGACGTGCAGCACCGGCAAGACGGCGCCTGAAGTCGCGGGGTTGAGCCACTTGTGCGAGTGCCAGGCAGTCGCCGTTGGACCCGTCTCGCTCTCTCCGTCCCCGACGACGACGACCGAAATGAGGTCAGGCTTGTCAAAGACGCTGCCGTAAGCGACGGCTAGGGCATAGCCTGCGGTTGCAAGACGAGGCAAAAACGCGGTCAGAGAAGATCGCTACATTTTGGGCTATAAATCTCTTGAACGCACCAAGCTCTCCACCTTCGTGAATGCATCCTGGCGTCTCAGCGTTGACGTGGGAAGGGAATCCTCCCGGCCAAGAGAAGCTCTTGACGAACTTGTTGAGGCCTTGCTTGTCCATGGCGTACTCGGGGTAGAACTTGGAGATGGCACCCTCGATGTAGAGCTCGGAGAGGATCGCAGGCGCTCCATGGCCCGGGCCGGTGATGAACAAAAAGCTGGGCTCATTCCCGGCTTCTTGTTCGCCGCGACGACGGATGAGAGCTTGGGTGTGCGAGTAGGCGAACGCGAGACCGCCGGTCGTACCATAGTGCTGTTTGGTATCAAGGAAGGGGTTTGAATGTCGACGTCAGCTCTTGGTTCGGTGACGGGGTAAACGGGCCACCGTTTGTTCGGTGACGGATAAAGTGGGCACGGCTGATTCGGGGGCGGGTAAAGTGGGCACCGTCGTGGCGGATCGCGTCGGGTTCAACATGCGGGGCCCCATGTGGACCTTCGAGCCCAACGCGTCATCGCCGCACTCGGTCTGCGCACGCGATTGGGCACCGAGGCGACGCCTTGGGGTGCGATACGATGCGATGGCATGATCGTGACCGCGACAGTCGGTGATTGACACAGCTTTCGCACGTCGACAAGCTATGGAGCCACCACAAAGTCACTCGACCGAAAACTCTTCCCGGTAGTGTGACAGTCGCCTCCACGTCGATAAAGACTGTCAAGCCCGCTGCCCGATCTAGCCGGCGCAATCAGCTCGGGCTTGTAACTTACGCCGAGGAGACGAGGTTTGATGTGTTTCCTGGTCAGCTTCTCTTCCATCGTGGCGTTTCCGGTCAAAAAGATCTGCGCTGTCGCGAGGTAACACGAAGCACGCCAGCTCTGGTGCACGCGGTCGAGGTGCGACGCATCATATGCTTTCGACAGCTCATCGACGTCGAGCTGAACGGCGAGCGAGCTGAGGGGCGAATCGGGCGAGGCGCTGAGCTCGGAAGGGATGATGGTGGGGGGCGGGGCTTCCTCTTTACCCATGTTTGACGAAGATAGGGATGGGAAGATGTATGGTAGAAGAGGTGGGGCTGGGAAGGAGGAAGTTGAACGCAACGGGTCGCACGTTTGGTCGAGCACTGGCAAGCATAGTCCGAGCATAGTCCGAGAAAGTCCGAGAAAGTCCGAGATGGCCGAGCTCCTTCCGATCAATGACGTCTTCGACGTCTTCGCTTCCCAAGTTCGGGGCGCTGGCGGTGTCGAGGGAGTGCCAAGTTGCCAACTTCGCCAAACTTTAGAGGCGCGCACGCGCTTAGGGCCCGCTTGCGGCCCACTTAGGCAATGAAGTTGGCGAAGTTGGCAGAGGGGTGGGGGAAGTTGCGGGAAGTTAGCAAAAGTCACGTGTTGCCTGCGGCGCGACAATCGCATCGAGCTCTTTCTCAGCCCCCTACCTGTCCTGATCTATGCCCAACGTCCGCACTTCTTCGGCCTTCGAGCCAACACAACGTATTTTACCACGTCGCCGCAAGACTCGCTCTCAATTGTTGATCCCATCCGATGCCGTTCAGCAAACTTGAAGCCGATCGAAACGATTTGTCGCGAACAGCACGCCTGGGCGAGACACTGAACTAGCACATCTTACACTTTAGGTCGACGAAGACACGGAGTCGGGCTGCTATTCAATGCTCATCTACCTACATGAGCCATCGATCGAGCAAGACCGCCATCAATCTAGCATCACGAGCGCACCGACGTCAGGCTCCCGAGGTCCGCCGTCCACCGCCTTCCATCGCCGTCAACCGCCTACAACGTTCCAAAGCATTCTCGAAGACGATCAGACCGATGAGGAAGCAAGCAGCGAAACTTGGAATACAGGCTGAGCGATACCTTCAAATAAGGCAAGTTCAGGAGTCGCCGATAAGGATCAGGTCGGAGCCAACTTTGGTCGACCACGATCATTGAACTGCACAACGAGCGCAGGTCAATGGTAATAGCTCGAATACTAAGGATCATCTTTGTGATCTCCGTTGCTATGCTGACATCAATCGTCACAACATCTGCCATGAATAGGGCCGTTCGAGAAAAGGGACCGTGAGTCGTCGCCCGTCGCCCGACCGTTAGCGCGTTCGCCGTGCCGCTCCATCTCGTGTACTGAAATCGGCGTTTCTTTGTTCCCCGTTCCCAGAGAAGTGTCCAGAAAGAATTTGATTCATGTTCCGATACCAAGTCCGACTCGTTCAACGCATCTATCGCTCACTTCGAGCTACCCTTCGCTTCGACTATAGTTCTACCGAGCCCACCTGGTCCGTATGGTCGAAGATCCCAATGGACGCCGTCTTTCAAGTAAGCAGAGCAACCAACAAAGTCGATTCTTATCAAGAAATACCGAACACACGTTACAAGCATCAAACGGCAAGAGTGGCAGGTCTTGTGCTCCCTCGGCGATTGAGGACGAGATGTGCTTTGGAACTGCGGCGGGACGAAATCGTGACCGATGCGACCACTAAGATCGGAACACAAGGAGGACGCAGATTGGCTCCAGGACCTGCCATTTAGCGTGACTTGACTTCACGCTACCAACGAACTTTGTATCGAAGCTCGCAAGAAGAAGGATGGGCATGAGTCATGCTCGGCGGACCATATGACAACATCTTATGACCTCGGCTTGATCAGTATCGGCATCGGTATCGATCGCCATCCTTCCCTGCACTTCTTCCATGGGCATCCTCGGTATCTTGATATTCCATCGATCTTCAACTTAGGACTTATTCCACCATTCAGGATGTGCTCTGACGGATACGAGCGCAACACAACGGTCCTCAAGAAGGGTGGCTCGAGACTCGTTGGCAGCTCCGATTGGCCTCGCCGAATCCGCGATCTCAGTTGACCGGTCGGTCCCTGACTCTAGCCATTGGAACTCCAAACACGGTGAGATGTTCACACAGTTTCTGTGGAAGGCATTTCTGGTAAAGCAAAGGATAGTTCTTGTAATCCACGTGTTCAAAGCCTGCTTTTTTCATTGCTCTTTACACTGCTGTCCGAGCGAGGCGGCTGCGAACGGGACTGTAAGTGTGTTTCTCAAGCTTAGGTATACCATCTTTACGTGTACCTGGTGTTGGTGTAAAGATACCAAATTTGGGCAAGTTATGCTACAAGAGAGTACTATGACCATGTACATCATGTGTTCGTCTTTCCTTCTTCCCCCTTCTTCCCTTATCTTTTCCTTATTTCCTTCCTTTTTCTTTCTCTTTTCTTCTCTTTTTTCCTTCCTTTCTTTTTTTCTTTTTCCGCTTCGCCGGCAACTCCCTGGACATGTGCATGGGTGGCGACCCCGAAGTTCGAACCGACTGGTGAACAATTCTCGAGATGGCCCACGATTTTCGACCCCGACAATATGCGACGGTGAAAACATTCCTGCTATACTTTTGCAAACTGTACAGGTTTAACGAATCGGTATACTACAACATGTTCCAACATACGCGTCTTCATGAGTCTGCTGCACTTGCGGCTCTTCGACTTTGCTCGTTCGCCACCTCGATTGCTCGGTCGCCCTCCTGCTCCCACATCTTCTTCTCGTGGGTCTCGTACTCGTCGCGGTGGTCGATCCATTTTTCCTGAACGGTCGAAGAATAGTAGAGCTGCGACAAGGGGTCGACCATAGAAGGAAGCTCAGATTGGTGCGAATGATGGTGTGCATGGGCTTGTGCCGGAGATTCGGCCATGTCACTGTCGGTCAACGGCGTCGGTGCGACATAGCCTACAGCTTGGTCGACCACTTGCACAAGCCGCAGCATCGATTCCTTGTCCTACCAAGGAAGAATAAGGTGATATTGATAGAGACGATGCAGGGTGGTTAGACTTATCACCAGGCAAGTCACCACATGGGAAATCGAGTCCGGGACCTACCTCGACGCAGAGCGTTTCAAAGCTCACGAGGCCAAACTCGTCAATCAACTCGCAAATAACCCTATTGAGCTCCGAGAACCGCCGTATTCTCTGGTCTTTCTCCAGCAGAGGTAGCAGGTACTGGAGATCCTTGACCTCGGTATAAAAGTCGAGATTGAAAGCTGCACAAGCGTATCCCGATCAGTTTGCATGTGCGACGACTAACGTGCGCGCTGAGGGTATGAGACTCACGTAGCTCGCCAGCTGTGGACAGCAGATCGATCTTGGACAGTACGTTGATATGAGGTAGCTCCATCTGAAGCATAGTGCGCAACGACAGCAGTAGCAGAGCAACGTATTTCCCGGCGTCGAGGATGTGGTGCGCGTCGAGCAAGTGCACCGCTGCGAGCTGTGAGATCCGATTGGATTGGTGTGAACATCGTCCCACATCGAGTTCTCCCGCAAAGGCGTTAGTGACTCACCCTCCAGCCACCTTTCTTGCCTAACCTCTCGACTATCCTCTTGAGACTACCGTGGTCGGTGCTGAGCTCCACCTGGCCCGGTGTGTCGAACACGACAAACGCCTGCTCCCTCCGATCGCCGTCGTAGCCCTTCTCTGCCAACACGCGGTCGAGCTCTTCTTCGAGCCAATCGATGTTGGCCTCGAGGTATTCGAGACAGTAGAGCATCGCCCCATTGGGACCGAGGTGATGAGCGGTCATGGCATCCTGGAGTGAGATGAGTGACGTAATCGAGATCGAGGACGGATAGGGTGGTGCAGGAGCGGCCGGATCCAGATTGACGATGATCACCGGTCGCTCCAAGGCGTTGAGGAACTAGGCATGGAATGAGCGACGGGCCGAGGAGGGTCAGTCCGAGGGTGGAGGGGGGGCTTTGCGACCCTCAGGAGTAAATGGGTCCGAACGCGTGAGACGGCGAGAGCGACTGACCTGGTACAGCCCATAGCAGTATGTACTCTTGCCTGAGCCTGGTGGACCGATGACGACCTGTCCGAATGGCATTCCTGTCTTTATCCGGCGAGAGCTCGGAAAGCGGACGCTGTCGGTACTGAGAGACAAAGGTCAGAGCTCGCCTGCTTGCAAGTACGGCTGCGACGGCCTCACGTGCGCAGACGCCCGCTGCCGCCGGACAGAAGAGGGGCCATGCGCGCTAGCGTCCGACGGAGAACGGGCCTCGTCCACGTCAGTCCGTCTACATAGTCGTCTACGCCTCACGAGGACTATGAGAGCGCTGGGTCAACGGACGTCTCCTAAGCGCTAAGTTGGAATTTGGGTCAAGCCTAATTGCTATGGCTCAGAAGGGAGCAAACGACGATTAGGCAGACCTGCCCAGAGCTGCCCCTCCGCGCCGAACGGGCCACCGCCTGCCCTCTCGCGTTCACCGCCAAAATCTGCCCTCAAACCCGCAGAGTGGTCCAGCTGAGGATTCAGCAGTTATCAAGGCAGTTGTACGAGCAATGGCTGATCCTCAGTACCATCGCCACGACATGGGGCTGAGGTCTTCGGGCCTTGTTCATCTCAAGTTCACCGTCCTTTGGCTGATCCTCCCCGAGGTACGTGGCTACGGCTTCGCAAATTGGCGTAGGCAAAGCCCATTGTGTCACCTTGATCCGCTACGGTACTGACAATATCGTGTCGCAGGTCATCTTCTTCACTTTGGTCGCGACCATGGTCACCATCATTTCGCAGAGGGTCGTCCCCTTGCAGATTGCCACGACACTCACCACCGTTCGTGCAGCCTGACTCGTCTCGCTCGTCCTGAGCGGTCCTTCCTCTGAAAGGAGCTGGAGGTAGCATTCTCGTTTTCTGACGTATGCATTTGCTGTTATTCTTTTCGCTTTCGATGTGCAGGTGTTTGGTAGCGTGCTGGGCTTTCTCATCTCTTTCCGCACATCCTCGGCATATTCGTGCTACCAGGAAGGTCGTCGGTACTGGTCGTCCATCATCTTCGCGTCGCGATGCTTCGCACGCACCGCATGGATCCACGTCCCCGACACCATCGACCCGGGATCGAGCCCGGCTAGCGAAGACGACCGGCGAAGGGCTCTGATCGAAAAGACGTCGGCGATCAGGCTGGTCGGAGGGTTTTGCATCGCGCTGAAGCATTACTGCCGTGGCGAGGCGAGCGTCTACTATGAAGATCTCTACTCCTATGTCTGCTATCTTCCAAAGTGTGAGTACCGCTCTCATCAAGAACGTGACCTTCTTTTAGCCTAATCACTTCAGCGAAAATAAATTCAGATCGGCTACCCGCATCCACCTTCATCCCTCGACCCGACCTTGACGTGGAGCACAACTTTGAGCCCCTCACGCGCGAGACGTCCGGCGCGAGTTCGACGGTGCTCCCCTTCACCGCCACCGGAAGCGCGCGCACGACCTCAGCCTCTATTCTCTTGCACTGCGAACCTTCGGAACATAGTAAATCAGCGACTACGGTCAATCTCCGTGCACACGGTCAACACCAGCACGAGCAACGTCGACTTATCAGCCCTCAGGCACTACTACCGCCGCGCAACCCTCCTCCGATCGCCTGGGACGAGTACATCCCCTTCTATGCGTTGTTTTGTGACCTGTTTGGTCTACTCAGACGAGGCCAACGGAAATTGCGACATCGCGTCAAGAGGCAAAAGCAAACCCGCAAGCGAAGGCCCTTGCAAAACGACAAGGACGGAGACAATGTTCCCCTCGAGATCACGCTGTTCCTCTCCGGTTGGGTCGCGGCTTTACAGAGGCGCAAATCGATCGACGTGCCAACCGCCAATGCGCTCTTTGCAGCTCTGCAAGGTTTGACCGACTCGCTCACTGGCCTTGAAAGGGTGCTGCTCTCGCCTATGCCAATCGCGTACGCCCTGCATCTCCGCCACGTGATCTGGTTGTACCTCTTGCTACTCCCGAGTCAGCTCTACGGGTCGTTCGGATGGAAGGTGAGTAACTGACCGTCATGTATCTTCCTCCTTTACACGCTGATAAAGGCCCAATTTTTCGCTCTACCAGACGATCCCCGCCACGGCGCTGATCACATTCGTTTTCATCGGGTTCTTGCAAATTGGGAACGAGATCGACAATGTGAGCAGGTGCACTAAAGCTGGTCAAAAAGTGGACCAAGTTGATGTTGATTGACCTCTTTTGTCCTCGAAGCCTCTTGGTTATGATGCGTTAGTGCACGAACCTATCTCCGCTGCGTCGGATCGAAGCGGCACGCGGTCAATTGATGCTTAGTCGGTGCACACAGATCGGACCTCGATTTGGAGTCGTACACCGAAGTGATCTTGCGCGAACTGAGGGAGATCGTCGCCCACCCAACAAGTGACACGGATCCGACAAACTTCTTCTTCGTCGACAACAACTTGTAAGCACCAGTGGACGCTGGCATCCTCTGGGCTTTCCGGACGGATCGCTAACCTCGTGACTGCCTGCGGCCGGGGTACTCCTAGCCCTCTGGCACTCAGTCCGGATCAGTGGGAGGGTCTAGCGGCGACTCAAATCATGGAGCAAAAAATAACTATCTCGGAATTGGCCCATTTCTTGAAGAAAGGTTTGGCCGGACCCACTCCCATCGAATATTCGTCCCAAGCGCACGGCGCCACGATCTCTCGCGGGGAAGAACAGCGTCAGACCGCGAGTGGTACGGTTCGCAGTCAAGACTTCAAGGAGACAGAGTTTACGGCGAAGGGTTCTGAATAAAGAAGTCTTGGGTCGTCAGCAGGTGGGGGGGGGGGGTTCCTAGGGCCAGGGTCGGGCAAGACGTCCCCTGTGATTTCCGTGGATGCCCCGTCAGCGTTAATGAGTTATTCTACTTACCTAATTCTCGCGAGAACATCTCTTTCAGTAAGTGCTGCTTAACCGATAATTCTGGAGCGAAACGGGTCTGTCAATTACAAATGATTTCGTACTATAAAGTGGCCGACGCGAAGCTCAGGCCCGCCGGCTACCCGACCGACTTCGCGAGCTTCGCCAAGTCTTTCTTACCGACTTTGAGCTCGCTTGCCAGCATGGCCATGCTCTGCCAGAATTCTTCTCCGCGGCCTCCCCGCGGCTCATTGCGCTACTATCGCGAAGACTTGGTAATGTGGTATTTGCCAAGGGGCGGAGATGTACACCGGCCAGAAAATTAAGAGTGCGCACCCCCCTGCGCAGACGTCGCTGGGACCGGACCAGTACACGCGCGACCCTCGCTCATACGGATAACATGAGTCCGTGTCCAGTACACGTTCCTTATGAAACCCTTCTGCAAAACTTAGATTTTGGTACTCTGGAATCCATATGGAATGCAAAAACATTACAGCATCAGCTCACTAGCCGTTGCTATAAATGGAATAGATGTTAAGCATCCCCAAACAGGTGTTTAACCGTCTGCAATAGGTTTCATGCGCTCAGAAAATGACAATTTCAACTTCTTCTCGTGTTATAATTCTTGTGCTCGGGCAAGCACCTATAGCAGTGAGGTTTATAACCGAGCTTAGGTCATTTGCTAGTTGCAAACTTTACATCCACAACCTAATTTGACTTCGTGTCGAATTGAATCTTTCCCATTCCACCGAAAGGAGTCTCACCTTCTTTTTCATCGGAACTCGAAGATGGACAACAACAACAACAACAACACCAACAACGCCAGCCCTGCTGCTATACCACCACTTCGCCCTGACCCTCCCGATCCTCCCGGCCAAGCCCCCGCCACCACCACCAAATCATACTCCGCCGCGGTCGGCGCCCGCTCCGCTGCGAAGCACGGCAACGCCACCGCCAACACCTCGACTGCCGTCGCCGCCCATCCCCTGATGCACAACATCGAAAACTGTGTCATCATCAACACCCCACCCTCAACCTCGGTCGAGCAAGTCCTCCTCGCGCTCGACAAACACTACCCTGCCCTTACCGGCGCAATGCCATGCGTCATCAAGGGTCAGCGCGGCCTCCGCTTTCCCAAGGCCGCCGATCTCGACACCCTGGTTGCCAACGGCCTTACTGTTGGCAAGACTCTGTGCAAAGTCGAGAAGCTGTACAGCTCTACTAAAGGAGGTGTTGTACAATGCACCCTTACGGGCTTTTTCTCCGACCCCGAGGGCCTTCGCCTATTCGATGAGCAGATCGCTGCCTATGGCACGGTCCTCCGCCGTCGCATCCAATACATTGGAAAGACGAAACACATCTCTGGGGTGTACGACTTTATCCTTGCCCTTAAGGATGTAGATGTGTTGCCCCCTGCCTCACTTTCTATTGCTCGTGACGGTGTCACTGAGCGAATCCCACTGGGATCACCGGTGGCATGCGCCACTGCGTCTTCTGCCGTTCCGCGGCTCACGTCCGTAAGGATTGCCCCGTCGCCCCGCCCGGCGTGCAAGTCCTGCGCGAGCACCTCGCACGCCACCCAGCACTGCCCGGGCCGTCACGCGTCGAGCCCCCAGGGTCGCCCCACGTCACGTGCCCCGCATGCCTCCACCGTTACCACCGCCGCCCCCGCCGGGTCCAAGTCGATCCCCGCGGCCTCCGCCCCCGACCGCACGACCAAAAAACGTCGAGTGGAACAGGATCTGGCTGCCCAGACTGAATATCTGTCCAACAGGGCTCAGCCCGAATCTCTGTCGAAGACTGCCCGCCCCGAGTTCTCCTTCAATTTCCCTTCCAATACTGCCCCCCAGCCTGCCTCCAACCAGGGAACTGCCTCTTCCCTCGTTGAAAAATCCTCCGAGTCCCCCAGCTCAGAGACCACCTCTCCATCCCCAAGCCCTCCTCCGGCCACGCCAAAGTCGATCATAACTCGATCCAAGTCGATTGCCGCCCTCTCCACGCCAGCCACTCGTGAAGCCCCTCCCACTGCGCCTGCCCTCGAAGCCTCCGAGCCGACTCCCGAGCCCTCTTCGCCCACGCCGTTGCCCTCAGCCGCGCCCAAAGCCCGACCCGATGACGCCGACGCCGACGACGAGGCCGACGAAGAAGCCAAAGACCAAGAAGCACCTCCCAAGGACGTGGAATACGCTATGGACCAAGATGATGAGCACAACTAAGATCCCAAACGTGTGTTTTGTTGCTGCCAACGTGCAGTCAATCAATGAAGACCGTAAGCGTGCCTCTCTTTTCTCCAATCTCCGCTCCCATAACGCCGACGTCTTTCTCCTGAGCGAAACTGGCCGACCTTCCCCCGAAAGGGTGGCCCAGTGGACTCAGGAGTGCCAAGACTTAAAGCTCTCCGCTCTCTTCACTCCCTTCAACAACACTGCCATACTCTGGAAGAGCGACTCCGTGGTCATTACTATTGATCCCGAGTCGCCTCCCAACACTCTTCGTGCCTCTTTTTCTTTCCCGGACCGAGTCACCGACGCCACCTTTCGTGTGGGTGATTCAAAGGTCCGGGTTGTAGTAGTATACGCGCCTTCCTCCGACAAGCCAGACAAAAAGCGCTTCCTCTCACATCTCAGCACCGCCCTCCGACAAGTCGTACGTGACAAACCCTCGCCGCCTGCGCTCCTAGTCGGGGGGGACTGGAATTGTGTTGAGTCCCAACCCCTCGATTCGGAGAACCAAAACGGAACGAATTATGGGGGTCAGGAGATGCGCGATCTTGCCACGGCCAACAATCTTTTCGACGCCTATCGGCTCCACCATCCCAAAGGACGAGCCACGACGAATCGCTCAGCGCCCGGCACGTGCCGTCGCCTCGACCGCATCTATGTCTCGCCTGATTGGGTCGACCTCTTCCATGATCACAAAATTTGGGCCCCTGTCCTCAAATCGACGCACTCAATGGTTGTGGCACGGTTCCAAGTGCCGGGCGCAATCGACATCGGTCCGGGCAAATTCAAGCTGGGTTTGCACGTGATCGAGGGCGACGCGACCTGCGAGTACCTCACTTCCATTGTCCGCACCCTTTACAACGAAGCCCTCCTCCAGACGCCCAATGATCCACCAGCAGCTTGGACGTCCACCAAACACCGCCTGCTGCCCGAGCTGCAGGCTCTGGCCCGGACGTTCGCTCGGTTCCGACGTGGAGGGTCGGAGCAAGAGAGGGCGGACCACTCGCGCTACGGCGCGGCGCTGCGTTCCCGCCTCGACCCATCTCTGGCGGGTCCCTCTTCCATCTTCATCCGCCTGCGCAAAGTGCGAGCATCCGACCTGATCCCTTCGCTCACGGTCAACGATGTTGTTCATTCCGACCCTCATTCGATGCTTGGAGCGGCCAGCGACTACTTCGAGCGGGTCTATGAGGACCGCCCCATCGATGACGCGGCCCTGAAGGCGATCATCGACGGCCTCGCTTCAACTCGCCTCTCCCCCGCGGACTCACTCAAGCTCGAGGAAGCGTACCCGTTGGAGGAGATGACAAAGGCTCAAGAGGCGTGTAAGTCGAACTCTTCGCCAGGGCCTGACGGCCTCCCGGTTGAGTTCTATCGCGCTACGTGGCCTGCCACTGGCCCGATTCTTCGAGACGTCATCAACTCGATCCCTACCGAGGCCCGTCAGCCTGGACCTCTTCCCCGCAACACCGCCCACATCCATCTCATCCACAAACGCGGCGAGAGGGATCAGCTCTCGAACAAACGCCCCATATCGCTCATCAATGCGGACGAGCGCATCATCTCCCAAGCCCACAACCAGCGCCTCGCTCCCTTGCTCGAGTCCCTGATCGGCCCAACCCAACGTGGCTTTGTTCCGAACCGTTGGATCGGCACGAACATCGCTGAGGTCCAGTGTCTCATGGACCCTGGACTTCCGGGCTCACCACCCGTGTCCGGCATGCTAGCGGTGATGGACTTTGAAAAGGCTTACGATCGTCTCTCCCACACGTACCTTGATGCAGTCCTCTGTGCCGTTGGCCTCGGCCCCAAAGCCCGCCAATGGTACCGAGCGACCTACACCAACCAATCCGCCTCGATCTTCCTCAACGGTTGGCTCTCTGCCGCTTTCGACATCCTGTCGGGCGTTCGGCAGGGTGATCCCCTGGCTCCGTCTCTCTTCGTTTTGGCGATCGAAGGGTTTGCCTGTCAGATTCGACTGAGAGTCAAGGGCATCGAGATTGCGGGCCTCCAAAACATTCGAGAACTCCTCTTTGCCGACGACGCTTGCTGCGCACTCCACAACCTCTCGGACCTCGACCACCTCAATCGGGCGATCGAGCTTTACGAACGGGCAAGTGCCAGCAAGCTCAGCAACGCCAAATCTTTCCTCTACCCCCTTGGAGCTTTTCGGGATCGGCCGATCGCCCCAGATCTCGGGACCTGGCGTCTCAGCGATTCGCAGTTTCGCTACCTTGGTATTCAGGTCGGGGTGGAGATCGCCGAGGATGCGGGCTGGGAAGATGTCAAGGCCTCGACCATCGCTCGGATACGCTCAATTCCGATGTACGATCTCCCATATGCAGCCAAGTGTTCGATCATCAACATCTACTGCTACACAAAGATCCTGTACTACAGCCGATTCCTCCCCGCCCCCAAGAGCGTTGTCAAGGAGATCGAGGATGCGGCCATGCTCGCCATTCACGGTCGAGCTTCGGATGGTACTCAGCGACGTCCGAAGGTCTCCCGGTCGCGCCTCTGCACCCCTCTCGATCACGGCGGCTTTGGCTTGATTGATCTGCCTCGGCGTCTAGCGATCGATCACGCGAAGTGGGTCTTCCAGCTCCGGGCCCCGGACGGCTGCTTCACACGCCATCTCTTCGACATCCGCATTCGCCTCCAGGCACCGAACGAACCAACCCCTTTCACCTTGTCCAGACCGGCCCCCAACCAGCATCGTCGCCCTTGGATCTGGATCTGGTGGGCATACTTTTGCCATCCTCCCCCGAAGTGGGACCATGCGGTGAGAAAGACGAGAAAACTTCTTCCTGCACGTTGGGTCCGATACTTCGAAGCCTGGGCGTCGGTGACCACGCTCAATCCCCCGGAACTCTCCAAGAGCCAGAACCTCGAGCAATGGGCGACGCACGTACTCTACTTCCCAGCGGGCCACGGAATACAACTCTCGGTAAACCCGACGCTTTTTCGAGGGCCCGATGGCGAGGTGATGACCCCGTCTTCGTTTGTGAACGCGTCCAAACGCCACCAAGTCTTCATCTCCCCTCCTATCTTCCCCAAGGGACACCAGAAGGTATTCGATCTGCCTGAGCAACGTTGGAACGCTTGGTGGAAGGCTTTGCGCAAGGTTCGCCGGGTTCACTCGGACGCCGAGGATACCGGCCACCTTCTCTCCCTGGGGTCCCTCCATCCGGGCAGCCAAGTCGCCTCCCCAACCAGCCCTCACCCCAACCATCGATCGGCCTCCTGTGTGATATGCCTCTCGGAAGCACCCGAGTGCCTGGCCCACCTCGCGGTCGGCTGCCCATTTGCCCGGCGTCTCTGGTCTGCTCTGTCCCCGACCCCCCACCCAGTCTTTGTGGACTTTGTATGTCCGGTCGTGTCTCGCTCGGAACGTCGCCTTGTCGAACTACGAATCCTCTTCTTTCACTCGATCTGGAAGCTCTGTCGCCGTCGCCGATTCTCGTCGGATCTTTTGGAACCGATCACCGAAACGGACTTCGAGGGGCTTCGAGCCTCTATTCAGGAGTCCAAGGGTTGCCTAGTGTCTCTGTAAGCCACCAAAGGGGGTTTTAGTGGGTATGGTTGATCCTGGTTCAGGGTCAATGAGTCCTACACTACTGGCTTCTGCCAGTGTGCGTAACAGCATTCCCTCCGACTTTTCCGAAGATCCTTAATCCTTAAAACTGTATAATAAAAAACGTCGTCGAGACAAAGAACGTCAAAGAACCGGAGACAAACCAAAAGACAAACCATGTGGCGTGACGTCATAACAGTTTCGCTACTGCAACAGCTCTCGCCAGCTAGCGCTGTTTCAGAAAGGGTCGGCCGGCCACAGGCCGTTTCGCCCACGTTCGCCGAGGTTCCATTTTCAATCAAAGCAGCCTGGCACATGACCCTCTGCTTCCCGATTCCGAAGCAGATTCAGACGACCTGTTTTGCGTGACATCGTAGCGTAGTTCCTTCAATCATCCAGCTCCTGCGACTGCCGACATGTCATCTGCAAAGCTTTACGTCCCCTCTCCTGTACGACAATCTTCACGCCGCACGGAGAGCAGAGGGGCAGCAGAGACGTCGGCAACGTGAGCGAGCTGAGCCTCCTCCGTAACAACCCGACTCCTGCTCTAATCGCACAGTCGCCACCGCCAATCGATCAACACAACGTCGCGCAAACTGGTTCTTCAAGTCAATCTGCACCGGCAGCACGTCCGGTAATGTCGACCAGTGCGTTAATTCCGCCGTTAGGGGCCCCGCCAGCGTGTTATGGCTTGCCGACACTGGGCTTCACTCCACGTCGTTCCGCGGCCTTCCGCGACATTCTATGAACCCGGTTTAAACTGAGGCGCAGGCTTCTCCATCTTTCTCCCTCCTGCTCTTCGCACCTTACCCATCGCACCTCATCCCATCGCCACTCATCCCATCGCCACCTCGAGCTCGCGACGTCCGAAGCGGTCGTCGTGGAAGCTCTGCAACGAATACGGGATCAAGAAATGCCTGCTGCATGCAACATAGCTACGAATTCGAGTAAGTAACTTCATGAACTGTGCTCTTCGGTGTGGGATTGTTCAGGAGCTAATGGAGAACTACCAAGCAGCAATTCTCTTCAACACGTCCTCTCTGAATGTCAACCCTCGAGTTGTTTCTTCACCGTCAGCAGGTGATACGGCATGCGTTGATACGAAGAACAGACATTGCGTCAGTGACACAGCGGAAGGATTGACTTCGTACGGTTGAGAATCCGGGTCATTGGGACACTAAATGTGAGTCTTCACTGCCATTGCTACAGATGGACAACAGCAATAATGCTGATAGTTGTAACGAATCACGCCAGAAAACAGCCTCTGGTCGGGTGAATTGCGGCTCACCATCCCGTGGCAGATCCTCAACGGCTCGGTTCGGTTCTTGGCAGGTGTGTGCCAATCTTTCAAAAGCAAAACGCAGGGCAGCATGACTAACTGACCGGTTGGACTGTAACATCACAGGAAATGCGAAGCAATGCTTTCCCGTTATTCCACGGCTCGGTTCGGTGGAGTGACCGTCGTGTTGGCAGGTGTGTGCCAATCTTTCAAAAGCAAAGCGCAGGGCGGTGTGACTAACTGATTGATTGGACTGTAACATCACAGGGGTTCCGAAGCGATGCCTTCCCGTTATTCCACGTCATCGCCTGCACAAATCGTCGACGCTTGCATCATGAATGGCGACTTCTGGGGGGATCTCTCTGTAAGTAGTAGTCCTTGCCTGACTTTTAGACCTATACTAACAACAGCCCACGGTGCGAGCGCAGACAGACATGCGTCTTCTGGCCGCTGCAGACCGCATGACCGAAACGGAACGGGCAAAGGCAATACGTCGATAGGCAGAAAAGTCGAATACTTCCGAGATCGAGCAATTCTGGCGCCCAAAAATTCGCACAGATCAACGACATGGTGCCCGACCTGCTGCCGGGTGACGCTCAAACGTTCTACAGCGCGGATTCGGTCGAAAATGAAGACGGATCACTGTTCTCGATCAAGTACCTTCAGAGTCTCAACATCGCCGGGAGGCCGTTGCACGCTGCAAGATTCAAAGTGGAAACTTGGACCCCGCCGCGGGGCTGTGCAACGGCACAAGACTGTTGTCAACTCGGTTACACACCCACCTGCTCGAGGCCATCATTCTCACAGGAGATCATGCTGGACAGCCAGTTTTGTTGCCACGGATCACGCTGAAGACAGGGTCATCAGCTGAGCTTCCGTTCACTCTGCATCTGACGCAGTTTCGAATTCGGCTGGCAATGGCTATGACGTTCAGCAAGTTGCAAGAGCAGTTGGCACTTGCGCAGGTAGGAGTGTGTCTGGAGACGCCCGTCTTTTCTCACGGCCAGTTGTATGTGGCGTTGTCCTGAGCAACTATGTGGACGGTGTCAGAAACGTCCTGAAATGAAGGCTCTTTACATTTGATCGTCGTCCCGTGATCCTCTCCCGACTTGAACCACTAGGGATCCGTTACTGAACAGTACCGCAGCTGTTGCAGCAAAGTACATCACATTTCAGCGGGTCAACGGTTACGGTGTGAGGAGGTGCGCGGAGCGCACCGCCGAACCTAGTTTCTAGGTATTATTATAATTATGCTGTTAATGAAGTCTATCAAATAAATAAAAAATCCACCGTGGAATCCGTATGATCCAGCACCGCGAAGCTAGCGCGAGTCAGACCCTGCGGAAACCAGGAGCGAATTCGTGCGAAATCCCCATCCCAAAGGGCTGGCCGTGTAGTCCTAAAATAGCCTGCAGCTGTCGGACGATCGCCGCCATGCGCAACCGCAAGACGAGCTCACCCCGCAATCTGATTGTGGGTCTTGAGCCTTGATCGGCAGGTGCAAACAATGCCCAAATCGTGCCTTTCCCTCCCTTACGATCTTTCTTCCGTACCCCTCGACCCCACACTGTTCTTTTGGTATGATGACATCGATTCTACCCGTCTTGATCACGTCGGACGCCCAATCACCGAGGGCAAGCCCGTCCCTGACGGCGAAAAATTCATCTCGAAACGCCGAGTCGAGCTCGAGCGCGCACGTAATTCGCAGCCTCTGGGTTGGGCAGCTTGCCTGTACCAATTCTTTTGTGGGAGTACAAATGGGTACTCTGGCCCTCATCGTCTACTACGTGGTATTCGGCGCGTATGAGTTTGAGTTCGTGCCTTAACTTCTTCGAGATGAAAGCAGGCAGTTCACGTACTACTAGATGGGTGTCGCGAACTTTCGTCACGTGACGTATCTTCACAGCTCGATGAACCAGATCTCGTGGCGCTGTCTTCGACGAACTTGACTTGCCAGCCATTCCAGTGCAACTAAGGATGCATCATGTGACCAAAGTTCGCGACTTGCCCATCCTGCGTGAACTGCCTGCCTCTATCTCGAAGAAGTGAAAGGGGAAAAACCTAAAACTCACGCACGCCGGATACCACGTAGAACACTACAACTACAAGGCACGCACTGCCACCCAACGCCGCGCAATCCCTCTTACTGAGAATAGTATCTTCGTCGTAATCGTCATGGTCGTCGTCGTCTGCGTCGCCGCTGTCGTTGTTGGTCCTTGGATATCAAGTTATGGGTTGGCAGGTCGCTGGGCGCGGGGATGGAAGGATAATTCACTGCAGGACTCGGAGGGCCGCAGCCGCACGACACGTTAGAAAGCGGATGGTGGGATGCAACACTCCCACGGCTTAGGTTCTGTGAGTGGTTTGAAGAGTGTTGTCTGGTCAAAGTAACTAACATCGCCAACACCAGTGCGGGTGGAATTCAAGAAGCTTCTCCGGCCCGCTGCACATTCAACCGCAGTGCGCCATCATCGGATGTTGCAATCTATACATGTATTCCGAAACAAGAGACATGTAGACGATGTGGTTCTTGATGAAAATTTAGGAAAATAGAGACAGATAGAGAACAGATAGGGGAGGTGACAAAGGGATGCCCGAGGGTTGTCAGTCAAAGGCAAGTAAACGACAGGCAAGTCGGTCCGGGGTTGAGCTGGGACCTACTGAATGACTGCCGAGCCTTACACTAGGTTACCGGTCCCGCCGCTCATCAACTCCTGTGTTTTTACAGCTGTCTTTGTGTTGAGCCAATAGGGATTTAAGATGTGATAAAGATGCTGTAGATCTCCATGGATTGAAAGATGATGAGAGGCCTAGACGCCGAGGCTCTTGGAGTCGCGGTCGAAGTTTTGTGGCGATACCGCCACCGCGCCCCTTAGTTGCTACCTGACACCTCACGTGCATGCGCGAAATCGTCCTCCAACCCCGTCTGGTCCTTCTTCACCGGTCACACTCACACGTTCCCACCACCTACAAGGCTCGACTGCCCACCCGTCTTGCCTAATCCGACCTCATTGCGTGCTCGTTCCTGATTTCGAGCCCCCATCGTCCCATCCTGTGCCCTTCCTACCCACTCCACCCGGCCGCACCCCAGCCCCAACCGCCGCCTCGCACCGCCAACAATCATGTCGTCCGCACTCGATGGTGATGCGTTCCCGTCGCTCTCGACCCAGGCCAACACGAACGGTATCGCTGCCGACCACGGCTCTTCGACCGGTGCGACTGCCACGTCGGCGTCGGCTTCCCGCGCGCAATCCGCTCCCCTCTCGGCGGCCCAGCTCATGCAGCAAGCCCACGCCTCGAGAGCCTCGTCCACCGCGCAAGCCAAGCCTCAAAACGACATCTTGACCGAGGACCCGTTCCCGCCCGAGAAGCTCATCAGCGAGGATCCGTACCCGTCGCTGTGGGGTCCCTCCGCCGGCGCCGGTGCCGGTGCGGTAGCAGGTGCTGCCTCGGCCGATGCGTCCGCATCGTCGTCGGCATCTCCCGCTCAGACTCAAGCTGCCAAGAAGGCCCTCGACGTCTCGGACGAGTCGGCCTTCCCTTCCCTCGGCGGGATCGCCGCAGCACCGCGGGCCGTGTCGGCCGCGTCGTGGGGCGGCGGCGGAGGCGGATCGGTGGCTCAACGTCTTCAAGCTGCTGCCGCCTCCAACTCGTCCGAAGCCTCGCGTTCAGCTACGACCCAACAATCGAATGGAGGTGACGACAACCGCTCCGCCGCCACCGGTGCTCCCAACGCGACCGCTACCGTCCAACTCGCCCAGTCCGAGATCCACATCCAGGCCCCCTCGGGTCCCGGTGCCGGTCGAGGTCGTGGTCAGACCTTCTCCAACGCTCGCGAAGTCGAACCGACGACCTTGGGCGAGGTGATGAAGCTGCTCATGAAGCGTAATCCTACCGTCACCGTCGAAGCCTCGACCGTCCGCGGCACGACGACCTTCATCATCAAGGGCAAAGGTAGCAAGGCTGACGACGATGTCGCCAAGGTCAAGCGAGACCTGCTCGCGAGGTTGGCCAAAAAGGTCTCGATCGAGATCAAGGTCCCTGCTAGCACGCGTGGTTTCATTGTTGGAGCTAAAGGTAAGAATCGGAGGTCCGACGAGTCACCGCTGGGCCGCGGGCTAATGTCAATCCGTGAAATGATGATCCTCTAGGTCGCACTCTCAAGTCCATCACCGACTCCACCGGAGCCAACGTACAATTGCCGAATCGTGATACCATCCAGGATGCCAACGACGCCAACGAGGACCACACTAACGATGAACCCGAAGGTCCCGACGGCCCGCTCATTTCTATCACTATCTCGGGCGACTCGAGCGCAGTCGAGGAGGCACGTCAACAGGTCATGGCCATCGTGTCGGAACGCGTGTCCAAGGTCACGACCAAGCTCGACTCGGTGCCCAAGGAGTTCTGGGAGCTGCTTCGTGGCTCAAAGGGCTCCAAGATCAACGCTATCGTCGAGAGCGTCGGAGCGACGGGCTCGGTCAACGTGTCCATCCCGCGCAATTTTGAACGACGGGGTGTCGCTGCGTCGAGCGGCGCGGACGCTGACGACAAGGCTGAGCCGGCTATGGAAAAGGCTATCTCGATCAACGGCGAGCGCGAGGCCGTGACCAAGGTCGTCGCTGCTATCGAAGCCGAGGTGGCCGAGCTTAAGCGCTCGACGACGACGGTTTCGATCAAGATCAACAAGCGACAGCACCGTTTCCTCGTTGGTGCGACCGCGGATGCCATTCTCGAAGAGGCGCAATGCTCGATCGATCTTCCCCCTGCCGAGTCGCCGGACGACAACATCACGCTGCGCGGCACGAGCGAGAACCTCATCCGTGCGTTCGGGCTAGTCATGCAAAAGGCGAACGCGACGCCCATCGAGTCGCTCGACTTGTTGACCGCCCACGCCGGTACCCACGATCGAAAAGTCTACGCTTCGCACCTCGCTCGCTACGTCCTGCGCAGGAGCAAATTCCGTACCTTGTCCGACGCGAATCATGTACAGATCTTCCTACCTCGTGAGGCCGCCATCGAACGTGGTGACGCTCAACTCGAAATCGTCGGCCAAGACAAGGAGGGACTTGCCGCCGCTCGCCAAGCCGTCATTGACATAGTGCGCAAGCTGCCGCCTGCAGTCTTCGCGATCGTCGAGGTCGATAGCCTGATCCACCGACACATCATCGGCAAGGGCGGTAAGTCGATCAAGGCCTTGGAGGAGAAGCGGGGCGTCGACGTCATCTTCCCTCCTGATGGAGAGGACCGCAGCGACATCTTGCTCGTTTCCGCCAGTGCCTCTTCTCCTGCTGCGGCCGCCGAGGCGCTTGGTGCTGCTCGGGAGGAGATCCTTGGCCTGGCCAAGGACGCGGCAGATATCAAGGTCGAGACGATCTCGATACCAGCTTCGCTCCACGGTGCTGTTATCGGCAAGGACGGCACGACTCTGAATGCCGTCATCGGTGAGGACAAGCTCGTCAACGTTCGCTTCGGATCCACTGGACCCAAGGACGCTAGCAAGACGAATGGCTCAAGTCAGAAGGAGGAGAACGCGGTCGTCATCCGCGGGCCCTCTGAAGAGGTCAAGCGTGTCAAGAACGAGCTCGAGCGCATCGCCGAAGACGCCCGAAACCAGGAGATCGTGAACTCTCATGTGCGTTCAGTTTGATAGTAGGCCCTGAACTTTAAAGACTGACCGACTTACTGGCAATCAACCCCTCGATCACAGATCGTAGAATTCGAGATGGACACTGTTCACGTACGACACATCGTTGGGAAAGCCGGAGCCGGAGTCAACAAGTTGCGGGAAGAACTCGGCATTCGCGTCGACATTGAGGAGCTTGGTGGCGCCGGCGCTGCCGCTACTTCCTCAGCTGCTCCCAAGAAGAAAACTGCAACCGGCTCATCGGCCCGCAGCAAGATCACGATCAAGGGTCGAAAGGAAAATGCGGAGGAGGCCAAGCGGCGTATCCAATCGTTGGTGACCAAGATCGCCGACGAGGTCACGCTGATGTTGACGATCCCGTCCTCCCTCGACCGCGGCTCGTTAATTGGCAAGCAAGGTGCCTACCTCAAGCGGCTTGAGGACAAGTACGAAGTCCGCATCAACTTCCCCCGCAACAACCGAGGCGACGAGGAGGATGCGTCATCGGGCAAATCGAACGAAGTCACCGTTCGCGGCCCTAAGAAGGGAGCTGACGCTGCCAAGGGCGAGCTCGTCGCTCTCATTGCGTACGAGCAGGAGAACGGAAATGTCGTCACCTTCACCGTATCAACCAAGTCCCTTCCCCGTATTCTCGGCAAGGCCGGAGCCTCGGTCAACCAAATCAGGGATGACACCGGCGTTCAATCGATCGACGTCGACCAGCAAGGCGACGATGCGCCGACGGCCACGATCTCCCTCCGAGGTACCGAGGCGGCGACTAAAGCGGCCCAGGCGGCGATCATGGCCATCGCCAAAGAGGTTGACGATGAGGCCCGATTCACCCTCGAGATCCCTCGCGCTTTCCACACGACCTTGATTGGTTCCGGAGGGTCGAGCATTCGTGAACTCATCGCCAGGGCCGGAGGCCCAACCGACGCCCGTGCATCGGGCAACACCGTCCGATTCCCCCGTCAAGGCGAAGCCGACGACAAGGTCACCATCACCGCTCCCAGAGCGGTGGCGGAAAAGATCCGCGCTTCCTTGGAGAAGGAAGTGGCCAACTTGAAGTCGCGTGTCGTCTGGGGTGTCGCCGTGCCGCAATCGGCGCATGCATCTATCATCGGAAAGGGCGCGTCTGCTCTGCAGGAGTTCCAGCGCAAGCATGGCGTAAAGGTCGTCATGCCCGGATGGAAGGACTATGCCGAGACCGGAGAAATTGAGAACGCCGCCGACGTCGCCGATGCGGCCCAGAACGATACCGTCAAGATTGTTGGACCCAAGGAAGCTGCTGTCGCCGCCGCTGCCGAGCTTTCCAAGTTGCGACCAAGCGCCAGTTCGGCCGCGGTCAAGCTGACCATTTCCGTGCCCAAGCGCCACCACGCCCAGATCGCCCAAGGTGGTCGTTTCTTCCGGTCGTTGCCGTCGGGTACTCGCGTCACCCATGATGGAGTTAAGCCTCCCTCGTCGAGTGGCAAGAGCAAGAAGCTCCCCACCCCTACAGGCAACAACGCCGCCGCATCCGCTCGTATCGACGATGACGAGGGTACGGCCGAAGCGGCTGTGCAATTCGAGCTCCTCTCGCTTCACGACGAAGAGGAATCGGACGACAAGAGCGAGATCCCGTGGGTCATCGAGTCGTCGTCGCAGGAGAACGCTGACAAGGTCGCGGCTGAGATCCGCAAGCTGCTCGACCAGTCCGACAAGGCCACACATGTCGGCTGGGTCACCGTTCCTCGCGGCAGCAGTGAGTTCTCCGTCTCTTACTGTGAATACAGTCCAGATCCTGATGTCTGAGCTGACGTTTGCTTCCCCACAGTGCCTCGCATCGTTGGCCGAGGCGGATCAGGACTCGATCAATTGCGCGCGTTCGGCGTCGAGATCGAAGTCGTCGGCAAGCGCGATGCCAACCGTAAGCCCCCCCCCGGCCCCTATCCGCCCTTCCGTTCAAAGCTCATCGGTATAACTTTACTCGTACTCCAGAACTCACTCTTGTGGGTACGCCCGCGACGATCGAGCAAGCTCACCAACGCATCGTCGAACTTGCCGCACCTCGTCCGCCACGGCAATACCGCAACCGCGAGGATGACTATTAAAAGAAGGAGCTAACTCCACCAACTATAAAGATCCTGTCTCTGTTCTTCCCTTGCTTCTCACTCCTCCCCCTTCTCCTTTTCGCATTGCGCATCTTCTCAGATCACTCCCCAAATTTATGGGTAATTGGTCAACTTTTCCACTAGCGTAGTTACACTTTGGTGTCCAAAAAACCAGGGATTATCACGATATCTTGGAATTGACCCATGTCCAAACAAACCTCGCAATCTACAAGCTTGCAGCGCAAGCGCAATGGTTGCTTTCAAGGGTGCACAGATTTGCAGAAGCCTACACGAGCGTATGCAAAACCTCGACTGAAGCTGAAGCTCATGCTGGCGGCCCTTCGAACATATCATCCGCATCAATCGGGTTCCCATCCACATCTTCCAACTCAAGAGGTGATCCATCCACGTCCGCACCTTCGAGGGGTATGCCATCGACGTCATCTCCTTCTGAATCCTGACCTTCCCACGGAACACCGTCGACGTCCTCGTCGTCTTCGTCGTCATCCTCGATCTCCATCGCTTCACCGTCGTCATCATTCGGCTCAGCAGCTGAAGAAGGGTCCTTTGAAGTCCCGGCTGGACGCGCTTCCATCTCTATTTCGACCGCTTCAGTGTCCTCCACAGGAATTTGAGGCAGCCCCGTCGTAGGTGTGAAAGCCGTCTTGAACCCGCCAAACTTGATCTGAGGTTTCTTCGCCGGGGGAGCTGCCAGTCCTGGAATCGGGGAAGGAGGTCTTGGTGTTGGAGGTGCGATGGGTCCGGTGGTGACCACTGTGGCAGGTTTGAAAGCGCTGGAGACGGGAGCCCAATGAGCGCTGGCGGTGATGAGTGCTTCGGGCTCCGTGCTGGGGACTACTTCGGGCTCGATACTGGTTTCCTCGATGGGTTGTTCGGACACCCCAGCCAGACGCCGACGGAAATCGTCGAATACCCGCGTTTCAAAGAGCATCCAATCCCGTTCCCATACGTCGACAATACTGCTGATCTGTAATCTGAACTGCTCGGCCTTCATACGCCCCGGGAAGGATTTGTAGATCTCACCGAGATGATCAAACACGACGGGTAAGCGTTCCTCGAACGTCGAGCGATACATCCAAGCGTTGGGGAGGGGCGCGGACGAGTTGTGCAGGATATCGCTGACGAGATGGAGTCGCGCGATCTTGCGAGGTACGGGTGTTGCTTCGAGCGTGAGTGAAGCGATGAGTAAATCGACGATGAAGGATGCTGCGTCGGCATGTTCAAGTGCGAAAGCCATGCCACGAGCGATGTTCCCCCTAGTTGAGGTCAGAGTTCGCAAGAGCGCTTCGAAACGTTTTCGAGCCAATGTGCCTAGTCGTCCTTTGAGTATGCGTTCGTTTTCGGAATCCTCCTCGGTGTCGGAAGAGTAGACCTCGGCGGGACCGGCGTCATCGAACTTTGCCGGCATCGGAGCTCGATAGTGGCGATCCAGAAGCATCTTGAAGTAGTGGTAGGAAGGGAGCTATACTCGGGGTTGAGGGGTGCAGTCGTCAGAGATAAGTGAGCGGCCAGAATCTCATCTAGTCACACCCACCTTGTCTTCGCGGAAAAAGTCAAACTTGGCATTGTGCCTCTCCTTTTCCCTGAGTGCATGCTCGAACGCACTCCCATGCTCCAGTATCCTTTTGGCAATCGTCGTCAAGAACTTCTCCTCGATGCCAGCCTCGAGTGTGGGCCATTCCCTGCGCGCGTGGGCGCGCTCGTCGTCCGGTGAGTAAGATCGATGTCGTCTTTTCGGCGATCGTGAACGGGAACGGGATCGTGAGCGTGATCGAGATGAGGATCGACGCCGGGATGGACGATGCAGGCGCTCTCTTTGCCGATCGCTTCGCGTGCTAGATCCTTCTATGTCTGTTCAGGGGTGGACGGAATGGCGTATCAGTGGGTTGAAGACTAGACGCATGATTGAGCTCATCGAATGAGCACATACCTATAACAGCGCGTGTCGGTACCGGTACTGGCTTGCCCCAACTGAGCTTGAGGACTGTCCCGCCCCACTCTACGCCGTCCAGTTCTTTCGCCGCCTTTTCCGCATCCGGTCGGCGCATGAAGGCGACGAAGCCTGACAATTGTCGTCGACCCACCAGTGTTGCCCCTGGTTCAAGCCGCGGCCACATGATCTGCCGAAGATAAATCGGTGGGTGAGTATCGATCACAACTCTGCACCAAAGCATGAGTCACGCACCTTGACGCTACCGATCGGTCCATAACGAGCAAAGAACATGCCGAGCGTGTCCTCGGTGACGTTTTGAGGCAGCGGGGACACGTGGATGTTGGTTGTCAAAGGATCGCCAGTATCGTAAGATCCGGTCAGGACTGGTGCATTCTCGCGAGCTGCGGGATAGACATGTAAACGATAACGTGTGAGCACTTGCGAGTACTGACGAGCCGGCGAGAGTTCGGGCATACCCGCGAGTGCAGTGACCGACGATCCCACTGCAGGTGGAGAAAAGTGTCAGATGACAGAAAAACGCCACTCGAGGTGTTCGCACATGGCTTACACCGGTCTGCCTTTTGCTTGAGTCGCTCCTCGCGTTCGGCTTGTTCCCTGATGGACGACAGTATTTGCAAGCGTCGATGCGGGACCCAGACATGCGACAAGGGTATGGAGTTGTCACACGTTCGGAACACAGGGTAAGGAAAAGACACGTCATGTTCAGTTCACATCGACACGACAAGGCGCCTGCAGAGGACGCAAGGAAGCGGGGGGAGTGGATCGACCTCTTGAGTTGTTCGAGGAAGCTGTCGCCATCTCGGCGCTTCTTGCCTAGGACGACTCCGGATTTGCTTGTGCTCGCGCTTGGTCGAGTCTGGGGAGATGAGTTCAAATAAGAATAGGTCGATCGACGTCACGAGAGCAGAATTGGCCCACCTCTTCCTCGGAAACTGCTGATGACCTTGCCTGTACGGGCTCTGGGGGCCTCATCGCCCTCGGTGCCGTTGGCGCCCCTGCCACGCTCGGTAGAGACGACGTCGAGGCCGTCGGCGCTGGAGCTGGGGGTGGTGGTCGATCTTGAAGAGGGTTGTACCGCTGGCCTCCTCCAGCGCTGACGAACCCTTTGCCGGCCGAGTACTTGCCCCTCGTCGCCCCGCGTGGCCCCGAGCGCGACGACGACGACGACGGGTGACGTGCTGAGTCGTCGTCATCGTCGTCCCCGCCAAAGTCCTTCATGAAATCGTTGTAGGCCTTGGCAGCGAGCTGCTCCTGTTCCTTGGCCTTGAGTTGTTGTGCCTCGGCCTCGCGCTCCCGTTTCGACTTGCGCACCACACCTTGGTCGTACGAAGCCAGCTTGGACGCGCCGACGACTTCGCTGGCAAGGACCGCACCCGTCGTAGAACCACCATTAGCTGGGTCCTCGTCGTCATCACGATCACGTGCGGCGAGCAGGTGCCGTGGATCACGCAGGTCCGACGGCGCCATCGCTTCCCAGTCGAATCGAGTCGAGTCGAGGTCAAGTTCAGTGGCAGGGGAGAGCTTTGCTTCTTTGCTTCCGCCGCCGATCGACTCGCAACACCCCCTTGAAGAAGAGCCTCGAAGGACAACAGCGAGTGCTACAGCAGTCGGATAGAGAAGCCTGAAGTTTTGTACGGCTTCATGATCGAATATTTTTATGTATGTGCTCCCCTCTGGCCCTGAAATCGCTTTTTGAAGTAAGAACTGATTGATTAGACCTCATTAATCAGGGCAGACTGCAATGGCTAAAGGCCCTTGAAATCTCTCAGGCGGGTTCAAAGCGTAACAGATATGATTATACTGCGCAACACTGCCAATAAGATGAGGTATCAAGCACGTAAACAACCTCCTCCTCTTTTTCCCTTTTTTTTTGTTTGGTTTTTTTCCTTCGAACGACTCATCCCCAGCCTTCCCCAGCCTTCCCTAGCCCGATGAATATAGCCGAGGTCGGGCCGGTCACGGCCGCTCACTCCTCGCCCGCTCGACATCCCCGTGTTCACATTCGGCCTGGTCCCCGAGCCAAGAGCCAATCCCACTTTGGCGACCAACACCGATAATCCGATCCGGCGACGCGCAGAGTAGCTACTCGGCACCAATACACCTTCATCCCAGCACCCCCACCATGCCCTCGACGGCGCGTCAACGTGGCACGACGACAACCCCCCACGCCTCATCACTCTCTCGTCGGCGCCCACGCTCCTGGCCCAGCACGAGCTCCTTACTGTTGCTTACCTCCTTGTATGCGACTGCAACACTAGCCTTTTGTCAGTCCAGCCCTGTCCTGATCGAATCACGCCAGTTCTGACTCTCCTTACACCCAACCTACGCGCTGCGCTCGCGCGAACTTGGCACCGTCGTCGACCTGGCCACAACAGACCTGCCCGGCGCAGCACCCAAGGATTACCTTCCCGGAGATCGCGTGCCTCTCTTGGTCAATGCGCTCAAACCCCATGCGAGTGGGTGGAATGCTCAAGTCAAGAGCATGGTAGCGTGAGTGGCCCTTCTCCCGCACTGTCGCTCTCGGCGACACGCGTCCGTCGGATAGGTTCAAGTGGGGTTCACGCCAGTCATGACATTGCTCGTCAAGCTTCAAGCGGCACGCGATATCGAGTCGCACCCAAAATGGGCTTGCACAGCATATGGCTCTGAGGCGGAAGATCAATCTTTCGGATACGAGACAGCAACACGGCCCTCTTTCCGCCGCGCCCGGAAGATTTGAACAGAACGGGCAATTCCGACCTCTAAACACTGACACGTCCCGGCCTCGATATTGCCTTTCGCAGATACGACTACTATGATCCGCAGTTTGGCTTTTGCCAGCCGAAACCAGGGCCACCGAAGAAACAGGCCGAATCGCTCGGCAGCGTCCTCTTTGGCGATCGGTTGTACGACTCCCCTTTCAACGTGAGACCTTGGAGCGGAGCGGAACACCTTTTCCCCCTTAAGCGGACTGACATAGTGATTATTGTGTGCCGACAGATTCGGATGTTAGAAGACGCGACATGCGTCCATCTGTGCACTTCCACCCTATCCGCCGAGAACTCGGCCTTCCTCGCCGACCGGATAGCGGAAAACTACGCCTATAGCTGGCTCATCGATGGACTGCCCGCCGCGGAGATGAAGCAAGATACACGGACGAAGGAGTTGTTTTATTCGGCAGGGTTTTCACTTGGTTCGGTCGATGGTACGACCTCGGAGGCACCTGTAGGTTCTGTCTGACTTCGTGCGTCGAAATGCTCGCGAAACTGACACCAACTTCCGCGAGAACAGGAGGCCGAAGCGGACCCGAATGTTGTGTTCAAGCCTTCGGTATGTTCTTGAGCCTTTGTAGAATATACGCAACCCTTCGCACTCTGAGACCTTCCTGCATTGGCATTACACTGCGTAGAATCACTTCGACATCTACCTCGAGTACCATTCGAGAACTGACGGACACAAACGAGTAGTAGGAGTAGTGGTGTGGCCGTCGAGGTTTGTAAAATGACTTCTCGTCAGCCAACACCTGCGTTCAAAGGCGCTGAACCTTTCTATATACACCACAGTCGCGACTCTTTAGCTGGAACCGCCTCGACGCCGTCATGCGCCACATCGACACCCTTCCCTCTCGATCCGACAAAACCCAACAAGATCGCCTACACCTACAGCATCATCTGGAAGGAGTCGGCCACACCTTGGTCGACACGGTGGGATCACTACCTTCGTGTTTCGAACCCTCGCATTCATGTGCTCTCCCTTGCGTCCTCCATCATCATTGCCGGTTTCCGTACGTGAAAATCGCATCACGTTTGTCTCGGAAAAAGAAGCACTGATGCACGTGTCATCGAATCGCGTGCAGTGTGCGGCATGGTCGCCATGGTCCTCCTTCGAACCGTACACGGCGACATTTCTCGCTACAATGCCATCGACCTCGACGAGGACGTGCAAGAAGACTTTGGGTGGAAGCTCGTTCACGGCGAAGTGTTCCGACCACCGAAACGGAGGATGTTGCTCAGTGTCGTCGTTGGAAGTGGTGCGCAATTGACGGCGATGGCGGGAGTTACATTAGGCGAGTAATAGGAGGGTTTGACCGTGCTAGGTGTAGCCTCTGCTGATCGACTTCTCTCTCTTCTTTGACAGTTTTTGCGCACTTGGGTTTCCTATCCCCCTCGAACCGAGGCTCACTCTCAACCGTCATGATCATCACTTTCTCATTCTTTGGTGTGCGTGGGGACTGAGTGCGGAATTATGGCCTGTTTACGTCGATTAAAGCTCATTTGAGGGTCTCACATCGCAGTGTATTGCCGGCTACGTCTCTTCACGCGTTTATGCATCGCTCAAAGGTGAAGAATGGCGCAAGACGATTCTGCTTACGACTGTGCTTTTCCCGACGTGAGTTCAGCCACTATGCAAGGCGCTCGAAGATGCGTCGGTCAGCCGAGCCTGACACTTCTTGGCCCTTTCATCTCGCAGCGTCCTCTTCGTGTTCTTGCACCTGCTCAACTTTTTCCTCCTGGGCGCCGGTTCGTCGGGAGCGGTGCCGTTCGGAACCTTCATGGCGATTGTGGGGTTATGTACGTGCCCGATCTATGTCCCTGCCTTGGTACGCCGGCTAATGACGCATGCCCTTGGAAAATAGGGTTCGGGGTGAATGTGCCGACTGCTGCGGTCGGGGGCTATCTTGGTGTTCGACATGGAGCTGTCGATCACCCCGTTCGCATTAACCAGATCCCGCGCCAGATCCCCCGTACGGAATGGTGGCTTGCGCCGTGGCCCAGTGCCATTCTCGCGGGTATACTTCCTTTCGGTGAGTCAAATGACGCTTATCTGATGTCAGACCGATGCAGTTTCTCAAAACAAGTCGGGCAATATCCTCACAGCGGCCGGCTTCATCGAACTCTACGCGGTGATGCAATCCCTCTTCGGGTCCAAAGTCTACTACGCCTTCGGCTTCCTCGCCCTCACATCCCTCATCGTCCTATTAACCGTCGCCACCTCGGCGGTCCTCGTGACCTACTTTGCCCTCTGTAGCGAAGAATACCGTTGGCATTGGCGATCCGTCCTTGCGGGAGGTGGAGCCGGACTTTGGCTGTTCGGGTACGGGATCTTGTATTGGGTTTCGAGGTTACATTTGGATGGGTTGGCGAACAAGGTGCTTTATTTGGGCTATTTGGTGCTGTTGAGTGGGTTGGTGTTCTTGGTGTTGGGGACAACGGGGTTCGTCAGTTCGTATTGGTTCCTCAAGACGATTTAGTAAGTTGGTCTCGCGAGCGAGCAGATTGGAATGGCTGGTAGGGCGAAGGAAATTGATCGGGCCGTTTATCGCTTTCTGGTCCAACAGTGGGAGGATCCGAGTCGATTGATTCGACGTCCCGGCCCGAGATGAAAAAACAAAAGGGTTTATTATTCTCGTCCGCATTTGTGTAATGAACCGCTCCAGAAGTGCAATCGACTTTGAACGAATCGAAAAGCTATTGACTCGTGAGCGCGAACACCAGGGGGGGGGGAAACGATCCCTCTTGACCTGATATTCATGTAAATCTCGTCGTGAGGATGATACAACAACAGTTACACGCTGTACGATCTATGCTACTAAGATTCGTCCCGCCGGATTCAATCCATGTACAGCTCGCGAATCACAATTTTGAGCTCCCCTTCCCCTTCCCCCTCGCCTCCTTCTCCCTCGCCAACTGCTCATGCACGCACTCCCTAATCCTCCTCGCCAGCTCCTCCCCTTCGGATTCATCCAGTTCCTCCCTCCCGACCAAACTAGCCCACCCACTCCGATTCGGATTCGTCGACGTGCTCGTATTGGAGCTAGAATTCAGATTCGGCGCAGGGACGATATGGAAATGGACATGATGGACTATTTGCGCGTAGCCGGTGTTGGAGACGATGTTGAAATCGGGGTTCTTGAGCGCCTTGGCGAGGGATCGCGAGAGGAGCGGGAGTACGGATCCGAGGTGGGAGGAGAGGAGGGAGGGGAGTTGGGAACTGGGTTTTCGGACAGGCAAAGGAGGAAAAAGGTCAGTCGTCGTTGGGTTGCGGGCGCCGAGGGAGGGGTCACTGACACGCGTGCGTAGTGCGCTTTGGGAACTACGAGAAGATGACCTGGGGGTGGCGAATAACGATATGTGGCCCGTGTCAGTGTGTGGCGGTCACGGGGCGGCGAGGCAATATAATTGGCCCCGGACGGTGAGTCGGTGACGTGATCTCGCCTCGCACCTTCTCTGATGGGGAGGATGTCTGAGCGGGGCACGAGAACGAGTACAGTCAGCTTTGCAATTTACCAGCCAGTGAGCTCGCAGCACCTACCCAGGAAGGCCATGACGTGCTCATCCTCATAGACCTACAGCCGTCGCCGAGGGGTCAGTTGATCGTGCTCGCGCGGAGACCGGCCGTTTCGGAGGAGGCATGACCGACCTTGGCAGCCCGCTGCACCCCATCCCTGATCTCGCAGAATGTACACCCTTCCTCCGTCTCGATCCGGTCGCGCTGTGGTGCCTTGTCGGCGTCGCCCGATACCGAGGAAGCCGACGAGGTGCGATGGCTACTGGACGTTGACGGTTGGGGGTAGGACGAGTTGGCCGTTTGCGACCTGGCCATCTCTGCCCTCCTGGCGAAATAGTTGATGAAATGGGACGTCAGATTGGGCGAGAGCACCTTTAGCCGGGGCAATAGGTCGAGGAGAGGAGTGGCAGGAGTGAAAGAGCCGGAAGAAGGCGATCGCGGGCACTTGGCGGCGGAGGGGCGGGCAAGCGGAGGCAAGCGGGGCCGAAACAAAGGTTAGGAGCAGTGCGGCTAGTATGTAGTCGCGATTATTTTCCATTAGCAAAGGCTGAGTATCTTCCCTTCAGGCTCGCGTAATCGCGAATATCTTCCGTTAATGAGAATTTGAATTCCAGCTAGTCTACAAAGAGACGACCCTTATCGGCTCGCGTAATTTGACCGCGGCGCGCGTCCCACCCGAACGCGTCGCGTCGCTTTGACTTTGACCGTTGACCGTACCACCGTACCACGCGCTACAGGCAGGACAGACCAGCCTTCGCGCGCGAACGACACCACAGCTACGAGCTCATCCACCATGGCAAGCGTGAGTCGTGTGGTCGTGGTCTGACTGCAGCTAGCGCGCAACTCTGACATGCCCACGCCGCCGCATCAGTACGGCAAGAAACGGGGACGGGCCTCGCGCGTCGCACCCGACTCGGAACGCGAAGAGGACGGCGACGAACCCCAACCAGACAAAGACGACCAGAACGAGCACGAAGAGGAACCTCGACCTTCCAAGGGGAAAGGGAAGGACAAGACCAAGGCGGTTGCAACGGAGAAGGGCAAAGGATCGGGCAAGGGCAAGGCGCGTCAAGCTTCCGACGACGAAGAGGAAGACGAAGAGGTTTTTGATGACGAGGGGGCGGATGAAGACGATGATGAAACTACGGGTCGGAAAAAGAAGGGAAAGGGGGCGCTCTCAACTCAGGTAAGGGCCGACCTGTAAAGATCCGTCCGCGAGCACCGATCCCGCCGAGCTGACCTTGCGCGGAGGGTGGCCTCGCAGGAAAAGGAAGATCTTGTCAAGGCAATCACTCGCCATATCCTGTTTTCAGAGTACACGCGCAAACTCCACTCCCGCGCCGACATTGTCAAGACGGGTGAGTGCATGCGCGACTCGACTTGGCAATCGAAAACCCTCCTCATCGCCGATTCTCCTTTTCCAGTGCTCCCCGATGGCCAGGGTCGTTACTTTAACGAGCTCATCCCCAAGGTGCAAAAGAACCTGCGCAAGGTGCTCGGTATGGAACTCGTCGCCCTTCGACCCAAAGAAAACTCGACCGCCAAGAGTCAGTTCCGGCACCGCCGCTCTCGCTAACCGATAATGAGGGCAATGCTGATCCCTCGAATCGCTCCTCACAGACCCTGCCAAAGTCTACGCTCTTCGGTCGACCTTGCCCATCCAGCTCATCCGTGCCTCAGCAGCTCGCCCGCTTGCGTCTATCTCCTCCTCCGTCGACGACGATCTCGCTGAATCGTCGGCTCTAGCCCGCGAACTGATCAACTACGCCGAGGACGACGATGATGGGGATCTGTCGGGTCTGCATACGAAACAGCGGGCCGAGGCGAAGGGGGGTTACATCAGGGATGTCAAGAGGGAGGAGGGTGCAGCCTATGGGATCCTAGGTGTCATCCTGGCGCTCATCCTAGTCAACGGCAAAGTCCTCGGTGATGGTCAGTCTCTATTGCGGAGGAAGCCCGAATTGTCTCCAAGATCTGACCCAGTCGATTCCCGACTGCAAACCACAGATCAACTCATCACCTACCTGCGTCGCTTGTCGCTCTACCCATCGACGATCATCCCACTGTCACCGTGCTCGTCCCACCCAGGCCACCTCAACCTAGACCACTTCATCCAACTGATGTGCAAGCAAGGCTACCTCGAGCGATCCGCATCCGGTGCCGCGCCAGCAGCAGCCGCTGCCGCCGCCGCTCGAACAGGTCACGTTCCTGCTACGCAGCGTACTGTGCGTGGGAAAGGTGCGGACCTGATTGAGGGTGGGGACGCCGCGATCGAGTATCGTTGGGGTGCTCGAGCCGAGGTGGAGATTGGCGAAGTTGGAGTGGCGCAGTTCATCCAAACGATTTTTGAAGCGGGGGGACCGAAGAAGTCTTTGGGTGGGGATGATGATGAGGAAGAGGAGGGGGAGGAGGGCGCGACGGAACGGAGGAAGGAGACGCCAGAGGAGAAGAAAAGAAAGGCCGAGAGGTTGATGATTGAGTTGAAGAGGGCCGCGGGGACGGTGTCGTTGCAGGATGCGGCCGAGGTTGAGGTGACCCTCTAAAGGCCTGGCATGTATTTGAAGGAAACTTGTATAGGGTGCTTTTTCTGATGTTCGAGCGACCATGTTTTGAATGGGAAGTTTTGAAGTCGGAAGATGATCTCATGCGAGGACTTGACTGGCTCGGCCGAGTTCCGACGCAGAAGAGGTCCGTGCGCGCGCGTGTCGATCTCACGCGTGGATTTTGAGCGCGCGACGAGGGCTCGATTTGACTCCTTTCCACTCTCACATCCTTCCGCAACGCTCAACACCCTCCCAGCCTGCTCAGTATGGCCGAAGCTACCTGCACCGCTCCCGTCAGTCACTCAACTCTCCTCATCTGACCAAGCTCTGCCCGGGCCCGACGGGGAGCGTCAGCTGACACCCGTCTCGATTCGCTTTGATCTGGTTGACAGGTCAACATCGCCGTCGTCAAATAGTGAGCGATGTGCTCCTCTGCCGCGTTCCGAAAAGTACAAGCTGTACTGACGTGCAGCTCTTTCCCTTCGCCCCGCCCTCCTCGCCCTCCTCTCGCACTCTCCTTCCTCTCTACAGCTGGGGCAAACGCAATACCTCGCTCATCCTTCCCACCAACTCGTCCCTCTCCGTCACCTTGTCCCAAGACCACCTGCGCTCCCTCACCTCCGCCCAAGTGATTGAAGGTGCCGCGTCGTCGCAAGATCGACTATGGCTCAACGGCGTCGAGGAGGAGATCAAGCAAGGTGGTAGGACCGAGAGGTGTTTGAGTGAGATGAGGGCCTTGAGGAAACAGATCGAGGTTAGTTGGGATGAGGTCGACATTGCCCGTGTGATGGCTTCTAACGGCATAGAATGGACCCTCTTAGGACAAGGACTCGTCCCTTCCCAAGCTTTCGATCTCGCCCGTCCACATCGCCTCGGAGAACAACTTCCCCACCGCTGCTGGGCTAGCTTCCTCCGCATCAGGTCTTTCGGCCCTGATCGCGACCCTGTCTTCGTTATACGCCCTCGAAGCCAATGGGATCAGCGTCTCGGACCTCTCCCGTATCGCTCGACAAGGCTCCGGATCGGCCTGCCGGTCCATGTTCGGTGGTTTCGTCGCTTGGGAAATGGGACAAAAAGCCGACGGCTCTGACTCTGCTGCTGTCCAAGTCGCCCCTAGGGAGCATTGGCCAACGATGCAAGCTTTGATCCTCGTCGTTTCGGATCACAAGAAGGGGACCTCGTCCACTTCGGGAATGCAAAGGACCGTCGCGACGTCGGAACTGTTGCAACATCGAATCAAACACGTCGTACCCGCTCGGATGGCGAGGATGGAGAAAGCCATCCAGGCCAAAGATTTCGATGCGTTCGCTCTCGAGACGATGGTCGATTCGAATCAATTCCACGCTGTGTGCCTCGATACCGAACCCCCCATTTTTTACATGAACGACGTCTCGAAAGCCATCATCGCTTTGACCGTCGAGATCAATCGAATCTCCCAACAAACAGAGAATCGACTCAAGGTCGCTTACACCTTTGATGCGGGGCCGAATGCGGTGCTTTATGCGGAGGAAAAGGACGTCAAGGACGTGTTGGAGATCGTGTTGAGGTATTTTCCTCAGGCGAAAGGATTCGAGGATCCGTTCGGCCTGAAGCCTGTGGCTAAGGATACGTTGCGGGAGGGTTTCAATGACAAGGTCATCCCTGTATTTGAAAGTGGGAGCGTGTCGAGAATCATCCATACCGAAGTCGGAGATGGTCCGAGGGTCTTGAGTAAGGGGGAGAGTCTCTTGGGCGCGGATGGGTTACCCAAGAGTTTGAAGGCTTAGATAGGCCCTACGAATGATCAGTCAGGGTGTAGTGGCATACAAGCGTCTTGTTCCTGATGTAGGGGCTCCAATCGTAATATTTTAACCCAACGCGTCAAAAGTCGCTCATGGTGATACATCTCTAAAAGAGGAACATGGTCGGTCGCTTCAGGCAGCTCTCCGCTTCATGCTCTGTCGATTGCTCAAGACCAAACCAAAGCCAAGAGCCAGAACGGCCATCATTGTCGTGATGCGGAAGGAGAGGAGGTAGCAGTCCCGTCCGAGCGTGCAAGTTGATGCGGCGAGGAGCGAGGGGTGCTTGGAAGACCGAGAGGCTTGGTGATCGTCTGTGAGAGCAGCTCAGTCAAGCGTGAGCGGCGGTCGGGATCGTCGGCGCGACAACTTCGGCTCACAGATCTTGCCGAACATCAAGTTCGTTGCTTGACCCTGTGCAAGACGACCGTGAGCTTCATGAGTGGCCGTGCATCCCAGTCATGAGCCCCGACGCGGTCTTACAAAAATAGCAGGGGCAAGCGCCAACACGCCGTTGTTGCCACTGAAATGCTTGATCCCGAACCGTTCGAGTCCGATGATGCCCGAGATCCCAAAGACGGACCCGTGAGCGAATCCGACCAAAACCGTCGGTACGGTCAATCCTGTCCAAACTCCATCAATCGTAGAGGCGCGGGATATGGTGATCTGGGCGACGACGAGCATGACCGCCGTGGAGACTAAAAGAAGTGGGAATGAGCGCGCTGCTCAGATTACGTATGACCGACTGCTGCAAACATACCGTTCCACCAGATCCGACTGAACCTCCACTTTGCAGGGGCGCGATGGAGCATAAAGTCGCTGAGGAATCCAGTGAGGAGTCGTCCAAGGCAGTTGAAGACGGAGAGAAGGCTGACGAGGTTCGCCTGCTGCACGGCAACATGTCATGGGGGTTGATCGGAGCTCCCGGGGCTATGCGCAAGTGTTCGAACCAATGTACCGACGTTGCTATGGGTAGACCCGGAGTGACACTTTTCAGTCATGGTACAATGTATAGTTTAGACTTCGTGATGACATATACAATGACTCACTTGATGTACATTAAACCACAGCCCGAGCAAAGTCCATTGAAAACGAAAAGGAGCCTTCGGTGCGTTGTGCACGGAGGATGAGCACGGAAGGATGCCATCCGATGTAGCCTCTAAATCCGCACTCACCAGAAATCCAGCTCCCTTGCGAGACCCCATCCAGAAACGCTGATGACCTCGTCATGCACCGATTTGCTCGAGTTGGATCGCACTAAAGGGGTTCGTTCGCTTGGGAATAGACCCGCAGCGATCGTGTCGGCATCATCCTCCGAGTCGTCGGGGGATGGCGAATTCACGACAATCGAAGGGGGTGGTACTGGAGCGAGGCTTGCAGGTATGATGATCGCTGGTCTCCGAATAGTGATGGCTCCCAGTGCCATTGAGGCCCCACACCCTAGCGCAAGGAGCAATAAAAGCGCAGCGGTCGGGTCCGAAGTTGTCGGCGAGATTTCCCGCCAAATACTCGAGTCTAGAAAAGTCAAAACGGTCAGAACTCAACATGGAAGGCAAATCCTGACAAGCGACTACTCACAGAAGAAAGCTGAAAGTCCGAATCCCGAGAGGACCAGCGAAAGTGCTGTGGCACGAGTCTTCTTGAAGGACAGGGCGATCGCGTTGCCTGCGGCTGCTAGAGCAGCAGTGGAGCCTGTCACATTGGCGAGACACATATTAGACGTGGCTCTAAGGGCGGAGTGAAACCGCGTTTGGCTGTACGTACCTATCCCTGTGAGCATCTCCATCAGGGCTAGCCCCGGCACCCCGATCGTCGAGAAAATTCCGTCTTGGCCGCCAAAGTAGATACTATGTACGATCAGAACTGCGTCGAAGAATGGATCGAAAGATCTTCGTCAGCAAAATGCATCTCTTTTCAAAGCTCGCAGGTGCAGCTCACAAGCGCTGCTGAGAGCCACGGCGGAGAAAATCAAGAGAAAAGTCGGCCCATGGCGATCGACAAGCCGGCCGATGGGAATGCCCGAGAGGTAAACACCTAAAGAATGAAATTTGAAGGGCCAAAATGGCATCCAGTACCCCGTCTCGTTATTGAGGACGTTCTCACGCGTGCATCCCGATTATCGTTACTGACCAAGGTTGCCGGCTGAGCCGATGACGTTGAGCTGAGTCGAGGACAGAGCCAGGCGAGAAGCGAGCTGTGGCGCGTAGGCACTGGAGTCGGAGGGGTTCGTAGGGTGTTCAGCATTGGAGGCGATCTCGAGTAGGAACTCGCAATCGGTAGACTGGTGCGTGGAGGAATCTCCAGTCTCCGACCGGAATGCCAACCAGGAGAGTCGGACTCGGTGACGATGACCGAGGCAGTCGCACTCCGTGCCGATCCGCGTGCCGAGCTCAACGAGTCAACGTTCAATGGTACTGACCTGAACAGATAGTTGGTGCCCGCTGACAATCCCACGATGGTAGCAAACACCAACGTCACTAAACGCCCTCCCTTCCCACCCAGTCGTCTCGGAGTCGGCGACGAGGTTGCGATCACCATGGTCGGCGAACGGAATTGGACCGCGCGGTAAGCCGCGGAGCGCGCTGAGTCAGCTGCAGGTGGAGTGACGTCGGTCGATAGGGATCCGATCGAGCTGCTGAAGTGGGCTTGAGAGATTGGGATCTTGGGCTGGCGGGGACGATATTTGAACGATTACCTCAGACGCTGAAAAAGAGGGCCTCGGGCCGGCCAGTGTCGAAGGAGGAGAGACGAGAGAGAGCATGACCGAGCAGCGACGTGGGGATATTGAAAAGTGGGGGCCGAGAGCTCGAGCTAGCGCCAGCGAAATTTTGAACTCATGCGAAACATGCAGGCACAAAGCCAAGGACCATGTTATCTAGGGTGAATAATGGAATCTCATTCTTAAGGTCCATCAGTTCATTCCAATACAACAACCTTGTTCCCCTGCTTGCCCATCTTGAGCAACACCACTCGATCCAGCAACAAATCGTCCACTTCGATCGACCTCTGATGTTTCTTAGGTGCAACTTTGGTCCCATTGATCGAGATCAGACCTTGATCGATCGCTCGTCTTGCTTGTGCTGTACACCCATAAAAGACATGATCAAATCAGTATGGGAATGACAAGGTCCAACTGCAAATCTGAACCGCGCCGTGGCCGTACTCTTTGACGTGGCCAATCCACTAGCGATCACAATCTTCTCCAATGCCTGTCCCAAGAACTCTTCTTTAGGTAAATTTAGAATCATTGAAGGTAGCTGCGCTTCCGGCTGGGTCGAGTTGGACGTCGGTGTCGCTTCGAGCGCCTCGATGATAGGGACGAGATCGAGCGTTGCCGGGTCCGAGCCGTAAAAGAGGGAGGTCGCGGCGATTGCCTGACGCAATCCCAGTGCTGCAGAGAGTAGAATCGAAGTAAGTACGCCGGGCCGTAATTATCTCGTGTCTCCAGGATGTGCTCACCTCCATGAACGAGCTCGGTCGCCTCGGCCGCCAAGATCTTTTGTGCGACCCGTTGTTCGAGATGGGCCTACAAGAAACGAACAAGTCAGTTTATCAACACCAGAATGTAAATCACTTTCCCGCAACCCACCTTGTGGTCAGCCATAATGGCTTCCAGCTCAATTACTCGCACAAAAGTGAAGATTTTGAGATACTTGTGCACCTCCTCATCTGTTGTCCGAAGGAAGAACTGTGACGATCACCGACAACGGCCGATATCAGAATTATCCCAAACTAAACTCCAAGTCTCGAACGCACCTGATACAGCTCAAAAGGACTTGTCATGCCCGGGTCCAGCCAGATGGCATTCCCAGCACTCTTACCGAACTTTTCCCCCGAAGCGGTCGTCAACAACGGCATCGTGATACCATACGCTGGATCTTCATGATCACCTCCTACTCTGGGTTCCATGTTCGTAGTTGGTGGTGTTGCATCTACGGGAAGGGTCTGGGCCTGGAGTTGATTCTTGCGAATCATCTCGATGCCGGACATGATGTTGCCGAGTTGGTCCGAACCCCCGAGTTGGATCGTACAGTTGTGACGTTGATGCAAGGTGAGGAAGTCAAACGCCTGCAAGAGTTGGTAGCTGAACTCGGTGAAGGAGAGGCCCGAGGAGGATTCGAGTCGTGATTTGACGCTGTGGACGGCAGAAAACCTAAAGATTTGAGTACCAATTCTTGCGTGTACTCAAATCTTCCGGGCGCATCGCATGGGTTTTTGGACCACCCACCTCTCTCGTGAAAGCATCGTCGATATCCTCGCCATCTTTCCGGCCGAACTGAGAAACTGCAACAAGCCCATCCCACCTAACCAGTCGAGGTTGTTCTCGACCCTTATTTGGCCGAGTGAAGATTCAGACTCGGGGGAATCTCTCCGTCTATTCCGCGATTGAGCAAAAGGCACGCCTCGGTCAAGGAAGCCCGTGACTTGGGAAGTGATGGCTCGGACGTTGGTGTCGAGTTGCGAGGACGAGAGGGCGTTGCGTTCGGTCGATCTCCCTGATGGATCTCCGACCGATCCGGTCGCCCCTCCGATCTGAGGGAACAAGCACGAGTGATCAGTGGGGAAGGCTGAGCATGAGCTTTGGCGAGCGGATGGACATACAAGAGCAATAGCTGTATGTCCCTGTAGCCGAAAGTGAAGTAGTCCGACGAGAGCTGCGAGGTTGCCGACATGTAGTGAACTCGCGGAAGGGTCGACGCCGAGGTAGACGGTGACCGGTCGCTCGACATGCTTGGTGACCGACCGACTGTGAGTGCAGAAGGTGGCGATACACCATGAACTTACGAGCACAACTCAGACATGAACGCTGCAACGCTTACCTTGTGAGGTCAGCAACCATGCCTCGTGCCTGCAGCTCCTTGACGACGTTGCGAGCGAGACGGGTGGTTGCGAAGCTGCGACAGGTGATCGGATCACGTCGGGTTCCCCAGCATGTGGGGAGCAAGGAAGGCCTGGCGACTCGCTGCATCAGCTCCCGCGGTAACATTGGTGGCGAGGTGTGCGTATTTGAGTGGTGCGTGAGCCTAAGCCGGGACTGGGAATGTGGGGAGGCGCGGAGGACAAGAGATCGGTCGAGGGACCACTGAGGGACCTCAACTAAGCTCGACGCCCCTCCCTTTGGGAGGGGCTTGTGAGTTATCCGCGCTTTTGGCTGAGTTGCCCTCCGAATTTTTGGCCCTGAAAAGTGCCCCCTTGCTGTAGCATGGCATATATTGGTGCTATCTGAAAACTGGAGGAATACATCTTTACTTCATCATTATTGATGAGGCTACACCGAAGCTTGAAGTCTAGGAACGCTTGATCATCTCGCTACAGCAGCTTGATTCAACTGATTCCGAACGAGACGCAGGTCGGCGCACGGACCAGTCGTAGTCCAGTCCGCGTCGAAGGCTGCATAGAGCCAGGTCACTTAAGCCCGGCTGCGCCTCACGCATCCTCTCTCTCCTCCACTCAACATTGCACCTCACCTCATGATGAGCCATGTCGGTACAAACACCCAGGCCGGTTAGGGGACCGCCCCGTCGACATCCATCAATTGAGTTCAGGGCGTCTCCCTTGCGATCAGCTTCAAGGGCCAGTCCTACGACACCAGCACCGAATCATTCAACCAATCCGACAGCCGTTCTCGGTCACTGGAGGCCACCTTTGACTCACCAGGACCGACGAGATTCCAGCGAATTACCAAAGTTATTCTGGGCGAAAGTCTTGACGACGACTCTACCCCCGGCCTGTGCAGATCGAGGCCATTGCTGCCCTCTTCGAACTCGATCAATTTGGGAACCGGAATCGATATGACGCTGTGTTCGTCACAGCGCCAACAGGTTCAGGCAAAAGTGTTATCTTCGAAGCAATGTATCTCATTTACGGACGCCGGGCAGTCACCATTGTTGTCAGTCCACTGAATGCACTGAGCAATCATCAGGTGAGTTTTTCTGCCGACTGGGCTTGCTGGACCGACATTCGTGCTGATTTCCGCAGTCACATGCTTCTTTCAGGCTGCCAATCTCAATCGAAAGGGAAAGAACGCGATTGTCGTATCTGAGGAGACCTGGAGAGACGGCGAGCTATACAGGCAGTTGGACGACCCCAATCACAAGATCTCCTTCATTCTGATCGTATGTGCCGGTTGACCTCCTGTTTGAGTGAAGTCCACATGTGTTGATTTTCCTTCCTGTTTGCTGCGTGTAAAGTCTCCTGAAATGCATATCAACAATGCAGATTGGGCAAAGTTGATCTCTAACGAGTCCTTTCGAGAGCGCGTCAAGTTGCCCGTTTATGACGAGGACAGGGGGTGGTGTGCATCAAGAAGACTGAGGCCAAGATGAGGGACCAGTCGAGCAAGCGCTCGATATATCTGAGCTTTTATCCCGGTCGTAGATGACGAGTCGGATTGGGGAGTTGGGAGGAGATGCTGGAGATTGACTCGCGGTAAAGACGCTTGATGTGCAGAGTAGGCTCGAAGGTTGTAAGCGCCGGCAATATCTCCGTTCTGAATGTGGGCGTAACCAAAAGTTCCATGAAGCAGCTCGGTCCGTCGATCCAATTGCTGATCGTTGACGTGATGTGTGACGTCGATGTTGTCAACGGTCACATGGAAGTACTTGTTCGAGCCAATCTCCTTCAGTTCCGTCGAATTCGCCTTCGTCAAGCTCGCAGCTGCCTGGAGAGTCGCCCAGCGAGATGTCGTCAAGCCGCAATCGTACAGAAACATTGTCAATCGGTCGTTCGCTCCACATGCGAGAGTCATGAGACCGTTGCGATGCTGCATGGCGTTGTTCCTTCGGTTACAAGCGAATGCGAACTGACCCATGACACTGCGGTAAAGCTGCGGCCAGCGTGTTGAAGTTTTTGGTGTCAGTTCGCTGCGATACCCAGCCGAGCCATGGTCAGAAACACTCACAAACTCGATACGCTTTCTTTCGTGACCAGGCTCTTGTTCTTGCCCCGGATCGGAACCATTCTCCGGGGTGGCTTCTTCCATCTCGACATCAGTGGAAGCTGTTGGGTCCTTGTCGCGATTGATTGGCTCGGCCGGTGGAGGGTCTCCGCATTGTGATAGCAAGGTACGAACCCATCCGCTGATTAAAGAGTTGTCTTCGGCGATTGCATCGAGCCGGGCGTCGATGTAATCGGATGCGAGGACTTCGGGAGTCAAGTCATGGCTAGCGACGAAGGCGGACTTGGTTCGCTTCATCTCTTTAATGATGATTGAGTCGGCCTGCACGCGGATAAGGCAAGTATTCAGTAGCTTTTTCGAATCCGGAGAATCAATCCGAGAAGTACGAAGTGTTGCCCACCTGCTCGGCGATCCAGTCATTGATACACAAAAAAATTGATTCGGCTTCTTGACTCTGCGCCATCCTCGCGTGCAAGTCGTAGAATAAGATCAAGTACACGCTTGAGGCTGGACCACTTGCTGTTGAACAGCTTTGGTCGGTGTGTTTGAACTCCTTCAAATCGTGTGGATGGGCTGAAGTACCACGATAGGTATTGACATAGATCGCGGCTACGAAATTCAGCCAACAGATCCGCCTCGCGGCGGTTGTTCTGGCGAGTTGACGAGGTATGGCTTCTGCTTGTTCGGGTCATTTTTGGTTTTAGATATTGTCGCGCTTGACGTGGACGACGGTGATCGTGAAAAGAGGAGAATAGCGAAGCGTACGCAAAGGGATCAAGCCGAATTAGCAGGCTCGCCGATGATGAGAGCGCCAATTACACGATGCGCTCGGACCATCTGAGGCCCGATCGACCGAAATCGCAGACTTCGGATCGCTGTAGCTCCACCCACAGCTTATGAAAGCTCTCGCCACTTGGGGAATGTCATTTTTAGAGCATAAAAAAAAATAGGGTCCTTCACTTTTGCATGGATGCGCCTACTTGCCAAGTTACAGAGAACCACCCCAAAATGGCCCTGAAATTTCGGAGGGCAACTCAGCCAAAAGCGCGGATAACTCGTAAGCCCCCACCTCAGGCAGACTAAAAAGTAACCAGTCTTAGTAGCGCCGCCGCGCGGCCAGAAAAACCTATGCAAATAGGCGACCTGGGCCCGGTAGCAACACTGCTACCGACGGTAGCAACTCGGCGCGGGAACAAGCTCGCAATGGTTTAAAGTCATTACAATTGATCCGGAAATGATTTTCCGGCTTGACCCTATGACGTAATTCATTGGCGGGAGAAGCTTGTAGAGCTTATAGAAAAGCTTGTTGAAGTCCAAGTATATCCATTAACGCCTCAGCACTGCTGAAGCCGTGGTATGTCTGGCCCAATGCAACACGTGATCTGACGCGGGTTGCGCGAGGTTGCGCGCGCAGGCGCGCGTCCGAACAGGTCCGAACCTGACGGAATCGACGCGTGTTGTGCGTTGTTGATACGTAGACAGCTCTTGTCCTTAGGCCCGCTTTCGCCCGTACATTCAACACAAGACCCATTGGTCTCGCCGCGAATATCCTCGTCCTCGATCGCTGAACCGCATACACGTCACACGTCACGTCCCTCGTTGATGTCCATTGATCTTGTGATCCTTTCACATCGCCAACTCATACCAAGTTTCCACGCTTCGGCGCTCGACAAGCCCCACGTGTATGTCCGGCGATCGTTTTCCGGGCTTTTACCAGAGAACGAGCTTCTGAGGGCCTGCTGACATCCACGTCTTGACTATAGATTCATCGCGTCGCCTCGGAACATTGCGGGCTCCTTCCCTCCTGGATAACCATTCACAAACAAGTCTCTGGGTGCGTGGTGGAAGTGCGGCTGCGCGGTCGTCGACGCGGTGTTTGACTGGTTTAATGCAGCACCGTGTCGTTCTGACCTTCCCCTGTTCGCCTTCCAGCCTCTGCCTGCACGATGTTCTCTTCCATCCAAGTCCTGCGCCGCCCAGCCGACCGCTTGACGCTCCCGCGTTCGCAAACATCGATTATCCAACCTATTCGCTCGAGTCGGGTAGCCACGCGTCCGCCTTCCCATACGACCTCCCTGTCCTAGGCAGCACAGCTAGCACAGGGCACCCATCAAGTCGACCCTCCTGTCCCGCCAATCGCCTGCTGCCTGACCCCCTTCAATTGCCAATGGAGGAAGCCAATACATCGTCGGGCGTCCTGCAGCCCTCGCCGAGTTTCTCATCAGTAGATGGAAGCACCCCGACAGTGCATCCATCACCACTTTCCGCCGCGGATCAACAGTTCGCCCGCGTCGAAGTCCCTGTCGCCACCGTACCGATCCGAGTTTCGCCTTTGACGCCAGCGAAGAGGCCGATGGGCCCTAGCCTCCACGAACAGAGCAAGGCTATCCCTAAGCGCAACTGTCGCAAATCCGAACGACTTATGCACGAGCAATGGGCCCAGAAAAGACACGACGAAGAGCTCGAGTATTGTATCCGACACAATATTCGACTCGATTATTTGAGGAGCATTGTTGCGCCCGTGACTCGCCTTGGCTCTCCCACTTCCTGGAATGACTTTGTGCAGAGCAAGTACTTCGAATCGCTGGCAGTTCAAGATGGATTGGAAGGTAGGCACAGCTCTTGACTACCTGACTACCTCGTGCTAAATTCTAGCATAGCATTGCACTACGCTGTTGTTGAACTAACGGGCTGGGTTGGTCCGCTTTAGTGCCGACCAATTTGGTGGAGAGGGTTAAGCTCGCAAAGCCATATTGGAACGACATAAAGGATGACGCAGAGGCGATGACGAGGTTTGACGCGGCGCTTGCCTTGGAGCGTGAGGAAGCGACGCAAGCAACGCAAGCGACCGAAGGTTCATCCTCCATCAAGATCGCCAGAAACAAGCCGATGAGTCACGAAGCCATCAAGAAAGCGCGCCGATGCATGCAGGCCGCGTTGGAAACCATGGTGAGTCCAAGCTCAATTTGATACTGCTCACAGTAAAGTAACTGAAAGGATCATAACACCCTCAAAACCAACCCAGAGCACTTCATATGCGCAAAAATATGGACTCCAATTGTTTGCTGTGG